ACCTAATATAGAGTAACTACCTTAGAAGGTTAAGAAAGACTATAAGAAGTTCGCGTTATTATTTAATAGATAGAATAACAGCGTTCTACCTAAACATAAACTATAGAACTATAAGATACCTATAGAAGGTAAAGCTACGCTAAAACTAGAGCTAATATACCTACTTAGCTGTAAGTAAAGAGAGAAACTCTAAAGATATCTAAAGAGACTCCTATAAAAAGAATATATTTAAGAAAGCTAAAGCCTAATAGCCTTACTAGTGCTATTCGTGCTAAAGAAGAATAGATAGTTAAGATTATATATTAACTACTAACAGCTTAACTAGGCAACTTAAAAGAACTAATATCTACTACCTATAATCTTAGAACTTATAGACTAGCTTGCTAGAGCGCAATAGTTTATAAAGTTTAACATCTAAGAGGGGTACTACTAAATATAGATTAAGAAAGGCTATAAATAGAAAATAGCCTTTAGAATAAGAGAAGGTCTATATAAATACCTAGTTATACTATTTAGACTTACTAATATACTAGTAATATTCTAAAGCATAATTAATATAGCTCTACACGAATACCTAGAAAGGTTTACTATAGCCTACCTAGACAACGTACTTATGTATTTAAAGAGAAAACTAGAAGAATATAAGAACTACGTGCGAAGAACACTATAGAAGCTTAGAAAATACAGGCTTCTAATAGCCTCTAATAAAAGCAAATTCTATTGTATAGAGACTAGCTACTTAGAATTCTACCTAACCTAGAAGAAGATTTAGATAGAAATAGACAAGGTCTAGGTAGTTCTAGACTAGCCTATACTCTAGATAGTAAAAGAAGTATAGTTCTTTCTAGAATTTGCAAACTACTACTAAAAGTTTATCTAGAGGTACTTATAGATTACTACTCTACTTACAAAGATTACTAAAAAAGACTAAGAGTTTAGATAGAAAAACCTATAGTAATAAGCGTTTAAGACGCTAAAATAAACGTTTACTACCGCACTATTACTATAAACGTTTAATAAGAATAAACTAATATAAGTTAAAATAGATGCGTTAGACTAAGCTCTAGAAGCATGCCTTAGCTAACCTAGAGAGAATAGCAAGTACTAACTATACTTCTTCTACTTAAGAAAGTTCTTAGCACTAGAACTTAACTATAATATATATAATAAAGAACTTATAGCTATTATAGTAGCTATAAAAGAATAGAGAATATACTTAGAAGGCGCTAAATACTCTATTAACGTAGTATTAGACTATAAAAACCTTATAGTATTTATAACAACAAAAACGCTAAACTAACAATAAGTTAGATAGGTAGAAACGCTAGCTACACTAAACTTTACAATCTAACACTAGAAAGGTACTAAGAATAGAGCTATAGATACACTTAGTTATAGAGCTAACTACGTAGGTACTATAAAGAAGAAATATAACGCTATACTTTACACTAGACTAGATAGAACTCTAGAATACAATAGACTACAGACTAGCTAGATTACGAAGATTAGAGACTAATAGAACAATAGACTAGAGCTAATTAACAGCTAGAGATAATAGAAAGTGCTAGAGGTACTACAAACAGAATTCCTCTAGAAATTCTACAGCACGATAACGTATAGGCACTAAGAAATTAAACGTACTCTAGAGAGGTTACAACAAGAATATAGATTCTCTATAATAAAGAAGAAAGTTATAAAAATAATATAGAAGTGTATAGAATACTAATAGAATAAGGTAGTTAGATACTAACTATATAGACTACTATAACTACTAAAGCTATCTATAGCACTATAGTAACACGTTACTATAGACTTTATTATAAAGCTACCTAGATTAATTAAACCCGCGTTATAAAGAAAGTGCAACGCTATTCTAGTAATTATAAACTAATTTACTAAGTATGTATACTTCTACGTAACTAGTAAAACTCTTAAGGCTAAAGAACTAGCTTATAAGGTAAGCTAATAATTGTTTAGCTAACATAGAATACTAGAACGGGTTACTATAGATAGAGACAAGTTATTTACGTCTAAGTTCTAGAACGCACTACTTAACTAAATAGAAATAAGTAATTAAATATTAACTAGCTTTTACCTACAAACTAACAGCTAAATAGAATAAACAAACTAAACTCTAGAAGAATACCTAAGAAACTACGTTAACTAGAAATAAGATAACTAGGTTAAGCTACTATCTATAGCATAATTAGCGTACAATATAGCAAAATAAGAAACTATAGAGATAACTCTCTACTAGGTATATTATAAATATAAGGCTAGAATATATAGAGCTCTAGCTTATATAACTATAATTTTTCTAAAGGTAGAAGAGAAGAAACGCTAAATAAGAATAATCTATAATAGACTATAGAAAATAGTAGAAAAAATAACCTAATAAGTAAACAAGAAAAGAATTAAAGAACTAACCTTTAAGAAGAGGGGTAAAGTTTTTATTTTGTAAAAAAACTTGCGCACTAAACAACCTAGTAAAAAACTTAACTACCTATAAATTAGACTATTTAAAATAGATAAACAACTTAGACCTGTTAGTTTTAGGCTAAGGCTACTACTAATAATAAGAATACATTCTATATTCTATAAGTCTAAACTTAAGCTAGCACTTAACAACGTACTACTTAATAAATAAACTAAGGTAGAACTAGACTAGAACTATAAGGTTAAAAGAATACTAGATAGAAAGCGTATATAAGGTTAGTAGAAGTACTAGGTTAGGTAAGAAGAATACCTACTAGAAGAAGACACCTAGAAACTACTAGAAAACCTTAAGAACTGCTCTAAGAAACTTAAGAAGTTTCGCTAGCACTACTACCTCTAAAACCTAGAGACTAGAACCCTAGATTCTCTAGACGACTCTAGTTAAATAACTAAAGAGGATTAACTAAAGAAATAGAGAGTAGTAGCTATAAAGGTTACTATACCTTCTACTCTAGCCGCTCTAACTTCTTAATATTAGCTAGATTCTAGACAAGTAGTGCGTTGCAACAACGCTGTACTAGCTCTAGCTACTTCTAGAGATAGTTACTACGCGCTATAGCGGCACGCTATAACTTAGCTAGAGTAGCCTTCTGCTAATAACGCGACTTAGCAAGCTGCTCTACTACAGAGCTAGCCTTAGACTACTAAGAATAGAGATTAGTTATTAGCTAATCTAGCTTCTCTACCTCTTTTAGGTCTAGCACCTTATTATAGAACTAACTCTTTACAATACACTTAGAATAACAACCTAAGAATACCTTTACGACACAACGTAGGTCGCGAGAATAGTAAGCGCTATAAGAATTGTTAGACATATTAACGCTAGTACGCAGAACAAGGTTAGCGTAACAATAATAATAGACTATTAAAGACTTAGTACGCACAGGCGGTATAGTAAGAATAGGAAGAAAAGAGAGAATATAATACTATAGAATTATAAATAGCACTACTCTTATATAAGAATAGTATAGAATAATAAAATACTATACCTAGAAATAGAATAGAGCTTTAGAATAACGCTTTAGAAGAAGGGGCAGATGTTACGATTATAGAATTAGAAACAAGGCTAGCTAGCTAGAGTAGAGAAAGGTAGCAGGCTAGGCCTAAGGTTATAAGACAAGAAATTACGTGTAGAGTTATAGAAATAATTAGGGCTACGTAACATAGATTAGATAGATTAGACGTAAGTAAGGTAGATTAGACCTAATCTACGCGGGCTAGAGTCTTAGTATCTAATCTAGCTAAGAGGGCACATGTATATAACTAGAAGAAGCTCGCTTCTTATAGCTTCTTATAGTTATTACTTTGTTTACTAAATTACTATAGAGACTTGCGATTTATAGTATTATTACCTTTACCTCTTTGTTACTAAAGATTCTAGCCTAAAGTATACCTCTTACCTTCTCTTACGCAAGTAAGCTCTAGTCTTAGTTAAGAGAATAGCTTATAACAAATATACTATAAAGAATATATATTTAAATTTTTATAGAGAAATATTAAGGGTTTACTTAGTTATTTAAGAAAAACGTATTAATTTTCGTTAATTTTCTTATTAAGAGAAAGGTAGTTAGCTTACTTATATAGTTAATTTACTTATAAAGTACGTTAGTAGTACTTACTAGAAGTAAACTAGATTTTTTCTTAAAAGTTAGTTAAATACGTATAGCTTTTTAATTACGTAATATATCTTAGTATAACTTTACTATAAGGTATAATATACTATAGAGAATATATATATAAATTTTTATAGAAAAATATTAAGGTTTTACTTAGTTATTTAAGAAAAACTTATTAATTTTCGTTAATTTTCTTGCTAAGAAATTCGTGGGCTGTTTGCTTGTGAAGTACGTTAGCTACTTATCTAATAGAATACTAATTATTATAGTACCTAGTAATAGCTAGTCTAATATTACATAAACAGGTACTTGTAGAACGCTTACCGTCGCTTCTATTCAATGCCAGAAGCTGTTCGCCGCGGAGGTGACGCGGGAAGTCCGTTTTCGGAAATTCCGACGTCGAGCTTCCCCGCAACATAGCTCAAGCTGCAGCTGGATCCCCCAGCTTTCCCAGCTTTTTCCCCTGCAAACGCGACGGCATGCCGAAATGAGATCTCAAGGGTCCAGCCCGATTCGAGGGCAGATGATGCGGTCTCGCTTTCGATCACTGGTTTAAATGTTCGCTCAGTGCCGTCATTGCTATGACGCTGTCCAATATTCTGCTTTCTTCTCCTACTGCTTAGTTCCTGCACTCAGCGCGGCGTCCGGGTATCAGTGTCTTGCTAAATTGCCATTTGGGCGTATACTATACTTGCTAAGCTCTCCGCCATTATCATGACGACTGCTCGAGGGCTGCTACGTCCGGCGCTGCGGATTGCGCAAGCACTTCGACGGCAAAGACCGGCGCTGATAGCTGCTTCATGGCAATCGACACGCGCATTCTCCAGCTGCCTGCCTAGATACCAATCAGGTGGGCCACCGGCCCCTCCGGCCGGTGACAGTGCGGAGATGCCATTTCTGGGGACGTCAAAACGTCTGTCCGAGTTCAATTTGAGCAACAAGATTGTACTGGTGTCGGGCGCTGCTCGTGGCCTTGGTCTGACCCAGGCAGAGGCTCTGTTGGAGGCGGGAGCAACCGGTACGTTCCCAGTTGCAACTCTCTGGCCGAGAAGCGGGCATCTGATGATTATCGCACAGTGTACGCTCTCGATCGGCTTCCCGAGCCCTCGCCGGACTTTCATAGAATTGCCGAACGAGCACGGAAGGAGCTTGACACCTCTTTGCACTACCGACAAATCGATGTACGAGATGTGAAGAATCTCAATAAGATCGTCGAAGAGATCGGGGACAAGCATGGTAGGATGGATGGCTTGATCGCAGCTGCAGGTATCCAGCAGGAGACGCCAGCGCTTGAGTATACGGCAGAAGACGCCAACCGCATGTTCGAGATCAACATCACGGGCGTCTTCATGACCTCTCAGGCAGTCGCGAAGCAGATGATCAAGTTCGGAAGCGGCGGAAGCATCGTCCTGATCGCCAGCATGTCTGCAACCGTGGCCAATAGGGTAAGCGCTTGTCTGTGGTGTGATTAGTCTTCACGCTTGCTCATGGTTTCGTTAGGGTCTCATCTGTCCAGCATACAACGCCTCAAAGGCTGGAGTAGTTCAGCTTGCTCGGAACCTGGCGTCAGAGTGGGGTGAATACAATATCCGCGTCAATACCATCTCGCCGGGCTATATCGTAACGGCAATGGTTGAGGAACTGTTCAAGCAGTTTCCGGAGCGTCGAACGGATTGGCCGACGCAGAACATGCTGGGACGTCTCTCTGCTCCGAGCGAATATCGCGGTGCTGGTGTGTTCCTGATCAGCGACGCCAGTAGCTTCATGGTAGGTTGCAGTTGTCTTACCCGCCAAAGCGGCTCGCTGACTTTAGTAGACGGCAGCAGATCTAAGAATGGATGGTGGGCATTCGGCCTGGTAGACTTTTCGAGTGGAAGCGTGGAGGAATTATCTGTGCGCGGGGCGGCCTCCAGCATTGTGTGCATGCAGCGGGACGGAGCGTATGCCGGAAGAGATTGGGACGGGGGCGGAAACGATGGATGATGGAGGAACGGGCGACATTTCCAGCAATGAGGAGGAGGCGATGTACTATTACTTTTGTGTGACGGGAGTTTCGGAGGTCCGCAGATGTCTTCGGAAATGACTGACTAAGCGGGCTAGCTAACTATTCCGAGCTCTGAGCCCATGGCAGGAAGCACCCCACCGCGCCATCCCTCAGCGACGCCTGGCTGCTATTGCAGGCAGTGACCATGCCAGTCAAGTAGTCTCAGTGTTTGCCAGCTGCTTGCTCGTCCCAACAGCCCTGCCCTGCCCGCGTCACCCTGCGACTCCGCACGGCGCAAACGGAGCTCTGTACCCTAAGCCCTGACACTCCCTTGTCGGATACTCATAAAGCCCAGAGCCAACCCGAGCGATACTACTGCCGCCTCTAGTTCATGGCAAGGCTGTCATGACGAGTTCGGCCCCGTCCTCCTTGTCCCGCTACCGGCCTGCGATCCTGGTCCTCACCGGAGCGGCAGCCGCCTACGCTACATACCTCCTCTACACCAGCGTTCAGACTGCTCCCGCAGAGGGCCTCCACCGGAGTAACGCGATCCGCAGACCTCAGCGACCGCGTCCTCGCACGTCGACCACCACACGCATAGTCCAACGCCTGCAGCACGATGCGCACCCGCTCGGCGAGTTCGATTTCTTCGGACACTCAATCATTCTCGATGCTCGTAGCCTCATATCGCCGGCTGCGCTCCGCGAGATAGCACATCGCGCAGAACCAACCGCGACTCCGGAGATTGTAGAGAGCCGGATCGGGCAGCTCTATGACGCTTTCCTAGACCGCCTGCTTGCCCTCACTTTCCCGGACAGGACGCTTTCAACAACAGAGACAAGCGCGGTGACGCGATGGATCCGTGACCGGCTACCGGACGAGGTAGCTTTAACGCGAGCGCTGCAAAGGCATGCCAGCAGATTCGCGCACGAAGAGACGGAAGCTGCTCTAGCAGCTGACGGAGCCGACAGCATTGCGCCTACCGACCTCTCATGGAGGAGCGACGAAGGCACTGAGGGCGAGGGCATCGATTCCGATGGGCAAACGCTGCAGCGCACGCTGTACCATATTGCAGAAGACCGTGCAAGGCAAGAAGGTAAGCATGTTTGGGCTGCGGAAAGCTCCTCCTGGAGGCCTTAGACCGCTAATCAACCTTCGCAGGCGTCATCCATCGTGGTATAACATGCAATGGCTGCGACAACAGACCGATCCGCGGCATCAGGTGGCGATGCGCCAATTGTCCCGATTTCGACTTGTGCTCGGATTGCGAAGCCACCAACTCCCATATCAAGACCCACATCTTCTACAAGATCCGCATTCCTGCGCCGTACCTGGGACTGCCAAAGCAAGAACCAGTCTATCCTGGCCGCCCACATGCCATGGACCCTTCCATCAGCTCCGCACTCAAGAAACGCCTCGTATCCGAGACGAAGATGGAAGCAGAAGAGATTGAGGCACTTTGGGACCAGTTCACGTGTCTCGCTGCGACCGAGTGGGAAGCAGATCCCAATAGCATAGGGTGGGCGATAGACCGACGTGCTTTCAATCACGCCTTCATCCCGCGATACAGTAGCTTCATTTCTGCTCCGAATCTGATCTACGATCGTGTATTCGCCTACTTTGATACAAATCATGACGGCCTGATCGGTTTTGAGGAGTTTATCAGAGGGCTCGATGGAATACACTCAACCGATATGCGCGTCAAGCTCCGAATCGTCTTCAACGGGTACGATGTCGATGGAGACGGGTACATAAGTCGCAAAGATGTGTTGAGGATATTTAGGGCACAATATGCTATAGAGAAGGAAGCCACCCGGAACTACCTCACTGAATCCGCAGAAGAGTTATCTGTTCGGGGCGCGCTTGAGACGATACACTCTAGTCAGCCCTTAGGCTCGGCATTCACTCAGAATAGTATCCCTCCTGGGAACGGCATGAATGAGCGTTTGCGAGGCAAGTCGGAAGATGACGAACAGGAGCCCATTATCGACGACGTCCCAGACACAATGGAGCGTGAGGAGATGATTCGGCGGGCTCACTCGGAAGCCTTCTATGAAGTGGGCCACAGCAGAACCGCTGATGAATCTGTAAGAGATAGGTGGGCTCGAAGGCAATTCTATACAGATGAGGAAGAGGGCCTGGAGCGGCCGGAAGGCGCCGAAGATGGGCCTTCTCCCATGGAGATGGAGGATCACTTGCATGCAGCAGACGTGGACGTACCGCCGACACCAGAACATGAGCGGCCAAGAGGATCCCGGTCATCTTCGAGGGTCCGCTTTCAGGATGACGTTGATATTGAAACTCGTTCTAATGCTTCTACGTCTTCTCGGCCGATCGGAGAACGCTGGGGTGGTTATGAAATCCCGGAACCGGAGAAGGACCTTGGAAAGGAGGTTCTCTATCAATTCACCCAACAAGCGTTCAACGAACTGCTGAACCCACTTTTCCGAGAGAAGGAAGACAACGCCATGGACGCTTACGCCACTCGTGCTGAGCGACGAACTTTCGCCACCCAAATTGACGAGACACTAGAAGAGTTTAAACGTGAGAAGGATATCAACAGGAGCGTTATCGTTCTCGGTACCTTTCGGTATGCTACTTGGCTGGTAGGATCATTCTGCTCTGGCGATGTCAAGCAGGTCTTACGGCAGATGAGCAGCTCACAACTCAGTAGAGAAGACGTACAAGAAAGAGTTAAGGCGTTGTTCGCCGTTGCGGAGGAAGGCATCGTCAAATTTGCAAAGTCCTGCGACGCCAACTGGGACGACAACTGTGGGCCCGAAGAGCTTCAGTTATGGAACGCAAAGCTATACAGGATGCAGGTTCTGCATGAGCTAACCAGAGCTATATGCTCCTTGGGAGGCCAGTTGGGGTGGCTGCCGTCCTCGGGCCCGGCGACACCAGAGACGCACGCTGAAGCCCCGTTGGGCCCGGCGTCTATTGAAAGCCATCAACCGACGTTCCACCGAGACCCGACAATGCCTCAGTTCCGTCCCAACTCACACGCTGATTTAGAGGCACAGCAGCGTGAAACTACACCAGCTTCTGATGCTGACTCTAATCACGCTTCTTCCGACGAAGCCGAAGATTTCATCAGCGATTTTCGATACTTCGGCCCCATTTTCGTCGTTGCAGCTCAACATGTTTGCGATTCTAAATCGGAAGATAGCGACAGACCAGCTCATGACGCATCCACGGCAGCCCAGGCGGCATCTCAACTCGAGAACCATGTCCATCCAACTGAACCTGCCCAGCCGCCTCCTTTGCCTGTGTCGCCGCCTTTTCTATCCGCGAGCCCCGTTACAAACAACCCTACTATGCACCTCCTCTATATCGACACTGAAACTCTTACGCTCCATATCGAGGCCCGCGCAGTCGACCAGTACCCGTATTCCTTCGGGCCCGAAACCGCGCCGGTCAAGGCGCTTGAATACATGATTCGACGCGAGGGCATGCACAGCAGATCTCCTCTCCATTTGCCTTTCTTAGCGAGCTTGGAGACGGTGGAGGTAGAGATACACGAACGTAAAGGCAGTGGACTGCTGAATTTTGAGGAGTTTGAGGCAGTGGCTTCGGAGGGTCGGCTAAGGTTCTTGGAGAGCTGGATGGACTGGGTTCCCTTTTAGGTTTGTCGTTGGTAAGATTGGTGTGAAGCTCAGGGAGCCTGGCGGACTCCATGGGACCATGTCCGGTGGAACAGAGGCGTTTGGCTTCCGGCCAAAATCTGGAAGCTTGCCAAAGACTGCTGCTGGTACTGCTCAATGGTCGCGGATGGGGCATACCGCTTGTATGCATAATGTATGGAATACCTACCCTATATTACCGTTTTTCTTCCAATACTTCGGCCGCAGCGATGTTGACGCCGGCTTGGGCGCACCTTCCCAATGTCTATTGAGGTCCGAAAACTAGCACATCCTCACCTTCACCGAATTCCCTCTTAGTCAAGAGATCGTAACGGAATTCACCATGACTTGGTCCCGCTCATCACGCCACGAGGGAACAATGCAGATCGGCCTTCTTGCTCTTCTGTTTTTCCTCTACCGCCCCGTTTCGATTCCCAACCGTCCTGCACCCACTTCGTTAACCACTATCGATTTAAGGAGTCCGCCATGAAACTCGCAGTCATCGCCACTTTCATCTCTCTGGTGTCTCATGCCACGGGGAGGGTTGTCGAATATCTGCCGAAGCCCCATGAGGATGCACTGAAGTCCCGTTCGGAGCCTGCAGTTTCCAATGTTTCTCCTCTAGACGCAGTTCCTGGAAACACCACCCTCAATTTCTCTGACGAATCAACGCAATGGCGGAACCCTCCCCCAGTGCCTGCAAATACGGAAACGTGGCGCTGGGCGAGGTGCAAAGGCCAGCGGCTCATCAATATGATGTATTACTCCGACTACGACGCAGGCCTGGAGTTCACGCCGCAACGGAATTCAGCTCAGAGCCCATATGGTTACGGTACGCAAGCCTAGTCACACTCTGACAACAATTGCACCTCGCTAATTCCGTTCTAATAGACGACCTCGAGGACTGGGGCTACGAGGAATATGAAGTCAGCAACAAGGACTACGACTACATCAATCCCCAGTACTCCGGAATCGGACCTGCCCTAAGATCACTGGGCATCAGCGACAAGGCAACGCATGACGGGGGTTTCTGGGAGCCGTGTTGGATTTCCCATGGCAAAATCCCGTTGAATGATGTGCAGACGTACGTCGGGCCTGACGGCTGGACAAGGAGGGTGGGATCTGAGAGCGGCACAACTTCCAAACATAAAACAGCCTGGCTAACCATGCTCTCAGATCACTGGTGCCGCCTTCGAGTTCGACATCAATAACATAGACGGAGGTACATATATCTGCATCTAGAACAGCCCTTGCCTTCATCCCCTACCCACTAACCCCATCCATCCAGCCATAATGACCCTCTCACGCTACTCGCCCCAAACCCGCGCCCGAGACCGCAGACCCCCAGTCCCCGCCACCGAGCTCCCACACCTACAAAGATCCTCCGACATCATCTGGACGCAATGGGAGGAAATCACGCACGCATCGAGCAACCTCAAATGGATCGTCATGGCGCAAATCACAAACGACCAGACGCTGCAGGTCCTCAGGCGCGCCTTGGCCGAGGTCAATCGGGTGCTGCAGCTGTTCCCTGGGACATGGTTCGGCAGCGGTACGGAGCAGTTTCAGGCGATTATGGGTATGCAGTCACTCTCCTGATAGTGAGCTGTAAAGCAGTGAACGCTGATGGAGAGACAGGCACGCCTAACGCTTCAATGGTCGCATGGATCCTTATCCAGCATAAGGCGCAGCTAGGGTTGCGAGCTGCGATCGGCGTGTCAGTGTTCCAGTGCGTCAACGTTAGGAACGATGCTTGCATGATCTTTAGTATCCAGTTGGTGCACCCCAGGGCACGTCCTCCGTCTGGAGCGCTGGCGTTTGCTGAGTCTGTCCTCGAGAATATGGAGCGAAATGTGTCCGAGAAGAATATTATCAGGGAACATACGTTGGGGGCGGTCGCGGTCTGAGCGGGCCTTTGTGCTGTTGCGCACGGGACGAGATGGTGATGTCAAAAGCATCCCGAGCGTATAAGCTTTCCAATCGAACTATAGCAACGCCACTCCGTTTCTTGCGTCAAGCATACCGAGCTGCTATGCCGACCGGAAAGCATCTCTCGTTCTGGCCAGAATTGACAAGGACCCACTCGGACTGTCATCTCTCTAACGCCCTACCGCCTCACTCTGAGCTCCGACAGAAACTGCTCCGTACGCGGTCTGGGAGGAGTCTCTCGGCAGCAAAGGGGGGCGAGAGAGGTTTTTTTGGCAGCAGATGGCTTGCCAACTAGCCAGCCTCCTAACCTCGTCCATCCTAAAAACGCGCTCGTAGTCCGTGTCCACGGGCAACACAATCTAAGCGATGTCCGGCCCCAGCGGCAAGCGCCTTCTTGCCCATACCCATTTGCAACACTTGCGGTAGACTTAAGCGGCACGAGGCACGTAGGCTGCGTGATTGGTTTTACGTCACTGGCAAGCCCCTCCCGAGGTCTGATGCTTCTCGCCAGGACACACCGAGAGCGAGCTGAGAGGCGCGCTTCTCTTGCCTTCTAGACGATAAATATCACATCCACCGGACAGGTGATCAGAGTCAGAGGGAGGAGATCCTTGAAGCGCGGAGGGAGGCTGATACGGGGTTTGACGGAGGATGGGGAGGGGATTGTAGGAGGAAATGTGAGTTAAATGTGTCACATCTTACAGTAGAATTGCAGAGGTTCGATCTATTGAAGAAGGCATGCCCTAACAGATCATGGCGACGTGCCCCGCTCCACCCTCTGCCCGTTATTAGCGAAGTCTTTGCGCACAGCGAGACATTGCCGCCAGCGGTCTCTGGTCTTCCCTTCGAGCGGTGGCATGACCCTGGTGTGTCGAATCCAACCCTCTCCACTCAACTTTTCAACGCCCCGTTCGCAGCTGCATCTCGGATCTCGTCATCCCTCTCAGCTACCAAGCTATTTGTCCGCCCGCGATCCTGCGTGCCTTTCTTTTTCTGACAACATCTTGGCACGGCGAGCACTTTCTTCCCTGTGTATTCTGCCGGATCTACTCGAAACAACAGGAATTTGTTCGCGTATGCGCCTCCGTCGTTGTCTACTTCGATGATATTGATCGAGAGTACTTCTGGATTTGGATCATCGACTGGGACAAGGTAGTCAAATGTGACGCCGTAGTAATCGATGCGGCTTAGGCAATGTTATTAAATAGCCGATTTCGGTAATAGCGGTCTTACTCTAATAGTGGTATTCCCTCTTCTATTACGTAGGCCGTGTACTCATCCCGCACCGCCGGAGCGCAATTATGGCCCTGGTACAGTTTCTCATATGTAAGGCTTGCGAGCTTCTGGCCTCCTAGCTGCGGGAAAGGCCCAATCGGATTCCAGGATACGTTCGGAAGAAGCTTCTGTATGGACTCCAACGGCCCTTGGATATGAATTCTCAGTGGCTTGTCAGGCGGTGGAGGATGACAAAGAGGCGGTTTGTGGTTGCAGGGGTGAATGTAAAGCTCGAGGGCCATAGCAAGTCGGCGTGAGGTCTCAACATAGAGACTGGAAGAATGTTGGAGTTGACTAGAGCGAAATCATTATTGAGTGTAGGTCCGGCATAGATTTGTCGGTAACGAGACGGATTTCCATGTCTTTTGCTGGTTAGCGACCGACGAGAGGATCCTGGTAGATTCTTAAGCACAGCCACAGTTACGAGCCACTCTTAGTCAGCTCTTGCATTGCAGGCTTCGGTGAGCTAGCCTTGGTAGCCGACTGCAACCGTTGAACGACGCGACAGGGGCTCATTCGTGATACGATGCATTGTTATGTTCATCTATTGCACATCAGTCCGCCTTCAAACTTGCGAACGCGCAAGTACCTAGGTATGTTTGACACCTCTATCGAACGGACGAGAAGCTCCCCCCCCTCTAGGCAGACTCCCCGAATCATCACGCTTTCAACGAATCCACGCAGGAAACAATACCAATCCCCCATCTAGAGCGTCCATGCTTCTTTCCAGCCTCTCTCGCCTGGACTCTCTTTGGGCAGCCTGCACAGAGCAGGATCAAGCGAGGCCGTCAGCTCGCCACACCTCAGCTGAGCTTGCGGATCGCAAAAGAACGGCGCACATGTCTTCCAAAGCTCCTGGTATTGGAGGCCACAACTAGTTCTCGACCGAATCACTCCCCCCGTGACTATTGCTCCAGCCTCTCGCTGTCTCTCACAGATATGGGAGATGCCGAAGCTGAAGTTTCAAGCGGACACAGCCGTGCTTCAAACCCCGCATTCGTCTATTTGAACGCCGCATGGCTGGAGACGGTAATGCCAGCGCCGTGTCATTTGTTGAAAGCGGGTCATGAACACAAAGCCCTCAAGAGGGCAGCCGTGAGGGTGGTATGTACAGAACAATGCACTTTTCAGCTGCCAACCTGGCCGAACGATAAATATCAAGCAAAACTTGCTTCCCTCTCCACCTTTTAATCCTTCTTCTTTTCTGTCCTTCCAAACCTCAATATCATAATGCGTGTCCCCAACGCCTTCGCTCTTCTCTGCGCTATCCCTGCCGTCCACGGCTGGGGAGAACTCGGCCACCGCACTGTAGCGTACCTGGCAGAGAAGTACCTTTCCAGTGCAGCCTCAGACTTGGTTGACAATCTGCTCGCAAACAACCGAGGCTGGGATATCTCCGACGGCGCGCTTTGGGCGGATGCTGTTAAGCACAGGCGAGGATACAACCATACTGGAAAATGGCACTATATCGGTATCAATCCACATTCGAACACTGAAAAAGTTCTCCTTTCTAACGGCAGTCACATAGACGCAGCCGACGACCCCCCTCGATACTGCAACGTAAACTACAGGCGCGACTGCAAGCCAGGCCCCGGCTGCATCGTCTCCGCAATCTCAAACTTCGTACATACCTCCCACCTCCCAGTTCCTCCTGCAAAAACCCCACCCTAACAAACGCCAGACCGCCCGCGTCAACGACGCCTCCCTCGCCCAAAAGCAGCAAAAAGAAGCCCTCATGTTCCTCCTCCACTTCATCGGCGACATCCACCAGCCGCTGCACACGGAGCTGCTCGACCGCGGCGGCAACGACATCCACGTCAACTTCTCCAACCGCGTCGAGAACCTGCACGCCGTGTGGGACACGCACATCGCGCACAAGATGCGCGGGCTCAAGGCGAAGGAAGGAGACGACGCGGTGTTGAAGGAGGCTGCGGCCGTCTGGGCCGAGGAGCTGTACGCTGCTAATGAAGCGACGGTCGCGGTCGCCGAGTGCAGGGATGTCAGCACGGCGGAGAAGTGCGCGCTTGAGTGGGCGGAGGAGGGGAATGCTTGGATCTGCGATAATGTGCTCAAGCCGGGGGTGGAGTGGCTGAAGGATAGGAGGAACGACCTTGCGGGGGAGTACTTTGATGACGCGGTTCCGGTTGTTGATGAGCTTGTGGCGAAGGCGGGGTTGAGGCTTGGGGCTTGGTTGAATGCTTTGGCTGCGGGGAGAGAGTGTGCTGGGTTTGTGGTTCAAGAGGGTGAGCGGATTGAGATTTGACACTGAGGGAGGGACGAATGATTTTCTTTCGGAGCGGCTAGAAAAACGGGACTGTCTTTTGCTAGTTAGAGATCTATTAGGTACAGCGCTCGTGCAACGTTCTATGTTTAAACGACAGCTAATGCTAACGAGAAACGACGACTTTCGCCCGACTCCTCCTGACATAGCAGTTACAAATTCAGACGCTACCCCAGCCCCCTAAGCGGCACCTCGGTACCCTCACCCCTCAATAACCTCGAAAATGGTCCCCTCTTCCTCTTCAGTTCGTCGAAAGACCCTTGCTCAACTACCCTCCCCTTATCTAGCATGATGACATGCTCCGCAATCGCCATCATCTCCCTCGCGTGCGTGATAATGATCACGGTCATATCCCTCCGCTGCGCCGCTGCACCAACCCTGGCTGAAGGTCCTTCACCCGCGTCGTCACGTTTCGATTCAGTGACTAGTCGCTGGATCGTGTCGCGGATGATACTAGCGGATTCGACATCCAGCGCACTCGTTGCCTCATCCAGGATCAAGATGTCAGGATCGCGGACGAGCGCTCGAGCTATGGCGATGCGTTGGGCTTGCCCGCCAGAAAGGCCCGTACCTCCTTCGCCCACGGCAGTATGGTACCCTTGCGGAAGACTGTCGATGAAGTCAGCGACGCCGGCTGCGGAAGCGGCTGCGCAGATTTTGGCGGATTTGGTAAGCTGAGAGGATGGCGATAGGCCATATGTGATGTTTTCCGCAATAGTGCCTGGGAACAGCACAGGGGTTTGAGACACGATCGCTATGCGGGAGCGGAGGGTATAGGTATGCAGTTTCTTGATATCTTGACCAGATATAGTCAGGTCGGGGCTGGTATCTAATGCCGGATTGTCGGTTTGATACAGCTTCAGGAGCAAGGCGGCGATAGTAGACTTTCCGGAACCGGAGGTGCCCACGATGGCAGTGCAGCTTCCGCGTGCGATGCTGAAGCTGACTTTGTGGAGAACAGGATGTTCTTCCCGTGTTGGATAGGTGAAGTTCAGGTCTTTGAGTGCAATTTCGCCAGCGTTAAAGAGCTGTTGCGTGCCAACAAGCTCATGAGAATCCAAGGGAAGATGTGCAAGACGCATAAGGCGCGATCCAGCATCTCTCGAAACATTGATCTGCGGAATGTAGTTGCCGAGCCAGCTGACGTGCGCCACGCTTAGCATAAGGATGTTAAACGCCATGATGATCTGAGTGGGCGTATATTCCAGTTTTGAAATCATGTAGGAACCCCACCAGAAGAGCAACGCGGAGACGAAAATAGTGCCGGAGTAGTTGAGACCAAATATGGAGCCGGTGTATATCGCTCGTTTCATGCCTACCTTAAGCGCGCCCGCAGTTGCTTCGTTATACTTTGCGCGGAATACCTCTTCCAGGACGAGACAGCGGACCGTCCTGATGTTGACGAAGGTCTCGTGCAAGACTTGTCCCACTTGCTCGTCAGCTTCGTTCGAGAACCTCTCCCAGCGGCTGCTAATGGCATTGTAGATTCTTGTGATAGCAAACAGGATTGGACCGCATGCGAGAGCCACAATGGTGAGCCTCCAGCAGTGGACGAAGCTCCACACGACAGCAATGGCGATCATGGCTACAACGGTAATAGCAATCCCGGTGAAGCGTCCAGGAAGATTGCGAGCCTCCTCCGCGAATTGATCCAAGCATTCAGCTAAGCGTGAGACGCTGTTTTCTTCCCGATCGAAGAACTCGCGCGGTTGCATGAGGATATGCCTCATGGACTCCAACTTGAGCGCGTTGGCCCATGTCTGGGCGCTAATGTCGAACAGAGCGTTGAAGCCATAGGTCGCCAGGCCGTCGGCGATGGCAATGCCGAGTATCGTTAGGGCATATATCTGAGCTTGTTGCTGTTGGCGACCTGCAGTGTAGAAAGTGGCTAACAGACGGGAGAAGACGTAGGCAAAAGCTGGGGTCGCCCCTGCGTGAATGATGGCACATATACACGCGACGACTAGACCTAGACGAGAAGGCCAGCCGACTCGTGGCGAAACGGAGCCAAGTATATGCATTATGGAAAGAGTCTTTACGGCGGGCGTGGGTTCCTCGGATGCTAGTTGACGTTTCTTACGTATTTCCATCTTGGCCCAGAACGTTTTGCGGAATGAGGGGCCCTTTTCCGTCTCTACGTGGTTCGGAAATCTTCCTGGCGTGAATGAGATGGGTCGTAGGGTAGAGATATCTTGAATTGAAGAGCAATGCGAGGCCACTGAAAGCGGTCGGAGCCTTGCAGCCATCCTTTTCTCCTCAAACGCCTTCTCTTCAAGTGTGCCTGGAGCTGACGCTGGCAGTGCTGGAGGCATCGTAGCGCGACGTGATGTGAGATCCACCTCAGATGAAGCTGCCGAGGGCCTCCTAGAAGACGGCGGCATGAAAGACTGCCGGGGACTCAAAAAGGGCGACAGAAAAGACTCCCTAAAGAAGATAGCAGAAGAGGGGCGGCCTGGCAGACTAGGGATGCCCCATGAGTCAGCGTACAGCGACATTATATCGCCCGTCTCGTCTACTGGAGATACTTCGAGGTTCGCATCATCCAATTCAGGCAAGTTGAGGAAGGTTCGAAAAGCAGAGTCCCTTTCGGCCTCTAAGACTCTTCGAGTGCCCTTTTCGAGTACCTCTGCTTGGTCCATGACATAAACGAAGTCGTCCGGCAAAATCTGGGATGTGTCGTGAGTGATGATGATAGTCGTCTTGCCTTTTCGCCAAGCACGGATGGCGTCGAGAATAGCAACTCTCGTGATATAGTCAAGAGCACTTGTTGATTCGTCCAGGATCAAGACTGGTGTATTTCGCAGCCGGGCTCGAGCGAGGGCCATCCTTTGTTTCTGCCCGCCACTCAAACTGCTGCCCTTCAGCCCCATCTGAGTGTCGAAACCATTTGGGAGGTCTCTAATCATCTGCTGGAGAATGGCAAACTCTACAGCTTCTTGGATCGCGAGAAGGCTGACGTTGTCGCCTTTCTTTCCGAGGGTGATGTTGCGTCGAATGGTCTCGTTGAATAGCACACTATGTTGTTCGACAAGTGTGATCTGCTCACGAAGCCATCGAACATCTAGCTGTTCGAGCGGAACGTCATCGAGACGAATTGCACCGGAAGAAGGTTGGTAGAACCGCACAAGTAGTTGACCCAACGTACTCTTTCCGGATCCGCTTCTACCGATTACAAAAGTAGTCTGGCCAGCAGCAATCGACATCGAAATATCGCGCAAAGCAGTCTGGTCCGGCTGTGATGGGTACGAGAAGGACACCTGTTATGTTAGCACCGTGTACTCCCGACGGGAGCCAATCAACCCACTTCTCTGAACTCAATGTCCCCGGCGCATCGCTCGGGTCGCTGCTGACCTCCAGTTTCGTTGTTGGTATCAGTTCGGGATATCTGCGTCACTAACGCTCTCAACCTAGCTGCAGCCACCCGGCCCTTCTGAAGGACAATGAATTGTGGCAAGAACCCAGTGATGCCTTGGACGGCCATTAATGCAGCCCAGAAGGTAGTAACAACCTGCCCAGCATTCCTATCACCGGTTTGGACCAGATGACTGCCGTACCAAAACCCTTGGACGAATATGCTGAGTGTGATGAACTGCATGAAGCCGAGCTGTCCGGACCGAAGACTGGCCTGGCGGTTGTAGAGACCCCCAGCGCGAGCGATGATATTTGTGTACCTCTGGAGCTCGAATCGTTCGCCGTTGAAGCTTTTTACCTGCTCAATGTTGTGAATGACGTTGGTGATGTATTTCAGAGCTTGTTGAAGTTTGTTGGATTGCTCATGGGCGCTCTTCGACAGTAGTCCGGATAGGTACGCCATGACGACATATACAAGCGGGACCGAGGCAATGGTGACTAGGGTGAGATTCCATGAAAAGTAGAAGGCGACGCCCAACGAACCGATGGCCTGAATGAAGCATTGGACAGCCTCTCCGAGCGGTTGAGACACTGACATCTGTAGGTCTCGGATCTGCCTGCGAATACTTAGTCTTGTTCCCCTAGTCATAGTATCAGACGCTCGCTTACATCTGAACAGCAGGGAGGAACGCCGCCACACCAGTCTCCCTCGTATCGTACCAAGCCATGTTTTTCCAGAGCAGCGTGTTGAAAATCCTGTTCCTTGCACTCCGTGCCTGGAGCTCACCGAATGTCAAGAACGTTATGAAGTATATGCTGTTGGCGAGCCAATTGAGTGCCGCAAACGCCGTCAAGTATAGGCAATATCTCGAGGAGTTTTGAAGCATGACAGCCGCGCTTATCGTTCCTGCACCGAAGTCCGCAAATTGTCGAAAGATGAGACCGTACACAACGGCGATGGCGGGGAGTGTAAGAGCGGCAACGAGGGCGGCCACGAGGCCTACGGAAAGCGTTGGAAGATGGGCCGTCGTCGTGAAACCGAAAAGGGCTTTCCAACCCAACTGCTGAATGATTTCTTGCTCTTCATCTTCTTCGGTGCTCATCTTTTCTTGCTCGTCGGTGCGATTTGAAGCAGAAGACGTCGCCATGGTACCGGCCAAGCGAGTCAAAAGTACGTGCGGAGCGGGAAAAGACAAAACGGTGGCTGCTAAGAAAGTAGGAAAATATGATGTGCCCTGATGGCGGAGGTTGGAGGATTTCTAAAAGCGGACTAGTTTTGTTCATTCCACGCGACGACTTTGTTCGCCCTTAATATTGTTCGCAACCACGGGCGCAACTGTTCCCATTCACTCGCTTCTCCATTGCATATGACTGAAGATGGAAATTCCTGAGCCCATGCCGTTGAGCAGTAATTTTGGCTGGCGCTCGTTTTTGCAGTCGTGGATTCGCGCCAAAGCAAGTTGCTTGCAAGCGACGAGTTAGAAGATTACGCAGAGCAGCCACCAGTCGCCATCCTACCACGCGGCTTCTCCTCAATGTCTACTATGAGTACCTACTCACTATCATTGCACTTTTCGGGAGACACGGATTGTCGGACGGATGTATGCGGGTGAAGCGGGCCATCCTCGTCATGGGACAAAGAACCAAGTCGTGGGGGATGAGGCCAGCTCAAGTGTCGAGTGGCATCGTACGATTGATCATTGACCAGGAAGCTGTCGCGTGTGTAATACCTTTCCATGACCCTTCTAGAAAGCGGGCGTGCTCGCTTATTTGACGGAGTGGCTACTTGTCCTCCGAGTGTGCCTTTTCATAGATCCAGTCGTTCAGGCCTTCGCGGTTCCTGCGTTTGTTAGACGGAGCCACCGGGTTCCACAGACAAGCAACTTACCGAGCAATCTCAATGGCGTAGAACTGCATGCGCACCGCAAATATTGTCTCCTTCTCGCCGTACTCGGTCTTTGGGTTCGCCCTAAGCATTGCCCCGAAGTTGTAGTCCTCCACTTTCTTCTCGTATTCGCCGATGAACTTGCGCCATCGTTCCTTTCCCACCTTGCTCTTCATATCGTCTTCGTTGATGGTGGCCGAGGCATCGAACTCGGGGAACTCCTTCTTAAAGTGCTCGTAGATGTCGTCGTCGAATTTGGTGAGGCGAAGTTGCGAGCCGCGGACTTTCTCCAGGATGTTCCAGTACGTCTCCATGTGCTGCACCACTGATGACGCTTGTCAGCAAATGAAGAGCTGTAGTCGATCGACTTATGACCTACCTTTGACGGCAAACTGCTTCTCGATCTACGTACTGGTTAGCTATGCGTCCTGGAGCTGCAAAGGGGGTAACTTACATCCTCGAAGTTGTCCGCGTGCTCTGGGTCTAAGTTTGCGCCTGCTGGTCCGAGCGACATTTTGCTGATTTGGCAGTGATTCTTCGCGTTGATTAGAGTAGCTTTGAGTAGGGAGGATCGAAATGTATCAGAGATGCGCGCGCGAAGAGGACAAATTTATGAATGTTGAGGTTCAGGACGCGCCGTCCTCGCCCCGCTAAATTTTTCCCCGCGCTGACTCAACACCAAATTTCTATCACCACCGAGAGCCTTCCAGTTCCATCTCCAATGTCCTCGACGCTTCATGTTAGTACTCCACAGAGCTCAATGAGTCTCGCTCACTAGATTAGCATGAATGCACTCGCGTCCCGATAACGGCTCTTTCCTGCTGCGGACCCTTTCTTATCGCCGCAGAGGGTCCGCTCTTGCGGCTCTATCGCCGCCAAGACTTCCAGTCTGTTGCGTCCAAACAAGTCTTCAAGGCTCAAGCTATACACGGCATATCCGTTACCGCCGAGTGCTCTCATCATGTGATTCTTGTCATCTGGGGAGGCCGGCTTGTTCGTGCCCTTCAGTTTGATGCACGATTAGGCGATGATGAGGATGCTCTCCTTGACACGGCATCATTCTCCAGTACCTTGCAAGCGCCTGACTGGATACTTAACCTATGCCCGGCTCCAAATGGCCATATGCAGACCATGAGGGGCGAAACAAGAACATGTGCAGCTGTAACAGCCCACAATGCGCTTGTAGAGCTGACCATCGGAAGCGGGTCTGGAAAGAATGTCTGCGGAAGGTAAGGCGCTACATCCTAACTCAGCCACGCTCTTCTATATCCATTCTATTACCTCAAGCATTAGCCTAGATACACGGATCCATACTTATCTCTGACAGTGCGCCGTCCATTTCATTCCGTGAGCTTGCGCCACGCTCGCGCTCCATCCTGTACTCTGCGCATTTGCTCTGGGACTCGCCAGACCGCATCTTAGTCGCTGCAGGTACCGCTTTCGGAGAGATCATTTACTGGTCATGGACTCGGTACGCGGATAGAGGGTCTGATTCTCTTATTCATCGCGTCTTCCTCGGTCACGAAGGATCCATATTTGGGGTACAAATCTCTCAGCCGCTGAAGTTCGGTTCTGATACGGGATGCAAACGCCTTCTTTCGAGCTGCAGTGATGACCGCACCATCCGTATCTGGGACGTCTCCGACGTTGACGCCACCGTCGACGGGAGCAGCGCCTTGGACGAGGACATTGAAGGGCAGAGAACGCGACACACTGGCTTCAGCAACGCTTCGTTCGACTCTGATATCTCCAGCTCTGATTGTTTGGCCATTGGTTGGGGTCACATATCCCGTGTTTGGGCAGTCCGATTTCTCGACATCTCGCCTTCGGCTACAGGGATCTATCTTCTGTCTTCTGGAGAAGACGCAACGTCGCGCATCTGGCGGCTCAATATCGGCGATGATCAAACTCCAAGCGGGATATCGCTACCTCAAAAGCTTGCACAGCTGGACTGCGTCGCACACCACAGCGGCAAGAACATCTGGGCAACAACTATCCGCTCTCCTGCATCAAGCCCTCAGCAGGTACTTTGTGGCGCGGCTGATAGCAAGATCACCTGTCATACGCTTGCTGTTTCTCTTAACCTACAGCAGAGCAGATCCGGGCCTGTTCTATGCGAGTATACAGTGGAAGCAATATCACGAATGGCCCAGAGTTGCTCCGACGCCGCGATTTCAGAAAGCGAAGGCCTCTCACACAAGTCTTCTAAGATGGCAGAATTCTTTCGAAGCTATGCTTTCGTCGACGACTCGTCTTTCCTGGTGACTACCAATTCTGGCAAGGTCTATCTCGAGCGTCTTTCACCATGGTCTACCTCAAGCGCGCTAGGCATCATTTCCAGCTCCGAACTTATCGAGGAAACACCCGACTTGACAGGCTACTCTGTCTGTATCGGTGAATCGTCTCTCGGAGTAGCCTTTGTTGCTAGCTCCCGGGGGAGCATTTATTCTTATCGGAGAAATGCACCACGTTGGTCCAAGATACATGTTGCCAATGGTAAGGTCGGAGACATGTTTGTTGCGAAGAGTACCGACGCTTCAGAAGTCGAGACCCTAATACTGCTCCTTACCCTGGTCGGGCAGAACGTAGCTCAGCTCCTTACTATCTCCGTACTGCAAAACGAGACTCCAATGGTCTTAAAGGCTGTTGTTGTTCCGATTTCCGAACTGTTGACCGGCATTGCTATCACAAGTATGACGCATTTCGCGCACAGTCCTCAAGACGAGTACCTCTTACTTGGTTTTCGTCGAGGATCAGTAGCGGCTTACCGCATTCCCACGAAGAAGACTGAGACCGTCGACCAAAACACGCACCAGGCTTCCTTGTTTAGGATTATCGAAAGAGCGCACGGCAAAGAGGCTGTCACTTCCGTCAAGTGGGTCCCGTCAGGCTCGAAACCATCGTCAGGGTATTTGCTCTCGGTCGGAAGAGACAGTTGTATTGCCATTCACTCGTTCCACTTGGCTGCGAACTCTGTATGCCTGGTCCACAATGTTACACTCCCTATAGGACCCAACGTTGAAGGTCTCTATTTCCATAAGGGTCACCTCTTGGTGTACGGATTTTCCAGCAAGAAATTCGTTCTCTACGACACCACCACTGAAGAAGAGGTAATGAGCGTCGACACTGGAGGTGCGCACCGAAGCTGGACTTTTCAACCTCAATCGACCGGAGAGGGCGGAGGTGCACTAGTCTGGACGCGAGCATCTAGCATGCACATCTATGGCCAGGCTGGTTCGAATCACAAAGTGGTACGCTCAGGCGGACATGGGCGGGAGATCAAGGCTGTGGCAGCGTCGTCAACCATTGTCGATGGTGCGTCAAAACAGTTGATTGCTACTGGAGCGGAGGACACCGACATCAGGATCTTTGAGTATGAGAACGGCGATCTCCTATGCCGAAGCACACTCCGAAAGCACACTACTGGCATTCAACATCTGCAGTGGTCAGATAAAGGTGACTACCTCTTCAGCAGCGGCGGTTGCGAAGAGTTCTACATCTGGAGAATACGCGGTTTTCCCGCTGAGATTGGGGGCATCGGCATAGTCTGTGAATTCACACACCCACCTGAGAGCGAGCACTCTGATGTTCGGATCATGTCATTCGATGTCTGGCAGCGGGGCTCGAGTTTCGTGATTGCTATGGTGAGTTCAGACTCAAACATCATGGTAAGTGTAAAAGCCAGCTCGTGCGATCCCAATGAGATTAACACAGCGCAGGTCTACAGCTACGACCCCGAGGCTGCTTCGAAGTGGCTCACATTAGCCAAAGGTGTTTATTTCACCCCCTGTCTCACCCAAAGCGTGTTCATTTCCTCTGACGACATTCTCACTGCTGGCACCGACGGACACGCAGTTCTCTGGTCTCTCCCACCAGCCATTCAGCGTCCGCACGCGAGCACTCCTCGCCCCCTAGAGATTCTCACATGGAAACAACCGGTGCGCATCCACCAGAATACCTCGAAGGACATGGTTTCCCACCCAATCGATAGCGAAATCACTCTCATAGTGTCTGCAGGCGACGATGGCAGTCTCGCTTTCCTGCTCGCTACTTCCTCACCCTCATGCGCGGCTTCCACCCCGACCCCAGCAGAGACGTCCTTCACCTGCCCCCCAACAATCGCGAATCGCGCGCATGCCTCAGCTGTCACAGCATGCGCTATTCTACCTCACGCATCCCGCATCCTCATACTCTCTTCCGGCAACGATCAATGGGTGCGGCTATGGGAGGTTGTTCCGCATCTCGCTAGCGCCTCGACAGATAGCAAAGTGCTCACGCGCCCTGATGATGACCCGCTGGAGCTCAGACGAAGGGGGAAGATCAAGACCAACGTCGCTGACGTATCTAGCATGGCTGTGCTGGGAAGCATGGAGAACGGGATAGCGAGGGTGTTGATATGTGGCGTCGGGATGGAAGTTGTGAGGGTAGAGCTGGGTTGAGGAAGGGGCAGCTCGGAGGATGTGCTATGATAGATAATACGAGCGCTTTCGTCTTGGAGTCATTGCATATAGTGATTGACAAAGGACGGATGGATACGTGCATTGATCGCATTGCGGGAAGCGCATCTGGAAATGCTGCGGTGTGGAAGCATTGCTGCATTGCCTAATTTTGCGGCGAAAGCAATGCGATTATTGTTTTGATCTTGTTTGTGTTTTCTTTCTTCTTCAGTTAGGCAGCAGCTTCAAGATGTGGTTCTGATGGTGCATGAAATCATAGAAAATGTAGGCTTGAACGCTGAGTAGTGGCCGAGGAGGGCGCGATGTCCTGGAACGCGGTGGTTGGGTGCCGGCTGGCGTTGCCCGGCCAACCGAGCGCCAAGGCGTTGAGTAAGCAGCGCCCGCACTGACAACATAGCAGGTGTTCCGAGTCGCGCTTCCCTTCTTCCCTCTTACCACCCACTCTCACACATCCGACCCCGCAATTGACGATTCCACACCGACCCTCAATTCAGCACCTCAATCGCACCCTCACCATGGTTGCGACACGCTCCGGCGCGAAGAAGGCCCCGGAGGTCGCTGCCACCACGCTCAAGGCGCCGCCCAAGCGGGCCGGCAAGAGGAAGGCCGTCGAGGAAGCTGCAGAGCCGCCACCGAAGGCAACCAAGACCAGCAAGGCCAGCAAGACCAGCAAGGCCACCGCGACCGAGGCGAAAGCGAAGAAGCCCGCGACAAAGGCCAAGACCAAGGCAGCTGCCCCGAAGCCTGCTGCCGCGAGGTCCACTAGACGCACTGCGAAGTCGGAGCCGGAGACACAGCCAGAGCCCGAGCCCGAGCCAGAATCGACGGTAGACAATGAGCCGAAGGCGCCCAAGAGGACAGCTCGTGGCCGCAAGACTGCAGCTGCTCCTGCCGCCGATACAGCCGAGGTCGCCAGAGTGATCGAGGAACCTGCTCCCCAGCAGCGTGCCGCCGCCATCGCCTCAGAGGAGCCCGCCAAACCGGCCACCCGCTCGCGCAGGGCCCCGGCCAGGCAGACTGCCCTGAGGGCACCCAGCAAGGCGCTTGCAACCACCGCTCTCGACACCTCCACTACGACCACTCGCGCCACACGTGCCCGGCGTGCTGCTCCTGTTGCAGAGTCCCCTCTCAAGGCGCCCGCCCGCAAGCCGCTGAGGAAGACGACTGAGTCTGCAGCCGCATTGGCCATCCAGGAGGCTCTTGGCGAGTTACCGGCAGAATACCCCAAGACGCCAGCTCACATCGCTGCATCATTGTCTACCCGGCAGGGCTTCAATGCCTTGCCTGCCGGTTACCCTGAGACACCAGCTCACATCGCCGCACCATTATCCACCCGGGCAGCCCTTAACGAGCTGCCGGACTACCCAAAGACCCCGGCTCACATCGTTGCGCCAATAAGCACTCGGGAGGCACTTGATGCGTTGCCCGCCGAGTACCCGAAGACGCCAGCTCATATCGTTGCGCCATTAAGCAACCGAAAGGCTCTCAATGAGCTGCCCGCTGATTACCCGAAGACACCAGCTCATATCACCGCGCCATTGTCCACCCGGGAGGCCCTCAACGAGTTGCCAGACTACCCCAAGACACCAAGCCACATTGCCAAGGCATTATGGGCCCAGAAAGCCCTCAATGAGCTGCCCGCAGATTCCCAGCAGATGCCAGCTCACATCACGGCACCGTTGAGCCTCCGAGAGGCCCTTGATGAGTTACCAGACCACCCAAAAACGCCAGCCCAAAATGCTGCACCATTGACCCCCCAGGAGGGCTTCAATGCCTTGCCTGCCGGTTACCCCGAAACTCCAGCTTACATCCAAGCGCCCCAAAATATGGAGGCTGCTGTCCAGGGCGCCGTGAACACTCCTATCAATGAACCAAAGAAGCTCGGCCCATTGGACATCCCCGGTCTCCAGGATATCTCATTTGAGTACGCTCAGGTTGAGGATATTGAGCAAGGCTACATGGATATCGACACCGATGAAACAACTATTTCTGATAGTTCTCCTCCCCTTGCTGGAACACCGTTCGCCAGCTTCAGCCCTAGGAACAATATCACGCTTGCTGCACCCGAAGTCCCTAGCCTTCCGGCACCCGGTTCTGTTTCTCCGACCAAGAGATCTGCACTCCGCTCCCCGTTGAAGCTAGACTCTAAAACCCCGAAGAAGACTGTCACTTGGAATGACGAGTCTGAGAGCGAATTCCTCCTGTATGATGGACCACTCCGAGGCATGACGTTCTTCGTCGATGTCACCTCCAATAGCAAGAACCAGAGTTACCTCTTCACCACCCTGCTCGAAGACATGGGCGCGCAAGTCCTTCCGGACTGGAACGAGCACTCAGTCTTGAGCCATGTTCTCTTCAAGGACGGAAGTAGATCGACTCTTGACAAAGTAGTCGCTTCTAATGGTGCTGTGAAGTGCGTTAATGTTGGATGGCTCTTGGATTCCGAGAAGAACAAGATCCGTATGGACGAGACTCCTTATCTGGTCGACGCTGCGACGGCCAAGACACTTCCTACCCCACCTCGGGTTTTCAGGAGGGCTCCGTTCACGCCAGCCAAGTCTCCTTCACGATACATTCTCCCTCCGAGCTCGAGCTCTATCAAAAGCCTACCCACGACTCCCACTAGCTCCGAGTTTGAACGCTCTATGACTGAGGATGAGGACAAGGAGAACTCAGCAATCGGCATCTTCTTCAAGGATCAGATGCCCTCTTGCATGAAGACTGCTCAACCGAAGAGAACTTGGCTCATGAACAAGTCTCCGATCAAGACCCCCTCAAAGCCGGACTTCCTGGCCAAAAACCCAATGAAGGCCCTTTCGACCACTAAGAAGCGACCAGCCACGTTCGGAGCCATCGAGATGGCGCCACCGAAGAAGTTGAGGTTCATGTGAATGATATCGAACACCTCCATACTGTAATATGCATTAGCGATGGATTGAAGGGTGGATTTCACGCTGAGCGCGTCTGTTTTTTGGGGGTGGTTTGTTTTCTTCCTCTGAAATAGTCGATGTGGCGTTGAGGCCATCAGGGCTGCGCTTTACCTGGGGTTTGTTGTTGGCGGCGTCTACGGTACTGAAGGCCTCTGGGCTGTGGTTTACATCGGGGTTGTTTTCTATGGCGTACACGGCGCTGGGGGTTTCCGGCCTATGATTTGCATTGTGTGGTTTGGGCATGAGATACCCGTTCGCTACTGGTGGGATTGGCTGGCGGGTTCGGCGTTTGCGTAGTTTTCTGTGCTTTTTGACGCACGCTGTACAAATGATTAGGCAACGAAAATTGAATTATGATTGAATTGAGCTGTTTCAACCATGCAGTAATAGCTAAAGTACTTTAATTTTAGTATACTCTCCAAGGAACTTGCTCGTGCTGTTGCCCAATAGGTGTTGGTCTTGGCGGCGGGCCACGCTCCACGTCATCGACTCATCGCGAAGATAGCGCGAAGTCACAAGGCAGCACTTCCTTCGCTCCTCCATGCCCACATAATCGCTTCGACGACTTTCTAACCGCACTATCGATGATTCCAACACACGAGGAACAGCCATGGGTGTCACCGGCCTGTGGACCGTCCTCCAGCCCTGCGCGCGCCCCATCAAGATCGAAACGCTGAACAAGAAGCGGCTCGCCGTCGATGCATCTATCTGGATATACCAGTTTCTCAAGGCGGTCCGCGACAAAGAAGGCAATGCGTTGCGGAACAGTCACATCGTTGGCTTCTTCCGCCGAATATGCAAGCTCCTCTTCTTCGGCATCAAGCCCGTCTTCGTCTTCGACGGTGGCGCACCGGCGCTCAAGCGGCAGACCATCAGCAACCGCAAGTCGCGGCGAGAGGGGCGCAGAGAGGATGCCGTGCGCACGGCTGGGAAGCTACTAGCGCTGCAGATGCAGCGTGTTGCCGAGGAGGAGGAGAGGAAGAGGAAAGAAGCAGCGAGACACCCGCGCGAGGAGCCTGAGGAGGAGATACCAGAGAATGTGGTGTATGCGGAGGAGACTCTGCAGACGCCGCAGGAGCGCGCACAGAACCGGAGGTTCAAGAAGAAGGACCAATACCATCTGCCTGACCTTGGGGGCTCGCTGGCGGAAATGGGAGGCCCGAATGATCCCAGGATCATGTCGCTCGAAGAGCTGGAGGAATATGCGCGGCAGTTTGATCGAGGCGAGGATATCAATGTCTACGACTTCTCCAAGATCGACTTCGACAGTGCCTTCTTTACGAGCCTGCCCGCGTCCGATCGGTACAATATCCTGAACGCAGCGCGGCTCAGAAGTCGGCTTAGGATGGGCTATTCTAAGGACCAGCTGGATACCATGTTCCCGGACAGGATGGCATTCTCGAAGTTCCAAATCGAGCGAGTCCGCGAACGCAACGAGCTTACGCAGCGCCTGATGAACATCAACGGCATGAACGACGACTTGACGTTCGGAGCACATGGCACAAACCGCGTCGCGGGTGAGAAGGGAAGAGAATACGTGCTCGTCAAGAACGATGGCGTCGAAGGTGGATGGGCTCTAGGAGTTGTGACAAACAAGGACGAGGGAAAGGCCGACAAGCCTATCGATGTGGATCGTCTGCCGCGCCCTGACGCAGAAGAAGACGAGGAATGGGAAGATGATGATGAATTTGAAGATGTGCCAGTCGAAGGCTTGAATAGGCTGCCGAAGCCGAAGCCCAGGCCGACTGCCCTTGACAGAGAAGGGCGGGACTTTATTTCGAAAGAGTTGGCCAAGCGGCGCCAGAAGTTCTACGAATCGAGGAAAGAGAAATCTTCGACAACCAAAGCGCGAAAGCCGGTGGTGGTGAGTCGGGACCCGGATTCGCTCTTTCTGGCAGAGGATGAGGATGAGGGATGGGAGAACGTGCCGATGGAAGGCCATGATGATCTCTTTGAAGAGCCAAGAGAGGGCAACGCTGATGAGGAAGAGGAACAGCTTCAGCAGGCCATCGCTCTGTCACTACAGGAGGATGGTCAAGATGAAGAGTCAGAAGAAGACGTCTACCGCGAGGTCTTCCAACAAGAGCGAGCAAAAGAGACCAATCCATTCGGCCCAGCCAAAGGGTCTGGACTAGCGATTGCGCGGATGGCTAACCAACAAAGCAGCAAGTTAGCCACTACTGGGCCTTTCGACGGTAGCGATAGCGAAGAGGATGATATGGACTTGCAAGCGGCATTGGCTGAGTCAAGGAAGTCGAAACGAGCTCCAACGGCTAGAAGTGCAGCACCAAGGACACCTCTTAGAGGCTCTGCACCTGCCACTAAACCCGCGCCCAAGTCCACAAACGCACCCGGCTTCGACGGCCCTCTACCGTTCGAGAAGTTAAACTTGGGCAACTCCATCCTGGGCAGGAAGAAAATGCAGAAGATCGAACAGGAAAATGCAGGTGGCTTCGAAAAGAATCTAGGCACCCAGAAGAACAAGACTAGTGAGTCATTACCGCCATGGTTCAGTGGTGAACGCGACCTTCAACAGGAGCTCAGCGCGCAACGAGAGGAAGAGAAGCAAGATTGGGAGCGAGCACGGAAGGAAGACGAAGCACAATTCCAGTTCCAAGAGCTTCCGCGCTTGCGCAAACACGACACAAGGGAAGTCATTGATCTGGAAGCACCTGCTTCGCAGCAGAAGACTAAAGAAATCGTCACAGTTGATTCGGATAATGACGATGATGAGGCGATGGAAGATGTTAACCTAGAAGATACGAAGCTCCGTATGGGAGATCTTGCCGATAAAGTTCGCGCAGAGCCGCCTCAACCGTTGTCGAATGGTCAGAAGTCGCCACCACGGCAGGATGTGAGGTTGACTGCGAAAGCTCCGTTTGCGCATGACTCCGATGATGAACTGATCGAATGGTCTGCAAGCGAGCCGGAGGACGAGCGACCACCTCGCGCAGGTTCGAAGCTGGCGGAACAGGCAAAAAGAGCACCTTTACCAGAGCCGAAATCTCCTTCGCCTGAATTCGAGGATGTCCCCATGCAGACGGGATTAGGCTGTGCTGCAGAGAAAGCAAAATCACCGTCTCCGGAGTTCGAAGATGTGCCAATGGATACTGAGCCGCCAGCTCGTCCTCGACGGGAGCCATCTCCAGGAATCCTAGAAGGGCCTGCGGACCTGGAGGTTCCCATTGTACCTCACAGTGGCCTGGCGGACGACAACGCCCCTCTCGACATACTAGACAACGAGTCAGATCAATACTCCGACCCCGAAGACGCCGACCTCTTCGCCTCACTAGCTGCAGAAGCTGAAGAGCACGCTCGCTTCGCCCAAGAACTCAACAACAACACCACCGCTCGAATCAACTTCGACGAAGAGCTCAAGCAACTCCGCGCCCAGCAAAAGAAAGACCGCCGCGACGCCGACGAAGTTACCCAGACCATGATCTCAGAATGCCAGCACCTCCTCACCCTCTTCGGCCTCCCTTACATCACCGCACCCATGGAAGCAGAAGCCCAATGCGCCGAGCTCGTCCACCTCGGCCTTGTCGACGGCATCGTAACAGACGACTCAGACACGTTCCTCTTCGGCGGCACCCGTGTCTACAAGAACATGTTCAACGCGGCCAAATTCGTGGAATGCTACCTCGCCAACGACCTCACCTCCGAATTCGCACTCACCCGCGAGAAACTCATCGCCGTCGCGCAGCTGCTCGGCTCCGACTACACGCCCGGCATCCCAGGCATCGGGCCCGTCACCGCGCTCGAAATCCTCTCCGAGTTCCCAGACCTGAACGACTTCAGCGAATGGTGGGCCGGCGTGCAAAACGGCACCATCTCCAAAGACGCAGATAAATCCTCCCAATTCCGCCGCCGCTTCCGCCGCTCCCAAGCCACAAAGCTCTTTCTCCCCACCACCTTCCCCGACCCCCGCGTCGCAGAAGCGTATCTCCACCCAGACGTAGACTCGGATCCGGAGCCGTTTCAGTGGGGCGTGCCCGATCTCGCGGCGCTCAGGACTTTCCTCTCCACGCAGATTGGCTGGAGCTGGGAGAGGACGGATGAGGTCCTCGTCCCGGTTATCAAGGATATGAATCGCAGGGAGAAGGAGGGTACGCAGAGCAATATTACGAGGTTTTTTGAGGGCGGCGTGGGGGCCGGCGCGTTTGCGCCGCGGATTAGGGGCGAGCAGGGTGCTGGTGGTGGTCGTGGTGGGGGTTTGTTGGGCATGAAGAAGGGAAGGAAAGTAGCGGGGAAGAGGTTGGGGGCTGCGTTGGAGAGGTTGGCGGAGAGGGACAGGGTGGGTAGAGGGGATGCACACGCGGAGGAGGATGGAGAGGGTGGTGATGAGGGTGCGGAGCCGGCTGAGGCTGAGGTCGAATCTACCGATGGCGCGAATAAAAGGAGGAGAAGACGTGCGAAGAAAGCAGCTGCAGCGCCTGAAGACGACGACGAGGTAGACGAGCTCTACGCAGATCCGGAGCCAAGGAAGAAGAAAGCTAGGAAATCAAAGAAGACGATATAGCATAGTTATTGTAGCTGAACGCACTGGCGGCTCATGAAATATCAGTACTTCTTAGCACCATCCTTTCCGCATATAGGACCCATGCATTCCTCTCGTCTCATTCCGACCAAGCAGTACTCCTTTTGAGTCCTCATCACCGCGCAAGTTCAAAGAAGACAAGATATCATCATCATCATAGCAATAGTAATGATAATTGCTCCCTGGAAGCCGCCTCTTCCTCCTCCTCTTAGACCCGGTAGGTTAGGACCTTGACGAGAACGACCTGTTGTAATCCCGCACCCACGGTCTCAATGCCGCTCCATTTACGATTATGAATAAAAACAACCCCGCCCACGCTACGCTACCCCTCTCATGAAGAGGGTTCCCTACCCATGCTCCCCTCCCAGTCGGCGAGCGGGGAGGGGAGCTACGGCCAACCCAAGTAAGAACAGATCCGATTGATCTTTTGCATATTGCCATAGGCATGACCGGAAAAAAAGGGAAAGAAAAAGTTGCTGCCGCTTGAGGTAGACCCGAACGCCGGGCAAAGAGAACCGTGCCTAGAATCTAATAGTAATCGAGTCGCGAACACATCACTAGATAACCGTATTGCTCCTCGCTAGCCCACCGCCTCGCAAACCTCGAGGTCCCTAGCCCAGATAATTTGGCGCGTGCTGCTGCTGCTGCTGTTGCTGCTGCTGCCCAGGTCGAGGAAACACACTCATTGTCGGCACTTGGTCGACACTCATGCCGCCTAACATTCCCTGATTTCCGGTATTCTGCCATCCTTGCCCCGTTTGCTGGTTTACGAATGCGCTTTGACGGAAAGGATTCGTGCTACCGGTAGCATGCACGGTGAGACCGCCTTGCGGTGAAGGCGTGTGCTGGATGGGCGACGGATTGCGTGCGAAGGGATTGGTGCCTGTGGGTGCTGGTTGGAGCGATTGTTGTTGCATTTGTTGCGGTTGAGGCGCGAATGGTGAGGACGACTGTGGGGTTTGGATGGAAGGTACGGAAAATGGCGATGAGCTAGAAGGGGACTGGGAGGGTTGGAAGCTGATGTTGTGTTTTGCGAAAGGGTTGGTGGGTGATCGACCGAGAGGAGAAGTTACGCCCGTAGGGTTACCGAGTAACTTCGGCTCAGCAACACCAGTCGCATTGGGAGGCAACATAGACTGCCGGAAGGGGTTGGTTGATGTTTGCTGCGGCTGTAGAGGTTCGGCAATTGTGGGAAGTTGCTGTGTTGGTGGTTGTGAGAAGTTAGGGACGCCATTCTGGGGTATCGGGGCGAGTGTGTTTTGGGGACTAAAAGGTTGCGACGTGTAGCCGCCAAAGCCAGCTCCGGTAAATTGGGTCTGAAGTTGCTGTGGCTGCGGCTGTTGCGGCTGTTGCATTTGAGACTGCTGCATGTGAGCGAACGGATTCGTTGATTGTCCGCTTTGGGGGCTGAAGGGCTGCTGAGGCTGGGCAAACCCCATGCTCGTTGCCTGTTGCGGAATTTGTAGTGGCGGTTGCTGGTATCCTGTCTGCTGCTGCTGGAAACCTGGCTGTTGTTGCTGGAAACCCGGCTGTTGCTGGAAACCTGGCTGTTGCTGCTGGAAACCCGTCTGCTGAGGATATTGCTGGATCTGTGGCTGGGCCATTGTCTGCTGATTATCATTAATCGATTCGAAAAAGTCGATGAGCGGTAAGCTGACAGCTGGTTTAGCGGGCGCCGGTGGCTGGCTCGTTGATGCGGTGGTAGGTTTCGAGTCTGACAGTAGCTTGCTGGTACCGTTCGTTGCTTTTCCGCCGGCCTTCTTCGCCTCTTTCTCAGCCAGGTACTGTCTCCTATTGATCTCAAAGTCTTTGTCATTCAGATACTCCTCTAGTGCATGAGCCAGACTAGTCGGTGCGTGCTTGATTTTCGGGATTTCCAGCCTCGTCGAATGCTCATGTAACCGAGCGACGCTCAGATACTGGACCACCACTTCGGTCTGCTTCACGAAGGTCCGGTAGATGTTGAGGGCTCGCTGCGCGTCCGGCTTGGAGAGCTCAAAGTAGTGTTCTGGATGGTCAGTCCCGCAGCCTCTTGTGACTCAACGATGATCTTACCAAGCACATTGATGGTGCCCTCATTCATGACGTGGAAGAGCACGAGCAAATCCATGGTGAGCAGTCGGAAAGCCGTGAGTGTTATCTCGTTCTCCGGCTCATCCTGGAATGGCTGGTACCAAAAATGTCAATCGGCGTCAAACGAACGTTATCGTGTCTCGTACCTCGCATTTCAGCAGATATCGTATCTGCTCCTGTACGCTTTCTGTCTCTCGAAGCAGGCCTTTTTCGATGCTCAGCCGCTTAAGCCTGCCCTCGCCACCCCGTACATAGTCCACCCTCGTTGTGCCATACTCTACCGCTCGTCGGAGAAGGTACTCAGCGTATGTCTGTATGTTGTGCCCTTGCGTCTGAACTGTTGCGAGCAGTCAGCATGTTATCCCTCTTCACATATTCTACGGACGAGATTTCCTGGCTCCTGGGTTACAAGCTGGATCGCAGGTATTATGTCCTCCACAATCCCCTTCTATGCACCACCATATCCCCGCGGTCTGGTGCGCCCTTCCGCACGGAAAAGAGACCCTCACACATACCCTCAGTAAAGTGATTGATGGCCAGTCTCCGGTGTGGACTCTGCGCCAAATACTTGAGCGTCACCTCGGGCTCGCCCTCTCTTATCATCAAATGCACGATGATCAGGCTCTTGAAGACAATGGTCCATGTCGAGTCGCGCAGCCGGTTCGTCAGGGCTCGGAAGATCTCGGCGACGCCCGCCTCGCCCGCGTGCGTAGCGACGAGTATGTGTTCGACATATTTGGACTTGGGAGCTGCGAGCTGTGATGTTCTTGTTAGCTTTAGTGGATATGGGCTGGGCGTAGTCGCAAATGGCAGGAATGGTGCGATCTCGAGACCAGGACTCACCTTGATCTTCGTCGCACCCTTCACCGACTTCTCAAAGGAGCTCGCCATGGGTCGTTTAGGGGTGCGGTCGGTGGTGCCCGCGCGGGTGGCCCAGTGTTTCTCGATAGTGTTTCGCAGCCAGGGCGTCAGGGAGCTCGACTTGGACTGCCGCTATCGCAGCATAGCGGTGAGGCAGCAGTGGAAAGAATAGTAGTAGCAATGCGCGCGTCCGACTGGTGAGAGAAAGGCGAACAAGGGGTGCTGCGGTCAACGTGAAGATGTTCCGGGCTGCTTCCGGGATGATTGAATGAGGTGTGCTATGGCGCATGCTGGCACGTCGGCGCCGAGCTAGCGGGAGCGGCGATGACGACGGCCAGGGCGGGCGCGCGCTGGGCTCACCCCCCGTTGGAGCAAACATTTCTCGAAACACCGCCCTTTCTTGCCAACGCATCGCGAACACAGCACCAGTCCGCCATGTCCACCTCGCCCACCCCGTCAGAGCGCGAGCGGGCCGACGCAGAGGCCAAGGCAAAAGAGGAAGCCGAGCAGGCCGCCCTGCCGTACAAATGGACACAGACCACCAAGGACCTCGATGTCACAATCCCAATCGATGCGCAGTACAAGGGCCGCGATCTCGATGTGAAGATTGCGAAGACGCATCTGAAGGTCGCCATCAAAGGCCAAGATCCCATCATTGACGTACGTTTCTCTCCAACACCTAGACAGCAGCTGGGAGAGCTTCAGGGACTGATATCTATTCCAGGGCGACCTCCCCCACCCCATCCACGTCGACGAGTCCACCTGGACGCTCGAAACTGTCCCTGGCGGCAAGGAGATTAGTGTGCACCTCGACAAGGTGAACCAGATGGAGTGGTGGGCACACGTCGTAACGGGCGCACCAAAGATCGATACCTCCAAGATCCAACCCGAGAACAGCAAGCTGAGCGAGCTCGATGGCGAGACGCGCACCATGGTCGAAAAGATGATGTACGATCAGCGGCAGAAGGAAATGGGCAAGCCGACAAGCGACGAGCAGAAGAAGATGGAGCTGCTGGAGAAGTTCAAGGCACAGCATCCGGAGATGGATTTCTCGAATGCGAAGCTTGGTTGAGCAGCATAGTTCATGGTGAAGGATTCTACGGCATATCGAGGTACGTGGATACTAAAAGTCAAAAGTTGCGACGAAAAGAATCAGTCTCTCAGAGCATATCATGAGACGGGACTCTCCGTGGCTATTCCTTCTGAACGGGTTACGCAACAGTTACACGCCGTATGGCTTGGGCGGGGCGTTCGAGCCGTCGTCTACTACAAACGGCTTCCGGTAGCTCAGTTAGTCCTCCTTATCCTTTAGAGGATATACTCAAAGGAGGATCGCGGTAGCGACAAAAGCTTGGGCTTCCTCGCGCTGAAGCAGGCGAGGTCGTGGAAGACCCAAATTACCTTTTCGCTTGGTTCCTCTTCATTCCTCTTCATTCCTCTTCATTCCTCTTCATTCCTCTTCATTCCTCTGTCATATCATTCTTTTTTTCCTAATTTTCACTACCATGAACGTCTACGTCTCAATCTTGAGTGTACCACATGCATCACCTCCACTGTCACTAGCCCCGATGAATTCCACCGGCCTGTGGCGGTGGACCCTTCTGAGAGTCTCTGCCTGCACGGTAAGCTCTTCTCCTGAACAAAGTCCTTCTTAAATCCGAGGATTTCTAAGTTGTGGCAAGATCCTTGAGGCAAATCTTGCGATACTGCTCCCAGCAAGTGGCTCCACTGTCAGCCTAACGCGATCTTTTCGGAGGCAAAACTCTCCCCAATGGGAGTTGTGATAGGCTATATGCGGAAAGCGTGTCAAGCTTTTGCACTGACGTGAGACGTTTGGGTCGGGACGCTAGGCTGTGTGCAACAATCCCTCCACATGGGATGCACAACTTCACACCCACTTCAAGACTGCGACCCCATCTCGAGCCTGTACAGCCTCCACTGCCGCGAGTTGCGACTCCACGGGGGTATCGATCAGGCTCTGGACCCCGCCAGCCGCAAACCTTCAGTCTCTGCTGATGTATCCAGTCTAAGGCAACACACGTTAGACGAAATGGGCCCTCCTGTAGAGCACACCGTCTGCTACTCTATGGCCGAACAGAGGGAAAACAATAGAGTTTCCTCTTTTCAGGCGATGGGTCATAGGAGCCGCATGACTTGAACGAGCGTCGTCATCAGCAACCTCCAAATGAAACCGTCGACTCTGCCACAGGGCACCTCCACGAAAAGTCGAGAACATGCCCGCGCGCAAAGGCGCATTTCGACAGGCACCGAGACAGCTCCCTGACCGATGCTCCAAATGGTCCGTCGCGGCCCTCCGAAAAAGTTGCAAATACCATCTTTTCGGCCCCCAACCAGCATTATTCATCACTGCCTTACAGTGGCGAGCACCACCCTCAGCTTGCATGACCCCTCCACCGCCATGGACACCTCCCCGCGCGCCCGTCACGAGCGAGCGCCGCCGCCCGAACTCCTGCCTGCGGCTCCTGTCAGGCACCCGAATGCGTCCATGCGGTGAGATGGTTCACGCGCGCGGAGGCGGCCGGAGCCAATAGCAGCGCCCCATGATGTGCACCAGCCACATCGCATGGCCACAGTGGCTGCGCATTGGCCGCCCACCACCACGAGCTCGGGTTCCTGCGCGTGCGAGGCGCAGGACGGAGGAATGACGATGTGGGTGGTTTTTGGAACAAGGTGGTCTCTTTGTAAGAAGGCAAGTGAAACATGGGTGTGGACAGAGTATATAGGTTCCTTGTGGTCACGACACTGGATTCCTTTCTACTCTTTCATATCCAGCTACCAGTTTGGGTCCTCTTTTCATCCTACATACTTCTACACACTCTCGTCGACTACCAGAAAGAGCCGCATACCGCTTAGGCCGACCAATCACACCACAAAAAATCACACCCCTAACCACAATGTCCTTCGTCCGCTACCACCACTCGCACTCCCGCGAGCGCAACAACGACGACGACCCTTTCTACACTGCGCGCCCCCTCGTCCGCCGCAACTCTAAGCGCCAGCGCCTCGACATCTACGACGACGATGAGTACGACGACTACCCCTACTCGTCGTCCCATCGCCCAGCCAAGCCGTCCCGCGCCCTAACCATCCGCAACCAGCCCTCCCAGCTCGAAAAATACAACGTCTGGTCCAGCCCTTCCACCTCACACGACTATTCACCCCGTCGTCGCGCCGACGACGATGAGGACGACGACGACTACGCAGGCAGCCGCTACAAATACACAGTCAAGCGGTACACCACCCGGCCCTCACACTCGGATGACGAAGACGAGCGCGAGAGGGAGTTCCGGCTCAAAGTCAAGGCGACGTTTGGTCGGCCCAAGTCGTCGCACTCCTCTTCGCACAGGGCGACGGCTTGGTCGGGCGATCTGTTCCGGCGGCGCGAGAAGTGGGAGGACGAGGACTACGAGAGCAGGGACAGGGAGCGCGGGGATGCGTTTTGGGATGAGGAGAGGGAGAGGGAGAGGACGGTGCGATATCGCCGGATTAAGAGGACGAAGACCGAGGAGTGGAAGCCATTGAGTGGGTGGAGGAGGGTGTGAGCGGGTTTCCCTTTTTGGCTTTCTCTTTCTTTCTTTTCGACTATTTTTTTTTGGGTAGGCGTGGGACGTGGAGGATAGACTGATTCACGTGGGATGGATGCCTAGACTGCTTCTTCGATGGCTTGATTTTCGGCGCTGGGGATGGGAGATCGGGGATGGCGTTCCGGTACCGAATGGGGTTTCGCTCTGCTCTGTTCGTTGGTGTTTCGTTAGGAAGGCATGTCGAAGCTAGATACCCACAGAAGCAGTAACGAATGTATGATGTGTATGAGTAGGAGAAGCAAATTCCAAGGAACCACGACGTTGATTGCTGTGATGATGATCAGAGTGTCGCCTCAACAGTATGCATTCATGGTGGTATCTTGCCTCAACGACGTTCCAGATCGTCTACCGCATCCCATCGCCTTTTTCATGCGACCTACAACTTCACAGCCCCACCCTTAATTCTCTCCAGATGCTCCCCTGTAAACCGCTCATACGTCTCCCTCCGCTCGTCTAACCAAAACAGCGCATCGCCACACCCCTCCACCCGCTCGACTTCAATCCCATCCCGCTGGAACAAATGCTTCTGCTGCTTATTCGTGCCCGTCGTATGCATCTGCCGCGTGACTCTCAACCAGACTGGGACCGCAAAGCTCGGTAGTCCGTTTCTGAGATGCTCAGCGAGCGATTTGAGCATGTGCGGATGCGGCAGCGGCAAGTCGTCCTTCGCCTTCTGCTTGAGCACGACAGCCGCACATCCCGCGCGCCCATCATGATGCGGCACGGACACGCCGTACACATTCGCTTCCTCCACAGCGTCATGCTTACCCAGGACGTCCGCGACCTCGGCTGTCGACACATTCTCCGCTTTCCAGCGAAATGTATCCCCAATGCGATCCACAAACCACCATCGGCCCTCTCTATCCCAACGTACAAGGTCCCCACTCCTGAAATACGCATCCCCCTTCGACCTTACATCTCTTAGAATCTTCTCTGTCGTCGCGCTGTCGTTGCCGAAGTAGCCCTGGAATTTCTCCTGGATGTTGGAGGGGTCGAGTTTGTAGAGGAGTTCACCAGGTTCGTTCCAGTCGGCGATTTGGCAGAGGCCGGTGGTGGGATGGCGTAACGGAGAGGGAGGTGAGGAATTAGGATCCAGTCGAACGACTGCGAGGGTGTGGCCCATAGCTAGTTCGGCGATGGTTCCGTTGCGGCCGAAGGCGCCGGCGCTGAAGGAGTTTGTGGATTTGTTGAACATGCCTGAGGGGGATTCGGTGGCGGAGTAGAATTCGTAGATGGTGTTGATGCCGAAGCGCTCTTTGAATGGCTCCCAGACGTCCGGCCGGAGGCCATTACCGAAGGCTGCTCGCACATTGTGTTTTTTGTCGAGCGGGGAGGACGGCGCAGAGAGGAGGTAGCGGCATGTCTCGCCAACGTATTGAATGATGGTAGCTTTGGATGCGCAGACTTCGGGCCAGAATGTGTGATGACTGAAGTGCTTACTGATGCAGATTGCGCTGCCGGCGTGGAGTGTTGCGCATACGCCTAGGACGGAAGCTGCTGAGTGGTAGAGCGGCATGGGTGTGTATATGACGTCCGTCTTCTTGAGTGGTATCCAACAGTAGATAAAGCGGGCACCAAGGTTGGCTTTGCCCCAGCTCATGACTGCGGCTTTGGGAAGGCCTGTGGTACCAGAGGTGTAGATGAGCATACCCATGTTGTGCTTCTTCTGGTTGCCACGTTCGGAGTTGGGCTGGCGAACCGGTTTGAGAGATAAGATGTAGTTTTCCAGCCGTTTATCGAAGAAGACGATCTCCAACGTCTGGCGCTGAGGTTCCGATGCTCTCTCTGAAGCCTTCTCTCTAGACGACGGCATCCGGCTATGTCTCTGCACATTCCTCGGAATCTGGCTCGGGTCACTCTCAAACCCATACTTCGCCTGCGTCCCCTCCGGCACTCCCGCATCGCTCGGCCTAGGCACAAACCCATGCTCCTCCATGGCCCTCTCGTCAAACTTCCGCCTTCCATTCTCATCCACCAACACCAGTCTCGCACTCGATGCCCTGATCGAATGAACCAGCGGCATCCCCGTCAAATTGTAATTGATAAACGCGGGTTTCGCACCAATACTCCACAAGCCGAACCACACCCAGATAAACACCTCCGAGTTCACAAAGTCCATTGCGATGATCTCGTCTTTCTGGACGCCCTTGCTCTTCAGCCATGTTCCGTATTTCAGGACGATTTCGTATGCTTCGGCGTAGGTCCAGCTTTCGCCGGCGTGGAGTATCCAGGGCCGGTGCCGGTTGGAGGATTGCGCGTGAGACTCGAGCGTGTAGAAGAGGTTGATGTCGTCGCGTCGCTCGTGGAGGATGCCGTTTATGCTGGCGGAGAGGAAGGAGGAGAGGAGCGAGTAGTCGTAGGTGAAGGCATGTCGGCCATTAAGGTATGCGAGGCCGGCGAGGGCTGGGAGAGCGTAGGGGAGAGCTGCTGTAGAGGTGCAGTTAGCGGGGAGCGTCCACGACAATGGAGTAGGCTTACCTTGCATGGTGGAAATGTGATATCTGGATAAAAGGCAAATAAAAGGAAGGAAATCGGGGCATCATCGAAATCTAGCAGAACAGGGGAATATAAACATGGCGTGGAGGGGTGCTCGCTGCGCGCGAGTGATGGTTCGAAGCATGACATTTGATACGAATTGGACCGAGGCAAGTACGGATGGCACATGGTCCGTGCGTCCATGCTACACCAAAGACCACCTTGAGTGCTCGCTCTCTTTTCCTCTTTCGCGCTTCCCCTCATTCTCATATCCTGGACCGATTGATCGCCGTTGAATGCTTTCAATTCACTTTCCGCAATTGGCATAGGCCCTCCGCAGCTCTACACATACGGGTACTGTACAATCTAGGAAGACTAACGCCCAGAGATGCCAATAAGAAAATGATACTGGGCTGAGGGGGACATGGTACATAAGACAGTAAGACAGCTCTAGAAATGAAGATGCCAACCTCTTCACTCTTCCAATCGCAGGTGATACGTACTCAACTGCTCCTCAGTCATGCGGTTCGGAGCCTTGACCAGGGGATCTTCTCCGCTCCCACTCTTCGGGAAGGCAATGACGTCTCTTACACTCTCTGCTTTCATCAAAACCGTCATAAGTCTGTCCCATCCCAGGGCGATACCCGCGTGTGGCGGACACCCTGAGCGCAAGACATCAAGTAGATGCCTAAAGTCCTCAATGCGCTCGGGCTTCATCTTCAGCACGTCGCGGAAGATGAATTCTTGCACCTCGGCGTTGTGGATACGGCGACTTCCACCTCCTAGTTCCACGCCGTTGACCACGATGTCGTAGTGTGCAGCAATGGCTTTTTCGGGAGCTGTGAGAAGGAGCTCCACGTCTTCTGCAGTTTTAGGCGCCGTGAACGGGTGGTGGGTCGAAGAGAGACCAGCGGCGCCACCTTGTCCGGGGTCCGTGTCGTTCGAAGGCGAAAAGAGCGGGAAATCTGTTATCCAGAGGAACTTGAACTGGTTGGGCCCTGGTGCGTTGATAAGACCTTGGGCTATGGCCGCTTTGTACAAGGCAAGACGTAAGTTTCCTAGCATGGTAGAGCCACCGGAAAAGGGTTCGTTCTTGCGCGCTTGCAGGATGAGGAGCTCGCCGTGATCGACGGCGACTTCTTGAGGGCACTCCATAGAGAAGGCATGGCCAAGTGAGCCGAGACCTTGGAGGGGCTGCGATGCATCGCCTATAAAGACCGCCGGCTGGCCGTCGGGGTTGGTGAGGTAGGGTTTTCCGTCTGGGCTGTCCAGAAAGTCGGAGATGAACTTACGCGTTGCTTTGGGGTCCTGAGAGATGGTCATCTTGAATGCGTCGACTACTGGATCCTGCAGAGGGGTGATCTTGCTTATCAGATCGTGGGGTAGGTATTCAGTGATGGAATGTAGCTGTCCGGCTTTAGTGTCTGAACTTCCGAGAGAGCAATCTAGGTTTACCTTTGGAGTAAAGCGCATATCCGGCTTGTCTGAGCCATACGAAGCCATCGCTTCTTGGTAAGTCATCCTTGGGAAGTGCGGCGGCAACCTCACGTCCAGTAGCTTGTTCCACAGCTCCATGACCAAAGCTTCAACCCCTGCCATAATCTCTTCTTCCCCGGCAAACGACATTTCCATATCGAGCTGTCACAGAAATCAGCCAATACGCCTCATCCCATATAAGAGCGTCTTACTTGTGTAAACTCAGGCTGGCGATCAGCCCTCAGATCCTCATCCCGAAAGCATCTCGCAAATTGAAAGTACTTGGTGAACCCAGACGCCATCAGAATTTGCTTGTACTGCTGCGGACTCTGCGGCAGCGCATACGCCAGGCCCTTGTTCCGTGTCGGTACCAAGAACTCTCGTGCGCCTTCTGGCGTCGATTTGAACAAAATAGGCGTCTCAACTTCTTTCCATTCTAGTATGCCCAGCTTTGTCCTTGCTCTTTGCATGGCGGTATGCCGCATAATAAGGTTGGCCCGTAAATCCCAGCTTGTGCGAAGCTGTAGGTGCCGCTGTTCAGGGCCAAACACTGTCTCCTCTTTGATAATAACATCGGAAGGAATCTCGTTCAACGGTTGTATCCATTTCAACGCAATTTCTCGCTGCTCGATGAATCTCGGACCTGGGACTGTGCTTTCTGGAGGTGGCTCCCGCTCCTTTACTGTCCCCTTGATGAGCACGGGCGTCCAGTCTCGCAGGCTGCGCAATCGCACGTGGGCTTCCGATTCCCCGACTCCGTCACTAGCGGATGAGACGAGCTGAATGCGCTTCGTTTGATTCTTGCTTCGGAGTACGGCGAAGGACAGCTTTTTGGTCACATCGCGGCGCGTCTCTAGATACCCGCACAGGGTGATCTCTTTACCGGGCGGCGCTTTGTTCAGTTCTGCTCCGAGATTATTCAATCCATTCCAAAGGGATGGGCGTGCTGGGTTAAGTCAGTTCGAGATCGTTTGAGTATTAGCTAGGGAGTATTTACTTGTCTCTTTGAATTCCTGGAGTGCTTTCTGCAGCTTCTCATCCGGCTCAATTCGGACTCCCCTGGCAGCTGAGCTGGCAAAGAAGCGCACTGCATTGCGAGCGCATGTTGTAACGCTGGGCGTGATCCCGTGATGGCGTGTTCGAACAAAACGCGATATTTCGGCGTAGGAGCTTCGCAGACACGAATTCCGGCTCGCTACGTGCTGCGAAGCATGTCTCAGGCTCATTATTGGTCCAGAATGCTCTCTTTACTCCAATTGATGAATTCGTGCCGAAATGCACCCCTAATCCAGCGTCCCGAAAACCTCGACCTATGCCAAGCCACCCGCTGACTAACGCCGTCCAAGCTCCCGCACCATTCCATAAATTCTCGCCAGCCCGCCAAACTTTTGCTCCTCATCCTTCCAGTTTAAAACAAGTAAGCCACCCGCGCCTCAAACCCCCTTCAAGTCCCCATGCTAACAGAAGTACTGCAGATGATGAAAGCCTAGTGTGCAGCAGATGAGCTGTCCTCCACTTCAGCCCTCGAACTCTCCCTTCACCGGGCTTAAGTGGTTCGGCGTGTAGTCGTGGAGGCAGCATGATATCTGCGTCCGGCACCCTCCTTGTTACATTACGGACGCTTGGACGGCATCTCTGATTACGAAACTGGCAAGGTGTCCTTGAGACAGGTCAATCAATTCGGTTGCGAACGCGGTACGATTCGGTCGGTTCGATTCGATTCGATGCGTCCCGTAGAGAAGGGAACACGGCGAGCGGACGATGTACATATTGCGATGCAACGAATACAATGAATGATGTCTTCTATCGGCCTGCTTGGGTGTTATGTTGAGGTTGACTCCGCTTTCACGACCTTGTCGGCAGGATTGTCAGGTTGGCATAGAGTGATTGAAGCATGGCCGTAGTATCTTCGAATGGTGGCGACGTACCTTTTTGGGGCCCATGGTGAGTATTCAGGATGCATTCGCCGTGATACCTTATGAGAGAGAGCAAGCACACCACCTTCTCTTTCCCAACAAGTCGGCGATAGAGCAATGTATTGACAATCAGTCCTCCTTTCCGCTCATGAAAGCAGGGATGTAAAAGCAGTGCTACACAACATTGAGCAACCACCAAGCCGTGTAAAGAAACATGAATACCAGCCTGAAGCACCTCGTATCCTCCAAACCGTTAATCGCCGACGTCCATGCTGCCACCAGGACCGGTATGCCGTCTCCCGCTCACACCGTCCCACACGACCCTCCTCACGGATCTCTCCGCAATCTCGCCCTTGCAACCCTTGCCCGGATGGGATTCATGATCCTTTCAATAAGCCTGTCAAAGCACCTCATCATCCACATGGTGTATAGCACGTTGAACCCCCAGACGGAGAGCCCATAAGCTATTTGCAACCGCCTGGTTTGGAGGGGCGTCGCAAGAGCGCCGCCAAAGAGTCCGCAGTCAACGATGACCAGAACGACCCAGCCGTGGGGTATATGAAGGCCGGCCATCCTCGACATGGTCAACTTCGGCGACCAGTTGGGTGCGCGGTGCGTGGTTGGCTTGAAGGCGTGGTTCTGGTACACCGTGTTGGGATGAACGGTGGAAGGAGCCGCGCCGAACGCTGTGCTGTCTTGAGTGGCTCGTCTTGTGGAACAGTGTGAGGAGACTGGAGCCGAGCACTGATGCGGAGGTGAAAATGCGATAGTGCTATCGAAAACGGGCCCGAAATGATTTTTCGTAATGATGAGAGCGATGTGATGGTGGTATGAGAAAGGAGAAGAGACGGATAGACGACAGTTGTTGAAGTACATCAGGAACCCGTCGGCACCTTCTGCTTACTCTATTGTACAGGTAATCGCACATGATATACAAACAAACATGTCCTTGCTAATGCCTCACTTCGGCAGTTTCGGTCCTCCGAGCCTTGAACTCCTCCCAGCCAGGGCAGGTGAGGCCCTCAGCTTCGAACTGCTCCTCTGGAACAACGCGGCAGATTTGAATCTTCGACTTCCCAGATCGTAGGACGAGCGCCTTCCAATCGATTAAATAGTGGTTGGGATCGGCAGTATTGATGGAATCCGGAATATGCTTCCATTGTAAGCCGTGTGGGTTGTCGAGAGATCCTGAGTTTGGCACGACCACATAGGCGCCTTTCTTTGAGATGAGCCGTCGGCCTTCGCTCGTAGAGGGGACCAGACCGGCAGCATGCATTACACGTGGGAAGGAGCCCGCCTGGAGAAGAGAAATAGGTAGAGTTACAACATTGTCTGCATCCTTTTTCGAGGGCTCATTCGTGACGCCGCCGATGGCTTGCGAGGTAGATGATGCGGCATAAGCCTTCTTGTACGCGAGGAGTTGCTGCTCCTTTTCGCTCAATGAGGCAGGCTCGTTACCAATGGGGATTTCCTTGTTCGAGACGTCCAATAATGTTTTCCTCAGAGCTCCAAGGGAGAACGTATTGGTGCCATCGCTGAATGCCTCCTTATGCGCTCTTTCCGCCTTTTTCGCGTCTGCCGCCCCGTGAGCAAGTTCGACAATCTCCTTGGCGAGAAGGTGCTGCGCAGCACGTTTGGATTCGTCTTGTCTATGCTGTGCCATGACCACTTCGATCTGGTCAAGAGATAGAAAAGTGAAGAGTTTTAGATAGCGGGAGACATCAGCATCAGAAGTACGTAGGAAGTACTGTCGCGCGTGGTCAGGCTACGGGTCGAGAGAAGCTTAGAGAGACTTACTTGGTATAGGTCGAAAGAGTTCAACATATGCTTATCCAACCAAATGGCATTCCCAGCACTTTTGCCGAATTTCTCGCCAGATGCCGTCGTTAGAAGGGGCGTGGTGAGGCCGAAAGTAGCCATGAAAGGGTCTTCGTCGCAGCGTTCGCTTCCTAGTCCGTGGACCTTTCGCATGTGATTTACCGCATCCATGCCGGCGCAGAGATTTCCATACTGGTCTGAGCCTCCCAACTGTACTTGGACACCTTGGTTTGAGTACATGCTCCACCAGTCATAGGCCTGGAACAGTGGGTAGCAGAACTCGGAAATCGCCATACCTTCGCCGGTCTCCATGCGCAGTTTGACGCTGCCTAATCGTCAACGTTATGGGCCCACATAGTCGGCGTAGCATGTAACTTACGAATCGCGAGCGAGCATAGCGCCTAATCTCATGCCTGACCCCAAATCTCGCATCAGCTCGACAGCGTTGAGCTTTTTTAGCCAGCTCCGATTGTTCAGAAGATCCTTCTTCCGGCTGATATGTTCAGAGAATTTGTGCTTGATTCCCAGGCACTTGACGTTAGTCCAAAGTTTGTCCAACTGCCTCTTTATGCTCTCAATGTTCATAGACTGTATATCAGCGTCTTGGCGCTTACGAGCCGTAGTCCTTCCCGATGGATCTCCGATCTGAACTGTGCCACCACCTAACTATTGAAGATTAATGTGCCGTCGATCGGATGCGGCTTCGAGTGGCTCACCAGCGTGACGGTGTAGTAGCCGTGGAGATACATCCAGTATAGCGCCATCAGGGGCAGGAGATGCCCGACGTGCATGGAGGGTGCTGTAGGGTCTACGCCGACGTATGCTCCGATCCGTTTCCGTGTCAAAAGCCAGTCGAGCGCCTGGCGACCGCTGAGAGGTGTGAGCGCTCGTCTCTTCCAATTGATGAGGCAAACCTCACCCAGCAACATCTTTGACAAAACCTCGCTCATCCAAGATATCTAACATGCTCTTTTGACTACCAGCCCCAATCCTCTGAGCTCGCTGTTCCCATTCCGCAGCTCGCGCGTTCGCATCTGCCTCTTCGCCGGCCCATTGTGTCTTCGTTCGTTGTCCGCGTAGAAGAGCGCGTTGTTTCCGGATACATCGTTGGCAAACGTACGGCCTCGGTCGCGGCAGGTGTCTGAACAGCGACATCGCTGCCCCTGGCGTTGAGATGGAGCTTCGCTGAAGCTTGAGCGGATCGGAAAGTTCGCGGGCCGACCTCTGTTCCGAGAAATTGCCAAGTGTTCGTGGGCTCTGATTGGCTGAAGCTCCCTTGTGTGTGCCAGCCCCCCGAACGCTTCTCCGCACGTCGCCGGTTCCGCTCTTTCATCGCTCCTAACGTTGACTGCAACTGACTTGTAGTGTGAGCCGTCCCAACCCATACTGAAGACATAAGACCTGCTACTTCCCGTACTATACCATTAGTCGTCCCTAGCTCTACATTTACAGTCCATTCCTCGAGTCACAATCGACCCCTAGCAGCACCTCCAATTGAGTTTTGCTTGTCCTCTCCACTACTTCCCACAGACATGTATGCCACATTCATCTGCAACCCTCCTCTCGGGCAGACTACAACAATTCCTCCCAATAAAGCGTCGGTGAGTACCTCTGAAAGTCGTCGCGCCTCTTCAGACCTCCAGGCTGACCTGCGGGGACTAGGTGAGATTCACAGTAATCATCGAGAGCTTAACGGAGAGACCCTGGGACGTCGCGCTCTGGCATAATTTCGTCGACCGCGAGGAGTGGACCAGTTCGAGTCTTAATCCCGTTCAACAGCCGCCCTCCTTGGTACGATGACCCGGAGCCATTTCCACTTTGGCTGACTGTCGAAGATGGTGGTAAAACCTAGTAATTCTAATGTGCATCGCCAATGGTATTCTGTCGAACTGCAGGGGCGTCCGAAACATGCCACCTCTATATCGTTTACTATCGCTTTCCGACGGGGCGAAGACGAGCCCTGGAAGTGGGCGAACGAGCAATTATCCACCTCGGACGGTTGCATCATCTATCAGAAGCCCGAATCCCTTCCCGAAGATCTGTCTCACTATATTGGTGCATTACCTCCGTATCTGCAAATCTCGAAGGAGAAGAGCGATACCCCAGATACATTGCTTTGGGTATGTAGTTTCTCTCTACAGTTGCCGGAACTGTCCTAGCCTCCGAAATCAACTCAACAGATTCAGCGACACATATTCAAAGCCGATACTGCTTCTAACTACCCGCTAGTCCATTGACAGTCCCGTAAATGCTGCATCCGGTAGCGTTTCAGGCTATTCGAACAACAAGCTTGGCAAGCCGACAAATTTCTCGCGATGGTTCGCTCTGGTACGATTGTGGTCGCCTTGGCTTGCGCCCAGACAAGGCAAGGACAGGTTTTGGCCTGATAAAGAGGCTATTCTCGCCGCGTTTGAACGGAAGGACGGCTTTCATCTCGTTATCCTTGCGGTCAGCGGAGTGGACGACGTATTGACTACCCTCCATCATGATGCGGAAGGCAATGTCGTGATTGACTCCCGAAATGACGGTGAGCAGGACGGAACCGCTCTTTTGATTGCCGCCGTCGGCAAGTCTCTGGAGTACGCTATTTCGGCCGCTATGTACTATGCTCGAAAGCTCGTTCTCAAGTACGAGGCATTGACTGGAGAAGCGGCTGCGGAAGAGAAGGCGCTGATGGATGATTATAACCCAGCGTGGTTGGTAAATTGGTACGATGGGCTCTCCTATTGCACCTGGAATGGGCTTGGGCAAAACCTTAACGAGCAGAAGCTGTTCGAAGCTCTGGACTCTTTGGAGAAGAACGAGATCAACGTTTCGAATTTGATCATCGATGATAATTGGCAATCACTTAACCATGAAGGCGGCGACCAGTTTCAGAATGCCTGGATGGAATTTGAGGCTACCAAAGTCGGCTTCCCGCGAGGTCTCAAGGCTGCAGTATCCGACATTCGGAGCAAGCATAAGAACATTCAGCACGTGGCTGTTTGGCATGCTCTGTTCGGCTACTGGGGTGGTATCGCGCCTGAGGGCAAAATTGCGAAGGAGTACAAGACCGTTACCGTACGCAAGAAAGACGGCGTCTCGGGAGGGTCCATGCTGGTAGTCGCTGAAGAAGACGTTGACCGCTTTTATAAGGACTTCTATCAGTTCCTGACTTCGGCCGGAGTTGACTCAGTAAAGACGGATGCCCAATTCTTTGTCGACGAGCTTGATGACGCGAATGATCGCCGGAAACTCATTCGCTCATACCAGGACGCTTGGAACATCAGCCAGCTACGCTTTTTCTCTGGAAAGGCCATCTCTTGCATGTCTCAGACGCCTCAGATCATATTCCATTCCCAGCTTCCATCAAACAAGCCCCGGATATTGCTGCGAAACTCCGACGATTTCTTCCCCGAGGTTCCGGCTTCACATCCGTGGCACATCTTCTGCAATGCGCACAATGCCATCTTCAATCAGTACTTGAACATTCTTCCGGACTGGGATATGTTCCAAACGTCACATGAATGGGCAGCATTCCACGCCGCAGCTCGCTGCGTGTCTGGTGGTCCAATATATATAACGGACGTTCCAGGCAAGCACGATGTCGACTTGATTTTCCAGATGACGGGGAACACGCCGCGAGGGGACACCGTTATTCTCCGACCCCATACAGTAGGCAAGAGTACCTCGGCCTACAACTCATACGATGACACTGTCCTCCTTAAGGTCGCTACATATGTGGGAATGGCTAGGACCGGCGTCAGCATCCTAGGCGTATTTAACTGCACGCAGCACACTATCGCAGAACTCATTGGCCTCGATCAGTTCCCTGGAGCAGAGGAGGGTAGCTACATTATCAGGAGTCACACGAGCGGACACGTCACGAAACCTACCAGTGTTGAGGAAGGCAATGCGTTCGTCCACCTCGAGTTATCCGTTCAAGGATGGGAGATCCTTTCTGCTTTCCCACTGCACCCCTTCAAGCTAGAGCGCCGGCATCCAGCTGAAGGGCCCGCAGAGATCTCCGTCGCGAATCTCGGCCTTTTGGGCAAGATGACCGGAGCTGCTGGAATCGTCAACACCGACAGCTACATCGAAAGGTCATCTGGCCGACTGAGGATCTGGACGTCACTCAAGGTTCTAGGCACTTATGGTAAGCATCTTGATGCATCTCATCACTTCAAATATGGAATATGTGACTAATAACTGCTCAGGGCTCTACGTTTCAGACCTCAAAAAGCGGTCGCTCAAGGATGACTTCATTGCCCTGATATTCGGACGTCCGATTCCCTTCCACTGCGTCAAGATCAATGATGTCTGTGACGACGTTCTCGAAATTGATACCGTAAGGGCATGGAAAGAGACCAATTCGAACGCCGGCTGGAGCAATGAGGTTGCTATCGAGGTGGTGATTCGGTAAAGGCTCTCCTCTTCAGACACTCGAATCGGGATGCATAGGGGAGCAAGTATCCATCTCTAATGTCATTTTACCTAAAAGAAGCGACTCAAACCAAAGTCTCCGTCGTTTTCCGAGTCCGCGAACTTTCCAGTTATTCATTTTAAAGGCTGAAGAATTCCAAGTCATAGTATAGCTCAACCATCCCGCGCGGTTATCTCCTGGCTATTTTCGTTGCAGCTCGAAGCTTCAGCTTTCTAACATCTCCTATCCCGGCCGAGACAATGGACTGAGATTCATCACAATATATAGAGGCAACCTGGCTTTTTTCTGCGCGTTCTCTATATAGTTCTACGCTGCCGGCCGCACCCGTCTCAAGGAGTGCGGGTGCCTGGTCACTAAGTTCTGGAGTGCGTCAGCTAGGCTATCTCATTCTCAGGGCTTCTTGGCTCAGCTTTCACTCGTTCCCCGCCGCCTCCGAAGTACCCGGTGGGGAAGTTGCGAACGTCAGTGAAAGTCTATGAGCGACTGCGCCCTCTACCCCACCGACCGCGGCGCTCATTGATTCACTCTCTTAGCGGTGCCGCTCGAGCTCTTTAAAAACCTTCGCGCGGCCAGCCCGACCTAAACTTCATTGACATTCTCAAAACACAACCCAACTATCAGCCTGCGACAGCCCATTCTACATACAGCTGCAGCTGCACATATCCCAAGCCTCGCCGACGCAATGGCAAACCCACCTCCAGTAGACTGGGCCACTGTGTTCCAGCACCCCCTCTTTCAAGGAATTGGGGGAGGTATTGCGACGACTGTCATTCTTGGCCCATGGCTCTACAACGGAGCCCCGCTACCGGGCTATGGCAAGCTGCTTGCGGGCTCGTCGGATGCTGCCCTCATCGACATCTCAGCGATCCCCTCGCCGAATAGCCCGCCATCGGACATCTTTGGCTATCCAGGCACACTCTGCATGTCGGCCATCAAGCCATCGAACTCCAAGCCGCTGCCGCGCTTCTCGCCGTTTGAGCATGGCGGCGCAACCACCTTCAAACAGGGCTTTGCGCCATTTACTTCCGCGTCCGACGCCGAGATGCCGTCTGTCTCTGGAATGCTGATCGCTCTCCTCCTCATCCTTTTCACCCTCGTTGGATGGCTGCTCTGGCAGAAATTCAAGCGCAACTGGCGACCATGCGTACCCGACAGCATTCTCCTTTCGCATGCCCTAGTCGACAACATCCGGAAGAACCGGGAAATTGAGGAGCTCAAAGACAAGAACAAGGAGGACCTCGACGCTGCGGCCCGTATCACTGCACAACGTATCAGCGAGCATACAGCTGCGTTACGAAAGGCCGATGATGACCATCAGGCGGAAGTCAACTGCCTTATGAAGGAGATGGACGAACAGGTCGCCGGCCATCTTGCCGATGTCAAGGGACTCCAAAAGCAAATACACAAGCGGACCGTGTCGATCAGGGCTAGCTGCCAGAACAAGATCACAGCGATCCAGCGCGAGAAGAATCACGAGATTCTTGTCCTCAAGCACCAGCTGGTAACGGCCAACGACAAGGAAGCAGCTCTCAAGAAGGAGTTGGGGAAGGTCCAGCAAGAACGGGACGCCGCGCAGGATTGGGTGCAGGCTAAGGACAAGGATTACCACAAGCTCGAAGCCTCATCTAAGCAGAATATCGACGAGCTACAGCGCGAGAAAGACGCAACTTTGGAGCACCTCTCGCAGAAGGACTCAGAGCTTGACACCGCCAAAGCCGATGCAAAGTCGCGCAGTGAAGAGCTAGCAAAGGTTCAGCAAGAACGGGACTGCGCTCGGCAAGAGATACATACCAAGGACTGTCGCTATCGCGAGCTCGAAGCCTCATCTGAGCAGAAGATCAAGGAGCTCCAGCAGGAGAAAGACGACGCCTCGAAGGAGCTCACCCAGAAGAATGCGGATCTTACTGCCGCCAACAACGAGGGAACGGCTCTCAGGAAACAGCTTCTCACGACTCGGCAAGAGAGGAACACCGCTCGGGAAGAGGTACGGGCTAAGGATGAAGCCTATCGCAAGCTCGAGGCATCATCGGAGCAGAAGATCGCTGAGGTCCAGAAAGAGAAGAACGAGATTTCTGCGCGAATGGAACAGGAGGCACTTCGCCTTGCTGCCTACCGCAAGCAGAACGAGGACCAACAGCGGGAACTGCGAGACAACCGGACTGCGAAGGACGAAGAGGTCGATGAGCTTCGAAGAGAGTCGGACGACGCATTCAAGAACCTCAGGCGAATGAATGAGGAGCTCACTGCTGCTGAGGCCCGGATTGAGGAGCAGCAAAAGGAATTCCAAGATTACCAGACGGCAAAGGACGATGAACTCAACAAGCTCCGCGACGAGAAGCACACCATCTTAGAGAATCTGAAGCAAAAGAATGCCGAGCTCAACGCCGAGAAAGAACATAATGAGGAACAGCTGCGAGAATTCCGCCAACGCCAGACTGCGAGGGACGAAGAGGTGAATAAGCTCCGGAGAGAGAAGCACTATGCCATGAGAAACCTCGAGAAGAAGGATGAGGAGCTCAACGCTGCTAAAGAGCAGAATGAGCAGCAGACGCTAAGTTTTCGCCAACATGTTACTCTGAGCATCGAGGGCGTCCGGAGGCTACATGACGAGATTGACGACATCCGGAAGACCCTCATGGAGAAGGGGAAGGAGCTTGCTGCCGCTGAAGAGCGGAACGAGCAAGCCATCAAGGACCTCAAGCAGAAGGACGCTGAGCTTACCGCCACTAAAATGCGGAATGAGCAAGACATCGCATGCCTGCAGCAAGAGAGGGATGTCGCGTTAGAGAATCTCAGGCAGAAGGACGCGGGGCTTACCGCTACCAAAGAGCAGGAAACAAGTGGCTGCCGGGACGTGGAGACAGCCATTCAAGAAGAGAAGAGCAATGAAACCGCCAGCCGCAAGGATGAAGACTCTACCACTATCACGAAAGCGAACGCAACCCACAACTCTTGCCTTGTGCCAATACCCATGGCGAATGCTCCCATCGAACCAATTCCAATGAAAGACGTGGAACGACCGCACAGTCCGATTGTGGTAACTAGTCCTCCGTTTCTGCCGCCAGGTGAAGTGTTATACATGTTGGATCACGGCGAGGAGGGGAAACAATGGACAAGTGACCACCAGAAGACTGAGGGAACTGCCGGTCACAAGGATGGCCAGCAGACCATTTCTATGGATAACATGACCCACGAGTCTCGCCTTGCATCAACACCTCCAGCAAATGCGCCCACCGGCCCCAGCAAAAATTCTGATGAGATCAAGCGACACCTCGTGCCTCCTTATCCGTCCGATCCTCGGCCCATGCCATCACCAAATGTCGAGAAGACGAGGACACATGTCAAGTGCTGGTGGTGCCATCAATGGTTCTGGAACAATGCCGCATTCAAGCTTGTTCACTCTCCAGACTGCAAACAGAAGTTTATAGCCGCTAAGCAAGGACATCTGATGCCTCATACATCGCCGGGAGGACAACTCCACATTCCTCTCAACTCCTCGCCGGCTCATTTCTCGGGTCCGACTACCCTCCAGCGCGGCAATAACCCGCATGCCACACCCGCACCCTGGGCGCAGAATGCTCCGCCAAACTTTACGCCTGGGCCTACGATGAACAACCCATTCGGCTACCAGCCTCCCATTTTCGGAGGCCCGGCCACCCCTCCATCGGCACATAACCCCGCTCTGCCAAACTTTGCGCCTATGAACATGACATACACCCCATACGCCTTCCATCCACCCATGGGGAGAGGCCCGACCGCTCCACCGTGGACATACAACAGCTCTCCGCCCACAAACCCCCCATATTCCGGAAGCCACCAGTACACCAACACGCCCTACTCAGGCAAGAATAGGAGGCCCACAAAGAGGCCAGGGCGTGGGATGCTGAAGAAAATCTGTCTCGGTACCATCGCCGACCTCGAAGCGCGGCAGGCCAACGGCGAAGACGTGGACGCCGAGTTGAAGGAGCGTAGGGCCGAGCTTGCCGACCTGGAGGAACAAATACGCAGGGCCGAGGAAATGAAGAAGAGTGAGGGACAGTCAGATGACGCCCCAGGCCATGGTACTCCCAGCGATAGAGGGGATGCTTTGTTCATGCCCGAGACTCCCTCACCAGCATACGGCAATGACCCGCCTAATGGTATGCCCTAGCTCCTTCTCTGCACCCGCCACTGAATAGCCTTGGGTTGTTGGGCATGTACGACACCCCACCGCCATGCCGACGAAGATACCGACGTTGAGTAGATGGGTTGGGTTTTCCTCCGCCTCAGAAAATATATGAGGGAAACAGAAATGCGGGGACTTGATCAGATTATCTTGATCGCCTCTGTAACAAACAACACGAAGAACATGAAGGAGCCGAAGAAAGATGAAAGCTGGGGACTTGAGCAAATCGAAATTGCCCGTTCCTAGTAACATGCAAGGAACTCTGGGGCCTTGGTGCCTGATGATAGAATAGAAAGTGTTTTAATGAAATTAGGCATTTGAGGTATAGAGTTGAATATATGGTACTTGCTTGAGCATTGTTCAAATATAAGCCGCAGCTATGGAATTGAGTTTTCTTTCAGAAGCCTTGCAGGAGAACTCCTTAGGAGCACGTCACTGACAACATCTGTAGCTCTAGCCCTTTCCGTCCATTAGTCCTTCCCCGCTCTCATCGCCCCTACGAGCGCCCAGTATCTCTCCCCTACCGCTCCTCATTGTTCCTGAGCCAGGCTTCTTTGACATGGGGCAGAACTCATCACCCCAGTTGCTGCAAGCTTTGTACCGATGGTGAGAAGTAGTGTCGTGCAGGGCCCACTTGCATTTGCCTTTCACTCAACGTACTTTAGGTTGCGTCTCAGTGAGAGGCATGCCTGCGGATTAGGGGCAGTAGAGCAGATGTGCCTGGTTGTGGACGCCTTTGCGTCTATGTATAGCGAACGTGAACGCAAAATACGGTGTTGAATTCCTCAGCGCAACTCAATCATACCTAGGTACACGTCTGTACTTCGCGAGGAGGATACCCTTTTCCAAATCCAGCGCAGCCCACAGATAACACTCACCGACGATCTCGTACTCGCTCTTGCCCACGCATCTTAATATGAACGGAGTTTTAGCGCCATCGATAGCAGTCACGTGGTGAATATACGCCAAGGAGCCGTGTTGTTCATCCCCAACATTGTAGCTGTAGGTACTGGTACCATTTGCAAACCCAACACTGTAGGTTCCCATAAAGATACACGCGCCGCGTTCGGATCTTATACCGCTTTGTATAAAGGAGATAAGGTCCGGCAGATTATAGTCAGGTACCTCTTCCTCCCTTACGTCCCCCAACGCACAGTCCCTGGAGGCGGTCCATTTATTTTCCTGGTCTATATCATTTTGGAAGGTTTTTCGAAAGAAACGCAAGATCCAGCGGTACTTCTCATCGTTAAGCTTGTTCGCATTTTTGAGGATAGTCCTGTAAAATTTCGCGCTTTCTGGAAGAGTGTACACGCCGAAATCAAGCAGATGAGCGCGGACCTGAAGTCTAGGCGCCATGTACGGATCGATGCCTCTTCCCCTTCGAATCTGAACAGTTGATTTTGGGTCTGAGAATCCATCGTAGAGCTGATCGAATCTTCCGTCGCGAATCGCAAGGGTGATGTCACGTCTCCACGAGCCCTGAAATTGGTCCTCAAATTGTTGAAACGGCAGCAGTTTGCTAGGGGGAAGTGGTCTCCACTCCGGGATCCAAGAAACAGTCCCAGGTTGCGTATGTGGGCCAACGCGGGAGAGTATATCCAGGTTCTGATAATGCACAATGGCAGCCACAGCCACAGTACTAAATACCCAATAAGATTCCTTAGTATAGTTGATAGAGATGAGCTTCCGAAACCTAGGCTCCACAAGGCTGAGAATTGCGTATACTTTATCCCTGGGGTCAGTGCACGAGCAGTGCCTCGTAGCGTCGAGGCAGTTGAGAAGGCTTCCCTTCAATCCGGACAAAGGCTGCAATGGGCCTGGAATCTGTCGACCTTGAGATTGGCAAATAGAATGCAAGCGCTTTAGGACTCTGGCCGAGAGCAACACGCTTGCCTCATTGACAATCAAGACAGCAGTCTTGGCTAATGCAACCTCTTGTATCACCCATACGCGACTGAAGTAACGTAGGCCCAGCAGCTGCCCGAGTTGCCTCCGTAATTTCAAGCAGGGTTCTGGGGACGGCCGTTTGCTTTTGATCCAGTCAACGCATTCTCCATAGTCAAGCCGCGGATCGTGGATACATATAAGAACCATTCTAGCTCTCATATAGATCTGATCCATAAAACCGACTTGGTGATTGCGTTCCTTGATGTTTTCCTAGTTGATCGATATCGAGTCGATCTAGACACGGTGCCGGAGGCCGGGTTTCCTCACTTGTCGAAGTGCTTGCCTCACAGGTCACCGTGACCGGTAAGATAGTGTCGTCGGTGCAATGAACGAGCCTTGATTTACGGCCGTCGCCATCCTCCGTAGCCCACGTATATGATATTGCCGCGTACTCAGGATCGTCTTCCAGATTGACGTGGACGATCTCGCATCGAATAGGGTCTGAAGATTTTCCAGGGAGAATGACAACCAGCCTGATTTCCTGCCCCAGCTCGAAGTTCAGGTTCTTGTATCTGTATTTTCGATCTTCACCGGCGCTGTCGGACTGAATTGACGATGCTGTGGTGTCCGTAGCAGGTGCCTCGAGTATTGCGACGCCGCAGGAAAGGCAACAGCGTACGCCGTCGAACTTCCTGATGTCAGGATGCCGGCAGGATGATGCCAAGTGTGGCATGTTGCTAATGGCATAAAAGGGAAGCGAACTTCCATAATAATTATGACTGAATGTGGCCGGGGCTGTGCAGCCATGCGCAAGGCAGGCATTACCCCACAAGGCTGAGGCACGTCAAAGCTTTTTGAAAGGCACCTATTCGCTGCTACGTGGTCAAATGTGATGCGTCAGTTGTACACCGCATTTCAGCAACTTCACCGATTCAAGAACTTCTGCACTCCACCGCCGGTTCTGGTCCCTGGAAATAGCCAAAGCAAGGGAGTGGCTCTTCAACCACCAATTTCGAGGTCTAATCGGGCGATAATGTAACCACACAAGAAGCGTTTCGCTCCATTCAACAGAGGTTAGATCCTAGTCTCCCTGCGTGTATACTACGTCCCTTCGCTTTCCCAAATACCTTCTCCGTCATCACTTTCCACCTCTGTCCCCGTCCACCCATCGCCATCCCAGCAACTCAATCTCCTCCGTCGCTCGATCTGCTCATCTGTCAACCCACTGTCCTCCCCAAGCTCCTTCATCCGATCCTCCCGAAACCTCTCTAATTCGTCCAAACCCCTATTTATCTGATCTCCATACTTTATCGAGCTGAAGAACTGGCTCTGCTCACCCTCCACTTCCACCCGATCCGCCTTATTGAGCTCCTCTGCGTACGAAGGCTGCGGAGGATGCGAGTCGCGGAGTGCGAAGGCTATTGCGTTTGCGGGGAAATCGGGGTGCGGGGCGGAGGTTGAGGGTTCGTAGGCGTGGTATGTGGGTGGGTGGATATCGGTATCTGTTGGTGTGTATGGGATTGGAGGGTCTTCATCGCTGGACGGTCGAGAGGAACAGTCCGCGTGCGTGCGTTGGAGCTCCTCGGCGTCGGCTGCGAGCCAGGAATGCTTTGGGAGGTCGTCTCTCGGCCCTATTCGTTTTACTGCTATGTCGGACTTGGGATTCTCAATTTCTTCGTTCTTCTTGACGTCGTCTGTGCTCATTATCAACGGTGGTTTGGACTCGAATGAGAGGAGCGCTACCTTGCAATAGGTCGATTGGCACGGTCGTCTCCGTTCTCGAGGTCTTCCTCCGCTTTCTGAAGGGTATGCACAGCATGATGGCAAAAAATTGCCAGAGTATGCTAATGAACGCCTCCAAACGTATTTGGTAGCCGGTCGCCTGTCAGCCTTGCGGGCTAACGAGTCCTACAGGTTTTGGTTTGAAGAGTGTTGCAAAGCCGCCAACACAAAATTATTCAGATCAATAAATGCTCGAGGCGAGGGGTGCTAAAAAGTTGGACGGGTATTGATAATGAAGGTGGTTGTAGTCTTAGGCAGCCAGGGTGGGGCAAAAAAGGTACGGGGTGCAGTAGCGCGAGCTAGTGTCGAGAGGTCTCGGGTAAGTTCTCCAATAACTGAAGGTGGATTTACAGGGCTGCAGGTATTTGTTCAAGACAAATTAGTGGTATCCATCACTTTTATCCCAGCGAACTTAACCCATTGAATCATTCCGAATACCCATTTCCATCATACGATTTCATGTCGAAGGACCGTCGAGAAAATACCGAACGCTGGAGCAAAATGCAAACCGATTGAAAATGCTGAAGCAATCTGAAAACAAAGACCATCAAAAGTGTAGTATCCCAATTACCCCTAATTTTCCGAATTCATTACCTTCTCTTCAAGCCTCAATCTCTCCAGATCCCGTTCAACCCCTTAGCCACAAAAGACCCAATGTCGGCCGCCTGCTGGCATACGCCGTCGACGCAGGCTTCTCCAAGGCTACAATTCGCTAGGCACGGGCGCGTCGTCACTAAGGGTATTGGAGACGCAATCGACGGTACAGGCGTCGCTGGGGTAGGAGTCACCGCGGATCGGCAATGTCCCCTGTAGTCTGTGGTGAAGCCTGGCTCGCATGTAATGGCGGAGGTCTCACTCGTCGTAGTGCTGATCGCTCGACAATAGCTTCTGTAGTCTAGCGTGGATCCCGGCGGACATGTTTCGGAGCTACTGCTCGTTGTCGTAGTCGTCATTGAGCGACAGATGTTTCGATAGTCTTTTGTGTACCCGGGCGCACACTCTGGCGTGGTGGTTGACGAAGCGCCGGGAATGCAGGTAGAGTCATCGCAGGTCCCACTGCAGTAACCGCCGCACTCACCGCAGTTATAGGGATCTGAGCTGAGATCCACGCATGTGCCGTTGCAAGTGGCCGGCGTCTCCTCCGGGCACGACTCTATGCAAGTGTAATTGTCGCAGAGGCCGGTACAGACATTGCCGCATTGTCCGCAATTGAATGCATCCGAGCGGATGTCTGTGCATGTCCCGTTGCAGAAGTCAGGAGTCTCTCCTTGGCATTTCGTGCAGATTCCTTCGCTGTCCAATACCGTCCCCGCGGGGCACTCAGCGCTAGTGCAATTCCTTGTTTCTGGATCCCAATCCATCCCTTCGGGGCACAGTCTTATGCAATAGCCATCCCAGACATAACCAGGCGGGCATTCACAGGCTTCTGTCTCGTTGTTCCATGTCATATCCGATGGACAAACGCTCGTGCAACTCTCCAGTTCACTGTTCCACTCCGTTCCGGGCGGGCATTCACAAGTTTCTGTCTCGTTATTCCATGTCATCTCCGATGGACAGACACCCGTGCAACTCTCCAGTTCATTGCTCCACTCGGTTCCAGGCGGACAGGTGCAGTTTTGTGTCTCATCGTTCCATTCGGTCCCTGGAGGGCAAGATTCACAACTTCCACTATCATCAGGAAGCGAACCGTCCAGGCAAACGCAGGTAGAGTTCACGCAGCTGTAGTCGCAGGCAACACCACAAGCTCCGCAATTCTCAGTGGTGTCTAGGAATACGCATCCTAGTCCGGGACAATAACTATCGCCCGACTCGCTGTTGGTGCAGCTGTTGTCAGGAGGCAAGATAGGGAGGCACTCTCCCGTCTCTGGCACCCAGGTCGTGTTACCTAGACATGGGTTGATTGGTGTAGGGTCGGAGGGGCTTGGAGTGCTGGTATTTGATAGTGGTGGGTTCGATATAATAATTGTTGTACTAGGAGTCGTAGTAACGGGCGGCTCCGGCTCGTCAATGAAAGTTGTAGAGGGAGGCTGTGACGTAGTAGGAGGCTCGGGAATCGACATGCTCGGCGGCGCGGTGGAAGGAGGACTGGACGATGGGGGAGGAGACGGAGGTAATTCTGGTTCCGAAGAAGGCGGTACTTCCACATCTGTAGATGTCGGCGACTCAATAGGGGTGGTTAAAGATGGGCTTCCCACAACGGATGACGGTGGTACTGCTGGACTCGACGAAGGGCTCTCTGGAGAATCGGACGGTATTGGCGTCTCAACGGGAGGAAGCGACGAAGGCGGGGTTACTTCAGGGACATCCGACGGCTCTGGCGATGGAGGCAGACTACTTAGTAGCGTCGGTTCAGGGGAGGATGATGCTGACAGCTCAGACGGGCTTGCAGGATTTGAAACCGGCGACTCAGATGCAGGCGGGCTCGGAACCGGAGGGTTGGATGAGGGCGGAGCTGTAGGGAGATTCGACGCTGAGATCGACGCCGCAGTTTCGAGAGGAGCGGTGGGAACGGGTTCCGATGCGAGTTCCGAGGCGGCAGGATTACTCGGAGCAGGTTCAGATGCTGGTGGATTGCTCACTGGAGGAGTGCTGGGAACGGGCTCCGATAGAGGCTCTGAGGGAGCCGGATTGCTGGGAGCAGGTTCAGATGCCGGTGGAGTACTCACTAAAGGATTAGAAGCTGGCGGCGGTGCCACTGTTGGCGGCGGTGCCACTGTTGGCGGCGGTGAGGGGGCCACAGTTGCACTTGGAGTAATCTTCTCCGCCAAATCTTGCAAGCCCTCGCAACCATCTGGGAAGAACTCTTGGGCAACGGGATAGGCCTCGCTGACAGCGTAGTCGCACAACAAGCTCGCTCCAAAGACGGCGTAGAACTGCGTCCCAGGCTGGGGTAGCTTGTCTCCTCCGTAGATTGACTTGACACAGCCACCGACAATGGGAGGAGAGAAGCTTGCTGGGCTCTCCCCCCGAAAGTACCCTCCACAGACTGACGAGACGACATCCGCGACTAGGTTATGTGCGAATGTTTCGCCGTTCTGTCCTTGTGCATTCGCTTTTGCGGCAAGGTCCGAGCCAAAGTTCTCAGCGAAAGTGCGAACTTTGTCAGATACAGCTCGCACCCTAAGCGCGGCGCGAGCACGAAGCTCAGCTCGGCGGTGATGATCGATGGCAGATGCTTGGGCGACAGGAAGGAAGAGCATCAAACCAAAAAAGATGGTCAAAAATAGCACTTGCTTAGAGGGGCCACCACGCTTTGTTGAACCGCCCTCGAATTGCTCTGGCTGCCCAGTACCTGATGTAGGGCTGGGACTAGCATCCGGAGCCTCAGGGATTGAAGAAGCGCCGGCAGTGGCGGTACTGCTTCTGGCCGGACCTGTTGGCGACGGCGTCTCCTGCGCACCATTCGAGGTAGCGTCCGAAGCCCCAGGGATCGAGGCGGCGTTAGATGTTTCCTGAGAGCGGGAGGTAGCGTCTGGGACCTCTGGCATAGAAGCAGCTTTGGAACTTGCCGGAGGGCCAGAGCCAGCCCCGACACTAGCAGTACCGCTTCTAGCTGGGCCTGAGCCTGCTGTTGGCGTCGGCGTCTCTTGCACTCCCATCGGACAGTCATCCTCCTTGCCTTTATCTTCCGTTTTTGTGCCCTCCGCGGTACCATCGCTCATAAGTCGGAACTTCGAGCAATCCGCCATCATAATCTGCTGCTCCTGCGGTATGCGGTTGTCGATCTCGTTCGGGGCCGGATTTATTGGATCAGGGGCATTCTGTGTGAACGTGAAGTTCGACTGAAACGACGAGATGCCGGGAGGGCACTGGACATCGTTGGAGCAACTGTACTTGTCGCCATCGGAGCTGCATGTAATCTTCTGGAACCCGGTGATGTCCTTGCAGCTGGGTCCTGTGCAGCTGTAACTGAGCTCGTAGGTGTCGATCCCCGGGCCACAATTCGAGAATAGTCCTTGAGCCTGAGTGATAGAGTTGCTCGCCATCACGGGCGATATGTAGCGAGCGTAGGATGTAGGAACGACAGGCTGGATGAAGATCTTAGTCGGGAAGGGGTAAGGATCTTTTCATATACATAGGAGAGCTCTCTATAGGCAGAATGAAAAGAAAGGATAAGGCTGAGTCTAGAAATAGCGGCCAATAGATTTAGCGAAAAGAGGCTTTTACAGTGACCGGAAACAGGGACCGACAACACAGCAGGGAACAGCCGGCGAACGATGCACAAGGCAGAGGCTTGGACAAGCCATGTCCCACTGCCTAGACCAGCTGCAGCAAAGCTCTGCCATTGATAGACCCTCAACACTAGGCACGTAGAGTCGCTGGACTTGGGAACTAGGAAAGCCCTTTTTACCTGCAGTGAGAATAGATACGAATGACAAGAGGTGGCGCGCAGCAAAGACGCTCGGAAACATCCCTATCAAATCGACAGCCAGACGCTCTGAGAGTGGTTGGTTGGCTGAGGCTGAAAAGACCACGCGCTTCGTAGCTGAGACGGGGCTGGCAGCATGACTCCCAACAACGTTCCCATTGTGAGACAAAGCGTCGAAAGGACAACAGCTCTGGATGGGTGACCCTTCTTGCGTTGCTCGCTCATCAACTTGTGAAGGCCTTCAAGTTACGCGTTATGGCACGGAAACCTCTAACCAGCCCCGCATCTGCTGCGGCTAGAGCCTCAATCAACCTTTTACTCGATCCGCACCCACAAGCACAGCTAAAGTGCAGCCACGGGCAAGATGGTGCGCAGCTTCTGGCCGCACCTGGGGCTGAAAAGCGAGGTGTCAGGGAACGAGAGCTTGGCCGAGTTCAGCGTGGCGCGCCGAGCGGAAAGTGCCGTCCGCCATTGGATGGCCCAGATGCAGCCGCAGCGACAGCTGTAAGTATCCAAAGATCGCGTGATAAGCCGGCGGAAAGTGGGAGCGATGAAGATGTTGATGGGATGGAGGTTGGATGATGAGCGCAGACGGGTAGGAAGGACGGAGAGATCTCGAGCTAGAGCCTTTCGGGACTAGTCGATCCAGATTCACGATTCCGTCCCGAGGTCACGACAGCATCGGGCTCTATGGTCCCGTCGCGTTTGAATCCTCTCGCTTTGGCCTCGGAAAACCATTGCAGTTGTTGATGAACTCGAATACGTCCAGGTCTTTATCACAATCCTCTGGTACGATCGTCCTGTCGCTCTCAGATCCCCACGTAATCGGCGAAGACCCAATAGAACGAACGGTGCTTTTCGGCAGCCTCATTGCCCTTTCCGGTCATCGACTCTTTATCATGATCCTCTTTTCTTGAGCTGGAGCTCTCAGTACTTACCTTCCGCACGTCCTTAACGCAAGCCGCGATGTCCTCAGGACGAGGCCGCTTCCCCGTAGAGCCAGCACCTGGAGGCAGCGTTTCTCGTAGGCTCGGGCCATCGCTCCGAGAATCCTGACTCTTCTTTGACATGGGCCTGGAAGTCGAGCAATGCCTGGCACTTCTTCCAGGTTGACCTTGCAGATGCCGTTCTGGACGGCCGAGACGATGCGGTCAACCCAAGCAGAACCGGACTTCAGCGCGCTCCTCCAAGGTAGAGGACGCCTCGAACTTATTCTTCAGCTCGATGAACTTGTTGTCAATCTTCCACAGACGCCTCAGCGTCGCACTGACGCGAAAGTCTCCGGAAGCGTTGATGATCTGGCACTTGACGATGCGAACTTGCAGTTTTGAAGGTATACACGAAATAATGACCCACAAGCACATTCTCAGATTTGCATCCACGGCTATCCCGACACCACATGTCGATGCCGAACCGTGTATGGCATGTTTCGCTTAAATTGGCGGCAGCTCCATTCCGCGGACCAAACGCACAGCTAGCAACCGGTAAAACCATCTCACCACACAATGCACCTAGTTCGTGCTAATAATTATCCCCGGGAAGCGGCCCCTCAGGCGTCGAATACACTGTAGGCTCATAGCTACGCGCATACCCAGGAGGCAACGGCAGCCTGCTTTCCCTATCCCTTCTCCTGCCAAACAAGCCGCCGGAAAACGCGATCGAAACTCTCTTGTCGGATCGACCATCCGTAGTGAAATCGTCATCGCCGCGGCTAAATCTGACTGACGGGACATTGAGCCACTGGTTCCGCACGGGCGCACCGAGTCCGAAACCTCGACCAGGTATCGTATCTCGGTCAGAGGCATTCTGACCGTGGAAACCGCTAAGACTCTCCATACTCGAGTCGCCTTCCATACTGCTGTACATATCTCGAGGGACGGTGGTAAACGTAGATGTTGAGCCGCGGCGGTGTACAGGCGTTGGCTTGATAGGCCTGGCTGGGAGTTTAACAAGCTCGATTCCGTCGTCAGCACCGGGCTGAGGTGCGGTTTGTGGGGCTTGTGTTGGGATGCCGACGCGATCGTCGAGAAATACAGGCTTGCCCTTTCGGTTGTGTAAGATGACGCCTATGACGAGGAGCCCGGCCGCTATGGTGATGCAGACGGCAATCGGAGCTGGGTAGATTTTGGGAGGCGTAGCCGAGGGGACGAGCCCGGGAGGCGGCGTAAGGGTGATGGTAGGGACGGCCATCAGGATTGAAGGTAAACGGAGACGAGTCCCTCTTGCGCAGTGTGATGGGGATGCTTTTTGGGGGATAAAGTGTTAGGCCGGGACTGAGGAATCAAGGTGCTGACATTAGGATCGTGCCAGGTTATGAAGAAGTCTTTAAATATTGATTGATATGCTCGTTCGCACAAAACCAGAGAATGTGACATCCTGATCGTAGGCATTGAAGGCGTGGCAATTGAAGAGGTGGCGGACACTTCACCGCACACATTAGCCGTTCGTGATCTTCGCATATTATTCATCCTTCTTCCCTTTTTCCCGGTCGTGTGCAGACTCAATCTCCCCCTTCAGCTCTGTCTCGGGAGCGGTTGATTCGGACCCTGAGCTTCCTTTCCCTTTGTTCTTGAGATCTGACATGGAAATGGGAGGCGGCTCTCTCCGTAAACTCTCATCGGATGACCGCAATTTCATCATTTCCATCTCCAAGGTTGCCATCAGCCGCTGCAGAAGCCATTGGGCCTCTGTCTTACTGCCCATGAGTGGACTGCGGATTCCGAGCCAACTCCACTTCAAGTTCTCTCCCTCATCCGCAATTCCAAGGTCGGGCTCGCTGCCCTGTCTGCGGCGGTGGTGAACGTTGGGTTTTCGATGGGATTCGGCATCGTCCTCGTCTTGACCTATCAGGCGAAGATAGTAGCTCCATTCATGATATGTGTATTGCTTGGGCGGTGTCGTGCCAACATCTTTCAATAACTGCCGTATCTCTTTTGCAAGCACAAAGTGGTAGAAACGAATATCTCGCTCAAGATAATCTCCATGCTCACCAACCTCCTCGGCCTCTTCTAGCTCGTCTTCTTCAACATGTCTGGCTAGGCGATCGAGCTTCGTTTGCTCAGCTGCGCCACGAGCCGTCAGCCCTTTGTCGGCTCCCTCGTTGTCGGTGTTTAGATTCCCCAGCTTCAGTCTTTGCAAACCGACTTTGAGTGTTGACCCGAGCCCCTGCTCTCCGGGAAGCACAGTGAGCGATCCAATCCACATGGTCAAATCCTTAAAGCTTTTGATGACTGTGTCTCCCATGTTGCTGATGAGAATCGTGAGCATGGGTACGGCTAACAAAGTCCAGAATACGAAGAACGTTTTCCCAGAATTGCTGATCGGAGTGAGGTCGCCGTATCCGATAGTCAAAAGGGAGAAATAGGCGAAATACATCGACATGAAATAGGTCCACCCTTGCGGCTGCTCTGAGTACCAGAACACTAGCGCGCCGAGAAACCATAGAAGCAGGGAAGCCGTGGTGGAAATCGCGAGCGCGGTATACTTTCGGCTTCGTTCTGCCTTCTCTTGGATTTGCCGCATAACACGAAACTCTTGCTCCCTTCTTTGCGACTCGGTCAGGCCTTTTTCTGAGAAGGACGTCTTTGTCCAACGCCCGACCGTGATCGTTCTCTTGTCGTCGTCGACGGTTGAAACGACTTTTTGCCTCTTCGTCTCCAGGAAGCGGGCGGCCATCTTCTGTTTGCCTCTTTCGAGTATCAACGATCGTATAGAGCCGATCACTAAACCAACCATGACAATACCGCCAAAAGCGAAGGGGAAAAGTAATGACCGGCCTGCATGGGTACTGGGTGAAAAGTCCCCGAGGCCAACGGTGAGCAAGGTGACATCAGCCCAATAGACAGCATCTAAGAAATCCCAGCCTTCAACCGTAGAGAAGACTAGAGCGCCAAGAAGGAGGTAGACAACAAAGCTGATGGTTTGAAGCATTAACGTCCTTTGGCTAGGTGTGAGGCGGAATGCTTTTCTGTAATGGCCCCTATATGCTCCAACTACCGTCAGGATCATCAACGAGGAGACGATGAAGTAGAGGCCAGAGGCAATAACCGCATAGTAGTAAGCCTGACTCAAGGCGTGTGCTGACGCTGGTGGAAGTCGAAATGCGGACGTAGAAGCCACCGAGACGAGTGCGATAAGGAGGAAGGAGGCCATGTACCAGCCCACTATCGTGATTGGCTGAGCTATTGTAAATGAGAGACGGCTGGTCATATTGAGGAGCAGGGCCATGTTCGCAATCAAGGCGAACGCGAGGGATACGGCATTGATCGCTATAAGCCTGTGATGCATGTCAGTTCAGACTGCTTGTAAGGGTTTCAAATTTGGTTGGGGAAAGGCTCGTGCCCCAGCGCGAGAATCATTACGGTAGTACTTGCCATTTGGGGTCTTGGATCTTCTGTCCGTGTGCTTCGTCCTTCCCGGGTGGGATATACACTCTCCATTTCGTTACGAGAGCGCATATACTGAACGCGTTGGCGATGGGCCCAAAAGTGCCAGCGATCAGCGGGCAAGCAGTTGAAGCAAACCACCATCGACTGCGTTCCGGTTAGTTCTCGTTTCAACACAGAAGGTATCATGGGTTACTTAACTAGGGTCAAGGAAATCCTGCTCTTCCCATTCAGCGGCCTTCCTGTCCTCATCGTAGACATTACGGTTCACGTCCTGCGCCGCCTTTTCGACAGGCTCGTCGAGCCCGGGATCGTTCATTGCCCTGGTTGAGAGGTTCGAGGCTCCTGGACTTCGAGATGTGTGGAGAGGAAGAAGGACATGATCCCGTTATCAAGGAAACAAGCGCAGCAGACGGAGAGGGAAAGGATAAACAAGATTTGACGCGGTGCATGTGCAAGGCGAGCGCGTGGACAACCTTGCAAACGGATGACGTCTTGTGGCGCAGAAGCGAGCCGTGCTGATTGCTTAGAAAAGATACACTACGCCCCGTTAGATCGCCCTGTCAATTCCAATCCGTCTGGTATTCGGTCACCTTGGCAAGGCTTTGTCTCACTTCATCTGGGTGGCTAAGAGATCGCACACATTAGTCTACTAAGATATTGGTCTGGTTGTTGCTATCTTTGATGCTCGCATGACCCACCACCCTAAGTATGTTAGGACATACCACCGTGAAATTGAGTGAACTTCGAGAAAACAGGATTCCCGGTTTTACCTCCTCTTAGATGTAGCTACCACTAAAGTGTAAAGTCTCCCGTTTTGAATTGCTAGAGGGAGAGAAAAGGACTCGGAATCCTGATCGTGGCTTGCTGGATATCAAAGATAGATATTTTACACAAGCGGGCCGTAGCCATACCTACCATTAAAGGATAGACTTCAAGGATGACAAGGCGCCCCTGGCTTTGTACCCCAATGGGGTGCGGTTTTCGGGTGGAGGCTCGCTCTTACCTTCACGCAGTCGACAGCCACAATTATGAGGCGCATAAATCGAGGAGAGCTGCTGCCAGTGACACACGTATTTGCAAGCTGGAACTTGCTCGTAGAGAAATTGATGCTCCGTGCAGTATGTTGCGTCCAAGTCTAGGCGCATGGTGGTGCTGGATCTGAAGAAGAGCAGTAAGGGAACTTGGCCGGGTGCAGGACGTAGAGGCAGCGGCCCTGGATCTCGGTTCCGAGAAAGGAGAATGTCCTCAAGGGTCGTAGGAGAGGTTATACTTTGCTGAGGGCCAATGTGCGATGCGATGTGATGACGGTGTGCAGCGTGGACTCAGCGTGTAGGGGTCCGGCCCACAAATCGGACGCCCACACTCCAAAACGCTTGAAAACGGGTTTGCAAATCCAAAGCCAGGCCGTCGAACGTCGTTTGCCAGGCTTGTCGCCCCGCTCGTCCAGGCCCCTCGCTTATGACCCACAAGACCCCATAATCTCCTATATATAACTATTAATTTGCCTTACCTAGCATCAAAACTTGACCCGATTCAGAGGGTATGGCAAAGTCGGAGGACATTACCGGTTCAAATTGTAAGCCCCCTTCCCCAATAGCACAATTCCCCCAAAGTAGTAAACCTTAGTAGGTTTCTCTTTCCCTTCTAGCCTGCGGAGCTAGGAGGTTTTCTCTTTGCTTCTCTTTTTGTCATTTTGGGGTGGTTTGGCTGGGTCGAGGGTTCGAGTACAAGGAGTAGAAGGTATTCTTTTGCTTCTATCAAGTGTCGGAGGGTTGTGATGTGCGTGGGAGACGGGGAGGTTGATTACAGTACGTAGAGGCCGTTTGTATCCCTCGGGGGCTCGAATATATCCTTCGAGTCGTTGATATAGATCTTGCGAATCAGCTTATACTCTTTCTTCTGTGTGCAGCGCACTCCATAGCGCTTTTTGTGACTCCGTTGTTGCATGGTGGTGAGCTTCCCCTCGGGGGACATCGCGCTTCGCCGCACCGCAAGCCCCGACACACAACCACCCACCACGCCCCCAGACACAACTCAGCTGAGCACTCAAGATTGATGATGGAGTTGCCTTGAAAGGCCTTGATTACTTGCTCGCGAGATCCCTGAGCATCTTTTTCCTTGTTGTAGTACGCCGCACGCCGCACGCCGCACGCCGCACGCCGTATACGAAGCCGGGCGCCTCATCGACCCAACACCAACACCACGCGTCGTACCACACCAGCTGAGCAGTCGAGGATAATGGAGCTGGCTTAAAAGGCATTAATACCTTACTCGCAAGATCCTCGAGCACCTTTTTCCTCGATGTAGCACGCCGCAGGCCGCATGCCGCATGCCGCAGGCCGCAGACGAAGCCGGGCGCCGCATCGACCCAACACCAACACCACGCGTCGTACCACACCAGCTGAGCAGTCGAGGATAATGGAGCTGGCTTGAAAGGCATTAATACCTTGCTCGCAAGATCCTCGAGCACCTTTTTCCTCGATGTAGCACGCCGCAGGCCGCATACGAAGCCGGCCGCCGCATCGACCAGACACAACACCACGCATTGTACCACACCAGCTGGGCCTAGCAGATGCGCAGATGACGGTGGAGTACTTCCCCAGTTGCTCGACCGCTGAATTGCGAGCAATAGGATGCCGTCATGGGCCTCGCCCTCGGGCCGTCGCAATCAATGCACACACGACAGCAAGGTTCGATCTATGGCCCAACGCGTCGGGCATTGCCGACCAACACTATTAACGGAGCATGAAGGACGTCTAAGTAGCCTCGAGGCACAGAGCGAGGGGGCAGGTTGGCGACCGCCGCGACAGCGTCGCGACGTAACGGAGCCGACGAGACAAACTCGATCGCATACCGGACCCGCACGCCTCCGAGGCTCTCTCGCATACCACGATATCGACGATATAATACGAGTGCCTCCTGTGTTGCTACAGCCCGGCTAGATACCGTTGCAGGGACGACTTTGCCGCGGCGAGTTGGAGTATCGGCCCGCTCAACAGATACGGCCTCGACGTTGCGATGCCACAGTATCAAAGTGTCTGCGCACAAGCATTACGAGTTACAGACATCGTGCTGGAAGTGGGAATGACACCGAGCGGGCGGCGCGAGGAATCGATTGACGAATGATACTCGACCACCATCCAAGAGGCGACAAAGCGGTCAAGCCACGGTGCCTCGGCATTCCAAAGGGGTTACTAGTGATCGAGGACATGAATAAAGAGGGCAATAGAGTCGCGGTCTTGTCAACATGGCCGCCGGCGTTGGATTCGTATGGGAGCTCTCTGATAACGACCAACTCAAGTAGTCGCCAGGGAGCTAGGTCGGAACACCATAATAAAACTTCCTTTGGACGACTGCGTTTACGAGGCGGACAAGCAACCAGGATGCGATCGAGTCCGCTTTTAGGTGTCGACGAACCGAGGATATACGCTAAAGGCGTTGATGTTTGATAAGATGAAAACCATCTTTGAGGCCACCAGAATTCGGGATTTGGAACATTTGATCCGGATCAGAGGATACTTCTTCGGTTTCAGTAGGCCTGTAACATTTGGGATTCCGCCGAAAGACCACCCGATCGAAAGTCATCCATACAACTCGGCCACCAGGTTCAGAATGCGAGCCATCGTGTTCAGCAATGGGAAGCGCTCAACATCAACGAGGGGGAAGTGTCGTGCTTGAGAACCGCTGGCCGGTAATGGGTACCGTGTACAAAGGAATGGCCGTCGAGCTTGTAAACCCGTTCCAAAGATGTGAAATTCATGTCGCCCAACTTGTTGCTTGACACGATAGGACGTCTGGTCGGGTTTGCCGGTAAAACACCTGAACGCCGGAGGTGCCAAGAATGCAGCAAGCTTGAGAATATCCGCTAAAATCGTCGAGACTCGGAAAAGTTCCCTTGTCCGGCAGGCTTTGCTCCATAAAGTGCCCGTTGTTGGACGAGATGAAAGCGTATAGCCCCCGAGGACCGATCTCATCCCATCCAGTCTTCGCGACGAATGAGCTCTACTGGACACTCAAAGCTCGCTGCCGCTGACTCGCCATGCTCTGGGTCTCCTCTGTCGATCAATGCCTTGAAATTATCCATTCATTCCTTGCTCTTGCGGGAATAGACGCATCCGATTCACTTTCGGATTAAGAGAATCCTCGGGCCGAGTATCCCCTTCGGTACCAATGTGTCACACGGCACATCATCGGGTTGCTGGTGCAAGATTTGGGGTGTACGCCTGGTTTTGGCCTCGATATACGGGAATCGTTGTATCCGCGCCGCATTCGGCGCGACACGGCGCAAAAGCCGCTGTGTTTTGCCCAACAGAACGGACGCTTTCCATACACGATGCCATCTCCCATTTGTCCTTGCTCAAGAGATTGGGGTTCCCTCTCCGCGGAGCTCAAGATGGCTCCTGCAAGAGGCACCGACAAGGTGGTCGCAAAGTCTTATCGGCGGTCATCCTTATATCGCGCTCGTTATCGTGCAGGGGAAAGCCGCGCCTGTCACGGTTGGAGAGCTTTGTATCCGATCGTTGATGATGATACCGCCGTGTTGAGTGTTGCGTTCCTGGTCTACGTGGTTGTGTGCTCGGTCCTTCCCCTGGCATCCACGGAGGGTGGACGAAAAGAAAGCGCTGGTGTGCGCCTCCTTCCCGAGGTCCGTAAGCCGCACCAAGTCTTCATGCGGAGCGCAAGTGTAGAAGCCTGATTGTATCGATGCTCGTGCGACTCGGCGGGGGTAGTCGCGCTGGCGCTTTTGAGCATGCGGCCTCCAGCACTAAGAAGCAGCCCGGGGGTGCGCGGACGAAGCCGGAATGTACCTGAAGCTTACTGCCTGGACTCCGCCTCCCATATCGATGCTTGTCGGAGCTGAGCGGGAAATTTGAGAGGCAGGTTGGCCGCAGCAGAGGGGCGTAACCGCATGCCTTTGCCTGAGCGTCTCAGTATGGGAGAGCCAGTATTGGAGAGCCAGTATGGTAGAGCGCCCCGACAAGCCTTTGCCTGCGCGTCTCAGTATGGGAGAGCCGGTATGGGAGAGCGCCCCGACAAGCCTTTGCCTGCGCGTCTCAGTATGGGAGAGCCGGTATGGGAGAGCGCCCCGACAAGCCTTATTCCTCCTCGCGCATGAGCACAGTGGCCGGATGGCTGCGCTCTAGCTCACGGGTAGGGTATTCGCGCTCGTTCGGGTATCGGCGTGCGATTAAGATCTGGGAAGCCTATGTCGTAAACCGACCGCTGTGAGCTGTGTTCTCTCTAAAAGAATACTCAGATAACCCCTTGAGCACAAGAAAGGCCCCGTATGCCCCTGCTTCCGTATATAACGGCCGCATGTTGGGGGCTGTTGTCGCTGGCAGACTTTCCACGCCGCAGGGGCGCGGGTGCTCGAATGAGGCCCATCTACCCCATGTCCGGCAAAGCGGCCGTCGCTAGCAATATCGTAGAAGGTATCTCGCGGGCTGAAAGACGGGTAGACGAATATTGATGCGATGTCGCACAGTGAGGAGGTGGGTGTTGGGGGGACGTCTGTGAGAGCGCGGCGAAGGGGCAGGTATCCGGCGCATCCGCCGCTTGCGCGCCCCCTCCCTAAACGCCTGTATATGAGAACTATATTCCCATGACGAGCGTCGTCCACAGAGTCGCAGCAATCCGACCAGGCGCTTCCCCGGACAAGGAAGACGATGATGTGAGGGTTTGACGCTCGGGACGGGGTGTGATCATTGACGGTACGCCGCGCCGCTGCATAACGAACGAATTATGGGCCGGCATAACAGCCCATCGGCTTTTCCTGGCCTAGTCAATGTACACGGACCGCTTTGGATCGACGACCTCCTAGTCCTCATCGCGGCTCTTCGCGACTCCGCAAAGGACTACCAGAAAGGCGAGAATGTGTCGCGCAGTCGTAGTCGGATGACGAGCACAGCGGAGCTTCCACATATGCTCTCGACTAAGCGAAACGCACTTCTGCAAGAGTAGAGCAAGTGCGAAGAAGAGCCCCTTTCGATCCGGCCCGGGCGACATAGGGATTGGTAAGGTATCTACTTGTAAACCAACGCTTCTCCTGTCTCTAACTTCTGCAATCGTTCGTTCTTTCCTACAGCTCGACCTTGGGCCCATGACCCTTCGCTATCTTTCTTTCTCTGCTTCTCCTTGATTGAGCTGGAGCGCCCGGTTGCTCATCCATGGATACCCACGCCCATCGCCTCGTCTCAATGCAGATTAGGCATCATGACTTCCGTAGAGTCGTCTTTCTCTTCTCGAAATGTCGAAGGACGCTATAGCAATACACTTCACTCGAAAAGTAAACGCGTTAATAGGGCTTCTCTAGGGCACAGGACCTCGGGATGAAAGAGATATTCAATATGCGTTGCTAGAGTCCCAGGCTGTGGTAGATCCAGCGAACGGCCTCGCAGGGTGCGGCCTTTTGTGCTATGCTTCACAGTTGTTGATGGTACTTTTTACTTAGGTGTCTCTGCTATCTCTATCGCTCTCGTGCTGACCATTGCTAGGTGTGGACACCTGCATGGCGTTGTGTGCCTCATCGAAACCAAGTGGAAACCTTGGAAGGAGGGAAGCTTAGCGAAGGTCATAGTTCATCTGATTCCCGAGGTCTTCCAATCCGCCCAAGAAGACTCATATCCCATCAAATAGCCAATCCCGAAAGCTCAGTGCAAAGGAAGGACCCTTTCCAAAGCGGTCTTGAGTGGTGATCTGATGATGGTAACCATCACCAAGTGCACATCAACATCTCGCTACTTTCAACAGCACTGCGGGACAAGAGCATAGAGTGGGCAATGATTGAAGTACTTCACGTCGCTCGTTCCGACGCAAGTTCACCCGCGTTTTCCGTCTCCTCGATGAACGTCATCATCACCACTACCACCGAAACACATCTCTCTTCAGCGACTATGGCTCACTTTTCAGTAGTAAGCAGCATCTCGGCCCCGCCCTCGCTATATCATCCTGTGGCGGACCTCACCCGAGATCGCTCTCTGTCATAGTCCGCAATCGGCTGCACACACGGCGCTCTCGCGCGCTTCGTCGGCTTCACCTCGTCCCCTCTCACTCGCAGATTCTCCGCCGTGGAAGCTTCTCGCTTGCCCCGCTCCTGCCTCGCCGTCGCCGCAACAACGCGCCAAGCATCGTTAGTGCGCCTGCCCTCTCCACATAAACACTGTCCTGCCCTCTTTCTGTCCGCAAATTCTTTCGACCTCCTCCACCTCACACACATCATTTCTGCCTCTGAGCACCCACACCCTCTTCTTCATTCACTTCACCGTCGATATGTCTGACGCTGGAGTCGCCGTCGACGACGCCACTGCGGCTCGCGCCAAGCAGCTCGCTGAGGACATCCAGAAGGCGAAGGATGCCGGCTGGACGAACCCCATCCCCTTCAACTACGAGACCGTTGCCGGTGGCCAACCAGATGTCAGGGACGAGGGTCGCGACAGCGCCAATTGGCTCTCCGATGCCGTCGTCTACGAGTGGGATGACGACTTCGGTGAAGTCGGTCCGCCCAACCCCGAGCTCGAGAAGGTCCTCTACGAGAATCCCGACATGATGCGCGCAGGCGGTGCTATCCAAGCCCTGTCTTTTCAAGTCATTGTCAACGCCAAGGAGGAGGTGCACCCCGTCCGTGAAGTAAATCTAGCCACAGCCTTTTTGATGTCGCCCACTAAATGGCTCAATAGTTCAACGAGGCCGGCCTTCACCCAGTTATGCTCGAGAATGTGGAGAAGTGCAGGTACTACAAGCCGACTCCTATCCAGGCTTACTGCATCCCATCTGTCTTGACTGGACATGATGTTGTTGCTATCGCGCAGACTGGTGTGTGCTTTACTCGTTCCTCCTCTTCCATTCTCGCTCACATCAACAGGCTCGGGCAAGACGGCCGCCTTCCTCATTCCCATTCTCTCCAAGCTCATGGGCAAGGCTCGCCAGCTTGCGGCGCCGCGACCAAATCCTGCCAAGTACAACGTCAACACCGATCGCGTCCGTGCTGAGCCGCTCGTCCTGGTGGTGTGCCCGACCCGCGAGCTGGCTTGCCAGATCTTTGATGAGGCCCGTCGTCTCTGCTATCGCACCATGCTCCGTCCCTGCGTCATCTACGGTGGCGCTCCTTCTAGGAACCAGCGTGAGCAACTCGAGATGGGTTGTGACATCCTCATCGCCACTCCCGGCCGTCTCATGGACTTCATGCAGGATGTGAATCGCCTCTCGCTTGCTCGTCTCAAGTAGGCATTGCTACTCGCCTCGAATCGTACTGTGACTGACCAGGGTAGGTTTACCGTCATTGACGAGGCTGATGAGCTGCTGTCGAGTGGTTGGGAGGAGGCAATGGAGAAGATCTTCCAGGGCTCTGGTATGTCTGTGCAACTCAACGGATAACGCCAACTAACAAGCTTCGTAGACAACAATGCCGACGCCGACCACACATATCTCATGTTCTCTGCCACCTTCTCCAAGGCCACTCGTAGGCTGGCCCGCGACTACATGGATGAGGACTTTGTGCGCATCAAGGTCGGTCGTGTTGGAAGCACGCATCAGAACATCAAGCAGCAGGTTGTCTACGTCGAGGACAGCCAGAAGAACCAAGCGTTGTTTGACCTGATCTTCTCGGAAGGTCCGCAGCGTACGCTTGTCTTCGTCAACTCCAAGGTCAAGTGCGATATGGTCGACGACTTCTTGTACAACAAAGGCCTTCCTTCTACGTCTATCCACTCGGACCGCACCCAGCGTGAGCGTGAGGATGCCTTGTAAGTCTTAACACCAACTATACTCTCTTGAACCTGTCCTGACCCTATGAACAGACGTGCCTTCCGTACAGCTTCGTGCCCTATCCTAGTGGCTACCGGCGTGACTGCTCGTGGTCTTGATGTTGCGAACATCAAGCATGTCATCAACTACGACCTTCCATCTACCCAGCATGATGGCATCACGGAGTACGTCCACCGCATTGGCCGCACCGCCCGCATCGGCAATGAGGGCAAAGCAACTTCGTTTTACAACGACCGGAATGAGGACATCGCCGAGGATCTCGTCAAGCTCCTCCTCGAGAACAAGCAGGAGATTCCCGAATTTCTTCAGGATAAGGTGCCTGCCGAGCCAGACAAGATCGAGTGGCACGATAACACCGACGATGAATCTGAGGCTGGGGACTTTGGCGCTGACGCTGGTTTCGGTGGAGGCTTCGGCGATGCTGGTACTGACGCTGGATTCGGTGGCGGCTTCGGCGGTGACGCAGGAGGCTTCGGAGATTCTGGGGGCTTTGCTGCCGAAGGCGAGAACAAGGTTGCCTCTTGGTAAGCGCATTGCCGCTGGCCATGCGCCTCCCTCGATACGTCATCCTTCCCTACCTTCCACGCCTCACCCTCCGGTGTGGCGTGGATCTCGCTGAGCGGTATGCGCGTTTCTCAAGCGACCACCGTCCCGGTTCCAAGGCGTCAAAAATGAGCTCGATTTCATGGGTATCTGTCTGCGAAGGTGGCTTGGCTGTGAAGATTGCGTTCCGGTCGCTGCCACCGACTTTGCAATGATGACAATCATGGTCAGGTAGTTCGAAATATCAGAAAATGCAAGTGTATCTGCAAAACCTTGGAAGGTTCTTTCCTCGTATGCCGATGTGATCGGCATCTATCGCCGCGTAGCGTGGCAAATTTTTTTTTTTCATTTCCGAACTCTCCGGAAGGAATCCGACACATGTGCTTGCTTGACGAGCGTATACTCTGTGTGGACCAAACCTTTTAATAATATGCCCCTCGGATGAGCGATAAGAGCAAGCGATATCGGCTGACCAAAAAGCCAAAGGCAAGGCATCACACAGGCACAGTTCATAGAGACACGGAATTCAGTAGCCTTCAGCAGCCATGCTTGCCTAGATTTCCAACACGTATCTATACATAGGAGCTTAGAAGACGAACGTCCTCGCATACTTCCGATCCATGTCCTCATACTCCTCCTTAAGCATCTTACCTCTCAGCTTATTCAACCTCATTGTAACGCCCTCCTCCTCGCCCTCAAGGTTCTGCACATCCTCGTCCAGCTTCTGTGTACCCCATAGCTTCCACATCAAGCCGTGGAGACTACGACTCTTCGCCGCGTCCCGTTTCTCGTGCGCTTCAGCAGCGAGGTACGTCATTATCTTGCCCCAGGACTCGAGCCCGACTTCCTCGCACTGTTCGCACTTCTTGCGGCGCTCGTCGTCGTTCGCGATGGGGGCGAGCGACTGTGCTATTTTGGCGGTGGAGACGGCGTCGCGGACCCAGGAGAGGCCTTGCTGACGCTGAGAGGGAGACGAGCCCGCGGTCGCGAAGAGGATCTCGCCGATGTACGACTTCAGGGCTGCTTCTTCGCAGCGGTCTTCTTCGCGGCGGAGAAGGGGCTCGTCGCCTGTAGGTGGGAGGGGAGGGTAGTCAGGCTCATTAAGCAGGCTCAGTAGTGTGCCTGTTAAGCTCGAGTCTGGTTCTTCTGCGGGTGGTGGCGGAGGTGCAGGATCGGCGGTTAGTCGGGCGCGCAGGAGGGAGATGAGGATGGGGAGGGCAGCGATGATGTTCCCTTGTTCGGCGTGGAAGGTAGCCAGGTTTGTGGCGGCGTAGACGAGGTTGGGTGTTATGTGTTCTTTGGGTGCGGTGGAGGAGAGGACACCGCTGGTGCGGTTTATGGTGGTCGAGGGGTCGGGGATGGGAAGGCCAGAAATAGCGATGTCGAGCGCCCAGCGGTACATTTCTTCTGCTGAGTCGGGGAGCTTTCTGAAGGCGAGCCAGTCGGCATAGCCCAAAGCTGCTGTGAGACGTTGATTTGTTGTGAAGCCTTTCGAGGTTATGATCTTGAGGTAGAAGGTTTCTGGGGCTTCTGCTGCCGGAACTCGTTGGTCTTCCTCTGGCACTGGTGGCATGCCTGGTAATGTAGCCTTCGGTCGGGGATTCGTGGGCGACGCGACAAACTCAGGCGCCCATACATTTCGTCTCCATTTATCTGTTACCCATCCCTCTAATCTTTCGGCTGCTCGCGCCATGCCCAGGAGCACTTCATAGTATCCCTGCCGCCATTCCTCGCTCTTCGCCGTCAGGTCGTATCCCGCCTTCCCTACGCCGGGCACCATCAATCCTCCCTCCTCTTGCTCTACCAGTCCTGCGCCATCCTTGGTTGGATTCTCCAATCTGTTCATCGCAGACTGCAACTCTGAGTACACCCTCGCCCAGTTGGGGAACCCCTCATCCTCATTGTTCTCCGGCACCTGCCACCACTTTCCCCTGCGAAACCTTATCCTCGTGATTAAACTCCACTCATGCGGTGACGGGAAGGCTCTCTCCTGCCTCTCGCTCAGTATCCCGAAGCTCGCAAGACTGAAGCATGTCGTTACTATCCAGATTAGAACGGTGTACTTGACAGTCTGCCGCGCCGTCTCTTTTATGAACTTCTTGTGATTTGCGCTGATAGAGAATAAACGGAATATTTGGCCATTGGAGAGGTACTGGCCCGTGGGGTAGAGGAAGGGCAGCTGTGGTCGGGGAGTGCTTCGGTTCGTGATGAGCAGGAGCCGGGGAGGTTTGTGGGAGAATTGGCGCGGGCAGGGAGGCTCAGGGTAGTGCGCATTGGGGGGCCGTAATAATCGTCGCGGAAGACGTATTCGATGCGTAGCAGGCCGCATTTCTGGCGATCGTTCGGATGATACGTACTTGCGAGCTCGTGGTCTTCGAGGTTCCCGTTTACGCCAAGAGGATCCACGTTCACCGCCTGGCAGAAAAGTTGCGAATTTCGTAAATTTTGGACTCTAGCTCCCCACAGCACTTTCCTCTTCTACGTTTCCGCACGACTCGAGCACGCAGCGAGAATGTCCAAGTCAGATATCAAAGAGGACAAAAAGAAGCGGAAGAGGCAAGCCGAGGAGACTGAGGACGTGATCAAGAAGGTCAAAAAGACCAAGAAATCGAAGGACGCCCCTGCGGAAGCACCAGTAGCCGCCGAGAAGGAGAAGAAGAAGACGGATAAGAAGTCGAAGAAGAGCAAGGACGTCGAGCAAGATTCTGTAACACAGGATACTGCTAGTAGCGACAAGAAGAAGGAGAAGAAGTCTAAGAGGTCCAAAGAAACCGCAACAGCTGTCGCACCCGAAGCCCCAGCGGCCAGTGGCACTGCCAAAGACACTTCCCTCGAGCAAGACTTCATTCGCTTCGATGACGAGCCAATGCCCGATGCTTCGGCCGAAAAGACCGACGACGCGATCTCGGAGTCGGACAAAAAGAAGTCAAAGAAGGATAAAAAGTCGAAAAAGGCGGAGAATGAGCTCATGGCTGAGCCTTCCTTGAGCAATGGAGTGGCAGTGCCTCCAGAAGAGCAGAGCGCGAGCTCAGAGAAGGATAAGAAGAAGTCGAAGAAGGACAAGAAGGACAAGAAATCGAAGAAGTCTAAGGGCGAGGCCGAGGCTATGCACGAAGAGCAGAACGGTGCTGGCGAGGCAGTCAACGTCGATGGCAACACAGAGGAAAAGACACCAGAGGAAGGAACTGCTGTGCAGGATCCCGACGTCATAACCTCGAAATCGAAAAAGGACAAGAAGTCGAAGAAGGATAAGAAGGCTTCAAAGGCTGCCAAAGCACAAGCGGAGGAAGAATCCACGACTGAGACGAATGGTACAGCCGCTCCCGAAGATCAGGTCGCCGAGGACAATGCCCAAGAAAATAGCGAGGGTCAAGAGGATGCTTCCGCTAATAAGAAGGATCGCTTTATCGTATTCGTCGGTAATTTCTGCCCTATATCACCTCATTCAATGCGTTGACTAACGCTCTGGCAGGCAATCTTCCCTACAGCGCAACAAAAGAACAAATCGAAAAGCACTTCGAGAAACTAAAACCCTTTCAACTCCGCCTTCGCACATACAAAGACGGCAAGTCCATGGGCACCGCCTTTATTGAATTCGATCGCTACGACCACATGCAGACGGCCCTGACCAAGTACCATCACTCTGTCTTCTCTGACGGGAAGAAAAAGGAAGGCAGGAAGATCAATGTAGAGCTAAGGTACTTATCTCTTCTTCTAGCACCTTCAAATAAGAATTGCGTGCTAATGTATACTTCGCAGTGCTGGCGGCGGCGGAAATACCCCCGCCCGAATGGAGAAGATCAAAAGCAAGAACGAGAAGCTTTCCAACGAGCGTCAGCGTGCGCGGGAAAAGCGCGAGGAAGTCGAAGCGAAGCAGAAGGAGCGCAAGGAGAAGAAGGAGACCAAGCAGAAGAAGGGCGTCAAGGAGGGAGAGGATACTGAAGTCGGAGACGCAGACGCAGAGCAAGCTACAGGCTCAGATGAGCATAGTGGAATGCATCCTGCCCGGCTTGCCATGATGCAGAAAGGCGGTCTGAAATGGAAAGGACATACCAGACAGCGGTATTGATGTTGGGATCTCTCGGGCCTAACCGTGTGATCTGAGCATAAGCCATTTGTTCTATTTGGTTGCGAGATTTGGCTAGATATCTCGTAGGATGTTCTCACGCATGATACGAATCCACTATTGTGTCAATAGCGCTGTCTTTCCCTCAGAAAGCTGGTGAAGTCGGTATGCCGAGAATCGGCCAATGAGCTTCGGAGCGGCCCGATGCGGATACCCGATGTTTAGTCACCATAACCGTCCAGGTCTTTCTTCGCGATGGCTTCCCAGGCGTCCTTGACCTCCATTATCTGCATTCCGGGAATACTTCATCATTCATTCCCCTAGGAACACCATTACAAAGGTTCGCTTTTCTCATGCTTTGCCCCTCCGAGTCCACACTATGACGGAAGTTCCTGTGCTGGCGCCGATAGCACTCTTGCCTTGGTAGATTCCTTATATTGAATACTAGATGTTAAAAGAATGAGTCGTTAACTCTGAAATAATGGAAAGATTCATTGCTTTGATATTTGTTATCTTTTCTTGCCTCTCTCCTCATTGCTTGTTTGCTTGCCACATTTCCGAGACTTTCAGGGCATAATGCTGATTCATCAAAGGGCTTCGGTGCTGCAGTCTAGATATCCCCAAATTTACCTTAAGTTCTCAGAAAGCATATCAAATAACGCTTCCCCACCCGTCGGGCTACCTCCAACCGTTAAGATGTCGACATCAGAATCGTCAAACTACACGCCCGACATCCCCTCCGAACCCATAACGCGGACCACGGAAGAGATCCACATCGAACTCACCCCCAACGCCTTGGACTCGCTATCCGCTACGCGCTTTGTCCGCTCGCCCTCCGCCGGCGCTACCGTTCTCTTCATTGGCACTACGCGCGACACCTTCAACGACATGCCCGTCTCCTCTCTCGCCTACACATCCTACACGCCTCTTGCCATGTCAACACTGTACTCGATCGCCTCGTCTATGCTCAGCAAGCACCAGCTCACCAAGATCGCTATCGTGCACAAGTTGGGCGAGTGCCCGATTGGTGAGGAGAGCATCGTGATTGCGGTCAGCGCGCCGCATCGCCAGGCGGCATGGAGAGCGGGGGAGGAAGCGCTGGAAGAGGCGAAGAAGAGGGTTGAAATTTGGAAGTTGGAGAAGTTTGAGGGTGGAGAGGGGGTTTGGAGGGCGAACCGGGATGGCGTTATGGGGGTTAAGGCGGATGAGGGAAAGGATGAGAAGGCAGCAACGAAAGTGACATGATAGGGGACGTGGGAACGTGGGAGTAGCAGGAGGAGGATCCCTAATACCGCTGTGTACGAAAATAATCTGCGCGGTAGTTGCAGACTAGGAGCTGAAATCCCGGAGAGGCTGCACTCGGTGAGCATGTGCGTGAGCGGGAAGACCAGCCTTGCACTGCAAGGCTGTTGTGTATTTGAGCTAAGTAACCTCATATATGCCACCTCTCTAACCAACTACAGTTGCGATGATGTTGACATTTCTCAAAGCAATTAGAGGCCGGGTAGATATGAGGCGGTAGGCTAGAAATCGGTGTACTACAAGCGTTGCTAGGTCAAGCTAGCCATTGATGCGAGCCTGTGAGCCCGCCTGCCAGAATAGACAACAGCCTTCGTGGGCAGACTATCGGCAATGGTGGCTTACAACGCCCGAAAATGGTACGTGTGACGACGTAGTGAGTTCGGCACTATACAACGGAGTTCAATGGTGCGCGCCGTTGAGCCTTCGGAAAGTACAGCTGGGTATAGCCTTCATTTGCGGGTAGGTGCAGATTCGGCGACGAAAAACCTGGCGAAAATAATCAGACAATGTAGAAATAAGACTCTGCATTGGAATTCAGGATCTGACGCCTTGCCGCCTGCGACTCATTCGGGCAGAAACACTGGGGCTGGTATGTGATTTAAAGTCGAGGCGGAAGTCGCTGGAAAGTAGACGTGACACAGGCCTGTAGGCGTCTGATAGCTGAGAGCCACGGTCAACCACTGGCGTGCAAGGCCATTGACCTAGGGGGCATCCATGAACTAGCCAAGCGGATAGTGAAGTCCAAGGTGTGATTGCAGCGGACTGAGATCCTAACCCTCAGCGCGAGATTGTTTCTACCAGCTGTTCAGTAGCCTCGGAAATGGTGCTGTGTCTTCCACAGCACATCGCTATGACAGCCACGTGGCGGCCATAGGAAAGGGGATGTTTTGGCCGATGTATGCTCCTGTCCTCATGCGTAGACGCGTAGGTTGCTAGGCTCCGATGGACTGATCGTGACGTTGGAGAGCTGCACTTGTTCCGAAACCTGCGTAGACTGCTCGGTTCGAACGGGGCACGCTCATGGTGCCTTGCCTAGCAAGAATCTGCCTTCGCCGGAAGCAGACCTCAGCCTACCTAAATAGTACTTCTATTCTTACAGCCAGCTATACTTGTACAAGTTGGGCCATCATTACCGTGACGTGTCGCCACTGCTGTTTTCACCCTCCTCCTTTTTCAACGTCTCTCTCGATGCCTTGAGCAAGTCTCCTATCGACTCAGGAACGTTCTCCCCACACTGGTATATTGTATCGTAGTTCAAGCGACCTCGCAAGACACCCTGCGCCTCTTTGAGGCCGGAGATGTCGAACGCCCATAGTGTTCCGCCCAGACCCATTACTCCTGCGCTAACGCAATTCATCGTGGCTAGGTTCAGGGCCTGTATCGCGTCATGGAAGGGACTGAAGTGCTCGTATGGATTGGTATTCGGTTCGTAAAACTTTGGCGTAATTCGGAGGTGCCGTCGGTGGACGGCTCGACGAGTAATGGCGGTAGATGCTAGTAAGCAGGTAGCTCCAAAGACAAATATCGACAGCTGCTGCAGCGACCGCGCTGAGGTAATGGGTGTGCTCTCGTATGTAGGTTCGGGCGATGGCAGCGGCGGGGGATTGACTGGTGCTGCGGGTGGCCTGGTCATCATTCGAATAATCGGGAGCTTCTGGAGGGCTTCCATGAGGCCCCGTAAAGCAGTATGCGAGTAATCGTCTGGCAGGATCGCGACAATTGCGGGCTCAGCTTTCCATGCTGCGGGCGTAACCGTGCTGCGGATGCGTCTGGCCGGTGGACTTGGTCGGAAAGCCCAGATATCGCACAAACAAAAGAGAACGCAGTAGTCGATCTCACGGAAGAGCCCGTGTCAGACTGGGAACTCGGTCAAGCTCTGTGGTGGAGAGCAGCCAGAGGGCTCGTGGCCCCGAGAGCAAGGAAAAGTTGGGATGGAAGGCGCTTAGTCATGCGGTCCAGATCGGATCGGTTGAACGTTTCCGCGCAAGATCCACGCTCTCCACCCGCTTCACGACAACCAGTCAGCTTCCGCTCCGACACCCGCGCCCCCGCAGAGCATCAACCATCGAACCATGATGGTTTCTTCTGCTTGTACCTAGCTCGCTGACCTGCGCTTGAGCGAATTTGAGAAGCATCAGCTCATTCTGCGTTGTGATACGCTGTCTACCAAGCCGTCGGGATACACTCGGACTGTGACCAGCATTATACTCAATGGTGGGCTATAACACTACGCTTCTCCAAGCTCCCGTCCAGCTTGACCACGTCAGGGCGCACCGGTCCAACATGGGTTCCCACTTCGACGGATCAGGATAGTGAGCAGCACTGCAGCTTGCGGGACACGGGCAACGTGCGTGCGTCCTTGTTCCACCGGCAACAGACCCACGGCAGTCAGCATTCGATGAGATACTTCTCAACTACACGCTGTGTCCGATCTTTAGGGAGCCTCGTCTGCCTTATATAGACATGCGAAGGGCATCATTGCGCTTCTCTCCACGCCATTGAAGTTGCAAGAGTAGGACATCTGAATTAGCGGCTCGGCTCTCTTCCTCTCTCATCCCTTGTTGCTATATTAAGGTGCTCCATAGCTCCCATTGATTTTCAGCCTCATGCACAGCTCCGCAAATCCCCACCTATGGTCATCCTTAGCTCTAATGCACGAACTATTTCTTTCAAGTCACCTAACCCGTCACGGCCACCTAGGGCGACTTTGGTCCTCCTAGTTCGCTTCCATCGTGCCTGGCAGTGGCGATATAGCCACAGACTGCATCAGTGCTCTCCAATCGTCTGATACCAAGAGCGCCTCTTTGGCTCCGTGGTGACTATGGTGCTCCACCAGCATGCGGAGTATGCTCCAGGAGCAATGCTTCGTGTGGTCTGATCACCGACCGGACGACATTGATACGAACTGCGGTCCGTGTCTGGAACAGCGCCATCAATGGACGAGCTTTCCCGTCATGGCCGTCCTAGCAAGGCAAAGATCACGAATGCGGGGAGACCAGGTACGGGACCAAAGAAAGGTATAAAGCTAGCTCCCACTTCTTTGAGAGGAGATATCTACGGCATCGAGTCTCCAACACTCGCTCACACCTTCGCTGCCCAACCCTCAACCTAGTCTATCACTTCGTCCTTCGTTCAGGCGATCTCGCAAACCCCTTCCTCTACGACCAAAATGCTGTTCCAGAGTGCTCTTCTTGCTCTCTTTGCTTCGGCGTCTTTGGTTGCAGCCATCCCAGGTGGAGGTGGCAAAAGTACTCCCCCGGGCTATGGCAAAAAGACGACCTGCTCTGCTGGTATTTCCGCGTCTCAAAACGGACAGCAGGATCCCTTCTAACCATACATTAGAGTACAAGACGAAGACGACCGTAGGCGAGAAGAAGTCCACTTACCTGTCGACCAAGACGATCTATATTCCCATCACCAGTGTCTCCGGCAGCCCCAAGACAACCGTCAAGCCTTACCCCGTCACCAGCGTCGGCACTTCTTCCAAGGTAAGTACTGCATTGATGCTGCTCAGACTCAAGCTAACCACCGCAACTATAGACCAAGACAGACGTGGACACCAAGTACGTCACGAAGACGTATCCTGTCACGACTGTCATCTACAAGACCAAGGTCGAAAAGGAGCTGAAGACCAAGACCTGGGTTAAGACATATCCATACACGTGAGTCCCGTATCCTGTTCCTCAGGGGTTTGAGCTAACGCTGCCAGTGTGGTCATCACTAAATACAAGACCGAAGTTTCCACCTGTCCAGTCACGTACCTCACCACCAAAACAAAAACTGACGTTCGCACTCAAACGAAGAAGGTTCCGTATACCACTTCTTATGTCGAAACAAAGACGGTCTGCAAGACCAAGGATGGACACGGTGGAGGCTGGTAAAGCGGCCCGTACCACGTGCGTGAAAGCATACACAGGTTGCAACGCCCCTTCTGATTTTACGAGGATATGATTTACGGCACGGGAAAACGCACAGGAACATATGGAGACATGGACACACTCCTTGCTGTTGATACTGGTACAACGGATATGGATTCCACTGAAAGGAAAATGGCTACTCACTCCTTAGAACTTCCTTAGTAATATAATGATAATCTTGTCCAGATCCCATATCTGCTTCATTGATCCCGGCTAGTATTTCTAAAACAAGTTTTCCACTTCCCATCAGGCCGCAACCACCGTATTTGACAACGCCACGGGATCCGCGACTGTATGTCAAGCCAAAGCATTCCATCAGCCTTACAAGCCGTTGATTCGAGCTCCTAGCCCACATCGAGCCAAGCGCCGTAGCTAAAATGCACGCATCATGCTTACCAGTCGCCAATCACCCGACAAACGTGTACGATTCCAACTAGCTCATATACGCCACAAACGCGGGGAAAAGAACGAGGGGCGAGCACGCGGTAGAATCAACGGCGTCCCCAGGAACAAGAATAGCTCACGGCTGGCCTCAGGCCGGCGAACCGCAGCATTGCATTGGTCGCGGAGAGCCATGCATGTAAGACTCGCCTATGCAGGCCCACGTCTACTAGCGCAACAGTGCATTCGTACCGACAAGGCGATTCGATTCATCAGCCCAAAGGTGTGAGCCTAGACTACGGTATGAAACCCCAGATGCGAACCTGTTGGGACACGAGCGGGAGCTAAAATGTCGCCTGGCGATCTTTCGATAGTGGCAGGTCCCGAGACGGGCGTAGCACAGCGTAGGCTCTGGGGTAGTTTGATCGGCGGGTTTTGGTTCGTGTGTTAGCTCTGGCGGAGAGCGCGACGAAACGTAACTGCAATGGATGGAAGGAGTGAGATCCTGGTTGAAGATGATGGGTATTTGGGGGTTTGAAGTCAGTGCCAGGCATGATCGGCTTGCAGCGCGGTGCATTGCATTTATTGAAATGCGCCCCGCAAACGAGTCTGTCGGTGCTCTTTTTTTTTTTTTACTGGACTACAGACTTTGTGGCATGTTCGAGGTGGGAGAGCGGGCCGCGTACAGGTCGAGCCATCAGAAGTGACATGTTTCGGGGTTGAGGAAGGGAGAAGTGCGTTACATCTTTCCTGGAGTCTTTCGGAGTCCTGTCTCTTGTTAGGGGTCGGGAGAGGCCACCTTCAAAACCTCAATGTTAGGGTAGGGCTATAGCTAGACCAGACGTTACTGGGTAAAATATGTTGCCCCCTCGCACAAATAGACCCCATGTCATGCCGACAATACGAGCGCCCGTCTAGGTAGAACCGTCCCGTGAGGAGGATCTGGACGTTGATTGGGAGCGCGGTTGCGGGGGACTGTGATTCCGGGAGACGATGGGCAACGAAAGGCTGAAATGTACCGGGATTCCGTTGCTGTGCAGGATGAGGAGACTTTGCGGGACGAAGGGCTGAGCGGCGGGACGCAGGATGGGGTTGATGGTCAACATACAGGGGAGCTTGCTGCTATGTGAGCTTGTGTGACTATCGAAAAAGAATGGCGAGCCATCTAGCTCAATCCCTCATATCCATTTACGGGAGAGAATATTCCCGGACCTAGAACCTGACCGACTCCCCACCGAAACCACGGGAAGCAGCACCTAGCATACCTATACGACGACTAGTCATTCCCCACGGCTGGCTCCACGGAACACGTGAGGTCAAGGTGACTCTTTCGCCGTGGTCTTGGTGGGGCTCCGCATGCCGTGCCACTGCTTGTTCGATCTACTTAGCTTGATTGCTACGTGTGCACGCAGAGTCTTCGAGAAGGGATCGGAGCCTAGTTTTTCAATCTGCAGACAAGAGTAACGTGACGCGCATGTCATGTTACTCTTGCCGATTGTCGGGTGCTGTCGGCCTTGTACGTAAGAGTAGCACCGAATGGCTGCATGTCAGCCTCCCAACTACTGCGTGGATGACATGATTGATATCGCCGTCCGCGATATGTTCCATCTCAGCTTACCTTTTATGAGCCGAGGCAGAAGGCAGTAGCAAGAGGAGCTACTCGCGCTTGGGGATCAGGTCCGGAACGAAACAACAGAGAGCACGGGAGGGGTTGAGATCCCCTTGCATCGTTTGACCACATAAGTTCGCACGTGCTCTCGTCCCACACCTCGTCGTTCATGACGCCATGCACGTAGCTCTTGCCAACAAATATCCAATGCTCCGCATCTTCCTTAACCACCAAGGGCATATTTCCGCTCTTGAGCACTCGGATCCAGTCTGCAGGACGTGTGAATCTGGGAACCAGCGCGATATATCCCTGCGTTGTCCTGACCACTCTGCGCTAATTAGATAGTCGGCTTTCAGGCGGAAATCCGACGTGCTGGATTTTGGCAGGCTTGAGACCAAACACTCGCCAAGCCGCCTGGAACATGGAGGAAAAGAGACGGTTGTACCCGGTAACTTTCCCGGAGCGGGGGAACCAATCTATTGTGATTCGAACGAAAGATGGGAGAGGTCGGATCATGGTGTAGCAATTAAAGCGAGGATTGTAGTGGCTCATCCATAAGACGGATTCATCACCGCAAACGATCAAGATATCCCTGGGCGCGGACGCTTCCTGGACGATCAATGGGCGCTGTAGAAGGAGCGCAAAAGCTCTCCAATCCGGGTCATAGAAAGTAGGTATGCCACCGGGCGGTGGGACCACCAAATCCTTACGAGATCCACGCTCCTGTGATGCTTTGGCTATTCGGCACGCCGACTGTATCGCGCAAGCGCTGTCCTGGCTCTCTTCGCCCTACCAGACCACCGTGCGCTCACTGCGCTGGAAGATGTCCTTCATTAAGGTCGCTTCCTACCCCGTCTCTTCAACATCTAAGCATCAACCCAGTGTTGACGCTCGATGGCCCATCTCGGAGTTGTTGGAAAGCGATGTATAGGCTCTTCGTCACCCGTATGATGCTTTGGGGACCAGCCGTTTTGAGGTTGAGGTCGAGGTCAAAGATCCGAGCCAAGCCTTGTAAGCCGCGTGCTTCCCGCTAGGGCCACCGCGCCGCAGAAATACCGGCTTGGCACCGACTAGCGTGTTTGTGCTTTCGTCTTCTGCCTTCTGTCGTCTGTCTTCTGTCTTCTGTCTTCTGTCGCCTGTCGCCTGTCGCCCACTTTCCCTCGATCCCCCGAGGCCTACCCCACTCCACGCTCGAATCATTTCCGAACTATTAGCTATTGAGATTCATAGGCTATCATCGCTCACTCTACAGCCGTTATTCGTATAGTCCCTCTCACCGCGTCGTCCGTCCCCCGTCCTCGCCATGACAGATGCATCGCGATCAGCAATCATCGAAGCAAAGCCAATTGCGCGTGGACTGGATGCGTTTCGCGAGTCCGCTCAGTCGATCCGTCAAGGACTTGTCGCTTCCACTCAATCCACGGTGCTGGATCGAATAGACAATAAAGGTTAGAATGTTGGACCCACCATGATATTTCTCTAATAGACACAGGCTTTCGGAATCATGTTTTTGATCTCATATTGGCACTGCAAAGTCTTCCTGCCTCTCGTTCGCTGCCGCCTACCAGTGACACACCGAACCTAGCCCTCGATCTTGACCGACTCCACGGACCCATCTTCGCCGAGGATTTCGACATCCAATGTGTTATACCCCTCCTCCGCGCAGTCCTCGACAATGAATGCGACACCGTTATCTGGGAGAAGGTCTATGACCTACTTACAGAATCAAAATTTGCGACCCATCCCCCCCCGTCATCGCCGCCCCCACCGTCAACGCCTCCCCCGTCCGGCTTTCCGCGTGTTGCCTCGTCTCAGCAGACACCTTGGAAGTTCACCTCGGGCAGCCTCGCGGACACATCCGAACTCAGGAGAACTGTGGATCCAGTGCTCAAGGTTGAAGTGGGGGATAGCCTCAAGGTCGACCATCCGGACGTTTTCGATACGTTCTTTAGGCAGATGCCGAAGCTTCATGAGATGACGACGGCAGTATTGCAGAGATGCCAAGCAAGGGAACCGCCGCTCTTTCAGGAAAATAAGGGTTGGACGGAGTGGCCAGAAACATGCGAGGAGGCTGCGGTACTGAACTTCCTTAACAGTCATGTCAATCATTTTCTACGATATGCGAATGATCACGGTTTCCGCCCTACGGAGCATCGTCACTGCGTCATGGATCCGAACAAGCCCCTTATTGGCTCGCTCGGCAAGCGAAAGCTAGACATCGGCCTGGTGCAAAAACCAAGCAGCGAGCTGGAGAAGAGTGACAAGCAAAATTATAAGTGGTCCAACATCCTTATCCCGGGCGAGCTGAAGAGCAATCCGCGAGAGGATAAACACAACAGTACCTGGCTCGATCTCGTCAGGTACGCTCGAGAGATATTCAGTGCGCAAGACACGCGGCGGTTCATTCTGGGCTTCACGCTATGCGGTTCGATAATGCGGTTATGGGTATTCGACCGGCTTGGGGTAGTAGGTTCTACGTCATTCGACCTCAACGAGGATGGCAAGATGTTTGTCTCAGTAATCTTGGGATACTTGTGGATGTCGGAAGAAGAGTTGGGGTATGATCCTACTATCACACGAGAAGGCAGAAGATGTACAAGCATTCAGCGCGATGGTCGGATTGAGTCTGTATGCTTGGAAGACCTCATCAAGCAGCAACACTCGGTCGTTGGCCGTGCGACCAGGTGCTGGCAAGGTTTTGCTGAGGATACACCTGAGCGGCTGCTTGTGATTAAGGATTCGTGGGAGTATGAGGAACGGCTCGAGGAAGGGCTTCTCCTTAAAGAGGCAACAGAAGCTGGGGTTAAGAACGTGGCACGATACTACTACCACGAAACCGTACGCATCGGTGGCCGGGTGGACGACGTCCTTGACAATGTGCGCAAGGGACTAAGTGACACCGCCGGCCGGAATCCGTTTCAACAACTAGCAATACGTACCGAATCCGTCACAAGCTCAACAACGTCGGGTGCAAGAAGGGGGAGGAGCAGGAACAGCAGTCGGACCACAACACGGAAGAGGTCATCGAGCGGTACTCAGGCATCGATGCCGCCTCCCAAACGCCCATGCTTGGACTCGCCAGATGAGCAAGATACATACCGACGAAGAAACCGCGTTCACCGTCGACTTATTGTGCAAGACTTTGGGAAGAGCATATACAACGCACGTTCTCCACGCGGCATATTGACGGGATTACTTGGCGGCATAAAAGGTGTGCGCCACACGAAGCTTTGTGGGCCATGGCTAATTTTTTAGGGCATGAGTCGCTACTGGATGCGAATATCCTCCACCGAGACATATCTATCGGGAACGTCATGCTGAACATGGCGGAGGACGACGGGTTTTTGATCGATTTGGACCTCGCCATCAAAATCGACCGCGAAAGCGCATCCGGAGCACCGAGCAAAACTGGCACCAAAGTATTTATGGCAATTGGCGTGCTTTCCGGAGAGGACCATAGCTTCATGCACGACCTGGAATCGTTCTTTTGGGTGTTGTTTTGGGCTTGCATTCATTGCACAGGTTGTGGGCAAAGCCGCGTGTCTAAATTCGACGCGTGGAATTTCCGGGCGACGGAAGAGCTCGCCAAAGTAAAGATTGGTTCGGTTCTCTATGCAGATACGTTCAGCAAGGAACTAAGGGAGAATGTAACGGCTTATTGCGCGCCGTTGATTCCTTGTGTGGAAGAGCTGCGGAAGGTGGTCTTCCCGGGGGGAATGCGATGGCTGAAGGAGGATCGAGGGCTCTACTCTCGCATGAAGTCCATTCTTCAGCAGGCAAGTATTAACACAGATACCCTGGAGTAATAGAACCAGGTTTGGGTCGATTTTTCGCGTTTTCTACTTCCTCTGGCGGGCTGTCGCGTCGCAAAGGATTCGCAGCGCTGGATCAGCTTCCAATGGTCCAGGCGGGGCTGGACTGACCCTGTTAGCGCCGTGGCCAGCGAGCCGGTGCTTCAGGTAGTCACGCATCAACCCATGGATCTGACAGTCTTCGTAGATCCGGGGCCGGCGCTCCGACATCGGGGCGTGGGCCAGCATCTTGTTGCGAAGCTCTATGGGTAGCTTCGCCCAACCTTCGGCAAAGGCCCCATCCATTCACGAAAGTGCGCCACTTTGTCCGGCTCCACCAGGTCGGAACTCCTAGCTCTACTCCCCTACTCTAAGGCGATGTAGTCATCCCCACTGAGCTTCCAGTGGCCCCAACCGACCGGACTTCACCGTGGAGAAGCGTCGTCACGAAAACATGCTCGGCGGGCTCGAACCATGCCATGTTGTGCACAAGAGGAGGCGTATGAGTGGGTGCATGACAGCACCGCCTCCGGATGAGATATTCCTCATTGTGCGACTATGAGACCCTAATTTTGTTCAAGTTTAGCAAGGACTATAACGAGATCTACATGACAATGCCGAATCAGAAGAACTTCCGCAAGAGCTTGTTGGGGCTGCTACACATGGCGTATAACGAGGATGATTAGCTTTGCTTACATTAGAGTTTGAGGGTTAATGGTAGACACGCGCAGATACAAGCAGCATGAGATAGCAAGCTAAGAGCAAGCGCAATGGATCGCAGTATTCTTAAACAGGTGCTAGCCCTTCCCTCTATCTTTTACTTCTCAACCCTCGGTTCGTCTCTCACCCTTCCCTGACGGCCGCTCGTGAAAGTAAGCTCAATTTCCTTAGTACCGGACCCTACTACTTCGCCGCCGCACGACCTCGTACTACATAAGCCTCTAGTTCTTCTACTACAACCCTACCACTCACCGATCAATCTAACAATTGAAAAAAAAAAACATCGAACAATCAGCTCAGAACAATGCGCGAAACCAACGCCGTACGAGCCATATTCGAAACATACTACAAGGGCGCAGTCTTGAAAGTTACAGGCTGGAAGCCCCAGCAAATCAGTACTTCCTACACGCCGAAGATCCCAGTCGTTGAGGAGATTACTATTAAGCAGTTGAAGCTAGGTGGCCACAGATTCAACGGCGCCATCGTCTTCGTCGTGTTGACTCCCTCAAGCGACGAGGAGATTATCTGCAAAGTCTACGACAACACGTTCGCCCCACGTAGCGACAGCGACAGCGATAGTGACAGCGACGGCGACAGTGAAGCACCTCTACTAAGCTCGACGGTCGCGTTTGACACGGAGAAGAAAGCATACCAGAAACTCAGCTCCAAGCCTAAGATCACCAGCGGCATCAACCCAGAATACTACGGCTGCGGAAAGATCAAGCTAAACAGCGGCGATGAGTGGCCTATAATCCTCCTCGAGCACGTTCGCGGACAACCGCCCCACCGCGTTACCAGCCTGATAAATAAGCCCTCCCGTAAGCAGCGCAAGCGAATTATGCGTAAGCTTATTGAGGCTGATAGCGACATTCTATTCCACGCCAACGTGCGCCATAACGACCTCGCGCCGCGCAACGTCATTATCGAGACTGAGACAATGCCAGGTGAGGGCGGGAACAAGACAGTGCCAGGTAAGGGCGGGAACAAGACAGTGCCAGGTAAGGGCGGGAACAAGACAGTGCCAGGTAAGGGCGGGAACAAGACTGAGAAGATCCCGAAAAACCCGCGTGTCTGCCTGGTCGACTTCGCACAGTCGACCTACTTCACTAAGAACATGGAGAAGCGCTATCAGAACCCGCTATTCCGGTGGACGAATCGCGTGGAGGAGTGGACGAGCTGGGGCTGGCTGGATAGCAGTGGTGCCGAGGAATGGATGTGGGGGAAGGGGAGTCGGAAGAAGGGCTATCCGGGGGTGCAGAAGGACGACAAGAATGGGTGGGTGGAGTGTGTGCGAGCAGAGTGTGCGAATGGCGGAGATCTCTGTGGGAGTGGTTGTTCCCTGCCTTTCTTGGCGCGCTTGTTCGGTGCGGCAGTGCTTACCAACCCTTAACTTCATCTCCACCCCGTCTCCTCCGTATTTCCACGCCTCTATCACGCTGAACGCGCAGCCTTGCGACCCTTCAAACCCGCGGTCCGGGAAGGCTTTCCCTTCGGACTTCGAAGCGCGGGGACTATTCGAGGTCACCTTCCGCAACCGACCAATCATGTTGCACAACGGCATGTTTACTGTGACGGAGGAACGCGCCTCAAAATAGAACGGAGAGCCAATGAAACACGGTACATATGTTCCCCGGTGAGCTCCTAGTGTGCGGAATGGAGACGGCTTGCATTTTCCTGCGCTTGCTTCTTTTAGAGTGACGAAGTAGTGCTGGTGCATATGAGCAGAAACGCGGTCCCTTTTGAGCATCAGGCCGGCATACGGGCGGAGGGTACTTATATCCTCCCTTGAGGCCTTGCAGCCTTGTTGCAATTGAGCGTTGTCGTATCACTCTTTTCAGTCACTCACTTTTGTCTTTCATTCCACTATGATTATCCCGTCACTCATTCTATTCACGCTGCTATTTGCGTGCTGCGGGCTGGCTGTGCCAGTCGCAGAAGAGAGGAGAGGAGCTTGTATGTCAATTACACTCTGCATGGACGTATGATTTGCAGAAGGCTGACTGCCCTTAGCTATGAGCTCCGATCTGCTCAACACTTTCAACTTGATGGAGCAGTATGCCTCGGCGGCATACTGCAAGAACAACTTCAACTCCCCCGGCGACCAGATAACTTGCAAGTCTGGAACCTGTCCACTCGTTCAATCAGCCAATGCGACGTCCGTCATTGAGTATGCTAGGTAGGTACTCCATCGGTGCAGATAGCTGTACCATCTATTCCCTACCCAGATCGGCCTCTATGCCATATATCCCCTCATTTCTAGCCCCTAGTCCACTCGAGCAGCTCTCCACACAAGAAGCTAACATCCCACCTCCAGCACCCTCAGCACAGACGTAACAGGCTACGTCGGCCTCGACAACACCAACCGCCTCATCATCGTCGCCTTCCGCGGCAGCGCCTCAATCGACAACTGGATTACGAACCTCAACTTCAAAGCCGTCTCCACCGGCCTGTGCTCCGGCTGCACCGCGCACGCCGGCTTCTGGCAGTCCTGGCTAGACGCCCGCGACGGCGTACTAGCAAGCGTGAAGAAGACCCTCCAAGCAAACTCAGGCTACAAGCTCGTAGCCACAGGCCACTCGCTCGGCGGCGCTATCGCTTCCCTCGCAGCCGCCGACATGCGTAACAAGGGCTACGACGTCGCGCTGTACACATTCGGCGCCCCGCGCATCGCGGGCTCCAAGCTCAGCACCTACATCACCAACCAAGCCGGCGGCAACTACCGCGTCACGCACTGGAACGATCCCGTGCCTCGTGTTCCGCCGATCGCAATGTCGTTTGTCCATATCAGCCCGGAGTACTATATCAACAGGGGCAATGGGCAGGCGGTCGGTGTGGGCGATATTAAGATTTATCAGGGGAGCGTGAATATGCTTGTGGGGAATGGGGCGTGGATTGCGACGGATATTTTGAGTCATCTGTGGTATTTTAATGGTGTTTCGAATTGCTCGTTGATGAAGAAGAGGGGTGTGGAGGAGAAGGAGAGAGAGGTGGAGGTCGTGGCTAAGTTCTGATGTACGCTTGGACGCTTGGATGTTGAGGATAGTGCTTTGAGGTATAATTGAGTACTGAGCGACTGACGGAAGCTAAACGCGTAGCTCAAATAATGATGCTGGGGTATCTACGTTGGCGCTGACCAAATGAACGTCACTTTTCGCCTCCCATATCCACAACCCTCAGACCCTTTCTAGACTCTCACCCTAGAGTTCGTCTTCTATTACTTCTCCTCCCCGATATTCCCATCCCACTCTAACTCTGCGCAGGTATGCTCTTTCCAGAGGTGCTCCACCAATGCGCGTACTTCGGTACACACCGTATCCGCTTCCCTGTACTCAGCACATAGCGCGCAGGCATAGCCGCCTCCTTCCCTGTGACACTTAACTAAGAATCTGGTTCCGACCAGAAACGTCCTATCCACTCCCTTCTTCTTGTCGTCCTCTTTCACAATCTCCCAAGCCTTGTTGGGCCGGACAGGCACGTCAGCGTGGCAGAATGGACACCGATTATCGCCGCCTGGCTTGAAATTGTCCGCGAGCGGCAAGGAGTGGGAACTCTGGAGGTCGCGAGCGTAGACGCAAAACAAGCGTGAATCACGAGTCGGCTTAGGCTGGGGCTTCGGAGTCGGTTGAGTTGCAACGCTGGACACAGACTCCGAGCTCCAACTCCTCCTCAAGGCAGGCTTCGGATTTGGCTTCGGCGTCTCTGGCCTCCCTATGGCACTGGCCGATCTCCCTAATGCGCTGGAACTGTCGGAGCTCCGGCCAACGCTCCGAGCCGTGCCTTGCAACGCCCTCTGGACGACAACTTCGTGCGATCCGTTTCCGGTGGTGGGCGAGGCAGGGAAGGCTCCTGGGAGTGGAAGAAGCTCACGACTATCTGGGGCCCCAAGCATGCGCTGGTACTGCACCTTAAGAGCTTCGATAGATGCTGTGCGTGTCGCTCGCGTCGTTTGAATGAGCTGGGTGAGATGATAAGACGGCGAATGGCGGGGAAAGTCGACGTTGAGCATGATATCTTCATAGATGTACAGGAGGGTCTGTTGTAGGGCTATGATTTGAGCTTGGAGTTGATTGCGGGTTATTACTGCAGCTAGTAAGCCCACGAAGCTGAAAGAGAGGGTTATGGGCGAACGTACGGTCTCCCATTGCATATTGCTCTCCCAGGTAGTGATATCCTCGGTCGAATTCGGCTCGCACTAGCGTCGGAGCTGTAGCTATTGATTCCTCGTCGCTGTCGCTAGATGAGTCCCCTCTCAGTCTGCTGCGGCTCCTGCTTCTCCAACGCACGGGTCGATGGCGGCCTCGCTCATGGTCGGAATCAGGACTCCTTCTACCGTGGTGCGGGTGTTCTCGATGGTGCTGGTCGATTTCCTCCTGGATATCTTCCCGGATATGCTCTTTGATGTCCTCTTTGATGTCTTTCTTGATGGCCTTGGACTTCTTCTTGAGCTTGCGGTACAGGTCGCTGGCGGATCCAAACGAGTCTGTCAACGTGCGCACCAGCGACACAACCACGACAAGGTCCTGGAGGACGCCTTTCGTCTACGCGAGAGGGTCAGCGGGACTGTGTTTGTAGGTAGAGCGAGCCAACCTAGTGAAGGACGGGCGTACTTGCATTTTCGATCTGCTCCTTCATTGGGATATCAGGCGTGGAAGCATTGTGGAAAACAAAAGTTGAGGTGGAAGGTACAGAGAAAGTTGAGGCCTTTAAGATCGCGAGCGTAATTCACTGTGGGTGGCCGTGAAGCTCACCGGTGGAGTGACCAGGCAGCCGCTGACCCTGCTCATCACGTTGTCCAAGCATGCGGTCGTATTTCTTACAGCCACTCAGCTTCAGGGCTCGCTTCCTATTGGCTGCTTCACACCGATGGTTTTCTGTCCTAGATGAAGGTCTGGTTCCTGCTCGCCGTTTCCGTGGCGGTGTTGCACTAAGCCTGCGGCTGATCTGCAGCCAGCCCCTGGCTGTGCACAAGAATGGGGTGAATTGCCACTTCGTCGGTAGAGCTTCAGATTGCTCGGAAAGACATCGTTTCCCCTCTCTTCCGTGTGGAGAGCCACCGTGTGGGCGAGGTTCGGATGACTTAACCGCGGGGCCCACGTGCCCAGTCCGCATCGCCAAAGTTCGGGCGCCATATCACCCGCACTCAAGTCTGCGTGCTCACCGAAAGATGATGAATGTTTTGCAGGTGAAGGCCGAATGTGATACAAAGTCTCATGCATGGCGGGGCGAGTGTTCGCTCGAGGGGGGTTCGGGATCGCGAGATGTCAGAGCAGGCAGCGGGTGCGAGCGCGTCCATGAGATTTGTCGTTGGGATAGCGACGAAAACTGAACCTGGCAGGCAGACGGGTCGTGCTGAAGATGCGCGAAGCCTTGACGGGATCTGACTGGAGTTGAGATGAGAGGTGTGCTGCCCGCGCGCGCCACCGATCGCTCCACGGCGCTAGGCCTGTGCTGGCCTCCATCCAAACGCGTCTGACGCCAACCTCTTCAACGTCTCTTCGTCCCTCACCTTTCCCCCGCTCAAACGACAATTCCGACTCTGCTCTCAACATGCTCTTTGCCCTCCTTCATGAGCCGTGGGTCGTGTGCAAACCCGAGCCCCCGGCCCGCGGCCTGCTCCCGGCGCTTCAGGTTTCAGCACCACAAGCGGTTGGCTCACAACGCTCCATCACGTCGCGCATAGCCGCGCTCTACACGATGCAATATTTGTTGCAACTTCATTTGGCAACCTCCGCGCTGTGCCGCAACGACTTTCAGAGTGCCAAAAAGAGGCGTTCGCTCGCTGCGAACTATCAGCCTCCCTGAGATCCTCTGCGTGTGCTCTCTCATACGTACGATAGCCCGCTTTCTGCCATGAGTGAGAACGTTCCTTTCGAAATGCCGACGGAATCGTTTCCCAAATCATGTACTTGGTTATTCCCCGGAACCGTCAGCTCAGCCGGCTCCTATCACCCAAGGATCGAGGTCAAAAACTTGGGCCACGACCGTTACGCGGATACCGAGTTGGCCTGAGGAAGCCAGACCCCTGAGAAAGCGCAACTGCATCTCCTTTCTGTATACTATCGGGGACGTGCTCCTGGTACTCTTGCCGATCTATTTCATTCGTTGGTCACCCTTCATTTTGATGTTGCAGTATCTGACTCTAGTAGTTCTCGGAGTTGCCGTTACCACACTCAATGGGAAGCGTACGAAAGGAAATGCCTTCGGTCCAAAGGTCGAGTCCGCAATGGATCTAGTGGGTCGGACAGTACTATCGTTCTTGTCCTTGACTGAACCGGTATAGGGTCCTACCATCTTTCTAATTGTCTTCGCAGCAATCAGTGGGCGCAGCATGAAAATGATTGCGCGATATCTTGCTGAGAGAGGATCTAAGCTTAGCGTCAGTCTTCTATGATCCTTTGGTGTGGTCCGGATGCTCTCCTAGGTGGAGAACTTGCTAACGTGTGCAAGACCTTGGAATTACTCATGGCCAGCCAGTCAGTATGGGGTACAGTCGAAAGTCAGGTGTTGATGCAGCGACTCACACTAGTTGGCGCAAATCTCCTTTTTCTCTGGACACTCTCTCCACTCGGCGGTCAGGCATCCCTTCGACTAATGCGAAGAGACAATCGCGCGGCGGAATCATCGACGAAGCTCCGCTATATGAGCATCTGCCCTGGAAGCGCAATGTGGGGGATGGCGACGACATATGAAGAAAACGGGAAATTCGCCGACGCTGCTGCCCTATACAGTGCTGCACTTCTGGCGCCTCAAGCAAGCAAAGTCAGACCACAGGATCCGTGGGGAAATGTCAAGATTCCGAGCTTAGAAGCCTACAATTTGTCTAAGTCAAACTCGGCCGACTGGTTCAACCTCCCATCGCGCATATCTTCGCCCGAGGTATACTCATCCTTGGTGGGCCTTCCATTAGTCGGTCTACCTCCTAATGGAACTTCTAGGTTTACATTGGAGACCAGTTACCTCACCGTCGACTGTGGGCCATTCAGTCAGACCTTGTACCCAAGTAATATATCTTCTAATCCGATGCACACGAACTGGACCAAACTAGAGGAGCTAGTACCCGGTCAAGTCTGGGCTGACAAATCCGTCTGGAATCCTTTTGAACCTCAGAACCGCACGACGTCATTCTTCATTGACACACCGCCCAACCTACCTTAGCATCCAGGATCCGGGAGACGGAGTATACTTGGGTCGTTTCGATGCTTTCGTTGGCAACACCAACGCTTCGGTACTCGACAGGGGCAACGACACCGTTCGTACGCACCGTGGGCTTCTGTATACTTCCTTATACCCTAGCGGCGATTCTGAGAACGGCGACTTCGCCCTCAACATCGGAAGATGCTCGCTAGCTCAGAGCCACGCGGAAGCCATGCTTCGTTGCGACGAGGATTCCTGTGTCACAGAAAAGATCAGAAAGTCACTCTCAGATCACCGCCCGGTCGCCTACACTAGCTTGGAACACCACTTGATCATGTACGGGCTTGCACAGAACTTTCCGCTGGCCGTTTCCTCAAGTGGAGCCTTTAGCAGTGCCACAGAAAGGTTCCTCGCCAACAGCTCCTCATATCCATTTCTGCAACAAAACGGTCACCCAACTGCAAAGGAGTCCTACGTCGATCTGTCCGTTGTTCCTCCGGACGTATTTTCAAGACGGCTTAGCCTGCTTCTCAACACCTACTATCAGCTCAGCATTCGGCCAACAGGATATTTTGGAAGCTTGTCCACAAATTTGTCTCGATACGGCCCAGACACTCTCCCGTCCACCGATCTCAACGCCTACTTACCCGCGAACCTTTCGGCAACGAGCCATAGCATCGAGGAATGGTGGCCTCCTTTCCGAGACTTAGTGCAAGGAACGGATGCACCTTTCATTGGAGCAACGACGATGGGGAATGTTACCACAGTCGAGGAGATATTCGTCTGCGACTTCGCTTGGCTCGCACTGCTTTTCGCATCGTCAACTATCATCTTTATCACAGGAGCGATTGCGCTAATACTTAAGAGAAAGACTGTAGGACCCGAGCTGTTTGGATTCGTAACGAGCATGACGTATGAGAAGAATATGTCAAAATACCTGGGGGAGGAAGCACGCTAGATGCTATGGAGCGAGCGAGACTATTGAAAGACGTGGAAGTATTCGTTGGTGATGTGCATGGCGAGAAGGACGTAGGACACATAGCACTCGCTGCTGGAGTTTCGGTGCGCAAGCTGGAGCGAGGCAGGCTGTATGCATGAACACTAGGCGGCAAAATGACGGAAAACTCGGACCCCTTCGCTTCATCACCCGTCACTAATGACCAGTGCTCGTTGCATCGTCGCGCGTCATGGTGGCTCAGCTCTTCGCCAAACCCGCGGACATTCGACTGCGAGGCTGCAATTTCACAGCCGCATTCCATTGGACCCATATCGGAAAGCATAAGTACACCAATGCGAACTTGGGCAGATGCGGAAGGCTAGAAGGCCTCGAGGTTGCATTGTGGTGGACCTTGAAGGATCGTCTTCGAAACATCCTCTCCGAAGACAGGATGGCAGCCTCACAACGAGCCAGACCCGCCGAGCGACCACCCTGATCATCATGCTGGCGCTTCTCCTAGCAGCCAGTCTTTCGCGCTGCTACGAAAAAGATGTGACAGCCGCAGGTGCGCCATTCGTGATAGGGAGACAAGCTTTCAACGCAGCCGAGGGAAACAAAGTGGATTGACGGCCACGACAGCGCAGCCGAAGAGGCGAGTGGCTCACCAATCGGTCGTTTTTGACAAGGATCCTCTTCGCGGAGGTGCGACCATCTTAAAACATCGAGTGGCGGCCCAGGGGTCCGGATCTTTCTGCGGGCCGTTAAGCGACTCCACTGTGACCAATTACCGGTCGTATGTGCCATCCAAACGAAACCCCCCCTCCAAGGCGAACACCATAGGCAGGCATCGTGGATTTACGGCCTTTCCGTCCAGCCTCATCGCATTAATGTACCTGCATCAAGCCCTTGACCCTGCCCAGCTTTCTTTGGCTGACAGGCTTGGGCGATCTTGGCCCACCCCCGGTTTCACGCGTAAACGCTCGCTCTAGTGGGAAAACTTGCGGCCTACCATGCGTCTGTTTGGTTTTCCGAGTGTCACTCTCGAAACGGTTTCTTAGATTAGGGATCGCCAAAGGAGTCTTCGGTGGAGTGCAAGGCGGTGGGTGCGTTGCTACGTTAGACAACGTATATAAGCGGCTGCCATCACCGCTCAAAAGTCCATCATCACAACACACTCTTTCAACGCTTCGATCTTCTTTCAGCGTTCACGGTGCTTTCTTCTCTACTAGCTGGGCTAGCTCGTTTTTGACTTCTCACACTCCTTCAGATTTCTGTCGTTGCACGACTCCAGCATTATCATCATGTCTTTCCGCTCAGCAGTTCTGGCAGCTACCGCTTTCCTCGCTACTGCCAATGCACACATCATTATGCAGTCACCCGTTCCGTACAGCGTCGACAAGATCGATAGCAGCCCTATCACGGCCGAACAATTCCCCTGCAAGTCTCAGAACGGATTTACTGTCTCGACCATGAACCAGATGGCAGTGGGGGAGAGCCAGAAAATCACCTTCAAGGGAACTGCAGTCCACGGTGGTGGATCCTGTCAGCTCAGTTACACTCAAGACACTGAGCCCACCGCCAACTCTAAGTTCAAGGTCATCAAGAGTATCGAGGGTGGATGCCCTGGCGTGGACGGAGTCAATGAGTACGACTTCACTCTACCCGACAGCATCCCTAGCGGCAAGGGCACCTTCGTTTGGACCTGGTTCTCCAAACTGTCCGGTGCGCCTGAGCTGTACATGAACTGTGCTCCCATCGATGTCTCTGGAGGCGCGAGCGATACCTCCGGGCTCGATGCGCTGCCTGACATGCTAGTGGCGAACATCGCTTCGACCACTTGCGAGAGTCCCCTGAATCACGCCCTCCAGTTCCCGGACCCTGGCACTGTCCTCGCAACTGGCAACACCAACGACATCGAACCACCGACCGGTGATTGCGGCACCACGGGCAGCACTCCGCCAGCATCTTCAGGCGCTGCTGAGCCTTCTTCTGCCCCTTCGTCCGCTCCTGCTGCCGACCCCTCCTCTCCGGCCGAGCCCTCTGCTGCTCCTTCCAACACCGGCGGAGTCTTCGCCCCGGGTGCTTCCAGCGCCGTTCCCACGTCCACGATGACGACTCTCGTCACCGTCACCGCCGCTCCATCCGCTCCAGCAGGGACCGGGTCCTCCCCGCAACCTACTTCTCCCTCAGGCGGTGGCAGCGGAAGCGCGGCCTGCTCTGAGAACGGCGCCATAATCTGCAATGGCACCTCTCAATTCGGTCTCTGCAATAACGGCAACGTAGTCTGGCAACCTGTCGCCGCTGGAACTACCTGCTCCAACGGCACGATCCAGAAACGTGGATACAACGGACGCATTGCGCGACCGAGAGCTGTCGTTCCTGGCAAGGTATTCACACCTGACAACTAGGCATTTGCTTAGGAGTGTCGCATTCTTTGGTGGATGATGGTAGTGTTTGGTGTATATTACTATTCTCCTAGGGTGTCTGTGACCGAGAAGTTTGGGGTTTCTGTTTGTTATTTCATCTTCATTTCTCACGAGCATTTGCGGCGTTGCACTTGGCAGGAAGCATTCTCAAAGCGCTTGAGATGTACATTCTATCACAATATCCACGGACATAGCACCAGTATCGTACATACAAAATTTTCAGGTGCATACTTCAAAACGAAACGCGCTCCCTTCTCTCCTGTCTCACAGTGATCGCGCGACTGACGATCGATTGCCCAGCATTCAAGGAGATATCCTTACACATGTGTACCCGACCACCCCAGCTTACGTCTACCCCTGAAATCCTTACGCAACCGAACTGCGAATCCTTTGCCCCTCCGTCAGAACCCATGTTCACACCCTCGAGCTCCGAAATGAAGGAGTCTAGTAGCCCATCCAATCGAACCGGACCTGCCCACGCCGTTTTCCTTCCCTTTTCGACACCTTGTTTCACCTCGAAGAGGGGTGTTTGGTTCTTCGGCGATCGCTCAACTGCCGCGATGGTTGTGTGAGCCAATTATGAGTCTCCCGAGCCCGCGGACTTGAAACGTCGAAACATCGAAACGAATGAGCGCCCCGGCTGCTCGGCACTCGCCCCTTATCGATAGCCAGTGGATAGGGATGTGCGCCGAGGCTCCGCCACAGGTTGCGTGCGTGTGGCTAGGGAGGTCGTGTTTCGACTTCATGCCATGGATCCTTGAGCAGCTGAGCTTCTCCACTACGCCCTGTGAAGGTGTTGAGAGCTGCATGCGAGTCGTGGCATTATGCAGTACTCGGCCGGACGTTTTCCTCTTCGAGCGGGATACCCTTCGTCTGCGCCACAGCGCATCGTGGCACTTCGGGAGCAGATGCATGCAGTTGCGGAGAGAAAGACACGGACAGGAACACGCCGCAGCGCTATCGATAGGGCAGGATGCGATTTGCCGGGGTCGGCTTATCAAAGGATTGCGCTTCATCATGTGGTAGGACCCGGTGGCACAGCCTGCGGAAGGAAGGCGACAGCCGCGACGAAGCTGTGCCGCTGAAGGTAAAGTCTACCTCACCTGTTTACCACTACTCTCCACATCGTCCTCGCTCTTCTACGACGAGGGTCAGCCGAACGTACGGCGGCCACGTTGAGGCCAGTTGAGAAATGCGAGCTGCCCTATATCTTTGTCCTGCGCAGGCCATCGAGGACCTTACCGACATCGTTCATTGACCCGTATTCCTCAAACACGTCTGCACACGGGGGTCTGACGAGAACCTCTCCGCGATGGACGATCTGCGATGTCATTTGGCTCTCTGACGCATTTCCCAATGTGTCACAGACCAGTCATTGCCCGAAGCTTCTAACACCTTCATACATGCCCTAGCGCAGGACATACCGGAATCTTGTGCGGGAGTATGTCGAGCGTTGTTGATCGGGAGTTCAATGCGGTATGCAACAAGGAGGGTGATCGCAGCCGTTCAGTTGCCCTCCGTGGAGTCTCCCAGTCAACGACATGCTGGCGCAGGGCCCGTGACCGTGCGGCCGCCAAAGGTGGGGCTCCGCTGCAGCTGTTATGACTCCCATGGATATGCTCACGGCAGGCAGATCGCCTAGTAAACGGGTTACTCCTGTACGGAATGGTTGGAAGCGAGATGGGTGTTCGGTGCAGAAGACCGGTCTTCGGTTCCTCAATCTGAACCCGGAGTAAAGATCGCAGATGAGTCAAATGCTCTCAATCCGTTGACGGATCTAGGACAGTCACTCCGACTGAGTAGATGAGCGTTCCATTATTTCTTCGTTCACTACAGTATCCAGTCATTCTGCCCTGTTGACTCGATACCGTCGGAGTCAACGACCTTGGCGTCAACGATGTGAGAGTCAATACTCCCGGAGTAAATGTCCATAGAGTCAGCATCACTGAAGTATAAATCTCTCGCCGTGCTTCTCCTTCCCTTCTTCCTTCGCTTTCACAATTCTCAACACTCTCCAATTCAGTACCATATTTGCACAGATATCCACTTGCTTGAAAATCCATTTTGCCAGTTCCTATTGGTCATACGGCTACTTCATTCCAGCATCTCCCAAGAAATCTTAATACTCGAATTTTACATTCTACGACGACCTCTCTTCGCTTCAGTCATGTCTACATTGGGGAAATTCGACTTTATGGTTATCTATGGCGAGGTAGAGGGTGGCCGCGTTCTCCCTTGGCTAGACGAGTGGGCGAACTTGAAGGACAATGTTCGGAACATCCTGGCGAAGGCGGGGCGGCCAGGCCAACCCGGTCGAGCGGAGACAGCCATAACAGTACTTGGGAGGAGGGTTGGAACTTGCGAGGTGCCGGCGAAGGAAGACGTAAAGGCCATCTACAGTATGTTAATTCCTTCTGCTGCCCTCTGCATGCTGATCTTGCGCTCTAGTGGACTTGTTTCCAACAGCGACCCTAGAAGTGCAAACGGTTCAAAGCTACCGCATACATCTTCCCCCGATGTATCCTTCCATGTCTTTGAACGCGATCAGCGCTTAAACATGTTTGTATACTGGCATTGCAACTGCTCGGATCTCTATCCAAGTGTTCCTAAAGGCACCCACGATTTGCTCCGGACTGGACTTACTACCAATGGTGATATAGCCCTCCCGTCAGCCCAATCGGTACAGTACCAGTCAGTCCCTTCGGCGCAGTACCAGCCAGCCCAGTCGGCGCAGTACCGGCCAGCCCAGTCAGCGCAGTACCAGCCAGTCCCTTCGGCGCAGTACCCGCTCGCGCAGCCTCCAGGTCCAGTATACTGGCAGAACCAATCCGGCCGACCCGCCAACGTAAGCGGGGGAGCAGTAGTGACCCAGGCAACAAAGATACTTCTACTGAATCTTCCGCCCGACATGAGCGCGTCGGATAGGAGATATATCCTCGGGGAGATAAAACCACTTGTCCCCACCAAGTTCGATCGATTGCAGCTCGAAGCGGACTATGACGGCAAGATGTATATGCTGTTCGACAGCCAACGAGAAGCCGAGTGCGCTGCTGAGGCAATCAACGGAAAACCTATCAGGGGATATAAAATTAAAGCTCACTTAGACAAAGACGATGTTGGAGAGATTCCACCCCCTCTCATTGCGCGTGACAGCTTTCCCTTGGACAAAGACGAGGTTGGAGAGATTCCACCCCCTGTTGCGCGTGGCAGCTGGTGATCATCGGCGGCTCTGCGCCATGGTAAGGATAAAGGACACGAAAACCTCATCTCGCTAACGAGTGATAGCACTATGTGACTCCTAGACGCGCTTTAGTCGGTGTCGAGTCCGTACAGCCGGTGGTGGTGCAAGGCGGAGTTGCGACACGCACAAATCATCCTGTGCGCGTTGTCGCCCATCCGGCCTCCTTTCCGGGTACCGACAGATTTTTCTAGTTTCCTTACTATCTAGTAGACAGATTGGTTCTGGGTGTTTCTATGGTGTGTTTCTGTAGAGGAGTTCTGGGTCTGAATTTTCTTTTCTGTTTCTCAAATTGTATTCCATAGTCTCATGGCTGTGGTACTCTCACTCATTACCTCCATAAACTGCACGTTCTAGTGCCTAATGATAAATGCTCGTAGAACCTGTAGCGCTGCTTCACTCTTTATCTGACTTTCTTCATTCCTTCATGTTCCACTGTTCGCAGTACGCCGCTCAAAGCAGGACCGTCCACGGAACTCAGTCGTTATCTGATCATTGTAGGGCTCCCGCACGATCCTGAGTACACGATGAGCCTGTCAAGAGATGATAATCCGCAAACGAGATACGAATCTGCGCAAAGAAAGCATGCTTTCGGTGCATCGTGGTAGGGGCAGCCTCTCATCGCCTGAATACGCGAACTTCGAAGCTCTTCCCTTTCTTCTCGAGAGAGGTGTGCGCGCGGGTGAAATTTGAATATCGAGCTAACAGCCTAACGGCTATTGAGATGCTCAAAAACGCATATTTTGGTAATGGACAGATCTTAGTCCACTTGGGCAACAATAGCGCAGTTGTCGTTGGGCGCGTCGGACCTCGCAGCAACTTGGTCTCTGAGTATGGAGGACCTCCTCCCCTATACCCCGAGTTGTTACCCTGCTGAAGAGCCGCAGCAACATCTGTTTCCAGGACGAAAGCCAATTCTTCCTCCAAAATGTCTAAACTCGAATGAAATGCATGTCAGCCAAGGTTGGATAGGATACGAGAGGCTGAACTCACGGCCCACCAATAGACAGGCAGGCCGAGATCTTGTCATAGTCACCTCACCAGCTTCACTATTTGAATGGCATATTCACCATGGCGATATGCCTGCTCCCGTATTTCGTCGACCGATCTAGCCCTACTTTTGCGCGTGGTCGAGCCTTATCGCTTCTGCCTTTTCCTACCTCATCGTAATCAGGCTGTCTCCACCTTCTTCCTCTTCCTCAAACTCACCATTCCTCTATTCGATTTCCATCCCGTTAGTCCCCCATTCAGCCTGCCTTTCTCGAGAACAGGTTTCCAACATGGAGATAGTTGGCGCTGTAGCATCCATCATAACGCTCGTCGCCCTTGCAAAAGAGATCTCCGCTCTCGCAGACATACTCGTGCGAAACGTCCAAAATGGCCCGGATGAACTTTCCCATATCTCGAATCAGATCTCCCTGGTCTCCTTAGAACTTGACCTGCTCCGGCGCCTGGAGGACGAAAAGGATGACGGCCCTCTACTGACGAATGAAGAAGCGTGGATCCTGAAGCAGTCACTCACCATCGCGAACCACGATATCGCCGCCATGCATAGGGAGTACCAGAAACTGGCCCAAAGCAGGTTTAGAAAAGGGTCTCGGCTATCGTGGGCGCAGTTCGATAGCAAGACATCTAGCAATGCTTTGAAGCAGTTGCATCGAACGGAGGGTCACTTGCTCTTGGTCTTGCAAGTTATCAATATGTATGCACTCTCTGAGGAAGTATCCATGGCATGATGGCGCTAACCATGGACGGCAGGCAAAGAACCGTCCGAGCGCACAACGAGCACGCAAGCCAATCTGCTCTGATCCTAGAGGAGCTGCGGAACTACCAAGCGGAAGTAACTCAAGGCTTCTTAGTTTCGCGCACATGTAAACCGCGTACTGCAGCCTCAACCTTCGATCCCGAAGCCAGCACCGCATTCCGCCACCAGTACTCCTTCGAGCTGCCTCCATCCTGGAAGCCGCTCCTCGGCAGCGACGTCCTCCTAACCACCTCGCGGAACAACTTCCAAACCGCCTACGAGTTCTTCGCTCGCCTGCCAGTCATCACATTCTCGGGGAAAATGGCGTTCGTGCTCTCCTTCACGCTGCGCCACATGTCGGGCCTGTGTCCCAATCTTTCGATCCTGGGCGGCGGGCTGAACTTCGTCAACATCGTGCCGGCGGAAGCCGACGTCGTCGTGGCTTGCGAGAAGGGCGATATGCTTGCCGTGCACGAGCTCTTCCGCGAGAGAAAAGCGGCGCCGAACGATATGACGGATGATAACAGAACGCTGCTGTATGTAAGCAAAGCAGATCCTCTGGGAGAGAGAGAAAATAGCGGTCTATGGCTGACAAGAATTCCGCCAGTACGCTGCTCAAAGCGGGTCCACGGAACTAGTTCGTTATCTGATCAACGCAGGGGCTCCCGTACGATCGTAAGCACCCCTTTATATCGTCCAGAAGAGACGAAGAACCCCACTAACGACTTCCCGCAAAGAAAGCAGGTCCTCGCCGCATCGTGGTGGAGACATCCCGCCATCGCGCGCCTCCTCCTCTGCAACGGCGCCAACGTCGAAGTCTTCGGCGCGGACGGCTTCACCGCGGCATCGTATCTCTACGGGCCTTTCCGCCCGCGCATAGCGCAGACCGAATTCGTCGAGATCCTAGCCTGCAACTCATTCTCGCACTTCAACGCCCAAGACACCGACGGCTGGACCGTTCTGCACCGCGCAGCCGCGTGGGGCACCGCGGCCGATGTACGGGTGTTACTGCAGATGAAAGCGTCGACCAGCCTGCGCACGTCTAGATTGAACTGGACGCCGCTTTTCTGCGCTGTGTGCTACAAGAACATGCATACGTTGCGCGAACTGTGGGATGAGGGGGACGATGCTCAGCTGAAGGAGCAGCAGGACCTGCGCGGCTGGAACTTGCTGCATGTTGCGGCGGGATATGCGAACTTTGAAGCTGTTCCTTTTCTGCTCGAGAGAGGCGTCGACCTGCATAAAGTTAGTAAAGCGACGTCGAGATTCGTTCCGATGCCTCTTCGTGACAAATGCGTCACGCCCACCGAGGTGGCCAGGAGCTGCGGCGAGAAGCTATACGCGAAATGGGTCAAGGCGTTGCGAGACGCTGGACACGAGGTATCCTTAGAGCCCGCAGAAATTGACTGGGACTCGGAGGAAGTCACGGGAGGATTGGGGTTCTGTGAGTGCTGTGAAAGCTGGAATCTTTAACTTGACTGGGCTCTATCGATGAGATATTGATCCAGTCGTAGTCTGAAATTGAGCTGTCGATAGGAGATGTGTATATGCTGGGTATCAACATCCTCACTAATGTTCCCCTCCGAGACATATTACTCATGCGTCTTGTTGGGAAGCCTCCCACATATGCAACCTATTCGTACATTCAATCCTTGATCCTAACAATATCGGGAAGGACGTAATATTCTGTCTGCAGCCGCTATCATCCCAGACAGAAGTGACGTGAGGAACGCTCGGTCGTACCCCGCTCCCCGCAACACATGTCTACACCAAGCTCTTCCTCGGACGCCCAACGGGCTTCTTCTTTTCCAGAATCGCGCCCATCCCTCCCATCACCACATCTGCCATTGGTGTGGAAACCGCGGGCGTCACATCACCGCTCTTAGTCCTCTTCTCCTCAACCTCCGCGTCTGCGCCACCCTCCTTCGGCAGCCTGAACGCTAGATAGGTCTCGTCGGCCCTCCTGCAAGTGTCGAACACCTCATTCATGTATTTATCCACCACATCTGGTGGACGAAGGGCGCGAGGCAGTGATTGCAATATTTCCGGATTGCCACTAAAGACGAGGACGGTGACGGGTTGGTAGAAGTCGACGTCTTTCATATCGTTCTTCTCGTCGTAGTCTTCAATTCGGGGCGGCGGCACGTACGGTGTTACTGGCGCTGGCGTCGCCATCTGAAGCGGAGTTGGGGTAGGGGTGTTCTGGTTCGGCGTTGGATTCCCATTGCCCGCCATGGGAACATTCGGAGTGGCAGATGGAGTCGGGCCTGGGGTGGAGCTCGGCGCGGCTTTCGGGCCTGGCGTCGAAGGCGTGTTTGTCTTCGCTTCCGCCTTCAGCTTTGGCTTCAGCTTAGTGACTAGAAATGAGAACTTGGCTCCTTGATGGTTGGGAAGCCACTCCATGAAGCTATAAGAAGGGAAGTAGAACTTGTCCCCGTTGCCCTCCACGAAGTCGAAGATAAGGGGCCGGTAGGTCTTAGGAGCCTGGTATTGGGGCGCGTGCTGCGCTTGCTGGTACTGCTGCGGCTGGCTATATGTATACTGGTTCGGATGCGGCGGGTGCTGCGGCGGCGCTGGGGTCATTTGCGGCTGATGTGCTTGTGGAGGAGCAGAGCTGTATGACTTTGGGACATTCTGTGGCTGCAGCTGCACCGGTTGTACTGGTTGTGAAATAGGCTGCGGAGGGGGAGGGGCAATAGCGGGTTGTGGTGGTGGGGGAGGAGGAGGAGGAGGTGCTGGCGCTTTCGCCGCTGCCTCCTTCTGCTTCTGCAGTATGTTTGTCAGCTCGCTGATGTGGCCCTGGAAGAACTCGAGCTGTTCTTTGGTGGCCTGTCCCGCGGCGACAATCTTCATTACCGCTTTCAGCTCTGGATCCTGACCGGCTCGCTGGGCCAACATGTGTATGACGGGGTCAGGCGCTGGTGTGGGAGTTTTTGTGTTCGGCGCGGGAGCGGGCGCTTTCGGCGGCGGCGGCTTGGGCTGAGAGGGTCGCTGTTGCGGCGTGTTCGGGTATGATGCTGGTGGAGCATGATTGTATTGGTATGGGCTCTGCTGGTTGTGGTTCGGCCATTGCCCGTACGTGGGCGCCTTCTTCTGCACCTGCCTGACCGCCTCTCGCGGGCCGTAGAGCCGGATGGTGAATGTGTGCGGTTCTATCACCAGCTGTGCCTCTCCCACCAGAGGGAAGTTGCGCACAATTTCCTTCTGCCGCTGAACGTTCTGCTTATCCTCCTCGCTGCGATCGGCCACCTTCTTCGGCGGGGTGAAGAGGGCATGGAACAGCCTGAAGTTCACGCCAGATATCCATACTGCGCGCGATCGCTGGAGGGAGGCGCTCAGCACGCCGCTCTGCTGTATGTCCTGGTATTCCTGCGACGGGAGGTCGAGGGGCTGCGGCTCGGAGAGCGTTGGGAGCGGCTGGCCATCGACGACTCGGATTGGCAACACCAGCTTCGGGGCCTGCGGCTGCGAAGTCTCTGCAGCTGGTGTTGTCGGAGTTGGTTCATCGGCGGGGATGAGACTCGTCCGTTTGCGCTTCAGCGACTTTGCAGCTTGCTTGCTCGGCGTCTCTTTGGGCGTCTCTGGGGGAGGGGGAGCAGCCGCCGCCTCCTCGCGCGTGCGCGCCCTCGTCGACCGTCGTGGCTCAGACATGGGAGGCTGCGCGCGATCATGTGGAGGTGGAGATAATATGCAGCCCGAGTCGCACAGCTTCGCGACTTTACCCGCGCGAGGTTAGCGGTCACGTGACGGCCTCTAGGCCGGCGCCGGCTTGCTGGGTTCGGTAAAGTGCGTTCGGGATATATTTTATGCATCCAACAACACCGCAGCCCTGCAGGCGTCGGAACAGTGTATCAGACTATCGAAGACCCCCTCCCCCCCCCAATGACGATTCGGGCCTCATGTGTCCGCAGTCTGTCCTCCACGCGTCGTTGAAGGCAAGAAGAGAATGAGGTCGAGGCAGCTGTCAGCTTTCTGGGTGCCGGCGCCGTCGAATGCCTGCTTGTTTAATAATGAGGAGGCCTGATCTACGACGCGCATCGTAGACTAACCACACTTCGGGGCCAACGGGAAATTCCTCAGCCCCAGTCCAGCGGACCTGAAAGGGCAATGAGCCTGTCGGTGGAATCCGTTGGCGCGCATTGATGGATCCTTTAAGTCTCCCTCGCCCTGCTAGACGACGGTTATTCGGGCCTCTTCCTCTTCGTTCGCTTTTTCTTCGCTCAGACTGTGGCAACCACCATGTATTTTCTAATAAGACTCGCCGCCGTTGTCGCCTTTTCGTCCAGTGCTCTCGCGACATGCTATTTTCCAAATGGGGATGTGTCCGGCGCAGATACTGGTCAGTCACAGTTCAGACACAAACGATTCGTCTATTGACAGATCTAGCGTGCACCCCAAACTCCATTGTGTCGGCTTGTTGCTTTGACGTATGTCTCCCTGATCGACTTCTCGTCTTAGGGTGTTCACTACTGACAATCGCAAAGGGTCAAGCATGTTTATCGAACGGCCTTTGCGTCTCAGATCCTCACAGCTCATCGCTAGCCCGGCTACACAGAGGCACTTGCACTGATCAGCAATGGAAGTCCGGCAACTGCCCAAAAGAGTGCACAAGTACGCGAAGAACCTCCCGGATTGCTTCCACTATTAACATTCTCCTAGGTGTAGACAACAATGGCGTCCCGGTCTACAGTTGCAACTCTACGAGTACGGACGAATACTGCTGTTTCGATAACTGTGAATGTAATTCAGGCTTCGAGACATTTTCGTTCCAAGGCGCACCCTCGGACGTCTACACCCTCACGATCATCGGCGAAGACTTTACCAATACGCATGTATCTACGACCGCCGCGGCAACATCGACGTCAGGCACTTCCACAGGCTCATCAGGCCCATCCGCTGCATCTGCAACCACAACCGCGACTTCAACCTCAAGCTCTAGCCCCGCCAATAGCGATGACGGCTCCTCATCCAACGCAACTGCCGTCGGCGTCGGTGTAGGTGTCGGCGTGGGCGGCGCACTCCTGCTCGCAGCCGCAGGCCTCTTCTTCTGGCGGCGCAAGAAGCGCAACGACACCGAGAGCAACGCCTACGCCGGCTCATCCAAGAACCCAGCAGAGGCCGCCAGCACGGAGTATTACCCCCCAGCTCAGAAATACGCTTATTACTCGGAAGAACTAAGGTGATTGCTTCGTTTCCTGGACAATTCCCGCTGACTAGCTGACCAGACCATCCCACAGTGCCGCTCCAATGAATGCGCCCCCGTCCGAATTGCCGTCAGACAACTCTGCAAACCCTGCTGAGCTCCCCGCGAGTCCGCCGCCCAATCAGACGGGGATGAAGAGATAGCGGCTATGACTGAGGCTACGAGAACAGGGGCCGATCCCGATGCTTCATCGTTATATTGGGCCACTACCCCCTTGCGAGCGGGTTGCCTGCTCGAAACGACGCCGATCCAAGCTCAGAGTTCAGCTGGACATGACCTCGCGCCGAAGCGCCTTTTAAAGCAAAAGAATTTCATCAATCGCTGGATGGAACTGGATGCGCTCGTCTTAGCGCCCTCTCAACAGGTGTATGGTTTCTGGCAACATCTATGCATGGCGCTGCGACAGAGGGTCCTCCGTTATACAACACCACTTCTTTTCATCCTGGAAGCCATTTCTCCAGCGAACCTATCTATTTCGATTCTTCCATCTTCACACAGTACGCTGCTTCACATTTAGATAGTTTAAACATACACATTCCAACGACAATCACGACACACGTTCTTCCGCCATGTTCGCACCTTCATTCCCATTATTGGCATAGCCCAGCTGTCAGCAACAAGCAAACCTACTCACAAGCTATCTGCAGTCATCCCGAGAGAAGTTGAGATCTGATCATCGCAGTCGCGGCTGGGATCGATGATCTCACGCATCACATTGCTAACCCGATCAGGCTGTTTGGAAAGAAGCTTCGCCCCCCATCTATCCACAAAAGCTTTTTTTTGCCTTGTGCGCGGACTGCTCAAGTGCTTATCATCTAGAGTGTAGTCGTGAAACTCGGGCTATACAGCGAGCTGCAGCGTAACGCTTCGCCTGGAGTCTTGATTCGCGTACGTGCCTTGAGACTAGTCGAGCTATCGCATCGCATCGCGCAACGAGCAATTTAACAGAAACCGGCGCTGACTAGATAGATAGCGTTTCGCGTCTGTGGCTTCAAAAGCTCGATGGTTGAGTAAAATGCGGAGGCCTGGCCGGGGGTGGGATGTAGCGACTGGGATGCTGTAACTAGTCGCGGCTTAGTGCTGTGCGAGGAACGAGGACAAGCAATTAACGGCCGGTCGGGGCGGGAAAAGCGGGTGTGTGAGATGGAGGGGGAAGTAGGAGTTCAGGGTTGCGGAGCTGTGGTGGAGTTTAGCAGGGGGCGAAGTCATGTGTTTGCGTGGTCGTTTTGCTGGCCTAGTTTGATAGGGGAGCTGTGTCAGCGGAAACTATCTTTGCTCTTCTAGAATATGTCGTTTCTAAGTACATAGTCAGCCAGCCAGCCAGGCCTGAATGCACAATGCGCTCCAATGACTACGCCTAAACCTATTACGCACTCTAAGCACCCCCTATCCCCCTATCCCCTTACTCGACATCCAAACCCACACGGAAGTTCTTCTTCTTGAACGCACGCCGCACCGCCAATGCAACCTGCGACCAACCCACTAGCTCATTATGCCCTCCATACCTCACCACCTCCAACTCCACACTGCGCTCCCCCGCCGCATCCTCCACCTTGCGGTACGCAAAAGCGCCGCGCTTGACGCGCTCGCCGCCATGGATGCTCCTCCTCTCTTCAGTCGATGAAACGCCTTCTTCGGCCAGCATCGCAGATTCCAAAAGCGCGTACAGTGATTCTGAGAGCCGGAAGGTGATGTGCTGGTCGTTGCGGGCATGGAGGAGCGAGAGGCGGAGAGGTGTTTTGTTTGCAGATGTAGCGGAGAGGAGGGCTTGGAGACGGGGGAGGGTGGGCCAGTGATCGAGGATCTTGGAGGAGAGGAAGTTTGCGATCTTTGGATATGGACGCAGAGGCGAGAGGACTGGGATGATGCCCGAGATCTTGTGCGTCTGCAGCAGTTCGCTCAGGGTCGTGAAAGGCGCTACTAGCACAACACCGGCGAAATGCTGCGGTGAGGCGACTGCGGGCTCTGGCTTGACGATGTCGCTCGGGAGCTGCTCGGACTCTGGATCTGTGAAGAAGAGTGCAGAGGCGGCAGCAACTGCCGTTCCTAAGCTCTGGCCGAGGAGTACTGTTCGAGATGCGGGATGCTTGAGGTCGTTCAGGATGTAGGAGATGAGGGAGATGCTGTCGGTGATGAGTCCAGACTCGGTCGGAATGTGAGGCGGGTTATTGAGAGACGATTTGCCGAAGCCCCGGTAGTCGCAGGTGAGGAGGTGCGTGTGCGGGATAGCGGCTACAGAGCGGTAAGTCGAGGGGCGCCAGCCTTGGGCTACGTGACCAGCATTCTGAGAAGAATCAGCATGTATTCTATTCATCAATTGACGTATGAAAGAGAATAACGCCACTACCAGGCCGGAAACCGGGGGTTGGATGTCAAGATAGAAGACCGAGTACTTACCCCATGAAAATTAACCACAACCCTACTCTTCGTGTCCTTCATCAAGAACCTCGCTCCCACCGTACCCTCCAACCCATCCGCCACACCGCCCTCACTCTTGTCCACAATCTCATTCTCATGCTCCAAATACACATCCAGGGGAAGCACGTGCCAACAAAAGAGCTTCTCCCCATCACTCGTATCGAGCCAGAACGGCTGGACTTGGCCCTCTGCATCTCACAGTCAGCTTGAACCGCCCCAAAAGAAATTCAAATAAAGAGTTAGTGAAGATTTCAGAGGCAGAACGTACTCGCAAACCCAAATTCCTCCGGGTTCGACACATTATGCCAGAACCCCGAATGGATCTTATGCATGTATAGCGCGCTGATCCTTACGTTAGCGCTTCTTGCAAAGCAAAAGTAATGGAGATATGGAATGGCCTTACTGTCGCTGAAACCATGCGTTCAGCAGACCGAGCATGAATACGGCATAGAGGCCTCCCAGCGCGGCGAGGAGCCAATAGCTCTTCTTCAACATCGGATGCAAAGATACCATGGTTGATGTTCGCTCAACTCCGTGTTTTCCGGTTATGAGATATCCTCAGCAGAATTTCTATATTACGGATTGAGTATTACAGGGCTTTTCATTAGGAATGGGGATGAGGGAGCGATGGAAAGGCGTTGAGTTTCGAGGGTGGCAGTGAAGATAACTCAGGCGCTAGTCCGAATTTGGAAGCTAGGAATATCATGCTTGGCGTCTTACATTTCGTCTCTTGAAATGGGCCGTGAGGCCTCGATATCTATGTGGCATTCAAAGACGCATTGCAGAGTGAGGACGCGTATATCTCATTCGTGACAAAGCCCTTACAATGTACAATATACAGTATGTTACATTTCAAAGCCTTCTTATCGCCCAAACATCCGTCTATATGCATCCCTAGCCCTTTTTGGGTATTAGCACGAGAAAGTTCCAACTCAGCCTGCCCTACTATCATTACCCTTCTCCTATGAGTTCCTATCCTTCTGCTCCTTCTCATACTTCGCAATCAGCTCCTTCTGCAGTTGCGGCGGGGCAGGGCTGTAATGGCTGAATTCCATCGAGAACTCTCCCTTACCTTGCGTGCTGGCCCGAAGCTGCGATGAGAAGCCAAACATGCTGTTAAGACTGCAGTCCGCATAGACTGTGAAGTCTTCGGGGCCAATCTCTGTGTCATTGATGACTGAGTTACGCTTGTTGAGTAGCCCGACGACGCTGCCCTGAAACTCGTTTGGCGCGGTGACAGTAGTCTTCATTAAGGGCTCCAGCACCTGAGGTGCACCCTGCATGAAGGCTTTGCGGAAAGCTTGTTGTGTTGCGTTCTTGAATGCCATTTCGGAGGAGTCGACGGCGTGGGTAGCACCGTCGTTGATGATCATTGAGGTACCCAAGACTCTGTGGCCGAGAAGAGGTCCTTTCTGACAGGACGCCATGAAGCCCTTCTCGCAAGCGAACAAGAATTTTTCTGAGATGGTACCACCAGTGATCTGTTCTTCAAATTTGTTCTCCGAAAGCGACTCGCTAGGCTCCATCCAGCCAACGACGCGGGCGAAGTCTCCAGAACCACCAGTTTGCTTCTTGAGCGTGTGGTCGAAGTTGACACGCTTGGTCATTGTTTCTCGGTATGCGACTTGAGGCTGACCAGTCTCGCATTCGACTCGGTATTCTCTTCGCATGCGCTCAACGTAAATATCGAGATGCAGTTCGCCCATACCTGAGATCACAGTCTCCTGAGACTCCGGGTCTACGTGTACTCTGAAAGTAGGGTCTTCGCGCGTGAAGCGGTTCATCGCTTTGCTGAAGTTGGGTGTGTCTTTCGTATGCTTCGGCTTGATGGAGAGGGAAATGACGGGTTCAGGTACGAACATGGACGTCTAAATGGCGTCAGTCCAAGCATTTGCACGATTGACGATTGCAACTCACCATGGTGTATCCTAGCGCACCATCTGTGAAGGTGTCTCCAGAGGCGCAATCAACACCAAATACAGCGCAGATTTCTCCGGCACCAATCTCTGGCACTTCCTCCATCTCGTTGGAGTGCATGCGCACAATCTTGGGAATCTTGACCTTCTTGTCTGACCGGGCGTTGAACACATTCATGCCCTTTTTCAATGTGCCCTGGTATACTCGGATATAAGTCAACTGTCCAAAGTTGCTCTCCTCGAGCTTAAAAGCCAGCCCCACGAAGGGTAGCGAGTTATATGATACTAGCTTGACCGGAGCCTCCTTTCTCTTCTTGTCCAGCGCCATGTTCTCGACTTCCGCGGGGTTGGGGAGGTAATCGCAAACGGCATCGAGCATTGGTTGGACTGACTTATCAGCCAACGCAGAGCCCATCAATACTGAGGTGAACTTCAGAGAAATCGTAGCTCTTCGGATAGCGGCCTTGATCTGCTCGGGTGTTGGCTCTTGCTCGTCGAGGAAGATTTCAGCAATCTCGTCATCAACATCCGCCAGTGTCTCAATCAGCTTTTGCCTCTTTTCCTTGCAAAGCTCAACCAGTTCCGCCGGTATCTCATCTTTCTCGACGATAATCTCTCCCTTAGCACCCTCATTGTAGATGGCCTTCATCCTGATGAGATCCACAACGCCCTGGAAGCCATCCTCGCGGCCAATTGGAACTTGAATAGCTGCAGCGGGTATACGGAGCTTCTGGTTGATTTGGTCAACCGCTTTCCACGGGTTAGCGCCCATGCGGTCCATCTTGTTGACGAATGATATCCTAGGAATATTGTATCTCCTCATTTGTCGATCCACCGTAATAGTCTGACTCTGGACACCGCTGACAGCGCAGAGGATCATGACCGCTCCGTCGAGCACCCGCAACGCTCTCTCCACCTCGATTGTGAAGTCAATGTGGCCAGGCGTGTCGATCAAGTTGATGTGATACCTCTCGTCCTTCCCGTCTTCCTTCTTTATCCAGTCGCAAAAGGTCGCCGCAGACTGAATGGTGATGCCCTTCTCGCGCTCGAGGTCCATGGAGTCCATTTTTGCGCCGACGGCATCTTTACCACGCACCTCGTGTATGCTGTTGATACGACCGGTGTAGAAGAGAACGCGCTCGGTCGCGGTAGTCTTGCCGGAATCAATGTGTGCCTGCATTCATCTTTCTTAGCTTTCCTCAACGGCTCTTACATGTTGCGTATGCGGCTAGAGGGGATGTCTCCTTACAGCAATACCGATGTTCCTGACTCTAGCCAATCTCGCTGCTTCGATAGGGTCCAGATTCTCGACGATAGTTTCTTGTGATAATGTACTCGGGTCGGCGGTTGCCTTCTCCATCCTATACGTCCGAATTAGCACTCAATCGCTCTCCGCAAAACGATGCTTGCAGCGTGCGATCTGTCTGGGACACTCACACTACTGCAGCAGCAGACTGCCATCTCCTCTGCGCATATTCCCGTTGGCTGTTTATCCATGCATCGGTTTTTGTGCCGCTGGTAAATCCCGTACGGGACACCGCGGCGGTCGACAGAGCGCATCGCGAAGGCGCTCGGGACGCGGTTCGAGTAGAATTGCGGAGGCAGCTCGCAGCGAGCGATTGCGCCCGAACGAGAGATTGGACCCTCATCCCAAAATATAGAAACGAGAAGAGCAAGAAAATGAGGGGACGACACCGAGGTCTGCTGCTGTTTGATGTAGCGCAGGTCGACACCACCAGAAAAAGTTGAGCATGGATCATCGGAGGTTCGGAGGTTCGGCGGAGAACACGGTCACGTGCTGACGTGAATGCTGACCTCGGGACGGAACCTTGGCTTTCAGCGATGAATCATGTTGCAACCACCGATGAAGAGTGCAAAACAATGCGAGCAAAGACATAGTCTATTGATTGTCCACCTAAGCTTTCAGCAAACACAGCCACAGAGTACAGTAGACCTCTGGATTCTGTTGAGTTGATACGCCAGCACAGTATACAAGCAGCCATATCGACCCCAGACCTTCAAAGCAGAGAAGCACGAGAACCGTGCATGATGAAGTCTCCCCAATAACACCTCGCAATGGTCATGAAGCTCCCCAGTCAATTTGCTCCAGAAAATGCTGATATCAGAAAGGTAGGGAAATAGGAACGCTTAGAAAGGTAAGGAACTTGTCAGGTATGGAGATTCCGGGCAATGGCCCAAAACAGGGGAAGCAAGCATTTCAGACCACTATGGAGACCAAGCGAGTCTTGCCCATCCCAAGACGGAATGCGCCAATGAGCCCCGGCTAGCGAATGGCCTGGCCTCCGAAACTCGGCGTCTGCAACTCGACGGTGGAAGACTCTGCCCGCTCGACCGGGGTCGCTGCTCGTGCCGGCTCCTTCTCCACGGCCCCGTTGGTAGCAGACTCTGCAGCTGTTCGCTCCATATTGACGGACGTTTCACGGGCTTGTTCGGCGTGGACAGCTTGCTCCTCGGAGTGGCCATTGGTTACGGCTCCTTTAGCTTTCGATACGACCTCTTCGACCTTCTTCTTGCCCTTGGCCACAATGTTGTCGTGCTCCTTCGGCTTTGCGGGGGCTCTAACAGACGGTCCTCTTCGAGGAGGAGAAGTAGGCTTCTCATGTGTCTTGCTTGCACTGGCTGCGGTCGGTCGCATCATTCGGGCCAGAAACCCTTCATCTGAAGCACCTTTGGTCGAAGCGCGGGACTCTGGTCGCTTAGAAGTCATAGTAGATGGAGCTAAGGAGGCTCGGGATGGCTGCTTATGAGCGGTGGGAGCAACTTTGGGCGCAGGTCGTGACACAGTGGAAGGCTTCCGGGCAAGCTTTGGGGCAGTAGCATCCTCTCCGTGCTTTGCGGCCGAAGACGCGGTGGGTGCAGTAAGATGAGACGGCAACCGGACTGGTCGGGTGGGCGACTTCGGCCTTGGCTTCTTGAAACCGCCTGGAGATGTAGTTGTGCTATCTTTTGGAGCCGGAGCCGAAGTCGTTGGTTTCGGAGCAGCGGGTTTCTTACTTTCAGTAACGGCCGCTTTGGTTTTAGCGGCAGCGATTGTGGTCGTTCCAGTGGTTGCCGTGGATGGTCGCAAGGACGCACGGCTAGTCTTCGGTGCCGGGCCTTTAGCAGACTCCTTTGGCGCCGTAGTCTTGGATGGTGCTTTGGTAGGCGCGGGAGATTTTGCGGCGGAGGGAGTAGTTATAGGGCGCGGAGTGGTAGGGGTCTTAGGTACTCTGGCAACACTAGGCGATTTCGGAAGCGGGCTCTTCGCAGAGCTAGCCTTGGCGGCAGAAGCTTTGGCTGTCGATATGGCAGAGGGTTTTTTGGCCGCCGCTTGCCCGTGCGTTGCCGGTTTGCCATTGGCTTTTGGTTTACTCTCTTTAGCCTTTGGTGTCTCAGGAGCAGGTCCGGTGGCGTTTGACGGCTGTAGAACCTCCGTTGGTGGGGGCAGCGCCTGGCCCCCTGACACAGCAGCTTCGTCCTTTAGGTCTGCCGGCTTCAGAGATGCCTCTTCTTGGACACCAGTCACAATCTTATCCGGATTCTGAGCCGGCGCAGCCACGGGGCCGGCATGCGTGGACTTCTGCTCGGCCTTCTCAGGAGTAGGCGATTTGACTACGGCTTGCGTAGCAGTTTCCTGGGCCTTGGACTGCTCCGCCTCTCGGCCTACAGGCTCGGGGAAGTCAGACCCTTTCATTATGCTCCCAAGATTCGGCATCTCGCCGGCTGCTTCGCGGATCGGCGGTGGGGCTCTGGAAGACTCTCTTGTCTCAACGGCCTGCTCTGGGATAGTCTCAGCTACCGAGCTGCTCTTCTCCCGCTGTTCTTTCTCTTCACTGACTACCCTCTTGAGTTCTGTAGGGACGGCCTCCCCCAAGTCGTCGCTAATACTGAAGCTTTCGCGGCGGTGTGCGGCGGGGCAGTTGACACTGGTGCCTTTGGAGGCCCCCAGGTCTTTTACAATGTGGCCGCTCGGCTCGACGGATACGAAGGATGCTCGGACTTTGGAGGTCGGGCGACTGGCGCCGTCGTTGGCACCGTTGCCTGCTGGGGAGCGACCGCGGGGCTCAGGAGAGGAGGCGGCGTTTTGGTTCTCGAACATGGCCCGCAGGTTTCGGACGCCGCTGCTTGCGCGATCGCTCATGGCTGCGACGGGACGGACAATCGTTAGTTGAGAGCTCGGAGGTGGTGGGCTGCGCAATGGTGTTGATTGGGGAAGATGAGGGCAAGGCAACGTGGGAAATGCTGGAGAAGGTAACCGGGATCAGCTGAAACGCGTCTCGGTAGCTGCAATTTTGTTTACAAGCAAAGACTGTGTCGCGGTTTCAGGGTTAATAAAGGATATATGCGACTCACAACGGCGGCCTTCTTGGTGAACTGGCGAGCAATGCTTGCTTCTGCACTCGCAGAGGGTAGGAGGGAGGAGGGAATGTCCCCTGGGCGCCGGTTGAGAAATCACTTGGGCACCTCCGACCCCAAACGGAGGGCCAAGCCTGAATCGATAGCTCAGCCAGGCCACCACCAAACGTCACACTGGCGAAAGCAAAGTCACGAACCGCGCGTGGACTAGTCCCTCATACCGCAGCACGACGGAAGAAATACGCAGCGCAGTCGAAGGCCTCCAAGTCTTATATAGATACCATGTCTCTCGCATTCAATCGCTCGTTCCTCGCCTGTGAGGAAAGGAGAACATTTATTTGCTTCGGACCAATTACATCCTCGCACAAGGGCCTTTTTTTCCCGGCGCATTTCATGATGGCAGCCAATGGGGGCACGCCTCTTTGACACAGCTCAAAGCGCCTTCCTCTTTTCGGATCCGCTGCAGAACTCAAAGTAGCGCAATATTTCCCGATGATCAAGGTGACAGAATGTGGTGGGCAGAGGCATATTTATATTGAAGCAAGAAGAAACAAACCCTCGTGACGTTCGTGAGAGCACGTTTACGAATTCCTTGAAACCAGCGATGTGCACCATCGAATTGTTACGCCCATCTATTAGGTATCGCTCAGACACCTTAGAGAGAAGTGAAGCTAGTCTGGCAAAGGATGGAGAGCTGTCGTACACGTAGGATCATTGAAATGAAGTCCTCCTAGCAGAGCTGATGGTCCAACACGGGAGACATAACCAAGACCAATATGAATTATGCACGGTATGTTACGCTCCCAGATGAATCCCTAGGTACTTGAAATACGGAGCTCGAAGATTGCTATGAGATGGTCGGGTTAGCCAATGCCAAGCTCAGTGCGTTCAAGCCCAGTAACCTAGCAGGGACATCAATCCTGGAAGTCGTTAGCAAATCAAACAAGCGCCCAAGAATACGAGCACTTACCAGCGCCAAGAACCATGAGCAAGAACGCCCACAGTGTCCTGCTCACCGGCCCTTTCTGCATGTAGGGCGAGAACATGAACTCATGAGCCATGAGCTCGACAAGCCCAGTGTAGATCAGAATGCCGGCACTGATGGAGTCGAAGATACCGTTGGTGATGAGCGTGGTCCTTGACTCTGGTGGATATGTCTTGCGGACGCCCAGACCGATAGCGATAGCGAGGGGTGTCGAGAGACCGTAACCCAGGCCGAGGAGATAAGGAGTCCACTTCTTGGTCTTGGGCCACGGGACCGTTGCCAGTCGGGACCCTAGACCTAGACCCTCGAATGTCTGGTGGAAAACAAGGACAATGTAGAGCGTGATAAACTCGTCGCCGGCGACAGCAAGGGTCAGACCAATGAAGACGGAATGGAAGATGACTCCGAATTCGAGAATGAAGATGGAGGTCAACTGGGCGGAATACGTCTCGGGAACGACGCCACCTCGTTGCCAGTCCTCATCGATATCCGCATTGTCCCGGTGGTCTCGAGCATGTCCGAGATGGTCAACTCCGGGAGTATAGTGGTTGTCGGTCCCTTCGTCATTAGGGTTTTCCTTGTTGCGGTCGTCTAGACTCGGTGTATTCCGGTTATCGGCCGGCGGGTGAGGGCCATGTGCGTGGCCAGCATGAGCGTCCTCGCCGAACTTGGCGTAGCGCATGGTCATGAGCTCCAAGAAGAACATGACAAAGGCCATCATAAGTGCTATCGCTTCCGGCCAAGGGTATGTCTCGGTGGATATGACGCCCGTCAAGCACTCGTCCCCAAGGGCCTCGTTAGCGGGGGCAAGAAGATGGATGAAAGCTGTGGCGATGATAACACCCGATCCAAAGTATTTGGCGATGAAGAAGGCCCAATCTGGAACCTTCAGTGCACCACGCGATCGTCTCGCAAAGACAGGAAATATGGCGCCTATTCGGACCGAGTCAGCTACCTTCTCTGCAAGCAGGCACAAAACATGCACTTACCCAAGCAGGAACCAATGAGGATGACAAATATTGAAGAAATTCGGACGCCCATGCGCCCGTCATAGTCATTGCCGGTGGCACAGGTTCCGGATGTTGCGTCTTCCTCGGGGGTAGCGGCCGGTGTGTCGGTGGCCTGGCGCACGACAAGGCGTGCCAGTTCCAAAGGCGTGGCCATTCCGGGCACCTGGTTTCGTCCGCGGAGAAGTGGGGGACAGATGTTGTCTTTATGGGTTGAGAGGGGGAAGCCCAGAGTTCGCAGTGTTCGAGAAAACGCTTAACCGTGGATGCCAGTAAGGCAAAGACCTGTAGCTTGAGCCGGTACCTAGGCACTGACGCAAGTGATCCCGAGTTGATGGTCTTGTCCTGCGCGGAAGCAGATCTTGGGAACGGGGATACTTATTGCGCCCAGTGGGATAAGCAAAAGAGCACCCTGATGGCCACCGGCAAGCCTTTTCTTAGCACCCTGGTGAGTCTTGGGGCCATCGGCAGGCTGCGTGGGCGGCGTGGGCGGTGCTTTCTTCGCTGCTGAGCACCGTGATGTCGCGCTAACGGAGCGTCGCCGAGTTGAGTCAATCATGCGCGGACTCTTGCTCGTACCACAGTGGTAACGACTCCAAGGCCATTGGTGCTGCCGCCGCCCCAGGTGCGGAAATGTTGAGGATGCGGTACGCCTCGAGGACGCCATGTCGTGGACCTGAATTTCTTGTGGGGTGCTGTTGTGCACAGCGAATTCGGCAGGCCACCTCGCACAGCGCCTTCCAAGGTTTCAAGCGGCTTTGTCAGCGGGGCTCGTGATAGGACTGAAAGGGAAGGGGCCTATAAGAAAACGCAAACTCCATTCCAAGGTTACGTGCGACACTACATACCTCCAGCAGACCTGTCGCCTCCTTGATGAGTACCTAGGTACCGCCCTTGCATGCGCACCTAGGCGCCCTGCGCCGCAGCACCGCAGTCCACTACGAGCCACTGCGTCCCTGACAACCCTTGGAAGGTTCCCTGAGTGTGCTCCGTACCACACTACCAACCACGGCGTTCTTATACACAGTCCGATATAGGCCCCGTTAAACGTCGCGCCATCAGCCCCGATAGGATGCGATGTGTCCCGTGGAGATATCCGGCTTGCGTAGCACTCGAAGAAGCTGCATGGTTCGAGGCAGACGGACCAAGTCGTTCGAAAAAGGCCGGAGCTGCGAACAGCGATTCGAGACGCCGTATCCTGTGTCGTTTTGTCGGAAATACGCGCCTTCACGGAGTCCCGCCGGCATACAGAGCAGATTCCAGCCATCGTTGAAGTCTAGAGCTGCTGCCTTCACGTGACTGTCAGGTTTCGATCCAGCCTCGAAATGTGGGGTACGTACATCGGCGATCCGTCATGGGATTCTGCAACAATGCCATCTTGAGACGCGCAATTCCCCGTCTCCGCCTCCGCCTCCGCTGTCTCTGTGATGGGCACTGCTCGCGCTGAGCTCGCCGTGGCTAACAATACGCCAGCGAGCATGAGCGCACCAGCTTGCTTGCTCTGAATGAAACAGCAGTATCATTGTCGCTTCTGGCGGTGCGCGAGCAACAGAGCGCGATGCCCGTCTAAACACGCCGCCCTCGATGGTCCAATGAAAGCTCCACGCAGCGAGGGGAAGCTACCAATGACGTACTTGATCCCCGCTTGATGCAGCTCCTGCCATGGAGCTTTGGACAGCTGACTAGCTACCTAGCTCGCAATTACGTCCTCATAATGGGTGCCTGCTCTCTTCTGCTTTATAACTTCACGTCTCGCGCCTCTGCATCAACTCACTCTCAACTCATCTCTGCCTCCAATCTGCACAAACACTCAACACCGCCACCATGATCATCGATCCAGTCGACGTCTTGAAGAAGACCACCTCCGCCCATCTCATTCCCACGGCCGTGCCGACGAGCGTTCCGGGGCTTCCCCCAGTGCTTCCGGACCCCATTGAAAAGCAATTTGTCGGCGAAGATGGCAAGAGGACGCTCTGGGTCGTCTTCGTGCTTATGGTTATTGCCTCGGCCGCCTTCGCTGCCATGTCATGGCGCGTCCCAGTTGTACGTACCGCCGCCTGATCGAATCGGCCAAAGCTTACGTTCACCAGGCCAAACGGCTGTATCATGTTATCACCACCATCATCACCATCATTGCCGCTATCTCGTACTTTGCAATGGCAACGGGCCATGGCACTGCGATCCACCACATTCGCATTCGCCACCAGAACGATCACGTCCCGGATACGTACACGGATGTTCAACGCCAGGTCTTCTGGGCACGCTACGTTGATTGGAGCTTGACAACGCCGCTCCTACTCCTCGATCTTAGCTTGCTTGCGGGTCTCAATGGCGCACACATGCTGATGGCCATCGTGGCCGATGTCATCATGATCTTGACAGGTCTCTTTGCCGCGTTTGGCTCAGAAGGAACACCTCAGAAGTGGGGATGGGTAAGACTCCGCAATACGTATGTTGAACACTCGCTGATTACCCTATAGTATGCTATTGCTTGCATTGCCTATCTTGTCATCATCTGGCATCTCGTCATCAACGGACGAGCTCAAGCCAAGGTAAAGGGTGACAAGGTCGCATCCTTCTTCGTGGCTATTGCAGGCTTCACTCTTGTAGTATGGACTGCCTATCCCATGTAAGTATCCCTGTGTGGTAATTACTGGCAATACTAACGACTGCAGTATCTGGGGCATCGCTGATGGCTCACGGAAAATGTCCGTCGATGGTGAGATCATCGCTTATGCCGTTCTGGATATTCTGGCCAAGCCAGTTTTCGGCGCCTGGCTCCTTATCACTCATGCTAGAATGCCAGAGACCAACGTCGACCTTGGTGGCTTCTGGTCATATGGGCTGAGTCGTGAGGGTGCTTTGCGCCTGGGTGACGATGACGGAGCTTAATTGCTCAAACCAATCGTAGTGTCATTCACTGACACGGATTACACGGCCGAAATTGCAATACATAAAGGAAGTGGGGGGGGGGGGGATGAAAAAAAAAAGTGGCTTACGTTCCTTTAACATATTCATTGCGCGTGGACTATTTTTCCGAGAGCTGGCGTCTACGGGCAGTGTCCATGCATCTTCCTAGGAATGGCTAAAATGCGGGCGCAGGATGGTAGGACCTCGTGCTGTTCATTAATGCATATAGCTCATACTTCGTTAACTGCTTTCAACGCTACTACGACCATGCTCGATGTACTGTGTATTTCACTTGCTCATGTCTCGTTCTGTTCCATTCCAGACTCACAGTCATACCACGTACCCTTTATTAAGTTTCGCGTGAGGCTCAATTTCTTTTAATCTATTTGACCCGGTATTCCTGAACAAGCCTTCTTCGCTTGCAGTTAGCCCCAGGCTTGACGTTACCCCGGATGCGGTTCCCGGGCTGAGAATGAGGAAAATGCTGTCTACGTAAACATGAGAGTCTTGAGGCAAGCGCACAACGGAATGTGAACCGTTCGTATAACGCGTCAGTGCCACTCTATGGTAGATTAATCCAACAGCGGGAAAGGACCTATCTTTATCACACCACTCGTACTTTCCATCTACTTCCTGTGCGGAAGCATCACGATCTTTGACCGTGCCTTCTTATATATGGCTGGCTTCGAGCGATATACCGACTGTCGACAACAGCATCGCATCTACGAACACTATCTCTCAGACTCGCTGTATACATCATGAAGTCAGCGGCTATTATTCTTGCGACGCTGTCCGCGACAGTGTAAGTCACCCTGTATTCGTCCGTGACTTGGTGGTTGGTCCCCGCTAATGCCGCTAGGATATCCTCTCCTATTCTGACCCCAGCGCCGGAACCCACGTGCATGCTTGCGATCCTAAAGCAGCCGTCTTTCGAGTCAGATTGCACATTCCATGCGAAGACGCGGACGAAGACAGTGTATACGGACTGCGGCGGGTGCGGGCTCGAGACGAAGATGCTCGGGCTGGGACTGGTGAGTCTTCCTTCTGAGTGTTACACATTCATGCCGCCCCTACCATCGTCCTCTTGCTTCCCCCGGCTCTCTGAATGCTAACATGCATAGCCCTGCCGAACCCTGACTACAATTCCTGGCGTTGCCTATGAGACAGTCACGTCGTGCTGCTCCGAGAAGCCCGCGCCGACTCTACCTGGACACAAAGTCACCGCGATCCCGACTCTGCCGGGCCATAAAGTTACGGCGCTACCTACGCCATCGTCGTAATTGTTGAGGCATCTGTTTTTTTGTACCCGAAGACTGTCTGCGATGTCCCACGTGCATAAGCAACAACAAGGAAAGGGTATCGGGGCGATTTTTTACGGAGTTTGCTCTGATCAGCAGCGAGCAGCAGCGAGTATGGGACTTTGTGCATGAACTGGCGCTTGGCATGTGCGTTTTTTGACTGTGTATAAAATGAGGGCAAAGGGAAAGTATATTCTTTGGTTCCTAGGTAATCCTGGTCGTAGGCGTGAATATAAGATTCGTATGGAGAGCCTCAGGAGCTTGCCGAGCTACGTCATAGGGAGCTCGTGCGAAACCAAACTGATGTTTTCGTGACTCGAGGCAACAGACAGGGAGCCGGAGGGCCTGGAATGATGGCGTCGCATGATAATGGGCGTGCAAGCGTGGAATGACCGGCCGCTGTCAGCCGTCAGGTGACGCATTGAGGTTGGTTGCTCTGGTCACCCCGGGCAGGGATTAGCGTTGCGCGGGGAGCTTTGTTTCGACAGCTCAAGACCCCTCCCGCCGCCCCAGCACAGCCTCTCTACCTGCACTACAAGAACCGCTCGCACGCGCAAACAATACCTTGTCTCCCTTCCGCTTCATACTCGCCCAAGACGTATTCGCTCGAAGCATTCGCCATGACCGACGCCAAAGTTGTCGACGAGACGCCCATCTCGCCAGTCCGCGAGGGGCTGGAGCGCCGCAATAGCTTGGAGAAGCACCTGCAGCACAGGCCGGACCCGCAGGACCTGAAGAACAGGCACATTCTGCTGGACACGACTGCTGCTCCGTACGTACTCCTGCGCTCAGCCAAGACACGGTGCCCTGTCTCGGTCGCACTAGCGCCCTGGTGGGAGGATGCAAGCAAACAATGCTGACCAGCTTCGAATAGGGCACTGCAGGCAAAGGCGCAGGAGCTCGAGCGCCAGCGTGCGACAGACAACCTTAAGAAAGGCCTCGCCCACCGCCCGGACCGCGAGACGCTCGTCGAGCGCCACATCCTCCCCGACTCGAACGCCGCTCCAGCTCTCCAGAGTCATCAGTTGGAGCTCGAGCGACACATGCGTAAAGACAGTCTCGAAAAGGGCCTACAGCACCGTCCCTCACCCGAGGACCTGGTCAAGAAGGGCATTCTCGAGGCCGACGAGAACCCTCTCAAAGATGCATAAAGGAAGAACATTGGGTGCATCGTGACATTATCTGGGCAAATCGAGGTTCATGGGATATTACAACAAAACACATAGCATAAGATATCATTCTCTCCTTTGTGGCGTCAATGAACATTTGGGAAACTCGGGAGCGAGATTAGCTTCGGCGGAATGGGCATGGGCAACAGGAAAGCAGGACTAGGATATTGAGTATTCGGTCTGAATATTTGCATTCTATCTCGAAGCGCCCGATTTGCTTTTCTCGCCCGTCCTATCCAGTTTTCGATTCTACAAGCTTTTGGCCGTTGTCGTCCCTCGACTAATCCCATCTGCCAGAGATTCGATCTGAAAGCCACTTGGGAATTACGGGTTTCTTCTCCCAGCCGGCCTTCCATTGGTCTTTCCACCCCTCCACGCTTGACGGCAGGGCATACACCGCGCTTACGAACCAGGTAGTGGCCCCAGCCTTCAAGTCCTTGTGGATGGTTGGCAGCACGCTCCTTGCTTCCACCAGATTCGAATTAGCGTCCGAGAGCAAGACGCTGCCCTTCCTTGAGCCCTGGTGCAACTCTGCAATGCCCACGGCTCCGGACCTTGAAGCCGCAAATGCACTCATGAAATCCGCCTTTCCGCCCTCAGATATGGATTCGTTCAATTCAGTCAGGTTCCTGCCGTCCGCTTCCCGGCATCCGTATACAGCCCAGGCACCCTCTGCAGTCATAAGGCTCCGGCCGGTTCGGATGCGATGGACGCGCAGATGCCAGTTTGGTGTGTCTTCGGCCGGAGGGACGAGGTATGTGAGCACGTCGACATCGTTCCATGGCTTCATGCTTGACACGAGGACTGGGACACCGTCGTGGTTCTCAATCTCTGTGTCACCGTTATGGGCGCGGCGCATCTTCCAGAGTTCGCCGTCGTCGTCAGAAAGTGCCAGCGACGATTCTGGAACAAATTGCTCCAGCGTGTAGGAGCCTGTGGATACGGAGTACGCAAACGCTGAGCTGTAGGCGAATCTGCCGTACTTAGCTTGTGTGTTCTTGAGTGGGTAGTGGCAGGATTGTCCGCTCGACAAGAGGAAGGTGTGGCCACCGCTCCTGACAACAATGTGTCTGGGATGAGGAAGAGGCTTGACGACCCGCTGGCTTGCGAACGGATGCGGTTCTTCTTTGGAACTCCAAAACGGATGGCTTTCGGGCATTGCGAGCGGAGAAAAGGCCAGCATACACCAGTATGGCGATCCCGGAGAGTTGTAGTTCTCGGCGAGGTATGTGTTAGGGTAGGAATACCCAATGCTGAGCATTCCGTTCGGCTGGAAGATATCGTGCTGCGTCGTCCACCACCGCAGGTTCCTCAGCCAGATGCCTTTCACTACGCCCCAGGACAGCGGAGCCGGCAGCTCCACGTCCGCGAAGGCTACCGAGCCCCAGAAAGCTACCATGGCCCATCGATACGTCAGTGACCGCCCAAACGTGATGGCTCTGCCCTCGGGATCGAAGTAATGCACAAAGTCCTCTGCGTACATTCGTGCGCGTTTCTTGCACTCTTCAGCTTGCGTTGGGTCCATTTCCCCAGCGAGTTTCGCGTAGAGGAGCTGCAGGTACTGGATAGCGAAAGAACCGGAGTAGTAGTCCATCTGTCGGTACCCCTCCGGACCGTCGTTCGACCAGCCATCGCCGCGATAGAACGTGTTGAGCTGCTTGATATCAGCGTCCAGACGCTCTTTCGACCAGTTGGCGCCGTTCTTCGCAAGACCGAGATTGGCGAAGACGCGGAACCAGAGCCTGTGGAAATCTCAACACACGTTCTCACATATATCCCCATTAGGGACGCCATGGAGCACCGTACCAGTTCGTATTGGGCATATCTTTGTCATTCATGCTCCCCAGCCACGTCTCGACGTTCTTCTTTTGCTTGTCTGTCAACGGATCCCAGAAGTCCTTGTGCGCAATGGCAAGCGTGTATCCTATGGGGCACGCCTCCACCATGCGCTGGTCCTGATCCTCCATATACCCCCAGAACTCTTCGCTCTCTGGATCAGTCCCAGCTACGAGGCCCTGCACAAAGCGCTCTGTACCCGCATACTTGCTCCCGCCCGCAAGCAGAGGAGCCAATGCCCATAGCGGGCGCGCATAGCCTTCTACTTGCGCAGCAGTCTCGTCGAAGCGCGTCCCCGTGCACCCTACTTTTACCATGGAATGCTGAGGAGAGTCTCCGCCAGCGAGGGGATCCAGCAGCGAGGCGACGGCGGCAACGACATCGTCTCTTGTGCGGAGCGGATTCGTGGAGAATGGATGGAGGGGGAACGCGCGATTGGCGTTGGCTACCTTGGCTGACATTGCTGGATTCCTGAAATCTTATTCTCCTCCGGTGTACTTGGCGGGTGCGTGGCTGCTGTGCGCTCGTGCGAATGGCGACCGAGTCGAAGATTCGTGTTCCTCCAAAGCAAAAGCCCAACTCAAGTCACTCGAGAGAACAGACGTCAATGGCCTCGAAACTGTGTCTCGCAAATTCTCCGAATGGAATTGAATCGAGGTGGCGTCCGGACTGAATAATCTATCCCTCTCCCCACCGCCTTTTCTAAGCTAGCACGCGCTCTCTACCGGCGTGTATATATGCAGGCAGAATGCAGCAAATGGCTCTTCCAATCTAGCAGCGTCTATGCGGAACGAGTGTCGTCTGCCGAACACGTCCCAAACGAACGTGGGGCATCATCCACTGCCCCGAACGGAAAGCCCACCAATTCACGGATAAATGCAATCAACCGTAGCCCGGAGTGTGCTAGCGAAGCCCCTCTAATCACCCCCCCAAAGCGGCATGGTCGCCGTTGCTTTCTTACCCCAGCTTTCGACGGCCCCCTGGACCTATTATCTTTCCTTCAAACGACGAGGGCTGGCCTGGCTGGTCACACACACATGCGGATGCCGCACAGCGACGCTGCAGCACATCTCAGCTTGGCAAGCGGTACGGCCTTTCTTGGCTGATCTCGCGCAGTCTTATTTTCCCACAAATTAAGCCGCAGGACGCGTCCCACCGCCGAGCTGCCAGACCTTCTGGAAGGCGAGGCGGCTGCTGCTCATTCGATGGATGAAGGGTACGCCCTGGTGTCGCGCTCGCTGATGATGGGCACGCGAACCCGGATTTGGGGTTTGGACACCGCCGGTGCACGCTTAGACGGCATCAGAAGGATTAGAGCGAACCATGGCGACGGCTGGATTTTGTGCGTGGGCCGGTGGTGGGAGGTGCGGCGAAGGGACGGGAGCTTGGGCCCTTTGGTGTTTATATATTCCGGACGGTGGGACCGAACATGGCGAGGTTGCTTGCGGGTAATCAAACTATAGGGATTTCCTTTCCTGAGAAGCAGAAGTCGCCTATCTGTCTTTCGATCGCTCCCCCGTTTGTCCAGCTGTTGGGATTCGAAGGCGAAGTGGGCACTTCTCAACCTTTCTCTATCTGGGTTCCTCTTTTTACCGGGCAGAGAGCAGACTGCAGATAAGACCCGACCCTTGGGTGTCCCTCAAAGATCAGTATCCCGGTATGTTTCCCCGCCGTCCCGCCTGATGTTTGGAAACTGTTTCCCACTGACGCTCGACAGCTCCTTCAAGTCGCGATCCGACTCCAACTCTTCTGCCCTTTCGTCTGAAGAGTGACAAGCCAACGCCATGGACTACTCCAACGAGCCCGCCGGCCCCGGCGCCCGCTTCCTCTACAAAATCGTCAAGAACGATGCCATGAAGCAGGATCCACCGCAAATCTATGGATGGCGCTCTTTCATGATGGCATGCTCTGCCTGCTTCGGAGGCATGCTTTTCGGCTTTGATATCGGCACCATCGGCGGCGTGCTCACACTTCCCGCTTTTATGGAGTACGTATATACAATGGAAAGGGTCTGAGAAGGCCAGCACCATCCATTCTTTTCGAGGTCGTTGAAGCGCATTGGCTAACTCTTGGTCTTAGCAAATACGGCCTCACACAATTGGACAAAGTCGGCCAGGCCAACCTGTCGGCTAACATCGCGTCGACGCTACAGGGCGGATGTTTTGTCGGCTGCTTCGTGGCGTCGTGGATTGCGGAACGTTGGGGACGGAAGACTAGCTTGATTTTCAATGGTCTGGTTACGATTGTTGGATGCGTTATCCAATCGTGCAGCTTTGGAAGCCTTGCTTCCATGTATGTTGGTCGGTACGTAAATCTTTCATCCTCCTCTCTTCCGTATATCAACGTTGCAAGCCCTCCCATACTGACTAAGAGGACGATAGTCTTGTAGCTGGCCTCGGTGTCGGCGGTGCCTCCATGGTCGTCCCTCTTTACATCTCCGAGAACGCACCTCGCGCTATTCGCGGCGGTCTGACCGGCATCTATCAACTCTTCATCGCCGCGGGAACTATGCTCGCCTTCTGGGTCAACTACGGCGCTATCCTGCACATCCACGGCGCCGCCGTCTACATTGTGCCGCTCGCACTCCAGGCCCTGCCCGCCGTGCTCCTCGTAGGCTGCATGATGCTGAACAAAGAGTCGCCGCGCTGGCTCGCCAAAGCCGACCGCTGGGAGCAAGCCACCACCGTGCTCGCCCGCCAGCGCAACCTGTCCCCCACGCATCCCTACGTCCAGGGCGAGCTGAAGGATATCAGCGACCAGCTCGAGCACGAGCGCATGCTCATCGGCGGCTCCACGACCAAGGACCTGCTCCGCGAAATGTTCACCATCCCGGGCAACCGCAAGCGCGCCCTCATCTCCATCGGCCTGATGATCTGCCAGCAGATGACGGGCACCAACGCAATCAACTACTACGCGCCGCAGATCTTCAAGAACCTCGGCCTGCAGGGCGATGAGACCAAGCTCTTCGCCACGGGCATCTACGGCGTCGTCAAAATGACTACCTGCGCCGCCTTCCTGCTCTTCGCTGCGGACTCGCTCGGTCGCCGCAGATCGCTCCTCTGGACGAGCATCGCGCAGGGCTCGGCCATGCTGTATATCGGCTTGTACGTGCGGATTAGCCCGCCCGTTGATGGCGCCGCGGTGCCGCCTGCGGGCTACTTCGCACTGGTGTGCATATTCCTGTTCGCGGGCTTCTTCCAGTTCGGCTGGGGCCCCGTGTGCTGGATCTACGTGTCCGAGATCCCAACTGCGCGCCTCCGGTCGCTCAACGTAGCCATCGCAGCGGCGACGCAGTGGCTGTTCAACTTCGTGGTCGCGCGCGCAACGCCGAACATGATGGCTACGGTTGGTTCTCACGGCTACGGGTAAGTCCTCCGAATGCCTACCATCCGCGTACTCGCTAACAATACCTTCCCAGCGCCTTCATCATCTACTCCTGCTTTTGCTACTCCATGTTCTTCTTCGTGTGGTTCCTGATCCCCGAGACCAAGGGCCTCTCGCTCGAGAAAATGGACGACCTGTTCGGCGTCACGGAGCTGGTCAAGCACCTCGAGGAGGACCGTGAGGCGCACGCGCATGCGGCGTCGACCACGACCGAGATCGGGCTTGATGGGAAGGAGGTCAAGGAGGAGAGGCGGGAGGTTGCGCCCGAGGAGAAGACTGGTCATGCGTAGTTGGAGTTGGTTGGGGGATACGGGCTTGGCGCCTGCCTTGGGGCGTTGGGGCTTATGTCTTGTTGAAGCTTGTTTGTGTGGTGGTGGGTGGGCAGCTACATACCAGGCTGGCGTTTGTGGGCGAAGTAGCTGAAGTGTGGCAATAATGAGATTATGAGTTCTTGCATCGTTCTCAGTCTTCAAACTTCTTCATCCAGCCCTCGGCATGTGATGTGATTCTGCATCCTCGTCTTACCTGGCACTGAAGCTCACATAACGTTTTCATGCTTATTCCACAACCCTTTCGTCGGTGTATTCAAACTCTTCTAAATTCGCTATGTGCTTCAGTGGGGGTATCTCATAAAACTACACACGATACAAGTACAGCCGCCCTCGCCAGAGAATTCAGCTGCAAAAATCAACGAACTTCTCCGACATGAAACAATCTGCCGGCGGACGAAATGTGGAAATCATACATTAAAGGAAATGGAGAACGAGAGGACGTGTAGTCCAAGTAGGCACGCCAAAGCTGGCGGGAGACAAAGGAAATATTCGTAGGACGTCGAGATCGCACTCAACGTAAGATTCCGGTTGCGCCGTTATAGGTATACAGCCGTAATGTCCCTTGACGAGCCCCAAAGCCAGGAGAAACGCCAAAGTATGTGTGGTGATATGACAAATGAAAAGATTGATGGAAAATGGTGTCGTGGACTAGTACAGTTCTTGCATGGATTCTCCCGAGTAAGGCAGCCGTGTGGGGGTCTCTCCTAGGGGCGATGCTAGTGGTGATATGAAGCCTTGTAGTCCGGGAAAGATGGCCTTCATCCCGTCGACATCGATGCCGCTATCTCGGTCTGTGCGCTCCGAATCGGATACTGAAGCTTGATCTAGCAGATCCACAGCTTGATGTGGAGGAGTCCAGGGGCTAAGGAGCGTCTTTGACTCCTCGCTCTGCTCCCCTCCAGCTTGCTCCTCTGAGCTCAGGACGCGTCCACCGAGCTGGACGTCGCTGACCCGGACCTGGTAAGAGAGGGCCTTCTGCGCGTCCTTGATGAGCTCTTCGGTCCAGTTCAGGCACCGTTTCAGGCTCTGGTTCATCTTCTGGCTATCGACCAGCAGCTCCCGGTGCTTCGATAGATCGAGCTGCAGGCGTTTCTCATCTCGCAAACGATGTGCGTTGTCTCGGTCTGCTAGGGCGCTGGGACTCATTGCACTTTCGTCGAAGGAAGATTCGCTACTGTCTTCAGGTTCATCTTCTTCCGCTTCGTCCTCCTCTTCCGACATGTCAGAGAGACTGCCGAGCTCGCTAAGTCCTATAGCCGAGAATTCTTCAAGATTTGAGATCGTGTCTGTCGAAAAACGCCCTGCCCGGCTCATGCGGCGGAATCTCCGTAGCTCGGCCTTCTGTTTCCGCACCTCCCGTTCGAGCGATCGATTGATGGCAAGCAGGGAGTTGTTGCTGATTTCAAGATCTAGCACTTTCCGTTCTCTCCGCGCATTTGCTGCAAGCTCGTTCATGTGTTCGAGGGCGCTTTGAGGCTTTGTGGGACTCATAGGATGTGGAGAGGGCAAGCCAGATAGAGCTTCCGTCTGCTCAAGGGGGGCAGAGGCCACACTTTCAGGCAGGGAGCCATTACTGATAACTCTCTTCTCATTATGCAAAGGGCTGGCAGTAATAGCCGGTAGGTCGCGAGTCGGAACCTTTTTCAGCGAATGGGTAGAGTCGATTGAAGACAAACTCGCGCTTTTGCTATGGCCAAGACGGACTGCGGAGGATGCGGCGCTAGATCTTCTCCTAGACCGCTCAACACCAAGATCGGGTGTATGTGGCCCAGAGAGGATCGATAACGCGGAAGGCCGACTGCGGAGATTTGGTCGAAGCACTTGAGATGCTCCCTTTCTGTACGAAAGATGCATGTTCTCCTTTGACGGAGATGGCGGGCGGAGCGAGTGCTGCCCTTGCGGAGCATTGAGGCTTGCCCAAGGCTCCGGTGATGCGGAATTGGGTGGTGGCGTAAGGATCGGCGGGTTGCTTCTCGCTTCTGATAGCGAATCTGCGTGGAAGAATTTGCTCTCCGGTTGAAACCTGCCAACAGACGATAAGGGCGGAGATGGGACATGGTGTGCGCGAGATCTTTCATCTTGCTGCCCGTTCGCGTAGAAAAAGACAGGCGCCTTTTTCTGCGGCGGTGCTTGCTCCTGGGGCCGGGCATCGCTGGCATGGAAGAACATGGGAGAGGCAGCCCGCGCCCCCCCGGCGTCCGGTGCGTGATTATAGATATTCGATAGTGGTGGCCTTGGTGTTGGCGTTGTATTGTAATTATTTCCTCCTACTACGCTCCTTGGCCGGTTGTTCTGGGCACTATTGAGGCCGTTAATCCCAAGCCCGCTATAGCCATGGCCCTGCTCTTGCTGAGGAAAGTCGACAGTAGAAGCCGGCCGTGTGCTGATCGGGGTACCGGAGGGAGTGCCATTCGGCGTAGACTGTGCGCTGCCTACGCCCACGCGGGACTTCCTCGACGACGACCGAGGGGTGACGTTGCTGTTGATGAAGGACTTGACGGGCGTGAGGTCCTCATGCGAAGCATTGCCGAATCGCGGAGTGGCCCCGGCATTGCTCCGAGGCGTGCGGCCGGACTGAACGCTGCTGCCAGAGGCTACCGAGGGGGCCAGGCGTGGGGCGACGGGCGTCTTCGCGGTGCGGGTGGTTGCGAGGGTGGGCTTCAGCGGCCGCGAGGAGTTCGTGTTGGTGCGGTCAGTGGGCATCGTCCAGGTGTGGGCGTGTGGAGTTCGAGGACGGTGCGACGTGTGTGGGAAGCGGACATGGCCGTCCGCGGGGGCAATGGGCGGTTGCTGGGGGAGGCTTCGTGTGTTGTTGCTTGTTGACCTCGGGCGGTGCCGCGGGCGGCGCTGCAAAGGCAAAACACGACTGAGACCTGCGCGTCCTCGGGTCCTGGTCTACGACAGCTTCGGTGCAGCAGTGCAAAGAGTCGGAAGGGCGTCCATGGCCGGGCGGCGACGGGCGATTGAGGGGTTTTCGGCCGGCGACTCCTGTTATTGTGGTCTGAGAGCCTGAGATGGGATCTGGTTGCCGGCTCGTCTTCGCGCCCAGGACCAGATCGCGGCTCTAGCTGGGCGGCCCTAGCCGGAAATGGCCCTAGCGCGTTCGTCGCGTTATTCGTCGCGTTAGCCTTCACGACGCCATCATCTACCAATATCCACCATGTCCCCACAGCCGCCATGAATAGTAGAGTCACGGGCTCTGACAATCCACCGGACCTGCCAGCGCATCCTTTCCATCCGCGAGATGTACCTCTGCAGGCAGCGACGCCCCAGGCCGGCACCACGGAAGCGACCGCCGTGACTGCTGCTGACCCGGACAACACCCATCAAGACGAGTCGAAGCCGTCCGAAACCGCGAGTACGATGCCTGAAGCCCTGCAACGTCGGGAACCCTCAGAGCCTCCCCCGGAGCGGCCACAGCCCTCGCGAACCCCTTCCGACGAGCACGACACCCTCAAGTACCACCTCCTTGGCCCGTCGCTCACGAAAGCCGGCCAAGATGCCGTCAACCAGCAGAAAGTATCCGAGATCATATACAATGCCTCGAAAGGCAGCAAGTTCTTCAATAATGAGGAGGCCAGGGACAAGCAGCTCACGGACAAGATCAACCGCATTCTTGCAAAGAAGCGCCAGCTCGAGAAGCTCGACCTGAGCAAGGAACTGCGAAAGGCGGACGATTACATTGCCGAGCTGGAGATGTCGAGGGACTTGAGCCAGGTGGTTGTGCACATCGATTGCGATGCCTTCTACGCAGCAGTAGAGGAGCTGGACAGGCCGGAATTGAAGGAGGTACCCATGGCAGTGGGGAAGGGCGTGCTCACGACCTGCAACTATCACGCTCGCAAGTTCGGTTGCCGCTCTGGCATGGCCGGCTTTGTGGCAATGAAGCTTTGTCCGCAGCTGATATGCCTTCCACTCAACTTCGCCAAGTACTCCGCCAAAGCAGAGGAGGTCCGCGCTGTCCTTACAGACTACGATCCGCGCTTCGAGAGTGCAAGCTGCGATGAGGCCTACCTCAACCTGACCCAATACTGTCAAGAACACCACATGGACCCAGAGGAAGCAGTCAGTCAGCTGCGTGCTGAGGTGTTTGAGAAGACCAAGATCACCGTTTCAGCCGGAATAGCAGCGAATGCGAAACTGGCCAAGATATGTTCGAATAAGAATAAGCCTAATGGGCAGTTTCGGTTGGCCAGTGATAGGCAGACAATCATGGACTTTATGAAGGCACTACCCACGCGAAAGGTCAACGGCATTGGTCGGGTATTCGAGCGGGAGTTAGACGCTATTGGTGTCAGAACGTGCGGAGATATATATGCGCAGCGTGCGTACTTGGCTCAGCTCTTCGGTCAGAAAGCCTTCCAGTTCCTGATGCAGTGTTATCTCGGTCTAGGTCGGACTAGCATCCAACCGGCCGAAGACTACGAACGCAAGAGTGTTGGAACCGAAACTACATTCCGCGAGATCAACTCCGCGGACGCCCTGCGAGAGAAATTACGCCATATAGCAGAGGAGCTGGAAGGCGACCTGAAACGTACAGAGTTCAAGGGTCGCACGCTATGTCTTAAGATCAAGCTCCACACGTACGAAGTGTATACACGCCAGATGACTCCGCCTTTCGCTGTGCAACGTGCAGATGATCTGTACAAGTACAGCTTACCGATGCTGGAGAAACTCATGAAGGAGATGCCAAACTTGAAGCTGCGATTGATGGGTTTGAGAGTCACACATATTGTAAGCACGAAGAAGCCAGGCATCGACTTCTTTGGTCGCCATCGGACCGCCACGAACACGCCGAATCCCACCGCTGGTACGTCATCCAAAGATGACGAAGGAGGTTGGGAAGTGTGGCCAGAAGCCGAGTTCGAAGAGGCCGCCCGGCAAGAGCGCAACGACGAAATGAACGAGTTGGAGCAATTGTCTCAAGAGTACGAGAAACAGCAAATCAGCGAAGCATCCGAAAGCCCACCGGCAGACCCGGAGCAGGAAGAACAATGGACATGCCCTATCTGTACCCTACCCCAGCCTCCCAACGACAAGACGTTCAACTCGCATATCGACTTCTGCCTTTCGAGGCAAACGATCAAAGAAGCCGTCAAGGAAACTGCGCCGCCAATCGACGGTGCAAACCCGCAGCCAACGTTTACGAAAGCCGCGCCACCAAAGAAGAAAGGCAAACGAGGCCGCCCAAGCAAGGAGGCTGTGACGATGGACGAGAAGACGCGCGAAAAGCGACGAGCCTTCTTTACCATGGCTGCTGGGCCGGGCACTTGATGTGAACGCCCCCTAACCCCCTATCAATGCATCAGCGCAACGACACGTCACGACAAAGAATTGGACAGAAACGCCATGGAAAAACAATTGAAAACATAAAATTGCCAATATTGAATATTCCTGCATCCCTGACACCATCGACGTGGCCCACTTCCCCACCGAAACCTTATTAATTAGTGAGGCCGAACACCACGATCCCACGTGAAAGCGCGTTTCGCTATTGCAAGGGTACCATGTCTCAACGTCATACTCTTTTTTTTTGTGCCCTGTCCAGCTTGCCAGAACAGAGTCGGCCTACCCTGCTCATGCACTCATTGTACCACCCGATGTCGTTTCTTCTGTGAAGCCGTGCGAGTCGACCTTATAAGCACCTCTTTGATGATGAGGCCATATATCGAAGCCCCTAATCGAATCGCCGCCCTTGTCCTTCAGACAAAGCTAGAAGCCGAGCTCCGTGCTTTCTGATCTTGTACTACGTGGAAATACCGCCTGAAAAGCCGCGGAAAGGAACATCTTCATTCCGTTAAATGGACGGCAGCCGGACTTCGAAAGAAGAAAGCTTTAACTCGAATGCATTATGTGCAAGCCAGAAAGCTGGCAACCAAAAGGGCACGGTAGACAAGAGATTGGAAATTGTGGGCAATAGGGGCGTGAGAAAGTGGAAGTGGAGTAGAGGAAAATAGTGGAGGAGCAGCGGGAATTGTTATAACGTTGGGAGATTGATGAGATAGTTGGGAGAGCCTAAGGGAAGGTTGCTCTTCTCGGGTAAGAGGTATTGAGGCGACTTTGTTTTCTGAGATGAGAGAAACTGAGGGAAGTTTGCTCTTTTGGGGTGAGGAGTCATAAGTATCGGATGGAAATGGAGGCATTGGGCGGAGACAACGCCGACAAGTGCGCGCGAATCGCATGAAACCTCTGATCTGCTGGAAGTGTTGAACGGAAGTTCTACCTATCATTCTCGTTAGGCCTATTATATTCCTCCGAAGAAATCCGGATAGTCCTTTTGCACCTACTATCCAGCATCCAATCGTAACGCATCAAAAAAGAAAAACCAGATGTTCGCTTGAGACATCGCCAAAGTAAAGAAACACGCAGAAACCCCGGAGATAGTCCCCTACATAGCCGAACCCACGGTGTGCTGTTCTCTTCGTTCTGCCACTTCATCCAGAGCGCCGTCAGGGGTATACATGTTCGGAGACGGTTCAGAAGATGAGTGCAGAACTACATCTCAAATCAGCTTAGAGTTAAGCAGCAACGGGTCTCTCCTCTTCTCGGCCTCGAGTCTCGGTGGCAACGGTGGAGGGCGCATCTTCCTCCTCTTCCTCTTCCTCGTAGCCGTTACCTTGATGTTCAGAGGCTGGAATCCAGAGGCCAGACTCCCTGTTGTCAAGGGGCTGGTCCTGGTGGGACAAATCGATGCCCTCACCGGAGCGGCGGGCGGCATTCTTGCGGCGTTGCGAGAGCGTGCGGGCGCGAGTGGAAAGCTTGGAGTGGACCGCGGCGTTCTGCTGGACCCAATTTGTGAGGGCATCTTCGCAGTCTTGGATGATTCTACATTAAGTGTCAGTTGCAGTGGCATGACCTGTCATGAAAATGTACGTACGCCTTGCTAGCCTCGTAACCGTCATAAGCGTTTCTTGTCTCTCCAGGAGTCACAGGTGTATCGTCGATGAGCTCAAGGAGATGCTTTCCGAAGCCAGCAATGATAGCTAGTTTCTCGCAATGCTCGCGAAGAGCGTCGAACTGGTATGTGAATGCGGCCTTGAGTTTCTCGCGGGTGATGTTGGAGAGCTGAGCTTCGGCGACAAGGGATTCCGCTTCGGCGCGGACGAGTTCCTGCTCGAGGACGACGATCTTGGGAGAGTTGGGCTCCTTGTACTTCAACTGCGCGATCTGATCGGTGATCTTCTGTTTGCCTTCGGAATTGTAAGCCTTGGTTTCTTATGCGAGTGTGAGTGACTTACGATCGCGACTCGGCTGGACTGAAGCCTCAATATTCCGGATACTCTTGATGGTGACGCGGTACTGATCATAGCGGTCGACAAACTGATCCTCCAGCTCGCCAATCTCGTAAATCAACACTCCAAGCTTGTCGGTCACATCGGAGACGTCGTCATCGCAGGCCTCGCCCCAAATAGAGAGTTGTTGCTGTTGCCGTCAGCGGTCGTCCGATGCTATGTCCTAGTGTCTACGAGGCCTTACAGCTACTTCCATTCGCTCCCTGCTCACGAGCTCCATACTGCGCATGACATTCTTCTCCATCTTGACCAACTGTGAAAGCTTCTTGGCGAGTTCTGGGCCGAAAGCGCCCGCGGATTTGTGACGGAAGGTATGGCCTACGGAAGAACTAAGTCAGCCTTAGTCCTAGGTTATAGAAGCGAGATAAGATTGCGGTTCGCTGCTCAAAACCGTATCCAATATTCGCCAGGCTGTACCCTGTTCGACTCCGACTCTTCGCAGTACACGCATTCTCGAGGAACACCTTCGGTGACCAGAATGATGACAGTACCGAAAGCGCGCGAAACGGTTTCCGCCCTCATAACCCCCTCTGCATGCGCAGGGTATGTGACTACGTACCCAGGTTGGTCTTGCCGAAGAAGCGCCCCCCCTTTGTCGATGACGGCGGAGGCGGCGGGTTCTGGATTTGCGACGCCGTTGGCGCGCGAGACTGCCTCCTGCAGTGATGATATCATTAGCAAAGGTCCTGATATGAGATGGGCGCAGAAGAAGGGGAGAGTAGCAGCGCCTGTCGGCAGTTACGACGTGCGGGTGGCTGCGCGATCTACGATGCACCCTTGACTTACATTGAGTAGGTACGATGCATATTGGCGACTTGATTGGGAGAATGTGGTCAAAGAGAGTTTGCGACCGTTGCGTGGTGGTGTCAAGGGATTTGGGCAGTCGAGGGTGGAGCGACTGGGCGTTTTGTTTGCATCAACGGCAGGGCATGACGTAGGCTGGGGCCGCCAAGCTTCGGGCGATCAACCCCACAGAACGCCGTCAATCGCTCCCGTTTCTGCACAAACCAGGCCCTGAAGGGATTCAGTACCTGCCGCATATACCTAATTGGTTACACTCAGTAAATAAGCTCCCAAAGAAGGGTCACCATCGCTGCGGTGCGCAGGAACTGAAGCGCGCAATGCAGCCCTATCTTCTCTATACACATCCGTCTCATGCCCCTAAGCCCCTTTAGGGAGCCCAAAAGCTTAGCGGATATTTGGCGCCGTGGCTATGTTCGTTCGGCGCCTCTCTGACGTTGTTGTGCGCTTGACTCCTGTAGGGGCCAGAGCTGCTCTCCTCCTGGCAACATTATTGCCTCTGCCAAGGCCCACATCTCGTGCTCCAGGTCGCATCGGAACAGTCGGGGTCTGCTTCACCCTATCATACAGGGAAGGCTCGGATAGAGCAGCCGGAGTAAACTGTCATGGTCTACAGCCTACACCTGGGTATCTAATGCGCGAGTAACATGCCATTCTCGACCACATATCCTACATTGGCAACACCTAGAGCTGGGCAGACGCCCCTCCCGGAAGTTGGCCTGCAAATACGCTGAGAAAGCTTTCAGCCTCCCCGAAGCCGTCGACACGAACACCAGCCCCGCTTCTGATGGCCGAGAATACTAGATCACCTTCCCTCGGCGATCGCCAGTGGTGCACGGCCAGCCCGGCCAAACCTGCGGTGATAGCGGCCCAGGATGCGCAAAGAATGTTGACGAAGACGGCGCTCGGTAAAGACGTTGAAGACTTCCTTGCTACCTCAAGGGAATCCGCCTGTATGGTATTGCGTTGGAAGCCTGGGATATATGAGAGCAGAGGGATATTGCTGACGACATCTCGTGCCAGCTGGGGAGATACCTTCGGGGAAGGCTTACGCCGCCACGGAAGTAGCCATTTTGCGTCGGAAGCACAGCCAGAACTCGCAGACCAAACCTCTGCGGCTTTGGTTTCCTCCGCTCCAAGGAGTTCTTCGCGCAGGCGCTGAATATATCGTGCGATCCGAGGATGCTTCGTCTGAATGGTCTCCTTGAGCCATGCCTGTGGCACAGGCGCGTATAGCATAAGGGCGAGGTAACCGAAAGCAAGGCAATCGAGGCTTGACGGCTGTTCATCTTCTAACAAATAACCTTTCTTCCCTAGAAGATCCGACAAAGGGTCAAGGAGCTCGTTCGACAAAGTATCTAGCTTGAAGCGCGCAGCGTAAATTGGCGCGCTGAGAAGGCCGCCAAGCCCCTTCCCACGCCCCATTTGGAAGACATTGGGCTTGCTATCTGACGGTAGTCCAGCAGCTCTTTTCGCAGCCTCATATTCGGACGATGCGGTACCACTGCCTAGTCCGTGTGCCTCCTGACTGGCTTCATGCACATCCAAGCTGCTTAGGCCCAGATGAGCTGTTCGCGTTCTTGCCAAGTCTCGGCGTCTCGAAGGTATTGTATAGTTTGTGTACCAGGGTAAAATCGCCGTGTATGCGGACGAGGTGGTGGAGTTGTAGTTTTCCGAGGAGATATAGAGGTATAGATCCAGGAGTGGGCTCGCAGTCGATTCGAGAAACGAGATGAATCTGGGTTTTGTGGTTAGGTCAAGTTATGACAAAGGAGGCTAGAGAATGGCGCGTACGCGGTCCGATCCGTTAGTTGCTGATGCGTGAGGTTGTGGTCCAGATCGTGTGCTGCTGAATGGTGGGCGCGCAGGTAGGATGCGATGCTCGAGAATCCTGTGGTTTTCACAGCGCCATCCACAAGAACCGGAAACTCATCTAGTCCACTGTTAGAGGATGTATGCAGGGATATACTTTGTTACGCACCTCGCGGACTGATGGACGTATCGTAGTTAGCGACGAGACTCCACTGGCCCTGTGGAACGACGCGATTGAAGTGTGCTATCGCAGCGATGCACTCTGCATCGATTGAGGGTAGCCCAAAGGCCGGACCCCACACATGGAGCTCAAACACCATGCCTTGTGTCGTCAGGCCGAACAATGTCAATGGCTGGCGAAAAAGACGTCCACCAAGCGTGCCGGATCGCGCTGCAATTCGGCATGATCCATTGTCGACGCTAGTCCCGCCGCCGATATCTTGGCGCTGCGTCACCACGTGACTTCGTTCCGCTACCTCATTAAAGACCGACATCCCCGCTGTAGAGCCGACAACGCGCGGCATCGAGCCTCAACCTGCGGATGGCACCCATCAGACGATATCTGAGAATTACGAAACATTCCGTCCTTGAAGTGCGCATCTATCTGGATCGACCGGGTGACGCAGACACATGGCTTCTTAGACGCGACAATCCTGCGCTTCCACGCGTCATACAGGCTGTGCGACCGCTAGTACTGCCTAAGTTGCGCGAAGAGAACGAACGCGCAAAGGGTAGAGGCGGGTCGAAAGCCAGGAAGAAGGGTGTCAAGGATGTTGTTGTTGAGGGTGAGTTGCACACCGTTCAGTCATTAAATCTGCATTGCTCCGCGCGACCGAATCTTACTCAGACTGCTGATGCGAGGCTATAGATGACTTTGAAGTCTCAATCTTCTTGACGGAGCACTCATCCCGGCACTCCGTCTTAACCAAACAGAAGATCTTCAAAAACCAGCCCCGGATTCAGAGCAACTCCGGCAAGCTGACGGGTTGGCTTACTACTGGAACCCGCGAGCAGCCAATGACCATCAGTGAAGACACAGCAGAACCCATCCTTATCAGAGAAGAGGACGAGGGTGAGGCAATTAACCTCGCCGATATTCCGGAGGCTAGCGGAGATAAAAATCAGGCCAGAAGTTCAGGCCGGGGGAAGCGGAGAAGAGGCGATGCTCGCGAAGATTCCATAAGCGCTGGTAGCGATTCCGATGTTTCGTTTCAGTTTGAAGCTGGCCCATCAAACAAACGGAGTAAGAGGAATGGACACGGCACGGACGCGGGCACAGTGGAAGAAGACGGAGGCGACGGACAGGACGACAAGAAAAAACTGGGATTGAACACTTCCTATGAGGGCTTTTCCATCTACGGCCGCATCCTCTGCTTAGTGGTCAAGCGGAAGGGGCTGAGAACGCAGCCGGGTGGAAGCGGGCCGCCGCTCTCTAGTCAGCAAATGCTCGAGAATTGGGTGTCGACGCAGGCCGCAGCCGAGCAGGTGGATGACGACGAAGATAACGGATAAGCTGCGAACGCTCGATCTCTTGACCCCACCATCTCTACGCCATCATGGTTGAAAGAGGAAATTCGATATCCAAGCGAGGATTGATACGAGCTGCATCATTAAAAATAACTGCAGCAAGCCAGTTCCAGAGCGTCGTCATCCTCGCCCCCCTGTCTTGCTTACTCCCACGTGGACGCACAGTGCATTTCCAATCGATCGGCGACGAACGCGGTCCCCAAGCAGCGCAATGCTTTCTGAGGCTGGTTCATGCGTAGTCTCACTTCCAAAGTTGGAGGAAGAAATTGCGCCTGTATGGTCAGCCATGGAAGGGCGATCGGATGAAGGGAATACAGCTCGTTGAAATTACTCCATTGCCCGGTCTGTTCCGCCTCGCCGCAGTCGGCTGTTGCACTTGCTACCTAGGTAGCGGCGTTATCAGGGCGGAATTGCAAAAGACCCACATGTGTGTCCCGATGCTATCAGACTTCTAGGCAACGCTCTCATCGCTCGCTGCGTCTGCTGTTCGGGAAACGTATCCGCTGCAGTCGGTGGATTCTCTCCGTGACTTTCCAGGAAAGACGCACAAGCCGAATTTGAAAGAGTTCAGAAGTGACGAGGACGATGGTCTGGCGCAACCCCGGCGTGTCCGTACGCAGACCATCTATTGTGGCGTCCGTCTTGTGGGCGACCTCGCTTGGCAACAAGGGCAGCCGCAAGCCACTTCAGGGGCCGGAACGACGTCCTTCAATCAACCTTTCTGCTAGTGTGGTAGGACAGCGCGTACCTTGCATACTGTACGGGTGTACCTGATCTGATGTGGTGGGCTAATTGTCTGAACGGGCTGTTTTAGGTAGTCCATTGTCCTCCAACACCGCCGTCGCTCCTTTATTGATGGTCGAAATAGTGACACCATGGCTGCTCATCGGCAATACCAAGGGGATGGTTTTGACAGCTAAACGAGCAACCACCAAGTAGCGGGACCGGCTTGATTCCGGAGACCGAAGTTCACCGGGAGAGCGAGGTGGGGGGTTCTAGACGCCCACCGTGATGCCATGATCTATTGAGGCCATGCACAGACAAGCCGATTTGGCAGGAGGAGGGTAGCGATACGGTGAGCGTGCTCTTCGTAACAGCACACGCCGTGTGACAATACCAGGCAAGTGGACTGATGAGCTGACTGGGAAAAGATGAAGTTGGCGGGCGTCATCGCCAAGCGTCACTGCGTGCTCTCTCTCCGCATATCCGAGCGGTCGGGACAGCGAAGCACAACTTCATCAGATGAGATGGCGCGTCGCCGACGTCGGGCTTGACGTCGCACAACCGGCATTTCCGACAAAAGCAAAGTCCCCCACACGCCTTATGCGACGCGGCAATCTCTGGTCGATGTGATGCACCGCAAGAATTGCAAAACTGCCGAGGTGGCGATGGAGTTGGGATTGTTTGCCATTAAGCTTTGGGCCCCTGAAAATCAGGCACGCACACTGATTGCATCCCGCCGCAGGATGCTTTACCTCTAACAGCGTGTGGTGATCGCTGTGACAGCGAAAGGGGGCGCAAGCCACAGGCACAAACATAAGGACGAGATGGAGATGTGGCGGCGGGGACGGGGCGAGACATTTACAGTATTGCGCAAACCAACTGCAAAAGCAAGCGTGGTGCCGAAGTTTCAACGACGGATCCATGCGCCTTCCACGTGGTCCAGCTGCGACAAGCGGTGGGCGCCATCGCGGCCCCAGCGTCGCCGCCCTCGGAGTTCCTTGATGGCGGGATACGCCTCTGGCCGCACTCTGCGTGCTCTCTCCAAGGCTCATCCGGAATCGCCGGCTCCCATGGAGAATTCAGCATCCGCTGACTTCGCAGGGCTTGCAGACGGGGTGGTCACTGGTGAGGGTTGCAAGGAAACAAGGCTCGTGCATGCCTGGTCATCAATTGGGTCATGGCAAACAGGGATTGGAATACGAATTGCACCAATGAGGCAATCTCGACGACAAAAATAATCATGACCAGGTCTTGCTGCTCCCGGCGTGTTTTTCAGCCCGGCCGCGCAGGCATCCTCCTCGCCTGCGCATTCCAGGATCTGGCAGCTGGTGAACCAAGATGCTGATGAGCAGCCGTTCAAAACTCACCGCTGACGGACAGCGGCAGCTACTGTGGTACCTCTGGTCGTTCAAGCCATAGCTCCAGGGGCAGAGAATTGCTGGTTGAAATTTGATAGAAGGCTGCTAGAAGCGCGGCAGAACCTTGGAAGGCGCCGCGCTCGCCCGATCATCAAGCTACGAAGTGGAGCCTGTCCTGTGCCACGGCCGGCGGCTGCAAATTGGGCGACGAAATGGCTGTCGCAGTCAGACACGGGACTGACATCCCTGCCCGTGCCTGATTTTACACTCACACATCCACGGGCGCTGAAGTGTTTCGGCGGCCCAGCCTTGCGGCACCGTAGGGAAAGGAGAGCGCTAGGTTGATTCAGTTCCCGCTGTGCCAGCGACAAAGACTACGAACTCCCGACTAAAATAACAAGCATCAAAAGCGATATGGCGACCGGGGGCGCTGCTGAGATCAGTGATGTAATTATTAGGCACGCACCGTCGGCTGTGGCATTACCGGTACAAAGCGAGGCTGCCGCTGCGCCCGCGATGCCTTGTACGGAGACGGCCCAGCAACGCTGCAACCGCATTGGATCACCGAGATCTTCAGACAAGTCACGAGGGGTGAAACAGAGCAGGCCCCCTGTTTCTTGCCATCTGCGCTGAAATTTGACCGGGATGAGGGCGTATGCGTCAGGGCGCAGGCCCACTTTTTGACCACCACGTCCAAGCTCACCTCTCCTTTTTTTCTCGAACAGCCCCAGCGGCGCCAGCGCCGCATCAGCTCACCGCTGACCATGGCATGCGCCTAGCATCATTACTATTCTGACCGACATTTTGGGTGCTTGCAATCTCAGCCTTCAAACATAAATTCGCCCATCCCCCGCTGCCCACTTGTTTCATCACACAGCCAGTCACCACCCGCCTACATCTCCATCAGAGACATATATACCTCCGTCGACGACACCTCTTGCCTCAAGCTTGGTCTTCCATATACCCGTCGCTCAACGCCAACTACCCAACGCCACCACCGCCAACCACACAACTTCAATGGCTATCCTCTGCAACGAGCTCAACATGTCCTCCCAGAACCTTCCTCCGTGTCCAGGGCCGCCACCCACTCGTCCACTCCCGCCGATTCCGTCGAAATAGACACGGCTAACGCCACTTCTCTCTCTTCTCACGCTTGTCCTTTCGAGACCGCACTTGGCTTTGGCGCATTCTTCGACATCGATATCCAGCTCTACTCAGCACTATTATCCGAATTACTACCTCCGCCCTAATACTCGCATACCTCGAATTCTCATACGCACCCCGCCCTGGTGCGCCGCCATCGTGTGGCATCCACACTTGCACCATGGATTGGACGCCTCTGCTGCAGCGGACCCCGGTCCGCCATGCGCCGCCAAGTTGCCGGATAAAGCGACCGAGAACAAACCATCGGATGCGGTTCACAAGTCGATTTCTTATCCTGCTGCGCCTTGCGCCAGTCTCGTCCGCTGGAGGCTCATCCCATCGACTGTTCGGCGCAATGCCCAACCGGGCCTTGCAAGGCAAGCTCATCCTGGGCTCCCCCACTGCGTCCCGGTGCATCCGCTACGGCCGCCTCTTCTCTGACTCACCGCGCGCTGGCCGGGTGGATGGAGTCAGCATTCCCTCTTTAGTTTGTTGCCTTTGTTAGCACAGCTGTTGTAATACTGAGCGATTTTGTTCCTTGCTTTTCAGTAGACTGCATCAGCTGGTGTGGAACATGGGCATGATTGTACTCTTAGAATTGGGACATCAGTGGGAGTTTCTGAATGGAGGCTTCAATGCCATGGATTAACGGGATACCCATCATATCGGCTAGCATTAATTATTTGATCGAAGATCGCAAACCCCCATGCCTGCTATATCCGTAACCTGATCCAAGTGGTGACATCAGCACACCGACATTACAATTTGTATTTCTGTACCGTGGGCACGCATACCCACGGTACGCAGCAGCATGCCGGGTGGCGGAGCGGGGCCTGATTGCTCCATTTGCCCTATCGCCAGGGCCAACCTCCCACGGCGCACGGCAGCAGGCATCATGCAGTACTACAGTAATACGGCATAGTGTTGCGTGATCTACCCCTCACATCGACTTCTAACATCCCACCTGTTCGTCCTCCCCTTGTCCCTTCCATGCGTATGCCATTCTTAGCTCAGTGAGCATAATTACTATCCACGATCTCATGACTGCTCGCGCATCCGTCAGGACCGAGTTTGGACCACGCAATACGCTGTGACGTGTTCCTGATCCCTACTCTCTCGATAGCTCGTTGACCGCTCGAAAGCCACGCAACAGCACCACACGCGTGACTCGCTCCTCAGGTATCCTTGACATGGAGCGTCTGAGACGGCCCCGTAAACCCCACAAACCCATGCCGCGGGAGCAGCGTCACGTCAGCATCCCACGACGCTCAAAAGTGACGTTTCGAGTTCAGAGCCATTGTCAACCAACGAAGGGGCTACACCCGCCGCTACTCGCGTCAAGGCAACAATGGCCGAGCAGAAGAAACTTGCTCACCATTGCACCGGCGCCAATTAATCACGATCCATAGCGTACTGAGGGCTATGGTGCCATGCCTGGCTGTTGGAGCAAGCCACCTGGCTCATTTGCTCAAAAGAGGCATTGGGGAGCCCCGCTCGAACGGTCAGCTCGTGCTGTCTGCCCCTCAACACCAACACCCTCCACTCAGGCCCCGGCCATGATTCATCACCGATCAGGAGCGGTATGCCTTGCCGGTTCGTGCAACCATAAGATAAAACATAATACGCCCCGCTGCAGGCACCGTTCAGTCAGCAGTTTAAATCGCATGCCATATGCCCTAGGGAGGCGTATGCCGCGCTAAATCTCACCTCAGGCAACGCCCTCCACCGACGTTCATTGGCTCGTATTTTATACCGACGTGCCTGGTGCCTCCTCACGCTCGTTATCGCAGAAATCCAAACTCGGATGCCATTTGCGGGCTACGATCCACATCGTGAGGAGGTATGGCACAGCTGCTACCCCTCACAAAGCCTCCCGACCTAAGGCAGTGGGCGGGGAACGACCTGGGCCCGTCACGGGACCCTCACCTATGATCGCCTGCACGGCATGCTGTCCACATTGCTTTTGGCCCCGCATTTTGCTTTGCTGGCAAGCGCAACATCATACATTTCATCAAAGCTGCGATCGTTGCTTCTCTGATGGATTCCGTAAGGCTTGATCCCATGACCCCTCAACACGAACACGGACGTCTTATTGCAGAGGCTTACATTATGATAAAGGACCATTTATCGGCTTATTCCAAAAAGAGCACTGCCGGACATGAAAGATCCACGACAGAAACCGTCAATCGCGGTATCAATGATCCTCGTCCAACACTCACGAGAACGATATGCCGACTGCCTGCGCGGCTCACCAAACAATAGCCGGATTGCGGTCTGCAAGCCTCCTGTACGGCCAATGTCTGGAAATCTGCACTGATCCTTCGATGCAGCCAAGCACGTCAGTCACATGCACAAACGCCTCTCGCGCTTCGCCTGCACGAGCATCCTGCGTGGCTCTCATCCCTGCCCGCAGATCCCCTCATGGGCGACTGTTCATCTCATCTCATCTCGCAGCTCGACGGGTCCGCAAGTCACGAGGATTTGCTGTGGGGACGACTCCTCGGCTTTAAGGCACTCGTCTCAGTAATGCCGTCCCCGTGTCAAGCGGAGCCGTTGACCGCCGTTGACGAGCTATTACTAGGGCGGTTGGCTAGACACTAGACACTGAAGCTATCCTAACCGATAAGCAGTGAGTCAGAGCTCTCTCTCTGAAACGGATGATATACTGAGACGAAAGCTTGTTGTTGCAAGGTCACCGTTACAAAAGAGCCAGGTTGTCGGGTGCGCCATCTCGCAGCCGATCCCCATCAAGGAACGTCATGCCGGCAGCAGTTCAGCGTATCTCAACCCAAAAAGCCAAGCCCGACAGCCGACGAGGTTGCCGTCACTAAGAGGCACGCACCTGCGATGCCAGAAAATCTTCGTCGCAATTTTCCAGCCGACGGGTGGCGAGTTCGCGAGCCTAAACCCACGATACCTTCATCTCCTGAAGATCCTCGCAAACACTCCCTCGTACTGTGAAAATCGCGTTACTCTAGCCATTCTGGGAAACCTCGGTATATACCTCACCGTCCGCCAGAGGGTTCTACGTCCGATATTCGGTGATATCGACCAGGTGAGACTGCTTCCGCCAACCTATCCCTTTCTTCCACCGGCTCAATTACCTGTTTCTTTCCTTGTCTTCCACACGACTTTTGGACATATTCCCTGGGCATTTTCCCACTTTGTTTCTTATCCAGGGTGTCTTCTTGTCATAATGGCGGTGTTGGGCGCTTAGAGCGACTGCCTACACCCAATTGCTTCTCGTGCATTCGCATCCAGCGTCACAATCACACCGCGCCTGTCACGTCACAAGTCTCCGCTCCGCCAGACCGCGGAGCATGTGACAACAATGCAAATGTCTAGGTATCGATTGGGACGCTCTTCTGAAACACGCTCAGGAGCATCACTTACAATGCCGCGCTTTGCCGGACCGTCAGACCACTAGCTCAGAGAGTGTGGTATCAGAGTACAGTGTCAGACGCGCGAGTCGATGTCCATTTCTCCCGTACCTGCGGCAGCGCGGCTCGCTTATTTTCGCTTGTTACAGGTGTCCGGAAGAGGTATCATGCATCGCCATCGCCATCACCGACCCGACTTTCTTCAGCCTGGCAACCCGCAGTACGTTCTAGACTAATAGCACGTCTCCCACAGCCGCAGAACGTGGCAGCTCCTATGGCTACCTACGGCCATCAGTAATCAACCACTTCTCACCGATCATGCTATCTAGACTCGTCAGTTGAAGGTGGCTGCACCTCAGGCGACGGCGGCGCAACTGCACGACTCAGCAAGGTGTTCCATACGGCCGAGTGGATAGAAGGACGTCGCATCGCTGTCGCAGTTCACCAACGGCGAGCATTGCAACCTGTGGCGGGGAATGACAGTGTCGTGAGAAAAGCAATTATAACGCCTTCATCAGCCTACTATCACGCAGCGCCTTGGACCGGTGAAGGTTGGGCATCACGTATGGAATTCGGGCACAAGGAGTTTGAAAAGCAGACTATTCGCATTGCCATGCGCTTGATTCGTGTGTCATCATCCGACAATGTGCGCACGCTGCATCGTCTTTACCGATCGTTGGATGGCGCCTATCTATGGCCAAGAAGTGTAGTTAGTCTAGACGCCTGAAGTTCGACAGTGAGATTTTAGAATGCCGTGGGTCGAAGCTTTACGCCCAACTTTAGATTCGAGACTGGCTCTTTTCGCTTACCGTAGCGGTGGGGCTTGCACAAGTTCCCAAACACGTCCAGCACCGTAGAGGCTAAACGCACGACTCCATTCACGTGGCGCAGGTCTAGAGACGCCTCCTCAAAGCCCGGATTTCGTACTGATTCTAGCGTGATAGATTCTCCTTGATAGGTTATCCAGTCTTCAATAGACTTTGGTGCGGCATGCTCAACCTCAATCATAGTCCATCATGGCTTTTCATTCCATCTGACGCTCCTCTATCTCATGTCCAACCTTCCCTCAAACCGTGTATAGCGTCAATAGAGTCGCTAAGTCCAGGTTCTTTCCTGACTGCAGCATCAAGTTCAATGCGCCACTCCCTAGATACAGCGGACATTTTATGTTTTGCGCCTCCTCAACAGCCTTTTTCAATCCTTCCAGATAGCTTCCTAGCACCTCAGCATTCTCTGCCCTCTCTCCTTCCAGTATCGGAATCATCTTGGCGCCGAACTCTTTGAACATCGCGCTGCCGCCTGCTGCGTCGACGGCCAGTTCATAGAGCTGCGGTAGTGGAAGGCCGACGTGCTTGGCGAAGGCGATGCTTTCGGCTGCGGCGCAGAGGTGGATGCCGATGAGGAGGTTGGTGACGAGCTCTAGCTTTGCTTTCTTGTCTTCGTCTGAGAATTCAGTCTGGATGTTCGAGACAGGTTCGGAACTCCATAGGCGTACGAGACCGGCGTCGTCGTTCGGTCCATATCCTTTATCTACGCTCGAGAGGTAGACTTGCTCTGCGATACTGCAGAGCGGTGCCGGGAAGTTCAAGAGACGTGCCATGGATGTTATTATGCCCTTTCATCGTGGTTAGCACTGTTATGCTCCGGCGGATGCCATGTCTGGGAATACGTACCGTGTCCTTCAGGATAATCGTCACCGCACTCGCGCCCGGGAAATAATCCTCCTTCAATGTCCTCACACTCCGATTCTCAAACATCCAGCTCCACGCTCTACCTCCCACCACCGCTTCCCTAACATCCTTCCCGTTCAGCCCCAGCCTTGCCGCGAATCCGAAAGCTTCGCTGACGGCTAGGATCTGGATCGCGGCGAGTACTTGGTGCACCATTTTCATGTTGCTTCCGGCACCGATGCCGCCTTCCACGATGAAGAGCTTGGACGGCGCAGATAGCTCTTCGAGCAGCCATTTGCCCTTTTCAATAGCGGAGGGCGAGGCGCCGGTCATGATAGAGAGCGTGCCGTCTGCGGCGCGGATCGCACCCCCGGAAACGGGCGCGTCGATGAAATACACATCATCCCTTCCAATCTCTTTCAACTCCTTCTCCACGCTCGTCGCGTACGCGCTCGGCACCGTGCTGCACAGCAGCAAGGTCGCTCCTTTCGGCAATCCCTTCTCGATGCCATCTTCCCCGAATATCGCGGCCTGCGCTTGCTGTGCGGTCGCGACCATGCAGACATAGAAATGCTTGTCTTTTGCAGATTCTGAGAGCGATGTGGAGGGGATGCCGCCGGCGGCTTTGAACTTGTCTAGAGTGGGCGCGTAGACGTCGAAGCCGGTTACGGAGTAGCCTTGCTTGACGAGGTGGGTGGCCATGCCGAAGCCCATGGCTCCGAGGCCGCAGAAGCCGATCGCTGGTTTGGAGGACATTTTGGGGGATGGAAGGGTGGGACGGGATGTGTTCGAAATAACTACTTCCAAGCTCTCTCGCTATGAGGGGGCTTTTTTCCAATCTCTAAGAGGCTGATGTGACTACGCTCGATGACGAGTATGGCTTTCGGTTTGTTCTCGAGGGGGAGACCGAGGATCCTTCGGTTTCGTCGCTTCTTCTAGAAGATTTGGTCGAATGGATTGCGGCCTTATTTGAAGGGCAAAGCAATGAGCGAGCAATGACACACGCTACGCGGAAAATGACAGAGCAAAAGCAGCTGGCAAAACGTTCGAAAAATAGGGCGTTCGGCGGTTCCTCCGAGTCTTCAAAACGTCGTAATGTGGCATTCGGCGATTCCTCCGAGCCTTCGAAACGTCGTCGTCTGGAGGATCCATATAAGGTCGAGCGCTCAAGGACCCGTCCTGCCCATCCCACGGCCTGACCCACAGCCACCTCCTCCGATGCTCAACTCGTCCCATTGTTGCGGTCCGAGCCTCGAAAATGCCTCTTCCAAATGTCCGCGTCGGCAAAACTCAAACCATATTCTTCAATCAGAGCGGCTGTTGTACCCCGCACTATGACGGAAGTGGATGGCGGGGTCCCATTCTCCGGCAAATGTTCCACGAAACATCATCGTGAACCGTTCATCGGCAATTGACCGGTGGGATTGCTTCATGTAGGAAGCCGAATTGGAAGCCGGATCAGGGTTGTTGGAGATTTGAGTGCATATTCAGCATACAGGTGCTGAACATGTCCTAACAACTCCTCTTCTTCCGCCTCGCTCGTCGCTCTTCCTTCCTTTACCCCTGATTGCCCTCTTTTCACACCGTCACTATGGAGTCAAATCGAGCGATACCGATCCTGAACAAAGCTCAGTTAGAGAACTATGGCATTCCTGCCATGTGCTGTTATAACACGGAGGGCATTCTGGCCACCGTCCGCGCCGCCGAGTCGAAGAAATCGCCCGCGATGATCCTGCTCTTTCCTTGGGCAATCCACTACGCAAACTCCTGTCTCGTCCACCTCGCCGCCGAAGCAGCTCGCAATGCATCCGTCCCCGTAACAGTCCACCTCGATCACGCCCAACAACCGGCGATCGTGAAGCGCGCCGCTGATATGGGAGGATTTGACTCCATCATGATCGACATGAGCCACTATGATAAGGAGGAGAATCTCAGGCTGACAGCTGAGCTGACCAAATACTGCCACGAGCGAGGCATCGCGTGCGAGGCGGAACCGGGTCGGATAGAGGGAGGAGAGGACGGCGTAGGGGATACGGCAGATCTGGAGGGCTTTTTGACAACGCCCGAGGAGGCACAGGAGTTCGTGGACTGCGGCATCGACTGGCTAGCCCCAGCGTTTGGCAACGTACACGGAAACTACGGTCCTAGAGGCATTCAGCTCGAGTACGACCGACTGCAATCGATCAAGGACGCGGTCGCGGATAAGGTGCGCTTGGTGCTCCATGGCGCAGACCCGTTCACGAAGGAAATCTTCCAGAAGTGTATCGGCCACGGCGTGAGCAAGATCAACATCAACAAGGTGCTCAACAATCCGTGTCAGAAGGTCTGGGCGGACCACGCTGGTACGAAGCCGTTTACATATGTAATTGAGGAGGCTACGAATGAGATGCAGAAGGCGGTGGAGATGTGCTGCGACATGTTGGGCTCGACGGGAAAGGCCTGAGGTGTAGAAAGGAACTTTGAAGCGCATCTATGTCGAAATGCGGTCAGGAGTGCTGCGTTTTGGTGACACGTGATTACGCGACATGACCGAAATCGCCCCAGAATAAGAACGCCGCACCCGCATGCCCTCACTCACTTTCGCAGCCTCCCATGGCTCCATCAATCAACTCGACCCCCACCCAATGTGATCCTCACGTTGCCATCGTATAGACCATCTGAAACGCAGTCGGAGCAGCTTTTGTTTCAGCGAATCCTTCGCGCGAGAAGGGGCTGTGTGTGCTCTTCAAACGTTCCGTCGTCCTTAATCATGAAGTTCGCATAATTTATATACAAGAGAATGGGAAGAGAGAAGCTGCTGACGGCTTGCGAAACGAAGGGCGAACGACATCCACCATGAGTACAGCGTCCTCTCTTTTGTCATGACCGCCAGTTATTAATTAACCTGCGTCAGGCTTGCGAACTTCTCCCAGCGCCTCTAAACTCACGAACCTCGAAGACGAGCCTCTGTCCAAAAGCTATCGCGACGAAGACACAGCCTACGATCCCGGAAAGGCCTCCCTCTGGTGCAAGGCAACATGGCGGGCGCGCTTCTCGGGCTGGCGCGGTGGAGTGGTGGTAGCCATTGCGATCGCAACCCTTGTCCTACTGCTCAATATCATAATGGCGATAGTGGCTGCGGTTGGTTGGATGCCGGCAGACGGAATCGCGACGGCATATACCGGCGACTGCGCTGTAGCTGCTCGATGGACAACCGCTATACATCTGCTTATCAACTTGCTGAGCAGCTTGCTGCTGGGCGCCAGCAATTATTGTATGCAGCGGCTAGTTGCACCCACAAGGAAGGAGATTGATAGCGCGCACGCTCAGAAGAAATGGTTGGACATCGGCGTGCCGAGTGTCAGAAACTTGACCTTAATCAGCAAAGCGAGAATGGCACTTTGGGTACTCCTGGTTTTGAGCAGCGTGCCTTTGCACTTTCTGTAAGCAGCTTGATGACCCGCGCTAGCGTGAGCTGACGCGAAGAGCTACAACTCGGTCGTGTTCGAAACATTAGCAGCCAACGACGTCGACTTCCTCGTGGTGGCACCCGAATTCTTTACAGTCAAGCATAGTTGGAGCCCCTTGATGTTTAATTCGACAGGCGACAACTATATTACTAGACTGCAGGAGACTGTCCTAGATGACAAGTACCTTGATCGGTCAGTTTTCGAAAACATCACGGGAGCTGAATGTCTCCAACGCTATAGCGCATCCTTTATTACTGGCGGAGGGACGGTCTTCGCCGTTCCGGTCCCTGACTTTCTAGCGATGAGAGGCATGAATGCTTCGGATTCACTGTCGTGGGCCACCTCGGGTAGTGGGGAGATTGTGTCGGAGGTTGACTACTCGTGTAAGACTTTCCCTCTCCAGGTACCTCCGAGGTAGAAGGGCTCGAGGGCTTCGGGTGGCTCTATTCAGGCTTGGCCATTTCTGCGAGGAATCCCCGGGTCGCCGTCTCATTGCATGACACACTTGGCTGACCCCTTGTAGACTGTTTGAGCCAAATTGTGCCGTCCAAATGTCAGGTGCAATTCAGTTTGACAATCCTCTACGTCGTTATCGCGAGCAACATCCTCAAAATCCTGGTTATGATTCTCATACTATGGCGCCTCAACCAGGAGACCGTCGTCACAGTTGGAGACGCCATCAAATCCTTCCTTCAGCTACCTGATACCACCACCGAGGACTGCTGTCTCATGTCACGCCGGAACGTCGACAGAGTGTGGAAAGTGCCTGCAGTCCGTTCGAGCCAGCGCTTCCAACCCAAGCACAGGGAGTCATGGTTTGGAGCATGTAGCACAAGGAGGTGGATTGTTTCTCTGTTTTCGTAAGCTTACAAACGTACATATTGATCGCTATCGACTGACCCTGTAAGGTATGCCGTCGTGATCACCCTCGCTGGCTGGCTGTACAGTTTAGCGGCGATTCAAGGCGAGGAGTACGGGCGAAACGGATTCGGCAGGGTCAATGTCAGTAAGTACAGTTCCGTACCCTAGGCAACCCAGCCTTTCCTTCATTCATATCTTCCATTCTAGCCAATTGTTCCAGCAACAGAGCTTGAATCCCTTCAGCATGAGCTATTCCCATTCAAACTAACACTCCGCTAGACTATCTCATCGATGTTTTCCTCCCAGGCGGTCAGACATCCATCATTCCCTACGTCCTGTTGGCCAATTTGCCGCAGGCCGTGATTTCCTTCCTCTATCTTACCTACAACGGCCTCTTCACGTGCATGCTCGCCAATCGCGAGTGGTCGCAATATTCCGTCAAGCGAGCAACACTCCGTGTGACGCTCCCTTCCGGAACTCAACGCTCGACGTATTTCTTGCAGCTCCCCTATAGCTTCAGCGTCCCGCTTCTCCTCGCAAGCGTCCTCCTCCACTGGTTCGTCTCGCAGTCTATCTTCCTAGCCCGTGTCGCCGTGTACAAGGACGGCACGCTGGTCACTATGGCAGATCGCTTGGGTATGTACAAGCATCTTTCTAAATCCGGAAACGGCGTCTTCTCTGGAGTGGGATACTCAAACACCGCCCTTGTGGCGAGTATCGTGTGGGGCTCCGTTCTTGTCGCGACCTGCCTGCTCGTTGCTGGAATCTGTACATACCCCAAGGGGCTGCCGATTGGCGGGACGAATAGTGCGGTAATCAGCGCGGCGTGCCATGTGAAGTATGAGGATGAAGCAGTGGAAAAGGGGGGTGAAGACATCGCAAAACGACCGTTGAAATGGGGCGTTACGATTGCGGGTGGGAGGGAGCAGATCGGACATTGCTGCTTCAGCAGTGATGAGGTGGAGGACCCGAAAGTTGGGTTCCTTTACGCTGGTGCCCGGGTGAGGGCGAAAGATGCGTGACAGCTCACCAAAAACAACCAACATGCTCCTTCAAGGCATTCTGATTGGATCTTTCTATTTACCATGCCGGAATTGTGATATTCATCTGAATTTCCTATTGATTATGGGTGTTATTCCCTTTCACTTTATACAGCTTGCTCCAAAGCCGACCTCCTCGGTCTTTTCTCCACGAACAACAAGTTAGTGAGAAGTCTATCTCTGCTATGTCCTTATAGGTTACTTTATTTATTTTTTGCTATCGAATAGTTATAGTGTACAAAGGGAAGACGGCAACGGATTCTCCGCCCAGAGTTAAGAGTGGACTTCAAAGACATGAATGCACGAAGATCGGATAACAATATGTACGAGAGCTAACGAAGCCGCCGCATGACTTGGGCCCAATTATCTAATACGACGGTTAATTTAATATCAACTAGTTCATATCATCAGCTATTGAGGATAATAATTTCCTTCTCTACGCATTTCATGTAGCAGGCGTGCTGCAAGATAGCTCTCAGTCCAACCATTCTCTGCATTTTCTCCATAGCGCGCCATGCCCTGGCCAGTGCCAGGCAGAGAAGCATCCCGCTCCAAACTGTTTTGCGCATCATGCTCGACAAAATTCCCCATCCCAGAGGATATGGAGGGCACGGCCACTCTACTATAGCCAGTGTTATCCGTGCCTTGTCTATCGTTTACTGAGCCTTGGGCATTGGCGTCTGGCGCAAAAGCATCCCACCCCACACTGTTGTTCTGCTCGCCATATCCTGCATGATTTGGATCATTTTGCAAAACTTGAGCAAAGCTGGGTTCTTTGTATTGCAGGGGGCTCCGTGAACTTGCTGCGGCAGAGCGTTTTGTGCGTCTTGCAGATGAAGATGATGTCGCAGAGCGCTGAGTTGATCTCTTTCGCTGATCTATAATGGTCGGCGCAGCGGAACGGAGCCGGGCCTCTGATCTGATGGAAACTTGGCCGCTAGCGTCTCGGGTGGAGGCCAATGAATCTTCACTGTCTTCGAAAGCAAGCGCCCTAGAATGACGCGGGACCTTTGACCTGATGTATTTCTGGATCTCAGAGTCCCTGATGGAGCGCAAGGAATCTTCCTGTCGTACATCGCCTTCGAAGGCACGCGCACTGGAATGACGCGGGACCTGCGATCTGATGTACCCTAGAATTTCGGAGTCTCGAAAATGGTGATCATCCTGCCGGAAGGTTGGGGAGACTGCGTCAGTGGGGTCAAGGACCCGGGACTCGGACTCTCCGATCTGATGCTGCTGTCCCCCGTAAGGGATTGGCGTCGCAACCCGGCTTGGGGCTTCTAGTTCCAATGCTCCTTGTAGGCACTCTTCAGCTGAAAGCCGCCACTTCGGATCCATGACCAGCATAGCCGATAAAATATCAAGCAAGCTGTCTGGATCCCAATCGTTTACTGCGTCGACAATCTTTTGGCACCAACGCAATCCCCACTCCGTATCGACACGTGGAAGACCGTAGCCGTACCGGAAGGCAACAACGCCAAGAGACCAAATATCAACGGCACTTGTATATCTGAGGCCTGGCGAAGAGCGTTGGTAGTATTGAGCGATCTCAGGAGCAACGTAGATGACCGTGCCACAAGCGGTTTCCAAATAGGCACCTGCTTTTGCCAGACCGAAGTCTGACAGTTTGATATGGAGTGGACTGCGGGATGAGACGAGAATATTCTCCGGTTTAATATCTCGATGTACGACAGGTGGCGTTTGTTTATGAAGATACGATAAAGCCGAGGCGGCTTGTTGAAGGATAGTCAAGACTTCTTCCTCGGAGATGTTTCGCTGGCGATGCTGATCCTCAAGGTTTCCGAGCGGAAGATACTCCAGCACTAGCCGAGGAGGCGGCCCGTCTATGTCAAAATGAAATACAAGAATGTGCTCCTTGTAACACGATCAGTAAAAGTGTCTCCCGAACCATATTTATACTTACATGCGAGATTTGACGCATGACAGTGACCTCCTTTTTCCAGTCGCTAACTTCGGGGTCAAGAATCTTCTTGGAAGCATACTCTAATCCGGTGCTGACATCCCAGACGCGGCTTACAACCGAGAACGCACCTTTGCCGAGCCTCTCTTGCTTGAGAAGGATGCGTTCTTGGTTGGGGGTGTCTCTTCCACTGGGAGCTGCTGTTGAAAGTGCGCTCTCGATGCCTAAAGAACCGAAAGGCAGCTCGTCATTCGTGCCGACCTCCCTAAGGAACCGGTCGACATTGTCGAAGAACAGATCTGGGTATAGATGATGCTTGGAGACAACGACCTGGAATTGGAGTTGCGGCTGGATTTCAATGACGATTGTCTTGGTTTCATCTGGGACCTTGTGGCCACCGATGATCCATTTGAAGTTGCTGCGCTTCTGTCCGCCCTCCTTGTCGTATGTGACGATGGTCCCGCGAGTTGAAATGTCTCGCACGAACAGCCGGTGCTGCTCATCGAAGGCGATATAGAAGTGTTGGCTGCTGATGAGGGGCTGGCCATTGTTCTTGTGATGAATTTGTGGAAGGACGACGTCGCAGCTACTTCGGCTAGTTCCAAAGACAATGCCGAGGCGGCCTTTGAACCCGTGGCTGAACCTCAACTCGAGTCCAGGATAAACATCTTGGGGCGGGACTTGCTCGTAGTCGTCGTCTGGTGGAGCTGTTGTCTCCCTGCTTTGTGGCTCCGGCGCCTGTCGCTTCTGTTCAACGTGCCGTGGGCGGTTCTGCGGGTCGTCGATCGCCTCATATGCCCCTCGGCTCTCGTCAAATGGATACAAGCAAGCGATCAGGTCTTCCATTGTTGCTGCGAGGTTTCTTGTTAACGACAGAGGAAGTTTGAGCAAGCAAGGCTGGGAGCGGAGGGTTCGCCTTGACTTTTAGAAGGGGCTGGATGTCGTGCGAAGGTCCAGCGAGAAGCAGGATGGCCATCGAGGAAACCATCATGTCCAATCGATTTGCAGACCTGTTGTGCCTCGTTCCAGGCAACTCAAAGGTGTGCGGGATCAACTGGCCATCGCGGCGACACGTTCACCTAGGCAGCAAAGCGGGGTGTCGCAGGCTGCACGTGATATTTGCCGCCTCCGCCGTGGGCGCGGGCACGCAGCAACATTTCCACGTCAACCCATTTTCCTCTGCACCTTTTGCACACGAGCTATGGCGTCCTCCGAAATATCGGCACCGAAACTGTTCGCTCGCGACATCGCTGCTTATAGCGATGCGGAACTTGACCGGTATCTGGAAGAGAACAGAAGGTGAGGGCTGATTCTCGTGCATGCCGTCGTCCTACTGCTCGCTAACGCCAGATCCAGGTACGTCGACGTTGAGGATCCAGAGAACCTTCCGGACAGCTTCATTCAGAGATTACGGTAACCAGCTTCTCCTAGCCTACTAGCCTACCGTGTTCTGATAACTATGGGCAGAGACCGGACGCGCCGCGCAAGCGAAACTGCTCAGTCCCACGCCATCGATCTTGGTCAAGTAGCCGCCCGGCTTCAGGACGTAGCCGCTGACCAAGAGCAATCGCGCCGATCGCCGTCCACCGCAACGACGGCACCCCTTGATCCAGAGCAAGATTACCTCATGGATCTGCGCCTCGAGACCGCATTCTACAATATGCTTGTCGACGATGGCGGCCGGCCTTCACACCCGCTGAGTCGGCTCGAGGATGTCGCCAAAGACCCTGGAGAGTATCGCGAGATTCTCTCCTTCTGGCAACACGGAAACAACGATGAATGGAGGGTGTTTGGACACCAACTGAATAGCTGGCATGCATTCCAGAGCCTCCAACGATTCGCAAGGGGCCAGAGGGGCTACGATTATTGGCGGGGTGTTTGGGAAGAGAGCCGTAAATTCAACAACATAGCCTTGATCAGGATGCCAGGCGAGAGAGATCCTGAAGAGGAGTGGGAAAACGTGTGGCAGTTGTATCACACATATGACAATACTGTAAATCTCGGCGGCGCGCTCATTCGATGGGAACGATTCGTCAAGCGCAAAGGGCAGACGACTGAGCAGCAAGGCTTTCCAGAGTATGCCGAAGCGCTGAAAGAACGACTGGCGAGGCATGGGTTCACGCGGGCATTCAAGCTCGAAGAGGATGCCGCCCGGCAGGACAAGATGACGACCTGGATCGAACACCTTGGCTACCAGTACTGGTGGTACGACTACTATGTAGGCATTGCCAGTAGTTACCAGAAACGGCACGACAAAGCTTGGAACAAGCTCGTTGACTCGAAGGTGCTAAGGCCTGGGGAGACGGAGGAAGTCATATGCGATATCAATACTTCCTTTCGAGATGCGAGTGAAATCGAGAGGGCCAAGAGGGCTGTGCAATCCGCGATGTCGGATGTGTCCTCGGCGGAGACAACCATGGCCAGACAGCGACAGTCCAAACTCTCTCCACAGACACTTGAACAACGACTATTAGCTGCGCGATCCAAGCTGGAGACTGTGCAGGAGGAGTACGAGTCGCTTGAGAGACGCAGTAAATGTATTACCGAGTTCATTCAGCAGACAACGCATTATCAAAACGCCAAAAGTGATGCACAGCGCCGCGAAGCACTGCTGCGATGGATGCTGCAGCAAGTTCCCCGGATTGAGAGCGAACTGAACCCGCCGAACGACCGTAGCTCGGACAGGAGAGGTGGAAAGAACATGCTCAAACGCAATCGATTTGATGAGCTCGATGAGGAGCAGCATTCCCAAGAGCAGAGACGCGATGAAGGTATGGGCAGTTCCATCGCGGACCGGCTTGCTCCGACAGCCGTCAATTCCCAAAAGGGTGAAAGACACTATGGACCACCTTCCAAGCGGCGAAGGCGCACTGCAACTCTATCCCACAATGCGGTACCCAATTCAGAAGATCCAAATTCATCAACTGGAACATTTGAAATCTCAAAGACCGCCCCAAAAACAGAAAGCAGGCCACAGAATGTGAATGGCCAGGCTCTTCGCCGCAGTTCCAGGATCGCGGAAAGAGTAAAGAGATTGAATGCTACAACCACAGCCGCCACATTAGCACAGGCACCAACGCCTACATCGTCAATACCACCAAAGAAGCAGAACGGGAAGCGAGGCCGCCCTAAGAAGGCTAGTCGGAGGCACACCTTAAAGAAGGGTTGAACTCATTCGTGGCGGCAACACTATACCCACTGCTATCTTTGATTTGATTCAGGGTGCTACGTCTCCGCGTGTTTCTAGAATGGAATCAAGGTGGATTTTTCACCTTGATGCGCGATAACAAGGGTGCACTGCCGCTACAGAAAAACGAAGAAGGGGTGAACAGGGATGGGATTGTATATGGGCACGGGATATGCGCCGCCAGGGGGCACTAGGAGGGATTACCGTCGTATGCGAGAAGAGTACAGGCGGAATGGGGCTTTTATGGATGATAGGAAGCTAGGGGGAAGATATCATGCGGCCTTCGGCCTAGGTACTAGGTACTAGTAGAGTGTTGCATGGGGGCATGGAGTTGGAGAGTAGCTGTACGCTTGCAAGAAGCCTATCCTGATAGTCTGACTGATTCAAGTCAGCCCGACCATAGCCATGATAAGAGGTGCTGAAGCACTTCGAGGGGTGAGACCCTGATGAAAAGGGATTGTGTAGCTACTGATCGACTCAGGAAGCGCTCACTTGGGATCTAGATCGACATGGGCGACGGTGAGGTACGTTGAAAGACCACGAGCATTACACTGAGACACAACAATATTTTGAAAATTTCTTCGTCATTCATATGTAGCTACTGAGAATGTAACACTCAGAGCACCCAGGGATGTCTACCTAGAATACATTCCACATTCCGGCAGGGATAAGTCCATCCATCCAGTCGTGATCCTCCAACCACTCTTTAGACGCCCGCATTAGATACTATCCCATGCATGCAAGAAGTGATGGAGGCCAAAGGAAGAAAAAGCCGTAACACGTGAGAAAGGGGGAATCAAAACGCCGACCAAACTTTTCGAACCCGAATTGGTGTGGAAGTATTTAGTCGACCTCCTCCATGGCGCTCTCACCGGCTGCCTCGGCGGTAGGAGCTGCCTCCTCAGCCTTGGCCTCCTGCTCGGTCTCGACCTCCTCGTCGACGTTCAGGCCGAGCGACACAAGCTTATGGATGCGCTCGGCGTACTGAACGGGCTCATCGATAGTGAAGCCGGAGACAAGCAGAGAGGTCTCGAAGAGCAGTAGGGTGATGGACTTGACGGTGCGGTCCTCCTCTCCGTCGGCCTCAACCTTGCGCTTGAGTTCCTTGATGATCGGCGACTTGGGCGAGATCTCGAAGGTCTTCTTCGACGACATGTAGGAGCTCATGGAGGTGTCACGGAGAGCCTGAGCCTTCATGATACGCTCCATGTTCGCTGACCAACCAAACTGGCCGGTACGGATGGCGCAAGGCGAGCCGATGAGCTTGTGGCTGACGACAACCTTCTCGACGCGGTCACCGAGGACGTTTTTAAGGCTCTTGGCGAGGCCCTCAAACTCCTTCTCCTCCGCCTCACGCTGCTTCTTCTCCTCTTCAGACTCCTCAAGCTCGAAATCCTTGGTGATGTCGACGAGCTTCTTACCATCGAACTCCTTGAGCTGAGTCATGGCATACTCATCAATGGGATCGACCAGGAACAGAACCTCGAAGCCCTTCTCCTTAAGGGAGTCGAGGAAGGGCGACTTCTGCACGGCCTTGAGCGACTCGCCGGTGATGTAGTACATCTGCTTCTGGTGCTCCGGCATGCGGGTGATGTAGTCGGTGAGGGAGGTGGTCTCCTCGCCGGACTTGGTCGAGTTGAAGCGAAGGAGCTTGGCAAGAGACTGGCGGTTCTGGGAATCCTCGTGGATACCGAGCTTGATGTTCTTGCTGAAGGCGGAGTAGAACTTGTCGAATTGCTCGCGATCCTCGGCGATCTCGTTGAACAGCTCGAGAGTCTTCTTGACGATGTTCTTGCGGATGACCTTCATGATCTTATTCTGCTGCAGAGTCTCACGAGACAGGTTGAGCGGAAGGTCCTCAGAGTCGACGACACCCTTGACGAAGCTGAGCCACTCGGGGATGAGGTCGGTGGCATCGTCGGTGATGAAGACGCGGCGGACATAGAGCTTGATGTTGTTCTTCGTCTTCTTGGTCTCGAAGAGGTCGAACGGTGCTCGCTTGGGAACGAAGAGGATGGCGCGGAACTCGAGCTGACCCTCAACAGAGAAGTGCTTGACAGCAAGGTGATCTTCCCAGTCATTGGACAGCGACTTGTAGAAGGAGGCGTACTCTTCTTGGGTGATGTCCTGGGGATTCCGCGTCCAGATAGGCTTGGTCTTGTTCAGCTCCTCCTCCTCGATCTTGGTCTCCTTGATCTTCTTGGTCTTCTTTTTCTTCTCTTCCTCCTCATCGTCGACCTCCTCGACCTTGGGCTTCTTCTCGTCGCCCTCCTCAGCCTCCTCGGCCTCGTCGTCCTCGACCTCCTTCTCGGTCTCCTTCTGGACGTGGAGGTAGATGGGGTACGAGATGAACTCGGAGTGCTTCTTGACGACCTCCTTGATCTTGCTCTCGTTCAGGTAGTCGGTCTGCTCGTCCTTGAGGTGGAGGATGATGGCAGTGCCGCGGCCGATCTGCTCGCCCTCGGTATCCTCCTTGATCTTGAAGGTGCCGCCGGCGCTCGACTCCCAGACGTACTGCTCGTCGTCGTTGTGTTTTGAGACGACGGTCACGCGGTCTGCGACGAGGTAGGCCGAGTAGAAGCCGACGCCGAACTGGCCAATCATGGAAATGTCGGCACCAGCGGAGAGGGCCTCCATGAACTGCTTGGTGCCTGATCGGGCAATGGTACCAAGGTTGTTGATGAGATCAGCCTTGGTCATGCCGATACCGGTGTCCCGGATGGTGAGCGTCTTCGCCTCCTTGTTCGGGATGATGTCGATTCGGAGGTCCTTGCCAGAGTCGAGCTTGCTCGGGTCTGACAGCGACTCATATCGGATCTTGTCGAGGGCATCGGAGGCGTTGGAGATGATTTCTCGCAGGAAGATCTCCTTGTTTGAGTAGACAGTGTTGATGATCAGGCCGAGGAGCTGAGAGATCTCGGCCTGGAACTCGAACGTCTCGGTGGCCATTGTGCGGTGTGCGGGACGGTGCAAGTCGAGAGGCTGCGGGTGGCGTTAGACTGAGCTCAATAGAGGTTGTTGATGGAGAGAAGCTGGTGGACGGGAGCAATGGGCGAAAATTTGTGCAAAGGGGGCAGTTGTTTGGGGTGTGCTGCTGCCTCGCGCAGAAGGCTGGGAAGATGTTGTTGGTGACTTACGAAGGGAGAGTTGTACTAGCTCTTTAGCTTTGCTTAAAGCTGTAGGAGACTCTGAGCTGGGCGAGGAAGGCGTGGGCAAAGCGAGTTGGGAGAGAGCAGTTCGATGGAGACAAAGACTTGCGGGAGGCAGAAAGTCAGCGGTGCTCATATAGCCCCATGGTGGAGCGCGAGAATCTTCTAGACAGGTCGGCAGAATCGCGGCGAAACGGCGGCGGGGCCAATCAGCGGCGGCGATGCGGCTCACCGCCCGTGAACAGTGCAAACTCGGCCCTGCCCCAGCAACGGCGGGCACCCCCCAGCCTCACCGCGCGGGCAGGGCTACGATTGACAGCTGCTGTCCCGAACGCTCACTTAGTCGATTGGCGTGGATCCGACGAGCTCGCCACCCTCAACCACGGTTTCCCGCGACCTGGACGCAATCAATCTGTTTTCCTTTGTCTCCAGGCCCTTTCCTCGCGGGCCCCCTGCATTCAGCCTCGTCCCAGCCTCGGTAGCTGCCTTGCGAATTGCAGCCTGCCCTCCGCCTCCACCGCCCACCAGCCTGCACAGCAATTGCCATGCTGCATGCCTCCGTCCGGCATTCCACATTGGGGAAGGAGTACCACAGGCACAAGCTGTAGGACGCCATGGATTCCTTCTACCACATTCGACGTCCGCCCGCCTCACCCCTCTTCCTCGTCCCCATCGAGCTCCGCCTCCTGATATACGAGCATGTCTTTACCTCAGCGCCGCCGTCCGCCGAATTCGCGCCCCTGCCCAGGTCCTCCTTCGCCCTCGAGCCGCTTCTTACCTGCCGGGACATCTACAAGGAAGCGAGGCTGATAGCGTTTGCCTGCGCTGTTCACAACCTCAATTGGCTTCGGGCGTCGAGCTGCTTGCGCGGTCTGCGCATGCTTGAGCCCGCTCAGCATGCCCACATCCGCCATGTCGCCCTCACCGTGTCGACCGCCAGCCTGTACGACAGACTTCTTCCGTTCCGCAAGCACTTCGATCACAGCCGACCGCCGCACCTCTCCCTCGAGTCCATTACCATCATACTAGATCTACCCGATACTGCAACACCAGAGGCGCAGGAGAGGAGGGTTCAAGAACAGGATATGGTCCTCGTTTCGATTTGGTATTTTAAGAACGTTAGAAGGGTCATCCTCCTGAATATGCTACACAGGGAGACAATGACGCACCCCCTTGGTGCCCATGGAGAGTGGACGTGTATGGATGATGAAGGCCCACTCCCGGCGTCCGTCAATGGCTCGTTGATGGACGCGGGCCACACTGACAACGTCCGGTGGCGCTTCGAGTTGACGAGCTTCTACGACTATGCCTGGAAGCCGTGGCACGGATAGAACCAGCTTAAGAAGCTGTTAAGAGCAGGCCGTCATGGCTCGAGAGGCTCAAGAGATGCGGGGGACCATCTTCATACCCGCGGCCCAACCCGGAGTCGAACCATTTGTTAGGTCTAACCACATCATAGGCTTCGTTAGCCTCTACTTCAGCCATATCGTATTTGCAATGTCCATTCAGCTGTGGAAATAGAGATGGCCAAGCTAGTCGCGAGACGGGCACCTGCAATACATGTGATACGTGATCCGCTCCTTCGAGGCTGCCAATCTGGGCAGGTGTATGTGGGCAGGTGTATGAGCTCTTTTCTCGTGAGCTACTTGAGGTCCTTTTGCTTCGTATCTGCACCCCACAACTTTTTTCTGCAACCTTCCAGAAACACTTGCTTTCTATTTCATAAATTGGTTGCTGCTATTGGCCCGCTCGTTTCTTCTCTCGGCACCATACCCGTTCTTCCGGATAGATTGCATCTCATACAAAAGACCCCTTAAGGGTAGTCCCGGACATTCTTGCCCATGCCATTTGGGCTACATCTCACAAAGTCGGTGCCGAAAGCTTACCTCCGCAATTTCTAGGATGCCTCTGATTGCCGGGGGTATATCTCGTCATGAAACCTGGGGCACGCCGTCGAGACCAATATATGAAGTCTGGATTGCCGATATTGAAGACAGTATGAAAAAGCTTGATTTCACACGAGTATGAGGGTCCACATGACGAATGGGTGCAGAAAAGGCAGAGAAAGAGGTATAAGAGGGACAATTCGTTGGTGGTAGCCCGTCAGCCAAGCTTCGAGAAGTTCACTCATTCCTTCCTATCCCGGTCGGGCATTAGCAGTCATGAAGGCATTCATCGTCGCATCTGCCCTGGCGATCCAGCAGGTCGCTGGCCATGCTATCTTCCAGGATTTGTGGGTTGATGGGGTCGATAAGTCCAATACCTGCGTGCGGATGCCGTCATCCAACACTCCAGTCACGAACGTCAACTCCAACGATGTGAGGTGCAATGCTGGCACAAGGGGTGTGTCTGGGAAATGCTCTGTCCCGGCTGGTGGGACCGTGACCGTCGAGATGCATCAGGTTCGTTGTACCACCCATTTCGAACGACTGAGTTATCATCTTAATTCCGGGAAACTTTAGCAACCAGGAGATCGCTCGTGTAGTCAAGAGGCCATTGGTGGAGCACATTACGGACCAGTATTGGTCTACATGACTAAGGTTGCGGACGCTTCAACTGCCGACGGCTCTACTGGATGGTTCAAGGTGTTTGAAGATGGATGGGCTGCTGCAAACAAAGGCGCTGGCGACAATGACTACTGGGGTACGAAGGACATGAACGACTGCTGCGGCAAAGTCGATGTGCCGCTCCCGAAGGACCTGGCGTCGGGCGATTACCTCCTTCGTGCAGAAGTGATTGCACTTCACACTGCCAGCTCAAGCGGTGGAGCGCAGCTGTACATGAGCTGCTGTAAGTCCCTCCACTTCCCTACGTAACTTTCCGGCCTTCTGGACAGTACTGACACCGAGCAGACCAGCTTACCGTCACCGGCGGCGGCAGCCTCAGCCCTCCAACCGTGAAGTTTCCGGGAGCATACAGTGCCAGTGATCCTGGTATCAAGGTCAACATCCACGCTGCCATGTCAAGCTACAAAGTTCCCGGACCTGCCGTTATCGCTGGGGGTACTACTAAGACTCCTGGCCAGGGTGCCGTGTGCAAGAACAAGAAGATGATGCTCCGCGGCACGAACGATATCTGGGACTACTAAATACAGGCCTCGCTCTCATGCGAGCGTCAGAGAAGCCAATTTTTCACATTTGCATTACCTGTAAATACTTTCTATGCATCAAATCCAAGCAGTCTGTCCATTTTCCCTTTCTTCCTTTTCGATACCTATATGAACGTCCGCAGGAACTCTCCTAGAGCCATGATGGCCATCGCTTGCCCATACGGCATGCTCGTTAGCGCGATGTCCTTATAATGCTGCAATGTGTGCCCCATCGCCGTCCCAAAGCTCACGTCAAGCAGCTCGCCCTCCTTGTTGATTTTTCCAATCACTGCCTTGATAGCTCTCACAGCCGAGTCCATATACTCCGGCCCAATATATCTCTTCCTGACCGCCTTCAGCATGCCATATGCAAAGCCCGCCGTAGCAGACGCCTCCTCATAGCTTCCTTCACTGGCGGGTATATCGAGCAGCGTCCGCCACATGCCATTTTCAGCCTGCAGCTTCACCAGCGCGTTACACTGCGATTCCAGGATCCCAAACAAAAACATCCTTAATGGATCCCCTTCCTTCAATTCCAATAACTCCACAAAATCCGGAATCGCAATCGTAAGCCACGAGTTCCCCCTCGCCCACCTCGCCCTCGCAAAGTTATGTCCCACACTCCCATCCTGCCCCCCCTCCCACTTCCACCCATGGAAGAACAGCCCCGTCGACGTGTCAAACAGATACTGGCAATGCAGCATAAACTGCCTCTTTGCCTCCTCCACATACTCTGGCCGATTTAGCGTAAGTCCAATCTTAGCCAGAGGCAGCGCGCTCATCATCAGCGTATCGTCCCACAGCTCATCTTTATTAAACGAATTATACGTCTCATGCTGAAAGCCGCCATACTTGGTCCGCGGCAGCCCATGCATCACCCACTCGGCCCACGTATCCAGCCACGGCACAAACGTCTTATTCCCCGTCTCCCCGTACAGATACGCGAGCGTGAGAAACGGACTCATGGTGTTGATATTCTTGGTCGTGCCCTTGGCCAGCTGCTTCTCGAACCAGCCGAGCATGATGTCTTTGGTGGCCTGGCTGCCGGTCAACGTGTAGTAGTGCCAGAGGCCGTACAGGCCGATGCCGTGCGTCCATTCCCAGCCGTCCCAGCCCTTGGTGTCGATTATGCGGCCGTCGTCGAGCTTGAGCAGGAATTCGCCTGTCGTGTCGTGGATGTTTATCAGGTTGTGCGTGAGGAGTTGGATGGCGGAGTGGATTTCGGAGGTGGTGAGGCCGTGGGATTTGAGCGTCGACATGGTGGGTTATTTGGAGGGCAAGTCTTGGGATTTACGGCGTGTAGTGGATTGTGATGTCTGAGAGATGTTTCTGTTTTCAAAGTGGAATTGGGCGCGGGCTTTGCGTTGTTTGATGGATGCCCAATCGCGGAAACCCCAACAAGCACTCTATGACGCCGAAAACTTTTGGGAGCTTGGAGACAAATTCTTGCAAAGCTTCTTCGCTATCGCTATGCAATGCGCCGACTCTCGTTGTACTCTACCCCGACTAGCTGCGAGAGCCACGTGGGGAGAGCTTGGGGAACCTGGCAAACGGAGTCGTGCAGCCGACCCGTGTCTTCAGTCGTTCACGATGCTTTCGAAAATATCGGAAAGCTATCCGAGCTCGTCCTCGGCTACACCGACAGCTCGTGGGTTGATGCACCGATAGAATGATGATCGCCTGTGCAACGACCGCTGGCCTGGCGTCCGGGGTCGTGGGGATAGCCGGGGAAGTCACACGCCTGGAAGCCACCGGAGAAGAAATCCCACCAGACGACTCAACCCAACAATCGCCTTCGCATGATGCTCTCGCGAGGCCAAGACGACGATGCGCGTCCTCGAAGCCGTCCAAGCTCCTTCCCAACCACCCTTCGGCGCCTTTTCTTCCGAGCGTTAGCTGATGCGGCGATTGGCCAAGAACGGGCTTGCCTCCGCAAGGCTTGCTTTCGCCGCCCCAAGACTCCACCTCCGCAGAAAACAACGTCGCGTGGAGAGCGTCGTCTGGGGACTACTGAGTCAGAACGTTGTGATAGGCCGCGGGCCCAGCGCATCGAAGGGCCGTTAAACTGCGCTGGGATGGATGAAAGACGGGCTGATGGTTGGGGCAGACCATGCGAGCTGCAGGCTTTTTGCCAGTTTGGCCGCCTGGGTTTGCCCCGAAGGAGTAGCACGCCCGTAGTGCTCAGGTAGGCTAGTTTTTCCGTATTGTTGGGTGCATTTAACTGCGCGACTCCACCCTTCCCCAGGTTTTTACCGTGAGTTCTGGGGTTCTTGTTCTCCCAATTCCATCTCGTCTTTGCTCTCTTTCCGGTCCATTGCTGTCAAGATGGCGAGAACCAGCCCCGATGCCGTCCACACCGCGCCGGAGGTCGTGCATGACTCTGCCCACGATGCGGGGAAGTCTGATATCGGCCAAGTCGAGCGCGTGTTTTCTGCCACCGATGAGAAGGGCGACCACATGAACTATGACCGTGTGGATAACGAATTGGCCAAGTATGCGAACGCCGTCGCCATCGAAATCTCAGAGGAGGAGAATAAGCGACTAAAGAGGATGATTGACGGGCGAGTCCTTCCTATCATGGTGTTCACATACTTTCTCCAAGCTCTCGACAAGGGGACCATGTCCTTCACTGGTATCATGGGCATCCGAGACGACATTCCCGTTTTGCAAAACAACAGCAAGGTACGGTTTAGCCTCGCCAAATGGCGGCAAACTCAGGTGTAATAGAGACAATACTGACTGGTCACAGTTCGCATGGCTCACGACGTGTATCTATATCGCCGTGTTGATCGTCGAGTATCCGACAAATTGGATCATTCAGCGTGTCCCCATCGCCAAATACCTCGGGCTCAACATCATGGCGTGGAGCTTTACGCTCGCGTGCCACGCTTTGTGCAAGAGCTTCCCCGCGCTCGTCGCTGTACGCACGCTCCTCGGCATATTTGAAGCTGTCTGCCAGCCTACCTTCTTGATCCTAAGTTCCATGTGGTACAAGCGATCGGAACAGGCCCAGATTGTCACCTTCTGGTACATGATGAACGGCGGCCAGCAGATCGTTGGTGGTTTGTTAGCCTACTGCTTCAGTCTGATCAAGAGCCCGCCTTCGGCCCTCAAGTCGTGGCAGGCCATCTTCCTGGCCTACGGCCTTTTCTCGTTCTTCTGGGGCGCTTTCGTCATCTATTGGCTTCCTGGTGAGTATCAGAACGGCTCTCTCGATGATTTGATGGCGCTGACTCCCATACAGACAGCCCTATGCGCGCAAAGTGCTTCTCCGAAGAAGACAAGAAACTCATGATCGAGCGCGTCCGATCCAACCAGACTGGTCTCCAGAACAGGAAGTTCCGTGCCTACCAGATCAAGGAAGCTCTTCTCGACCCGCAATCCTGGTGCTACTGCCTTATCGCCATCTGCACCACGCTGCCCACCTCTGGACTTGGCGCCTTCTCCCAGATCATCATCAAGGGTTTCAACTTCACTGTCCTGCAGACGCAGCTCCTTGCCATGGTCTTGGGCGTTGTCATCATCCTTACGCTGATCAGCTCGACATGGCTGGCGAATAAAACAGGCCAGAATCTCATTGTCATGGGTGTCTATGTCATACCGTAAGCTCTCTCGTTCCCAGGTTGCCAGAATGTCCCGCTCACCCACCGCAGATCCTTCATCGGCACCATTGTCCTCATGACCGTCAAGCTCCACGACAAAGGCTCCCAAATCGGCCTCCTCATCTCCTACTACATCGTCCTCACCTTCTGGTCCGCGCAGACCCTCTCCATGGCGCTCCTCTCCCGCAACGTCGCCGGTCAGACGAAGAAATCCGCCGTTGTGGCCATGAACTTCGTCGCCTGGTCCGTCGGCAACTCCATTGGCCCGCAGGTCTTCTTGACGCGCGATGCGCCGAGGTACTTCATCGCTTTCTCGACGCACATGGGCTGCTACATCCTGCTTGTGCTGGTCATTGCCTTCTTGAGGTTCTACTTTGTGTGGCAGAACAAGAAGAGGGATGAGCTTGCTGCACAGGTTGTGGAGGCGAGGGACGAGCATCTTGTACATGCTTTTGATGACTTGACGGATAAGGAGAACCCGTCTTTCCGATACATGTATTAAGTAGGGCGATGAACGAGCTTGGGCGGTATCTAAGTGGGGACGCGTTGCTGTTTATAGGAGAGAGTATCGATACCCGCACTGTCGTTTGCATAAAACCGGGGAGTGACACTTTGTCGAATAAACCCTGAAGTCCCACGCAGCCCTTACTTGCTCAAGCCTCCTTGATTTGCTTCTTCTGGCTGATTATTCATTGTTACCGTGACCTCAGTAGCTCAACTGGTGCAAAAGAATTCTTAGCCCAGATGACGTAATCAGAATTGCGTTATCACTAGGTAACCCCGGATTCATTTCTCTCCCAAAGAACCACCACCTGGGCAGCTCCTGCACAAAAAAAACCCAAATTATGACATCCACGCAGTCTACTCCAGTCGCGCTACCGCGCGTCGCCATAACCTACTGCACGCAATGCCGATGGATGCTTCGAGCGGCATATGTGCGTGCCTTCCCTCTTCGTTCCCGTTGCTCAGAGGTCTAACCGCGAAAGGACTAGTTCGGGCAAGAGCTGCTGTCTACATTCGGCACGCAAATCGGCGAAATAGCGCTCGTTCCTGCGACTGGGGGGCTGTTTACTATCGAGCTGGTAAGACGGGTCAAGCATTGTAGAGAGGAGAGTCGCTGACGGTTTTCGAAGGCGTATGTCCCGGCGGGTGAAACGCAGGATGGAGACGAGGTTCAGATCAGGAAAGTGATGCTCTGGGATAGGAAGGAGGAGGGAGGGTTTCCAGGTACGTCAGCCGACTAGCATTGGGTAGCCTGAAGGGATGCAGAGTCTAAAGGCGATGCAGAGACCAAAGTGCTTAAGCAGCGTGTCCGCGACTACATCGACCCCGGGAAGGACCTAGGGCATTCAGACCGGCACGGGAAGAAGAAAACAAACGAAGTCACGCAGGAGCAGAGTGTGAAGAGGAATTCAGATGGCACAGTGTGCGCAGACTGCACTTGAATTGTAGAACCCTATGAGACGAAACACCCTCTGAAGACCCTCACGCCCCGTGATGTCGAGGTGAATAAAGCAACATGTGGCCCTGCGGGCGCGGAATGCGGAAACGGAAACGGCCAGCCCGGAGCCCTTCAGGCTGCTTTGCGTCGTTTGAGCGAGGCGAGGCGCTCGCCGGTGCGGATGTCACCTCGCTGCCACTCCTTCTCGACGTGCTCCATCTCGGCCAGCATCTTCGCCAAGCTGTCGTCCAGGCGCTGGTGGACTTCCCAGGCGCTGGTAGACTTCACCCAGGCGGCGGTCGACATCCTCGGCGAGCTGGCAGGTCTCGCTGGACGATGGGAAGTAGGTGCCGTTAGCGTTTGGTGGGGCCAGAGCCTCCCAGACGTTGTCGATGCGTAGACCATTCGCCTCGCAGGTTTCCTCCACGCGACGGTACTGGGTCTGGATGTCGTTGGTGCTGGCGTTGAGAAGCTGCATGCTGAGCTCTATGGCCTCCTGCTCCAGCTGGAGGGCGCGCAGGATGTGGTCTAGGCGCGCGAGGTCGATAGCGGTGTCTTTGCCGACGGCGCGGCACTCGTTGAGGGTGGTCTGCCAGTTGAGAGCGAAATTGTGAAGCGTGGAGAGCGACGAGTGGTAGCTCTCGTACAGGAGGTGTCCGAGCCCGAAGAGCATGAGGAACAGGCTGACCCACTTCGTCCAGGTTCCAGTGTTGCTGCCAGCGGTGGATTGCGGAAACGGCATCTTGGTGAATGCAGCGATGAGTCGATCGATGGACGTGCTATGCGGCGTTTGATGTGAAGTTGTGCGAGAGTAGAGTTGGTCGGCGCGAGGGAGAAAGCCGGATGGTGAGGTATCAGGTCAGAGGCGGTTCGATGAATGTGGGTGGCGAGTGCTGGAGGACAAGGAAATTGCGCTCCTTATAGTCACGCAGGCAGCGAGCCTTGGCGGCATCCACACCGCCGGAGGGAAGGCATTGTGACTCCTACGCCGTACTCCTAATTGGTTGGAAGAGGCGAGCCCGGCGAATAGGTCAGTGCGTGCCTTCCTTTCTCACGGCGGCGTGACCGGAGGGCATGGGGGAAGTTTCCTAGCCAATTAGAGGAGAGTGTAGGCTAGAAAATAATAACATAGGAAAGATAAGGCCAGAGAAATAGGGCAGGAGCGGAATGTGAGAAGAGTGGAGTAAAATAATCCCGCTGGTTCACATGGGAATACAGCGTCACATTTGAGAGATGGCATAATATCAGGCTCTTTGCAAGGGGGACTCTCGCTAGGGGACGAATATGACAGAGTAACGAGCTTTATATGTCACCGTTGGCAAATGTAAAGGGGCAGGAAGAAGACGTACGCTTGAAGTGAATGAAGCTTCACAGTAGAGCCGGGTTTGAGAGAACCACGACTGGACAGAGGCATCCTGTCTGGGAAAAAGAAAAAGAAGATATATATACCATCCAACTGAAGCTATCTCTTACTCCTGGTCTCCCAGGGATCGCCTTCTGAAAAAGAATGCTTGCTCTTTTCCATTGGGGTGTCTGGGCGTGGGTATCAGGCTCGGGGTTCGCTGACTGGAATGAGCTCGCGAGGCATAGAAGATGCACACCACGCATAGCATCTTTGTAGCTGTATTCTATCCTTGTTAATAGAAGTAGATGTGCTGCTCCAAGAATGCAAGTAAGCAGAACATGCATCAGAGATCTTGTCCAGGTCCCCTAATCTACGAGGGGTGAGCGGCAGGTACGCAGGTGGGTTGTAAGTTTGCAGACGGAGGAAGCAGAAAGAGAGGTCATGTGGCTCTTATATTGCTCAAGTCGTTCCTTAGAGTCCGTGTGCCAAAACATGGAGGAGTCACAGTAGCCAAGCTCTTTCCTGGATGAGGCGCGCAGAGTGGTAGGCCGCGTACGATATGAGCGGTGAGGGTGACATTCCCGAAATGGGGCCCTTTTCTCGCACACTCTCCTCGTTCTCACGTGAAGCTTCACCTGAAAGGTCCCTTAACCAGCACATGCTAAAGCCCAGCGGTGCGGTTCGAGAAGATCTAAGGGCATCAGTATGACGCCCTGTCCATGAGGTTGACAGCATGAATACGTACCCCTTTACCCACGAGAGACAACTTGCTCACTCACATGCAAGGATCAAGTTTCACCTATTTGTAAGCACAGTGTGTGGTGCAGGCCACGTACAACGCGATACTGAACTAGAGGTGGCTGTATTGACTATACACCGTAGATCAGGAAGCAATATGCTGAGTGGCTCGGATAAGGTCCATCAGAGAGTTTGCATGCTGCATACACATACACCGCTCCAGTAGCCGAATGCTGCCCGATAGGATGGTATTGGTCTGAACGAGTCGTCCACATGATAGCGTCCCAGCGCGATTGGAGGTCTGCTCTTGCCGTAGATAATGAACGCAGAAGTCGAGGTCAGGAGGCCTTGTTGTCATACAGGTGCAACCACTCGAGATTTCCTGCTGCAGACGAGTTGTACTTCGGAAGATGGGTGCTCCGTGATCCGGAAAGACACTCCTCTCACCACGGTACGCAATACCCACGGGCATAGAAGAGAATGTGAGCGGAGAGTCGGAGGTTGAAAGGCTGCTGATCGCCGTTTATCGGAGAATTCGTTCGACTGGAGGACTCAGGTGAGGTGGCGAGCGGGCTGCTCGACTGGCGACGAATTGGAGGAGATGTAAACGCAGGGTGCACGGTAGAGTGATGCAAACAAGCTGCGTAGCCGTGGGAGAGCCGTGATGGTGTTGTGGGTTGGCGTCGGAGTCCCCCAACCCTCCGGCAGGCGCCTCCCCGCTGCTGATTGGTCGCAGCTGCTCGGCGACCTCACCTCTACACAGGCAGGATGAACGCGCATCCTCGTGCACTCGAATACACCAGCGATGGCCGCTCGCTGATCGCAGGTAGGCTCTACCTCCTACAGTATGACGGGGTCAGCAAAGAGCACGTACACTCTCACATCTGAGACGCCACGCCCTTGACGTCTTCCTGGAGGGCATCCCGATGGCGCGGTCCCGCCTCGTCCACCCCTGCCAGGCCACGATCTTCTGGGCGGCCCTCGGATTCGCTGGATGCCTGTGCCACCTCACAATTTTCTCCATGCCGCAGTCATGAGCGCTTCGGCTGGCAAAGACGTCGTATGAAGACCCTCAGATCTTGATGCCGAGCTGGACACCAATCTCGACCAGACTTATCGCTACGGTGCGAGCGGGCACCTTTTCCGACCTGCCCACTCTGCCGTGCTCCACTCCAAACCACGGCATCATCACCAACCCCACCGCGGCTATCAAACATGGAAGCTTGCGCTATCGCGAACGCGTCGCCATAAACTCCGCACTCGAGATCGGCTGACGATCTAGCCTCTGATGGCTGGCGTGGCCCGGCGCCGCGGAGGGGAGGCAGCGTCTCAGTGGGCGAGAGCGCGCCTTTGCATCTCAGCAAGCCACGGAAGCGCTGCTGGCATTCGTCTCTTCCGTGTCCGGCGCGAGCTTGCCCGCATGCGTCCCCATGCCTCTCGCTTGGCGAAGATCAGCCTCGTGCAACACCCGATATAGCGCCGTCGTTCGCTCGGGCTGGCTCCAAGCTGCACGCCACACGACGCGGGAGAGCGCGCCAACACGGGCCGGACTGTGGATATCGTCTCTGCACGCCAGTACAAAGGCTGAGGTCAAGGCATGGACTTGGGTAGATATACAATGCTTCCTCGTCTCGCCCCGGGTGGAGAGGTTTGCTGTGTAATTTTGCAGGACCGTGGGAGCTAGGTACCTCCATGCAACAGCTGCTTTTTGTCCCTTTCTCATGAGAACCCCCTTCAGCTCTGAATACTGGAGTCCTAAAATAAGCATGACGGCAGCCTCGGAACGCAAACCTTCCCACGCATCCAATATCGCCGACAAGCCTCGTCCTTACTCCTTCCGCGTCCCCAGCCGCACCTCCTCGCTCAAATCCTTTTCCTCAGCCCTGGCAGGCGAGAAGGCCAATTTCCAGTCGGTTCCGGCCTTGTCGCTGGCTACCAAACCTACTATATCCATGCGCCAAATTCTTATGGACAATGGTTCGAAACTGGAGTTCGTCAATACGGTCCCCACAATAAGCCTGTCTCCCGATACCCCCTTGAGGCATTCTTCGAGCGGAAACTCGGCCATGAATCGAAGGCCCGCTAGCTGCTCTGCAACGGTACAGAATCCTATGCGCGCTTCAAAGGTTCAGCGGTGGGCAGGCCAGACGCGAGCGACGAGTGATTGGGATGGCTTGCGACGAGTGAGTATTGCTTTGTATGTGTTCATCAATTTTTGCTGATTGGCGATCTTTAGGACCCGGAATTGTGGTTCGAGGATGGCGACTGCCTCGTTCATCTGTATGCCCGTGGACAGTCGCGCCGTGGCCCCTCTTTCTGCGTCCCGTTTAAAGCTCTACGTCGAAGCAAGTGCGGTGCCATGTTCAGCCTATGTTTCGCCCAGGTAACATCGACCCCCGGCTCCAACCCTCAAAATCCAAGGCGGCTATCCAGCGGCCTCAGCACCCTCAGCACCCCGGTCTCTGGCTTGAACAAAATAGAGCTCTTCATACCTGCCCCCGAACATGCGTCTCGGGAAGCCTCGTTCCACTGGCATATAACCACACGGAATTTCTTCGCATTCGTGTTTAGAAGTCCTTTGGTGGGAACCCATATGGGACAAGCATTGGTGGACCTACAAGAGAGGATGCATCTTTTCCGATCAGGGCAGATCAATAACCACAAAGACTTCCTGGATTACGCAGATAGCCAAGGCTACCGAGACTTCGTGGATTGTCCGGATTATGCGCTCTCCATGCTCTACTATGCCGAGCGCTACAAGCTTCGAGACGTTTGGATCGATGCGTTCGCCCATTGCGTTGGTATGAATGAGAGCCTGGCTCTGAGTCAAGAATTTGCGGTGAGTCTCTTCTTCAGCTCGAAGCAGGCAGGACTGATATCTGATTCAGCCACTTTCACGCCTAACCAAAGCTTTGGTCACCCGGGCTTATTTGGAAATGGACATTCAGCTAGGCCGCGTCTCGGCCGCTCTCCGAAACTTCCTCGAAGATGACTTCTCTCCCGCATATCTTGGACTCACGGATGGTGCACGAGCACATCTAGATCGATTCCGGTCATTCTTGCACAGCTTCTACGTGGAGAAGTTCGGCTACTGGCCCCCGCCCAAAGGATCCGCGTTTTCGAAAGTACTATACAAATCCCTGTATTTTGACTTCAAGACACTGTACGACTATCTCGTGGACCGGGAGTCGACCGCCGACCTCTCGCTACAGAAGCCAGCAAGCGGCGGTATCTGCGTCCTGCAGAACGTGGATTCCTTCGACAAGAGGCACAAGTTCTCTCCTCTTCCACACCCTCTGCCACTGATACCGTACGATGTGCCGCTGAGAAAGAGAACAGAGTCGCAGAAGACTTTGAGGGCACTGACGCTTGGGTCCAAGCAGGCCAAAACAGACCGTTATCTGACAGCGCGGGCTGCACTTACCTCAGCAACCAATAGCAAGGATACTTCGGTGACGACCTCTCTGGCTGTTCAAGCATACATGCGATTCGAAAGACAGTGCGCCCTCAACCAGCCGGGCGAAAAGCTGTCCATGGCGGATGCCCGCAAAGTTAGGTGGCTCTTAATCTACGGAACACTCCAGTACCTCATCTCTGCGCTCCGAGCTCCGAAGGAAGTCCGGGACACGGAGGGACCCACGTATCCGCTCTGCTGTCTCGTAACAGAGCAGTCGCCCTGGCAGCTAGGAACAAAAGCGTTAAACTCTCCTGTCACACACTCAATTAACGTCACTGAGGCTATCAACAACCACCTTTCGGAATCCAACTGTGACGTTCCGGGCCAGCTCACTCCTGTGGCGCCGGCAGCTCCTACAATTCAGCCTGACTGCCAAACAGACGACTACTTCGCTCACACCAGGCCCGATGCTAGCAGTCGTCCGGTCTCTGTCGAAGCTCCTGCTCCACTGCGGATTTCTCAGCCGACACGCAACTCATCAGTCCGCTCATTCAGACGCCTTTCTTTCGCTTCCCTAGGCTCGCGCAGAAATAGTGTCGCGCTGAAAACGCCGGCACACTGCGAAATTATCGTTCACGGATATGGCAACGGTTTGAACAGTACAATTATTGGATCTCCATCTGCACCTGTTTCCCAATTACCATCCCGTCGCCAGTCCATCAGTATCAAACATCCTGCATGTTCGTCTGGATCCACCCTGCCGGAAGGTGCTGGACCGGACACATCCTGGTTGCGACCTTCCACGGCTGATTCATCCTCGCGTACCGAGCAGCCCCTTCATCTTGAACTTAACTGCAACATTGCATTAGAACCATCGCGCACTCCTACGATCGATTCTTTTGATATGGATCAGATCATTAGCCCGGTCACTGCGGATGAACCTCCGACCTTCCCAAGCTCATCCGATAGCACGACCTCGGCGGAAAGCCCTTTTTGGAGCGATGGCGGAAGCTCCACCTCATCTAAATCGAGTACGCATGATGACGGGCACGAAGAGCGCCTGGAGAGAAAGACTAGTCCTGCGGAAGACAGTGGTCTACTTGGGGGACTCGTCCCTATCGATAGTACCGCGATCACCGTCACTAGCCCCAAGAGGACGCCGAAATCGTCGAGGCCTACATCTCCTACCACATCGAACAGACGCAGCGAGTTCCGCTTTAGCTTCGATAAGCAGACTTCCCCATTGCGCAATCTGTTAGAGGCCTCTCCTGCATCTGTAGGTGTCGACTCAGCCATCGGCATAGCCCTCAGCACGCCCCCCACTCCATCCAAACAGGTATCGATCGCCTCTCTCTCTTTCAATACACTTCCTCTTCACGAGAGACCGAGACCGCTCTCTAGAGCATTCTCCACCGAGTCCATTTCGATTGCGAAAAACATGGATCCGCTGAGAATGCATCCGCCCCTTATCGTCAAGAAAGAAGACGCCGTTGGCATCTTCTCTGCCCTTTCGCTGAGCCCTGACGAACCTGCGGTCAGCAGTGAAGAGGCGATTGTACGAACTGGGAGCGAGACTACTCGCTCGATATTGGAGGCTATTCCGCCTCCAATCGCGAAGGCTCGTAAGACTTCCAAAAATGCCTCTCCGACCAAGGCGACTAAGCTTGGTGATGAGGAGGAGAGAGGCAGAAAGAAGGAGAGGAGGAAGAGCTTTTGGAGGCGCTAATATGGCGCCCACACACACTCACGAGCTACGACCGCATCATTTCCTTTGTCAGCATTAGCATGGCGCAACTGGTCATTTCAGGCTCCTTGCTAGCCATTTCTCTCGTCCTGCTGATCTCTCTATTTTCTTAAGATCTAGCAGTCTTCCATTTTCCTCATTATACCCGTCGCGCGCCTCACATTCGTGGCATTTAGCCAGTAACGCCTCGTGTCTCTTAGCGCGCATCCTTTAAACCTTAGCTACATCGCTGGATAAAAAAAATTCCGTTGGATATTGTATGAACTGATGGAAACGAGAATGGCAGGATGAGAATTTGGAGCTGGGCTAGGGCTTGGAGCTGGAGTTGGAATAGAAACCGCCGATACCTACCAATGTGAAGGTACCTTTCTACTGCACCTTTCACACACGTCAGCACCGGTCATGCCAGCCTTCCCCGATCCCAGGGATCCAGCTCATGCCGGCCCTCTACCGGGCGAATAGTTCGTCCGTTGCAAAAAATGTGCGCGCAGTAACACCTTTGCCACACCCACTCCCTCCCTTCCCTGTCCACAATGACATCGCCGGTCTTCAGGCCATCTGGATCAATATCGTCAAAGCTTTCACTCGTCTCCCTCGCTACGTCGCGCTTAACGTCTTGGTGCGGTTCTTCATGCAGGTAGTCGAGGTCTAGCGATGCGGTGGAGGAGGAAGAGGACGAGGAGGAGCAGATGCTAGATACCAAGGACGGTAGGCGGGGAGAGCGGAGGCCGCAGTACAGTTCATAGAGTTCGAGATCAGAGTCGGAGTCGGAGTCGGAGTCGGAGTCGGAAGATGTGTGCGAGTCGATGGAACTTTTCGTTGATTGGGATGTGGACGTGTGGTGCTGTGAAGACTGGTCGGTGTTGGAGAAGAGGTTGGGGTACTTGGTGCCGAGAAGATTGGCTTTGTAGACGCTGCGGGAATCTGGGATTGGAGATAGCATCTTGGGTTTGAGAGGCACGGCACTGTCGTTCTAAGGGTAGATTTTTTACTTTGGTGAGGATATCGAAGGGTCTACGTAGAGGGGTGATGATTGTGGTGGAGGTAGTCATGGAGGAGGAAAGGGGCATTGACATGGAAAGCATTGAAGTCTGTTCGATAGCATGCGTCTCCGTGTGAAATGAGTGAACTCTTCAACTTCCTCCACCGGCTAGAACTCCTCATGCGATAGCTTCGGGTATGTGAAGGAGCCCGTCGTGAAATACAAGTGTCTCTCCAGTGAACGTTGACGCCCAGCGGCTCTAGATCCAGCGGGTTCTGTATTTTATTCACGATCCATCATTTTTGCGGGCCTGCTTTTGAATGAACCCAGATTTCCCTTAAGAGACATCTTACTACCCCTTCAACCTACCACATCGCCCTCAACCTGGCTTGTTCACTGCTGCACTCCTTCTTGCCCGCCTCCAGCCTTGACCCTCACGCCACTCTCGTCCGCACCACTATCCTTGATGTCTCCCGGGGCGGCGACTCCCTCCTTGCTCTGGCCCTCGCCCTGGATGCCTACGTCTTCATGCTTGGTATAGTTGGTAGTGCCGGCTTGGTGCTCGATGCTGCCTTCGCCGATGTTGATCTCGCGGTCGTTCGCTGTGCGATGGTAGGTTAGCTAGCTATGGATAGTGCGCCGAGGCAGAGGATTGCGTGGACTTACGGATCAACTGCTCGTAGCGGCCGGTGTTAGCTTGTTGCTTGTTCTCAGACATTGTTGAGAGCGACTTATGTCCAAGCTGAGGAATATTTCGGTTTCAAAGTGTGGTGTAATGCACACGTATTGTCTTTGAAAGAGCTCATATATGAAGATGTGCGGATGCTGCAGCGCATTACGACATACTGTCGATGCTGAGGGGCTTCGGTCAACTTCTCCGATGCGGAGTTGCTATGACGTTTGTGTGAACATTTGTACAGCGCGTGAGCAAAACGTGCACGTGGGCATCTTGGAATCTGCGAATAACCACACGATAGTAGCGAAGGAAATTAAAGTATGCGACGCGATGCAGACGATAGTAGGGTGGCCCGGTTAGCGTGGTTAACCTTTATAGGATGCATTGCGGAATACGCCAAACTTCAACAGGAAAGGCGCAATACTCCTTTTGTGGTCCAATCACAGCGCAGGTCTTCCCTAGCTATCACACACACACACACACACACACACACACACGCACACACACACACACACACACACACACACACACACACACACACACACACTAAAGTCCATCTTTGCAGCCATTAATCATGCCCCGCCCTTGCCTTCAAACTCACCGTAGGGTCTGTCACATCCATCCCAGTAAGGGGATCTCGGTGATAGCGATGTTGAGGGTCGATCGGGCTACGACCACGCTTGGAGGTTGAAGGGGGAATGATGGAGAAGGCTCGCGATGCGAAACGACAAGAGGAAGTGTGACGACTATATATGCTGGGAAGTATGAGTGATACAAATCACCACTAGAACCCGTCACATAAGTTCGCAACGCATTCTTTCACCTGCGACAAACGCTCTTACTGAGCATTCGCTCGTCTCTCGCCGCCCTCCTCCATCTCTCAACTATATAAAGCACTTCGACATATTTTTGCAAACTCGAAGATATATAACAAAAACTGTCTCCCTAAGCTATGGATCCACAAGCCGTATCAGACGCTCCGGAGCAAATCCTCCGTTTCCTGTTATTCTATATGATCGCCCTAGTCTTCTTCTTCGCCATAGCGCTGAGTGCCACCTTCTTCAGCTTCCAAAGCGATCGATTACATGTCCTACGAATGAGGAGGCGTTTCGGCTAACTGGGTTCTGCGTGTGTAGGAGCGGGAGCTGCACGGATGTGAGTTCTTCGTAACGCATGTAAGATACAGGCCAAAAATGGTATCCGATGATTGATGTAGCCGAGGTTGCCGAACATTTGCGTGATCTTACTGGTCTTTTAGGAGCAGAGTACGTATAGAGAGCGCGGCATTGACACAACGAATTCGGTACTTTCTTGATTCGGTCACTCGGCATCCATGTGTCGGCAACCCAACCCTTCGGCACGTAACCCTTCGGCTCTTACAAGGAGCAAACTGAAACCACTAAAGACCGGTCAAGAGTAGTATTACCGAAGTAAATATATATAATTCAAGCAAAGAAACTCCAATCTAGATCAGCACCAGCTTCACACTTACTTCGCCCCAAGAGTGCTTTCCCAATATCAGCTTCCCTTACTTTAATCCACGTCGAGAATACAGCACGGAATCAAAAACCCAAGATGCCTGAATTCGTATCCCCAAACGTCATCAAAGCCGACGGAGTCTGGCAAATCGAAGGGTAAGTTCCTGTCTCAGCATCTAGAGCCGCCTAACACACTTCTCAGCAAACCCCGCGAAGATTTCAAAGTCGTACAAATCTTCCACCCCTCGAATCTCCCCGGCAAAACTATGATTCTCGGCTTCATCGACATCCCACCCAACGGCGGCACCCCATCGCATCGCCACGGCGGTGCCGCCATCGTCGCCATCCCGATCGCGGGTACTTGCCTCAACCAGATGAACAACAACGAGCCGATTGTGTGCAACGTGGGAGATTTCTGGTTTGAGGCGCCCGGTTGCCATCACCAGAGATGCGAGAATGTGGGCGAGGAGAATGCGAAGTTCTTTGCGGTGCTGGTCGTGGATGATGAGGTGATCAAGGATGGGTTTGGAGGAATTTTTGTGCTGGACAAGGAGGTTGAGGCGGGGGAGAAGGAGGCGTCGGTGTAGAGTGCTGGGGCCAAAAGAATAGATTTTGGACAGTAGTATTACAGAGAGAGTATATATAAGCCAATCCAAACTCCCGATCCAAACTCCCAATATTTGCTGGACGCGGTCTGCTAGTAACAAGGAATGGGGCGCCAGGGAGAGAACAGTTTCCCGTAAAGCTCTCCCAGGTCTACGCCGGTATGGTGCGTTCCCCAACTCATGTCTGCATATGTTCGGAGCTTCGGAGGTTTCCGAAGAGGCACGGCGGGTATTAAGTCCGACAACATGTGCCAAAAGGGGTCGTCGAGGAAGTCTCCGCATTTGGTTCTCTGAAGGCGCTTGAGGACTTCGCATCCCTTCCCGAAAGCGCTCTTTATCAGTTTCTCGAGGTAGTAAGAGATGTATTGGACCAGGTGTTTTTGCATATCCCCATAGGTCTTGACCTGGGCGAAGCAGATCCCGGCGGCCGGGACCTGTTCATGCATCTCTACGACCTGATCCAGAAGCAGCGCAGCCTGGAGGATCAGAGACAATTGCCGGACTGGTGTGGACTCCTGCAGAGCGGTCCGGTCCAGTGCTTTCCCCAGACACTCAAAGGCAACTACCCCGCAAATAGCCCGTAGAGTTTGGAGGTATCGCACATATCCAATCAATTTGTGTCCAATAATGGGGCTGCCGAGCAGAATGACATTGAGTTGGATGAGCATGTGGAGGGGAGTCCGATCCTGGAGAATGAACGGGTGGACCTCCGAAGCTCGCTGGCCGTAAATGTATCGCAGGACCTCCGTGTACTGTGCGTCAAAGATCGACAGGATTCCGGAAATGTATCCGATATCAAGTAGGGCCTTGTACAACGCAGATGCTTTGTTCGCATCTAGCTTCAGTTCGAAATCTCCTCTGTTCGCGGGTGGAGTGAGGCCATGGAAGCCGTCGGCGGAGAGCGATATCCCTGGATCAATTAGTGGTAGGCATGAAGGAACGAGAGGTGACTATACCGAGGGCGAAGATGTTGATATCCGGAAGGTTTGAGCTTATGCAGGCTGTCCATTGTAGCGTTTTGGATCCGTATGCCTTGTTGAACAACTTTTGGCATCCCCCACATGGCCTGCCCTCTGAGCACTATGACGTCGCAGTGTTAGACATCGATTGTAAGTATAGGTAGCTAGCGCGCACCTTTTGCTTCTGGACATAGCACCGAAGACATGCACCCCCTTGTGCACGAATGCTCCTAGCGCTCTCAAGTTGCTCGGCAGTAAGTTTCTTCCGCTTCTTCGTTGATCCTGGTCCGACATTTGGGTTGAAGCAAGGGTTTCCTGTGATGTCCTCTTGCGACGCCTTTCTCTTCATGTTCCACGAGAGTTGAGCGTCGCGGTCATTCGGAACTGTGATGAACGCATTATTAGGACGGGGTTGAATCTGAATTGTCTGCAAGATATATTAGCACAATCCCTGATCCAAGAAGGGATACGGGGAGAGGCTGCTACTGACGATATGGTCAATTGGCCAGTGCCACAGCGGAGACAGGAGGGTCGAGGTCGTTTTCGCAATATTGGACTCTCTGCCGCCTCCGGAGCCATCGAGCATGACATGCCGAGAACACTGGGTGGGGTCTCCGCTAGGAGACCGAAGGATGTCCTCCGAGCCTGTGGAGCGTAAAGTATTCGTGGTCGTCGCGGTCGTCAATTGTGGTTCGGATGGTGAGGGGTGCGCGTCGTCGGGATCCAACGCCGCATTCTGGAGGTCGAAAAACTCAGAAATGTCGAAGTCATCGACTGCGGCTTCTAAGTCTCCAACATAAATCGCGTTCTGCGAGTTGATGTTGCCGCTTCGCGTCGACTGAGAGGCGTCGCGAAAGGCGAAGATATGGATGCTTTGGTGAGCGCCTGGTACCTGATGATCGAATTCAGCGCTTCGTCCGTCATGCAGGCTGGTTCTATAAGGGAGGAATGTAGCGAGCGAAGCGCGCAGAATTAGGCATCATGGGGCGCGGCCGTTGTACCGGTTGCCTTCTCCGCAAGTTTGCGAACCACCCGTAGACCGTTGCCTTGCGCTAGGCCAATAAACGAAAGTGGAACTTACCTCGTAGCCTCCTCGTACAAAAACGTCATCCTGGAGAAGCCGATCTCCAGACCCGTCCATTTTTGCTGAAGAATAAAAAGGAGTGCTGGAAGTGTGCTGAAATCGAGGTGGACGATAAATGTTGGTCTTGAGATGGACGTGCTCCAGCCCCCCTCGATGGTTGCCGGTTCTATAAATGGACTAGCGTGTAGGCTTGTGAGTGGTTCGTCAACCGATGACGCCCAGCTAGACACCGCCTTCATTGCTTGCCGGTCAATCGACAAAGGACCAATGATATATCATAAATGTAACGCCGGTCGACCAACATACACTGAACATGATATGGTCTTTGCCGGTTGTAAAAAGTATCGTGTGCACAGGCAACGTATTATTCGTCCGGAGCTCCTACTTAAGAATGGCCTTCAGCACACTATCGAAAATATATCCCCAAAACTCCGTTTTCAGGTATTCCCTAAGTTCGCAGAGAGCTCATTCTGTCTCCTCTATCGTCACCCACGCTTCCAGTTAAAGTCATCCTCATCACAATGCCAGCCATCCGAGCCGAGCAACCACGGCCCCAAGACGGGGGAGGCCTGTCTACCGAGAGCATCCTGGCGCTCGTTGGTATCATGACCATGTTTCTGATACCAGTCTTCTGTGTTATTCTGAAAGTGCTCATTCTTCCTCGTAGTAAGCAGTCTCTATCTATCCTAGATCTTTGGAAAGATCATTTCTGACCGTGTCAAGTTCGACTTTTAACACCCTCCGACTAGCCATCCTCGGGATCCCCCCTTCAAGAGTCATCCCCTTTGACAGGCTTCCAACATCTCTACGATGATAAACTGGCGGAGATAAAGGACTGCCGGCTGGTATAAAGAGCACTCAAATTAGACCCCTGATGGAATGGTGTGGATACATATACCTGAAAAATACCTAGATAGAAACAAGGAATGAACAAGGCTTCTGTCGTTTATCTTTAGACGCTATGGTGATAGCTATGGTGATATGGTCAATTCTCACCACCCGTAGTTGTGTAGGGCAGGAATCAGGGTTCGAATATCTCGACGAATGGCATGTAATACTTCAGTGGAAGTGTGACATTGTTCGCAACGACGTGAACCGAGATTGGCTAACGCAGCGCTCCCGATGTGAATCTAGCCAGCGCACCGCGTCAGCTATTTCGATGTCAATTTACCACGTCAGTACCCATTCAATGATCGAGGTTCGGGAAGGGCTATATAAACCTGCAGACCTCCACCTCTCCACTTAATTTTCCACGGACACTTACAATTACCGACATCAACCTTAACATCAACCATGACCACACCACCCACTCTCGAGACTTACCTAACAATACTAATTCCTTACTTCGTCGCTCCTTTATGTATACTCGCCTTCTACCTCCTTCTAAGACCTACAAATCAATCCCGGAATCGGCAATCTCGGCGGAGTAACGAATCGAGGGTGTGGGAGGAGATGCAAATGACCAGATTCCTAGAGGAACTGGACAGCATTGAAGATCCCGCGGAATATCTAAGGAGGGCGACGGCCTATGTGGCGAGCATACCGGCAGAGGACCTCCCTATGCACACTCGAATATCCCGAAATACCCGAGCTAGGGCACCTACCACACCCACAGGGCGTACGCTGACCTCGAGGCAAATTCCCGTGCCCATAAGCCCGTTTGCACGCTCCTCAGTGCACGCCGAGCCATCTCGCCCTCGTCCGCCCACGCAAGCACAAGCACAAGCTCCTCCGTCTCGCTCCGCCAGAGGAGCGGCACAACTGGACGGCGCTGACGAGCGCGATGAAGACCCACGCATAAACGCATTTGGCGTGCCTATTCCTGAGCCGCACGACATCCGACCGCTTTCCGATCAGGAGATCGCGACACTCAGTACGACCATTGGCCTGGCTTTGATCGAGCACGAGCCTAGGATTACGTCTGAGCAATTCCTATATTATGCCGGCACTATCGGTCAGCTTTTGCAGGGGCATTGGGATGGGGTTATTCCTGAAGAGTTCCGATCTAGGGCGCAGGCTAGCAGTGTGAACGGTGTGAATGGGGTTGATGTAAACGGCGGCCCAACGGTCATTGAAGAAGTCCACGGCGTCAATGGTGAGAGTTCGGCCAGGCTGTCAAACAACCCCACTATCAATGAAGCCTCCATGCCTCCTGTTATCCAGCGCTTCCTCCGTAGACGGACAACCCAGGTCGCTCCGCACAACCATCAACCGATCCTCAACGGCACCGACTCCGCCTCAGCCACAGCACTCCTCGACAATGTCGCAACTTCGAACGGTTCTTTGGGCGAGTCCAGTGACACCATGCTTGTAAACGGTACCAGCGATGAAGAGTCCGCCCTCATTGACGGTTCTGAGGCAACGTGGACGGACATGGCCGAGATGCTGATGGAAGCGAATCGAAGCCAGGTGGAACGTCGCGCAGCTCCGGGGAGTGAGGGGACAGAGAGGAGAGGAGTATCCTAGATCTATGATATGGTAGGACAAGGCTAGGGAGATCTAGGATAACGTCAGGATTGGCAAATTGCAGACATGAGCTATACCTGTATGAGAAAGTTTGGATACTACTCTCTTAACTAACTCGGAGTTTCTTTGTCGTTCCACTGACATTTCCTTCGCGAGATGACCCGTATGTTTTCTGTTAGCATATTCGGATGCGCTAAATACCTCACTGACTTGTCTATCCCCGAGACAGATGCCCTGTTATTTTCTTCGCGCAGTCTACAGCCTCGGAAGGTGTTGGTGTCTCCTCTTTCCGCTCAGCGTGGAAGGCGGAAGCCACCACCGCGTATCGTGCAGCTCGTCCCCGCGGCAACCCTACACCAACGCTTTCGCCACTTTCACCGGCGCAAAGTTTCTTCGCCGTAGCTTACCCCATTTCTACATCATCCAGCTTCATCTTTACCTCTTCAACACGTACGTCTAACTCTCTCGTCCCCATCCGCAATGTCGAAGACACCAGTTCGCATCCCAAAGCCGAGCGGATCGCTGCTCGCAGCCATACCTCCTCCGCCATGCGACCTTTGCGGGCACAAGGTGAAGCCCGACGACGCTGGCCTATTCCCGACGCGCTGCAACGACTGCGTAGAGCTCATCAAGGACTGGGTGACGGCACCAAGCTGGAAATATCTCGTTGAGATGAATCGCGAGTTCGTCATAGGAGCCAGCTCGATAACCCCATATTCCATATATCCGATCTTCAACGACGTGGCCATGAGACCCGGTATCCTCCGCCTGCACGACTACGGCTTCATCGTCACGGACGCGCAGCCAGGATACGCGAAGATCGGACAAGACCAAGGAAAATGGTTCGAGATAAAAGAGAGGGCGTTCATGCGTTGCGTTCTGCCCACTTATCATCCCTGGATCCAGAAAGGGAGGGTCGATCTCCTGCTCGGTGTGCTCGGTATTCAGGACGACCTAGAGCTGATCGTCTACGCGGAATACGCTGAATACGAAGAAGGCGGGAACGAAACCGACTATCGCTATGCCAGGCCGAAAAATGAGATAAACCTACAAACCGGATCGAAGCTTGAATTCTTCTATTCGTCGGTTGGGAGAAAGCCGAACCCTGGTCGAACAGACTTCAAGTATCGAATGCCGACGAAGAACAATCGAACTCTCTCGAAATATCGGATTGCAGACAGCGAGGAGAGTTTGAAGTGGGTATTGTGGAAGCGCTGTACAGGCCATCCCGGACTGCCGGTCGTTACGGAGAGGGATATTCCGCCGCGGTCTACGGGGAGGAGAGCGTTTGGGAGAGAGTTCGACGTCGCGGTTGGATTGAGACCCGTCATCGTTACGATTGTGAGTCGTGATTGGCCGCCTCTTGGTGTAGACCTGCCGGTCGTGGTGGAGGACTGCTGCAGAAAAGCGGGCTTGAAGCCGGTGTTTGGGACAAAGACAGGGGATAAGACAGACGAGGATCCGGATCTACCAGCATTGGTCCAGGGTCTTTCTTTGAAGGGGAAGGAAAAGGTTGATGATGTGAAGGCGGGACCGTCTGAGGAGGCGCCCGAGGATGGTGGCCCATCCTAGGTATGGATGAACGTTATTTGACCTCGACATGTGAGGTCAGCACTTGAAAAGTCATGGAAAAGTTAGCAAACTTGCAGTTTCTTTTAAAGTGCTGTATGTGATGTACTCACGTGGCGTATCATCCGCCGTCCCCGAGTATAAAAGAGTCTTTAGAATCTACGAATGGCAACATAGCTCGTTCTAAACAGACTCTGTCGACATGGAGCAAAAATACACCTTTGAAGCATCTGGGAATGAGGTTGCTGCTCCGGCCGAACAAGCAATGCTGAATCCAAGTGATGAAGAGCTCCTGGAACTCTCTCTCCGGCTACTACGATGATGAGACACGCAACGCCCATTCCCCCGTCTGGTCTTCCAGCTCCAGTGAGCCGGAGATCTGGATGTCCCAAGCTCCTTGCATGAAATGTTTACCGCGACGGTACGACGGCTATGCCGGACCTCTTCCGGAGGCGGAATGGTGCCTGGGTTGCCGAGAGGAATGCGATCGCATACTCTGGAAATGGTTTAGAGCAAGAGAATGGGGGGATCCCGTTCGTCTCAACCAGGCATTTCTCCTGGGTCTGCCTAGCGGAACAACATACAACACGAGTCGGCTTGATGAAAAGGCTGAGCCTGAAATCCGCCAGTTGGTGCGATTACACGATTATGGCCTAGTCGCGGTAAGATCACCGTCGGAGGGCTCTGGCGTGCGCGTTCGGAAAGAAGTTGGTGTGAGCCTCGACTATGCTCAAAGAGCCTTTCTGGAGTTCCTCGTTACGCCCTCTCATGGTTTGATACCGATTGAAAAGGTCAAGGGACTGCTCAACGCAATTCTTTCCCATAGGGATATTAAAGCTATTACATACTCAGTGCTTCACAGATACCCTAGACCTGATGATCTCGCAGGGAACGACCCTCGGAATGCAGTCCCAATACTAGAGCTCCATGGCTTTGGGCAAGATGTCCTGTACTGGTCCCGTTCGACGTGGAAGGAAAAGGGGGAAAAGAAGCCGACGTTGAGAGGTTGCGCTGAGGCCGAAGCGGAGGTTGCCGAGTGGAGAGCCCATACCGGGCAGGATGTCGGCAGTCTTGAGCACCTCCCCCGCGTGTTCCCTTTAAACGCTGTTGATGGTGCGGGAAAGCGCCAGTGGATTCCTGCGGTCGCCAAAACGTGGCCAATCAACGTCTCTATGTGGGCGACGGAGTGGAATGGTGGGTTGGATCTCCAGAAGATTGTTGAACAGCTGTGTCAGCACGTCGGTCTGCAAGCCCGGTTTTTGCAGAATGCGGTGCCTGGAGAGACCCTGGAGAATGAAGAGGAATAATGTAGGTACTCGCCTTGAAAATTGCGGATGGCGCTAGTTGCTACCTAGAGAATGAAATGGCTCTGAATCCACAGGTGCAGATACTGTGCTGACGCAAGGGGAGTCGTACTTTCTTAGGAGTATGCCTTCGGAGTGATTCTGTGAGAACAGTGAAGCCTGGCAAGTTTTGTGAGGAATCCCGAGAAGACAAATGCTTCGTTGCGGCTTAATATTGTGGTATGTGGTAAGGAGGAGAGAGCAGAAGCCAGCTTGAATTCTTGGCGTCGGAGATATCGGAGATTAGTCCCACCGGCGACTTAGCTCCCTCAAATGCCACGATCAGGATGTATCCTCGATCTCCTCCTGCCCTTCAATTTCAATTTGCGTGACATTTTCTCCTCCAGTGCTACCTCCGAAATCCTCGCCGGGTTTAGCTTCCCTGCGCTGTAATGCCTTGACGAAGCCGGGCCCCACGAGTAGTCCCCCGCCCTCCGCATCTGTGTCCGCATCTCCATACACTCTGAAAGTCGTTCCTACCCTGGCCAGCTTGTCCGCAGTATTTAGGAGGAGAATAAGTGTAGCTGGGCGTAAGCTTTGATGCACGAGGCTAAATGGATTATACTCGTCATCGCCCGCAAATAGGACCGTAAGAACGAGGTACAGGCTGCACTCTTTCAACGCAGTCGATTCCAGGATGCGTAGAAGTTTGTATACTTCATTTTCGTCCTGGTCCGGGTTTGCGGAGTAGTGCTCCTCGAGGAAGTTCAGTCTTAGCACTTCAATCTCCGTGAAGGCGAGATTCTGCAAGCTGGCTGGAAACAGCTCCTGCGGATCGGAAGGTTCGAACGAGGCCCGCCAATACCCAAGCAGGTCTAAGTCGATGCGGAGGGTTCGAAGTCGCTTGAGACTTTTGAACGAGTCGAACGGTTCAACGAAGGCCCTATATGCGCGGCCGCCCATACGGACGCATTCAAAGACCTCCAGTTCAGGGGAGCTGGTCTCCAGCAGGCGCAGCATCCTTCGATAATCGTAGTCCAGCCAGTCCGTGGAGGAGATGCCATAGATGGTGTCCATTTTGAGCTGCCGCAGACCCGGAAGGTCTAAAGCTTCCATGAAGTGCTCGAGCATTTCCGGATGCATAATCAAGTCCCGGAATTCGACGCAACGAAGAGACGTAATAGACGAACGAGGGAGACTGAGAGTAATCTGGTGACAGCAGCTAATACGAAAAGACTGTAGGGAAGACGGAAAAGCCGGAAAGTCTCCACAGTCTGGACCTCGGATATCTATATCTCGTAGCTTGTGGAAGGGGTGCATGTTCAGATGTCCGCCATTTTCGGACTAAGCCGGTTCCAGGACTTGGTAGGTATGCGATAGAGTTCCAGAGTGCATCCGGCATATACGGATCGTCTCAATATTGACCGTCATTGCTAGTATCAGTGCAAGGGCGCCGTCGATGGATGTAGGTTGCGCGAAGATCTTGCCGAACCATCCAATCGCAAAGCTGGGTTCTGGGCAGTACTCTGGCCTTGTAGCGTCGCGGATGGTCGTCTGGATGGAGTCTACATAATCCCACAAATCGATGGCCATGGCATCGTTTCCGCTGATCAACCTTACGCGGTCGTAGGTATCGGTCTCTCGTGCCACGATCTTGAATGCCTTTACATGCTGAGCGAGCTCCCTCCTGTCCAACAACGTCATCAGAAGACGCGTCATGCGGACATAGTCCCATTCGGCGAACTCGACGTCCCGGTATAAGACGGGCTCCGCTAGTGACCGATAATACTTGGAGACCCGCGACATAGCCTCAAGACCGAGGCTGTCATCGTGCAGGTATTCGATGATATGGGCATCGAGCTCCGTCGAGAGCGCTTGTAATGGCATGATGAGGTTGGTGTCGTGGGTGCGGCTGTTGGAGCTGACCGGCTCGATCTTTCAGCGGTGTATACGCGACGCGTTGAGCGCAAGTTGGAAAAGGTACTCTTGAAGTCGCCCTTCGGCGTTCGTTGTCGTATTGAAGCCGCAAACTGGAAGGCTGAAGTTTGGGAAAAGTGTGGTGGTTGTGCTTTGCGTTCGTTGTCGTCCTGAAGCCGCAAGCAGGAAGTTCGGAGCTTGGGAATAATGTGGTGGCTGGGAGCTTTGGGTGAAAAAGACTCTTTTCGTGCTAGATGTAGAGTGAAGTGGGTGCGTGCAGTGGCAACGTCACGATGAAGGAGTTTACCCCCACCCCGACCGGTTGCTGCTTGGATTAGCTTCTGTACCCTTCACTCACAATCATCAGAGCAGACATATTCTTGACCCTCTCGCCGTCTCTTTCTTCGACCTCTACGCTCCACCTCACTCTAATTGGAAACGGTATGCTTGGGATTCATGGCTCCTTCCTTTGCTGAGGAACTGCACGTCCGTTCTGCTTACCGCAAGGTGACACTGACACTTTGCAGACGACTTCACACACGGCCCTTCACCTTCATCATCGGGGAAGATGAGACTCTGGTATACGAGCACGGCGGGATCATCTCTGCGCTATCGGCACCGCTCGACCGCCTGATCAATGGCCCAATGGGAGAAGGTCAATCCGGCATCGTCATCTTCCCGGAGCTTGAAGTGGGGGACTTCGAGCGTATCTGCGAATTCGCTTACAGAGGCGACTACAAGCCACCAGCGCCGACGCGGTTCCTCGATACGGAAGTCGATATCGGGAATGACATGTGGCTGCTCGACGGCGCTCTACAGGCCGCATCCCCCGCGGTTAACGATTCGGGAATCCCGGCTGAGAGGCAGAGGGAGAGGGAGAGGGACAGAGAAGATGAACTATACCAAGAGGTGGTTCCACTCAGCGGAACGACGCGCAAGGAATACTTCGAGGGGATTGATTGCCCGGGAACCGGCAATACGCAGGCGGAGATCATTCAATCCTTCTCTGCACACGGAAACAGATCCTGGCGCGAGAACTTCGCTCCGGTCCTCCTCGGCCATAGTCGTCTCTACGCATTCGCCGAGCAGTACCTAATCCCGGAGCTGAAGCAGCTGGCTTTTGCAAAATTAAAACTGACACTCACTCAATATACACCCTTCGTTTCTAGCCTGGATACAGTCAATCAGCTTGCTCAATTCGCCTACGACAAGGTCTACATACAGAATAGGGCGGAGGGCAGGGTGGATCCGCTAAGGCAGCTGGTAGTAGCTTTCATCGTCATGCACCACGGGCATTTCAGGGATTCCACGGTACATCGGGAGCTCATGGAATCTGCGGGCGAGTATGCTACCGACGTGTTGGACTTGATCGGCAGATGGTTTGATTATTAGCGGATAGTTTGACAACGGAGTTGCGACCAGAGCTTCATGGAGTCTGTAATGCTCTGGCACGACATAGCGCGCTTGAGAGGTATGAGAGCGATGGGTTGGCGGGCGGACGTCGTGCAATTGGGAGCTTATTGTACAATCGACAGACCTGCCTAAATACCATTAGAAATGCTCCCAAAAGCGGTGGAACGCCTTACTAAACTCTTCCAAGCGCCTATGAAAATAGTTCACAGCTTGGCCCCAACCTCCCTCTTCGCCTGTTCCCTCAGCACCCTCTTCAATATCTTCCCACTCGCCGTCTTCGGAATCCCGTCCACAAACACCACCCCGCCGTCCAACCTCTTATACTTCGCCAGCCTCTCTTCCACCCATCGCATGACTTCTCCCTCATTCAGACCCTCTCCATCCGCCCTCCTCACCACATAAGCCCTCGGATGTTCCGAGTCACCGTCAGCGCTGGGAATGCCGATGACGGCCGCATCTAGAATTTCTGGATGGTCGAGCAGCACGCCTTCCACCTCAGCAGGAGCGACCTGGAATCCGCGCACTTTGATGAGCTCCTTTTTGCGGTCGACGATGTACCATAGGTGAGTGTCTGGATCGCAGTACATGATATCACCGGTGCGAAAATAGCCTTCGGCGTCGAAGTTTTGCTCTTGCGGAACGCCCATGTAGCCGCGGATCACTGTTGGTCCACGGACTGCTAGTTCGCCCCGCACGCCGTGAGCGGAAATATCGTTGCCCTCGTCATCGAGAAGCTTGACATCGAGGTTTGGGAGGAATCTGCCGACAGAGCCTGTGTCGTCGTCTTCGGGGTAGTGGAACAGCGATGCAAAGCAGGATGTCTCCGTCATAGCCCAGATCTGTGTGAAGGGTGAAGTCGGTGGCATGAGGGCTTGTAGACGTGCTTGCATGGCTGCGTCGAGTGGTGCAGCTCCTGCTAGCGCTGCTTTCGTATGCCTGAGCTTTCTCTTTTTCTCTTCTGTTTCCATGGGTGATAAGACGATTGCAGTGACCATAGGTGGGACGAGCGTTAGGTCGCTTATTTTGAAAGTCTCTAGGTAATCCAAAAATGCGTTGACTTCGAAGCGCCGCATGATGACCTGTACATGTCCGCTTCTCAGCGGCGAAACGTGGGTGGAAGGCGCAGTGGCGGCATGAAACATCGGGAGGGCGATAAGGCGAGAGATCTCGTAAGGACGCGGCCGATGCTCGAAGACTATCATGTGTTGTGCGATCAGATTGTAGTGGGAAACCATTGCCGGTTTCGGGAGGCCAGTTGTTCCAGAGGAGAAGAGCAACATTGCAGTCGTGTTCTGGGAGATCTCCAAGGAGTCGAAGCTAGTCCAGTCCTGGGAACCATGCTTGAGGAGGGTGCGCCATGACTGGAAACCTGATGGAATAGCCTGGCTGTTGGCTGCATCGAAGATGAGGATCTTAGAAGGAGACATGCTGGATTCTTTTGCAGCAGTGCCTATCGATTGAAGAAGTTCGGGCTCAGTGATAACAAGCTGCGCCTTAGAAGCTTGGATTGCGTGCTTGAGTTCGTGGGGCGTATAGCTTGGATTGGTGCCGGTAAAGACGCCTCCTGCGCCGATGATGCCGAGAACGAGGATGGGATAATACAAGTTGTTAAAAGAGTGGATGAGTACAGTATCTCCATGCTTTATTCCTGCGCTCCTGAAGCCTGCGACAAGTTGCCTGATCAGGGACTTTGCTTGTGCTGCGGATATCGCCTTGGAAGGATCTGTTGCATCGATATAAATCTGGAGATTCATGAGTTCATTGTGTAGCTATCTATGCGCGATACTCACTGGCTTATCCTGGTCAAAAGACGGACCATCGCAAGTCCAGGACAGTACGTCCCTAGTTGGAATATCGATTGTTTCTTTGGCGAGGAAAGGCATTCTGACCTACCGTAAGATGAACGGCGACGAAAGAAAAGAGGCTAGGAGACGAACCGGAAGATGCTGATTAGCTTCTTATACATTGAGAGTTTTGAAATAGAAGGTATAGTTGCTGACGTGCCCAACTGTGACTAACGTGCTTTAGGGCTTACTGTGATCAGCACCTATGAAGGGTAATGGATCGTCGGACTACGAAACCGGCGATACGGCCGTTGCAGGGAAGCTCGCGGCAAAGGATGATGGCAAAGCTTACTTTGACAACCAACCCCATTTTTCATCCGTGATGGTTGGAAAAGGGATACGAAATAGAATTACCAACGAAACAGGCCCCCATTTTCCGGGTATGTCCTCGATCCCATAACCAAACTTGATTGTATCCTTATTCGAACACCTGAAACGCCTTGCTGTGCGGAATACCTAGATACCCATGAACTCCTGTCCCCGTGCTATAGTGTCTTATATGGTTGTTACTGACTCTGAGGAGGAAGTACTTTCCCAGAGTCCACGATGACCTGCTCATCAAGCCTTGAGCCAGTGTCGCCGTATTCAAGTCTCTTCCAGGTTGATATGCGGGCCTGATTGGTGTCGATCTCGAAGACCCGAAGTCGGCGATGGTAGCCTTCATACCCTCCGTAGCCTCCGAAGCCGCTGCCGCCGGCATAGCACATCCACAGCTCGCCCTCACCACTCTTTGGGTCCTTAGAGAGCATACAGTAGTCATTGACGTGATCGTGCCCGCAGGAGACTGCTTTGATGCCTTGCTCCACTAAAGCGTCCTTGAAGTGCGTATTGAAACCGGGAGCGGTGACTCGCTCTTTCCAGGTGCCGACATATTCGTTCTCCTTTATACCGTATTCGGGCAGGGGAATGTGGATGAAGGCCATGTTCAGATGGGTGTGGGTATAATGGGCATGTGACTCTTTCAGCCTTTCAGCAGTATCCTTGAACCAGGTAATCTGTTTCGGCTTAATCCAGTCGTAGCCCTTGAAATGAGCCTCGTCCGGTGAGTAACTGTGGGTATCAAGAAAGTACAGCGTGATAGCTGAGTGCTTGTTGGCCCCATGAGCAAGGATCTCGACATAATAGTTGCCGACGCCCTCGATGGTATTGGGACCCGCATCGCAAAGGGAGTAGGGAAGGGATTCGTATAGCGACATTTGAGCGGAGCGCGAAAGGGTGCCTTCGTCATCGTGGTTGCCGAAAATGGCAGCATAAGGTATTTTACGCTCCGCGAGCGCGTCGACGATCTTGAAGATAGCCTGGGCTTCGGTAAGTAAAGATGTTTACATAGACACGGAGAACCTTACGGTTTGGACATCTGGGGCGGTGTCGCCATTAACCTGATCACCGGACAATACTACGAGATCCGGCTTCTCGTCGTCGAGTACCCTTTCCACAAATTCAAGGGTTCTAATGTCGGCATCACAATGACCGCCGTTGTGCTCTTTTGGTTCTGGGTCTCTGCATGTACCAAGTCCGGTGCTGAGGTGGAGGTCGGACACCTGAAGGATCTTGAATTTGCCGTCCTTCCTGATTCGTGGTACTGGCTTTTCTATCTTGTGGGGCTGTCCCCTTCGAATAGTAAGCCGCGGTTCCTTGTTGTCGCCACCGGTGTCTAAACGCAAGGCTCCGTTCTGGACCAGTTCCCAGCCGGGGCGTGGATCAGCTGCGTCTGACCCGAACAATACATCGACCGCCGTGACAGCCTTCCTCGAGTCGCTTGTGTGACGTTTCGCGGACCGCTTGATCCAGACGCCTGCTGGACGAGATTCCCACTTCTCGGACGCCTGAGACTTTTCATTCATTGCAGGATCCATTTTTCCTGTGCGCACGTCTATGATGACCTTATCTTCATCTGTGAGTTCCTCCTCTTTCTTGCGCTTGATATGCACGTATGCCTTTGAGACCCAGCCTGTGCCGAGATAGAGATCCTTCTCCACCCGGTGCCACTTGTCCTGGTCAAGTTTGCATTTCGATATGGGGTTGAGGGTTGAGCAGGTTTGGACGGTAATATCGGTGATAACCAGGCCTTCGTGGTGGAGCGGTAGGTGACTGTGGATGGACTGGGGGAGCACGCGGTAGCGGTTGTCGAGGAAGAATACGAGTAGGAAGACAATAGATGCGAGTAGACCGAGCTGGACGCCCGTCCGGACCTGCGATAATCTGTCAGACCTCGACCGCGAACCGGTGTTGAGCTAGGGGACGTACGATGCGCCGGGTCATGATCTCAGAGATGTAGCCGCCTCCGCAAGCCGAGAGGTTGTGCTGGCATTAAGCCACCGTTGGCATCATGGGAAGGGGTCAATATGTGCGCGGGAATGCGGTCGCCATGGCCTAGACAAGCTGTTCAGTGCACGAAGAGAAGGGTGAATGGCGAGGGTGCAGGTGACATGTCGCGATGGAGGTCTGGCTCTTGGCTCCGGCGGTGGAGCTGGGATCTCCGCTGCAGGGTCTCCTCCGCGATCTTCCTCTCTCTCACATGGGAGCGATGCAGAAAACGCTGCTTTTGTCGCGCGCAATCCTTCGAATATCGCGACCGCCGCCAACGAGACAATTCTCGCGTAGCTCTTTCCGCTGTCGAGCGTTTGAAGGCAAGACCGCTGCCCCGCCTCCGCGATCATGCCGCTCACAGCCACACAGAGGGCGACGTCGTTCTGCTCCGCGACCGCAAGAATGCCTCGCACGAAGGAACGCTGGTAAAGCTACAGTCCTCAACCAGCACGCACACGCACCGGGGGATAATACCACATTCGGGCATCATTGGCAAGAAGCCCAGGCAGCTCGTGCAGTCCTCTAAGGGAGCTTCGTACCGCATCCACGAGCCCACGTTAGCAGAGTATGTCCGGCTGACTCCGCGTCTGGTCACTCCTGTGCGTCTCATGCTATCAATTTACGCGGCCGACTGTGTGAAAGAGGGCAGAATTGACAGTAGCTAGATCTACCCGTCCGACACGAACCTCATAGTGTCGCTGCTTGACATCCATGTCGATACTCCTTCCAGTGTTTCTGATATCAACCCGCCCTTGGAGATCCTCGAAGCGGGCACTGGTCATGGGGCGCTGACCCTGCATCTCTCGCGCGCGATTCACGCTGCGAACCCACCCACCCCGGAGTCTCCGCCTTATACAACTAGTGAAGAGGTGGAAGACCCAGTGTACCTGGGCGAATCCGTTGCAGACCTGCAGGAATCGAGCTTGGAGTCCTGGAAGAAGGCCCGGCGCGCTATTGTACACACGTTGGATATCTCTAGCAAGCATTCGAAGCATGCGCAGAAGATTGTTCGAGGCTTTCGGCGCGGCATGTATGTCGACAACGTCGATTTCCACGTTGGAGATGTCTCTTCCTGGATTGCAGACCAGAAAGCATTGAGGCAGGCCGAGGATTCCTTTCTGTCGCATGTCTTCCTGGATCTCCCCAACGCGGACCATCATCTGGCGAATATAGCGCCAGTGCTGCACGTGGATGGCATTCTTGCAGTCTTCAATCCGAGCATTACCCAGATCGTGGAATGCGTAGAGACCATTCGCGAGTACAAGATGCCATACCTCCTCGATCAAGTTATCGAGCTTGGTGCAGGAACAATTCGCGAGTGGGATGTGCGTGCCGTAAGACCACGGGCAACACTAAAGAAGGCTGAAGAGCAGGAAGAGCTAGAGTCTTCTTCAGATGAAGAGTCATTAGACCCAGTAAAGGGGCAAGAGGCTAGAGGCGATGAGCTGGCAGAGGACCTTGCCAAGCAAGCTGACAAGTGGGCGATGGTCTGTCGGCCGAGAGTCGGTCAGCAGGTGGTTGGAGGCGGCTTCCTAGGCCTATGGCGCCGTATGGGGAACCAACGACCGTGAACGAGGCCTATACAATATATCTTTGTACGATAGAAATCGATGTGTATTATCACATATCTTTTTCTCACAACATCTGCATAGGCACCTTGATGCCTCCAGTCGTACTTGTCCTCCTGCACACTGATTATTTGTTGTTCCTTTTAGCTATCAGTAGTTGGCATCCTGAAGCACTGTGCTCCCTGGGGCTCTATAGACATTGAGAACTCACAACCAACACAAATTCCCAGCCTGTGGCACCACCAGGACGGTGATACTATAAACGGCAGACTTGAATCCTGCAAGACCTTTCTTTTGGAATCCTCGTATTAGCGCTTGACACGTGACCACGTCCTCATGCACCCGGGCGCTCACCGGCGGCATACTTCGAGCTCTCATCCACAGGTTCGCAAAAGCTGTTCAGCACTAATCGCCGGATAACAACGGTTTCTCCAGAAGAGGCAAAACATATGTGCACATCACTACTGGATTGAAGCTGTGTCACTCTCCCATTGGCCGAGCTGTAGTGCGCACGAGCCATCTCAGTTCTCTGACTGCCAGTTCGCGCTCTCACTGGCCCCTTCGCGCGTAGCTTTTATATCGCCGCCCACCAGCTCATCTCCCCACCCCACCTCTTTCTTCACTCCTCTGAAAATGAGCGGCGCGGGCGAGAACCGGTAAGCTTCCTGTACCCTCACTCCGGCCAGAATTCTAATGAAGACGAGCAGCAGCAACTGGCGACGGCAGGGACCAGCCAATCGCCAGAACCAAGAACGCACTTCTGGCACGAACACTCCCACTCGAGATGGCGGGCGGCAACAGGCCATGTCTGCGCTCTCGGGCAATGCCTGGAGCTCAGGGAAAGGCAAAGCTGCGGGCGGCGTGGACAGGGCGCAAGCACAACCTGCTCCTGGTCAGGCAGAACAGCATGTCCCTGTGCGGGAGTTCAATGCCGGCGAGGTCAAGGAATTCTTGAAAAAGAGTGCGTCTCTCAGATTCTTTCGCGGCAAAGCTTTTGATCTATAGCTTTAGAATGGCCGAACAAGCTTCAAGCGCAAACACTCGAGCTCACGCTAACTATGTCATAGGATACCTCGAGAGCATTGGAGGTATAAACCCATCGGTAAACGCGTCCGCGCCAGACGACGGAGCTAATCGCGCGTCGAAAGACCAATCTTCGGTATACCACAAGGTACAAGGCGACTCCGTTGCGAAGAGGAGCAGCGGTGCATGGGGCTCACGAGGTGCGACTCTACAGAGGATTGATACTCAGGGCATGGAATAACACGGCGCAGGCAACATGCCACACCTTATGCCCAGCGGGCAGGACTTCTTCACGCAGCTCAAGAAGCAGCTGGCCACCCTCGAGCAGGGCAAGACGTCCTAGCGACGTGAGATTTCTTCAACACTGTTTTCAGCGGCATTCTAAGGGCATTGCGGGAGTTCACAGGCTGTTGCATTCTTCTACTTCGTCACCGTTCGTCTGCTCGGCCTCGTCTTTGGTCCGGTTCAAAACAAAAGATGTAAAACACGGCGCATTATAGCACCTGGCGTTGGCGGATTTATATATCATTCACGGTATTGTAGGGATACCCATTCGGACCATATCGTTGGGCGTCATTCATGCAGGAAAGTATGGAGGGTTTATAGGGCATAGGACACAAGCAGCTCGGTTCCTTTTCATGTTCAGTTGTAAATATTCGTGACAGGCTAGGCTTATGGGTTTGTTGCTCTGCTAGTGTTGGATTGACAGCGATGTGCTGGCATGCTGTGATTGTGAGGGCCCATCCTGGTAGGGGGTGGAATTAATGTGCTGGGATGGTATAGCTTAGGGAGTGCTGTTGATGGGACTGCGGACCACCGCGTCTCCACGCCGTTGCTGCCCCTCAAAAGCATCAACAAACACGTACGCTGTAGGCACAGCAACTCGACTATTCGTTCTCGGCGGCAGCGATATGCGCTCACTTTTCTTGCATTGCTAGACGTCAGAGACAGGCCTCGCTACCATCTCAACCCCTGCTGTCACATTGGCTCCGCATCGCAGCAAGCCAAGACCGGGGGTCCAGCGTCACATTTCACGTTCACGGCACCCGCACGTCAGACGCGCCAAAACCCCTCGCCCTAGGCCTCCAAACTCGCCCAAGAGGCTGTGTCCACCGCCCACAGAACGCTCACCCCCAGTGACACGTCGCTCCGGCTACTATTCCCGTTGCAAACAGATACCCACCGCGCATTCACCGGCCCGGCCGACACGACCCTCGGTTTCCCAACCCGTCTAGAGTTTCCGCGCACGTCAGGCCTCAACGCACTCTCCACACACGGCTACAATGTCTTCGCCGCCGCAGACCCCTACGCATCGCCCCATCTCCTCCCACCGCCGCCATCCTTCGAGTCTCGACATGTCTCACAACACCCCCTCAAGGCGGTACTCACTAAATCGTCGCTCTTCCGGATATTCGCCTATGACGCCGCGCTCATCACAAGAGTTCGACCATAGCAGTCCGGCCCACCATTTAGACGGCGGAGGAGACGGAGGGCTAGGAAATCTGGCGGATGAGCTTGGCGACATCTGGGATGACGATGAGGAGGCGGGCGAGGGCGAGTTCGGGGAAGAACTAGAGCTCCCACAGGAAGACATAAATGGTATTGGTGTTGCAGTAGAACATGACGGGTCAGCCGGCCTTGACAATATGGTAGTGGTGAACGGTGTGCGGGACAGCGGAGTTGCAATGCAGTCATCTTCGCCTTCGACAGAGTCAAGATCAACACTGAGTCCCCAAACGGCGGCAAAAGCGAGGAGACATCAGCGACAGCGGTCGCTATATGATGGGTCCGACTACGGAGACGATTCGGATCTAGAAGCGAATGAAGGCATTTCCCCGGCACTCGAGGCTCGGATGGCCGCAATAGAAAGCCTAGCAAGACGGGGTATCGAAGCAAACGGCAGCACGTCTGATGACGTTGTCAAACGGGTAGCAGAGCAGCTGCGGGATCTGGGAAGTCAAATTGGGATCGAGAACGGCGCAACAAGGTACGTGCATTGGGCAGGGACACGACCTCTAAAGTCCTACGAAACTAACTATGACTGTTGCAGGCTAAAGACCGCCCATGACGCTCTTACGACGCACCTCACTCACCAGTCGCGCACGTTGACCTCCCTAGCCGCATCCTTTTCCGGTCCTCGCGCGATCATCCCAGACCACGAGACCATCGACGCCCTCCTACCTCTGATCACCAGTACCCTGGAGCTTCTCCCGCACTCCTCTCCCCAAGCAGTTATCTCACTCTCACAACTCACTCTTTCAAACCGCGAACTCCTCGAGCACCTCTCCAACGTCTCCGACTCGCTACACATGAGCCGTCAGTCGACGCTGAACGCCACGCGACGGCTGAAATCCTCAAAAGACCAGCTCGGGGAGTGGAAGCGGGATGCAGAGCTGAGGGAAAGCGGGATGCGATGGATAGAAAAAGGAGACTGGGATCGGCGGTTGAAGGAGAGGGAAGCAAAGACAGCATGTGGGGACGTGGTGAACGGCTTTGAGGAGATGTGTGGGATGTGGAGGAAGAGGCTATGTGAAGGGTTGGGCGTGGTTAGTGCGTAATCCTTTGTGCGCCTTCTCTTCTGTAAAATGACTTCGTAGCTAATGGCACGACGAAGGCGAAGACCACCCCAAGGAGCTGACAACAGAGAAGCCTAGGTGCAAGAACGGAAAGACAGCTAAGACCAGAACGAAGAATCAGAATTCAGGAGTAATGGACTTCGAGTGAAGAAACGCAGCGCAGATGGGAGGTTTTTCATCGTTAATAACATTTAGATGGCAGAGAACTCGTCATTGAGGGCGTTGGGGTGTTAACACTCATGCGTGCGATCTTGTCGGCGGTTTTGTGATTAAGCGTTATCTGACGTTTGGTGTTGGTGTTATAGCTGTCGAAAAGACGAGTTGTGTTTGTTGGAAAAGCGGAACTGAGATGGTTCGACTTCTGCGATCACATCCCCGAAAATCCAATCTCTCCACGTGCCAATACCGCCTGTTGGAAGCCTATCTGAGCAGAGGCAATAAATACACGAGCTACGTATTGTGGCTAACCTCATGGGTCTGCCCCAATAGCTGAAACGGTGCTGATAGCCGCCGTGAGCTGAGAACTACTAAGTATTGGCGCTTACGTTCCAGATAAAACTGCGCATGCACTTATTACTCCCGCCAAATTTTAGAGAATGTAACTCCACGCGGTTGGCGGCTGCCTAGCCGATACTTTTCTAGCAGGACTTTTAACACGAGCAAGGTTGCAGCCAGCATCGTCCCATATAGTAGCTCCTTATTCATCTAGTCAATTCCGCAGTCAATCAAGCGGTAGTGTTAATCGCCTAAACGCCGGTCACTCAGGTCTGGAAAGTTACGAAATCCTCCAGGCTGGCTATGATTTGCCGCTTAGCTGCTCTGATAGTTCGACAGCAATCCCTACCAAACATCTACCAACCACCAAAGCAACTACAACCTTAACCTACCCCAGCTCGATTCATCAGAACCTTTGTCCTTCTTAAGAGTATCGCCATCCTTTACCTTATCAGATCGGAGATGTGCAAGGAATACAGGACCACGTATCTTTATTCTGGGGTGGTTGCAAGACCGGAGTCTGCGTGCGACGAGAAACCTGCCAGCGGTATTCGAAACTGCCACAGGTACGAGATGATACATTCTGGATCGACTAGGAGGAAAGGTCCGCGTCCGGGACATAATCACGGCGATCAAGGCGGACTCTTAATAAGGCAAATTCGATTGCTGGTGTCGTTCGTTTAAAAGGGAATAATGGGTGCGTATAAGATACGGATAGGGTTGAACGAGTGGCTCGCTTGCTTTTATTAAGACTTATGCACTTAGCAGAGGAAGGTTTTCCAGAAACCACGGCGATTCGCCTGCATGGACCTCTAGAGAGGAGCTAGATCGGGCCTAAATATAATAATATTTCATCCTCCCCAGTGCATACTGGGTAGCATGACCCAGCACCAGAATATAACCTACATCTCTCCCGTCTCATCGGCTTCTTTCGTTCTCTTCGATCTGAAGACATTCTTGCCGTACTTGAGGATGTCTTCGGCGGAAGAAAATTTCTTTTCCCAGCAGCCCATAATAATATCTCCAAGAAGAAGCCCGTCTGTGTCCGGAAACTTTCCTTTTCGAATCAAAGACTCGATTGATTCGTCGCTCAGGCCTTCGTAGGGGGTTTGACCAGCTAGGAGTTCGTAGAGTGTAGAACCCAGCGCGAATAAGTCCGACTCGACCGTGTTGTCCGCCTCAGGATCTCGAGGGAGGCAATGGCTTAGGATCTCAAGTCCCTGTGCAGTGGCTGTGGTACGAGCGGAGGCGAGATGTGAAGACCACTATTTCTCTCAAAAACTATTGTGAGGAAAGGATGAGTTGCGGTGCAAAGGAGCCCGTGCGATATAGCGCGCGAGGCTGACTGATTTCGTGGTGTCAGGTGCTTCCGCGAATAGACCAATTCTTGGCGCTGCGGCGGCCTTAGGATTCTCCGTAGCGCCCTGCGGAAAGTTTAGAACCGCTCGTTCCATCACGAGCGGAAAACCACAATGCAAGAAGACTCGGCACGTCACAGCCTCAAGACCGTACCACTGCTACCTGAAAGTAGAACTGGTAAATCGGAACGACCTCCACTGCGGTCTTCGGCACATCTACTTGCTGGCGCGTGAGTCTGGCCCCCTATGACCTAGCTCTGCAGAACACTAATCTATGCTGTATAGGAGTGGAGGGTTGGCCACCGCTATTCTAACTTCTCCACTCGATGTGTTGAGAACACGGCTTCAATCCGATTACTACCACCTCCTCTCCCGTCCGATCCAAGCAGCCTACCCTCCGTTCAAGCCCGCATCCACTCATCTCCTCGGCGCCTCGTTACGCCACCTTCGCGAGACTGTCCAGATCATCAATTCCATTCACTATACCGAAGGCTGGCGCGGCTTCTTTCGCGGTCTTGGGCCAAGTTTAGCAGGCGTGGTACCTGCCACCGCAATCAAGTTTTACGTGTATGGCAACTGCAAACGGCTTGGAGCAGATATACTAAATTGTAGGGAGGATGCAGCAATAGTTCATGCGCAAGCTGCTGTTGCAGCAGGTATCGCGACTGCGACTGCGACAAATCCTATTTGGCTCCTGAAAACTAGGCTGCAGCTCGATAAATCGCGGACACAAGCTGGCGGTGATACGGCTCGCCAATATAAGAACAGCCTCGACTGTGTCCGACAGGTTCTGCGACAGGAGGGTATTGGAGGTCTGTACCGGGGCTTGAGTGCGAGCTATCTAGGCACTGTTGAGACGGCGTTGCATCTCGTCCTCTATGAAAGACTCAAACTATTATATAGTGGAGCTCTGGGAGGAAGCCATATGCGAAATAGGACAGCCTGGGACGAACTCGCAAAGTGGATTAGCACTAGTGGAGCTGCGGGATCAGCGAAGTTGGCTGCTGTGTTGATCACCTACCCTCATGAGGCATGATCATCCCATTTCGCTCATAATTCCTTCACTAACATATTATTAGGTAGTTCGGACAAGGCTACGACAAGCGCCGAAGGAGAATGGGATTCTAAAGTACGTTGGCCTCTTGCAGTGTTTCCGGTCAATCGGCAGACAGGAAGGTTTGGCAGGGCTGTATGGGGGCCTAACACCGCACATCATGCGAGCTATTCCATCATCTGTAATTACTCTAGGAATGTACGAGTTTGTGTTGAGGTTAGTTGGATCATGACCTACAAAGCTGAGGATAATAATTCTGTAAATTATCTGTACAATAATGATGTAAAGCATCTTTCAGGTACGAGAACAACTTCGCACATCCACAATCACAGCAAACATGCAGAATCTTCGCAATGTACCCCGGGAAGCTCATATTGTGTTTATTGAGAGGAATCTGAAAAACGAGTGTGTTAAGGTAAACTAGAAGCAGGATATCGCGCGAGTTCCACTTTATAGCACAAGGCACCGTCGGCTGTCGGGCGGCTTATGTGATGTGAGCTGCGTGCAGTAATTTGTTAACTCAGGAATAAGTAGGCAGGCTCTTACCCTCATTTCTTCTCTGGCTTGTATCCCGGCCCTGACAATTACCACAGGCGCACTCCCTGTTCATGCCGGACCACCACATAATCCGCACTTTCCATATCCTAGGTGTCTTCTCGGTAAATTCGTCAATCTTCTTTTCCTGACATGAATGATGAGTATATTGGAAAAGTATCATACATGATAGCTTTACCCACCGATCAGAGATATAGGGATTGAAGCTTCGTGGTTTTGTAGGTGGTCGGTTCTTGGAAATTCTTGCAGCTTGCTGGTTTGCGTCTGGGTATGATATCTCTGTTCACTGGCATCCCTCTTATATCCAGCCTCCTCGGTCAATCCATTGCGCGGCTTACGCACCAAGGGTCCTCCCTCGCCTCGTTCTAAAGCAGATAGCACTTAGAGGGCACCAAACACCAAGGATACTGCCAGATTGGGCCCCGACGGTTAAGCGTGACTGAGGCACAGGCGTTTGGCGCGGGAGGTGGGCAAATTCCGTTGGTTCAGAAACACTGCGAGCAAAGAGCTACTGCTCTTACGGCGCGTAATTACTAGCGATAGAGTATGCGACGGAATACCCTAGCCAGTCGCTGCCTAAATCGGTACACTATACGTCCTATCGCCGTTCGTTTCGACCGAGTACTATGATTAACCGAAGACAAGGAAGGCACTGAAGGCTTGAGCTGATGGGCGCATGCCCATGGAGCTAGGCAGTGTTATAGAAACACTCTCCTCTCCAACAGAGATATGGTTAGGCTGTTGCCCGAAGAGCAGCGATGCGGCTGTCTCAAAAGGTGATGTAAAGAAGCAGCGCAACAAGCTGCCTAGTCTCCAAGAGGAGCCGTAGAGCACCCCACATCATGCCGGAGGAGGCCTTGAACGCAGTCGACCCCGGCGCAGAGCCCGCTTCCAGCACGCTCTCCCCTCCTTGTAATCGGAACATGGTAGTGAAGGCGGCGAAGGTGGCGAAGTTGCTGAGACGGGGATAGCATACGAGGCCATACTTGCTATGTAATGAGGGGACTAGAAGGGAGCCTTGGCGGCGATCTCGTAATGCGGCATGAGGCGGGGGCTCGGTTGGTGACGGGAGGTGTTGAAGGTGGAGATGGCTTGCCCTTCGTGTTCGATCGTGAGCATGAGGAAGTTGGAGCTGAGGCATTTTCAATAATTGGCCTTTTCCATACTTCAGATTCAGGATAGGCTTTTTTCCGAGGCTCGAAGAACTGTTACAGATGAGAGAGTGGAGAATCCAGACCGAGGGATCGTGTACGAGTGCGACGGGTTCGGAATGGTAGAAAGGCGATTTATCATTTTTCCTTTATCAACGTTAGAGCAATTCAAGAACTATCCATCTTTGAATTCCTTCTCATTCTGAAGACCGGTGGACCCAAGTCGCCCACCGAAGCTAAAAGGGTTTCCCTGAGAATTAACAAGTCGGAGAACCTTGTGTTTGGAGGTGCCATGGAGAGGTGACTGGGCCTTTGCCCGCGGAGTTTGTGGGCTGCGCTAGTCCTGAAATGGAAAACTCCAAACAATCAACTGCCTCGCCTCGCGCATTTGCATCCAGCTTTCATCTTGTACGACATCACGCCTCCCTCCGCTCGGTCTTCTTATAATTTATAACCTAAGGATTCTATGACCCTACACGCGCAATATCAACACCTTAAGCGTGATCAATGGCGAAAGAGAAAGACGCAATGCGTACGCGCATCGAAAGCATCAAGACCGACCTACAGCGTATTTCAACATGTAACGCCGCGACAGTTGCAGAACTTCGCGACCTGCTCGCCGAAAAGACTGCCGAGTTTGTCCAGAAGGAAAATATCAGAGTCAAGACCTCGCAACCGCTCAGCGTCCAGCGGAGGAAAGCTGGGACGGCGAGACTGACTGCGGCAGCCGATGTCCCCAGACAAGCTGCATCTACGCTCTCGTCGCGCGAAAAATATATATTAGCAACCGAGGTTGTTAACACGTCGCTCAAGTATCTGGCGGATGCCTTGAAGACGCAGCCGTCGCCACAGGTTGTTCGAGCGTCCTCGAAAGCGAAGCCCTCCGATCCGAACGCGCGCAAGCCTTTCGAAGAACGTCGAACGCATACGAAGAGCGCTTCCGTGTCTACCCACCCATTGAAGGAACGATCTATCAGTCAAGTAATCAATTCGCCCACGAAACCTTCGGTTCTGCGCCGCTCGTCGTCCTACTCATCATTCCTTACGACCGCACCGGATTCTGGCTTGGTCGCGACCGCAGGCTGTGCTAGGATAGCGTTTGCATATTTAGGGACATCAGAAGCTGCGAAGATTGCAGGGAAAGACTCGCCAGAGCTACAATTGGAAAATGGCATCCTGGCTCTTGTTGGAAAGCTTGTTGCTCATGGGTTGGATAACCTTGCTATCAAGGAGATGCGAATCTTGAAGAGGAGGTTGGATGGGCACCTTGGCGTCGACACCCGAGATAGAGATGGTCAATCTGCGACTACGAAGAGGCAGCCCAATCAAGACCAGTCCGCTGGAAAAGAGAGCCTGGCATCGTTACTTGAATTCGGAGACGTCGATCGCAGGTCCCCAGCACTGGCAATTATCACCAACCTCCAAACTTATGCGCTGCGGGTGATTGCGAGGATAAAGCGGCCCCGGATTATCGAGGATGCTTGGAATTGTCTGGCACTATCTCATCCATCTTCGCCAGCAAATCTGGTTTGGCACATCGCGAAGTCATCGGACAACCAAGAGAAGGCGGCGCGACAGCTCGAGTCTCTCGCTCAAACGATCCTCTCTCTCTGCCCCAGCATATCCTCGTCTGCCGATCAAGAGGATCTACAACCATCTCCAGATGTTGTTCTCTGTCTGCAACACCTTGCATTTCGGACTCGGCATAGGTGGTGGGCACTTGCCAAGCATCAAGGAGATGTAGGAAAGGAGCTATTGGAACCATTCTCCAAATGCATCGTTGCCTTTTCGAGGCGCTCCAAGCTTCCCCCGACCAAGAGGTATAAGCTGGCGGAATCTTTGTACACAGACCTTTTGGAAACAGCCCAGGATTCGAATCTAGCTGCGAAGAATGGGATGCACCCGGACACTCTCCCACATAAGACTCTAAGCTCCCTTGCCCAGGCTGCTGGTCTCACCGAGGATGCTCTTCGATGGTTGGGGACGCCCAATTCTCCAACATCGAAGGGCTCCGCTGCAAGACAAGCTGCTCGGTTAACGCGTATCGCCGCTGTCTCTCTTGAAGCGATGCTGAAGGACGGATCAAAAGAAGACATAGAAGTCATAATATCCGCTGCTCTCGATGCGTTGTCCGACGCTGTAGGTGGATCATCCCCGGAACTGAATGCCCTCTTGATGGAAGTGAATGCCCTGCGGCGTATTGCGACCCGAGTGTTAATGGTACACGACCCAACGACACTCCCACCCGATTTAGAAGCTCTCCAACGTCAATGCATCCATACCGTTGCGGCAACCATACACTTCACCGCCAGATTCATTGGTACGATGCCATCATCGGAAGCTGATGCTAAGCCGCACGTTCGGTATCAGGAACGACTCTCAATGGCGTCTAGATTCCTCAAAAGCTCTGTGGATTCCGTACTGGTGTGCTTTAAGCGCCCATTACACTCGACATCCTCATGGGAAGAACTCGATGCTCTCTTGCAAGACTGTGCACGCTTTCTAAGCCATTTCGAGGAGGAGTCCGACTCCTGGTCCGTAAAATTGTCGAACGCCTGCTGGGCTATGCATCTGCAGCTACGGAAGGTCAGCGCAGAACCTGCAGTCGTTGCCGCAGCCATGCAACGCTCCATCGACCTCCTTCAAACCAGATCCCAAAAGGAAAAGGAGGCTGGTTTACTGGCCATGAAGCTCGAACGATTGGCAGAGTCTTTAGATCAACTCGGTCGGGTGGACGACTCCCGGAAGGCGTTCGTGCGATGCATACAATCACTGATGGATACTGCCCAACAACAAGGCATTGCCGAAGTCGCCGCAACGCACTCCGTACCCCAAATCTTCGAAAGCGCTGGTATTTTCGGCACCCTTGGAAGGATCCTTAAGTCGTACCATCGATCCTTTGTGAAGTATGGCTTAAGAAAGTCTGACGGAGTGGCATTTTTCGATGATTGCAGGCATGCACCTTCCGCCAGGGGCACTGTGCTGGAGTGGCAACTGGCGCTTTATCAGAAGACCCTTTCTAGGAACCGTCAATGGGACTCAAGCCTGAATCTATCAATCCTAGCGATGGTAGAGCGACTTCTCGATATTTACCCTCCAACCAGGTTTCCAGTTCGGCATCAAAGAGTCCTCCTGGTCATTCTTCAGATATCCCAAGCGTACCCGGAAATCGTATCCACGGAGCTGGTTTCACCTCGTCTCAAGGCCAGCGGTGATGGCGAAGCCGCCCAGGCGGAAGACCAGGGTCTATCGAGATTCAAGGAACACTTAAAGGCCCAAGTGAATCTCAAGTTCGCCCTGCAAGAGTCCAAGCCCCCGGTCGCGATAATTCAGGATTGCTTCTCTACATGGCAGTCTCTCGTCGACTCAGCTGCCTCATGGGAGAGCCTAATTGATCGAATAGATAACAAAGAACATTGGCTACAAGAGATGCAAGCATGTGCCGAATATCTGGCTGCTAAAGGCGAGGAGTACGAGAGTCTTCCCGTTCTACATCTTCTTGTCAGAGTCCTAGAGCTTCAGCAATCCCTCGAACCTTCCGATCTCGTCACGACCCTCTGCACCTTTGGGCTCCAGCTCTTACGCTTAGGGTATTCCGGAAAGGCCGGGTTAGCGTTTGCTAAGGCCGAACTCCTTACTTCCAGCAGACCTACCTCGACGGAGGCAAAACTGCGATGGCACTTCGGTTACGCGGAGTATCTTTTAGGCATCGGCAATGCCACGAAATGGTAAATCGCCTACTCTAAGCGCGAGATCATCCGCTAACAAGTAACAGTGAGCTCGTCCTATCAGCCGCCGCGATGATCGCTCGAGAGGATGCCCAGTTTATGGGCCTAACAAAACCCTCAACAACCTTGTCTGGGCGAATTCGATTCAATACAATCCTTGCCGATGCTTGCTACGTTGTTTCCCTGCTATCCGTCAACAAGGGTCACCAGAAGAATGCCGCAAGGTATGCGAGGCAATGCGTCGTGCTCAACCGACGGACGTGGGCTGCGTTAGAAACCAGATCGAATTCCAGAAAAGCTGCCGGGACTAACAGTGCGGACTCGGACTCGGACTCGGAAGGACCGATCAAGAGCGCCTTCGACCCATTGAGCTCCATGCGCAACGACAAAGGAATACCTCTCGTCATGTCTGTCACTCACGATGCATTAAGTGGAGCCGACTTCTGGTCCCTCGTGCCCTCGCTGTATCGCGGTCTAATGCAACATTCGCTTGTCTTCGCCAACCAAGGCTTGCTTCAAGAGGCCGTTTACGTCGCCGAGCAGGCTGAGAAAGTCGCTACAGGCGTGCATTCCCCGTCGCTGATCCTCGACAATGCCAGCCGTCGTGCCGAATACTGGGCGCAGAGCGGCCGACCGGACAAAGCCCAACCCATTCTCCAAGCGCTCCCCCAGGCGGAACTCGACACGCACGTAGCTAAAGCCGCCTATTATTCCTCCATTGCCAGGGTTCATCATTCGAGCAAGAACTTTGACGACGAGCTCGCGGCATACGATTCGCTAGAGAAGCTGTTGGTCGGTCTCGCTTCGCCCTCGTACATCAAATCTCTTGATACTTTCATTCCCAGCGTAGAACCCTTGACAAACGAACTGTCAGCGATGTCTCTTGGCAAGTCTGAGCTACGAGGAGCTGGACCGGAGAAAGACGCGAAGGTTCGTCAAGCGACGGGCAAAACCCCTTCGAGAACAGCTCCACACAGTGCTCCGAGGGTTACACGCAAAGCCACGTTAAGAAGTGCTCCAAGACCTGTTCCTCGTACCAAAGCAAACCAGAAGGTCGCTGCATCAGTAGTTCCCCAGGTTCCCAGCATTACGGCAGAATGCGCGTCCCTTTGTGCCCTCGAGATCGACATTGCACATCGGAGGGCGCTGGCTAATCTGCTTCAAGATAACGTCTTCCAAGCGGTTGATATCCTTGAGCGGATTGAGAAGCTTCAGCGCGGCCTCCATCAAAATATTACCCATGCATGGACCCGGTTCAAGACAATGCTCCTGCAGAGCACCAAAGACATTACAGAGGACTTCACTTTCAATACTTTGCCGGAATCTACGATCGCTTTTCCTGCGATCCCTCCTAAGGAGCGAAAATCTTCGGACCTTGTGGCAACCAATCGCCCTGTCATTGCGCCTTCCACTGTGAAAACTAGTCGAAGCAAGAAGCCGGCCAAGGTAGATTTTGCGGAGAGTCTACGAGTCGCTCGAGAGCATCTAGTGGGAGCACATGCCATATGTGCTAATGCAGGCACCAGTCATGCTTTCCAGCAGGTGTCCACAGCACTTGGTCATGTCACTATTCTCCTCTCCGCAGTATCTGGAGATCGTTTGCGAGGCTCGCTCCATCCACTATTTGCGGCGTATATGAGCGGTGTGTGAAAGCTTCAATCTTCGTCGAACTCTTAGCTGACCTGAAATAGAAATTCCCAAGTTCAATTCGTTGAGGCTTATTCAAGATACTGTTGAGATTGAGCAAGAAAGCATGTCGCGGGAGGAATATCTGAAGTGGCCTGAGCTTGACTCTGATTGCACGCCTCTTGCGTCTGTGACAGAGTTCCAGAAAGACTACATTGATATAATACCGGAATCATGGACGGCCCTGGCTCTTGCGCTCAACGAGTCTCAAGATGAGCTGTATATCACCCGATATGAAAGTGGAAGTACTCCGTTTGTCTTGCGGCTTCCGATGGCCCGCCATTCGTCTCGCGACATGGACGAAGAAACGTTTACCTTTGGAGATGGCAAGCGAGACTTTGACGAAATCATTGAGCTTAGCGATTTCAGCACCCGAAATGCCAAAGACATGACCTCCAGAGAGGCTAGACTTCAATGGTGGGCAGAGCGTGAGGCGCTGGATACCAAGCTTCACGAGCTGCTTCTCAATATTGAGAGAATTTGGCTGGGCGGCTTCAAAGGCATCTTCTCACAGCACGTTCGACAGCCGCCCCTCCTGGCGCGGTTCCGGAAATCCTTTGAGAACATTCTGAATCGGCACTTGCCATCGCGTAGGAAGAAATCGCAGCAGAAGAAGCCCGTTTTAGATGCAAGGGTATTGGAGCTTTTCGTTGGTCTAGGGGACGCTTCGAACGAAGAGCTTGACCTTGACGACGCATTGACAGATCTAATCTACTTTGTAGTCGACATCCTGCAGTTCAACGGGGAGCGAAACGCGTACGACGAAATCGATTTCGACGCCATGGTAATCGAAACGCATGACGCCTTGCGCGCGTATCATGGCGCATCGCCGAGCGCTCCCCCGGACAATGCTCACGCGATCCTGATCCTGGACAAAAACTTGCACATGTTCCCCTGGGAGTCCCTGCCGTGCCTTGAAAAGCTTTCAATATCTCGGCTTCCATCACTGGCAGCGCTGCGCGAGCGGATCATCACCGCAAGATCACCGACCATGCCGAATCCAAAGCCAGGACACTATGTATCCGCTGAAGCCGGCGGGACGAGCATGCTGAACCCGTCTGGAGACCTGAGTCATACGTTGAAGACAATCAAGCCACGGCTGGATGAGATGCAGGGAAGCTGGACCCACATCGTCAACCGCGCGCCAACTGAGAAGGAGTTTGAGGATTCGCTGAGAGAGAAGGACCTCGTCCTCTACTTTGGTCACGGGAGCGGAGCGCAATTTGTGAGGTCGAAGTCTGTTCGGCGTCTCTACCCTGGGGATCAAACAGACGGGAGGAAGCCAGGCTGTGCTACGACATTCCTTTTCGGGTGTTCTTCTGTGCATCTGTCCGACAACGGCATCTATGAGCCTTCGGGTATGCTGGCGTCCTATCTCACAGCCGGTGCGCCTGCTGTGGTAGGCATGCTTTGGGACGTCACAGACAAGGATTGCGATCGCTTCGCCATCAAAGCTGGAGAACTCTGGGGATTGTGGCCTGAATCGAAAGAAGAAGCGATTGTAGATGCACCTCCAACGATAAAGAGGTCGAAGGGCAAAGGCAAGGTTGCGCAGCTAGTAGAGGAGGTAGAGAGTGCTAGAGGGGCAGGCAATGGCCGGAGAGGGAGGAAGAACCGAGACCAGATAGGCGGTGATGCAGATCGAGGTGGAAGTGGAAGCAGAGTGCATCGGAGAGGTGTGGGTTTAGACGAGGCGGTGCGGGACTCTAGGGATGTCTGCGTTTTAAGGTATCTCAATGGCGCCGCGGCCGTTGTGTACGGCATCCCAGTGTACTTGGAGTAGTGTAGATTAGAGGGAACGATGATTGGCTTCAGGGAGCTTGGGAGGGGTACCGTTGCCTGAACACATGTTTTGTTATTGGGTCGCTTGAAGTGGACGTTGATCAAGCCTCAGCTGAAACCCTGACGTACGCGACGCCAGCTTCCTCTCCTCAACCCCACTGCGTGCGGAAACATTTTTTCAGGCAATAGTTCTTCGAGATCATGGCGGAGGGTCCACTTTCTCCCGCAGCATACCGCTATAAAGCTCTAGGCGAACGCCACATTCGGCTCCTCAAAGTCCCTGGATCCTCCAAAGACGCTCCAGCGTACGATCTCATTGAAACATCACTGGATGCTGCGCCGCCTTACGAGACGATATCCTATGTATGGGGCAAGCAGAACAGGTCGCAGATCTTGACCTTCCGAACAGCCGAGACGGTTCGCATCACTCCGGCCTTGCAAGTCACTCTTTCCTATCTCCGCTTCCACTGCCGGACAGGCTATCTGTGGATTGATCAGATATGTATCGATCAGAGCAACACGCTGGAATGCAACCAGCAAGTGGCGATCATGGGCGAGATATACGGCAAAGCGCAGCGTGTGCTGATCTGGCTCGGAGAGCTGGGAGAGGAAGACGACGACTCGAGCCACCTTACAACGTTGCTTGCTTTTGCGCCCACCTCGACTCCACATCAGAACACATTTGATCACTTCTCGCGAAAGATTGAGCCTCTACTCAAGGACGGCATTGATCCAGCCAACGGATACCGGCGATCGTCCATCCGAAATTTACTCACCCGGCCATGGTTCGGCAGAGCTTGGGTTGTCCAAGAAGCTGTATTGTCTAACACCGCAACTTGTTTCCTTGGCACACTTGCATTCGACATCGAGGCTCTCTGGGCCCTGGTCCGCGCAGTTAGGAATGCTGAAGATCACAAACTCGCGGATGCGCAGGACGGAATAAGGCAGTTGCGGGGATACCTGGTGCTGAATGAAATCATCCGGCTGAGGCACCAGCGGCAAGATCAAAGATGTTTCTATTACTCTCTCTCCACTCTTGCTCCTCGCTGCCGGACTTCCAGGCCTCAGGATATGATCTTCGCTTTTCTGGGGCTTCTGGATGACCCTCGCATACAAGTTTCTCCCGACTACAATATGGCCTTGGACGAGATCCCCGCTATGGCTACTCGTGCAATCCTGGCTGGAACGGGTAGTCTCGACCTGTTTGGTGTCTTGCATCGATACACAGAAGATCAAAGTCGGTGGTCATGTCTACCCTCCTGGGTGCCCGACTGGTCGCGGAGGCTGAAGGGAGAAGTAATGGTCTTCCCGGGGAGATCTATGTACTTCGACGCTTCGCGAACATTCTGTCATAGGGGAGCCGTCGAGACTCTGCAGACATGGTCTCATATGCTCGTCTCCGGAAAAGTAATTGACGAGGTAGTTCACCGGATTCCGTTTACGGAAGGCATAGCAGCTCCGGCTTCCAGTCGCTATGGGTGGGAGGTCTGCTCATATCTGGACATACATCGACTACACGAAACGCTGGAAACCCTTTGGTCCGCAAGCTCGTCCATTCCTACAAGGGAACGCATTCTGACCACAGTGTTGGCTGATGGATCATTCGCGTTCCACAAAGACGAACGCTCGAAGTCCCGCGACGGGCTGTCGGAAGGCTACACGCGCAAGCTGCTAGAGGCATACGAGTCCCTAAAGCAGCCGCTGTCTACTCAAGGATCCGAACGGAAAGAAGCCAGTGCACTTCGCGATTATGCTCGAATAGCCTGGGGCCGCGCTCTTATTGTTGGACGCCAATGGAGGCTGGGACTGGCGCATGAAGAGGTCTGCAAAGGGGACTTGATCTGTATCGTGCATGGATCAAAGGTACCGCTTGTCCTACGTCGCGTTACGGAAGGTCACTACTGCCTTATTGGTCAGTGCTATTTCGAAGGTGTCATGCGTGGAGAAGCAGTGACGTGGGAGGAACGGGATGCGGACCATTTTCTTCTGGTGTGAGCCGAATCGCGAGCCTTCGCATCGTAGGAAAGAGACTACTCGCTGGAACACATGCTTTGTAGACTTGAATATTGAGTTACATCGCTTGCTTTCTACCTCGGCAGGAAAGTAGTAGTTTATCGAACTATCGAAGCTATGCGCATATGGACCGGTGAAGAAGCTGCCGATCAATTGGCAAGATGCAGGCTTCCGCGGGACAGCATTTCAATACTGTACTCGGGGTCGCCTCTTGAGATGTCACGATCGGATAAATATTGTTGAAAGCTCCTTGCGCAGTGTCGCAATATGCCCGGATACCGATGATGCTGTGGGGCTCAGCCGTGCGAACCGTGACTCAGCCACACCTCAAATCAAAAAAAGGGCTTCACTGAAACCCTAACCAACCCCCATCATGTCATTACCGCACACAGGAAGAGTCACACAAACATGGTTTCCATCGATCATCCAGGCACCCTGACACGGTGCCGAGGCAATCATCCGTCGAGCCAATATATTAAGCGCTGCTGATTGGCCCCGAGTTCGTATGGACTGGTACGAAGAGCATCCTTCCGCAAGGCTCCCGCAAGGCAGCAGCGCTGGTCCAATCCTTCGCATCTTCGCGCGTGCCCGTTTTGAGAACGGGCGAGGCGAGGCTGTGTAGGCGATGCGGATCCACAGAGGACGAGGCGAGGTGCGACTTGTGAGGGAGGCACGGGTCTTGGGTTGCGCAGGGTTAGGGCGCGAATGGGGGCGGCTGTTGGGTTTGAGAAATGGGTATTTGATGAGACGGTGTCCTTGATTCTAGCGGCCTCCTTCTCTCTTCTTCTTCATATCTTGATCTTGGAAAAGCTGGGGAGAATTGCACGCCTAAAATTCCGTCACAGCGGTCACGTGCTCATACTCTGGGTTGCCTTCCTATATTATTCGGCTACGCACCGCCTTCACCGCGACCTCTTGTTCCACCCGTTCAAAATCATCCGCGTGTCCGTCGCACGAGCAATCTCTTCTGCACGCAAACACGTCAACCGTCTGTCGGCTGCCACCTCAACCTTGCAAGAACCTCACCTCGCTCCCGCCAAATATGCCCGGAGATATCACCAAGCTTGCCGTGCGCGGCTTCCAGATCATCTTCGCTGCCGTAGTAACTGGCTTGTCCATCGACCTAGCCAAGGGCCACCATTGGGGCGGTTTACCAGTCACGCTCGGATATGTGTCTTTTGTTGGTTGCATCTCTCTGCTCGCCGGGTTCGCTGGCGTTGCCGCAGTCTTCGTAAGCTCTCTGCAGGGCCATATCGAGATGCTCATGGACGGATTCATTATGCTTCTCAATCTCGCCGGTGGTGTCGTAAGTGGGCTATCTCTCAACCCCTGTCAAAGGTTGCTGACGTTGTAACATAGCTCGTCGCCGTCAAGCTTAAGGGTGTCGAGTGCAAAGATGGAGACGACCAGCCCAACGGCCTCAATATACTCACGAATGATTTAATCAATGGCGGCAAGCACGGCGATGATTGCTATTGGTGCTCTTTCGATCATGACCCGAAGCTCCCCTCCAAGCTCATCTCGCGCTGCAAGATGAACCAGGCAGACGACGCCTTCATGTTCCTCACCGTCGTGGTCCTCCTGGTCAGCCTCACGCTCACCTTCCTCCGAATGAAGAAGGGCTACTAGACAAGGGTAAGCATGGACTCCTGTATGCTCGCGCCTTTTCCGTGCTAACGCGAGTACAGGAAAGGCGCAATCAGCCGGGTACTACAATGTCTGACGACACTTTAGTATCTGCGAAACGCGGCAATGGAAGATGAATGGACGTTTGACACGGGTCATACATGATACGAACGGTCTTTCACGGCAATATACCCCAATAGAGGGCACAATGTTTCCAGTTTATCTGCGTGAGGGGCTACGGGCGTTTAGCCCTTTGGGGAGTTGATTGGAACAGGAGTAATAAAAGTCTTCGACAGCCCTCTCTTTGACAGGTCAAATGCATTTGCATCACTCACAATCCGTCACATTTTCAAACACACCAACCGCTCCTCCCTCATTTAACACCGTATCCTCGTGCAGCTGTACCTGCCTGTCTGCTTAACAACTCTCCTTGCTATCCGAATTATACAGCCGCCTTCACCCTGCTACAATCGCCGTCCAGCTACTACTGCTCATCTTTACTCTCCATTCAATTTGCTGTCATCATGCCGAACGTCGTCAACTTCGTCCTTCGTGGCTTCCAGATCCTGTTCGCGGCGGTCATTCTGGGCCTCTCAGTTAGCTTAGTTAAAGGACAGTGGGAGGACACGAAGCCTCCCATCACACTACAGTATGCTGCGTTCGTCGGCGGTATCACGCTAGTTGCAGCTGTCGTTGGCCTCGCTTCCGAGTGGGTTACAGTTCTGCAGGGGAAGATCGGCTTCATCATAGATGGAGCCACCACGGTCGTGAATCTCGCAGGTGGAGTTGTAAGTTCCCCTGTCAACTCTAAATGAAAATTGGCTAACACTACGTGGCAGCTCCTTGGAATCATGATCGGAGGCGTCAGTTGCGGTGACACCAGCGCCGAGAACCGGGTCAAGCTGCTTGAGAACGATCTCTTCAACGGAGGCTGTCGCAAGGCTGACGACGGAACTACCTACTGTTACAACGAATTCAGCGCCCGCTGGAAGTACCTAAACTCTCGCTGCAGGGAGTGCACGGCCGATTCCGTCTTTATGTTTCTTACCTTCGGCATTCTCGTCACTAGCACAGCGATGGCGTACCGCCACGCAAAGAACCCATATTGAGAGCCGGTACGCAGCTGCTTCCTCCACACGGGCTATTTAGCTGACCCGAGAACAGAATCCTGACAGCAAGGCCAGACACCCTCTGGACGACTGATTTCTAGGTCTTTTAGGGGCGTGACGAGTCATGGATACTGCGGATATGGATGTTGGCAATCATACATTGGATGGACGCCCCTTTGCGGCAATAACTCCGACGCTCCGGTTTATTCCCTCGACCTCATACCCGTAGCAGATTGTAAGAATATAGCGCCGCGCAGCAAGATCTCGCAGAGGACAAAAACAAAAACTACTAGCAGAGTCATGCACAGCAATGATAATATCCTACTACATCATCTTCACATTGGAGTATCGTGATCATCACCATTGCCTATACTCTGATTCAACTGTCTGCCTCAGGGTCTGATCCATACCGCTTTCTTACCTTGTGGGTGATCAATTTTTCTAGAGATTTCCGGCTCCCGAACTGCCCTTGCGGTCTGGCTACTGATAGGAGGGCAGTCTATCGGCCACACCCCCAAAACGACTACACAATGCAACATGAGTCCTTAGTGCAATGATGAGCTCTGCACATCAAACTATAATAGCTTTGTTGGCGGATCTTCAATGAGATCTGTCTAGGCTTCTCTAAGCACCAACTTTGCCAAGCCGCGCCTGCCCTATACACAGCAAGCCTGCGCTTAGCCCTGTTCACGACGGGCCTATCAAGGTCAAGCAGGAGAATAAGCGATCAGATCAATCAAGATAGCATTCATCACTCCGTAGTATACACCTGTCAACCCAGCCTCATAAGCGGCACCTAACCTGCCACATCAACTCCACAGCCCACCATCCCAAATACAGATTATACTCCCCATCACTACCCAACGTAACTTCGCGTTCGAATCGTAGTGCTTCAGACAGGGCAAGACTTTTGACTCTATTCAGCGGTGCTCAAGGGCGGGGTTATGTAAGTTGCTTACGCTGCCGCAAGAGCTGCAAGTTTTAGTCCCGTCGCTAGTCGCCGCGCCGCACTTCGGGCAGTCGTTGCCGTGGTTGTTGACGAGGACGGTGGTGGTCTGCATGTTGACGTTATATGGGCTCGAGGTAGGTAGTACGGAGAGTGGTGGTGCTCTTGTCGGAAGAATTGAGGTTGCTGCTGATAGCTGAGCTCAGAGCGGGGTGGTGGGGTTGATAAAGCAGAGCGTTCGTTCGGCATGCAGGGTAGGGGAAGCTAAGGCATGCACATGTCAGATGACTTGCGCGCGGTAAAGGCGCGGCCTCGCGTGATTGGGTCGGGGTGTGGAGCTCTGCGTGGGATGGTTGTTTGGTGGGTTTACGTGATGGGAGAGCTCGGAGACGGCGCCGACGGTATGCGACGGCGGAGATGATATATGAGAAGGGAAGATTCGGTATACCACCTCAACGCAGGCATATCATTACCTGACATGGCATACAATCTGGCCGTTGATGACTGCAAACCATCCGTCTTCTTTCTTCTCCATCTCCCTCCACGTCTGCGCAATATCCTCCAGATCCCTCTCCGTCGCGAACCCGCTCTCCAGCGCCCGTTGCTTATAATCACTATTGACCGTCCGATCCGCCCACAGTCCGCACCAGAACTCCCTCTCTTGTGGCGTCGAGAACGTCCATGCAGCCACACTAGCTTCGATATCGCTTCTCGGAAACCCAGCCTCCATGGCCACAGCATGGAGTCTCTTCCCGATGTTCGGATCGCACTTGAGGTGGTCCCGCGCCACCTTGATGTAAAGATCCAACCATTTCTTCATGCCTTGGTGTTCAGGATACCAATTCATCGCACTATAGTCGACGTCTCGTACTGCGACGATGCCGCCGGGCTTTGTGAGTCGCTTCATCTCTTTCATCGCGCCCGGCGGATCTTGTAAATGCTGCAGCACTTGATGTGCATGTATGACATCGAAGCCTTCTTCCTTTACGCCCTCCAGCCCCTGCCAGCTGAATATATCACCGACCTCAAACCGCACATTAGTAACGCCCTTCTCTTCTGCATGTTTTCGAGCTTTTTGTATAACGTCTGCTGAAGGGTCGATGCCCAGGACGAGGCCGTGCGGGACGCGGGAGGCAAGGTCGACGGTGATGGTGCCTGGGCCGCAGCCGACGTCGAGGATGCGGAGCGAGGGGTTGGTGAGGTATGTCAGAAGGTGCGGGCAAGAGTTCTCAACTGTACGCCAGCTGTGAGAGCGGAGGACAGAGGCGTGGTGGCCGTGGATGTAAGGTCCGGACATTGTAGCAGCGGTGGGAGAGGATATTTGGTACCATACTATGGGCGCAGCTGATGACAGGTCTTGAACGTGCGAGAGAGGTTGTGAAGCTGACAGTCGTCAACGAAACTAGGAGCTCTGGAATGCGGAGCTGGCTCAACGTTGGAGCAAAATGGCTCATGTTGATGCCCTTACGGTCCCCTCTTGGCCCTGCACAAAATATAACAGATTATGTAGATCGTAACATGCTTACGTTATGTTTTGAATCTTACCGCCATCGTCGTCCATCTTCCGCACTCCGTCACTTTCCCACGCTGCAGGATTCTCTAGCTCACTTCCCACTTCCCTGTCTTCGACTAAAAAGAGTAGGCCGGAGAAAGCAGGAGCGGAAGGCCCGTCGCTTTTCAAAGGATCGCTACGTTCGGCGCATCGTTGTTTGCGATAGTGCAGAAGTGCTTCGTAACATTCCCAGGCGCGGCCGGACAGCGCCTCTGAGGTGGTAACATCCTGTTTGGAATATAGAGTTCTATTCAACAACCGATTTCAAGCAGGATGCAGCTTATCTGCGACGTATTAGGACTGGATCCTTGCAAAGGCGATAACGTAGTAAATATGTAATAAGATGTGCGTGCGGAGTAGAGCTCCAGGGCTAGCCGCAATTGTTGAATCGTTAAAAGCTTACCTAAAAAATACGTTGTTAATTAAAAAGTTTTTTTTAAAAAAAATTTGTCGTCTCTGTGGATCGAACACAGTACCTCCAGATACCGCACAGGTTTGTAACCGAAGTGAACTTCAGTCTGGCGCTCTCCCAAGTGAGCTAAGACGACTTATCGAGTTGCTTTGATAAATGATTTTTGTCTTAATTAGTATATATACTACACAAGCCTGGAATTTCTAACAGTAGACACGCCCCGAGCCAAGACCGAATGCGCTTCGCCCACTTGGCCCGCCTGTGCCAGGGTAGGGTTCTAGTTCATGCGGGGCAGGGTCTGATTGTGTGGCTCATGTGCCTTAACGGATATGCACATTCTGGGTCTAGTTACACGTACTAGCACGAAGGCTCTTGCATCGGTCGCCACGCACGTGTCCAATCAAATGCGCATAAAACTATAGTTATCTCATCCCTTACTACTTCGCTACTACACTGACCATCTCTTCCAGCGCCACGAGCCCCAGGTAACGACTGTATTAGTAATCGAGCTGTGCGCTGTATAAATCTGCTGGTTAGAGTGTCCCAGACACTTCAGGCAACAACTTCACACAATACGTTCTACTGCTGCTCGTCGTTATGTGATGGTGACCACAAGGAGCGGATTTTGCTTTGTCCGGCTACATGACTGTGGAGACAGTTCATCCTACAGTGGCGAGAGGCTGTAAGCCTGAATAGCCTACGGACTTCACCGAGACCTACCCTAGTACAGAGCATTGCGCCACCTATATTCAATGCCACTCCATTTACTGATTCTAAGTCCAGATCGCTTTCAAGATTCATCGTGCAAAGGAAACCCGTCTGGTTCCCCTACGATCCATCCGTTTACCTACGGTTCGTGCTGTGGAAGTACTCTCGCAACTCCTCCACATTATCCGGCTCGTACCATTCCACCCAGCACTCGACGCCGTCCTCTCTCCTCCGTTGGCAGATTCCATCCAGAACCTCCAAGTCTTCCGGCACGGGCTCCCAGTAAGCCTCGAAGATCAGCTTCCCGCAGGACGGAATTGCTGCAAGGAATTGGCGTATCACATCATGCGGCTCCTCCTTCCTGAATTCGTCAACAATCATCGACAGGAAGTTCAGTTTCACGTTAGTGAATATGACCCATTCGATGGCGTCCGGGAGCACGGTCGAAGGCAGTGAAAGCAGCCTAGAAGGAGCGTCGTGCGCCGAGGAATCGATGAGGAAACCCAGATCCACTGCGATGCCGACGAGGTCCTTGAGACTCTTTAGACTCCCGAATGGGTAGACTGCGTCGGAAGAGCTCGTGAGGAGGAATTCGTCAGGCTTGTCCCAGTAAACGTCGAGTTCAAAATCCTGTAGGTTCGGAACGGCCTCGGTCAGGCGCTTGGCGAAATCCCTACAGCAAACCGTATCACCGTACCACCGTGGCTCCGGCATAACTTTATTGATCAAGAGAGTACGGAGGTTCCGGAAATAGCCGTTTGTCAGATAGCTCAGAAGATCCTCTGGGAATATCTGATGCCCTCGTTAGCTGGTATCAGGCTCGCGGCTAATTCGTTCACTTACTGAGACTTTGTATAAGTTAAGTACGCGCAAATTCGGGATGAGGTGTTGAGCGGATGATGCGCGAGTGGCCCGATGTACTGTACCTGGGGAACATAACCTTCCGGTCGCGGAAGAGGGTACTCAAAGTGATCAATAGAGTGTTCCGTAATAGAGAGTACCTCGGCGCTGGCCGGCAAAGGGACCCAGTAACGCATGACGCCAGCATCCCTGAGCATTTGAATTCCCCTCAAGTGGATGTCCTTAAGTTTCGCCAAAGGATGTCCAGAGGTAGAGTCGGTCGCATCGGGAGGTCGATAATAGCTAAGTACGGTGTAGAGAATCGGGCTGTCGTGGGATAGTTGATAGTCGAGGTATTCGGCATTCTCCGCGAACGTTATAATAAGGGCCAGACAGGCGCTCAGTGAGGGCTGGCCTTCCGAGACCACTCCCTCCAGCCAGGACAGCTTCGAACGCTGTGGCAGTTTCGGCCATGAGGTCTCTACCTTCTGTTGAATGATTGGCAAGACACCCCAGCACTCCTCGTACAGGGCCTGCTTGCGCTTCTCCTGCAGCCGTCTCCGCTGCTCGCTCTGCCCAAACGATAACAGTTCAGGCATGTCTTGCGACGTGCCCTCGGTCAACTCGGGTGATATCATAATGCGCTTGATGTACTTTGCAAGTTCGGGCCGCTTGAGCAGCGTGAAGAGTAGCATCTTCACCTTCAAGGCATCCTTGACAGTGAAGCGCACATCCCCGTAAAGACGAGGCTCCGCTAGATCACGGTAGTACTTCGACGTCAGGCAGACAGCGTGAAGGGCTCCGTGGTCGAGGAAGTCGATGATTGTGGCGTCGGCTTCTGTTGGTAGTTTGGCTAACGACATGTCGGACACAGGAGGCTGAGTTGGCAGTCGTTCGTGTTTGACCAAGGGTAGGTGCTGCGAGTGTTTATTGTTGTTCAGTCCTTTCGGGCGATGGGGTCCGATCGCAGTCGTCCTAAGCTGCGAACTTCCAAGGTTAGCAACGTCAAATGCGGCCGTGCAGGCAGGCGAGCTTGCCTTGGCGTCGAGTTGAGTTGGCGCTTGAGAGAGAATTAGTGCAAGATGTCGAGGCGCTTGTCGATGATTAAATACGACTTCCACCCAAGTAGGATCTTCCCTCGCCCTGGCCATAGCGGTACAGAGCTTTCACCTGCCTCGTCAAAGACAGCGAATTTATTCGACGATCCTGTCCAAAGGCCGCTGGCCAATATCGAAAGCAATCGTATATGTCCATAGGTTTCATTCACCGGCTTCCTGAGCCAGCCACTGGCGTGCCCTTTCCACTGTTGGCTTGGAAGGCGCAGAGATCAATTATGACCACCGACCGCATCTTTTGTGACACAATCCTGAAACCGCCTCATTTACTCCAACATCTCAGCAATGGCCAGCACTCCCGTCGCTCGAGCGTAGTCGTTACATGGCTAGCAAGCAAGCTTTCCTGACCGCCATATTTGTTATCTCCCTCGCCTCACTCGCCCATTCACGCGGACGCACCTGCCACGATATTCACGTCAAACAAACAACTGGATTTTTCTACAGGGTTCAGCAGTTAATCTCCCACATCTTATTAATCGTCGACTCCTTTACTGGTCGACCTACATTCCACCTCCCCAACGTACAACACGAATTCGAGTCGCCGTCGACATGGCTGAGTTCGACATCCTCGCGCAACCATACGACCTCGAAGCCTCGCATAAAGCCGACCGCGGCAACGACTGTATCACAGTCAACATCGGCCTTCACTTCGACTTTTGCGGATTTGCCGAAGAACATGGGGCGCAGTCAGCGACGAAGCTGTACATCCTTGGTGATTGGCATTCACCGTCCAATGGCTTGCAGTCGAAGAAGGGCGTCGAGAAGATTTGCAATCTCATTGAGATGATGCCTAACTTGGAAGAGTTAACGTAAGTCAGTTCCAACCCGCCGTCGACTCGAAGTACTCACTTGGCAGGTGGGTTTCAGGGCTGCCGTTCATGGACCTTGTTTGGACAGTCCTACCGAAGACTCTGAAGAAACTAGTTGTATCTCTGAGCAGAGCGGTCGAAGTTCACCCGGACGACGCCTTCCACGTTCCGAAATTCATCTCACAGGAGTCGATGAAGCCTCTAGTCCATTTCACTCAGCTTCGGGAGCTCCGTCTCTTTGGGATGCAAGACTCCTTTCAGTGCATCATCTGGGAAACAGTCTTTCGGAATGAAGCCGAGGGTGGCGGAATGCGTGTCCTTGATCTTAGAATGGAGCACGCGCCCCTGGTAGACCGCATGGCACACTGGGTCAAAGGCCAGGACGTAGCTGAACTGACTGTCTCTGACGATGATCCCCCAGAGTACAAGTAAGTTACTACTCCCTCACACCATTCGCTCACTATTCCCGGAGCTCGACGGGTTTGTAGGGTCATTGCGCTAATGTCGCAACAGGGGCTCTGACGGGAAAGGCATTCTGCACCATCGATACGGGTGCGGCGAGTACCTCGACCATTTCTGCATGAAGAAAGGGCGCATTGCGTCCGGAGTGGACGAGACGAAGCCCCTTCCCCTATGGTAAGCGTCTTCCTTCCACACTGCAAGCATGCTGTGAGACAAACTCTGCTTCCTGTGCCTCGCGGAACTCTGTTTGACCGATGGCGAACTACTCTTTCAAGCTTTCGTGGGACTTGTGCTAATCAGTTTGTCACAAGGTGCCTCAAGCTCGACGGCTTCGTAATTGACCGGCTTCCATTCGAGCACGAGCTCACCCGTATCGTATTGCTGACCTGTGGCGAGAGCTGTGTCGATGCGGGTCTCCGCGCTCCCAAGACCCCCCGCGCACCATTAAACAAATGGGGTTCCAGTGTGAACAAAGACAACACTCATTCCTACATCGTATGGCCGAGTTGGTCGGGAATCTTCGACAACCAAGGACAACTGCTCGACGCGGAAGGGAGTGTCGACCGAGATGAGGAGCGTGACGTTGATCCGGCCATTAAAGAGGGAGCCTCAAGTGACTCGGTGCCGCTGACCAAGGAGTTTTTCGACCTTGAAGATTTGGAGGCGGCTCTGAGAGAACACAAGCGGATGGAGCCACTCATTGTTCCTGGGTCTCCGTTGTACGACGCATCCCAAGGTACAGACGGCGCCCCAACCTCACTGGATGTAGCATCCAATGCTTCAACTCGCGGCTCAGCGGTGCCAACTTCTCCTGTGATGACGGCGATCAATAGCTCCGCTCTAGTCGATGCCATTGACAATACTCACAACACAAACGGAGAGGTAGATGGGGACGTCGACTGGAATGCCGCGACCGCTGGCTCCACCAAGCCTCGAAGCAACGACGGTACAGCAACGCCGCCGAACATTGCTCGAAAGATGCGCAGGCCTTACTATCCTGCTCCAGGTATAAACTAGCAGATGGAAATAGCGAACAAGGTAGAGAGAACAAGGAAAGAGAGACTCGCGCTAGACGCTGGTCAAGGATGCGATCTGGACATCTGGCATTGGTGATCGCACGCAAGACAGGGCTCAACAGATGAGCCTGATCTTGCTTCTTGGGACTGTTTCCTTCCTTTTGGGCCAATATGGGGATCTTGAGGCTGTGTGTTGAATCCTTCCCACGGAATCTGCATTGGGTACTAAGGAGCGCTGGCTGGTTCTCCCCCGGTCTTGCGGTGACTTCTACATGTTCTATCGCTCCATGAAGCTGCATGTCCTCATGGCGGACAGGGGATAGTGGGACACAGTAACTACTCTATTTCGATTCCCTCTCTTTCTAGGCCAAGCTACATCGGCTGCCACCCGCGGAACAATTACGTGAATGTGTGCAATATCAAAAAACCAATGCAGTTTTAGAGATCGAATTAAACGTAAACCCCAAGTACTGCAGCTCGGCTTCATGCATGAAATAGAAATTTGGGATACATCCTTAAACCATGCCGCAGGTGAGATTCCATCCGAATTTGATATTTCAAGCTGAAGTGCAAAATACTACAGAACCCGATTTTGCCAGGGACTTAGGAAGACTAAAAGTACAACAGAAGGTGGTCACAACGGTGCTGGTAAATTAACGTGGTGTGCAGGTACAACCAGCCCTACAGACCAGTGGTACCAAGCGGATTCTAGAAATCCCATGATCGCGTCTCGCCCCTTATGCCTCGCGCTTTCGGCTTGACTCTTTCCCTCAACACTCTCGCGGAACCCGAAGAATCCAGAAAGTCTCCATCACCCGCCTTGATTGCTGTGATAGCGTCGTCTCTTGACTCCTTTTCGGAATGAATCCAGACATCCGAGTACTGGACTTGATTCAGACGGCCGCCCGTAGGAATCGTCAACTCTTTCTGGTCCCTGAATTTGAGTGTCATCAATCATGTTGGTTAGAACCGCGTCCTCGGGAGAATTCAGGAGTATGAAGGTAGAGTTGCGCAATGTCAACCCAGATAAGTATGCTTCGTGTCTGGAAATGTGCGTCCGCGTACCTTTCCTGTCCAAGAAATATCATATTTGCCCTCAATAACATATGCCCACACGTGGACAGCCGCGCCGGCATCTACATTCCCTTCTAGGCTTTCGAATATTTGTCTCTGTCAATTCTGTGTTAGCGACCACCAGTCTCAAGTCAAATTGCAAGTCATAGGGCGTACCTGGTGCTTTTCCTCTTCAGTAGTGGTCTCCTCCTTTAATTCCCAAAAGAATTCCCCAGTGGTCCTGCTGTCGAATTTGGCGATGATGATGCTGATCTTGCCTTCGATTTCTATTTTGACGCCCAGGTGCCAAGTATTCGATTTCGTGTGCGACCAGGTCTTGCTTTCTTCCAGTGTCTCTCGAACTTCAAGGTGCCATTTGTTTTGACATTCTCCATCATTGATGAAATGCGCGTTTCGAAGCGTCTGCCTGATAAGGCCTCGATCCCTATCGATGTGTGTCAATAAATCAACTCGGCATCGAAAGAAAAGGCGTGTTAGCCTGCTCGACAGTGCAACTTACTCTGGAGGTTTTCTATTTAGTTCGTCAGGCGATGACAACGGCGGTCGGATCTCGAGATTCCAGATCGCGGCCTCCTGCACAGCCACCCATACTTGCCACAGATAATTTACATATGACGTCGGTCCGCCCCTGCCGTCAAACACGCGTTCCACATTTTCGTAAAACAAATGCTCACTCAGCACGCAACGCTTGCGCGTAGGTACCCCACGATAATACCACGAAATTATGACAGCTGCAAGACACCCCTCTGCATTGCGATTACGATGAGCAGCTACCTACAAACGTTTAGCTACTTCTTTCGCCTTCCGTGGCACGTTCAATGGCGAACTTTCCTCGTCCAACTCCCGCGATACGTACCGTTGTCTATCCTCCATATCACGTCGCCGAAGGGCCCGCATCCCTTTGTGATTGCGCTGCCGAGTCGAAAGAATGCGGCCATCCCAATATACGTCTTTCTACCGCCCGGGCCGGTTGACCTCAGGGACAATAGAGGCGAGACATTGGTGGATAGGGGGGAATGGAAGGTCCCAGTTGTGCTGGACTTCCACGGCGGAGGCTTTATTATGGGTTCGCCATTGGAGCAGGCGCCGTATGCCTCTATGATGGCTAGAGAGCTGGGTGCGGTGGTCATAAGCGTGTCCTACCGCATTGGACCTTTCCACCAGTTTCCGGCAGCGATTCACGACGCCGAGGACGTCCTATCAGCAATATTGGACACAGATAGGGTATCGAAAGCGGGTAAGGTACTGAGGACGGAGATACAGCGATACTACTCCATGATGAGGAGCGACGCTTTGAAAAAGAACAAGTCGCAGCCGAACGGCTCACAGCTGAACGACATCACAACGTTCACGCTCGATCCGACACGTCTGGTCATCTCTGGCTTCTCTGCGGGTGGAAACATTGCGCTGAACATGGCCATTTCGGTGCCTCCTTGCGCTCAAATGCTACCTCAATCGCCGAGGGCATCAATGGCTATGTCTAGGTCTCCTGCAGACACCCTGTCCCCGCTGCTGCCTCCTTCTCGTGCTCCCACGAAACTGGATGATCCTTGCCAGCCCTGGCCATCAATACTCCCGCCACCACAGGCCCAACCGAGAATGCTACCTCTTCTACTCTTCTACCCGTCTCTCGACGCACGGTTACTACCACACGAGCGCCCCATGAAGCACCTCCCAAACGCCTTAAAACCCCACGACAAGAAGCCTCAACAGCAAAAGACGCCAGGCCTCTTCAGCATCATGGGCCCCACTTACCTCCCAAAAAAGCTCCGAGGCCATCCGCGCGCAAGCCCCGGGCTCGTAGACCCAGATAATTTCCAAAAGAACGCTGCCATCTTTCTTGTCCTCCCTGAGAGAGACAGTTTAGCCGTGCAAAGTGACGTCTGGGTCGACCAAATGAATTCCGCGGGTTGGAACGGCCCAGTCCGCTTCGGCGACGGACGACCCGGCGACTACGACGGACGTGACGGCGGACCCGAACTCACAGAAGGGCACCAGAATGGAGGACTGGAAGTATGGCACGCCCCCGGTTGTCGGCACGGCTGGACGCAATTCCCAGAGACGATACTTGGCACGCACGAGAAGAAGGAGCGGCAGTTAGTGTTTGCGAGGACGCTGGATTTCGTGAAGGAGAACTGGAGGAAGCGCTTGCCACCTGAGCCGCTTGGGAATAGGAGTCAGGAGCTGAGGCCGCTGGAGATCCCGGCGGAGTTTGAAGGATTGAATTGATGAGGGATGATTTATGGGGCATTGCGTCATTAAAGTCGTAAAGGAGGCATACTTAGCATCGGAGTTTGGATTAGGCGGCGTTGTCTTACTTCTTGTAACATACTGATTGGAGAACAAGCAGTTTCAAACTCGTCTTTGGTGCTGGGAGCCTTGCGTCCGAGGTACAGATTGAATTAGACGTTCTTGTGGGAGACACAATCGCCGCTCTAGCCACCTAACCTGACTCAGGCGAGAGCATCCTCCAGGAAGATGCAATCCCGCACAGTTTCATGAGTCACTCTGAGGAGAGACTAGGTCTAGGAATCGGAGGACGAGGGACTCCGTTTATTAGGCGCCTTACTATATACTCGAGCAAAGGCGCCAGCTTTACTGTTTCGGACAATGTGGGCACCATGAGCGGTATCGCGGACTCCACGCCAAGCATATCGATCTACGACTCCGCCGCAACAACACGTCTACAGATCTTCATCCCTCTACGCAAGCCGCACACGCGGCTCTACACCCACTCCACCATCGTGTACGTGCCGGATTCGCCAGCCAAGCATCCTCTTCCCCACATACTCGCACTCTGCAACTCATCTATGCTCTTCAAATCGGTCTTCCGGATCACAATATCTCTTCGCTTGGCTGTAAACAGAGTCCCATCTCTTTCTCTCGGCGTGGGGACACGGCGACGCGGATGATCTGCGCAAGCGGAGCGACGTGCGCGAAGTCCCCGACGCCGAGAGGCTTGGGCGACACTTGGCTGCGGCGCCGGCGGCGGACAAGTCTGCTTGGAAGGTGACGGGCGTGTCTTGGAAGTGTTTGTGCGAGGGTGCGAAGAAACTGTTCTGCAGGATTATTTGCTGCGTGTTATGCTTGGCTGTGTTACGTGGAGGGAACCTCAAGGGATGGCATGTGAAGGGCGGAGGATGGGGAGGAGCTGGAGGAAGCGATTAGGAGGGTAGGGAGTGATGTGGAAGAGAGATCTGGCGGTATGTGAATGTGAGGTGTACTTTCTGGAGTGGCGTGGTGAGTGTGGAGCTGTGGAGCTGCGGAGACTTTCGAGGCTGTTGGGCGCCTTGTTCAGCCCTATGGGTCTTCTGATCGGACTCCGAAGACAATATAGTGAAATGGATAGAAGTCCACTCGGAAGTACTCGTCGTGCATCGTAGAGGACGAAATGGTGCAATATGGGTGGTGAGATTTCGGGACGCATGTGCTTCCCAAAGCAGCCACCCTCGTGAGCGAGGAAACACTGCCCCTGTCTTCGTAATACTCCTCGCAACGCAAGTGATGCAATCGTGAACTGCCATGCTGGGTAAAACGGCAGGAAACCTGGATATGTCGGAAGACTTCGGGCATCTCGTAGCCGTCTTCCGCTCGCACGAAGCTATCTTGGAGCTCCCAGAGCGTAAGACACTCAGCTAACGACGTCACTACTCGCAGGGGTAGTAGCCTCCAGAGAGTGACCAACACCTGTCGGTGTGGTACCACGGTAGCTCGAAGGTAGTAGCCTCGAAGCAGCTAGCCTAGCGTCCTTAATTTGACTTGCCCACACCATGCCCTGCAATGCATTCGGTGATGAGACGAGGGAGGACCGCGCGGTTGGGCTGAGCACGCGATGTTCTTCTAGACGCCTTACTCGCCCTCGCTCATGCCACCACGGCATGTACGTAAATATCCACCGAGGATTGCGCGATGCCAGAAGCAAAGGTCGAAACAAGCCTTTGGAGAGGGTTCCAGGGTTGTCACGAGAGCGGAACGTCCCCGCACGCGGGGATCCAGCAGAGAGGATTTGCCGGCAGCGGCGCTTGACGAGAATTGATCAGGCAAGGATGCTCACAGCGCAGCAGCAAAATCCTGGAGACTGTGGACGCCATGCCGGGCGCACGCGTGGCTGCGGATTGGGTCGGTATCAGTGGCAGCAGTGGGGATTGGATGGATTGCGGAGGGAGGCAGTTGAAACGAGGATGCCGTCGCTCTTGCCATGGTGCTCTAGAGCGGCGCCTCGTGTGCCGTCCGATGACAGAGTCCGATACAGGAGAAAGCGCGGCGCTTGTGAAGACGGCGGTTGCAGTAAGAAAAGCGGTGAGGAGTGAAGAGGGGGAGAGGCGACGCGGCATTGCGATGGGGGGAGCTGAACAGCCTCAGACCGATCTGATAGACAGCACTGTGCACATGCCTGAGGCCAGCAGCGAACTGGCAACGTCGGACTGGGCTACGAGAGGAACAAGCTAGACACGTCGGCTCACGGCTGCAGCAACGTGCCGCGTCTTGGTCCTTTGCGACGGCGTGCAGCGGCTGGAGGGAGTCATTGGAGAGCCGGGCGATGAAGCAGGTTTCTGGGCGTTTTCGCGCCTGTACGAAACTGCCCTCTTTCGGTATGGCGGTGCTGGAGGCGCGCTGACAAAGCGGGAGGCAATGGCGCGCCGGGCGCAACAAAGAGAGCACAGCACGGTGACAAGAGGGCTCGCAGTGACAAAGGGAGACGGTCAGCAAAGAACGAAGTGCGGTCAGCTGGCCGGCAGCGAGCAAACTCTGCTGCCGTAGTTCATAATCTCGTCCCACGGCGCCGTCTCGCAGCTCGCAGTCTCCCGAGGTCGCTAACACGTCTCGTTACATTGGCTCGGCATTCCGCTTGGGGCCGTGGAATTGCGGCCTGCTCGTTGTTTGTGGTTCGCCATCCACCCTGCGCCCGCCGAAGCGCTCCCCAACAGCCCTCTTCTACCCGCATGCTTCCCACTCTCATCCTCCACTCCCGCTCCCTCGTCGCAACAGTCGTGCCACCCTCGCAGCAGCGTTCTCAGGAACAGCAGCGTGAGCGCGGCCTCATATTCCTGATTTCCGGCCACCCGCCCGCCAATCCACACGCTCCAGCAGTCCACCCCACAGCCGGATTTCGTTTCACAGCCATCGTGCCGCCGTCGCCACAGCCCGCTGCGGATCCTCACATCATACCCGCCAGGTATTCCCTTCCAACGTCGAACAGGGCCAAGCCGTGACAGCTCTGACATTTTCCAGTCCTTCTCAAACCCCGTTTTAGAAACGACCCTTCCACCTTCAACATGCTGTGTTCGATATCATAACACAACCCGTCCTTCGGGGCCCCCACCCTCCCTCACAAACAACCCATCCATACTACAGTAATACCTCGAACCACACCAACTCTTCCAATTATTCCGACCTCTATCCTCTGCTTCGTTTGGGTGGTACAATTGAGTTCTCCCATTCGACAGTAGCTCGCATCAAGACCTCGAGCGCGATCGCTTTCCGAAAGCTCTCGAACACGAACACCGAATTCTAGAGCCAAATCAACTATTTCAAATCCCATCTGCCGACGCTTCTCATTTTCCACGGCTCCGAAGCCCGCGTTCCGCGCGAGATTTTTCCTAGATCTGCGCTTCGAAGCACACCACTACCCGTTGCCACCCACGCCCGAACATGGCACAGAACGAACACAAACATGTTGGCACCCACGGCGCACAGGAGAACCGAGCGATTTTTAACCTACCCACAAACATGGGACCCGCCACGTCCTCAGAGGAGGATGTGTTGGCTGACGTCGACGAGCCTCCGGACTTAGAGCGCACCCCACGCCCCTCTGGTCTCAAGCTACACGAGTCTTTCAAGACGTCGTTCTCCAAAGCAAACCCATGCAGCGGCCGCAAAGAGTCGCTGCTCACGAGCGCCCTGCATTCGAGTAACACGTCGCCCGTGGAGGAGCATCCCGATCACACCTCACTGAGCCGAGGCATGTCGTGCGCCTCGACGTGGAGCAACAACAGCACGTCCACGGCGGAGCTCACAAGTGACGGTGACTTTACGAGCCCTGGCACGCGCACAAGCACGCCGAGCCCACCTCTACCACCATCGTCCTTCCACGCTATTATGCCCATTTTCAACAAGAAACCGTTCGAGCAGCCTGTCTCCATCGTCCGCCATGATGACGAGAACATTGGTCCTCTCCAGAAGCCACCTCCTGCACCTTCCTCGGGAGAGCAGAGCGTGGAAGTGAGCTTGGGTCGAAAACGATGCATTACATTCGCATGCGGCCCTAAGAAGGAACAGAAGCCCGCATCCGAGGCCGCGAAACCCGCATCTCCCTCAGAGCAAACGACAGAGCCGCCAAAGCGCGCCTGCACGATCAAGTTTGCTTGTCCTACGAAGATTTCCACCGATGCCCCGTCCAGAGGCACCAAACCTCGTCCCACTCGAGCCGGAAGCCCCGCTCCACAGCTATATCGATCGCGCGCATCTCCCAAGGCATCGTACAAAGCACACCGCGACTCTGATTCAACGGTCCGCAATCCCTCTCCAGTCAGCGTGCGCAAGGCACCTGCCGTTGACAGATCTCGTCGCCTCAGCCAAAACTCGGATCTTGCCCGATCGGAAGCATACCGCTTCCACGAATTTGCAAGCTCCGAAGAAGAGGTTGAGGAATGGACTCAGGAATCAACCTGTCATCGACGGCCGCTCACAGTCAAGGATACGCTCTGTATCGAGAACAACCTTCGCAAGTTGGGCGAAGAGGCCGAGGAAGAAGCCCTCGACGACGAGGAAGAGGAGGATCTTGAGGAGGGCGACGACGATGATGTAGAGCTTGACGAGGACGATGACGAGGACGATGACGATCTGAACGAGGAAGAGGACAGCGATGCACAGGACGATGTCTCCTCCGACGAGGGCTTTCAAACCGATGATGAAGAAGGCTTCGCCGTTTCCGACGATGACAGCGACGCGGGCTCAGATTACAACTGGTGGGCTCCTGGGCGTTCGACTGCTGCGACGTCAATTGAGCACCTGGAGCACATTCGGCCGGCCAGCCGCCGCAGTATTTCCGAATCATCCGTAGGATCGGTCGGGAGCGGTATTCGTTACCAGCCAGAGAAGGCAACCAAGCGCAGGAAGTCGCGTCCAGTCAACATCCGCGTCCCCAGCCCGGAACTCCCTGACAGCACCGACTTTGTCTGTGGAACACTTGACGAAGATCGACCTCTTGAGGATGCATACCTGTCGGCCCTGGAACGCCGACGCGCAGCCAAGCATAAGACCACGCCTCAAGACATTGACCCCACCTTTCCAACATCGGACCCTGAGCTAGACGAGGAGGATGAAGACGAGGAGCCCGACAATCTTGCCTCGGAAAGCGACTCATACTTCATGATGCATGGTCAGATGGACCCCGACGGCGACCTTCGCGGACGTCGCAAGAGTGCCACAAAGACGCACTCTCCACAGCTGTCTCCGAAACGTCTTCGCTCGCCTCCTCCTACCAAACGCACTGTGCATCGGTCGCCTCCTCCCCGCAAATTGTTTGGACAGTCGCCAAAACGTCTGTGCTCTCCTGCACCAGTGCGCCTTCGGTCGCCCCCGCCGACCCGTCGGGGTTCGTCAGATTTGCTGTCCCCTAGACGTCCAGGACTCCGAATCCACTTCGCCGGTCTTGCAGAACGTCCTATCCTAACGACATCCTCCTCATTACCTCGTACCCCGATATCGACGCATCCGCCTGCGTATGACGACGAGGATACGCCTAATGAGCTACCTGTCCGCCGTGCCATTGACATCAAGGTCGGCCTTGAGAAGAAGCGGCAGCGGCGCAAGGAGCATCTGTACAAGAAGATGCATCGCAAAGGCACCAAAGACAAGCGCCCACCGCCTGGAAAAGGCTGCGAGAAGATGCGAGAGATGGGTCTCGGTCTCGCAGCACACAAAGGCAAGGCCGCCGGCTTCGGCTTTGGCTTCCAATTGCCGGCCACGCCAGATCAAAAAGACATGCATGTGCTATCCGTCTAGGATAGCAATTCCGTGATGAACAACGCCGCTGACGCCCAGTCGGCACTTCACAAGATGCCTCAGGCTTGAGGACTTGTTGGTCGCTGGTCTCACGTTGTTGGGCATTTGCCCGCTCTTTCGCTTCATTCTTCCTTTTCTCTTCCAGGCTTTTGTGTACATAGCCACCCTTTTTTTCAATGTTACATACTCTTTTAGTCTGTTTATAGCATTGCGCTTATGATTTCTTTTTGTTTACCGTTGCGGATACCAACTTGCATTGCATAGGAGGCCTCCCTTCGCTTTTGGAAAGGTTGAGCGCCTGGAGGAGTTCTGAATATGACTTTGGATATGGTGGATACACTGATGACTGATGAGATTTCTCATATCTCTCTGATTTTGCATGCGTTCTCACCAGGTCGGGCATGGTCCAAATAGTTTCCGAGTGACTTCAATGCCAACCGTGTCCATAGGTTCCCAGATCACACCGAAGCGCCCCGTTGCAATTGCTCTCTTATCCGTGACACTAGTGCGGAAGGGTGTGAGCAACATGTAGTGGCTCCAAGCGTCAGGCTTGGATGTGGGCCTGGGTGCTTTATGTTTCTTCCTCCCATCTCTTCTCACATCCAAATATGCCATCAGTACAGCTTACCCCACCCGTGCTGGGCATGCTTCACCCCAATCTGGCACTCTGCGCAGACTGGGCACCCATATAGAGAAGCTGTCACAAGGGAGCGGAATAGAGTCCGAGTGAGAGAGCGAGACCGAAACTGAGCAGGACACATCCATGGCCCGACCAAGCAGGGGATACTTCTCTGAACGTCGTGCTTGCTTTGATTCGTTTTATTTTCCAAACATCCCCGTTAATCAGCCACGTGGTGGTTCATAAACAGATTAGAGGGCGCGCATCTAGTGCAGGCCAGAGTGCGAGACCGAGACCGAGGTTCCTCAGTTATATAGTTGATGCCCTTGTTCATCATGATTATTCCGCCGGAGGAAATATGCGGGTCGGACCGACGACGAAACGTAGATCTTGTCCCCCAATAGCTGTGATCATGACTTTTCAAGTTTATTCGATTGGTCGGATGCGCAAATACGAGTACGCGTATCCCCGTACCGTTTACTTTCTCGCTCCCTTGCCCTGTACGTGGGCAAACCGTTGTTCGCGGCTCCGGCATTGCCCCTCTCCTTGCGTACTGTGCCGGATGTCAGCGGGAATTACGGCTCTTTTCATTGGCGGCTTGCGGAGGGCGAATGCTTCTTGTAGACGGATCGACATGGGAAGCTGCTCTTAAGGTCACCTTGGGCGTATAGCGAGCTGGGATGAGGGGCCTCGGAGGCAACTCTTTAAAGCTGGTGTTGCGAAGCTAACATCGTCCGCCATTATATCAAAGCGTTTGGATTAGATTGAGGGAGGGCTGGGGGGAGAGAGGGGAGAGATGTCATTTAAGGGAACTATAAGTATCTGCTTTTCTTCTCTGGATGTCCTTTCATTCGATAGCACGATTTGATCAAGAGCAGCTCTCCCAACGCAGTCTCGCCATCATGAAGCTCACCACCGCCACCCTCCTCAGCATTCAGCTCCCCTTCCTGGTATCCGCCCACTACAACCCTCATCTAGCCCGCGACAACATCCCCGAATGGATTCCCGGCGGACCAAACGATTTCCGCGGTCCCTGCCCCATGATGAACACGCTGGCTAATCACGGCTACCTCCCCCGCGACGGCGGCAACATTACGAAGCCTAATGCCGTCCAGGCGCTGTCGTCGGCGCTCAACTTCAACACCTCGCTCGCGGAGCTGATGTTCGAGATGGCGATTATAGCAAATCCGGAGCCGAACGCTACCTTCTTTACGCTGTACGTACCTCTGAGCTCCTCCAGGCTGGCTGCCTACATCTCCCTTTCTAGAGACGGATCGTTAGCTGACACTGACTGTGTGTGCAAAGGGACCAGCTCAACCGGCACAACGTCCTCGAGCACGACGCAAGTATGAGCCGTACCGATGCCTTCTTTGGAAATAACCACATCTTCAACCAATCTGTCTTCGATGCCACGCGGGTGTACTGGACCGGCTCGACGCTCACCGCGGACATGCTGGCCAACGGGAAGATCGCGCGGCAGATCGAGTCGAAGGCGTTCAATCCGAACTACACGTTCACAGCCACGACGGAGCAGTTCAGTCTGGGCGAGGTGGCGGCGCCGATTATAGTGTTTGGGGATATGCAGAGCGGGACGGTGGAGCGGGAGTTGGTGGAGTACTTCTTTGGTATGTGTTATACGAGTCTGCCTCTTGGTTGAAGGGGGAGAGAGGACACGGATGAATGGAAGCTAACTTTGGAGCAGAGAACGAAAGGCTGCCGACTGAGCTGGGATGGACGAAGAAGGCGCAGGCGGTGACCGTGGAGCAGGTTGGCGGGGTTTCGCAGATGATCGCTCAGGCTGCGAGTCTGTTGACTGATGGCGCGGCGGCGACGAAGAAAAGATGGGTGGATTTGCACGCTGGGGCGGGGTTTTGAAGAGCCTGGAGGGCGGGTGACGGCGGAGGTGTACTGTAGGAATAGGCTGAGGGTTGAAAGGAGCGTCTGAATCCGACTCTTCCACTGTGCATGCTCGAGCGAGTGCCTTTTTGGGCAGTGATGGTAGATGACCTCGAACCGCGATTCTTCTCGGATACAACGGAGAGAAAGGGGCGTAGGTGCGGGAGAACAGTTCTGGGTTGCAGCGTCCAGCGAATCTTCAGCGACTGCAGCTACAATGCTCGGGATACGTTCTCGTCATGGGGGCCAGGATCGAAATAGACTCGGAACTATGGAGTAGCTCGTCGGAGAATAAGATCTATGCAGTTTAAGAAACAGCGGAGAAGCTTAGAGACGAGCTAACACCGGCGCAGGCACGGCCTTGCCGTCTGACCTCACGGAACGTATCCTGAGCACGGCTCCGCCTTCGGAGCATTTTTGAAACGTGCGCCCGATGGCCACTGGGAGTGGCATTATCGCGAGTACCTTCGAAGGTAACAGGGCCGGGAAAACGGGGTGGTCGAGATGTGCGTTTCGCCGCGTGGCGCGAAAACGTGGTCGCGCGCTGCTGCATTTTGACACGTCCGATACCCGCTCCAGCGTGGAACAAAGATCCGTCTTCTTTCTATCAAACTCAGTGCAAATCCACATTTCAACAGTCTCAGGTCGAGAGACGGGCAAGACGCGCGGCAGGGGCCCACCGGCTTGGCTCCACCGCCCCACGCTGCGAGGAACTCCTTTTTCCCCAGCTGCGGCGCGGCCAATTGCCAACCGTGGCTGTGCGGGCGTGTGAGCCTCAATGCCACCCATCGCGTCTCCCCCGAATTAATATCGCCCATGGGCCCCCGAGGCTGTCTGTTCACGCCGCGCCCGCCTTCGCATCCACCATCTTTCGAGCGACGCTGCGACGCCTTCGCCGCAGCGCATCTGGGACGCCCTTTCGTCCAATGTCGTCGTTACCGTCCCGTTCCGCTGCAGCACATCGTTAACCCAGAGACACCCGGCGCTCTTTCGCCAGAGTGCCGAGTGCTCTCCTTGTTTGCACTCTGTTGGGTCTTTTTCTCGTAACTGTTGTAATATTAGGAGCCAATATGCTGCTGCGACGGCGTTGCGGCGTAACTGACGTTCTTTCCTGGTTCTTCGTCTCGGCCGTCGCCCTCGTCTTCTTCCTCATCTGCTCCATCCTCTACGGCACCCGCACCGAGAGCCCCTCGCTTCCGCCCCTCGTCAAGGAGGTGCTCCCCGCCGGCCGCTGCCTCTGCGAATACAGCACCACCTTTTTTTGCGACACGTGTCTCGATTGCGCCTCGAACCAGGCGCTTTCGAGCAATGCGACATGGGACGAGGACGAGGCCTGGGTGTTCAATTACAAGCGCGACGGGAACAATTACGGCCTAGACGAGAATCAATGCATCGCTGCGTTTCCGGGCTTATATGAAGACCTCGAGAGGGCGAAGAGGTACAGGAGAGGGAAGGGAAAAGTTACTCAGCCCGAGCTGTCGAGTTTCGCCTTGACAAAAGGCATGGTACGGGCTATGATTTATGACAGCGAGGTTAGTCCATCTCATCACACATCACACATCTCACACATTGCACTCTGTGTAGCTGTGATCGGGAAGCTGCAGCAGCGCTGACACATTTGCGCAACCACAGCTATACATCCTCGAAACCTTCCTCGTAGACAACGTCAACCGCCAAAAAGCCGTCGCCACCCTCTCCGCCCTGCACCGCGCCATCTCCTCCGCAAGGGACCGTTCCTCGATACCAAACATCGAGTTCGTGCTCAGTGTCGAGGACCTCCCCGCACAACCTAAAAAGCCGCTGTGGATGCTCGCGCGCCGCACGCAGGACGAGGAGTTGTGGCTCATGCCTGATTTTGGCTTTTGGAGCTGGGAGATGCCGCAGATTGGTGCGTTGGATGAGGTAGCCGAGGAGGCCAAACAGCGCGAGAGTATTGAGCCGTGGGATCAGAAGCAGGAGAAGCTGGTGTGGAGGGGCAAGATCACAATGGCGCCGAAACTGAGAAGAGCGCTGCTTGACGCGGCGAAGGGAAAACCATGGAGCGACGTGGGGCAGGTGCGGTGGACGGATCCAAATTTCAAGGAACAGTTTCTGGGGCCTGTTGACCAGTGCAATTACATGTTCATTGCGCACGCCGAAGGTATGCCCAAACCCAAACCCCGTCTTTGTAGCATCAAGAGCTCACAAACATGAACAGGACGCTCCTACTCCGGCGCCCTCAAATACCGCCAACTCTGCCGCAGCGTCATCGTCTCGCACAAATTGCAATGGATCCAGCACTACCACTACCTCTTCCGCAGCGAAGGCACCCACCAGAACTTCGTTGAGGTCGAGCGCGACTTCTCCGATCTCTCCAACACTATGGACGATCTGCTAGCACACCCCGAGAAAGCGAAGCGTATCGCAGATAACAGCGTGCGAACGTTTCGGGAGCGGTATCTGACACGCGCGGCCGAGGCGTGCTATTGGCGAGCTCTAGTCAAGGCGTGGCACGAGGTTAGTTTTGAGCCATTGCTGTATAACGGGGTCGAGGTGGGCAAGGTGCACAAGAGGACGCAGAAGAGGGGTGTAAGATATGAGACGTTTATGTGAGTGGACCTTTTTCTATCTCCTTGGTCTGAAGGAAATACTGACCCACGCCAGATTGTACGAGACCGACAAGCAGATGGAATTCCCCAAGAGCGCACAGTAAATACCACTGGATTTCTGGTACATATATCTGGACATACTTGAAGCCACTTTTGGATGCAGCGTTTTGGAAGGCATGTTGTTTATATACCCCTTTAGCGTTTTTTTGCATAGCGCCCCACGAAAGGACGAGATCGGGCACGATCGCATGAAGATGATATGTGAATGTAAAATAGCGAGCATTTTGGAAAGTCCGCAAAAGAATAAAAGACATTCTTCCATTGGCCGCTCTCCTGATGCACATTTGGAGAGATACGGCATCACCTGTCGTGATTCGTTCTTGGATGGACACAACGTCACTTGAAGCACCAGAGTACTGAAGTAAGTTTGCCTCAAAGAGCCGTGGGTTTCTCCCTCTCCGGCTTCTTCTCCCCTACGGTACGTAGACGCTGTATTCTTTATATAATTCCTTCTTGTTCGCCACTACAGCAGTCAACCTGTCTTCCCTTGCCGTGGAAGCCGGTCGACAGCTCCGTAACCCCAGGCCATTCTGTGTAACCAGCAAATGGCACTAGTCGAAAGGACATAACGCAGTCGGTAACGAATTACGGCAATACGCTCGCACTGCCTGCATCATCGGACTCAGTCCTCGAGAGGTTGAGGGTGGTCATGGAAGTGTGTCGTTCACCAGACAGCAGACAGCATGACCTGCAGGGATGAGGTTTGAATGACGCGGCGGTGGTGCTGGTTAAGCGGATCTGATCGGTGTCGAGGTCCGTCCGGGTCGACAGCTTAGCTCAGGGATATTCCGACAGTACCGGGGATGCGGGACCGTTCTCCGACACCGACGTGCAAGGCGAGTGAGGGACGTCTAACCCCTTGTATGCCATTAGATCCTTCTCTTTACCCTCCAGCTTGATGCGTCCTCCGCCGAAGTATCTGGGAGCAAGTCAGTGACATCCCACGCATTATCAAACGAGGAGAACCCACCTAATCCAGACATACTCGCCCGCCGCATAGAGAATGATGATCAGGAGCCAAAAGGCAAGCACCTTGCTCAAATACCGGTCACTCTCATGAGCATTTAGGTGCTCACGAAAGCCCTTCATCCACCTCCTCTCGACCTCGTCTCCGAACCCGCACACAATCTTACTGCCGCTCGCTGTCGGCGCTACTTCGTTCATCTGCAGTAGTGCGCTTGTCGGGAGTGGCGCTTCTACTTGGAGAACCCTGGATAGAGTGGCTGAGCTTGCGAACTCGAGATTGAGGTTCTGGGCCGATGCTAGTGAACGGGCGGAGTGCCAGTCGAGATTCTTCGAGAGTGGGAGAGCGCAAGAGACGGGATCTAAGGATAGTGAGAACGTGATGCAATAGCATCGTAGGTCGGCGAGGGTATCGACTGGAGCTGCCATTGTTGAAGCTAGAAGACTGAGAAGCGAGAGGTATAGGGCGCGTCGAGAAGGCATGTTTGGGATGGAGTTCGAAGGAGGGGTATATGGTTGAGGAACGAGGCGGAACGAGGAGGATTTGCTGAGCAGTGAAATAGTCCACTCCGGTCCGTTTCAGTCCAACGATAATAGAGTGAAGCTCGTATTTGTGATTTGGCGATGCAAACCTTCGACGATACTCTGACTGTGCAGAAGGAGGGAATTGATGAACGTGGCCGAAACCAGAGAATGGGTGGGAGAGGAGTACACATACGCGGCAACGGGCCAACAGCACGAAGTAATACAGGGTGAAGGTTGCGAGAGGTGACGAAGATGGTCAGCCAATAAACGGCCGCCGGTGGGCATTAGCGCGATCCTCTAGCAGGGCGCAGCCACACTGCGTAAAGGCCAGTGCGTGTGTCAAAACCCCTCACAATTCCTTTTGTGCTCTGGTCCTGTCCCGTGTTCGTATTCAGCGTCGCGCCCTGGACGGTTTAACGCCTCAGATTGAAGCGACAGTGACGTGTCCGGCACGCGGGTCCGCCCTTGGAGGCTGCTAGAGTCTGCCCGCAAACGGTGGCTGTTTCTCCGCGGTCGAAGGGTCCAAATATATATAGATGTAGCTATTCTCCAAGTGCACGCGGTAGAAACAAGCTTTTACATTCCCAACGCCGGAAATGAAGCACCGGGGTATGCTCTTGACCGTTCTCAGTTTCCACAGTATGGGTTTTTTGGGTAACCTCCAGCCGTACGTCAAAATGCTTAGCTTGCTTGACGAACACATTCAGCAACCGTGCAAAATGGCTTGTGAACGATGGGGGCACAGGTACGACATGACTGCGGTATTTTCTCACCTATGGCATCGCTCCATCCTGGAATGATGCTCTCGGATCCGGCAATTGTGAGCCGTTCCGCGACAGTCTGTCGAAGGCGATTCGATGGTTGATTTGACGAGGTTGCGCTTGACGTGCGTGCGGTCGTGAACACAAGCCTTGAGAGCTGTGGTCTAAAAGGCTTGTTGCGCGATATTGGGTGCACAAAGGCCGTCGAATGAGCCCGCCGGCATTGATGAGCGCCTTCCTGATCCGAGCGGCCGGTCTATTGCATTGGATAGTTGCTGCTGCCGGATGATGCAGGTAGAATTAGTCATCCCTTTATATCTCAGGGCTTCTGAGGCTGAGGGAGTAGACCACGGAACTCCTACAGCTATGCCAAACCATCTTCCACCGCTCACAATTGCTGAGAAAGCGGGAACGCTCTCTCCAGAGGATGGTGCCGAAAGAGATTAGAAGAGGTGCTCGCCGATGCTGCTACGCCGTCGGGAATATATCTGGATGAAGCCTTAGCGCCAACGGCTAGGGCACACGAACCATAGCGCACTATCTAGCATTTTTCCACCTTCAAGAGTCTAGCTGCGGTCGATCCGGTCTTTGCAGGGGCGCGAGTCCGGCCGTGACGTGGCGGAGTCGGAATGACGGGAGGTGTACAAAATAGGGTGATGAGGGGTAATTGATGTCATTCAATATTGCCAGAGAAAGTGCGGCCTTGCTTAAGAACTCCTGCCGCTCCCCAAACCTTCATGCTCGTAACTCTTCGCTAGGGGTTTGACTACAAACGCTTCCAGCGATCGTCCCGTGCAAAACTCCGGCGGTCTCCCTCCCGAGTCCTAAAACACCCTCTTCAAACAGCGGACCCTTATCGCTACCGACAGAGATCATTCGATGGTGAAGCGTCAAGTGCGACGATTTCCCCTTGATCCCTGTGTCAAATCCTGCGCATCCACGTTTCGATCGGCTCGCTAGACAATCAAGCTTTGCTAAGCTTTTGAGAGTGCACGCTAGATCGCCCACCATTCCCCAAGAGGATTGGTCCCCCTTTCTTGATCTCAACCACAGCCGCCCTTGTGTTACGGATCATCTGCACCTTCGGCGCATCTATTGGCCTTGATTCAGACTGCATTGCTTATGCCTAGCCTTTCTTCTTCTCCCAACAAAGTGGCGTCCTCTCAGAGCGGGAGGGGTTAGATATGCCAGCCAATAAGCCAGAGGCAGTCTGATGCTCGCGCTCTCGGCCTACATGTGGAGTTTTGAGGGTGTTTGAAAGTTCGTGAAACTACAAAGTTAAAAGCCGGAAGGTTGGCGGATGAAAGGGGCCGTATTCACCACGCCGTACCCCCAATTTGAAGGCCATCGTCCCTATAAAGAGCTGCACTCTTCAGTCAGCCAGGGTCAGGGCCACAATTGAGAGTATCGATTACATTCCATCTCTCCTTTTCAATTATTATTATTCCTCTCACTATCCTTTGGTTACAATAACAATTTCAATCTCTTCCCAACAATGAAGTTGTATCAAACGCTGGCGTTTGCTGCTATTGTCGGTCTGAGTGCCACAAAACCAGTCCCGTTCGACGAGGACGGTATAGAGCACCCGTCAGCACATTACTTTATACATGACTAACCGTGTAAGCTCTCGTCCTTCGAGCCGACCAAGAACTCGATGCTGTCACTGCGCCCGAGAAGAGGGATCCGCTCGCGCACGCTATCGAAGACCTCACCGAACGCAGTGCCGATGCCGAGCCGGTTGATCTCTCTAATGTCGACACCGTGATCGTTGCACGGACACCAGAGGCCGAGCCTGAGGCTGAACCAGAATGGAAGGATGTCGTTGAGCGATGTGAGTCCACGCCCTCCTCGGCGGATCCGATGATGCTGACCGTATCGAAAGCTCCTCAAGCGAAAGGCAAGAAGGGTAAGGGTAAGGGAAAAGGAGGGAAAGGCAAGGGCAAGGGCAAGGATGGTAAAGGAAAAGGTGGAAAGGGAAAAGGTGCCGGCGGTGCCGGAAAGGGTAAAAAGGGGAAGCGTAGGACGACGTAAGCGGGCGTGCTGCGTTAAGGAGCTAGATTGCTAATGCATTCTGTCCGCAAGCCTTGGACTTCCTGTTTCATGCATAGGTATCTGTAGTATGAAAGGTACTTAATATAGCTACAAATCAGTCCATGAATACTTCTCACGGTTGCTTGATGAGCTCGAAAGCCTCTTCTCTCCCTCACTCACCTTCAGTAATCTCTCTCCATACCAGCAGAGCACGGCTACCATTGATCGCTTTCTCGACTACCTAAGGCCATAAATAATACGCATATATATACCAGATACTCTTTCTACTGCCCATCAACATAACATTTAATGGGCTCGTCACCTAGTGGTAAGGCCCTCGCAGTTAACGACCTGTTGGAGACCGTGTGCCGTCAGCGGTCCTCCCCCACCCCGAGCTACCGTCACCTCGTGGGTAGCAGGTGACCCTGTGAGAGACGCGACTTCGATTCTAGCCGAGCCGAGCCTAGCCCTTTGTTTTTGCTCTTCTGCGTGCAGTATTCTGGATGCAGAGCTAGTACACTATGGGAAAGGAGCATATACCTTTGTCGCTTGCGCTAGCTATATAGTTATAGCTATTCTATTAACCAAGACGCCACTGTAAGTGGAAGCTGCCAGAGAAGCTATAAGAAGTATTTCGTTTAGCGAGGGCATAGGAACGTACTGCTCATGATTGTGGGGCGTCTGTCGTGTTCTAAAGACGACGCTTGAGCAGTCCCGTCACTGATTATGGAGGGTTATACCGAATATGCAACCGGGTGCGACTACCTAGAACCCGATTCTCCTATAATAGAACGCGAATCCGTACGTATGAAGGTTTTGCGGCTAGTAATCGTCACGGTACAACTTCTCCATGAATGAGAGGTGGGGTAGGCAAATCAGCCAGGCCACCCTTCGTATTGCAGGTACTCAAACATGAGCGGTGTTTACTTAGCGGAAGTAGTTCGGGCTTTCCGGCTTCGCGATCATCCAAGCCTCATCCAGCACCTTCACGACTTCCTCCGGCAGTGGACCCTTCTCTAAATCTCTCAGATTACCTTCCAGCTGTCCGAAGTTTGACACACCGATGATGACACCGTCATTGCCACCTTTAACCCTCGTCTCCAACGCGGAGTGATGAACGCACCATCGTAGAGCAATCTCCAGCAGTGTCAAGTTGTGCTTCTGCGCGACATCCTCAATAATGCGCAAGGCTTCGAATGTGGCATCTTTGAAGTATCGGTCGCGGTACATCGTACCCGTCCGCTCACTTGTGTTGGAGAAGCGTCCGCCCTCGGGGACTAGGTCTTTGGACTTGATCTTGCCGGAGAACAATCCGCCGGCCAGTGGGTTGTAGATCACGACATCGATCTTGTACTTGCGGCAACACGGGATGAGCTCAGGCTCGATGCCCCTGGCTTTGAAATCTGTTAGCCGCAGACTTCCGAGTTCTTATGATATACTTACTAATCGCATTATACATGGCTTGGTAAATCGTGGGCTTGACCCATCCCCTTTCTTTGCAGATGGTATACACTTCCGCAACTTGCCAAGAGGCAAAATTGCTCAGTCCGAGCTGCACGAACTTGCCCTCTTGGTGGAGCTCGTTGACAGCTTGAAGCGTCTCCTCGAAGGGGACCGAATGGTCTGGCGCGTGAAGGTAGAAGATATCGACACAGTCGGCACCCAGTTCGCTCAACGACTTATATGCATGTTCTTTCAAGCGGTCGGGCTTATGGACGCCTGGTTCGTAAGGGTAGCACTTCGTTGCGAGAGTCAAGCCCCGGTCTTTCCATTTGGCATCTCTTGTCCAGGCTTCCTGTTTGCCTCCCACGTACATCCGGGCGGTATCGATTTCATTGTAGCCTTGGGATTGAAAGTAATCGAGATGCTTGGTGAATTCGTTGAAGTCCGTTATTCGGGCACCGCTTTGCTCATCCGGGCCTGCGATGGCGTTAGTATGGTGGTATGCTTGATGAAGGGCAATCCCACCAAAGGTCATAAGCCCAAGTATGACTCGGTCCTTGGGGTTCTGCGCTACTAAAGGCATCTTGGCTTGCGTGCAAAGACGTTTCGGTTGGATGCGAGTTGGTATTGAGTTTCGGTGGTGGTTCTAAAGGTCATGATGTCAAGGGTCGATAGCGGGGGTACCGTACTATCGATAAGACCCCACTTCGGAATTCTTCCCGAGACACCTGCACCTTGCAGTTCGCTCTTCAACGGGCCATATTCATCTGTCTCCATGACGCTGCTCTCAAATCTAGAGTCAGAACGAGCAGCCCGGAGCTAGCTGTCTCGCGCGGTCGTCAAACAGGACAGTCCAGACGCTTCGCGAGGAAAGTGTCTGGCTGGAGGCGTTCTGCTTCCGCGATTGGTCGCGGATGGAGATGAACTCGGGCGATCGCACGTTCTCCCGCATCCCGCTTCAGTTCCTGGCATGATCGCCTTTTGCCAACTCTAGTTTGGCCAATATCGCCCGATTGAAGTGCGCATCAGCTCGGCGGAATAGGTCTCGTCAAGACCGGCATCAGGCTAGCTGGAGGTGGTCGCTCCTCGCCAGAGTGAGGCGGTCCATCCAGTCTACCTTACCTCATCCGGCGACCTGGTACCTGCTGCACACCATCTCTCACGCCGCAGAAGTGAGACATTGGGCTGTAGCGTCCAGCAATTGGCTCGCGGTCCTCTAAGCCCCCACCAACGCCCCCAAGCAAGGGCCCGCTCGGCGACGGCGAGGCAAAGGTCTGCCCGACGCCTCACAGGCGCAAGAAACTGGAAGGCTCGTCTGCACGCAGGAACCTGCGGCCACCCGTCCCGTACCAGCTGTATCATCAGCGGCCTGGAGTGGAGGCTGAAACCCGGTGCAAGTCCAACCGGCTTGACATTCACTGCCCCGGTTAGCGCAAGAGGCGCCGGCCAATCGCGGCACAGGACGCCCGATAGCGATAAGAAACCTGGCGGCGGGCCCAACGTCATCTGCCGACCTCTTGTCACCAACTCCCCCATCTGCAGCTAAATGCAGCTGTCACACGAGAACACCCAGCTAGAGCGTTTGCAGCATCGTCGATAGCAGTGCCCAGGATCGTCCCGCACCGGCCCGTCATTCTTCTGTACAGCAGAGGTGCCACGTTGCAGTCCGCAGGAACGTACAGAACAGCACAGAAAAGGTATGAAACTGTCTCAAAAGGGTCCTCTGGTCCCTATAAGTCCTGCAGGCCGCCCGCGCAATTCTCCTGAGCGTTCTCGCATACCGTTCACCCGCCGCTGAGGCCCGCCAGAACGATGAGTTGATCAGCTGGAGCAAGCGGCGAGGTCATGTGGCCCTGTAAGCCACCCCTCCGCCGAACTTACGAATCAGTACCTTTCCCACCCACCATCAGGCATGCCACCGCATATGTCGACGCCCATTGGACCGCCGCGCAAGATACAAGGTACCTTGAATGAATCCTTTCTTGTTTTAGCTCCTAGTCATGCAGTCGCATTGCTCTATTGGAACTTCGGCTTCGACGCCGCGCTGCAGTGCGCCAGGGCTTGCCGAACCGCGTCCCCTTCACATGAGATCATACTACCCTTTGCTCTTCTTATCGTCCTGCAACGCACGTCCTTGCTTGCTTGAAACGCCCGTTATTCCTTGATTGTAGCTATTGGCTCGTCTTGCATCCCATAAGTAGCACCTTGCATCCCAGTGCCGTGGAGAACCCGGCATCTTGCGGCCGTCGCCGAACTTCGGGCTCTACATGCGAACAGTCACCACGCCTTTGAGCACGCATAGTCGACGCAAACATCCAGCGCATAGCGATCCGACGCCTGTTTCTGGGTCGCTATGTGCTGGTGTTTCCCCTTCGGCCTTTCTCATAACACCAAGCGCAAGAGCTCGTCGTCGGGGCAGAAAAAGAGACGGGAGAGACCGGCCGCCGATGCGCTTCATGGGGATGGGAAGCCAGTTGTCGCGGCGGTTCAGGAGAAGCATAGATCGAAAGAGGCGCCTAAAAAGAGGAGGTCCCGGGAGACGGTAACCCCGCGCTCGCCGCGCCGGGAGCGAGAAGAGCATCGATCGCGACAGCAGGACCAGTACCAGTACCAGTACCACGACGCCTATAGAAGCAGAGAACAGTATAGGCCCGCACTCAACGTCCAGGTCCCTAACATGTGGCACCGTTCTGTGGATCCGGAAAGCGTGAATTCCTCCGAGGAGATGCTGCTCAATCCACGCCCGCACAGGAGCCCTCATCACCGGCAGCACCATCCGAAGCGGACGTCGCAAACCACGTTGAGGGGACGAGGGGCTAAGAGGGATCGAACCCCGCCTAAGCATTCCAAACCCAAGAAGAATTTGCGGTACGAGAGTTCCGGAGGATGGTCGTTCTTTGCGCCGTCGCCCCCGAAGACCCCCAAGACCCAGTCGCGACGCTACCAGACTCTGGACTCGTCGCCGCGCAGCCACCGCTCTTCTCGACAGCACCGCTCGACGCATCAGTATCAAGAAATCCCCGAAGCGACGTCTCGTTCGCAACGCCACCACCGTTCTCGCCAGACAGAGCGACAACCAACATCGACACGCCAAGCACGCTCGCGGACGCCAAACACTGCTGCTCGACGGGACCCAGACAGACGCTTTGCCGTTCTTGCGGCGACGAATCAAGCATTGGAACAGCTGCGTCAGGAAGCGTTTGCGCAACCCTCGCCGCCTCCCCGGCGAGAGCCGAGACTGCGGCGTTATCAGGGGGTAACTGTCGCCGCTTCGTCGATCCCTTGGGACTGGGATGGCATTTCTAGTTCGCAGACTTCAGCTGGGTACGGCGAATCAAGCGCTCGCCACAGGCGCTCGAGACGCTGATGTAAGGTGTGGCAAATGGCTCTCACTAGCTCAGCTCCAGATGTCTGCGCTCAGCTTACGCCTCACGTGGCTAATTCCCAGAGCAGGGTCCGGCAGGGCTGAGATCTGCATTCGGGATTTCGCTTAAGCGTTCCTTTCCATCATCTCCTGCATCTTTGGTCAAAGCACACTTCTTCTTCGGCTCATTGTTCCTTTGCTCGTTGATTGGCTGGATACCCGCATACTGGTCCCCTGGTGTTTCTGGCTTTGGTTCTTCCCCAATTGTATACCCCTGCATTAATCACTTCTCAATCGCGCATAAGGGCTGGACGGTAAGGGATGGGTTCATAGAGGCGCAGGCGTCGAATTTCTTTTTTGGGTATTGTTTCATGGTCCTTTCCCCAGGTTCACCCAGCATATACATACACATATTCATTATCTACCTTCGAATAGTTACTCATTAACACCGCTTCTAGCAGCGAACTCGCGCCAACGAAATACTATGCGTGCTTGGGAGGTGAAGTCCCCACGGTCATGATATGGTGGTGGCTGCCATTCCATGCTCGCACCGAATCGAAAAGCGATAACTAGCAATCAGTATCCCCAGTGAATAGCTCCCCGCCACTGGACCCGGATCGTTAGACTATATACCGAACCTGTGGCTGTACTAGTCATTTCAAAAATGATGTGAAAGTACGGTACAAGTCCGCTGTCCCAGCAGAGCCAATAAAGCATTCTCCAAACCAAACAAGCGAATACTCCAAGGCTCTTGTCGGGCTCAGCCAACACCCTTCAACCGACTCCACCTACTCCACTTCCTCTACCTCCTCTACCTCGCTATTTAGCAGAAACCCTCCGCCAAAACCTCCAAGCCATGCTGCTGCCATACGACTCGTTCGCCCTTTTAGATCTCGACAATCACAGCATCGACTTCCCCGTCATACCGAGTGCATGGCTTCCCATAACCGCCCCGGAGAAGACGCTGACAAGCACACCTCAACCGTTCAAGCCGAAGGAGGCTGAATACTGCGGCCACTATCTTCACCCAGGCACTCCGCACACGCAAGTCCTCTGCCCTTCGTGCAAGCTCAAACAACGCCTTGAGTCATTACAACACGTTACTAAGCTGTGGGACAAGAGAGGTGGTCCTGCGCCGGAAGCAAGTGAGAAGAACGAGTTCTACTACCAGATATGTCAGGCATGGCATGCAGAGAAGGCTTGCTTTGCCAAGTACGCCCACTTTCTCGACCTGTGGGCAGAGAATGAGCGGCAATGGGAGCTGGAGAATCCCGGGTTGTTGGGCACAGCAGCGGTGGAGGTAAAGAGCGCCGGCGCTGCGTTGGGCTTCGCGAGAAGAAACACACCCTACCTGCAATGGCTAGATTCGGATGCAGAGATGGGGGCGAAGACTACGACTACCGGCAGCCAGAAGAACGTGCGCTTTGTTGAGGGCATCGTCGAGTGGCCGAAACGTGGGATAGAATGCTTCAGGCGGTCTTCGACGCAGTATTCGCAGGGCCGTTGGGCTGCTCCGTTCGGACAAACGTGGTCGGATACTTCGTTTTTCGCTAGCCAAACCCATGGAAACTCGACATTGGATGTATCCGGGGAGGATATCGTGGGCGATCCCAAGGATGCAGATGAGCCCTGGAAGCATGTCGCGGCTGCCCGGGAGCGGAGAATCGCGCAGGGAGAGAAGATTGGGACAGGGAAGCGAGGAACGTTGCGTGCAGTGAGCGTGGGCTATGTTTTTGCGCCCGGAAGGGCGCGGTGCAGCGGCTCAAGGAGTCCCGGAACTTAATCTTCCTGATATCAATGGTGGTAAAAGTACGCAAGAGCAGACGTCGGTCTAATAATAATATCCTCGAGAAGCAGCTCTGCTCTCTCAGAACTAACCATTTCTGTACTATCACAAAGGGGAGCCTGAAGTACTTCGGTGGCTCTTGCGGAGTCCGCATCCTCAGTGATTCAAGAGAACAAGCAGAGCATGGTGAAGGAAGCCAAGCGCCATTGACGCTTTCGCCGAATAGAGAAATTGCGCATCGCGAGTGAAAGTTCTCCAGTTGTGCTTGCTCTTAAAATCTGCGCACGTGAACGCACTTACTCTCTTACTTCGCACTCCACCCGCCCCAACTTATTATTATGTCCAGTCCAGACACCGAAGAGTCGTTCACCTCCGCTCAGGCCGCGAGGCTTCTTTTCGGCGTCGAACGATACGAGGACTATGTCCGCTGGCAACAGACGATCGATGACGAAAGGCACATCCAGTACTATGGCGACAGAGGCTACTGGGAGTTGGTTCGCGGCTTTGTCAAGAATGGCCCTGTAGGGGAGTTGCCGGACCCCTACACTTTTAAGCTCTTTATGAACTCCTTACGCCTGCGGGGCAAGCTTTATCCGAAGAGTAGGGAGCCGCCGGCAACGACCCTCGCTATAGCGAAATGGTGTCGGCATACGATACATCCCGGTAACACTTGCAACTCGGTAGACGCCTGCTCCGTCTGCCTGATGAAACAATGCGTCACATCCCTCGGCCGGATATGGGAGCTCTGGGTGTCAGTTGGAGGTCCACACAGGGAATTCAGTTTCGAGGAGAGGCCATTATACTACAGGATCAGGGCGATCTGGCATGTGGAAAAGGTCCGATGGGCGAATCTGGTCGATAAGTTCGAAGAATTGGCGGAGCTCGAGCAAGAATGGGAAGACAAGGAGATGGGGTCGTCCGGTTATACTTTCGAGGAGATGGAAAATGTTCAGTCATGTATGGCTGCTGTTCAGTCGTCAAGAGCGAAGTGTCCAAACATGCCGGAGGGGGCTGACGTACCTTTCGCGCCTATGACGAGAGCCATCAATGCACCCAAAACCAGCTCAACATTATCCACGCTGCAGCCAACGGAAGAGGTCTCCAGTTCCCCTCCTTTCATGCCCGACCCGTTACAAAAGCCATCGAGATGGGAGACGCCGCCGCAGCTATCCTCAGAGCACCCCGAAGCGCCCCGGTCATCGCCGCCTTCGCCTCCGTCCTCCCCCAGCACCGCCTCATCTAGCTCGCCCGGCACTGTTGGCGTTGGTTCATCAGAGTACCTCCCGTCGCCACCACCTCCTCCTTCATCTTCGCTTCCTGCGACCCCACCCCCGAGCCCGGTAAACCTGAAGAAGAGAGTTACCTTCTCAGAGGATATCGTGGAAAATGGAAGTAGGCCTCTGGGCGAACTTCTCCGAATCTCTCCGGCGTATAGGAGGGGACGACATTCGTGTCCTTCTGCAGACGGGTGGGAAGACACAAGCTTCAAGAATGAGCCCTTCTTCCCCTATCTTGATGAAGAGGACGAGTTGTCGGAGGAGGATGAACAGCTTGCAGGTGCCGCATACGAACGAGTCCTGCAGTGGTATGGCGCTGCCGATGATGGGGACGAAGCCGACTGGGACATGGATTCAGACAGCGACAGCGATACATCCTGTGCATCCGACTGCAGTACGACAACCCTCGTGATGGGCGAGAACGATGGCAGCGCGCGGCAAGAGGGTCAACTCTTCAAGTATCACAAAGGCGTACAGGAAGAGTTCGACATGATGCATGTCTCGGAATTTGATTCGGACACCGACACCGATGAGTTCGACGATGCAGAGGCAGAGAAGGCGATGCTAGAGCTGGATCCAATGGACTTGTGCCTACCCAACACCAACAGCTCCGCCCCTTTGGTTGATAGGACAAGGTCGGATGGAGGGACAAGAGGGGGCAAGGACCTGGATGAGGACACTGGGGAATATAAGGATGAGAGGGTGCTAGGACGTCGCAGCCGTCAGATATTTGAGAGGAGCTCATTCCCCATCGTTGAGCGTACGCAAGTAAAGCGTCAACGGCGGAGCAGTATCTGAAAGCATGGTCTTTGTCCGTTCCATCGGCAGCGTCAAAGTAACCGAGGTGGGTACCTACTGCCGGATATTCCGATGTCAAGATCGAAACGAACGTTGAAATGCCCGTCTATCTGTGAACGTGCTTCAACGTTAGCAAGTGGGATAGGGACGTAAGGTTCGAGGCGCTCGCGGACATGTCCATACCTATTCGATACCTCGAAGGCCTTCACGATTGGCGTTCAATAACCCAATATAAGATGCTAATATGCGCGCGGCGACATACAGCTTAACCCCTAGGTTCGGATGAGCCGAAGAGTCTCGCATTGCGGCACCATCGGGGAAACGTGTAAGTTCTGCGCATGAAAATGCGTTGTAATGAATGTAGTGAATGGGCTGTCGTTGAAAGGCGGGTAAGAATGTGAATAGCACAGACGCTAGGGAGGCCCGTGCTGCTTCTATTCCAAGAACCCTCCGGCCGTTCCACTCCTCTCAATCCATCTCAATCCATCCCATCGCTCTCAGAACTGCGTCTCCCCGACATTCACTTACAAGCCGTATCCATGATCTCCGTTTAAAGCGTCCATTGGCTTCCAGAAACGCGATTAAGAGCCAGCCCCGTTGTCACACTCATATCTCCGCCAGAGACGCTTTGAAAACGACATGGCGATACGACCTTCATTAAAGCCCCACAGCTAACGTGCGGTATCGCGGGCGATGTGGGATGCATTAGATTGAATAAAGTTCGAATTGTGTACCACAGCAGCTCCTTGTTCCCTTCAGATCCAACGGTTGCGGCTGCTTCTTCAATCGAGAGTCGCGTATGCCAGAGGCAAACTAAACCCCCAAGATGCTGAAGGCCCTTTACCCCTCCGTGGCCCAGGTGGCTTCCGAAGGTGCTGCTCCGCCGCCACACATCGGTCGTATACAGCTTATAGTAACTGTATAGGCTTCGCCCGGAACAATCGGCCTCCACACTGTTCATCATGACTTCCAGCGCCTCGCGAGTCGCTTTTGCCGTTCTTGGCCTTTTACGGCCGCGAGCGGTTCAAACAGCAGTTTTCCGGAGATGGTGCCCGAGGCCTTCGCTGGTTGGACATTTAAGGCATGATGCTGAGCCGACGGCAATGTCCGTGAACATGATTCAATTCAGCTGAAGAGGAGGGAAGGAACCTGCAGAAACACCACCTACGCCTAAAAATGAGACGCCGCGAATGATAGCAGGTCTCTGAAAGAGGGTTGTCTTGAATAGGAGTGGCACGCGCCGTATGGGAAACTTATCTTTCAAGACCAAAAAGGCGGCCCTTGGCTCTCGCTACAGAGACTGTATGATTTGTCGGAACCAGTCCGCGTGATTCTCAGTGGGAATTTCTGCATCACTCAGCTCGTCGTTGGCGGCAAGCTTGGCAGCTGGATGCCTCCCGCTGTCTTCAGCTCCTCCACAATTCCTTTTCGATGTGGACTTGACACCTTGGCTGCACTCGCACACCATCCACTCCACGATATATATAATGGACTGACATTGCCCCTCTATACTCTGGGAGCTCTTCGTTTGTTGTGGAGATTACTGGATCCTCATTTCATCTTGACAACTACCTCGATAGACCATGGCCAAGAAACCCCGGACTTGGGCGGCGCCGGCCTGCGACAAGATCGCTCACGGCGATACGAAAGCCGTGGAAGATTTGAAGGCATTCCTGTTGCACTTCCAATACCTTCCGCAAGAGGCTAAACCCGGCTTGGAAGATGTTCCTTCCGCATTGAAGGAGTTCCAACGAGTGGCACATATCCCACAGACGGGAGAATACGACGCAGCAACAGCAACCCAATTGGCGAAACCCCGATGCGGCATTCCTGATAAGCCAGGCTTCGAGAACTTCGCAGTTGCGGCTACTCGATGGGATAAGTTCAATCTGACCTATCGGTTCGACACGTTCTCTGAAGAGTTGTCAGCGGACCAGGTTCGATCCATCATATCGGCGGCATTCGCCAAATGGGCTGCTGTCTCCCCCTTCACTTTCACCGAAGTTGCCCAAGGAGACGCCGACATTCGCATTGGTTGGTATCGCAACAAGCACCTGGGCGACGGCGCCTTCTTCGATGGGCCCGGGCGTGTGCTTGCTCACGCGTTCTTCCCACCTCCCAACGGGGGCGGTTTCGCGGGAGACGTTCACTTTGACGAAGATGAAACCTGGACAGCGGCCTTACTGGAGAACACAGCGCTGCATGAAATTGGCCACTCTTTGGGGCTAAGGCACTCAGTCATCCCCGAAGCAGTCATGTACGAATTCGCGAACGGTGTGACGCAGCTGACGGACGACGACGTCGCGGGCATTCAGTCCATCTACGGACCTTTCCGCCCGGTATACAAGCAAGGGGACCCAGGCCACGGAATCGGCGGGTACGATCTCCGCTCTCCGGAAGACAGAGTGTTCGCATTCGACTACGGCCACAGCGGGAAGCTCGACCACTTGTGCTTTTATCGCCCCGGAACCGGCACGTTCTGGATCATCCGCAACAACCACAACGGGAGCTTCACGCCCGTGTACAACCAGGGCGATCCAGGCGCCGGAATCGGCGGATACGACCTTAAGTCCCGCGCAGACCGCGCCTTCGCCTTCGACTACGACCACAACGGGAAGCAAGATCACATCTGTCTCTACCGCCCAGGAACAGGCACCTTCTGGATTCTCCGCAATAGAAGCGGCGTCTTCGAGCCTGTCTACGCGCAAGGCGATCCCGGCAGCGGCATCGGCGGCTTCGATCTCAAATCGCCCGCCGACCAAGCCTTCGCGTTCGACTACGATCATACGGGAAAGCTGGACCACGTCGCGCTGTACCGTCCAGGCACCGGAACATTCTGGATCCTGCGCAACCGCAGCGGCGTCTTTGAGGCTGTGTATGCGCAGGGCGCCCCGGGCAATGGCATAGGAGGCTTTGACCTCAGGTCTCCCGCCGACAGGGCGTTTGCGTTCGACTACACGCGCTCTGGGAGGAAGGACCACGTCTGCCTCTACCGCCCTGGCACGGGCACTTTCTGGATCCTGCAGAACGGCGCCGGTGTCTTCAATGCAGTGTACGCTCAGGGCGACCCTGGCCATGGCATCGGCGGGTATGATCTTAAGGCGCCAATCGACCAGGCTTTCGCGTACGACAGCGACAAGCTCGTGTTATATCGGCCGGGGAAGGGCGCAGTGTTTGTGCTCAGGAACAATGGGGGGAGTTTTGAGAAAGTGTATGCGCAGGGTGATCAGGCGGATCAGGGGAGGGGAATTGGCGGGTTTGATTTGAGGTCTGGGGCGGATCGGGCGGTGGATTTCGATTTTGAGAGTAAGGGGCGGACGGATCATCTAGTGTTTGTTCGGCCGGGCACGGGGACGATTTGGATTTTGAAGAAGTAGTTGGGTGTGCGTGGGAGTGAACGGATTTGCGTGCTGAGGTAGCGCGCCTTGGGCGAGACCGTTCTTGGTACAGGAACGAGGATGTGGACGATCGTTTATATGCTGTGGATGGAGCTGGGTACGTCCGGGTCCCTTGCGGCACCGGACTCTGGGGATAAAATAATCTGCGTAAAAGGCATCCTGATGGCCGTCAGGCTTGCATAGACTGCTACACGCGAGTGGAGCTTTGTCGTCATCACGGATGCTTATATCTGGAGATGCCTTTCAGGCGAGAGGACATAGTGTCCGGGATGAGTAGTATTTCACTACAGGAGACAGTTCTCAGGAAACAGTTCTCACTTCCACGCAGGGCAGCTGTCGCTATCTTCTATAGAGCCAAATAGTAAAGTCAATGCGCTCTTTAAAGAGGCGGTATGTGCTACTGCTAAAGCTAAGCGATTGTCATGTAAATTCCCTTTTGAATTACGTTTTTGTTTCAAGATAGTTAGTTGGGTAGTGTACTGTTTGAACTGCGAATGGCAGCTCTGAGCCTTTGAATCCGAATTGGACAGCATATACTTGGTAGAGACAGCCTGGTCAGGCGGCGGGGGTATGGAACGAGTCAGGAGAGCAGGTGTGGGAGAGAAGGGAGCATAATGAGTTTAGAGGGTACCATGGGATTTAGGAAGTGAGTTTGGGGACCGCCGCCACGATTTTGTCGAAAACTGAGAAAAGGAGTGAGAAAAGGAGCATCGTGTGTTTAGTCTCTGATGTTGCCTTGGGCCCGAAGCGTCGGACTCCGTACCTGCGTTTGACCATCGTTAGGTGTGTAAAGACTGTAGGTCCCGAGGGGCATCCAACACAATGGGTCGAGTTCAATTCATAGTGATGAGGACGAGGCTGGATTTCTTGCGGTTCGATCCCAGAGGTTCTAGAGCCGCTCATTATGAGTCATCTCGTCTTGTGTCGTCTTGCCTATCTCGGAGTGAAACATGGGCGCACATTGATCATAAAGTCTGACTATATGACCTCCTCGAAGTTTTTACTGTTTGTTTTACCCCGCGAAAGCCTCAAGTCCGTTTTCGTATGAGCCGTGTCCTCCGCTACCGTCTCCATGATCGTGCCAGTGAGGTTATGCTCCTGCCGGGAGAACGCCGCGTAGGAAAATTTTCCTTACTTTCTACGGAGGAACAGCCACCTCTTCTCAACAAATATGCGATGAAGCGAAGAGAGCAGCGGCGGTCCATAATGCCATAGCATTGGATGCGGATCGAGACGAGCACCCGCTTTTCGTTAACAGGATCTCAGGTAATTCTCTTAAAATAATAAAGGAGATCTTCAGCGGGAACACGCTTATCCTTTTCAACGCCGGCATGGGCGCACCCTGGGATTTAGAAGAAGTTATTCGCCAGCAGAAGCAGGAGGAGCATTAGCCTTACCGCTGGCGGGGCGTTTTCCTGGTGAATACTTTCAATTAGGGCCCCGTAAGGCTGAGACGCTATGCGAAACGAATACATCGTGCCAATATATTAGTTTGACTGAACGGACGGTTAGGACACTTATAATCAGAACAGCGTAGCAGACGCCAGAGAACTTGAGTTCCCACAGCTATCGTTCCATACTATTCACGCGTGTGTGGTTAGGGAGAGTTAACATGCTTTTCCCCTCTCAGTAAACAATGGTACCGTAGACACGCATGCCTGCACCCGTGCTTGCAACGGAGACCGGCGGCGTTTCTTCCAAAGATTTGGAGGATTCATAAGAGAGCGCCGGGTGGACGCCTTGGGGGCTCCGCCGTTTATAGCGAGGAACATGCCAGTGTGTAAAGGAGGGACAGACTTTTATCGGTGCTCGGGCTGGCCAACAAAAAGGCCTGCTAACCGCAAGGTTGTTTTGTTTGTCGCGCAGGAGAGTTGCGTTGATCGGAGGTGGTTGGCTCAGCGCCACGAACATCATCTTTAGGCGGCAGGTCGTAGGGGCGGCTAAGAATGATTAATCCTGAACCTGTCAGTCGGCGTATTTCCCTCCGAGAGTATGTACACGAGGCACCATGCTTGGGGGTGGTATCTCGACCTCCGGCCGAGAGATTAGGCTTTACGCATGTTTGGGTGATCTTCGGACTAGTTCGTGTTACATAAGCAATGGATCACAGCTGGTGCAGCTCAAAAACTCTTCCCAAAATCCGTCCGCGCAATTGCGAACATACTGTTGTCGAGACTTCCCGCCCAATTGCGAACATACTGTTGTCGAGACCTCCCGCCCACTCGCCGCACACAATGCTCAGTCGCATATCTCGACGTGTCAGTTCCAATACCAGGCGCTATAAGGCGATCATGGACGCCCAACGACGTGGACATTCAGCGATTACTAGTCCTTCCAGCTTCCCGGCTACTTTGCTGCGCCTTAATGCCGGATTAGCGTTCAAACAATTCAGGTTCGAGCGTCCAGCTCAGAACGAGTACCGCAACGCTCCTCTCAACACCAACGTCTGGACAAATTGTTTGCCATGTATGTTGTCACACGGTATATTACACGGTTCGTCTTAATTGCTTAGAGTAGTCTCAAACGGAGCGACGCTTATGCCGAACACATGCACGATGCAAGAGATTATACGGACGGCCGTTGACAATTACTTCGACGATATAGACAATGGCGTGTCCATCGAGCCTCCCTTTGTTTTCTCTATACGCAAAGGTATGAACGTTTTCCTCAATAGCAATAAATACTTACACTCTACCAAGGGACTCCAGTGCCTAAGGGCCTTGTGTTACTGAGACAGGACACTGCTCTGTTCTCCTTGCAGCCTTCCCAGCCTGCCTCTGAAGGTAATTTCTGTCACCAGGTCGTTCGTAAGCACCGCTAACTGTCGGTAGAGTTCAATACTATTTTGGATGGGTTCTATTCCGAATATGCTGAAAAGCTGGACGCCGATGAATGGCTTGATATTCACCAGTTTGAGGACGCGGTTGCCGATGACGCGGAGAACGTTTGGATGGCTAGTTAACTGCTTACCTAGCTGTTTCGTAGGCAGGTTCAGCTGGGTAGATTCAGCCTCATTAGTCATCGGGTTGCAAACGCTGGCATTAGGTGTCAGTCCAGTAGGGGCACACGGAGTTATACCGTAGACAAAATAGTAAGGTTACCTTGAAGAGCTATTTTACATGGTTTGTCAACTTGTCTTAATATTACTTGGTTACACGGCAACCATTGGACTCCTACTATTGCCAAACCCAGTTCCGACCGTCCCAGCGTCTGTACTTCCGATGTTGCTCGTCCCATACCCATGGGTTTGATTCGGTACTTCCTGCAGACGCGGAAGCGTGCTGCATTGCGCTCGAGGAACTGGAGGGTTCAGAAGGTGTAACGTAAGCCTGAAGCCAATCTTCTTTGCTCCTGACACGTCCATGAGATTCCAGGAAACTAGTAATCTTATTGTTCAGCTCTGTTACCAACTTAGTCTCGATTCTAACACCAGCGCAAGGATTAAATCTTACCGTTGAGAGGCATATTTTCCGCTGCTTGGAGAGAGTAATGGTCTCCATATTCGTGCACCAGGAGGAGATCTTCAGGCAATTTGGTACCCTTTCCAATTAAAATGTAAAGGCGCACACTTTCGTCTAAAAGACCAACCAGTAGGGATTGAGTAAACCACCACCTCATTTCCTTTAATTTTTTGGATCAGTTTTCTCTGGAAATCCGAGTTTGGTCGCATAGAGGCGCCGTTAGGACCTATAGTCAAGGTTAATTTTGGTTCATACCTGTAAACAGAGGCTCACTCACGGGTGTATGTATCAGGATTGAGAGCTTTGGCCTGCACCATGCCGGAATTCGTGAGGACGTCGAAGCGACGCTGCCTCTGCAGAGACCATTCTCGAAGCCGAACGGCGCGCCCATTATTGACACGAAAAAGTTCCTTGGGGAAGATCTTGAAAACAGCGATAAGTGAGGGAGACATGATTGTTATCGGATTCAGGACGTAAGAGGTGGTGATAAATTCAACCAAAATACAAGGACGAGAGATTGTGGGACGCGGAGCCCCCTGCTTGGCATTCTAGCGCCGTTTTAGCGCCTTGGCAAGCGCTCTCTCGATCGAGAAAAACTGAATTTACTCTCTATTAGCTGGAGGGACCCTAGCCAGCGCCGGGCACAATTCTTGCATAGGAATAAGCAGGTTCCTATCTGCTACGGCTTTAGAAAGCTTAGGCTGGAGGCCTCTCTGAAGCGGCATGGTTTGGACGTGTGGGATCGGTTCGAATGGCCTTAGACATCTCGGCGTAACGTGAAACTCTCTTGGGCTTGCTTATAGTAGTTGTCGAAGCCTGCGGGGACGGGTGCCGTTAGTAGTCCTTTAACAGGAGAAGCAGTGTTCGCGAATCCTTTAGAACTTATTGAGGGCTATTTGCTGCTGCAGACCCTCATGCAACGACGAGGCTGGCAAGTCCCGCGGAGAGATGGCCGATCGTGCGTGACGGGCATTTGCTCGCATCTGGGCGTTAGCTGGTAGGACGCTTGACGTCCCTCATTGCTTGACCTTCTTTTAGACTTGTCACACACTGCCACCGCTTCGATCGCCCCCAATAATGCCTGCAAGTCTCAACAGCTCCCGATCAGCATCAATGTCCCCTGTCCCAAGATTGATGCGTCGTCGAGCCTCAGCTTCGCGCTCTTGGAAGGCCCATTCTTTTCGCTGAGCTTCCGCAACCTCGTCCCCACCGCAGCCCCAAACTTCAAGGCTGTCGATTTCGAAGCGGTCTTGCCAATTATTTCCCCTCCTACACGGTAGCTGCGAAGCATAAAAGGAGCCGCCGCCCTCCGAGAGGTGCGTGAAGACGCCATATTCAAGCGCATCGTCCAGATGAAGGGACACGGGCCCAAGGCGAAGCACCTCGTGGCTATGAATGTTGTGAGCAGAAGATTGATGCGGGACTGCGGTGCCGAAGCCCACGCCTGCAGGATGCGTGGGTGCTTTATTGAAGTAGATATAATCTGTGCTGTAAGGCGAGGCGGAGAAGACGTCGTGTGTGGGCGAGAGCTGGAATAGTAAGGCACTGGAATCGCCGAAGCATGCTTTGTGCGAGTGCTTCCATTGAGTGGGAATGTATGCACCAAAGGTTATGGTCGCATCGGAAGAAGTAGCGGGTATACTGCTGGGAAGACGCTTTGGGGGAAGCATTTCGGAGAGAGTGCGTTCCCGTGTATTGGAGGGTACTGACGGAAGAAGGCGTCCAGAAACCAGAAGAATGGTAGGGGCGCGCCAATTGAAAACCTGCTTCTCGAAAGAGCCCATGCTAAAGCCGTGCTTGTTGCCGCTGTAAAGCGGACGAAGCCGCCTGAATAGGTTAGTCCCCTTAATGAAGAATGACAACTGGCTGAGGACCGTGAGGTTAAGGATTTCTCCAGGTTCTCGTAGGACGGGTTCCTGGTCTGCGACAATCCTCGGAGGTATCACGGGGTGCGCCTCAATAGTTGAACTTTCGGCGTCGGGCTTGCGCTTGGAAAGATCAAAGTCCTTCGCGAAGAGGAAATGTTCAAACAAAGGATTCAGGCCATCGAAGATGAAGGGTAGGCTTGACGAGACAACCGCGTTGAACGTTCGGTATGTGACGCCGGGATTTTGCTCGACACCGAAGGAAGACAATATGACGTTGGCAGTTTGCCTTAACTTGTCGATCCGCTTATCAGATAGCTCCGAAGCAAACGTTGAGAGGCTTTGTTGCGCATCGATTGGGGAAATGAGGAGCAGAAGCTCGACCAGCTTTAGGAAGTTGTCTGTCGGTATGATGGAGTGATGAACGTTGGACTGTTCGCCGTGCTTGAAGACCTCTACTGCGTCCATCGAGTCTAGAGCTGCTAAGACAAGCTCATCATCGTATTCTTCCTCGTCTTCATCGCCTTCTTCGGGCGCGTCTATCGCGAAGCCTTGGCTAGTGCCGGCCCCGCCGCCATCGCCAGCTTCCCCGGTGTCCTCCCCTTCCTGCTTCTTCTTATCCTCCATGCTCAGCCGAACTCCCTTGTCATACACTGCCAGGCTGCGATACAGCTCCCTTAGCCATATTTCGCGTCCCCTCTTCTTTATAACTGCCCCATATCTTTCTGTTAGGATTGTAACGACCTTCAACAACGACTCATACGTGAGTATAGCCGGTGCCTGGCTGGGAAACGGGAAGGCGCCCAGATAGCTAGCCATATGGAAGAGGACTGGGCCCACGCCGAGAGCATCGGGAAGCTCGAGGAAGCGGCATAGCGTCGACTCGCTCCAGTATTTGACGCCTGACTCCGAATCGGCGAGGGAGCGGAAGACGGAGTTGAAGCAGTATAGTTCAAGGGGCGTGTAGCTCTTGTGTGCAAAGCGATGGGCGAGGCTATGGCTGAGCTGCTCTGTGGGGTACTCAGCATGCTATCGGATGGGTGCCTGGCACGCTGTATTTGCGACGAAGCGGGCGAGAACTCACCGAGAGTTAGGTGTGGAGCTTCAGAGGAGCCCCCTTGACCCATGCTGGCGATCGCAGCGCAGAAAGTACATGCGTGACACTCTGGTGCCGTTCGGTACTTTGCTCGGGTGAGGTGGTGGCAGCAGCTGGATGACGCACTATCCCTCGCTTCGGCTTGCCGATGACCGGATCCTGGGTCAACTCTATACCGCAGTCGCGATACCATAGAACCAATGCACCTGGCGTGAGCATGGCATGTACTCTAACAAAGTGACTTGGAAAGAAGTGTATATCTATACATACTTTTTACATAGTAATTGGTGCGTAGTGGCGCTATGCTTTTCGACGTGCGCACCCGACCGTCTTTTAATGCTATGGTGCGCCCATTGCTGTCTCCTTCTCAAAACATACCAGTTTAAGCAAGCAGCACGTTCTCATCCCTCTCTTCTAATTGTCGCACCCTTCTTTCAATGTTCCATCACCACCCTACCATACCCGACACAGCACCATCCCACCCAACTTGCGCTCCACACACTCCCTCGCCTCCAGAATGCCCCGATCCGTGGTGACAAACATGCATTCTCCCGGACGCGTCAACCCTTTCACATAACTCGCCTCCCTCGTCCGCGTTATCCTGCCCAGATCCTCGCTCGTCAGCCATATTCGCCTTGTCGGCTTGCTGACCAGCTTCATGTTCTTGAGCACAGGCTCGCTGTTCCAGTATTTGAGGCCGAGCCACAGGCGCCGGCGGGCGGGGTTCTCAGGGACGGACACTTGGTACAGTTGTTCGTTTCCTAAAGGGTCTTTTGCTAATGGTGTGCCATCCTCCGCAGAGGGTACCGGGTATGCGTTCCAGGGTTCGGAGGAAAGCTTTTGGGCGAGCTTTTCGTGCTGTTCTGGGTCGGTGGTTGTCTGAAGGAGGAAGGGCTTTGGAGGTGCGGTGCCGCCGAGGGTTACGCTCGAGAGGAAGCCTTCGCGCTGCAGGCCCATCATCAGGTTGACGTGCAGCTTCGATACTGGTATTGACGTGAGGCCCAACCGTGCTTTCGAGGCATTCTGCAGGTGTGAGCACACGTGTGCCAGGTTGACGAGAGACATTATGAGGGCGGCGCGGGTGTGGATGCGAAGGGAAAGTTCTGCCCTCTAGGGGCTATTTCGAGAGCAACGCGGCGATCGTGAGGTTCTAGGCCGACAAGTGAGGGCAGATGCTTTGCGGGGATGGCGGTTATCGATGCAGGTCGGCCTGCATGCGTCAATCGGGTTGATGCGTGACCGTGAATGTGCCCTTGTGCTCGCGGCCAAATTTTGGCGTCGGATGTCCGCCAGCCCTGCAGCAGCTCGAGCTTGGGCCGCCTTGGGAAGGCACGCGTGTTGGCGCTCAGCGCCTGCCCCACGCGAGCGGGCGCTTCGAGCACGACTGAAATAGAAGACCGCGCAGCTGTTGGTCGATGGTCTAGCCTGATCATTAGAGCTCCCTTTTATATATATACTTTGATCGTCCTTTGCCTTTTCTTGGTAGCTAACATTCGTGTGCATATATTTGCAGCTTTTCCGCATTCTGGTGGAATTTGGGCTGAGCGATCAGGCGCGGTTTGAAGCGTGAGCAAAGTACAGAGGTACTTCTGGAAGGATGCCGCCGCAGCAGGGTGAAGTGTCTCTTTTGACACTGTAAGTCTGTCTTAGCTCGCCAGTCTGTACGGATGCTAATCCCTAACAGCTTCGCAGACGTCCATTACTACTTCTCTCCTCCCACGTACAAACCTCCGCACCACCGCTTCGACAAGAGCTCTTATGTCTACCTCTACCATAACCCAATGCAGCAGCGTGGGCGCATAGAAATAGCGAACCATGCTGGGACACCCGAGCAGGATGCCTTCGCGGGCTGTAAGTCTAGAGTAGGAAGACTGAGCATATTGAGTTGGGCTGACTAGGAATTCCCATCCAGATCTGGACACGGTCAAGATAGAACAGACGTACAAGCACCCGTGCTTATTTACCCTCACCGTCGATACCTTCCGAGGCCAAAATGGAAGCGCCGGCCCAAGCCCACAGCAAGATATGTCGCAGTGGCACCTACCCGCGCTTGATCCGAGGAATGATGGGAAGTACATGTACCGGCTACACACACTGGAGATTTACTTCTGGACACCGGATGACGCTGGCTTATTTCTGGACTCGCTACGGAGAGTAGTGCAGCCGCAGCAGCTACAGGTCGTGGCCAACCCTCAAGCTGCATCACCATCCGAGCACAAGAACGATGTGATGAATCCAGTGGTTGCGAAGCTGGAGAAGGCAGCCATATCGCATTCTAGTCGGAGCCCGAGCATTAGCACTACTCAGTCCTTCCCTGGCCCTCCAGCAGGCCCGGCTCCTACCTCGAGTCCTCCTGCAGCCGATGCTAACTACACACCAATGGCCTACAATCCTGCGGCTCCAGCTGCACCTGAGCCCATTGCTCACCGAGAAAAGACGCCGCCTCCGCCTGATGCCGCCGACGGAACTGGGCTCGGGGCAGCAGCGATGAACGACCACCATGCTCAGCCGTTTGGTAACCCGCTGCAACAATCGTTCGTACCTCAGACAACATCGCAACCGTACATTCCGGGCCCTCCCTCACGGACGCAAACCTTCTCCGGGCCTCCTACCCCCGGGATCCAGCGTACCGCGACCACTGGCTCTATCCCGCCTCCACCCCAAAGCCCCCCATCATACGCGCCGCCCCCGGCTGGTCCACCTCCGGGTCAGTACGACCAGCAAGGTACACCACAACCAGGAATCCAGCGTCAGTCGACCATGCCGGTCCAGCAGTACGCAAACTACCCCGGCTCCCCTGGCTACCCTCCGTCTGTGAAATCTCCTGGAGCGCCTGGTCACTCACCCTTGCCGTCGCCTAGTTACGCGCCTCAGCAGTACCAACCTCTTGCGTCTCCACCTCCGGGAGGCTACACGCAGTATCAGTACGGTAGTACTACGCAACAGACGCCGGGAACGGATCCATATGCCATGCATCAACAGCTGTACAGACCAACGGAGCAAGAAGCTAGTGTACACGAGCACACTGCGCCTGGACAGCAACGCAACTCCAACATGGGCCGCCGAGCGGAGAAAGTAGAGAAGGGTGTTGGGAAGTTTCTAAAGAAGCTGGATAAGAAGTTCTAGTTCTAGTTAATACTTAGCATCGCAGCGAGCGGCTCTAGGAATTGAATTTGACGAATTGACGGATGCAGTATGTAAATGTTTAAATCATGGAATATATACCCTTCTCGTAGTATATTATCGGGCCTCTTGCGGGAGGGGATTCTCCGGGTTTAAAGGCTCGCCGTACGGATAAAATTGCTCGCATGGCTAGCTATACGTGCCATTGTACGCATCTGCGAAGGCGTCCGGGGCGGCTGTTACGTGCATCGTTGTATCTAGACAAATCCACATTGCGAGAGAGCGCGGCTGAGCCTCGGTGGATGAATGGCTGGCCCACAGTGCAGGATCCAATCAGAGTGCAGCGCTAAAAAGCGGGACCGAACATGGGGCCCCCAAAATAGCAATCCAGGTTCTGTGGATGACAGAAGCCCGCTCTCCGCTCTGACGGCTGACATGAGAAGCCTATCGCACGAGGGCAATTGAGTCGCAGAGGAGCGCAAGCACACCAATTCGCCGCTTTCCGAACGATGATGCCGCGCTATTGGAATCATCGTGAGATGGGAAGATTATGACCTCGGGAAGCTTTCCGCGATCCCCAGGCTTCAGCCACGCACAGCTTCGAGGTTCCCTGTTAGCATCCCTGCGCTGCTTATGAGCCACGCCAAGGATATTAGGGCGAGACTGTGCCAGGCACCTCAGCCCTGGCCGTTGGAAGAGCTTCGCACTTTTGCTGCTGCGATATCCTTCTGTATACTTTCTTCTCCTCCGGAATTGCCGACTGTGACGCCCAGCAGTTTGGGACGTCAGTCGTCTTTGTACCACGGCCGTGCGATCCGGCACTGCGGAAACCGCGGGACCTAGTGGGTTGTCTGAGCTCCACATTCCTCGGACGAGTGATCTCATCGTCGAAGGCCCTCAGGCCCGCCGCACAGGAGGCGGATTGCTGAGAAGTGGAGGGCGGGACGTATAAGAGAGGGGGGCACGATGCGGATACCGGTGCTCGAGGCGCGGAAAGGCGCGCTGGAGAAGAGAATGAGCAAGAACCAGAAGTCGCTCTGGGTGGTACGTTCTGTCCAGCCCGCGCCGTCCGGATTCCTTCCGCCCCGCATTGTATCGAACACAGTCACTGATGCCAAACGTCGCAGATTGCCATCATCGTCATAATCATCTTCGTCATCCTTGTCATCACATACCTCCTCACCCTCAAACTCCGCAAGGGCACAATCAAAGCTCCGTCTCGCGGTAAACTGCCCTCGCTATTCTCCATCAAGAACTGGCGCAAGCGGCCCCGCCGGAACGATTACTCGACGAGCCTCCAGGACAATGAGCTGGATGGGAATGGCCGGCGCGAGAGCCGCGATCGCGAGATGAGCGGCGCAGCAGACCCGGAGAGGCAGAGTCCTGGAGATGGTGCTGGCGTTGACCGTAATACTTCGGTGCGTAGTGTGATGACATTACCGGCTTACTCGCCTGCCGCAAGGGAGAACGAGAGAATCCTAGCCAGGGAGGGCGAAAGAGCAGGCATCGATACTGTGGTTGAGTTCCCCGAGGGCGTGGACGAGGAAGAGGAAAGAAGAGAAAATGAGATGGAGTCGCTATATCAGATCCGGCTTGCCCGGCGCGCAGAAGCACGAGAACGGGAGGAGCGACGGCAGGCTAGGCGAGCAGCAAGAGCACGAGGGGATTACGAGGCGCTGGCCGAGATAAGGAGGAGAGCAGAACAGGCGGCCGAGGAATCATTATCGCAGATACTGATCCAGGAGCACCAGACCGCAAACCGCGAACGGAGGGTATCGAGTGTGCAATACGGCGATCTAGGAGTTGCAAGGCATGACGGCACCCGGATACGCGCGAACTCTTCAGAAAGCGACCAACGTCCTCTTCTCGACTCGGCAGCCTCCATATCGGGCCAGAGTGCTCGTTCCAGAGCCCTTAGCAACAATACCCTACACACACACTATCGCGGTCCTTCCGCCTCCTCCGTTCTCTCCGTATCTTCCCGCGCTTCTGACGAATTCGACTTCCCGGAAGCAGCTCCCTCGCGGACTAATGACACCAACGACGACTTTGAGGTCGTCTCCCTATCGCATCCGCGCTCAAGATCAGTGAGCAGAGTTGCTACGCCGATACCTACCCCCAGCATCGAGATACCAAACGAAGAGGCACCAGCATACGAGGACCCGCCGAATTATGAGAGCCCGGTTTCAACCAGGGCGCCGCAGCTACCCACCCTAGAACGACTGCCCAGCATACATGTCACTGCTGAACCTACACCCGTTGATGGCCGCCCATATTCCCCTACTCCTCCCAGGTGATACATCGCGTTGGTCGGTTTCGCCTTGTACATCGCGCATTAATTTCCATCTTGTTCCGATCATTTTGTTTCCATGTTGAAAATAAACGTTGTATATGAGACCACGAAGTTACACTGAGGGGTGGCCTGGATCGCTACTCTCTCCTCACGATTGACTTCTGGATACCTCAGGTGTTGTTTTGGAATCTGGATGTCCATATTGAGGAGCTTGGCATACCTGTCGGATAATTTCCTCTTTGGTAGCGCATGATCTCTAAGATGGAACCAGGAGCTATCGTAGCCCTCATTAATCGTACCATACCCCATCAGCGTTTCAGAAAAGAAAGGCACGCTAGAAGCCAGACTAATGACTCGATCACTTCACAGCACTCAGCGTCCGCAAACACAATCCTCGATCATGGAAAGCATTTATCGTTGATTCGCACTCATCCCTCTCGGCCAAGCTCGGACCCCAACATTAAAGCCTATCGAACGATTCCCCGATGGGGCTAAAACCTAACCCCCGGATACGAATTACTCGGGGCCAACGAACTGACAATGAGCCTCCACTCGCGACCTTGTTAATGCACCGGATCATTGGATACTTGGCCGGAGTTGGCTGTGCATACCGAATCCCCCTGCAAACCAGCTCGATAGGGCTTTCGGAACGCTGGCTATTCCCGTGAACACGAAGGTCGCAGGTGGCTTGTACCGCTCCGCTTCGCGTATTGATACTGTTAGTGCTTTCCTAGGCGCTTATATGAACTTGGGTCCGTGAGGAATCCTTCGACTTCATCATCCCTACTCCCACCACCTCCCTCAGATCGTTTCCTTCCTTGCTTTCGCGTCCTCTTCACACCACACACAATCATGGGGCGCAAGCGCTTAAGAAGAGCAGTTGAAGGAGACTTTGACTCCGAGTCCTTTTACACTTTCCACAACACAGCGATGGCAAACTTATCATTATCGTCGGGGATATACCAGGACACGGCTGGCGCGATAAATATGACCTTGGAAGGCTCTCTCTCCTCTGAGAACTGGCAAATATATTATCAGCAAGGACGGTACTTCATCCGGAATTATGACTATGGGGATTACCAGCTCGCGCTCACGGAATCATCGCGGTCGGTGCCAAAATTGATGAAGAGGAGCGGAGAGTTGGGGCATCAGTGGACGCTCACGAGAAAGGATGGCGACGGCTGGCAGCTAAGCAACGGATTGTTGGGGAATGGGAGCTTGCTATGCCTGAACCAAGCGTATACCGGGACCGTGCCTGGGATGCAACCCAGTGAGGCTGGAGCGAATTGGGAGATTCTGATTAATCCGAGTGCGGGGAGTCCGAAGGGGAGCGATTTGTATAGGGATGTGGAGGGCTTCGAAGTGCGTATTACGGAGAGGAAATGATGTGGGGAGGTTGTGAAATGGGACACTGACTGGCAGTATAGGTCGCGCCATCCTCGATATCTTCATCAGCCACACCCTTAGCAACCGTTACCTCCATTTCGTCAAGCTCAACCCCGAACGCTTCCGCGACGTCAACAGCATCCTCACAATCTCCCCTCGTCGAATCCTCACCAGCGCCAGACTCCGGCTCCTCGTCCCTTAGCGCCGGCGCAATAGCCGGCATCGCCGTCGGAGCCTTCGCATTCGTCGTTCTATCCGCGATACTGGCATTCTTTTTCCTGCGGAGACGGAAGAAGAAGAGAGAGAACGATGCTGCTGCCGAGCTACCAACAGGGGAAAAGGTTGTATATGCGCATCGCGCGGAGATAGGGAGTGATCCTATGGTTTTTATAGCGCAAGAGAGAGGGATGAATTCCCCCAGATTTGAGATGGGTACGGGGCTAGAGGTACCGTATCAGGATAAAGGAAAGACAGCAGATGGAGCTACGGGACACGTGTATAGGTAATGTTCAGTATGTGGATAGAGCTTGGCTTCGCTTTGCTTCTGAGTGTTGGGTTTGAAGAGAGATTTGGATACTATACCCTTCAGCGTCTTGAATGCTATTTCGATCTGGTGCATACAGCGGATCATGCCTAATGCTTGATCTCTACCAAGGTACTTGCAGACAGTGGTTCCAGGGGTGGCCCAATTATCGTGTGTTGACCTAGTGCCTTCCGAGGTTGAGCTTTCAGCCAGTTAATCTGAATTGGTAGCGGAGATCCCCAGGTACCGGAAACTCAATAAATTCGGCTAGATAATTCTATATCTGTAGTAGACCTAGGTACCTCTGAGAAGTGAAGCAAAAGTGATGAACAAGGCGAGGTTCGCGTCGCCCTACAACCGAGTTTGACCCCTCCACTGCCCCGCCAAAGGCTAAACTCGCGCGTCGCTGCACTAAAGTCCAAGCACACCCGCGCTCCTATTCCTAATCAACTCTCTACCCCTCTAAGCTTCTTAAGATGCCTCAAGAAGCTTCGAAGATCGCGGACCCCGATGCGACCGCCGAAGCCGCTGCCGAAGCCGTCGCCGAGTCGAGTAAACAGAACGATGCACACGAGTCCGGAGACGAGAGCGGCGAAGAGGCCACGGCGGTGGTAGAAGGCGGGGAGGGCGCTACACAGAAAAAGAAGAAGAGCCGGAAGCGCAAGCTCAAGGAAGCTATCGCGGGCAAGGGAAAGGAGCCAATTACGTCTGCGGAATCGCCAGCAGGACAACACTTGAGCAAGGACCAAATGAACGTGCTGCTGGAGTCCAACCCGGCCCTGAAGAATGAGCTGCTGGCGAAGTCAAAGGGCAAGGCCAGCATGGAGGAAATGATGCGGAAGCTCAGTGTCAACGAGATGTTGACGGGACTCGCGCCGCAGGGGAAGAACGTGAAGGATATGGCAAGCCATGCTTTCTGGAAGACGCAGCCGGTTCCGAGCTTTGATGAGATGGCCGCGGGCAAGGAGAAGATTGTGGATGGGCCAATAAAGGAAATTGACATCGAGAAGGTGGATAAGCAGCCAAGCCCATTGTATCCTGGCTTCGAGTGGGTGACGATGGACCTTGAGGACGAGAAGCAGCTGGATGAGGTGTATGACCTCCTCACGAACCACTATGTCGAGGACCAAGAGGCGATGTTCCGCTTTCGGTATTCACCGTCTTTCTTGAACTGGTACGTTCTTCCTAATCCAGGGTGAGAGATACGAACTGACAGTGGTAACTAGGGCACTCAAAGCACCCGGCTGGAAGAAGGACTGGCACGTCGGTGTCCGCGCCTCACAATCTGGAAAACTGGTCGCCTTCATATCCGGTATCCCAATACAGCTGCGGGTGCGAAAGAACGTCCTCAATTGCTCGGAGGTCAACTTCCTCTGCGTCCACAAGAAGCTACGGTCAAAACGTCTCGCGCCCGTCCTCATCAAGGAGATCACCCGTCGCTGCTATGTCCACGGTGTCTTCCAAGCTGTATATACGGTCGGCACCCTCCTTCCCACGCCCGTCTCAACGTGTCGATACTTCCACCGAGCTATCGAGTGGGAGAAGCTGTACGATGTCGGCTTCTCCCCGCTCCCACATGGTAGCACCAAGCAGCGCCAAATCATACGTTACAAGCTTCCGGAAGAGACGTTCACCCCAGGTCTAAGGGAAATGAAGGCCGAGGATGTCGATACAGTCCTTGATCTGCTCAAGCGCTATCTGGAGCGCATGGACATGGCGCAGGTCTTCTCCAAGACAGACTTCGAGCACTGGATGTTCCCGGCCGAGAAGCCAAAGGAGCAAGTGGTGTGGAGCTATGTTGTGGAGGACCCCGCCAGCAAGAAGATCACCGACTTCTTCTCCTTCTACAGCCTGGAGAGCACCGTCATTGGACACAAGAAGCACGACCTCATCAAGGCTGCCTATCTGTTCTACTATGCGACGGAGACGGCTTTCAGCCAGGAAAAGAGCTTGCTGAAGCCGAGGCTGAATCTGCTAATCAAGGATGCGTTGATTTTGGCGAAGATGGTGAGCATCTCAAGCTTGAAGCAACTACTGGTACGGAAACTGACTTTAACAGGCCAAATTCGACGTCTTTAATTCTCTCACCCTTCTCGACAACCCTCTCTTCCTGGAAGAACAGCGATTTGGTGCTGGCGATGGCTCTCTGCACTACTACCTCTACAACTACCGCGCTGCGCCGCTTCCCGGTGGCGTCGATCCACGGAACCAGTCAAGCGCCAAATACATGGGCGGCGTGGGACTAGTGATGCTGTAGATTTGGAGATCAAACTGCTGCATACATGGACGCCCATGAACGCAGCATCTCTAGCACCCGGATAATTGCCATAGCAGAGCTTTCCTGTCCAGCGTAGCTGGCATTGGAAGGGAGCAAAGGTCCATAGAAATTCAAGCATTAACTGCGACAAAATATGCTAGAAGACAACCATGGAGATAGCGCACTCAAGGCCCTCGCATCGTGAACACTGAATTCTTTCCGACCATATGAAGAGACGCGGCGAGGGTCGACCTCGAGGCTGTGATCGTGAAGGTCACGAGATGTGAGCCGTGCATATATGTCTTGGCAAGAATTTGACCGAGCTCTACCCGCCCTCCATCAACCTCATCCCCACCGCCCAAATCGCGGCCCTCCGCGCATCAATCCCCTCTCTTCCGCCCAATCCCCCAATCCAGCCGCCGCAATGCTCCCACGAACCCTCCTCCTCCCGCTCCGGCACACCCTCCTATCCACCCGTCCAGCGCTCCCCTCCGCCGCCGCGCGCTCAATCCACACCTCGACCCTCTCGCAACAACGACCCTCAATACGCCGAAACCCGAACACCTTCGCAGAACTGAGCTCGCGGTTCAATGGCTTGCGGCTGCAAACACAACAGCAGCAGACAAGGGGAATGAAGGTGCGCAGCTCGGTCAAGAAGCTGTGCGATGGGTGCAAGAGCGTGCGTAGGAAGAAGGGGAAGTATGTGTATATTATTTGTAGTAAGAATCCGAAGCATAAGCAGAGGTGAGTAAGAGGGTTTTTCTTGTGTGGGGAGGGATGGGATGGGTGGGGGGATTGTGTGGGTGCTGGGCTAACGGAGAGTGTAGGCAAGGATAGGCGATGGTGATATGGCGGAGATTTGGATCGAGAAGGCGTGTGGGAGGGTGTCTGCCGGGACGGTGTTGGGCTACTAGTATGGTGCGGGAGTTGAATGATAAGAGAGGAGGATTGTATCATATGTTTGCATGCCCTGCATTGAGGGCGTTGGAGGAACTCGTATCGCGGGGAAGGAGATAGAATATGGACTCTCAGCTACATCATCGCATATCCGGAAATGAAAGCGTTCAGCACGACGGCATTGGACAGCCTACAGCGCACAGTTGGTATTGCACAACATCGTGACGACCAGTCCCGAATTAAATTCCATGGCTGGCAAAACTCCAACCATCCTATGATACTTTTCCAGTCCATAACCGGACGTCCCCCTTCCCCAAACTAACGTATAAGCGCCAAAGGGTATCGGGCTAAAATATACACAGGAGAAACAGAACCCGCAAGCCCTTCTCTGACAACAGCAGCACTCATCCCCACCCCGCCTTCTCGTCCGGAAAGTACCCCCGCGGTGGAGGAATCGCCCTCACTTGCGGACTCGTCGCATAGCCATTCGGGCTCCCCGGCCCGCCACCGCCGCCCACATAATTCGGCGTATTCGGCCCACTGCTGCCCGGCGTCCTCAACGGATTCCTATTCGGGACGAGCGGGCGAGCCACGAAATCGCTCTCGGTAAGCCGATAGGTGTTATCCATCTTCTGGCGGTGGAACTCGCCCTGCATCACCTTCTCGTTGTCTCTGCGGATCTCGAGCTCGCGCTGCGCCGCCATGCGCGCGCCGTTGCCGAAGCCTAGGTTATCAATCTTCTCGCTGATGCGGCGGATGTCGCTGTTCAGCATGGTCGCGCCGTCGAGCGCGCCGCTGTCGAGTTCCTCGCCGACGGGCATGCTGCTGCCCTCGAGCTCGGCGGGCGCGCCGGCGATGGGCGTCGGGTCCCAGGAGCGCTGCCAGCACCAGCTGCGCTGTTGCGAGGCTTCGAGGTACTCGGTCATGCCGATGGTGACCCATTCGGGGCAGCGCTTGAGGTCGGTGCAGAGGAAGTAGCGCACGCCGTCGGCGTACTTGAGCGACTGCACGTCGACGGAGAGGGTGGAGAGGACTTGCAGGATGCCGTAGAGGAGGACCCAGCGGCCGAGGCGGGCTTCGCGGGGCGTCGTGTTTTTGAGGTCGGCGCCGAGCTCGAAGCGCTCGAATTGGTCGATTAGGGTGCTTCCTGTGCGGGAGTTAGCATCGCTAAGGGCATGAGTGGTTGGGCGTGTGCCGCCGTACCGTTGAAAGACGCATCGAGCTTCTCGATGTTTGTGGCGTCGCTGAAGACGATGGACATCTGCAGATGCGCCTTCGCATCCTTGGTGGCGTCCGTCTTGTTCTTCTTCAGGCCGCTGAACAGACTCCTCTTCTCTTTAACCTTGGGCTGGTGTACTTCCCTTGGCAGCAACGGGTACGGATGAGGAATGTGCTGGTAGCCGTGCCGGTTGTCGAATGTGACGAGCATATCAGAGAGAGACAGCTCGGGGAGGTCAGCCCTGAAGTCTTGGGTCTTCCGGCTGACCATCTGCCACTTTTTGCCTGGACGCTCCTCTTGCGCATCCCACACCACGTCGCGGTTGACAAGGTAGTCGTAGAGCGCGCCGAAGTCTTCTTGCAGGCTGAGCGCAATTCTCCGGTTTAGCCAGCTCTTGCCCTGGTTCGGCGGCCAGTTTCCGTAGATCTTGGTGTAGTAGTTGACGAGAAATTGGCGGAATCCCTGGTAACTCTGGTAAACTGGAGAGCCCGCAGCTTTCGCCGGGTCCAGCCATAGATCGACGAAGTCGAATGTCGCCAACTTTTCTTCCGCCTCCATCACATGCAGCTGCAGAGTCTTCGCCGCGATCCCCAGGTTCCTCCTCGTTACAATGGACAACCTCTTAAAGTCTGGAAGTTCCTCGATCTGCGGAGTCATGATGCCTGCAAGATGCACGAAGCTTTCCAGATATCCCTGCCTCCATTTCACGTTATCCTGCTCCGCCCACGCAAGCAGGCCAAGCGCAAGCTTGATACTATTCCGGACGTCGTCGAGCTTGTGCTGGGTGAGATAGTCCGTTATCATACGGACGCTGCGCTCACGGGGCGTCATCCTCGACTGATTGTCGTGGTCGAGATCGTACATGACCTGGATTTCCGGCTGGAGCGTGCTCAACATCTCATACAGATCCGACCCTACGATTGGCTTGTTATGCAGCATGGCGAGGAAATTCCGAACAGCTACATGATGCAGTCGCTGACTTTGGGGAGTTTTGCAATGAGCGGGCGCAGTGAACCAGAGCTCATGTGTCGGCTGATGCGGGTTGGTTTGCTGGAACGGCGGCGGCGATTGCGCTCCAGGCCGATTTTCGTCCGTGTAATACTGAGCTCTTGATGCTGTGCCGCTTCCTGGGACTCCATAGTAGGCCTGGTCGATATTGAAAGGGGGTGGCGATATCCCGCCCGGCGATGTTGGAGCTAGCATCTGGCGTTGGCCCGAAGGGAAGTTGGGAGAAAAAGCTTGCGAAGGGGTCGAAGATTCAGGACTCCCTGGCAGTGTCCAGTCATCATCATTATCGTCAATGCGACCGTAGAGTAGTGCGTTGCAAAGCCACGTAGAGCCAGAACTTTCAAGCACGTCCAGCTCTGCACGGATCTGAGGGATTGGACGATCCTCATTGGCCTGCTCCTCTTTGAAGTAGATAAGGACGTTACCGGTCTGCATATGTTCATCCTGCTACTGTTAGACCATAGTCCTAATGCTCCTCGGCAACTGATAGATAGGGCTTACGAAGTCGAAGCCTCCGTAGGGCCGCAGCCCTTGTTCTCCACCCTCCCATATTCGGAAGTTGATCCACGTCCTATTGCTCGTAGGCGCGTACGAAAGAGTAGACTCTGCTCGGAAGATCGGGGGCGCAGGTGTGTTGGAGACGGGCTTCTTCACGGGCACGCCCCCGCCCCTCCCCCGGGGTGCTTTCGTTTCTTTTCCCTTGGCCTGATATTTCGACTTCTCCTTTCCCTTAGACGAGCTATCCGAGATGGACGCAGCTCCGCTCGCTGAAGTCTTCGGACGATGGAGCTTACTGGAAAACTCGGACGACTCCTGGGAGTTGATGGTGTTCAAGCGAGGTCTGCTGCCACTGGCGCTGCGATTGGTGGAGCTGGTTCGCGAAGTTGCGCGACTAGCATCGCTTGAGATGGTGAGCTGCCTCGAGGGAAGACTGGCGTCTCTCGTACTAACGCTCGGCGTGGGTGGCCAATCCGCGAATGCGTCGTGGGGCCTGCGGATCGACTCGACCTTCTTGGTCTTCGCTGCAGCCTTCTTTTCCTTTTTCTCGATATCTTTCACCACTGCCTTTCGGCTTCGGGCGCCTCTTGCCGACATTACTGATTAATTACTCCTTTCTCATGCGCTTCGAAGATGCAAGGTCCAGCCGCCGAATGAGCGAATTCTGAGCTGAGGGAACGAGGTTGCCGGGTTGATATGAAAGATATAGGAATGCTACGGCGAGCGGACTCGGTTGCGGGGTTGAAGCAACAGGATGCGGGCGAGCGGCAAACGGGAATAGAGCGACTCAAATGTGCAGTACAGCCTGATGGCGGAGAATGATCAGGCTACATGGAAAGGTGCGGCTGAAGGACTGCGTAGCCTGGGTGGGTGAAAGAGGCTTGCTGAGCGTAACAGATGGCGTCGAACAGAAGAGAGCGAGGGGAGGTCACAGGCGCGTCAAGGCGGAAAGGAGGGGAATGGGACAGAGGTGTTCAGCTGTGTGTAAGATGGAGTAGGATATATTGGTTTATTTTTGAGGACCCTTGCTTGCATGCGTCCCACAGGTATGGTGTCCAGGGTGCTCAAATGGGTGTAGAGCATGCGGAGCAGTGCCGGGCTCGATAAGAAACCCTGCGCGTACGGCACAGCGCTGCAGTTATGCAGTTAACCCATCAAGCGAAGGCTCCGGGGCAGCCACAGGAGACGCGAGGTCTGCACACAGCGCGCCGGGGACCAATGGCGCGGGAGGGGGGTTGTTGGCCGGCGAGAAGGGCAGCACAGGCAAACGGGCCAGAAGCGGACGGCTCGCCTCTAGCGATAAGGCCTGTCTAATTGCCCTCCCAAGGTTATGCTGGGCGTCAGCGGGACGGAGCAGCCCAGGCGGGGACCCAGGAGGCGGCCGCTCAGGAGCACACGGAGGCATCGGAGTCTGGGAAATGAGCTCGTACGGCGCGGCAAACACACAACGGGATATAGAAGCACTGCAGCGTGCTCGTCGGGCTTCGAGCAGGACGCATAGCCGTATAGCCTGAGCTAGCCTCTTGCCGGAAGCGGACTGGAGCCAACGGGCCCAACCCGCAGCGCTGGAAACGGGGAGCGCTGTCGATCGAGAGCCAACACCGACGCGATCGCAAGAGCAGCAGCTGCTCCCCGAGCGACGACTGCTGGCTGGCATGATGAGTCGCGCGTTGGACTGTTCGACTCGCAAGCGTGCTGCGCGTGAGACTGTTGGTAGAGGCTCTCGACCCGCAACCGCGACGTCAACCGCGTCCCCGTTCCTGGCAGGAGTGATAGTCGCCACGAGGCGGCACATCGCACATCATGGGCCATGATCTGTTTCAAGAGCGTGAGATTCGTCCCGTGTTTTGTTTTGCGGCGAGGCACCTGGGCATGAGACGGCCCAGCCACGCGATTTCGCTGCCAGCCTCTTCCCCGCCATCCCTCATCCCTCACCCATGTGTGGCATGCACCTTATTTGTACCGGTGGTATAGCAGGTTTCCACCCCATCAACACCATACGTCACTCGGAACGGCCGTCCGCACACCGGCCCGACTGCAGCGCAACCTCATCCCAGTTCGCAGAAATAAAAAGCCGCCCTGTCCCACGTCTTGCTGCTGTCGCCAGCCGTCCGTTCGTCCCCCCAGCCAGCGCTGCGAGTCCCCCGCATCGCTGAGTCGCAGCTGCCCGCCCTCGTCATACCGGTTCGCTTTTGGCAAACTGCCGCACTCTCTCCAGCTGTTTTGCTCGGGATAGACCCCCAGCCTCCACCATGTCGTTCTCCGGCTTCTCCTTCATCTTCTGGCGCATCATGGAAATCATCACGCTGATTCCCACGCTGGGCATGCTCGCATGGTTCGTCGATTGGTACAACGACAGGAGCCTGCTCACGCCGCAATCTGTCCTGGTGCTCTTCGTCGTCTCGGTACTGGGCGCGGCGTGGGCGCTTGGGACCCTGTTCCTCTATGCGCGCGCCCGCCACTCGGCCGGCTTCGTCGCCTTCGTGGACCTCCTCTTCGTCGGCGCATTCATCGGCGCCGTCTGGTGCTTGCGCGGCATCGCCGATGCGGACTGCTCGCACTGGCGCTCCAACGGCTCCTACAACGCAGACCTCGGTCTCTTTACCGTCTCGGGGAACAGCTATGCCCTCAACATCGACAAGCAATGCGCAATGCTCAAAGCTAGCTTTGCGTTCGGCATCATGTAAGTCCGCAGTTCCATGTACGATGGTATGGATAGCTGACACTCGCCAGGAACTGCATCTTCTTCTTCCTTACCTTCCTCCTCGCCTTGCTCGTCCATCGTCACTATGGCGACGACCGAGACCGAGTCGTCGTAAAGCGCGAGACTCACTACTCCCGCCACGGACACCGCGGCCACCGATCGCGCAGCCCGCGACACTCGCACCACAGCCGCCGCAGCTACGTTTAGGCCCCTCGTTCATTGCGGGGAGATATAAGGCAGGCATGGGAAGCGATATCAGCCCCTGCTCTGGCCAGCTTGGGAAAGGCGGAGAGGAAGGACCTTGTGAATAGGCTGCGAAGGTCGCAACGACGGGGACGTATTTATTTCAGCATTTCCGCTATCTACGCTGGACATGCTACGGTTACGAACGACATAACGACCATCTTCCTTCCTGCTCTTGTAGCTTTTTGTATGGCTTTTTTAGAGAGAGCGGAATACCCACGACATCCTCACGGACACCATCTATACCAAGGCAGAATCAAATCAAAACATCATGACCCACAATCAAAAACTTACTGTATCAACTTGATCAAGACAAGCATCTCCCGTGAATACATCTCATTCTATGGACCCGGGAATACCGTTGCTCGTATCATGACGTGGTTGACTACCAGATTCTTGGTACCCACGTGGGTCCACAACCACTAATTATGTAACGGTTTCTAGGGCATCCCAACTTTCTTTCGACGACATGCTTAGAACAGTTTTTAGAAGATGAAGTTGATTGCAAATTGTACAAACTATCCGAGAATCATTTCTACGCCTTACAGATAGGTGCTAGAGTACCACCGCTAGCCATGAAGAGAGACAGAAAGAATCCAGACGCCAGATTGAAAGTCCACCGGTCCGAACGTCTACCCATGACCTTGAACAGTAATGTAGTCCGGGGCAGATAGAGAAGTTCCCAGGAAACATCGAGGTCTTGATGTCTGGACGCCAGTCGATATGAGAAGAAAAGGAAATGAGAATTGGCCGTGCAGGAGTGCCGCCTTCGAAGAATCCCGGGATATAGTTTCCACTGATCCTATTGTCCAAGCACCCTTTTGGCCCGGTTGCTGCATGAAACGCCAAGGTAGGAAGAAGAAAGATGACCATAAAGTCGGAAGCCAGCTGCGAACCTAGCCGATTGCAGCACCCGCACAACAGTTTCCTTTCGCCTATCTCCGATCCATGCGCGGAACTAGAGGTGAAAAACGTCCACACAGGGAAATGCGCACTCGCAGCGGGGAGGGAAGAATCCTTCATCTTTGTCTGCGCACTCAGGTTCCTCGCACAAAGTACGGGAACCAGAAGTCTCCGTTCCGACCTCCCACTCTTCGTCCAGCTCGATGCCTCCTCCGCAGTCCGCGTAAAGCTCCCTCAACTCACTCTCAGTGAACTTAAGCGCGAGCACCGCAGCCTGGCGAAGGTTCTGATATCGCTGTTCTTCTTCTTCATCCAGAAAGTGCTTGACGGCAGCATCTTCGTAGGGTGCTAGCACCTCGGCGACGCGCTCATAGATGAGGCGAATCAGGATGCGAGGGCAGGGCCAGTCCTGGTGGAAGAGAGTTGGGGCGAGCTGGCCTGCAATATCCCTCCATTCCTTCTGGCGGTTCGGGAGGAAGACGACGACTGCGTTCAGGTGGGGAAGCTGATCGAAGACTTCGCAGTTGATGTAGTTACGGTGCCAGTAGCGATCGAAGCTACCGGCGGACACCTTGAAGAAGTGCATGGACGACACAATGTCGAAGGACAGGCAGAGCTTGCGAATTCCGTGGCGGAACGTTGCGTAGCGACTGAGCTCGGGATAGAACTTGGGAAACTTCTTGTAGCGGTTGGCGAGGACGTATGTGCGCTGATCGACGGGCATACCGTTTGGCTCGGTGAGTTGGTAGTGCTTCGCGAGGCGCTTCATGCGGGCTTGGAACTCGGTGTAGGCGAAGCTGGTGACGCAAAAGCCCTTGTCGAAATACAGGCTTCCATTGAAGCACAGGCGCAGCGTGATTGTGCGGACTTGTGTTGAGACACTTAGAAGTGCTTCAAAGCCTCCAAGCCTAGTAATCAACTCGCAAGGGAGCCTCTTGCAATGGCGAGGGCTTCGCTGTCGGGGAATTCCGTGGAAGTAGTCAGCAAAGTGTGGAGCTCTGTGGATGCAGACCTGGATGACGTTCTCTTTCAGCTCAGTGGGCAGTCCGTTCCAGTTGAACGCTTTCCCGTTAGAGTCCCAGTATCTCGCCAATGTCCCATGGGTGGCAATAGAATCGCTTACGGGGAAGTGCAAGGACAAGCTCTTGTTGATGGAGATCCAATTCCTGCCCTCGCGCACCAGAACCTTGTTGACGAAACGGCCTTTTCGAAAGGATGGACGACATGATCGAGTGAACTCCTTTCCGTAGCTGCTGAAGACAACGGCGACCTTCAGAGAGGGGCTAATCCCGGTTTCGGTCACCGGGATGCCGGCTTGATTCTGCACGTCAATATGCAGTGCGAAGTGAAATGGTGATTTCATGCGATAGCCCTCGACAGCTCGCCGGATGCTAGAGAGGAATTCATGCTCTTCGATACTCCCGGTATCGTTGAACATGGTATGATTCGGTTGTAGCTTCGGTACTGTGCTGAAAGGATCAGGAAGCTCAATCCGGTTCGGGTTTGGCTCGGGTTCGGCGAACATCCATGCACTCGAGGGCTGGTACCGGCGGGTTGAGCTACTGGCAGAAGCCATGATCGCTTCTGGTTGAACTAGTTAGCTAGGTTGACATGCGAATTGCACTGCCTCAGAGGAAATAGGGTCGAGGGGACCGGTTGGTCGCTCGAAGGAAAATGAATTTGCTGGACTTGTAGGTGGTCGAGAGAAGAAAAGAGGTCGAAGGAGAAGACTGTGAAGAGAGACTCCGAGGTTTTATTAGTGTAGGCAGACTAGGCAGCCACAGCCGCCGTACAATAGTTGACAATAAGTATTGTAGTGAGATTTCCGGTAACTGTTCTGAGAGAGTGAATGACAGCGGCCTGACTGACTGGACAATAGTAAGCTTGGCTTCCAAGCCTCCGGGAAAGTTTTGATCCTGCTAGGCTGGTGACCGATGTGTGACGTTGTCCCGTGCGCCCGCCAAGGTGAAAGAGTGGATCGTGAGCACGGAAGATCTCGAGGTTGGCGTAAAGAAAGTAAGAAAGCTTGAGGAGAGCAGTATCCCCCGGACGACCTAGACGCGCAGTAAGATTCTTGACTTATGATCTACCTCAAAACTGGTGGGTGCTGCAAAAGAGGTCAATGAAATCATGAACAAGACAATTGTCCAAGATGAAGGAGGAAGAAGTGAAAAGAGGCAGGAGCGACACCTGATGATTAGCTCACGCTAGTCTAGGATGCCATCACTAACCCGACATCCCTCGCTTGGGCACGGTATAGAGAGCGGTATAGCAGAGATGGCACATGGCGGCGTGATTGCCCATAGCGAGAAAACCGTCGCAAAATGGTCTGGCATACCTACCTAGGTATGGTTGAGTAGAGACCACCTGCCGGACTCTAGCACTACTACGCCCCGCAACGAAGGACTGCAACTGAACACTCTTGCAGGTGCATAGCATAGAAAGAGCACGAACACAGAAACACAATATCTTGTTGCAAGCATTCAGAGGACAATTTCCAGCTCTTTTGACGCATCCTTCGCTCTTGCATGTACATAACCGGATGGGCCTGGGGTTTGTCGGAGCAATATCCAAACACAGTAACGACTTTGAAAAGCCCACTGAGGCAGTCACAAGTGTGAATGAAAGCGGTGTGGTGAAAGGAGTGAAGTCGCTCAGCTCTTCACCCTTTCATCATCCGGAGCGATTTGCCAAGACTTGAAATTTTACCGGAGCAGGCAGCACTCTCTGCACCAATAGTCTTCCAGCTTTGTCCACGACGCCTCACCATCAAACATCAACTTCTACTAAACCGACGAGACGTAAACTCTCAAAATCCACCAACATGAATTCAAACGCGTCGGGCCACGCCGAGCGGGGCGATGTTGTGGCCTTGGAAGCGGTGCGGAGACAACTGATGCCTCTGCTCTACAACATGGAGAACCTACAGCAGGAGATAATGGCGAATCCTAATGCGCCGCCGGACTGGTAAGATGCTATTTTCTATTCTTTGTATGTCTCTGGCAGCCGGCCATTTTTGGTCTTTTCCCTCCTCTGCACCGCTCTTTGTCGTCGTCTCTATTCTTCAACCTTCTCCGCTCTCTTTCTCGTTTCCTCCGTTCTTGGACTTCTAATGGAAAGCAAGATATGATTTTTCTGATTTCGATGCCTACACTTGTACCTTCTTTTAAGCTCCAATCATAGGACTAACCGATCCCAGGCCTTCCGTCCAACGCAGCACCGCGGCCCTCAGCAACGCCCTCAACGGCCTCCAATCGCTCTTAAGCGAGGACCTCAACATGACGCAAACAATATGGCAGCTCCACCCCTATCCCATGACCCCCTTCCCTATCGACAACCCCGACATGGCCGGGCTCGCCTCCGTAATCCTGCGCAAACGGCTTGATGTCAACGAAGAGAAATGGATTCTTGACCGCCTCGCGAAAGCCCAGGAATTCGCTCACGTGCCTGAGGACTTGGTTATCGAGCCCCGGAAGCCGAAGGATGACGGGAAGAAGGACGGGGATGAGAGTAGTGATGATGAGGATGAGGATGGGGATGGGGATGACGGGCCGGATGGTGCGAGGGTGAAGGTGGAGCGGCGCAAGGGAACGCTGGATGAGGATCAGTTGGCGGAGCTTTGGGGGATTAGCAAGGATGTTGTGGAGGAGGAGTTGGCGCATGTGGGCGAAGAGCAGATGGGAGAAGAGTCGCAGGCGAGCTCGCCGGCGGATGTCGATATGGGCGGAACAGGCTCCCAGCAGCAGACGGACGACGCTTCCAAGAACGCACAACAGACTGCGGCACAGCAAATTACGCCCATGATGCCTCTGGCTACCATACACAGGTTCATGACTACCGGAGCGGCGGTACTGAAGCCGGAAGACAAGTAGTGAGGACAATTGATGGCGGTCACTATTGGAGATTGGGCGGCATATGGAACGGTGCATAACTTGGCGTTATGGGTAGGGTATGATACCAACATTCAGACCGGAGTCTTGGGGACCAAGGATTGTCTTGAATAAAAAACTATGCGCACAGCGGACAAATAGCGGTACTCCGAGCTATTCCATCTTCATGAACGCTTTCAATGCTGCCCGGGGTATAATGATGAGCCTGAACGTGCTGAGAACCTACTGCCCTCCATCTAGCTCTAGTCCGTCACTCCGGCTTCAAAGCATACATGCGCACGGGAAAGAGCTCTCTTGGAAAGCCCTTCTGCAGCTCCTCGGCCACGATCTTCAGCCCAGCCTCCTTGAACAGCTTTCTGAACTTCGCATCCGATCGCGTCACACTTGAATCCTGCTCATCGTAAATGTCTCTTTTCACCCAATCCGTGGACTGGTTCTCCTTGACTACGATCCACGACTCTCCCTCCCTGACTAGTCCCTCTTTACATCGCTGAAGGTATGCCACTAGCTGTGCATCTGTAAGATGACCCAGACACCACTGGTTCCATATTACGTTGTACCCGCCCGGTTCTGGCGTCCAGTCCTGCAGACCCAGATTTATCACCTCCCCAACTTGTCCCTTGCCCTCGTTTGTTTCCTCACCATCTCCGGCCCACTCTCCGCTGCCCAAGCCCTGCACCAGCTCGTCCGTGAACTTCTTCACCGGCTCCACGACATCCACCTGCTTGCTCACACCCAGCAACAGCCCCTTTGTTATCCTGCCCACACCCGCTCCACAGTCCGCCGCCCTGCTCAATTGCTCAAGCGGCGTTTTGCTTGATTGCGACTTGCCGCGCCGTAGCTTTGTGAAGAAGTTGGAGGAGCCTTGTAGGTCGATGCGCGATGTCTGGGGGTAGCCGCCGAGCATGCCGTTTACGGTTGCGTCTACAGAGTTCCAGTATACGAGGGCATCGTCTTGATTTATGTAGGAGTCGGGGGCTCGGGAGGTCGTAGGAATGGGAGGGTCGGCGTCCATGTCCATTGCTCGGCTTGGGTGGGATGGGAGTTGGCTTCGGGACGCGATGCGTGCGTGGCGCGTTTGCGGAATGAGGTCACGGCTCTTCGCTAGGCCGGCGGGGTAGAATTAAGCTGGAGGGAAATAGCTAAGAAGCGCGCGAGGCATAGTGCTGTGGGTGTTAGTGAACTCAGTTGTTAGCCAGGAGTAATGGACAGCTTCGCGAGAGGAGATGGCGGGGTAGCGGCAGGGGAGCGACGCGTCTGGTACCTGGTCGGCATTGCTCTCGGGCCCGCAAAACGGGTGAATAACTGCAGTGACATATACTCGACGGATCGGCTAGCGTTTGAAGCGTGTTGCGAAGCATCGGTGCGAACGCCGCCGAATAAGGAAAGTGTATCCGGATAAGCTGTTATCGAGTCCGACAGCGTCATATCGCGGGGTTGACGACCACTTGGGAAGCAGCAACGGCCGGATAGCTGCGAGAAGGCTGCCACACCATTTGGCCCGACCCATTGATAACCAGGCGTCTCCTCGTCTTACCGACACCGATGCCCTCTCTTTGTTGCCGCCTCTTCAAGCCTCCACCTCCCTCCTTTCCACAGTTTCGTCGCCTTTTGCGAGCTTCTGTCCCTGCGCCATTCTCATTCGTCAGGACCATCAGCAGCCGAGCAGCCATGTCTGACCTCTTCGTTGAGCTCACGGCACCAAATGGCCGAAAGCATACGCAGCCGAGAGGGCTGTTTATCAATAACGAATTCGTTCCTTCTAAATCCGGCGAGACACTCACGAGCATCAACCCGAGGTATGCAATATCAGGTCCGCAGTGTGTGAATGGGGGGCTAATATTGTTGATTCAGCAACGAGAGTGAGATTGTGTCCGTCTATGCTGCCGGACCTGAAGATGTCGACACTGCGGTAGCTGCGGCACGGAAAGCTTTCAAAGATCCGTCATGGCGCGACATGGACACCACCGCTCGAGGAGACCTTCTGTTCAAGCTCGCTGAACTCATTGAGCAACACCGCGAGACCCTGGCGACTATCGAAACTTGGGACAATGGCAAACCGTATCAGGTCTCCTTGAACGATGACCTGAGCGAAGTCATTGGCACCATCAAATACTATGCAGGCTATGCAAACAAGATCCACGGTCAAGTGATCGATACATCGCCAGCAAAGCTCGCATACACCATCCGCGAGCCTCTCGGTGTTTGTGGGCAGATCATTCCGTAAGTTTCTCTTTCACGGGCGGCGGCATCAGCAACTGACATGTCAAAGCTGGAACTTCCCCCTTGCCATGGCAGCATGGAAGCTCGGGCCAGCACTTTGCACTGGAAACACCGTCGTATTGAAGGCGGCGGAGCAAACACCACTGTCCATTCTCTACCTGGGCACTCTCATCAAGGAGGCAGGATTCCCACCAGGTGTTGTCAACTTTCTGAATGGCGAGGGTCGCAAAGCTGGCGCAGCCTTGGCACAGCATCTCGACGTGGATAAGATTGCTTTTACGGGATCAACAGCTACTGGAAAGGAAATCATGAAGATGGCGGCAGTGAACATGAAGAATATCACCCTGGAGACGGGAGGCAAGTCGCCACTTCTAGTGTTCGATGACTGCGATCTGGACCAGGCTGTCAAGTGGTCACATGTCGGTATAATGTACAACCAGGGACAGGTCTGCACAGCTACCTCTCGTATACTGGTCCAGGAGGGCATATACGACAAGTTCGTCGAAGCGTTCAAGGAGTACGTATCAAAGACCTCGGTAGTCGGGGATCCGTTCAAGGACGACACCTTCCAAGGACCGCAGGTTACCAAGACGCAGTATGAAAGAGTACTGGCGTACATCGAATCCGGGAAGTCTGACGGTGCCAAGTTGGTAGCGGGCGGAGAAGCTTACAAGGATGTCGGTGGAAAGGGCTTCTTCGTCTCCCCAACTATCTTTACCAATGTGAAGGATAACATGAGGATCTACCGAGAAGAGGTATTCGGTCCTTTCGTTGTCATCAGCTCATTCAAGACCGAGGAAGAAGCAATTGAACGAGCCAACGATACTACCTATGGACTCGGAGCAGCCCTCTTTACCCAGGACATTACCAAAGGGCACCGTGTCGCAAGACTCATCGAAGCGGGAATGGTGTGGATCAACTCCAGCAACGACTCCGACATCCGGATACCATTCGGAGGAGTGAAGCAGAGCGGTATCGGACGGGAGCTTGGCGAGGCTGGACTGGAGGCGTATACAAATAAAAAGGTATGAACCCTGACTACAATTGGTCGCCATCTTTGAGCTTTGCTGACGAGAGCAGGCTATTCATGTCAACCTTGGCACGAAGTTGTAGCTGAACCGCACGGCGTCTGTGGAAGTACGGGAATCTGGGTAGATGGTGACTGGCCACGTGGAGGAACCGCCATATACGCCGATACGGTCGCCAATCGAATTATCTAGAGAGCAGACCCTTTCCAGGTTTGGTCTCGCCCCAAGGCCTCGTCGTCGGAATCAAGCCTTGGCGCCACGGCTTGGACATGTCGTTTGCGAGAGGTTGAGAAAGCTGTGTACAGGTCCGCAGAAATACCAATCGAATTTTGCAGAGGGACCCTAAGTGCTTCGTCCGCGTGACTCTAATGCCGCCTGCAGGTACGCGACGTGGCAGGCCAGTACCACAGTAGATGAAGTTGGGCAGCAAGGTGCAAATCGCCGCAGTAGTCTTGAGTGGGATATCGCTCGGGCGCAGAGAATCCGGCGCGGGAAGGCCCCCTGATGCAGAGAAAAGACGCGGCAAACACGTCGTTAGATGGGCTTGCCGCTGTGGCAGCGTAAGGGCCTTCGAAGCCCGATGTCGTAACGTCGGCGTCGGCTCAACGTGGATGCGGCCGCGAGCTTCCCAGGTCACAGTTACCTAGGTATACCGCCTCGGAGGGGCGCGTGACTCCGGAGCTGAGCTAATTGTGAGTTTCCCATGGGCTTCTCCGGGCCAGAGCCGATTGTCGGTCCGTTTGCTGTCGTACACCAGCATCGTGCTGGCAGAGACGTGTTCCGTAGAGGCGCAAAGGCGGCTTTGTGCTCTTGGACTCTGGGCCGCCCACTCTGGGCCGGGGTCCTTGTTAGGGCGACTTGGCGGCTCCCAATCAGCACGGCGGTGGTGACGCTTGAGAGAACTGCTCGCACTCGCGCACTCTATCTCCAGTCTGCCCGTTCTCCCCTCCCCAGCACACTTCGCCTCTGCGGCTCCCTGCTGCAACCCCACCGTTCGCTCTAGCTTTCACGGGCCTGGGCCTCCGCCAGCGTGTGATCAATCGCCAACAGGCTCGACGTCGGCCTCGTCACTAAAACTTTCGCATTCACCGGTCCGCGTCGGCTGGGTCCTCGATAGCGCGGTCCTCGCCACGGCCTAGCAGACGTAATTCAGCGCCTGCACTAATCAGTCCCGGGGCTTACCTTCGCACGCTCGCTAGCTATCTCCACCCCGCCGTCTTCCTCCCACCGCCGAGCCTGAGGTCACCACTATCCGCTCCATGAGCGCCGCCGCCGCTTCTCTCTGAGCCAGCTCTCCCAGGACGCTTCACACACATCCATCGCTCTGGCTCGCAGACGGGACTTCGAATTGTCCTTCGACGCCGCCGCTCCTCTGCTGAACGGGCGAGACCGGTGTCCCGCGCAGCAGGCCGCGCCGAAGGAGGCCAGTTTTTTCGCCTTCCTCTCGCGCCTTTACCGGCCGCCCTAGCTACGGCTTGCGCTGTGGGCACTCCTACCCGTATCACCCCCCGTTGCGCCTTGCGACTGCCGTTCTGCGGTTTGGGGAGGAACACAGCTTATCCCCGCCCTCGATCCTGCGACGTTTGCAGCGCCACCGCTTCCCGCTATCCGCCAGAGCCTATCTAAGAGAAGAGGCATCCCAATACTCTACACACAACACACCACATCACTATCACTACGCACCCTGTCGTAGTATCGAGGCCGGCAACATGGGTAATCAGCAGTCCAGCAACAAGAAAGACAAAGGAGAGAAGGGTCCCGTTGAGGGCCTTTCTCTCGAGCGCGAGAATTATCGCTCATTTGACAGGACAGATACCAAGGAGTCCGCACGATCGCTTCGAAACTCCATCAGGTCGAAGATACCCGTCCCTGGCAAGAACGACAGCCCGAGAAACTCCGTCTCCAATCTCAATGACGCCAACGGCAAAGCCGATAAATCCGACGCGGCATCAACCAGGTCAACAAACAGCAAGGCAGGGAACCGCTCTCGGCGAGGCTCGACCGCTTCCGCCCAAGAAGCTGGCATTGAGACAGCCGCCAAAGCCGACGCACTATCCGACAGCCCGCAGCCCCCGCCATCGCCCGTTCATGGCGCCTCGCTCGGAACAGGCCACGGCTCTGTGAGCAAAGCACAGCGGACTGGCGAGGTCGACCATGTTTCAGAAGCGCCTCCTTCTGGAGTGCCCCCGCCGTCCGCCACGGCCCAACCCGGCGAACCGATCCTACAGAGGAAGGACCAACCGATTCCTCGGGCTGAGCAAGCGCCGACACCAAATGACGGCGGGGGGTCGCCTATGGAAATAAGTGCGTTGAAGGCAATGGACCTCGATGACATGATTCAGCGCTTGTTGGATGCGGCATACACCGGGAAGGTTACCAAGACGGTCTGCTTGAAGAATGCGGAGATCATGGCTGTCTGCGCGGCTGCCCGCGAGCTTTTCCTCACCCAACCGTCTCTACTCGAGCTGGCACCCCCGGTGAAGATTGTCGGCGATGTCCACGGGCAGTACACGGACCTCATCCGCATGTTCGAAATGTGCGGCTTCCCTCCGAACTCGAATTACCTATTTCTCGGTGACTACGTCGACAGGGGCAAGCAGAGCTTGGAGACGATTCTGCTGCTGCTATGCTACAAGCTCAAGTTTCCCGAGAATTTCTTCCTCCTCCGCGGGAACCACGAGTGCGCCAACGTAACACGCGTCTACGGCTTCTACGACGAATGCAAGCGAAGATGTAACATCAAGGTCTGGAAAGCGTTCGTTGACACTTTCAACACCCTTCCTATTGCCGCAATCGTTGCGCAGAAGATCTTCTGTGTGCATGGCGGTCTCTCCCCAAGCTTATCCCACATGGACGATATTCGCCAGATTGCTCGACCAACAGATGTTCCCGATTATGGATTACTCAACGACCTGTTGTGGAGCGACCCCGCCGACATGGAGAACGATTGGGAATCGAACGAGCGCGGCGTCAGCTATTGCTTCGGCAAGAAAGTCATTATGGAATTTCTGCAGCGACACGATTTCGATCTTGTTTGCAGAGCTCATATGGTCGTTGAAGACGGCTACGAGTTCTTCAATGATCGCATATTGGTCACGGTGTTTTCTGCACCTAATGTAAGCTCTCCCTCTTCATACGATGTTCGTTCTGTACTGACTCTGTCAGTATTGTGGTGAATTCGATAATTGGGGCGCCGTAATGTCCGTTTCGGCGGAATTGCTGTGCAGTTTCGAGCTTCTTAAGCCACTCGACTCTAGCGCATTGAAGCAGCACATTAAGAAGAGCAGGAATAAGCGGCAGAGCATGCTTAACTCACCAGTACGTATTCAGAAGATGGCTAATCAGAGACGCAACGTCACAGGGCCATCTATATCCCCTATCGAATATCCACTGACTTCTCGATGCAGCCCGCAGCACAATATCCCCAAAGTTACTAACACGCTGCTCCAATGTAGGGCGGTGAATGTAGTAACGAGGCCGGATCCCCGATCATTACGAAGCAAGCGTTTACACAGGACCTGGAATATTTCGGTTTGGTCGATAAATACAAGTCCGCAGATGCTCCCGAGCGGCATCGTCTCCGGAAGAAGGTGCGGCATGGTCATCTGAGGTCTTCTTCGGATCATTGTGATGGATCGGATGACGGCAGAGACAACAGCTCGCGCCCAGCTACCGCTGCATCTGAAGCATCCTCTGATGGAGATGTTGAAATGGGTGATTCTCCTGCGCTTCGAGCTAAAGACGACGATGTTAGCGCTTCGGAATCTGATGATGAACCAGCGGAGCCAGAGGATCCGGAGGTTAGGGAGAAAATACGAAAGGAGAAGCGAGACCTCTGGGAATCTACGTTACCGAAGAAGTTGATCAAGGGTATCTCTGGTCCTGCGGACCCCAGCTATACATTCATCGAATCCGACGAGACACCGACGTTGACGTACGAGAAGCGGTTCCTTGCGGCGAAGAACAAGAAGGCCACAGGCACTAGGAGGCTGCCCTTCTGCTCCTGACCCACTCGAGTGTTGGCTACCCCAACTTTTCATTCCGCTGCTCCGACTTTTCTTTCTCGTCTCTTCCACCAGCATATCTGCGGAACGGCATCTCGGCTGGTCATCCTGTCTTTTCTGTACGATTAATATCGGCTTCGGCATGCTAAAAGGAACATTTTCAACTACCGCGGCGCTTGGTTTTCCTTCTTGGGTTTCAGTTTTTCCTTGTTAGTTCGACCGACATCGGTCTTTCGGCAGTACTGCCTAGGGTGTTCATAGAAGGGTTTCTGGGACGGGCCTCTTTAATATCGAGTGGCGGACGTGAAGGACGGGTGGCGGGAGGAACAACAAGTTGCTACTGATGGTATGGTTAGCGGTTGACGTAGCTCACAGCGATATTGCATTGGATTCTTGAAAGTGCAGATGAAGCGCCCATCACTGCCATGTGCACCGCCTGGCTTCAATGAAGCCAGGAACTCGATCCTTTGACCTTGACTGACTTCAGAAAACAAGACCGAGAGGAGGACGCTAGGTCCGAGCATGAGGGAATGATGGAATGGTAATACAGCCAAGAGGCTGGGTAGGCGTACCATTCTCATGCTTGAAGAAGGGAAGGAGACCTACTAGACCTATGCACCTTGGCAGCTTAGAATGATATCCCTCACAACGCGTAATGCCAAGGCGGCATTGTGGTGATGCTCGGCTTGGTGTTGAGCGCTGCGGACGGACACCGTTGAGCCCAAAATAGCGCGTGTGGCCGTTGCACTAAGACGGCGCGGCACGTGGGAGACGGCGGAGAGGTCGTCGAACCACGCCGACGTTCAGGTCAAGTCCAGCCTTCTTCCAAGTTCATCATCTCCGCCCTGCGCCTTCTTACACACCTCAGTTGTATACACCTCAGCCGGCCCATCCAGCGCCGCAGCGCAGCAGCTTGGCATTGCATCCTCTCACACCGCGAGCCAGGTCAGCTCCGCAAGCATCACTACGCTGAGGAGAATCTCCGCCTTGCCAAGCCAAAGACAACATCTGCTCGACCATCAAAGAAGTCTCTTCTAACGGGGGGAAAATACCGCAGCGCCAGGAGAAACGCGGGCGTTCGTCAAGGGGAAGGAGGGACGTTTTAACGCTTTAGCCAGCGCTCCTCGAGCCTATTTCTGCGTCTCGGAGTGGGCTGATTTCTAGGGGTTTCGCGAAGCCAAGATCGCGAACTTCGGTGCAAAGGCGAACGGATGCCGGCTGGAAACGTGCGAGAGCGCCGTAGAGGCGCCTATGGCGGTGACGACGCCGTCGTCGGCAACTGTGGCTGGCGGGAGCTTGGCGGGAGGTGTCGGCTGGGGTCCGTCGAGCGTGTCAGCGGGCGATGACGGGTCTCCGCCGAGCGCCAAGTTGTTTCCAAGCGGAGGACAAGAAGTCTCAGATGCTGCGCTTTCGTGGCCATGTCCGCTGGCGGTAATCTGAACCACGAGGGTGAGAAGGTTACCATTATCGACAGTCGGTGCGAGATGAGTAATATTTTCATTTCCTCTATTGCTGGCTCGTTTTGTCGGATTGCAGCTGAGCGATCCTGCACACTAACTCCGGTCTGATGCGCAGTTCAGATCATTGCCATCTCCAGCGGTCCACCGTTCCTTTCGCAGCGGTTCTTCTCGTACAGCGAAACTCCTGCCCGCGCCAACCCCAGACAAGGGGTTCAAGCACATGTCACCAAGCCTTAGCCCAAAACGAGCTTCATGCCAAACATTGGCCACAGCTCTAGGCCATTCTTAGCCTTTTCACGCTTTTTCATACCTTGGCACCGGTCTAGCCTCAGGCTGCCGGCTGCAGGGACTCGCACACATGGCTCGTTCCTGGATATCCGGATCCCTTCATCATCTCGAGTCGCCCCGGGGGACAGTCTTGAGTGTTCGACTTGGCCCTGCGGGCTCATCTTGGCCTCGGCGCTCACGGAGCATCGTGTCTTAGGAGGCGTAGTAGAGCGGGCGTCAGGCCACCGTTTATATCTATGCTTGGGTAATACCTATCCATCAGCTTTCGTTTCTGTTCCGCTCACTCTTTCAGTTTTCAGCCTGCTTCGTTTGCCTCGAAGCTTTGGCTTCTTTTCTGTTCTAAGCCTCCTCTTCTTTCCTAATTCTTACTCGGCCGAGGTAGATCCTGTGCCTGTCTTTTCTGTTCCCTTTGCGCGTAGATCGTCGCTAATACATATTCTCTTCGCTTCTACCCTCTTTTGTATCCGTGTTATCCTGAGTACCTTCTTTTGGCTTCAGTCGCCCCGATCTAGCCTTTTTTCTCAAGCAGTGATCTCAATTTCTTCCGCTTTTACATCATGTTATTCACAACGCTCCTTCTCGCCGGCACGGCATCTGCCTCCTGCCTCCACGGCGTCTTCAAGCGCGAAGAGGGTGAAGTTGAGATCCCCTTCTTTGGATACGAGGACACTTTCGGTCCACTCAACTGGGCTTCCCTAGCGGCAGAGAATGAGGCGTGCAAGACGGGAGCAAACCAGTCGCCCATCAACATCGGTATGTATCCCTTCACGATCAGCCATTGCGACGGCGATGCTAACTGTATGGTACAGACAGCTCAGTCAGTCTCGCAACCGAGAAGCCCATCCTAGACATCCCCCAACAAGCCGTCGAATTCGAGAACCTTAACACCACCATCGAAGTCGTCGTAAACGGCACCACCACCTTCGGCGGCTCGCAATTCCGCCTCGCGCAGTTCCACATGCACACGCCCAGCGAGCACAGAATCAACCGCGAGTACTTCCCGCTCGAAGTGCACATGGTGCATCAAGGAATCGGTACGTGAACATCAGTTTGGCTTCGGAACTTGACGCTTCCGCCAAGCGCATTTATCCATGTCGCATCTCACACACCCCTTCGGAACGCCACATCTAAAGCATCGCCCACTAACCTGTGTCATAACAGCCGACCCTGGCCAAATCGTCGTCCTCGCACTCATGTTCGATCTGAGCACCGAGGCGTCGGATCCCATCATCGCCGGGCTGACGCCGCATCTTTCTGCCATCACGGAAGCGGGTACCAAGACGGCCATCGAAGCGGGTCTCGACTTCGCCAATGTCGTCGCGCAGCTCCAGACCTCCAACATCTTCCAGTACACCGGCTCGCTCACCACGCCGCCGTGCTCCGAGGGCGTCATCTTCCTCGCCATGGAGACCCCGCTGAAGCTCAGCGTCCCGGACTTCAACGCTATCAAGAAGGTCGTCAAGTTCAACAGCCGCGTTACGCAGAATGTGCTGGGGTCTGAGAACATCATCGCCGTTGCCGGGCTCTCGGGCGCGTCTGCCGCTACCAACGAGACGGCCGCGGAGGAGGAGCAAGCCACTGCGACCGAGGCTCCTGTTGCTGGCGAGACCATCGTGGTCACAGAGCTCTCTGGCGTTCCGATGGCGACGCCGATCACGGGGCATGTTGCTGCGCGGGCGAGGCGCGTGAGGCGTCAGTTGTAAGGAAGGGCGGCATAAGAGCATGATTCTGACGGATAGAAACGAGAGGTTGTCGCGTTTGTTGTTGTGATAGTGTTGCATAGCGTGGGTGTTGTGGCGGGTTTGAAGGAGGCAGTAATCAATGCATGTCGGAGAGGGCGTGCTGTAAATGAAGGTTTTTGCCGCTGCGCAAGTATATCCACTGTTTTTTTACTTTGATCTAGAGGGGTTTTGGTGTTGACATGAGTCGGTAGACCGAGCGGCATACCCAATTAGAAAACTCGAGGTGCGGCTTTTGCATTCTTTTGCTCGAGTTTTGCTCCTTGATGTACATCTCTATCCATCGTGTCGCGGAACTCGCACATCTTTTCTATACCCGTCTTATCTTCACCTCTCTGACACATCACATATTCCTACCTCCCTTCCATCTAATCATGCACTACTCACAAACAACAGATCTCACCACAGATAGCAAGAAGACATGTCATCCAAACTCTTATCCGTCGCACACCAAACCAAGCCTTCTTAGCGGCCCCTTGGCCAGCCTTGACATCCCCCGCCCCCCACCAAGCATCCTCGCCCAAAGCTTGACACTCCCTTGTCCAGCGAAGATCCATGGCATTGGGAGTGCCCACAAGTCAAGCGCTGCCGCGCGCTGAGCTTGTGTGCGTGAGCGTGGTTGGGCGTTTTGAGGCCGCAATGAAACCGGGGATCGGCGTTGCCCAGACACCACGTCGGAAAAGCGGCACATGGTGGGGGAACAGGTCCAGGAGAACGGGGAATGACGTGCAGGAGGGTGCGGGAAGGAAGGCTGGAGCAGATCTGCTGGTGGGTCGCGGGCGGTGGGATTTGCATCTTGGATCGCATTGCAAGAATGGAGGGCCGGGGGGAAAGAAGTGGGTACGCGGTGGAGAAGTGGCTGCCGGATCAGGAGGGATGCATGCGGGACTCGAGGCCTTGAAGCAAGACCAGCCCAATCCGAATCCTCGATTGAGCAGTGCACTCGTTCTCGCCCAGGCTTCTTTGAAATGCAGCACTCTTGCCTGTCCTCTAGTCATGCCCAGAGTTGGCTCCGGTCAAGAACGTGACTACAAGCATATAGCAGACTATGGGCTATTCCGCGTCCTCTCCGATGTATTGCGACTGCTCCTACCTTGTCGTCACATGGCGCCGCTGTATTTGAAGACGATTCGACATATTCCAACACCGATCACTCTGTACGCTTCGAAGGGAGCGGCTAAGACATAAACAGTCTCCATTCCCACGAGAAAGTACAGAATGTTTACCCAGTGCAAAAGAAGCGGGCAGTATTCCCGCCTAGAGCGAAGCCCATTCCGTCGCTATGTCGGGCTTTGAAGGAACCTGGAACGTAGTGGACTTCGTAGTCAGTCTTCAACCGTGGCAGGAGCGTTCAAGACACCTCAGCTCACTCAGATCAACCTACCTAGGTAACCTTCCAAGGTTGAGAATCAGTCCAACACATGAGTCCGTTCCGCCCAATCCATATATTCGCATCCAATGCTTTGCTTTTCCAGCCCGCAATGCTATCAATACGTGGCAATTCGTTTGACAAAGGGAAAATAGAGCAACCAGAGGTATCGTAAGCGGCCGCACAAAGACTGACAACCCCACCAACGCCGACGCCCCCACTCGCAGTGCAACTTGAACAGAGAGTATCTTGCCATCTTCCAAATCTTGCCCGAAAAGTTCGCAAACCTCGCCCCAAACACTCGTCATTCGTACACTTGTATATGATCCATTCGGAACGAAAAGATGGAACCACAGAAATTTCCTCATAGCTTGACACCCCAAATGCCTCTCCCGCCACAGACACCAACCCACTCCCCGCCTTGCCCAGTTAGAGCACTCTGCGGCGCCCAGCTGAGGTTCCCGACCTCGTATTCGCATCTCCAGCTCGCATATGGTCCCTTCTGGCCCATTGTGCCTCCAGTCTGTTGCCCTGAGCCACCGTTGGTCGGGTGAGCACTGGCCGGTGTAGGAGGTTGTGTCCCGTGGTCACCGTTTATTACGGCGCCGTTGTGCGAGTGGAGTAGATCCCAGACGAGGACGAGGGAGTCGTCGGCACCGGAAGCGAGCATGCCTCTTCGCGAGGGGTTCCACTCTATCGAATTTAGAGGCGCAGAGTGACCGCGGAGCTCGAGAAGGGCTTGGCCAGGCTGTCGGACATCTAGAATGCGGATGAGATTGGAGTCTGCGGCGAACGTGGCGAGGAGATGGGAGTCATGAGGTGACGCAGCTAGGCGGAGCAGGGGCGGGGCGTAGGACATGGTTTGTTGGGCTTTTGTAGGCGACATGCGACCAGGTGAGCCTGTTGCGACCTTGTCAGCAAAGAGAAACGACGCGCTTTGAGAAGTGCTCCTGCCTTTGTCGGACGTGCTGCTGTGCGGTTTTTCGGAAGGCTCGTATATAATGGTACTGTGCTCCAAGCTTCGAAGATCGAACATTCGGACGCTGCCATCTGCTCCACAGCTGACAAAGACATCCACGCTTCCCGCACAGAATCGCACGTCAAACACCTCCTTGTCGTGCGCTATTAGCTGCGTCTTGGCAGTTAAGGTTGGTATGTCCCATATCGTGCAGGTGGTGTCTATGCTGGAGGTGATTATAAGCTTTGGAGACATGGTGTTCCAGTCGAGCGACGTTAGGGGTGCCGTATGTTCGGGAGTTTTGGAATTGGAGAGGAGGGCAAGCGGGGTCAGCTTCTGAGGCGGCGGATCCCGAGTATTGACAGAGGATGATCGTGTTATTGTGTTGCTCGCAGGAGCGCCCGTTGGCTGGGGAAGAGACCATAACCGTAGGTGGTCGCCAGAAGTGGCAAGGAGATCGGTAGATTGTTTCTGGGAGGACGGAGGTTCCCACAATATTCGGGTAACGGGGTAGGAGCAGGTGGCTTCGGCGACGCGCGTGTACTCAAGGCCGTACTGCGGTGCTGCGGGCGAAGAGACGTCTTGCGAGACAATCTGGGTGTCGAGGATTTGGATCTGCATAAGCGCGGTTAGTCTGCGAACGACAAGTGGTATGCGCTCGGGGGAGGGCATACAAAATTATGTGTGTCTTCTAGGTAGCTTCCAACCGCCATCTTCCCAGCACTGTTTCCGCCATGGACGTGCCATTTGCACCAATCAAAGGCATACACTCCCCACGGCGCCAGGTAATTGCTGTTGGTGGGCACCCGGTCGCTGTCGGTAAACAGTGTCCCCGCGGCCATGGCATCCTCGGCCATGTTCGAGTTTGCGCGCGGCCTGATGTCGGCCAGGCCCAGGGGGGAATTGGAGGCTGCGCCAGAAGGAGTCGAGGGATAGTATTTCTGGGCAGGCGTGCCGGCGGTGTACTTGGATTGTTCGGGGGTGTGGGAGAAGGGAATGTACTTTTGGTCGGGCCCCAAGCCGGCGGGGCTCGATCGTGAATAGGTATGCGAGGAGGAATGCGGGGGCTGGTTCATGGTGTTGGAGCGCGTGGGGAGCGTGTACTGCTGGGCGTTGGTGTTGATCTGGGGCATGGTAGGAACGGTCGACGGCGCTGTGTACGCGGTGGAAGGGCCAGGCCGCTGCTGTTGGGCGTTGCTGCCGGGCTGCAGGCTGCCCGGGACGTTGGTACTCGCAGGCGTGCTGCTGAACTGGGAGCCCTGCGGAGTCGCCTGGTGCAGATTGATATTGGGCGCTGAGCCGGCCGAGTACTGCTCCGGCGAGTTGTACATGTGCTGCTGCTGCTGCTGCTGCTGCTGCCCCGATGCCGATGCTGGCGGCTGCGAAGGGACGTGCTGGCCCATGGTGGTCGATATATGCAGCTCTTCCGGCGTCCTGCCCAAGGTCGGCACGCGGCGCGGCGTCTCGAAGGAGCTGTTCGACAGCGGCGGCGCCGTATGTCCGCCCGGGAGCACTCCGCCCGGAGACTGCAGGCCCGGCGCGTTCCCGCTGCCGGGCAAGAGGGCGTCGGTGCCGGCGCTGGTCGTGCCTGATGTCGCTACGCGCAGGTTGCCCGTCGGCGCGCCGATGGAGCCCAACGCCTGCGCGGCCTGGTAGATGCCGGCCGCGGGCGTGTTCTGCGCATTCTGGTGGTGGTGCGTGTGGAAGGGCATGGCGCCGTGCAGAGGGCGCCTGTGGTGGGCGGATTGCGGGGAGAATGGCAGTGGGCGGGTGGAGGGAGTGCTCGTGGTGTTTCTCATGCTCGGCTCGACGTCGGTACGTACCAGGGCTGGATGACGCCGAGCCTCTCGCACCCCTCGTCGCCGTTCCTGTCTGCTCGTCTGCTTCCGCCATCACGCTCATTTCATGCTTCTCCTTGGCTTCCGTCGATTTGGCCTCATCGTGACTATCAGGCCCGCCCCGCGTCTCCAGCCCTCTGTGCGACCCTTCACAGCAATGCCGCCGTCTCTCAAACAGCACCGCGCCCTGCTGCTCCTCCCGCCCGCGCCGTCACCGCCATCATACGCGGCATTGAAGGCAGCGTACAGCTCGCCGCTGTTCACAGTGCTAAAAGAGCTTGCGAGGACGCCCCGGAGGGCGCAGGAGCCCGCCATTCTGGACATTGCCTTGCCGTGTCCCCACCTCTATGGACAGATAGGCGCACCGAGAGGGCCGCTCTATGCAACCACACAGAGCCTTGTAGCAGGCCTTTACAAGCTCATCTGCGTCATTGCCGCGAAGAACGCAATTGACACCGAAGATGCTGAAGGCGTTGACGCTCGCGTCGTTCCCGTTGCGTACCCGCGAGACGGCAAGCTGGAGAGTCCCATTGAAGATCCGATCCCCGATCAGGAACTCCAGGGCCCAGCTATCCATCTGCGCACCCTTGCCCGCAGTCCCAGGGTTTGGGACACGGTCTACTCGGTTGAATGCGAAGAGGGTGAGGGGGTGCTGCAGAACTTTGTTTCCTTTTCCGCATCCGAAGCAAACGTGAAGAGAGTCCGGGGCGGCATAGTGCAGGTCGAAACTTCCGAGCCGGCTGCTGCCACCCCCCAAGAAGCGCAAGCACCGACGAACCATCTGTCAGTGGCCGTTGGCGGCACATTCGACCATCTTCACATCGGCCACAAGCTACTACTAACCATGTTTGCCTTTGTGTTGGGCATAAAGCCCTCGACCAATGACCAGGGGTCAAGCACACTCACCGTGGGCATCACGGGCGACGCCTTGCTCAAGAACAAGAAATACGCCGAGCATCTGGAGAGCTGGCAGGAACGCCAACAAGCCGTGCATAATTTTCTCTCATCCCTCATCTACTTCGGACAGCCTGAGGATAGTAGGATTCGCGTCCAGGAGCTCAACGACTCGGGTCCGAATGGGCATGCCGTTCATGTCACCTATCCATGGGGTCTGGTCGTTAAGTACGTCGAAATATGGGATCCGTTTGGCCCCACGATTACGGACGAATCCATCTCCGCCCTTGTCATATCACTCGAGACGCGAAGTGGCGGCGATGCCGTGAACAGCAAGCGAGTTGAGAAAGGATGGAGTCCATTGGAGGTGTTTGAGGTTGCGGTCCTCGATGCTGGCGAGGAGGAAGCTGTCGACGAGACATTCCAGAGTAAGTTGAGCAGCACAGAGATCCGCCGAATGCGGAGTGAGCGGGTCAAGAACGACGTCTGATGTACGTGCGGCACTGCCCGGATGGCTAATGCATGCGCCACGACTGCGGTGTCCGGCGTTCCAACGTGGGATGAGACAGATCTCCTGGGGGAAGCGTTGGGACAAGTTGTCGGCACTTAGAATGTGATAGCTCGACTGTTGAGGGATCGTCTGGGGTGTGTTTCTGTACGACGACGCAGGCCGCAAGGAACCGTCCAGCCACACGACAGTTTGCGGATCGCATGACGCGAGACTAAGTATCGTGCTTGGATACAGCGCGTGGGACGGCAGCAAGCAGGCGGCTGTTCTCGAATGGGCCACAGGCAGCCTGGTGGCAGCCTCTGTTCAGCAATGGCGTCACCCTAGCAATATCGCGTGCGAGTCGACTGAGGAAGATGACCGCAGTAAACGCACGCAGCGATCCTCCACTGCGCAACACGCCCCGAAGCGGGCATGGACGCGGGGATGCACGATTGTGGGCAGACCGGTGGGCGGGCTACACCATGATTATAGTATGCAGGCAATCATCAACCACACGGCGGCTACCCTTAGTCCGCTGCTTACACCCGTTCCTAATGACAAGACGGGCATTAGACACAGACGCGCCATGCTACACGTTTCAGCCCTCCAAGGCTATTGTCGTCGGTGTCGTCACCGGGCCACTGCCCTCGGCTGATGCTCTGCGCAACCCAAGTGCACGGCATTCGGTATGCGTTGTGTATGAGGCCGATTGGCGTCCCAGCGCTTTCCAGCTGCATGCTTTGCTGGCAACGCATCGAAACCCGCCGGGGTGTGATTCGAGGACGCTGGCGGGATGTGGGGAGCGGCGACTGCAGCTCCTATCAGAGCAGCGCAGACTGACCCGCCCTGCGCGCCTTCATGCGACGTCAAGCCGTAAATCGAGGTGTTTTCGCTCCGCCGGGAGGAGCCTCGCGTGCCGGGTCCCATCGCATACAACTTCGATCAGCTGACCTGCGCGGCTTTCCATTCGTCGGAATGGCCCACTAGGCCGCCTTGGATGCGCAGAGGTGCAGGCTTCCTGGTCCGCACTGTGTCCAGCAGTCCACCACACCTTCAATCAACGCTTACCTGACCGCTGAAGCAGAGGTCATGCCCGCAGCTCCGTTTGCTCCAGGGCCTTTATCCTCCTTGCTGTGCCCCCCAGGCACCCCCGAGCCCACAAACCGTCGGAGAGCATCGTCATCCTGTCTACACCACGCCGCGAGCTGAATCCAACGCTATCACTGTCCTTCCCGCCACTGCTGCAACCTCGCCGCCCCAGCCCGATCCTTTTGGCCTAGCATAAAGCCTCCGCCCAGAGCGCTCGTCGTCCCTTCTTCCCTCAGAAAATATCCACTCGCGCCCTGATTTATCCGGCGGTACATGGTTCGCTTGCTCCGCTATGGGCATCCTCGACTTATCCAACGAGCTCCTTCGTGAGATATTAGACCACATAGAATCAGACCCCGAGAAGCTCATAAGTCTCGACCGCCGTGCCTATCTCTCCCAGGAAAGCTTCAAACCACCGCCGCCGCCGGACCGAGATCAGGCCCAGGACATCGCCAACTTCAGACTCACATGCAAGCGGTTCTCAGATCTCGGTGCACTGCATCAATTTTCTCGAGTAACGACCCGCTTCTCGAGGAAGGGGCTGAAGCGTCTGGAGAACATTGCCAGCCAGGAGCATCTTGCGAAACATGTCAAAAAGTTCAGCTACATGGTTCCGTTCTTCTACGTTGAAGGTTCTGTTCCATTTCCTGTTCTGGAAAGTGCACGCATGACTAACGAGGTCATAGGACGCGAACGCGTGCGCGAATTGCTGCCCACCCTCCCTGCAAGTCTCGGGCCCCTCGACGTGAGACACTTCGTGCAGAAGGTCAATGAACAGAGGGAGATTGTCCAGACGCAAGAGGACGTCCGTGTCTTGAAGAAGGCCATCTCGGCTTTTACTTCCCTGCAACATGTGCAGATTCTCCGACTGCAGGACCAGGAAGACGGCATGCTCATCTCCTACATCCGACAGCACGACCAGCTGAGCCAGCTAGTCGAGTTGAAATGGGCCCCGGCCTGCTCGCACTCTACGAAGACCATAGGCGCTGCGCTTCTCGCGTCGCGGTCCCCGTGCTCCCGCTTCTCCTCGCCTATGCTCAGCCCCCAGAGCGCCCTAGGCGCCGTAAACGACCCGCCGCCGACCTTAAACGTTCTCGCAGAACGCCTAACGTGCCTCGAATTGCACTTCGATGACGGTACAGACTTGGACAATAGAATGCGCGAGCTGTCGACCCTATCCAAGGTCGTCTTCAACGCTGCTAAGAATATGCAAGCAGTGCATATCGGCTTCCCATCTCACCGGCCACTAAGTCTGAAATTAGAAGAGATATTTCATAATGTCAAATGGGACAAGTTGCTCGCCTTCGGCATCCAAGCATGGAGACTTGACGCGGAGGAGATCATTGGCTTGGCCCGACGACATCGAGAAAGACTCCGGGGTCTGAGATTAAGAGACGTATTGCTGAAAGATGGCAGCCGATGGAAAGATGTGCTGGCGTTCCTCCGGGAGGACATGATGAGGTTAGATTGGGTCAGCCTTCGGAGGATCGATTACGAGAAGCATTTCGACGAGCAATGGGTGCTAGGCGCCGAAGTGCCAGACGACCCACCTATAGGAAGCGACAGCGACGATGACGAGAGTGATTGGGATCCACACGAGGACGATGAGCATGATACGCTAAACGGCAATGTTGATGACGAAGCCAGCGACGGCTCATTAGACGACTCAGACTCGGATGCAGGCACGGACGAGCCCGAACAAGGAGGTAATATCCATTTTCCTCCGCTGTCACCAGACACGCCCGCTTCGGTGCCGTGGTGCAACTGCAGCGGGCACACCGGCAGCATCGAAGCGCTAGGGGATGACGGCGTGGCAGTGACCTATTCGCAGCGGAAGTTCTGGGAGAAATGGGTCGTGAGAAGGACATGCGCAGAGCACTGTCATAAGTGAGGGATGCTGCAACAGATGCCCTCATTCGCAAAAGCAGAAGCGACACGCACTCTAGCTTTGCTTGCGCCATTACCCCGCCGAGAGGAAGCAGTACGAACTGGGAACGAACATGCGGGCAACATTTAGCCTGTGCCACCAACATACATACACCCCACCACGCTTCGTACCGTACCGTCCGCAACACCAGGCAGCATTTCGGCGCTTCTGCACAATCCTCTATCAACATCCACACGGGCTCCGAACTGCGGCCTTGGCACTCCCATACAGGTATCCCTCAACCGCCCGCGCTCTTAACTTTCGGTCCGCCTCTCGATCCACCTCTGCTCAGTGTGCCCTGATCTTTTCCCTCGGCCAATCCAAAACCTGAGTCCAACTTCCTTGTCTCTTCTGCACTTCACTTGCATTGGGCTGGCGCTGAGCTGTGCTTATTTCTCTTTTCTTCTTTCCGCGCAATGCACCGCATACAGGCTTCCATGCATCCTTTGTTCCACGTCATCTGGCTTATTTGCTTTGCTTCCTGCAGCCCACTTTCTTCTCATATATATTAAGTCTTCAGAGCGTGGGAGGCCGGTTCTGCTTCCCGCATCTAGACGAAACCGCATCCCATCCATCCATCTTACATGCGATGCGATGCGCAGCGCTTGCTTGGCTTTTCCTCCTCCTCCTCCTCCTCCTCCTTCTTCTTCCTGCAACATCCGCCATTAAGCTCTATGGTTATTGCGCATATCAGGTAGAGCAAAAAATTCCGTCGCCGCTTGGCAACTCTTCCATCATCCACTGGCCCCGAACCCTAGATCTACCCTCCATCGTGAGAACTTCGTTGCTTAATCAGCTGTCTACTCGGCCGTATCCCTATATCCGCAGCCCAGCGAACTAGCATCATCCTCGTTCCTCTAAAACTTACGTGATCCTTGCTTGAAACTCTAAAGCAGCCTTCACTCTGATATCAGAGCTTCATCACCACGCTTGAAGAAGTTCCTCTGCCCTCGATGGGTATATTACGCACCTCTAAGAGTTTCACGTTAGAAAGCCGCACTGGCACCAATGCCCGACCTACGCAGGATGCGAGGCGGAGTCGGCACCCGAAACTGCTCCGCCGCCGAATCCTCTTGCTTAGTTAAAGCCATGCTCTCTGAACGGAAACACACGGAACCGGCTGTCGGTGACATTTCGCCATTGGTATCTAAGCTAATACATCTTGGAATAGATAATGGGGAAGGCTAGCAACGAAACGGCTGCCGTCTTCAGGGTGAAGACCCCCAATGAAACATATTCCCATTTTGGATAACTCCCGCAATGCAAGCAAAACCAAATGAAACAATGTGCCGTGCCTCTCTACCCTCATCATCAGAGACGGCAGACTACGCATCACCCTCCGACCGAATCGTACCCAACGTATCTCTCGCATGCACGTTCCTAATCGTACCTAGGATCCTCATCCACGCCCGGAGTTTCCGCCCACGCGCCGGGCGTCGGGGCCGCAGCAGGCGTAGCAGCATAACCCCCATAACCCCGCGGCGTAGCATACTGACCGGTCGTATCACCCGGCGTAGGAGCAGCGAAGTTTCCAGGCGTCGGAGCATCCATAGGCGGGCCGCCAGGCGTAGGCGCCGAATACGCCCCATAGGCACCCGGCGTGGGGGCCGAGTATGCAGCGGGTGTGGGAGCATTGTACGCGCCGGGTGTGGGGGCAGAGAGGGTGTTGGAGGACTTGGATGGGTTGGTGGTTGAGGTCGAGGCACCCCAGGCTGGAGTGCGCCCGCCTGAGTTGAATCCTCCATATGCGGTGCGTGAGCCGTCGTTGCCGCCGTACGCTGTTGCGCCGCCATAGGCGGTCCGCGAGCCGTCCCCGCCGTATGCGGTGCGCGATGCGTCCCCACCGTAGGCAGTTCGACCGCCGTCGCCGTATGCCGTACGTCCACCGTCGCCTCCCCAGCCAGGAGTGCGGCCTCCACCCCCGCCCCAACCAGGTGTTCGACCGCCAGTAGGCGTGCTACCGCCCCACGACGGACCGTTCCGGGAAGAGTTGCCCCAGCCGGGCGTCCGCCCGCTATTGTAGCTCGGCGTAGCACCTGCATAGCTGCCGCGAGATCGATTCGGGAACTTCCCATAATCCATGTTGTTGCCTGTGATCGGGTCCTTGACTGAGAGAAGCTCCTTCTTCACCGACACCTGCTTGTTCTTCGTGTGTAGTTCTACGCGAGCCTCGTCGTTCATGGTATCCTTTACGATACCAAGGAGACCCTTGTGGGGACCTTTCCGGATAGTAACCGTCTTGCCAATTAGCTTGTCGCGACCAAAAGCTGCACGCGGCGGGGGAGGCATGGCGTTGCTACCACCGTTCTGTTGCTGCAAAGCGGGATTCATGCCGCTGAGATCCGGCCCAGCAGCCTGGGTGCGACCGCTCTTCGCGGCCATGGTAACAACATTGGTGCTGCGGACGACGAAAATACCGGCATTCTCGACCAATTCGCGGTTGTGAACAAAGAGAACGCCCCTGTGGATATAGACGACCTTTCCTTGGCGGCTCTCCCCGCCATGTTCCTTGACTGTGTCGTCGTTTCGAATCTCAGACCCGTCTCGGTCTGTGGCTACTGCGTTCCGGTTCCTGCCAACGATGCCGGAGACCTGCGTGTGAAGTAGTGTGCGAACGTTCCCTTGCTGATCCAGAACACGGAGCACTTCGCGGTCGACCTTTACAACGCATCCCACTGTAGCGGCGCTGCGAGCCTGTTAGCACATTTCCGAGCATCTGAGGGAAAATCTTACTCAATCTGCACCAGGTCGTATAAATCAAACTCTGAATCGTTCCCAATCGTGGCTGAGTCCGCTGCGCGCTTTAAGTCTTTGCTGAACACCGTGATCTCCATCTGTGTAGAATCGCAAAGCAGCGTGACCTTGTCATCTTTGAGCTTCGTGACCAAACCAACTTCATCAATGTACTTGCTTCCGCCAATGACTTTGACGTGATCACCTTCCCGGAACAACTTCCGGAGAGTCTTGACGGGAGCATCGATGCGCCGGCCCTTAAGCTCACCTTCCGTCACTCGAAGGGTGACTATGTCGCCGGTTACCGTGACAGTGGTACCACGAATGCCCTTTTGTTCGCCCTCGTAAATCTCCACGTTGTCCCCGGAGACAAAGGATGAGCCGGTCTGGGCCGCCTTCTGGGCCGCTTGCACTGCAACAAGGTCCAGAGTTTCCGTTCCGTCGGCAGCAGTGACGGAAAAGAACTGCATCTCTTCCATCCTCGGGTTGACATTGTCGCTGGAAACGTAGTTGACCTTGACGTCCTTGATGAGGAAGCCATTCTGGTAATCCTCACCCTTGTATGTAAAGGTCCTCTGATTGCCAGAACCGGTCTGGGCCAGATGCTTCATGTGCCGCTTCTTGGCCTCGGCTTCGTTGAAGAGCTTTTGTGGTGGACGGTCGACTGTGCGACCGAAAGCGGGCCGTTTCCGCTTGTTATCCGAAGCGGCATTTGCATCTTCTCCTAAGCCGTAGTCAAGTCGGGGCACCAACTGCACGGTACAGTCTAGGCCGTTCGCGTGGACTTCGACGACCTTGGCTAGATCACCCTTATAGAGATTCGGGCGGATCATGCGCACGAACTTGCCCATCTCAAGTGGTGTGCGCTTGCGCTTGCGGAGAAGATCCGGTCGCTCCTTGACCTCGATGGCGATCTGAGCCTGCCCCATGAAGACGTTGGGAATATTCTCGACGACGGCGATCATCTCCTGCTTTGCGTCGGCCTCGACGTAGATGTATCCCGTCATGGTGCCTCCGCGCTCAAACGCCGAGTAGATCTTAGGTCGCTGTCCCGCGCGCACCATGTCGTCAATGCGCTTCTGGATAGCCATGATGACCTCACGCTCCTTGCCCGGCCTGCACTTGACTCCCCAGATGGAAGGGTCGTTCACGGTAGGGAGCGCGAGTGGGATGGCCCCTGAGGCGGCTCTCCGGGCACTCTGCGCTTCACGCCGCCTGTACTTCTCGTCGAGCTCTTTGGCAAGCTCCTCTGCATCCTTCTGCACATGCATCTGGCGCTGTATATCTAGCTCGCGGTGGTGGCGGTCATCGAGATCGTCGCCCGTGGGCTCGAGATCGTCGGGGTGGACTTCGTCGGCGATCTCGTCGTTGTCGTCCTCCTCTTCGTCTTCTTCCTCATCGACTTCGGCTTCGACATCAATGAACATGTTCCGCTTCGTCTTCTTCCTGCGCTTGGCGGGGCGAGCCTGTCAAGAGTCAGCACAATTCCGCAGGCAAGCACGGCGAGACATACGACTACGTCGTCCTCGTCATCTTCGTCCTCTTCGTCTTCGTCCTCATCTTCGTCATTTTCCTCATCATCGCCTCCGCCTTCTTCATCCTCCTCGTCATCTGCCTGTGGTCTCCGGGGCGCCGTAGTCGGCTCTTCATCCTCCTCGTCCTCGTTTACCGCCGACTGGCGCCGAGTCGCCTCCTGCGCCGCCATATCATCTTCGTCCACCTCTGGCACGGGATTGAATGGCTCGTCTTCCGACTCAGAGCCGCTCCGGTGATCGTAGCCAGACATTGTGGCGGGGTGTCTAGGCTTCGTGCAAGGTGGTCGGTAGGCAAGGTGTGTCGCAAGCAGTGGCGCGGAGGATTGCAGAGGTGAGGCGAGGGTGCCGCCTAGGCTATGGACGCGCTCTCCGGCCTATGACAGATCCCGCAGAGCGAGAAAGCGGAGATGAAGGGAAAGGAAGCGTGCGTCGAACGAGGACGGGCTGCGGCTTTGTTATAACTTCGGGTCAAGGTGAGCATCCAAAGAAACCGCGCTAGAAGCATGGTCCGTGCGCCACTAGCAGCCTTGATCTTCGCGGAACGTCTCCGAACTTCATCATGCACATTTTTGGAAAGCACGGCGTGCTCTGGGTTGAACGGGGACGGCCCAGAACGATTCATTCACCAAATCTACCCAAGTGCTATCACAAGAGTCTAACTACCACTCCTCCGTGGCCGTCTCTCTCACGAGGGGTCCTGATGCCTTGGGCCTCACAGTCTGGCCGCCTCCTTCGTCGCCTCCACATCTTCGTTGATCCGTAGTACCGCTCGGCCCCAGACCTTGTGCATCTTTAGATCACCAAAGGCTCGGGGTATTGATTCCAAGCCCATATAATTCCCCTGGAATATGATAGGTCTGATGCCGCCGGCCTCGACTAAGTTCAGGAACCCACTCCAGACTTCTTCTGTTCTCCTAGGGTCTCGTCTACCATCCTCACCATATCGCTGAGGGCCCAGTTAGCAGATGCGTACTTTACAGAAGGGGGAAACATACATATCCATGAACCATGGCTGATTTCAGTAGAATGCTTGGGATTATTGTTAGTCGGCGGAGATGCAACACGGCGATACTCACCGATTTGCCCGTACTTCCTCCATCTTTCCACCCCTCGCGGCAAAGCCCACAATCACGATTCTCCCTCTGTATCTCAAGCACTTCAGAGCGCTCTCTATCGCGCCAATCGCATCGTACACTACATGCACGCCCTCGCCGTCATCCGTCAATGCCCGTACTTCCTCTTCCCAGTTTCGCTGGCGATAGGAGACTGCTTCATCCGCCCCAAGCTCCTTCATTATTCTGGATTTCTCCTTGTCCCCAACAAGCGCAATCACCTTTGCTCCAACCGCCTTGGCAATCTGGATCGCCATAACGCCGAGTCCGCCTGACGCTCCAAGGACCAAGACCGTCTCTCCTCTCTTCAAGCGTGCCACTGAAATCAGACTACCGTAGCTGACGGCACCGGACACACCCACCGCACATGCTTCGGCATTGCTCCATAGACCTGGGACTCTTCTTACAATGCCCTCATCCACACAGATGCTCTCCGCGTAGGAGCCGAGACCACCGCCGAACACCCGATCTCCCGGTGCAAATTTGTTTGAAGGCGAAGAAATGACTATACCCGCAAATTCCGTACCCAGGACGAAGGGAGGTTTTACGTGGCGCTTGTTGTTCTGGTGAAGACCTTGTGCATACAGCATGTCCACGTGGGTCAAGGAAGCATGGGTGACTTTGATCTGGATATCGCTGGATTTCTTCGAGCTTGGGAGTGGTGCATCCCGCGGTTTGAGATCCTCGAAGTTCTGTGTTTGGTTAGCCTAGCCCGGAAGGATGACATAGCTGCAAAGCCCACCGAAACGAACTGTTCTATCACAACTGCCTTCATGGCGGCATTCGGCTAATGGGATAGAGTACGTGCAACGACGGATACGTGGTTTCACTCTCATCTATAGGTTTGGCGACATGGTCGAGATGCATAGCGGGAGATCGACAGTGGGGTAGAGTTGCCGAGGTCAGCACCGTGTCAGGAAGATCGGTTCCTCAACTTCCGTCACCACATCGGAGATCGGGTAATTTCAGGAAGCTTCAATAAAAGATTGGACAGGTGAGAGACCTGATGGTGATAGGTTACGTTCGTATATATGAGTAGCGGTCTAGGTGGGGCAATTGTCAGACGTCCTTTTTCGGCTTACCTCTTTCATCCATCCTCAACCTTCACCCTCACGCGCACAATCCGCCACCCCACGTCGAAACGTATATCAATACCTAAGTAAGAGAACTCAGCTTTTCCGCTAGGCTTGCGATAAATATATCATTTACAGGGGAATAAGAAGGCCATCCGCTCAGGGACCGGCCTCAACATGGCACCTCCAACTTTCAAGTCACCTACTTCCTCATACGAATTCCCTCATCTTCGCGCAATAGAAGCATAGTGAGTACCCTGAATGGTTACTCCCTGGAAGGAATGAAAGCCATACCCTGTCCCTTACTTATGATTAGCAACTAACGTCAACGACAGATCAAAAAGAATCGATTTCACTGCGCAACATGCTACTTGTCATTCACTCCGCGCAACAATATTGACGCGATCCAATTACAAGTGCATGGACGCGTCAAAATGTTAGCTTCCAGCTTACGTAGATTGGACGCGACTTCACTCTTTCTTTCCGCCCTCTTCCTTTCAGACCGCACATCATCGCGCTTGGTCACTCATTCAGATCTGTCCTTTTCTTCCCCAGGGAATTGTAACATTTCCCATTGTATTATATGCTGTATTCTACAGCATGCCGAAATCTGTATGGCAACAGTGCTCAGACGGCGTTGAGCTCTACGTGCCGTCAAATGCGGCTCTGAGTGCGACCCGGCGAGCCCTCTCGCGCCTGTCAGTCAGCGAAGAGCCGGAAGCAAGTAAGTCTTCACGAGATCCTCTTCAGCTTTCCATTGAGATCATAGTACTAACAAGCACGGTAACAGGCAGGCAGCCTGATCGCGTCCAGTATGTTGACAGCTCTCTTCCTAGCCAGCTCCCATTTCCAGCGGCCGGATCGGGACCGTCTATCAAACAAGAGCCTGTAGATGAACAGGAAGTCGAGTGCCCAAGCTCACCCAGTACTCTGTCCATTGGTTCCGATGACATTCACTTCACGCCTGGAACCTCGGCGTCTGAGTGTTCTCTCCCAGCGCAACGGCAGACAGTTTTCGACCAACTCAAGGAATATGCTGCACCTTCCGAATCACCTAGTCCGGCTATCGGTGCGCCCATCCTCGGCTCCTCGGGTTACCAGTCAGATCGTACAGACTTCCTCCCTCTAATAGAAACGCCGTGTCCAGACAATGGCCAGGATGCGACCCCGCCCCCAATGCTGAAAAAGAGTCGTCTTTTCCGGCGTAGTGCGCAAGAGAAGAGGAAGGGGCCGACTGCTTCTGTGCGTCGTCCAGACTGGATCAAAACGGCAGGTAGCGGCATTCGGAAGGCCAAATATACACCGATAGTGGAGCAGCGGAAGACGGACAATATGCTCTCCTTGGAAAAGCTTCAAAGCATTGAGCGCGTTCCGGCACATAAGTGGTATGGCAAGTTGTTCTTGTTTGCATTTTCACAAATTGACATACGAAATAGGTCACAAGATGAGAGGGAACTCCTGTGCGTATTATACCGTTGGTACCATGCACCGGATCGCACCGTTATTCCGCAAGTCTTCAACTCGATCACGTCCTTGAACCTTCGACATAATATCATCAAAATCCAATTTGAGAACCACATCCGGTTGTACGGACGCAAAGCCTTCCGGGAATTCGAACGAGTATTTCACTCCGTTCCTTTTCAAGATCCAATGGGCCGCTACGAAGAGATTAAGTCGATTATTGAAGCGACGGCGCAAAATCTAGGCATACCGTTATGCAAACGAGAGGTTGAGACGAAGTTCCCCTCTGGACGAGCCGCGCGGGCGAAGTCGGAGCACACGAGGAAGATTTACAGGACTCTAGTCCGGCAGGCCTCGCAGAACAGCAGACCCCAAGGTAGTAAGTGGCCTTCGCGCTTAGAGAGTTCATCACCTATGTCCGCTTTGGGCGGGTTTCCGACTGCAACCCGCGAGAAGTTCGCCGATTCTGAATCTTTAGTCGATGAAGATGCAGAAGTATCGCCCGCCTCTAGGGTCTGCGAAGTAACAGCTTCTCCCGTAAAATCGTTCGACACTCCCTGCCTCGCATTCAGGGCTTGGGATGCGAGCAGCAGAACTGTCTTCCGAGATGGGGGCGAAGGTGAAGGTGGAGGCTTCGTCGCCGACTGTAAGTGCTGCACATCCAGCAGAAGACTATCCTTTGCATCTTGATCCTCTCTGTTTTGACTATTACCTAACTTTATTCTACCTTTAGTGTTCGCGAAACGCCGTGGTCCCGTAACTCGACCGCTTCCTCGAGATGATGAGTACGGTTTATTCGACGTTCTAGCAAACGCGCATTTGAGCTTCAAAGGCAACGCCTCAGCGTTCGTGTCTGTAGTGACGGTAAGTCACTGTTCACCTGGGGTCCCAATACCGCGCTTAAAGCTCATGAGTGTCCAGTCGCTTCTCCAGGTGTTTAATTATGCATCAAAGATGAACGATCCCCAGATCGCGGTAATCATGCTCGATAATCCAGAAATCAACATATCAAATAAGCTCCATTCCGCACGCGCCGTTATTTCACATCTACAAGCACAGGGAGAGATGTGGTGGACAAGATACAAGGCTAACTGTGAATACCTTGGTGAGCACTTCATCAATGAGAATACAACAAGTGGCTGACAATGTGTAGTATGGGGCGATATTCCCCAGTCTGCTATTCTGCACGTCTTTCGCTACGCCGAGCTAGAGCATCTCTCCGAGCATGCTGCCAACGTGGCCAACTTACTCCACCTAGACTTTTTTAATGGTCAATCGCGAACCAAGACGATCTCTCGCCGGCTGCAGAGGGAAAATACGGTCTTGAACAGAGCCACTGCCAAAGTCATGGCCGAGATCGCGATTGTCTTCGGGCTCGGACGCCACAGCGTCACGCAGTCGCAAATTGCCGGATTCATTACTACATTAGTTGACAGTTGGGTCATCCAAGATGCCCCCATCAACGACGCGCACAGTCTAAGCGAGTTGGCCGCTTGTTTCGCCATGGCCCTCAATAATTCGCGTCTGAACTTGCAGGACGTCATGGGCGGCTTCGTCGACGGTGTAAGACGCGGGACTGACAATATCGCGCGGTATGTGGGCAGACAACCGCGGACGGAGCGCTGACGAACGGCTTGAGGGTCTCCCTTTCGCGGGTGCGTACCGTGGAACAGGGTGCTGGAGACTGCGATTATGGCTACGCCATCTCAAAATACCGCCTAGCCTCGTTCTTAAGAATTTCCGCGCGGATGTCTGCATCGGTCCACACGAGACCAGTTTTGTTGTCGCTAGAACATAGAGGAGCTCCTTATTCCACCTATAGGATACCTAGTCGTACTATATGTTTACGTCGATGTATTATATCAGCACTGAGGAGCAGATAATGTCATGTAAATGAATTGAGGAATGACTGGATTGCATCAGTATGCTATACGAAAAGTCTCACGGATATTCTGTACAATAGCAGCAGAACAGGGTCTCAGACCTTTATAGAACCTTGCGCTTCATCTGTCCCGCCGCGGCAGTATATTCAATTATGAAGACCAATTGCTCAAACCGCCCCGGTCTCTCATCGCTCCTCAGTAACTTCCTCGGACCAGCAGCGCATCGAGAGGTCACATCGCGCTCCATATCTCCAAACACAACCCCTCTCCTAGTATACTTCAGGCTCTTGTCATTGCCTCCCAAACACCTTAAACAGCTTGCGCATCTTTCCAGCGCCACTCTGTTCCGCCAGCTTGTCCTTGTCCTTTTCCTTCTCACTGCTCTCCTCCGCTTCCATCTCCCCCTCATTCTCCTTTAAGAAATCCGTCAGCGACACTCTATTCGATTCGGAGGACTCTGATGTCTTTGTAGCGGCCGTAGCTTGCTTTGCGCCTTTGGTGTCATCGCGGGGTTCTAGCTTTTTCTCGTTCTCGGACATTGTAGGGGTTTGAGCGTTTGGGATTGATTGAGGTTGCAAGAAGTATTGCGGGCGGAGTGGAAGAGAACTTTGTACCCTTGAAGAGTAGTTGGATTGCTTGTGAAGTAGACACTCGCCTGACGTTGTCATGAGTGAGGTGCGACAGATTCGTTTGAGCGTAGTGGAGGTAGGTGCGTGCTTGCCTCCCTGTGAGTAGGCAAACGAGGAAAGTGCAGTGCGACAAACGGCTGCTCATGCTGGAAGCGGCAGATAGCGAACCCAGAGCATGTAACTATATAAAAGAGGCCCCGACCCTTATTGTGTCAATTAACACTAAGCCTTACTATAGGGAGTTCCAGCGGCTGTGAACTCCCCCACCCAATCACTTATAGATATTCAAGACGTACGATTGAAGAACTAAGGTGAATAGGCGCATACATATCTGAAAGTATCACCTTTCCGAGACAGTTACAGAACGACCTTAACACCGCAGATACTGTGTCTCCGCATAACCGACAAACTTTCCCAAATGGCAATCCTATTAGTTGATGCCACCAGCAACCTTCTTGACCACATCAGCAACTTCTTTCGTCATCGTAACATGCGGGCTATGGTTCGTCTCCCACTGTAACACCTCAACCTCCCTCCCTTCATTCCGCATACCCTCAATCATAGTCTTCTGCCACTCAAATGGCGCCGTCATATCCTTCGTGCACGAAATATACGTAACCGGCATCTCTCTCCATGCCGCATTCTTCGCCCCCTGATACAAAGCCGCCCCATTCCATCGCGCCAAAGTCTGCAGATAGGCCTCTGCTTCCGCGCCATTGAGCTCGTCGCCGAGCAGTGCCAGCTTCGGGTCTCGGATAACACACGTCTGATCGTCGGCAACGTCGAGAAGCTGAGAAATGACTTCGTCGTCGATGAATTCTCGGAATTTGTCGGCGACCGATTTCCCCTCAAACAGGGCGTAGGCTGCCATGTAGATGAGGTGGGCGATCCCGCCCGGAAGACTGGCCTTTGCGCGGCTTTCGGTGCTTAGGCCGTAGAATGCGTTCGACCCGACTTGGCCACCGTAGGAATGCATGAGCGCGACTACGGTGCGGCCATCCTTGAGAAGACTTTCTGCGTAAGATCGTATCGAGCTCACATCGCCATAAAGGTCCGCGGTTGGGGGACGGGTGCCGTTCGCAGTTGGAAGAGCGGGGACGTGGACATCATAGCCGTCGGCCTCGAGGGCCTTCTTGAGTTTGGTGTAGGAGTCTGGCGTGTGCCACGCTCCGGGGATGATGAGGATCGTTGGCTTAGTGGGGGCCATTGCAGGAGTTTTGGTGTTGGTAGCTCTGGATTTCGTCGCGCATCTAAGCCATCGGAGCTTCACCGGTGCTGTCTACTTTGAAGCAGAAGCGGGAATGGTTGAAATGAGGACAAAAGAAGATGTAAAGAGCGAGCGGAGAGTAAGCGGTCATTAGTCACAGCGCTGCAAAAGGTAAGCATCATTCGATTCCGCCCGTAAGCAACACTGGAGAAAGATGATCGAACCAATGACCATATGAAGCCTAAGCCCCTAAGAGACCTTTTCGCGGCGTAGAAGACCCCAAGCGCTACGTTAGGCCCGCGACGTCGAATGGCGGCCGATGACGTCATGGAGTCTCACGCGACTACGCGGCTTCATAATTTTTCTGAACGCTGGTCCGAACGGCAAGCTAATTTATGCGTAGTGCCTTGAAGTCCTTTGAGCGGATGTTTGCAGCCTGGACAAAGACATGCTGACGTGCAGCGCAATACTGAAACCTACCCTCGAGGAGGTCTTCTCTGAAGCTAGATCATATACGGCGGAGTTTTCTAAAGCTTCACCAGCGCTTCATGCCTCTTCAAAAAGCCGCTCACGCAACCAACTAACCTCTCTAGCTCGTCCCACGGCGTCCCAAGAATCAGCGCGAGCATCCCGCGCTTCGTGATCCAAAACCCGTCCTCCATCATCTCGAACCACCACAACTCTCGCAGCTCTACCTCATCCTGTCTATCCCTGAAGCTCTTCAGCTCTTTCCTTCCGTCCTTCAAGAAGTGAATGCCGATGATGGTTCCTCGCCCTGTGATAGTCATCTTCGTGCCTTGGCCGATCTCTTGCAGCTTCTTCCGGAGCCTGTCGCCCATGGCATTGAAATCGCGAGCTACTTCGGGAGTGTAGACTTGCGAGAGGCCGGTGTAACCCGCGGCCATGCCGAGCGTGTTGTTGTTGAAGGTTCCAGAGTGGCCGAGTGCGTTGCCGTCACGCGGATCGTAGACACGCATGATTTCCTCCCTGCCGCCGAAGCAGCCAAACGTTATCCCGCCGCCGAGATATTTTCCCATGGTCGTAAGATCCGGCTTCAAGCCCTCTAGTTGCTGCAGGCCTCCTCCTGACAGACGACTCGTCATGACCTCATCGAGGACGAACAATGCGCCAACCTTCCGCGCCGATTCCTGGATCTGGTGGAGGAATTCATAGGTACCGACGATGCACGGTCCGTGGCCTTGCATGCCTTCGACGAGAACGGCCGCGATGTCTCCACTCTCTTCGATCTTTCTCCTCGCATCCTCAACATCGTTGTACTCTGCGATTATCCAATCGTCCTGGTCTACGCAGTTCACCGCTGGCTTATCTTCAGGGAAACTGAAGCAACCTCCGTGATACCCACCAGTGAATACGACAACCTTCCGCTTTCTTGTGAAGCGTTTGGCTCCCTGAATGGCATGCAGGTTGGCTTCCGTCCCCGAGTTGGTGAACCTGATCAAGTCGAGATTGAAGCGGCTGCAGATCAGAGAGGCATGTTGGGCTTCGAGCTTGGTTGTTCCACCTAGGTTGAGGCCAACATCACGGATGGTGCCGACGAGGGCATCTTGGATCAAGGGCTGTGAGTGTCCGAAAAGACCAGCCGTGAGCTCGCCAACAAAATCCGTGTATCTGAGAAAGTTCCAGGTCTTAGCTCAAGCGCGGAAAAAGGACGGATGGAGCTTACGTGTGGCCATCCTCTGATGTTACTTGGTACCCCTTCCCGCTCTTGATGAAGACTGGAAAAGGGGCTGTATGCAGCAAGCTCCTTGTATTCCCACCGGGCAAGCTCTTAACAGCCTCCTCGTGGAACTTCAAGCTCGTCGGGTTTCTCACTGTAAAGCGTGCCTTTGCCGCTTCAAGTGCCTCCCTGACAGTGGCATCGCCGCTCTTCACGTGGGCTTTTATGTCTGTGATTGTGGAAGCCGTAGGAGCCACGACGGAAGGAGACATGGTGGTACAGCCTTCGAAACCCGGTTTATGAGGCTGTAAACGAACCCCTTTGCAGCGTTATGTTGTGTTATATATAACCGGGGGACCGAGAGGCCATCGGGGAGTTGCATGGGCTCAGTCGCGAGCGTCTGGAGCGTCAAATGAGGTGGTGTAGATGCTGCCGACCTCGGCGACTTTCCCGATGGGCTTTTCCGAGCCGCGTGCCTTTTTGTTCCGATCTCGGGCCGGTCCCGCTCATGCTGGCTGAATCCAACGGAATAACGCGTTCGGTTCGGCGTCCACGAACAACGAACCTTGCACATCGCGGCAGCTCTTCCAGCAAACAAGTAAGCCTGCATAGTGTGCGACGCCAAGACGAAAATCCTGCTGCAATACGTCGCGCACCCAGCCAAGCCCGTCCGCACCAACCTAACCGAAGCATGAGGCCTCAAACATTCCGATATAAGCGAACACCATTATCCCTTCTCCGTCGTGCAAAAACGAAAATTGCCATGTGCCCACCCGTCCTCCTCCCTCGCTTCTTCCCACAACATGCACGCCATTCCCTCCTCAGCGCGCGCTAAACCGAAACAAGGCAATGGTCGATCATGCACACTAACCGAATCCAGTATCCCCTCAACACAACCGCATAAGATTCCTGCATGCGCGAACGTCCCAAGGAATTGTAGCAACGCACCTCAATATTGTGGTCCGGACTTCCCTCAACTTTCTACATAGAGTAAGAACAGAGGCGGCGGGGCGAAAGGTGTGGATTGCTGTGGCTAGCATTTTCTGTTTTGGGGACCTGTTGGAAGGATTTGCAGTGGCCCGCACGTTATCGATGTACCACAGTACGATTACGGGAATTAGGCGGTGGCGGATGAGGTGAGGTGATGCAGGATTTAGGCTTGGGAAATGTATATGGTGCAGATGGAGATGGCTAAAGTCTGAGTGCCTCAGCCTGGAGACCTTCGAGCTGTTTCGCTGCTCGAACTGGTGTTGGTATGGTACATTGAAGCAACTTTCTCGAGGGCGGCGATGAACCTAGGACTCTATTCAGGTTACACTTGCCAGCCAGCTACTGCACGTCGAGGTCGATCATCACGATCACGTTGGTCGCACTCGGAACAAGTGCATGCGGGTACTTCAGTAGAGGAAACACAACATTCATTGTGTTCAACCGAAAGAACCGCCATGCATTCCAGGAAGCAACATAATCATACATGGCTATGAGAATACAACCAGAGACTGAGACAGTGAAGGGAAACGTAAGATGCATTGGGCGACTCATGCTCCCCGTCGAGGCGCTCTGATCTCGAACGTCTCCACTTCTTTTTCGAATCCGCGGCGTGCTTTACCTCTGCTCGGCCCTACACTCGCGCTCCTTCTACTGCCAAGCCCCAGTCCGCTATCTCTCCGCTCAACCGGCTGCTCGGCGATTTCGTCAATATCCTCCTCCAATTCGAGCTCGCCTGCGCCGTGGTCCATCCATATATGTCGCACAAGTGCCTTGACATCTCCACAGATGGTATCGACGCTAGCGCCGTTGGAGCAGAGCACGCATGTGTATCCTCCATCAACACCGTCTCTATGGCACTTCACGATGAAGCGATTTTGGATCCGGAAACACCGTTCCCTGCCGTCATCTTCCTTGAAGATCTCCCACGACTTTCCGGGCGAGAGGTGTATGGTGCGCTTACAATACGGACAGTACGGTGATGGGTCGGATGTTATACTTGCGGACAGTGGTTGAGACGGATGTCGCTGAAGATCGCAGGCGTAAAGGCAGAAGAGGTTGTGTGGAGCTGATGAAGTCCCGTAGGATGTCGGGCCGGAGAAGGCAGTGGATTCTGTATCTGTTCTTGGCAGCTGAGGTCTCCTGTCGAAGCTGGTGTGTCGCATATGACCGTCTTCATCTGAAGACCGAGGCTCATGGCGTGACTTGACGAGCGTTGTTGATGCAGAGCCAGTGGCAGTGACTGGATATGGAGGAAGTTGTGCGCCGCTGGCACGAACAGCTGCTGGGGATCGCGTTGACCGCGGAGTCGGGGCCAGAATGCCTAGCTGTCGTTGCTGCTGAGCTGCGAGTACATCAACAGCCCCCGTTCCCGCCGCTCGCGAAGCTGCTACCAGACTCGAGAGATGATGAGAGATTGGTTCCGGTGACGTTGGTCCGTATAGAAAGGTAGTTATTACTACGGACTGCAGTGAAATGATTTGGGATTGAAGCGCTGTCTGTGTAATGACTGCTCAAGATCAGCAAGTACTCCAAACTGCGACGAGCTTTCAAGGAGCGGTATCGTACCGTCTCCAACTGCAAACTGTGATCCAACGTCCTGAAAACCGATCTCAAATTGCCGCGTCACTGCAGCCTTGTCCACGACGATGGACTCGTCACCGCCGGTCTCATAATCGTCGACGTACTCGATCTTTCTTGAGCTAGGGTATCCTCTCGCCCTCAAATCCTGCTCATGGTCCCTCTTTTCCTTCTTCCTTAGTGTCTGATAGAGGTCCCTCGTTGCATCGAAGACATCCAGTATTGTGTATACGAGCGCTTGCACGACATTCGCCGGATCGGTGGTTGGATTCTGCAGCCATCAGCCTCGCCCTCGCTCTCAGCCGGGAAACGCAGCACTTACCGCTACTCCCATCTTCAAACAAGATTCCGTTGCGTCGCTATCAGATTCGGTCCTCCACAAGATAAGCAGACCCTGTATCTTTAAAAGGCCGGCCGCTTCCCCATCACACCACTGACCCCACTGACCCCACGGGTAAGCTTTCGCAGGCAGCAGACAAGCCACATCACTCGTATGCGGTGCACATGTTGGATGTTATGTGTAATGATGCACTTGTACAGCTGGCAAAGTGCAATTGGCGCTCCTGCGCCGCTGTGTTCCCTGATTGGAATGGGAGCGGTAACGGGCCGCCATTAGAGTGATGCCGATGCGGCTACAGGGATGGATGACGTTGTGGGTAGGATCAGCAAGGAACAGCGAGGCAAGAGACAACGCATTGCTTGCATCCGTGACCCACGCTGCGTTTCTTCTTTCGGACAAGGGATTCGAGATAAGACCTAATTCGGATAGTCAAGATACTGTTATAGATGGACGGGAGTGCCGTGCCCACAATACTGAGTAGGCGGCCTGCATTCGGATGCGAACGCTGTTAGAGCCGCCCAAACAACGTCAGATGAGCTCGACTAATGGAACAGTTTCGTGGCTAGGCCCGCAGCCTCCGCGATTCTCCTCGAGTCGGGGGATATGCGTGACGGCCGTTGCAAGAACTACGCGGCGCAGATGGCGTCATCGTACACGGAACGGCTGGTCGTTGGGCTGAGAACGAGTGAATATGCATATGAGGCAATGCTACAGTATAAACGCTCAAGCCCAACCAGCAAGGCAAACGAAGCATGGACTGGAGCATTCGTGGTTAGGTTTGGGGGCCAGGGGTGAAAAGATCGGGAGGGATTTGTCTCCGAAATACCTGCCGAACGGGTCGGGACGAAGAATGCTTAGTCATACTGAGATGTGTCAGGGTCCAGTTAGCGCAACACTTCGCACCCCTCACACCTAGCCATCACTATGACGCCACGGCGAGAGGTGCGATAGACGCCTCTTCTTCGTATGAATATCTCAAAACATACCCTTCAATGTCAGAATCTGTTATGTCTACCTCTTGATAATCGCGAGACAAGACGTCAAAAGTCTGCGCGGCGACTGACTCCCGAAGGTTACTGCGCGGCGTCATGCAAAGTCTAACTGTCGTATAGGTCTGCATTATAGCGTAGCGCATCATTCTTCGTCATATCATTCCTTTGCCTGGTATTTTGGAGGCCCTCAGCCGCCTTTCGTGCCAGCGATTAGTCGACAGAAAGAGGGCCCCAGGTACTTCAAGCTCCAGGGCACGCACTTAGTATTGCTCCAACGCACAGGGCGTCTTCCGCATCGCACACTTTCGCCAGTCTCACATACTCTGGAAAGCCGCTTCGATTATCCGCCCGGGAGCATCTTGGGCACTACACCTGAGCCTGAGTGCGACGCATCTCCAACATCCTCTGACGAACCTCAGCCATCTTCTCCTTGTCCGCCTTAATCTTCTCAGCCCACCTGCTGCGCTCTCGAATCACAGGTCCCTTCCAGTAGAAGATGTATACTGGAATGCAAACCAAAACCGACACAGCGAAGAGCAGCAAGGTCGAGTTCTTCGTGCCCAGCTGTTTGTACATGGGTCCCTGCAGCTTCGGTCAGTAAAGGAAACAAATAAGCTGCGCAGCAGTCACTTACCGTATAGAATGCGCACAAGCCAGCAAGCAGGTCTCGCGAGAAGCCATTGCCGCCCGTAGCACTCGCGCTGTACTTGCCTCCGTACGCGGCGACCATATAGTCAATCGTGGCATAATAGATTGCCATGTTTGCAGCACCGATCAGTACGGCAAAGACGAGAGGTGCGATCCATGGCAAAGGGGGGCCGGTAACGGTAAACGCGCTACCGAGAAGTCCCATCGGCAAAAGCGGGGCCAGGAAGAGAAGCCACCAAAGACGACTCTCAGGCGTGAGAGTAGGGTCGCCCGCCGCTCGCAAATGATTGTGCCAGCGAATGACCGGGAAGAAAGAGGCGTACGCCGCACAGTAGCCGATGAAGAGCGCAAACATCGCCATGCTAAACTGGGTCGGAGTAAATCCCCACTGCCCGAAGACGATGCCGTAGGACTCGAGAAAGCTAAAGATCAGAGCGTCGCTGAAGCCACTGAGAAGGGATAGGCACAACACGATGGGCTCGAACAACAGCATGTGGTATGGACGCCACATTGTTTTGACGGTTTCTCCAAAAGAGAGACGTTGGCGGAGTCTCTTGGTTTCGTTAGGGCCATAGACGTTGCATGCCGGATCCCGCTTGCGCAGTTTCTTGGCTGCAGCATCGAGCATGCATGTTGAGCGTGTTTCGGGGACGGAGCAGGCATGGATGATCTGGACGACGCCGCCGAATATGAGCTGGATCCAGAAGTTCCAGCGCCAGCTCAAATACTGCTCGATGGGGCCGCCGCAGATACCGCCGATGACGCTGCCCACACACGACCTAGCGTTCCACTTAGTATTGCACATGGATCTTCATAGGGAAGGGAAATACTCACCAGAACGAAGCCCAAAGAACTGCGTACTGCTGCTCCTCTGCATCGAACATGTCGGCAACCATCCCTAGAGTGACCGATCCGCCGGCTGTAGAAAAGCCACCAAGGACACGAGCCGCTAGTACCTGGTTCCACGACGTGCTCGCACCAGCGAGAGGCTGCCAGACGTTGATGAAGAACAGCGAGGCCTGCATAATCTTCCAGCGGCCGAACTCCTCAGACCAAGGCGCCCAGAATTCGCAGCCGAAAGCGTATGTGATGAGGAAGCCAGCCATGCCATCGCGAGCGCGGGTGATACCGTAGTGTTCGTTGAGCGGGTGGACCGCGTTGGAGTAGACGGCTGCGTTGAAATTCATCTGGACGTGACTACGTTAGCCAGTGCGTTGATGGTTTAGCTATGCGAATAGGGAATTGAGGGAGGTCAGGTAAGCCGGCGGATAATCAGACAGCCCGGAAAAGTGAAAACCGAGCCTGAAAGCCTTCAATTCTCTACTGTATGTCTGAACGGGAAACGATCAAGTCGTCGAAGGCGTCCACGCCCTTCAAAGTGAAGGCGACAGAGGAGTGCTTACGCTCGTCTGGCACAGTGCGACCACGGTGAGGATCCACCATTTCCTCTTGTTCGAGAAGGCGTACGCCGTGTGCTCGTAGCCTTCGATCTATCCGTCATTAGTACATCATCCACGAGAAGAGGTATGCATGGAAGCCCCTCCTGAAGGCCCTCAATACATAGTACGTACCTCGTCTAGGATAATCTTCCCATCTGACCGAGCAGGGGAAGTCTCCTGGGTCTTGACGAAGGAGACCTCAGGCTGGGTGGCAGGCCATTTCTCGCCGCCCGTAATGCCGCTTGCATCACTCTCGTGGCGTGTTTCCGCCATGTTGATGAAGAAGTGTTGTTGGCAAGTGTTGTTTATTTACCCCTTGAAGTACTCCAAGGTGAGTTATGTCAAAGCAGACTGTGGGGTATGGGGTATTTAAGTGTGTTCAATTGTCGAAATTTAAGTGTCTGTGGGGTGGCCGGATGTTGGGCGGCGATGACACTGGGAGCGGTTGGGGTTACCGAAATCCCAGCATGGTGAGCGCATTTCCAATACAGTCGGCACCGGTTGCTCTTCCTTCAACAACGGTTCGAAGTTCCCCAGCTTCGGGGTTAATACGCGCAGCCGGATAGAACGAAAGACGGCCATTAATTGGCGGGAGTTATGCTGCATCATACGACGAAGCACTTCCGGATGAGGTATACCAGTGCCAATCAGGGGTGGCGAGGCTGCGCCCTTGCCATGCGCCCATGAAGCTCGAGCCGGACCGCTCTTCGAACCATGGTACGCCGGTGTGGGGGTCCGCGCCGGCAGTGGTGCCCACATGCACTCCTCCACACTCAGCACTGCGGCCTGGTCAGTACTATGGTTCATATTGCACTGGAGGTGCGCCATCGCCATATTCTAGCTTCTAAACTTTTTCTCCGCTCACCACTCATTACCACACAATATTGTTTACACGCCCAAATGAAGAACCGTTCCAATCTCACGGCGCACTGACGGCCTCCAAGTCATGGGACATTGGCAAACTTGAATTAAAGTGCTAATCATAACTCAGATCCCTGACTGCTCTCAACATGTATTGCCCTCGTTCTAGCCCTCCACCCTCCGATGCATACATCAATGACAGCCCAGGAAACTCTCACAATGCCTACAAGCACCCGACGCCATCCCCTTCCTCACATCCATCCTCTTGGTCCCCATCGCTCTCCCCCTCATCGTCCTCTAGACTCCAAACTACGTCCCTAACCGGCAACAGCGGCTCCCACATCCTGCCCGTCTTCTCCTCAAACTCCCTTCTTAACTCCTCAAAGTAGCTCTCCAGGTTTGCCTTCGCGATGGTAACGTCTCCGCTTCCGCCAATAAACTTCGCGAAATACGAGGCCGGCTCAAGCTGCGCTTGCAGCGCGGAAGACATGTCGTAGGTGGGCGGATATTGATACTCGCGTGCAGTGCAGGAGGTGGTAATCGAAAGTTCTGAGGGTATTCCTGATTGGGGTTTGTATGTCGTGAGCGTGATTGCGGGTGTCGTAGCTCTGCTCTTGTGCAGTGTGGCTGTTGGGGATGGCTTCGGAGCCGGCGGCGTTTCGATGCTTTTTGATTGCGACAGTGACGACGTGTCTTGTGGTGAATTCTCAGTCTGATTTTTTGGAATCGTGGAACGAGCTTGCTGAGTATGCTGCTTTCCAGGGTGATGGTGAAGGGTCGTACTTTCTTCTTGTGCCATGGGTGCGGAATTTGAGCTACCTGTTCGCGTCAGAGAACGTGAAGAAGTCCCACAGCTTTAAGTGTAATGCAAACGCCGCGCGAACACCCTGGCATTGACAAGTGTCTCAGCTCCATTGTCGGTGTTTGACCAGAACAAGACATGGCGCGTTTGCGCGAGACGTATAAGCATTTGAAAACAATGCTGCATTCTTTCCACGCAAAGATCCCATCAGCAGTACCGACCGCGAGGAACTATGCAAGCAAATAACGCCCAAAAAGGAAAATGGTCTGGACAACAGCCTCCCTCCTGAAATGTCCTTCATAGCCACCATGAGGGCCGGCTTTCAGTAACCACACCCTTCGATCCATCGTTGTTCCATTTCCCAAGATCCTCATCTTGTTTCTTCACATCAGCATCAGTAAGCTTCCAGCCGGCCTCTACTCGTCAAGTGCAAACCTCACCTTCGCTGGCTTCAAGGGTTCCGCCTTCTCCTCGTCCTTCCTCTCCTTCTCCTCCTTGTCCTTCTTCTCTTTCTCTTTAGCGTAGAACTCAAGTGCTTCTTGCTGCTTCAGCAGCTCTAGACTCTCCTTTTCCTCGTTCAACTTCTGGTGCTTGTTGTAGAGCTCATATTCCTCTATCTGCTGTCGGAGGAACTCTGGATCATTCTCCAATGCGCCGATATCGGAAAAGCCATCGAAAACCTGCTCTTGCTCTTTCTTCAGGTTTGGGCGCGGAGAATTCGGGGGCACCGCAACATCGCTGCCAGAATCTTCGACATCTTCGAGAGGCTTGAGATCTTGGATAGTGCGAGGCACTCGCCGTAGGGCTAGACTTCTGTCGTGGTTAAAGGAGGAGGAGTCTGTACGACCGTTCGTTCTGCCCCGCTGCGCTCGCTCGGGAAGAGGAGGCCTCGGGCCCAGGGACGTCTCTCGCATCTTCTGGCTGCACTCCTCAATCATCCTCCGTTTCGCAGCCTCTTGGTACTGAACCTGCTGCTCGTGCTGATATTCCAACATCTTCCCGTCGTTCTCCCACGCCTTCCATGAACTGCTTGGATCATACTATAGTCTCGTCAGTGACAATGAAGTTGGTGCGAAGTCCGCTAACTCACCAGTTCCTTCAGTCTAGCCTTGACTTCTGAGTCCCAAATTTGAATGCGACGTAGCTTGTCGAGCTCCATTTTGATGCTGGGGTGCAATCCCTCGCTCTTCTTCTCGAGAAGCTTCTTCCGTAGGGCTTTCTCCCGAAGCCAAGCCGCTTCCGTTTTGAAAGGGTCTGTGAGAGGCGAATAGGTGACTAAGTGGCCATTCGAGTATCGAACGAGTTGGCCTGTGCCAAACCGGACCCAGCCATACTCGCCATCTGGACCGAGCACCTCTCCAGTAGGCAGCGGTGAAAGCGAGTTTCTGCTCCGCTCTAGATTTTCGAGTCGCTCGCGTTGCAGGCGTTCGTTTTGAGCCTCGTGGAAGAGGCTCTCAACATCTTTCGTACGCTCTTCTCGTTCCCGGTGCTCGGCTTCTGCGTCGTAGCCCTCGGGGATTTGAATGTCAACAGAGTAGAGATCCTCCTATGGATCATGAATGCCGTTTGGTTGCGGAGCGTCTGGGCCTGGCAGAGGCTGGGGCTTGGGCGAGTTCGGAGGCGTCGGTCCGGGTGAGGAGAGAGTGGGTGGATGGCTTGGAGAGCCTGGAAGAGGGACGGACGCTGGAGATGGGGACCTGGGCGGAGCAAAGAACCATTCTGACGAGTTGGTTGCTCTCCAACGACCGTCGAGTGATTGGAGCATAGCCAATGCGATGACGTGCCGGCGTATTAGCGAATGCCGGAGTCGTATAAATGAAGTTGGGAAGGATAACGGGGTATTGGATATAGCGACGGCGGAGCGAGACAATGGTGCTGGGCAGAGCAAGAGAATGGCGCTGTTGTCTACGCATGGCCACGGTGAGAGAACGCCAGGTATGCGGCTGGCGGTCCTTGCCGGCGGCGTTGACTGCAAGGGCGCTCTTTCCAGAAGTGTGGTCGCGCGAGCTCCGAGCGGGCAAGAGGCAGAGCATCGGAAAATCCGAAGTCTCCTTGCTAAATGCGCCTTCTCAGTGGAACTAGTGACTAGTTGATTACAAGGTTACGATCAAGACGCTCATTATTGTCAGATTACAGTCAACAATGGACGACAAACTCCGCCTGATGGAGGGTCTGATACTCTGTTGCCTTAGTGGACTGATTATTTTGGCCGCCCTCTTGATATATACATCCTGCCGAGCAATTATCCAGCCTTGAGGCCTTCGGGATACCAAACGCCGGCCAAATCCTGCAGCTCTCGCATGGACGAGTACGATAGTACAGTACCCCCTTAGCTGTGCAGCCTAAGAAGTGCTCAAGCACGCACGTTTCAGCCATTAGATGTGAGTAACCGCGGAGGAACTTTGGCGATATTGCAGAGAGGAGGAGGAAGCCAAGATGGATGCTGTCCTTAGTTAGTCTCATTGCCATGATGCAGCTGCAAAGGAACTTACTTTACTTGCGTCCCACCCCCTTATAGACAATGATACCGGCGTCGTCATCGTCATCGTCATCGTCCTCGTCCTCGTCATTGCTATCGTCACTAAAGACTGCCCGGTCGGAACCGAAGGAACTGTCGCCAGCATCGGACTCGAGAAAGTCCTCCGGGGAGACGTTCATTTTCGGGGCCTTTGACTGAAGACCATCGACGCCATACATCTCGCGCTCATGTGCCGTGAATGCCGCGAGCTGCCAGGCGGATTCAACCTTAGCATAGAAGCGGTCTAGCTCGGCAGCATCCATTGCCATCATCTCTTCAACTTTGGCGCGTCTCTCCTTGATGTTGATTTCCTCCTCCATTTTCTGAATGTCGAGTGCTTTGCGGTACCGGCCTTCCCACCACTTCTGGTGATCTGCCTGGGTGCGCTTGTAGGTTTGGTCGAAGCTACGTGAGTCCAGAGAGTTCAAGAACTCCTCGTTGGCGCGCTGATAGGGTTCCACAAGAAGCTCCTCCTCCATCCACACGATCTGTTGGATCTTGACGTGACGTTCGTAGGCTTCCTGGGGCACTGTATCCGGCTCCTCGACCACCCGTGCCTGGCATTGTTGGAGAAGCTGCTTCTCCATTTCAAGCCCCTTCGAACAATGAGTGCTGGCATGGCTTGGCATGCGATCGCGGTCAATACGTACCTCTTCTTCATTGTCCACGCCGTATTCCTCCATTTGCAGCCGCCTCGCCACGTCCTCGTCCCGCGATGCCATTGAGTCAGGGTCATCGACCAGAGTGTCCGTAGCCGTGAAGGCGGAATCCCGTCTGGACGGGGCCCGCCAAGCGGTGGTGGCCTCGGGAACAGCCCATATCAGTTTGGTGGGTGCGGCAGCGGGAGCCGGCCGAGAATTCTGCGCTGAGGAAGCAGGAGCGTTCAGGCTGGCAGACAGTCCGCCAGACTCGCGAGTATTGACCGCAGATGCTCGAGCCCTTAGATGCGGAGGGACGTAAGCACTCGGGGGAGTGGCTGGAGCAGCGGGTGTAGCAGGGGATATCGCTTGCTTCTGTGGGGCTGGCGGCGAAGAGACTGGAGTCTTGAAGCCATCTCGAGGCGGGCCGGAGGACCGTATTTCAGGCTGGGGCCAGCCCTCCGCTAGAAGCTCCGCGGTCGTAACCTGCGCCTTCACGGGCTGCGGGTTCGTAGACTGGAGGGGGGAACTGAAAATGCCATTGCGAGCAGGGCTGACACCGCTACTGACGCTGCGAGTGTAGTTTTGGTAGTTCTGGCGGCGAGCTTTTTTTGTCTTGATCTCCGGGTCCTGGTTAAACCGGAAGTCCTTGATGCCGCCGGCCTTGGGAACACTGTCTGGGTCAGGCTCCCAGTTTTCCGTTCCCGGTGGCGGGTCCGGAAATCCGGCGTTGAATCCGAATGGATCGCGCTCTGGGATGGAGTGTCAGCAAGCGCATCTGAACTGGCGTCGGGGGTAGCTGTTGCCTCGCTTGGAGCGGGCAGTCCCCAGCCTGACGGCGAGGCAACAGCTACCTTGCCAGACATGTGGCGTCGCAGCAAGATGAGAAGCCTTACGTTTGCGAAGTCCTGGCATGCTGCCTCGTATTGCGAAGCGGACGACGGCGCCGAGACGGAGCGAGGATTATTGTTGTTGTGGTGTTGTGGGCGTTATGCTGAAAAATTAGACGACGCTTTATGTGAAGCCGAAGTGAAGGCGAGTCGCGCCCCCGGTCCCTTGGGCAACGCGCTGTCAGGTGAGCGCGAGTGGCCCGTGCCCTTCACTGCTGTCGAAGATAGCAGACGAGATTCAGACGAAGAGACCAATCGCCGGTGAAGGGTGACTAAGCCAGAAGGATCATCGATGGACTTGTTCTTGGTGCAGTTGAAATGATCGAAATGATCGCTCAGAGCGTGAAAGAGAAGGACCTTGGAACGAGAGCACGATCACAAGACAAGCATTAAAAGCTACTAGGGAATCGAAACTGTCCTAAGAGAGACACCTTTATCCGTCCAAAATAGTCCAGCGACAGAAGATCCTCACTTGACCAGCCTGGCCAACGACTTCCCGAAGTCCTCTCACTCCGCCTCTTATAGCAAGAGCCATCCAGCGCCACCAAGAGCAGCAACGCCCCAGATCGCTGCCACTACGCCCGCAGTCTTCCCAAACGCCGCCGGTCCAGCCAGTCCCGCACCACCAGTCTCCTGCCCACCCTGCACTGAGCCCGTAGCTGTCGAAGCACCGCCAAACTGCGTCGGAATGTTCCCCGCTGTGATCTCGGCCAATACCGAGCCCAAGCTTGAAAGCACGCCTTCCACGTCCTTGTAGGGAGTCGCCGCAGCCGTTCCCTGGAATGGCCCGTCCGTTACAGTGGGGTCCTTGCAGACGGGGATATCGTAGATTTCGCCGGCACATTGAGCGGAGGAGGAGCAGCAGAAGCCGTTGCCGCAGTCGTTGTAGTTGTCGCCGCAGACGAGCTCTGGATCGACGTCGAGACGGCGCATCAGCTGCGTGGGCTCGCGGCGGAATTGGGCAGCGTATTTGATGCCGGCGGGGAGGGCCTTCGGCTCGGCTAGCGGTTCGGAGACCGCGGTGATAGCGAGCGTGAGAGGGAGGAGAAAGGTTGAGAAATGCATCTTGATGGTGGGCTTGAAGGGGTGGTTGTTCGAGTTCAGCGATTGGAGTTGAGAGTGATATGAAAGAAGCAGAAGAGAGGAAAAACTTCCAAGAGAGCGACAGAAAGGTTGACGAATAAAGAGGAACAGACTCAACTAGGGGGTTCTTCTACGCGCCTTATATCCAGTAGACAACGACCAATTTCTCTCACCTTATTTCAGTGTCGTATCTTCCTGCGGTAGTCATAGCCACATCCGCACTTGCATCCGCACCCATCCCCTGTCAAGCTGAACTTCCGTATTGTAAGCCGCCGGGCTTTCGGATCTTCACCCCACGCAAATGGTTGTGGACAAGCGCCGTACTCTATCTAATCATCCTCGAAGCATTCATCCAGAAGGCAGCAACCGCCCCAGACCTAAACGGTCTTAGTTCCTTACTTGCTTTCTACTCTGAGCGCTCATTATTAGACACGGGCCGGCGCTTGTCAAGGTATCGATATGAGGTCGAGGGGTAGCGTTGCAGAAACGTTGTGGAAAACGAAGAAAGCGAGCGGCTCGTGTGATGATGCGAGGACGCACGGTCCGTGGCCTCGTATAACTATGGCGTTCAGGGGTTCTATCGATCTAGCGTCTCAGCTTCAGGCCTCCTTTCTCTCGACCAATTATCGCAGAAAGCGAAAATTCGCGGCATTTTGCTTGGGTTGAGTTCAACATGGCTGTTTGATAACGTCGACATGAGGAAATGGAGATCATCCCGTCTATCTACCGAAAGAGATGAGGCTTTCTGAGTGCCTGAGTCGGCGTACCAAATGTCAAGTCGCTGTCCAGAGCTAAGCTCTCTTCACACTCTCCGCTTGATGAGCGCCAAACGACTTGAAGGCCTTCAAACTGGCTCATGAAGCAGCTACCATCCTAGTTCCGTAATGACACAAGAAAGGCAGGGAGACTGTTCGTTCAGAATTGAGCATCTGCCTGGTGGTGGTGCTGTGCAGCCTTCTTGTCAGCCCTCAAAAGCTTATCTCCACTTCGCACTGCTTCTACATCATCCATTATCCATTACACTGCACTCTTCATTGCGGCTTCGAATTGATCGGCGACACCGCACCAGACCGGTATTCGCTGGCGAGCAGGTTAGCAAGACTCATAGGATTCGGATAGATGCACCTACGTATAGCCAGCGTGGGGGCTTAGCATGCCGGATCCGGGCGGAACGTAAGTATAAGGGGAGTTGTTCATCGAGTCGGCCCCTTGACTGTAATAGCTCTGCGCTGCACCACCCCCAGCGACGGGCGAGTATGGCTGCGGAGATGGTAGGGAGTTCAGGCTGATCGCTGCCTCGTCCATCTTGCCGTATGCCAACGTTGCCGCAGAGCTTGCTCCAACGGCGCCAATCGTGTTTCCGGAACTCAAAGGAGCTCCTGTTGTAGGATCTGTCGCTCGCGGATACAGCCCACCAATGTCAACTCGCTTCCTCCCCACCAGGCGGATCCAGTCAGTCCGAGAAGTACCTGGTGGGCAGTCGTTGGTGTACAAGAAGGTGGTCAAGATCCGCCCAGCAGACGTCTGATCGAGATATCGCCTCATGTTCGATGGTGTTGCCCGTCCAACAAGTATGAAGAAGAGCGCGACCACGCTGATGAGCGCACAAAGCGCTAAAACAAGGAAGGCGGGAATACCGTAGCGAAGGTGGAATCGTACTCGGCGCGTGTACACTGTGATCGGAACTTGAACCGGCGCTTGAGCTTCGTCGCGTTTTGCTAGATTCTGAAGCGGTTCGGACGGCAGGTGGCTCTTCGCACCCACAACAGCGTTGGCGCTAATGTCTGTCCAGATGAGGTTAATGATTCTGGCTGCTTTCGTTGCATTTCGAGAGTACTCTTGCCATCGATTGTATATGGCCAAATTGGTTTTACCAGTGTAGTCCGGGATTCCATAGCCTCCGTTCGCGTCGACACCGTCCATGTTGTAAGCCACCGCCATAATGCCTGAGTAGAAGTCTACGCCAGCTAGATTCTGACTCGAGCTGGTTGGTGAGACGCCTAGAATGGTGGATGCCAACCCAGGGAGATACAAATACTCTTGCCTGGCTGTCGATATGTTCGGATGATTGTCATGCTCCGGTAGAGTGATCCCCCACACCGGATTGACATCTCCAAGTCTCAACCCCAAATTTTCGACAGCCCATAGCGGCTTCTCCTCATCTGTCGCATAGGTTTTTGGTTTGATATCGACAACGTCCAGGGAGTGCAGCCCAGCCGTACCATTGTATCGGAACGAGACAGTCTTTATCGATGTTTTGGACGCAGATGCGCAGGAGTACATCGGGATTGTCCACTCGGTGCCAGGGTCAAACAAGAGGGACGCGGAGCCATCCCGTCTCCGAGCCGCGCCATAGATCATGCCACAAGAGACTGCGATATTTGAGATATTGGCAAAATTGAAGTCGTCGCTGTTCGAACATGCCGGCGCTAGAGTAAGACGTTAGTACTAACTAGCTAGCAGATATTATAGTTTTCCCTACCAATGTCGGTGAAGTTGGATTCCACGATGTTAAAAGGGTTAGGGTAAGTCGAGTTCGAGAGCGTGCCGTTCAACAGGGCGTCGGGTAATTGCTGCGTGGCTTAGGTTAGCCCTGTACGTGTGCATTTGGCATATCTTGACACGGCTTCGGTGGAGAGTGTGGATGGAGAACCGGGCATATATGGACGGAAGCGCGAGAGGAAATGAGAGAGCACTGGAATTTGACTGAAGGGCTTCAGGGTCCACAATGCGTAGGCTCGGGGACATGAGCATACATACCAGGAAGGCACCGTATTCCCCATTGATGATCAACTGATCATACGTGGGCTTGAAACTCGTGAAATCGGCTAACTCTAGAGGGAAAGTTTTTCCAACAGTCGAGCTCACATATTGAAATCTCTGTGGAAACTGCTTGTTCTTTGGGTTAGTAACGTTGAGATAAAACATGGAGTATACATTGCTGAACCAAGCAGCAAAGTACGCGCGGTCCCGTAAGTTAGCGTTTGCCCAGGTCTTGTTTTGATCGTCTAGCGGGAGAATCAGCATGCCCGAACAGGCGCTATGACAACGGAGAGCTAGTAGGACTTACACGAAGGGATGTCCTTGATGAAGTTTGCAAACCCTCCATGATCGGTGATGACTATATTTTCCACGCTCGCTAGGGCGTCGTTCGAATACGGTATGTTGAAGTCCAGAGTAATGTTCAAGTCGACGCATTCGGTTTCTGGTTCAATGAAGAGAATGTCCTCCGACCAGCGGCTCCCGAAGGGAAGCTGAGGAGGCGTGGAGTGATTTCGGAAGCCTATGCCGCCGGATTTCGTGTCCACAATAAGGCCCGCGACAGCTTCCCAAGCATCGTTAAGCACCATTTGCGAGAGATGCCGGTAGTCACCTACGAGATATGGCTGACCATCTCTCATGAATTTGTCCTTAAGTACTTTTCGATAAGTTCTCCACTGGATGTCAAACGTGCTTGCGACTGTCTGTGGTAGTTTGGACAAGCCGGCGCTGTATATCTCTGTGATGTTCTTGGGGAGCCGGACGTCGTACCCCTCTGGGAGATCGGCGGTGTACATGGTCTCGTTGAAGCTCTCGTTGATAACCGTATTTGACCATGGGCACACTGCAGGTCGGCCAATGCCCCAGCACATCCGAGACGGGCCGAAATCATTACGCCTCGGGAGAGTCCTATCGAGTTCAGCAAACCAATCTCTCGGCTAATGGTGGACTGGCCCACCCAATGCCCATCGAGGAGTTGTCTTCAGCATAGCTAAAAGTCTCCTCCTTCAGGCCATCTTCGGGAACGATCGTCTCATAAAGCCCAAGTGGAGTGACAATAGAGGCGATCGTAACGAGGAGAAGGAAGAAGACTTCGAAAAGAGCGATCAATCTGATGCTACCCCTGACTCCGCGTACGCTTGCGGAATCTGACCGTAAGATTGTTGGCCAGTGTGAAGAATGCAACGTCCTTCCCACCACAGACCTGAAGAGGTCAGTAACGTAGCTCAGTTCGAGCCAAGGGATGTCATACCATGTTGCCGCAGTATTCTCCTTCTTCAAAACCCCGACTAGGATCAATGGAAATATCGTGGGCACCGCAAACTGAACTGCTCGAAGTTAGCGTATTATCCGCACTGGCCGTGGTTCTAGGACTGTTTATACCGACAAAGATGCCGGCGGCGATCAGACCGGCAACGGTACCGACGCTGAAGCTATCGATATGCACCATTGTAGTGTTCGAAACGACGAAGCTCTGGAGTGAAAGGCCGGGTCGTGGCTCGCAAGGGTCTTAGTGTGCAATCGCGACGCGCGATGGTCGCAGCCCCCATTGATAAAGCCATGAGCGTGTATAACAAATTACGGGCCCGTTTCGAAATTGACAAGGTGAAAAGCGTTAAATTAACATGCTTCCAGTATTCTGGGCTCAAAGGATCCCCATCTGGAGAGAAATACGACGATACGAAGATAGTCAGGGGTAAGTACAGCTTGGCGGCTGTACTTAGATCCACAAAGCATGGCAACAGCTTAGCATTCTTCTTTGCAGCATCTTCCCTTTTCCAGCGGCCAAAAATGGTATTTTCCGGACCGAAATCAACACCCAGCGGACGGCTGCTGGAAGACTAGGCTACTGGGGGCTCTTCCTCGCAAGAGAGGAGCTAGAAATCGCATGGCGCTAGTTGTGTGTGAGGAAAATTGAACTCTCGTTATCGTTGCCGCGGCTCATTGCAAGCAAGGCTGCTGCAGCCTCAGGGGGGCTTTTCAAAGGGTTTTCGGGAGACATGGAGCTGGCTGCACGCCATGGGTAATCTTCAGCCCGATTTTCTCGACGGTGCGATCCCTGATTTGTTAGTTTTAGATGACGTTGAACTACAGTAGGTCAAGAAGAGGGCGCGTGCGAACCGCTTGGATGCGATTGGATTCTATTCCAGGTATCCGAAGCCTCACCGACGGGATGGCGTTTGATGGTGGTGGAAGCGTGGGAGGACGGGAGGGGATACCTATCACCTGAAAACTCGCCTCGGCTTTCACTGTGCCGACGGTTAGCGGCTTGGCACTAACCCCAACTCCGCGCAAACTCGTCGTCACACTGCGCACTCCACTCTCGTCGGGCGGCATCATTTTCGTGTCGAAGCAACAATACGCGGCCCCACAATTCAGTGCATGCAATTATCCGCGCTACATACGTGCCGATGTTTCTTCAGCCGAATCCATACTGAAGGTAAACCTGGTAGTGAATAGCCAACTCTGACGGCCTTCACATAGCTTTGCCGATGACTCTGCCAGCAACAGCCATGTAGAGTCGAACCTAAAGGCTCTCATCCTCTTCGTAAACATCCCTTGCGCTTCGTTCACCCCGACTTGAACCCGCAGAGGCCGTCATTCCCGTCTGTGAGTTGCTACGAGTGGAGTCTGCACTGACTTCAGCTCCATTGCGACATTGCTCAGCCCGGGAGGTACAACAGAACGCAGCAGGACGTAGTGGATCATATTTACCAGAGGCTGGGCTTTTTATTCAAAGTTGAGACTTCGGTCGCGTAAAGTTGTGGCTAACTGACACTGATGTCCACAACATGCTCGTCAGACCCTACACCATCGCAATCAAGCCACTGGAGAACCGGCGCTAGTTTAGCACACAGTTGGATAAGTCAAAAAACTTGGTTTCCGGTTCTTGTAAAGATATCCTCCGCCCCATCAGAGCAAGTCGATATACTCCTCTTCGACCGTTCATTCCTTCGACCCAGTTCTTCATTATGCGGCTCCTGACTGCGCTTAGCGTAGGCCTCGCGCTTCTGCATGGAGCCAGAGGCGACTCCACAGCCCCACTCACACGGGTTTCCTACGGAACCCGCAGATACCTGGTATTATACGTATGGTCTGCACTCATAGCGATTCCTTATACACGAACCATATACGCGAATTTTTCTCTATAGTAAACGCTGATGAACATTCTGGGAAGTCCGAATTCTTCCTCTCTGAGCACGTCTCGCTAGATCACCCGTCCAATTCTGACCCTTGCAGCGACTCGAATGTTGACAAGCTAGAGGAGTCTCTCGATCTTGTGCGCAAGACCTTGAATACTCGTTCGGGGACTTGAGCGTGGGTCCTCCGTATTGCCACATAAAGCACCCACAGCCTGACCGAGATGAAAAGCCAGAATCCATTCAAAGTCCATTACGAAAGGACCTAGTTAAACGATACGCTACACGACGCCACCCTTCATGTCCACCAAGTTCCAAGGCATGTCCGAAATTAGAAAAACGAAGAGAGGGTCCTGCGTGTACGGGTGGACCTTGATGACGGGTTCACGAACGATCCAAATACCTTGACTGATTGATTGATTTTTTTCTCGTTTTAAGTCACCAACCTATAGAGGTTATGCTGACTAACAGCAAAGCAGAGCTTCTGCCTACGCACAAAAGGACTTAAAAGACGCCAAAATTAAGAGAAGGGAACAGGATATCACAGAATCACAGAACCACGGGCAGGTGGCATAAGTCGATAGAAAAGAACGGTTCGGGCGCGGATGAGGGCGTAGCCCACCACGAACCATGGCACGAAGCTGCCAACGAAAAAGGAGCCCCAGAAAGCTCCTCAACAACGACGATGGTCATCGAAATCCAAACACCTTTATCTCGATCACTAACCATAGGGGGACTTCGAAGGACATCTTGAAGATATTTGGGCAGGATCGGCAACTATTTAGAGATCAACTAGGAGAGATTAATCCTATGATTGTTCATATTCTCCTTTTGTGGACCGGCGCCTCCTTGACGCACTGGAACACGAAATATGAAGCTGTGCGATCAAGCGGTGAGCGAATCACACAGCCTCAACCCTGCAAAACCATCGGTCGGTGTTAGGAAAATCACGAGTATTTTTGAGTGTTTGCGAACTGCGGGAAGGGGGACTGGCCAAGCTCCTGTACGGCGAGACAGTGACCAAACCTTCGCGCTCTAAAGCGTCTCGGGCACAGTACAAAGCCGGACCGTTTCAATTCTATCGCCTGCAGGCGCCATTGTTCAATTTATTTGTCAAGATAACGTGTTATTTAGACGAAAGCATGCTTCCTACATCCATGGATGACGGTTGTGAAAGGGTTTACGCTAACCTTATTCGATTAGTGCCTACGTGACGGCGCGTCAACGTCGTAAATGTCTTGGTGCGTGTTTTCACCAGCAGCCAAAAATCGCACATTCAATGCGCAAACTTTTATTGTGCGCTTTGAACTATTGTTATAGTGGGGCGTCGCTTCCAGCTGCCCAGTCCCATAATCGCGCCTTCACTCGCCCAAAGCGACTGCGACTTCATGAACCAGCCTCACTATATACTTCAACACGACTGCCGCAACTTAACCACCATTATTTTGCAACCTCTCCAAACTTTCTCCATTAATCCTTCAAAATGGGCAAGCGAACCTACACGCGACGGAGCATGACTATGGCTCCTTCTGAGCACGATTCACCACCCGACGATAGCTTCAGCCGCAAACGCCGCAAGTCCAACCACCCGACTAGCTCTGAGCCGCAATCTCGTTCTGTCTCCTCGATCTCTTCAAGCACACAACCGCACCAGATGCCTAAGTCGAAGAAGTTCGCTGGACCGATATCGCTGCCTGCCGACGAGATGGATGTGGACGAGGTTCAGAAGCCGGACCCGTTTAAGGGCCTGATTGATCACTACAAGGCCAAAGGCGGACACTATCCTCCCCGCGCGCAAGAATCCCTGCATGGCGGCCGCAAGAACTTTGACCATCTTATGCAGGCGAAGAAAGCGCCTCGACCCGCCGTTTCCACCAAAGGCTGCGGGTCCGGCAATGGCCGCGAGGGGAATGGCATCAATGGATATGGGAAGGCACCACAAAACCAGGGATCAGACATCAGCAAGCCGACTATGACCACATCCGTCCGCGGCCCCGACGAAACATCGGAGACTTCCAAACGCTTTGCCCGTGTGGTCAAGAACGCGCCGAAGCGAGCGTTCCTACTGAGGGAGAAGGAATACACTTCACCGGAGACCCCAGCGCCGTCGAGGGACCTGTTCCGCAAACGTATGGGACAAGACTCAAAGGAAGCTAAGCTGTAAGTATGAGCTCCAGAGCATTCAACAGGCGTTGAGCTAACCCTCGCTTTAGGTGGGCTGAGAACCAATCCAAGTCACCGTTGTTGCGTCTGCCCGCTGATGTCCGCCAACGCATCTATGAGTATGCGCTCGGCGGAAACACGATCCTGATCGGGTTCCAGACCTATGATAATTCGGAGAACAAAGACGGCTCCGCAAAATCGGTCCCCATCTTCAAATATCACTGCGAGGTGATGACAGGGCGCCGCAACCCTTTTGTCGATTACATGAGACCGAAACCCGAGACGTCGAAGGGCTTCACACTGCTCAACGCAGTCTCTCGACAGCTCTATCTCGAGACCTCCGTTTTCCCATACAAGCTGAATAGGCTGGCATTCGAGTCTCATAACGTCATGTTCAACTTCCTCGCTATGGAGCCGCGCCTTACGCGGAAAGAGCGCGAGGCAATCGTCGAGCTGGCTTTGTGGGACCAACTGCCATCCGCGAATCTCCTGGCACTTCTGCCTAACCTCAAGAAGGTACAGTTTGCCGGAGCAGCGCCATTCCGAGGATGGTACCGTAAGATCGAGGGGCACAAGGGGGCGATGCTGATCAAGGAGATAAACGTCGCTGCAAAACCCACGACCAGTAAGGTATGAGGCGCGTAAAGAATTGGAAGAGGGCGCGATGGGTAACTTGGCAATGGTATCGGCTAGCGCTGCACTGTTCCCTACGCACCCTCAAGGCAAGCGGGCTGCTTTGTGGATAATGAAGGGCATACGAAAAGTGGTTTGAGTAGCTGGGCACGAGTTCGGACACCGGAGTCATCATAACCCGGTGGCCGCAGTACGAGCAATGTTTTTCTGCGCATCTCATAGCTGCGCTTTGCATCCTTGCATTCTTCGGTAGGAATCTCGGGACCTGCCGGCGGAAGGTGTAGAGGCTTGAGGCCTTCAGCGTGTCGTAGCGAATGAAAGGCGCTTTACAAGCAAATGTTGAAGGAAGCGAGCCCGCTATTGTCGTGCAAGATCAGATTCTGAGATACAGCGCCAGTTATAACGATAACCTCTTGCTAAGAGGTTTCCGCCGTGGCGATCTGCCGCCAGAGCAAAGCTTAGCGGCGCGCTTGTGGTGAGCCTCCCACGCTCTCTGACGTCATCTCTCCACCACTCTCTGACGGAAAATCAGTTTCAGATCTCACCTTCCCTCCCGAGACATGCCTCTGCACCCTCAGTAATCCTCCCACAGCCTCTGAAGACGTTACTTCTGGATATCGTCGGACTTGCGTGAGTGCTGGGCACGAAACTGGTCTTTCTTGGTTCCGAAAGCTTGAACAGCGATCCTCAGGTTGGCTCCTGCTGATCGTTTCTCGCGCCTTGGAACGGGATTGGCTGCATCGCCCACACCACACCATGAGATCTCAGGCCTCTCACGAGCATGCGCCCTGCATGCAACTGATAAGAGAGTCGCCGCATTTGTCGGGCATCACGAAAATTTAGCCACGCCGTCATTCGCCTATCGACTTTTCGCTTCGAAGGATGGATATTTTGCGGGCGGACCAACAGGATGTCATCCCTTATCAAGGGTCATACGAAGTGGATACCTGCTGTTGCGCGGTTTTACGGGTGTTCTTCCCGGTGCTTTTTCCTGCCCTACCAATACGTGCATCTTGAACAGCTGCCGGTCCGCCTGGTAGGTCGCGTACTTGCGGGGTTTGACAGACAGACGACAGCTACTTAACCTCCCTTCGCCCTGTCTACTCTTTTGGGTCCTTTCATCTTATCCTTCCTTTCGAATCAACATGGCGGACAAAGATGTGGAGAAAGAGTCATACGCACCTTCGGGCTTGCCGCAGTACAGCGTGGGAACGAGTGAGCCCTTGACTGGCTCGAAATGGACGCGCTTCAGGGACAGCTTTAAGCGGAACCCAAACGCCAGGATGGTGACGGAAGCTGTCGATTCGGAGGGAAAGCCTCTTCCGGATCAGCCGCCCGCTGAACCAGCACTGAGCATGAATTTGAAAAACCGCCATCTTCAAATGATTGCTATTGGAGGTTCAATTGGTCAGTACCATTTTTTCCCGGCTATCGATGACCTGGAGTGGGCTTGATAAGGAGTGGCTATCTTCAAAAGCTTCATCCTGAGTTAGATGATCACGTGTTGAGATTGACGAGTCACTTCGCAGGTACCGGTCTTTTCGTCGGTTCTGGCGCCGCTCTCCAAGCTGGTGGGCCTGCTTCGCTTGTACTAGCGTATGGATTGATCGGAATCATGCTGTACTGCACGGTGCATGCTCTTGGTGAGCTAGCTGTAGCATATCCGGTCGCTGGATCATTCGCCGTATACGCTTCCCGATTCCTGGATCCTGCCTGGGGCTTCGCTATGGCCTGGAAGTATGTATTCCATCTTTACTGCGAGGGCAGTCACGATATTGCAGTGTTGACCTTGTATAGCTACGCACTTTCGTGGCTCGTTACACTTCCCCTGGAGATCGTCGCCGCATCGATAACGTTATCCTATTGGCAAGGCGCTCGTGATGTCAACCCTGCCGCCTGGGTAACCATTTTCCTGTTCGTAATCATATCTATCAACCTGTTCGGTGTCAGAGGTTATGGAGAAGCGGAGTTCATCTTCTCTATTATCAAAATCGTTGCTGTTATCGGCTTTGTCATTTTGGGAATCATTATTGACTGCGGAGGCGTACCTGGGCAGCCTTACATGGGCGCAAAGTTTTGGTACGATGAAACAGTTCCCGCACGGTAAACATGAGCTGATTCCCACAGGTATAACCCTGGAGCTTTCCATAATGGCTTCAAGGGTCTCTGTTCGGTCTTTGTTACTGCTGCCTTCTCATTTGCAGGCACTGAGCTAGTTGGATTGTGTGCTGCCGAAACGGAGAATCCGAGGAAAACGCTTCCTACCGCCGTCAAGCAAGTCTTCTGGCGTATTACACTGGTTGGTTCATTCTCTTTCTAACCTGCGCGTATCTGTACTAACAGGACCAGTTCTATCTGGTTTCCTTAACAATCGTGGGCTGTCTGGTTCCTTATACCGACCCAGGCCTCATTGGTTCATCCTCCAGCGACGCCAACGCTTCGCCTTTCGTTATCGCAGTCAAGAACGCCGGCATAAGTGCGGTCCCATCAATCATGAATGTCGTTATTCTTATCGCCGTATTGAGTGTTGGAAACTCCTCTATCTATGGTTCTTCGCGTACTCTCGCCGCGCTGGCCGACCGTGGACAAGCCCCAAGGATTTTAGGCTACATCGACCGCTCCGGCAGACCCCTTGTAGCTATTCTCTTCTCGTCCGCCTTCGGTTTTATTGCTTACATTGTTGCCGCCGGCGATGATACTCGCTCAAAAGCATTTACATGGATGCTCGCCATCTCCGGCCTCGCAGCTATCTTCAACTGGGCCTCCATCTGTCTCTGCCACATCCGCTTCCGAAAGGCATGGAAACTGCAAGGCCATACGCTTGACGAATTAGCTTTTAAATCACAAGCTACCGTCTGGGGGTCCTGGGTCGGCTTCATCTTCAACATTCTCATCCTCATCGCGCAGTTCTGGACTGGCTTTGCACCAGTGGGCTATGCAGATATGACCGCCGGTGAGCGCGTCCAAACCTTCTTCGAGGCTTACCTAGCGTTTCCGATTGTCGTACTCTGTTACGTTGTCTTTAAGATTTGGTACAAGACGAAGTTCAAGCGGGCCCATGAAATTGATGTTTCTAGTGGAAGGAGGGAAATGAATCTCGCAGCGATTCTCGCAGAGGAGCGAGCTGAGCAAGCTCAGTGGCCGCGGTGGAAGAAGGCGTATAAGATATTCTGTTAGTGTGGAGATCCGCCGCGAGCGGACCTCAGAGAGAGTAAAAAGCTTGGAGGGTGGGTTTCAGCTCATGGTTGTATTATATGGGCACTTGCCTTCCGTTCGCAACCATTGCCGCTTATATAGATGCAAGGATCTTAACGCTCTGCGTTGCCAGAACCGTCACAAAGACCTCTCGTGTAGTTAGATGGTCTACTAGGGCTGGTTCATCTGCTGTTACTTCCTTTGAAGGCATTCAGGCGTGTCTACCACTCTGATCACGTGCCAGATACTGATTAGTAATCAGCGCGGAAAGGCCAAAGTTACCAACCGTGCGCTCTCGTCCGTCCTTCCTTCACCATCCCGACCGATCAAATCAGCATTCCACATTGTCCCCCGCAGCAAGATGCAGGTACACTCGAGTGTCAGACGGCGATTGTTTGCTTCTCGGCAACACCCGAAGACAGCATTGCCTAACAGGAGCAATGCCCATCAGGCCCTGCACTTTCAGCACCGCTGGCGTCAGCAACTAACTCATGCGCTGAAGAGAATGCTTGTGTATGCTTGTCTGGTCAGCCCCGAGTACAACTGCGGTTTATTGGGGGCTAGTTTAATTTGCGCTGTGCGACGGTAAGCAGACGTCTTACGTTGCAGAGGGGTAAGTTAGAGTAACGCTTCTTGGCAGGTCCGCTTTCAATGCTCCCTACTCGCACGTGTGGACAAGTTACAACCGCTAATTTCATACTCTTCTCTTGCTTCGCTGCATTTGGCTGCCAGTCGTCTATGGTTGTATGATCAGTAAGCGGGGGCTACTACCTGAGGTGGGTATCACGGCCTCTCGCGACATGGCACGACACACCGGCACGCTCCGCATCATCAGTGCTCTTTAGGGAGCACTTTCTGCTGATGAGCTCAGCTGTCTGCCCACTGAACCGTGACCGCTGCCAGACCTATTTGCGGGGAAGCAAGCCAGCAAGGCTTGGAAGTCAGCCCCCCATTCCATCACATCTGTGCGCTCTGTTAAACGCCCATCCGTACCAAAACAGATCTATGTGTTCGAATTACTGACTTGTGTTCTAGAGAAAGCCCGGAATTGACGGAGAGATCTAGACCAAGAATCACGCGTGCACTAAACAGTTGGTCTCGCACGATTCCACGGATCTATCCCGAAATGTCCAGCCTTCTCCTTCGTCCCAACCTTTCCAAGGATTCGTTACTCACGCGCAGCTTTGTACCCCAGAAAGCCTTCAGTCAGCATCAGCGTGGATCCCTAGTCTCTGGGAGAAAGTAATCTCCGCTCGCAGAAACCAGGCATGGGCAGTCATCGTCAATTACCAAATCCCTCTCTCTAGACTCTCAACGCTACCACATGGCCCATGGGCGACGAACTCTCAGCTGTCAGCACATACTTCTGGTCCGGTTTGAGCAGAGATCTTCAACCGTGTATCCGCATGCGGCCGCACATGGTGCAGCCGCTCATTGAGGGGTATACGTCTAAGGATCGTGCCATCTACCCTAGGAAGGAAGTGGAGCCTATTCCCTCACGATGTACGAAGACCGTCTCTTCAAAACTATCAAGAGCCTAATTCGGAAAACCCATCCTCCCTCTTACACAGGCAGCTTAGCCTTGTGCATCTCGGAATACTATAAAGACCAAGGCGCCCTCCTCTGATTGTTCTTCACCACAGCACTTCCAACCCTCTCTCAAGACTACAACATCCAGCAAAGCTTCAAGCTCTAACCAGCACTTCACGAAAACACAATGGCTCCAATCACCACCACTCTCCTCGCCCTCATCGTGGCCGCCCTCCCTGCCACTGTCACGGCGACCCAGGCTCAGACCTGGAGCGGCACTTCGTGCAACTCAGGTGACCACCTCTTCTGGTCTGGTCATTCGATTGACTGCCAGCAGCTTGGTATGGCTCCTTCCCTCTCCCCTCCCCTTCCCACTCATCTTGTCCCCATACTAATCACGCTCTCCGTAGGCAATGTCCACAGTCTTTCGATTGACAGCCTCGACTCTGGGTGCACCATCACCTATTACTCGGACAGTTCCTGCTCTAATGACGCTACGTCTGCTCGTGTTGGATCTTGCTGGGGCTACAACACTGGTGGCCCGATTCAGTCTTGGTCTTGGGACTGCTAGATACTGAGGCGAAGCCCAGGGAGCTTGACGCGGTTAGTTGTGGCTGCCAGGCAGTGGTTGAAGTTTGCAAGTCGATAGTGATGTCTAGTGCGGAGAAGAGTCACTCGTTTCTGGTGTTGCGCGGTCGGAGATAAGGGGTCGCTCATTCCATGATTGCATGCATTGCTATGAATAGTTCAAAAAAATTAAATCCAGCGGATGCATCCCAACGGCCTCTCTCCTCTCACAGACTCACATCCTCCTTAGCTGTGAGCGCGCTCCGGTAGTTCATACTTTAGTACAAAATTGACTCTCACTCACCCCTCTGTTCCCTCCAGCCTCGACGCTAGCGACCCATTGCAATCCTTCAGGCTGGCTGTTAATTGATTTCTGTATTAGCGTTAGCCTTCGACCTGCGTTATATCATCTTAATGCCTTTTACCTAACCCCCCTCACTTAACCGGACTACCTCTCCATACCAGCTTCAAACTATATCTGAGCTACCGCGCCTGTCAACTTTCCCACCTTTATCAACACCACTCCCGTCAAACCCGCCCTCTTTGGCCTCAACCTACCCAAGCGACTACAATGCACGAACTAATCTCCCACCCGGGCTTGCAATTCTACATCTCCCGCCTCTCAGGCACACTGCACTACACGCTCACTATCGCCTCCCGTCCGCCAAAGCACTTCTCGCTCTCGGACTCCGACTTCGAAGACGTGAGCCCGCAGGTAAAGGCCGAGGGGTTTCGGCACCTACATGGCACCGATGCTAGTGCCGTGGGTCTGGAGCTGAAGATCGTCAAGAATGACGGGGTGCTGGAGATAGTGTTCGAGGGACGAGAGGGAGGTAGGGCGGAATGGAGATTTGCGGGGCTGCAAGAGCAAGGTAGTGTGTACGCGATGGCGAGCGTGCAGACGGAACGTGTGGGCGTGGTGGACGGAGGGACGCAGACAATAACCGCGACATCCACTAGTACAGGTGTACAGACCGAGACCGTCACCCAGGAAGATGTTCAGTACCGAGACCTCACAACCACTCTGGAAATAGACGGCATCTGCATCGTGGACGTCAGTGATAGTGACGAATATGAAGCCCTCTCCGTCGCCTCATCGGCATCCTCGACCTGGTCCGATCCCTGGCCCCGACACATATACCTCAAAGGGCACAAGCTGGGCCGCGGCGCTGCCACCAGATGGGGCGCGATCCACATCGACCGCCAGACGCGCAAACTGCGCTGGACAGAATCGAGCGGCGAGTCGTGGAACAAGCGCAGCGTAAAAGAAGTCATTGACTTGCGCTCGGCCAGCAGTGAGTCCCACCCGTGCACACATCTCTCCATTCCTCCCCAAACCCACGCCCTTGCTAACCCGACGCTGCAGCCGAAGTCCAGTACGAAGCCGGCCCTACCACAAGCCTCCTCCGTATCTGGTATCCCAAGTTCAGCAAAGAGGGCCTAAGCCAGGGCATCCTGCTCGCTCTCCAGGTCCAGAGCGAATTCCAGATGTGGGGAAGCAACAACAAGAAGTCTCTGGGAGAATATCCCATTCGCGATATCCGCGTCCTGCTCGAAGAGATCATGCTATGCGTCGACGCGACGTCCGGCCGTGCCTGCAGCGTGCCGAATCCCAGGACCGCGAGGGGGCCGCATTCAGCTGCTGAGAATGTACCGGGTGATCCAATCTCGGAAGCCGTCCTCATCTTTCCATCGAGCGTGGAGACACTGCGGACGCAAAAGGCAGACGCAGAGCCGGCATGCAAGAAAGTACGGCTAGAGAACGAAAACGATGCCGAGATCCAGAACAGGAAGTGCGATAAGGAGATCCGGATCGACAATATGGTCAGGCTTCTGGACATCGATCTGGAAGAAGACCCTGTGTTGCGGAACCTTTGCGGCCAGAGGAAGCGCATTATGCGACAAAGTGGACGCAATGGCCATTTGGCCCCGAGACACGAAGCTGCCCTGGACATCGTGCTCAATGAAGCAAAGGAACGACGTGCGAAGCTAGAGGCTGATCTGCGGAAGATTGCACGGCAGAGGACGTACGAGTAACAGGAGCGAATGCCCAATGTCCTAGCATCTACTGGGTTTTGGAATCAGCATTCAGGACACTTGTGGTTGTTCTCTTCTTTTCTGGGCCTTGCACATTTCCTGGATACTTTCTTTACCATCGTAGCATTTCCGCGGGTCGGCGGGAGCTCATCGGTTTGGAATACCAGTTTCTAGGCTCTTCAGGCTTGCATGCAGCGGTGGCTTTGAGAATCTAGAAACAAGAGCTGACCTTGAAGGACCTCGTCTTCATTCGCATACCCAACATGCATGGGCACTTATGCCAGCAGTAGATTTCAGCATAGATACATCATCCAGTCAAAAGGCGCTCTTGCACTATGCTCTTTACCGTCCGTGTCCCACCTCCTCCCTCTTTACCCTAAAAAAAGCCAGCTTGGCAAATCTCCCAAGCGTCGCCCAAAAATGCCTCCCAGCAGGGTGGTCCATGATTCTCTCCAGGAGTTTCACCACCGCCACCCTCACATCCTGCCTCGGGTGGAAGAGTCCCAGACTCAGGTAGAATAGGCCAGAATTGCTTTCTGGAATGACACAAAGTAGCTGCAAAATAGTGTCGTACTGTAACTGGTCGCCTGGTCTGCGGTCGGGATCGTTTGCGATAGTCAGTGACTGTGATATCGCTGATGGGAGGTCGACTTCGGAGGCGGCCGAAGTAGGCGACCCGGCTTCTTCAACGCAGCGGCCAAGCGCTAGATATATAGCTGCAGACTGATCGTGATTCAGTTTCAGACATCGCAGCTTATCGTGCTGGTGGTTTAGGTCGATACCGCGAACAGGCCGCTTCTCCCACTGCCTCGCCAGATCTTGAATGAAGCCGAAGTACGAGCGTGTGCTTCTCCAGCCCTCTACTCGATGAGCGTTGGCGGCAAGTTCCCTCAACTTTGATGCTTCGTCCGGCCATACAAAGCCGTGGCCCGAGACGCCGTATGCGCCGGCATCAGTTTCGTGCGATCCGATATAAAGCGCGGAGGCCCCGTAGACTGTCTCCTCGAAGGCGGCGGCTATGCGCGTAAATTTGAGGACCCAGGAACGCCACTTTGCGCGAATAGCGTTCTCGCCGTGTCGGTTCGATATGCTCTGGAGCAGGCTCTCCATGAATTGTGTGTCACCAGTCGTATCTATAGCTCCTTTGCTGTCCGGACCTGCCTGCGCAGCACCTACTGGGATGCCTTGTGACTGGAAGTAGATCTGGCCATCTGTTATTTGTGCAGCTTCGATGCGATTGCTGATCTTCATACGACCAGTGGGAAGGTCGCACAGCAGATCCCACCACTCGGGCTTGTATGAGAATGCCGGATTGGTGACACCGGCAATGAAGCCCGGGACTTTGAGTAGATCGTCAACTTTGGTAAGATCCGTATAGGGGAAGGCGTGGCGAACGAAGCCCCGCAGGAGGCCACCAGATGCAAGGGCGCACGCTGCTAAAACGGCTTCGGCCACTTCGCTCGATGGTCGATTGTGCCCGATGAAGATGATGCGTTTCTGCGTTAGGAGGGCGTTGACGAGCACGATAATGGGATGGGTAAAGGCGCCACTTGTTGTGAGGTGCGGGTGAAGAGCGAATGGCTGAGGTGACGTCGTGTGTGGTGTGGAAAAAGTCTGAATGAGTTTTATAAGGGAGAAGTCGCCAACTGTCTCAGGGTTCAGGGCTGTCGGAACTTTGATAGGAACGGGAATTCCGTTGTAGAGGACTTTTGACTCGAATTCGTGAGTATCTCGTGGCGGAGCGTAGTTCTTCCGATTTGGCACGGACCCGGCAGAGGTTGCGGATGGGAGCGAATCTCGCTCCGCATCCTCGGCCTTGCGCCGCCTGATCATCCGCTCAAACTTCTCAATGAACATGTCCTTCGCGTCGGTGGCTTGAAGTACGAAACCCTCCAACGGTGACAGCTTGGGGAGCAATGACAGGTCCATTGCGTTTAGAGCATTGTAGAGTGCTGCAAGCGTTTCTATAACCGGAGCCCTGAAGTACTCCTCCAGGGCTAAGAGTAGGAGCGGCTTGTAGATGTGTAAGAAAGGATGTCGGGTGCATATTGCCATGGCCTTGACAATGGCGCCTCTGCATTATGTCAGCAACGGGGAGGTGAATTGATCCGGTGAACCTACCTCTTCACTGTGTTGTCCTGCTTCGTATTCACAAGGTTTAGCACGTATACAAGCGGAGGGCCATCTGGATCCGGCTCGTCGTCGCTTTCCGACTCGTCACTCTCCGTCTCGTCGTCGCCGTCTTCGTCTTCAGCTTCATCGTCATCATCCAGGCCTTTCTCCTGCCGCCTCTGCTTGCGCCGCAATGCTCTACGCGCCTCCTTCTCCTCCTCCTCGGCAGTGGTATCCTTGTGTAGGAAGAAGATGGTCCAGTCCTGGCTACGAACGTGTGCCTGGTCCGGCAGCATCAGCTCTGCCAACATAGTCTCGTCTCCGCTGATAGGGCTCGGGAACTGGTGCTCCATGACCGACCCGCGGTCAATGTCAAATGAGGCTACCAGGATATATTCGACGTGGTTCTCGCGGGAATGGGCGGGATATTGCGATCGTAGCTTCGTGCCGTTCTTCAAGAGTGGCCCTCCTGGAGACAATGACGAGTTGCGGGAAGAATCAACGGAGCCATCGTCCTCTCGCAGCATGGGAGGCTGCGGCGACCGGGCTTTCTTGCTCTCATTGCGCATTGATATGGCGGAGGGCGATCTCGAGGAGGGAAAGGAGGAGAAGGAGGGCTGCCGTTGCAGGCTGGGCTGCGCCGAAGCGCTCCCATTCGTCCTGTGTGCCATTACTTCAGCCATGATGCTTTCCAAGTCCGCGAGGCAGAGGACTCAAGCATCGTGGGATCTTCAGGGCGAGCGCTAAGCGGCCCCTCGCCCGGGGTATGTTCCGAAACGCAGGGCTGCCCAGGGGGTACGGGGGAGTTGAAACGGGGCGAAAGCCGGGCGAACGGGGCGAGGAATCCGCGTAGGAAGGGATTGGGACTGTGAGAGGTGTGCGACGAGCTGTTCGATGGGCTATCACATGGCAGGAGTGCGGCGAGCGCTGAAGGGGTCCAGGGCGCCTTATCGATATCGGGATTAGCTCAGCCGCGACAGGGGCCGTTGCTATGGCGCAGGAGGAACGTCAACACCACCAAACACGCGCCAGCTCGCGTTGATCGAACCTCAATCCTGCCGCCCCAGACGTGGTATCGCAACAACAAATCATGGCAAGCCAGAGCAGGCATCTATCACATCGCATTCAGATGCTAATCCTGTCCAGTCGACGACGCCGACGCCCTACAAGCCCTCCCCGCTCTCGTTCAACAGCCCGCGCACGTCGCCCTTCCGCCGTCCAAACTCCCCACTGACGCACTCGCCCTCCGCCGTCCGCCCGTCTACACCCACGACTTCGCCACTGAAGCCTACGCCAGGCACCCCCTCGCAGACGGCTCTCCGACAGTCCACAACCACCAATGCCTCGCAAAACCCCCCAGCATGGATGAACACGCGCGGCACGACAACAGCGCCCGAAGCGCCTGCCTCACCTACGCGACACGTATCTACATCTACACAGCACACAGTGCGGCCCTCGAATACAGCCTCGCTAGCAGCGCGATTTGACGGAGCGAGTTCCAGTACCCCGCCGCCCGAACGGCCTGTTGATCGAGCCCTCGAGCGCCCGGCTGTGCGCCTGGCTCCTGTAACGCGAACAGGCTCCACCGATGCATTCTCTAAGATTCCACCCCCACTGCTGCACAGCATGCGCGAGTCCTTCAGCGTGCTGGACCGGGACAACAGCGGCAGCGTGAACTCCGCCGACGTAGCCGATATGCTATCGCAGCTCGGTCTTAGCGCCACCCCTTCTACGCTAGCCACGTACTTTCCCAGCGGCTCTCAATCCATCAATCTGGCCACCTACCTGGCCACACTCTCTGATCTCTTATCCGGACTGTCGCACCCCAACGAGTTGCACGCTGCTTTCGAAGCCTTTGATGACGGCGATGACGGACAAATTGATCTAGCGGAGCTGAAAGATGCTCTCCTACATACAGCGCCCGAGCCTGGAGAGCGAAAGCTGACAGAGCGCGAGATAGACATGGTAGTCGAAGGATTCAGTGGCAGAAGGGCCTTTGGCAAAGGCGGGAAAGGGCTTGGAAGAGGAGAAGTGTTCAGGTATCAAGAATTCGTCGCAAGTGTAACAGGAGGCGGGAGTGGGCCAGATAACGGCGCTGGGGCTGCCGCACCGGCGTAGAAGGTAGCAAGAAGGGGCCTGAAGCACTTCACGACCTGACAGGCGGTCTGATACGATTCCGGAATACATGGGATTGGACGGCGTTTTGGATCTTGCGGTTACGACGAGCGGAATAATGCCAGTGAATATTTCGAATGGAAATTGAATCAAGAAGTGTTCCATGCTACCGTACTATTGGCGGAAGACTGGTACATAATGCCCTCAGAACTTTTTGAAGCCCCATAGACGTCCGAAAGCTCCCTCCGAAGATCCCAACCCCTTTGTCGTCGAAATATTCCTTTTCCTTCGCCGACGTATCACTCCTCTTGGCTCATTTTCAACCCGACCCATCCGCGCTTTCTATCCCGTCCAGAAACTCACTCCAACTCGACCACTCCTCCTTGTCCTCCTCCGCATTCTTCTCACCCTCCTCCTCCAGAACATCCACAACCCCCTCCCTCACCTCGCAAACCCGCAGAGCCCGCACATACTCCCGTCTCTTCTTCATTTCTTGCATGCTCCATCCAGGATGGACCGCCGGCGGGCGGCCGCTCCCGCCTTGTACCAACTCTCATATTCCTCCATGCTCGTTTCGAGATTGTAATCCGCTTCGGGGTTATGCACGGCTTCTCGGCCGGATGTGACATCAATGCAGTGCACAAGCGCATCGACGATGATAGCGGGATCTCTGAACGGTATGTTCTCCGATGAACTGTCCGTGGCGGAGTGCTTGCCCCAGATCTTCAGCTTGGGCGCGCCGCAGTGCATCTCGAAGATCCTGGCTACTCCATAATTTTTCGCCGGTTTGATGAGCCCGAGGATGTGGGCGTAGCCTTCGAAGCCGCGGCTGTCGAGCGGGTTGTAGAGGACTTTGGCTTTTTGCCGTGGTGGTGTGTGATTAGCGATATTGTCTATCACTAGATAGATAGGGCGGGAGGAAGGACGGGAACTTACTCAGTCGCTCGCGCAGGTCGACCTGCTTCTTCTCCTTGCACCGCATGTGCTCTTTCCCGTACCAGCCTTCGTACCACACCGTCGCGTTGCCGAGGTCGATGTGCAGCTTTCCGATGTCGCCTTTGAACTGCGGCGCCGAGCGGTAGCCTTCCGCGTAGAGGTGGCGTGGCCATGGGGCGGACGTGTGCGTGCTGCGTGCTCTCTTGTCTGGCGGTGCTGGGCTGGACAAGCGTTTGCGCTTTGTCCCGGTCACTAGTTGTGCGTTGTTGTCCGGCTCGAGTGCGGCGGCATCATCATCGTTCTGGATTCCCGTGTCGACGAGGGCGCCGGACGTCGTAGCTCGTTCGTGGATCACCTTGCTCTGCTTCTCCGCTTCTTCCCAGCATCCCTCCGTCTGCATGCTCTTGTCTCGCATCGTTCCCAGGACTTCAACCTGGCTTCCCGCATCCTTCAGCCCCCGAACCGCGGTCTGCATCCCCTGCTCTTTCGTCGCCACAGCAAGGGTCTGCACCCCCATACTGGCATACATCGCCCTCCCACCCACCTGCTCCATCCCGCTGAACACCCAGGCAGCAGAACTGCCATCCTTCCCTTCAAACTCCATCTCCAGCCTGCTATCATTCTTGAAGAGCCGCATCTGAAGGCCCACAGCACTGGCCTCGACACCATCCCAGCGCTTCGGAGGGGCACCGTTGCTGCCGCTGTCTGAGTCGTCGGTCTCGACGTCGGAGTCGGAGAACTCGTATTCTCGCGGGAGCTTGCCTTCTCGCACGGAAGAGCATTTCAGGATGCCACGGAGCTCAAAGAGGTGGAATTTGAGGCCCGGGAGGTGGATGAGCTGGCCCATTTTTGCAACTTGGAGCGTTTGGAGACGGTACCTAGGACGGTGTGGTCCGGAGGCGCGAGGCTCGGGGATTAGAAGGAGGATGGAAGGTTGAGAGGGAAGTTGAACGGCTGATACGCAACCGGATTAGAAAGGTATCGTTCCCGGCGGAGCGTTCTGTTAGGTAAAGGAAAAGGGCGAGATGAAACTGCCTTATCACCCTGCCTTGTCGAATATGAGACGTAAGAGAAAGCTCTGAACGCGGGCAATCTCAGCCTCTCACTTGTTGCAAGACCAGCGGAAGCTAAGAGAGAGAAACAAGACGACGAGCTCATGCGACCACCTGCTTCCTCAGAGAAAGGAGCAGAAAGATAGCTAATGGAACCATTCCGCCGCCGAGCGATGTAAACGCCCAGAAGGAGAACCCAGTGAGAGATCCCTGAGGTCTGAAGGAACCGAACTCCAAACCCGCTTTTGTACGGCTATGAAGCTTTTGAAGAGTCCAGAGCTGAAAGCTAGAGAGTTAGGACGATCACTTCGAAGACACCATCTGGCAACTAGCCTCCTCGCTCTTAACCTCCAGGCACTCCTGAACTGCGTCCAGCACGACCTGGATCTTATCCTCAGCGGTGAAGTAGAACCTCGCGTTGCCCGTTCCAACATTGTTGCCGAAGACCTTGCACTGTGAGCAAGGTGATACCCATTAGCAAAAGTCCCAAGACATAAAATGTACGATGAAGAGATAGAGGGCCGGCAAAAGCGCTGAGCCCCGTGAGGAGGCCCTCAGGTGGCTTTGAACGAAACACTTCATTGTACATACCTCCTTCTCGCAGTAGTCCATAGCGAACGCGACCTCAGCCCTTCCGTCGCCGTAGCACAGCTTTAGAGAATGATCACCGAAGAAGTGCGCGTTCTTTAGGGGAAGATTCTCCACAGCGCCTACAGCACAGCGTCAGTACTACGTGGTAAAAAGCAGCGGTGCTGACACACAGGCAGGCAGGTCGAAGCATTCAAGCGTGATCCGGGTCCCGCCCTCGTACTCGTCACATGACTCCCAGATCAACTTGTGGCGGGAGAGGTCGATATGCAGACGGCCTTCTTCGTTGTAGTCGGAGCCAGGGCCCGTGCGGTATCCTTCGAGGTAGATGTGCTTGTATGCATGGTAGGGAGCACCTGGGCAGGCGACCTCTTTGCTTTCGTTGGAAGTGGATGCTGTGGCGGGCTCGTTGAAGGAGGTGAAGACCTCGAGAGCTGGTAAGCGGCATTAGTCCAACCTGGAGTACTTCATGGGGGTTAGACGTTGGCGGGAAATGCAACTCACTGCCAGCCGGGGAAGGATCGTCAGATGGCTCCGTAATGCCGGCCGCCGGGGTAGTCTTCGGCTCCTGTTTGACCCGCGCAAAACCCATATAGTCGACGCCTGTCTGGACTGCCTCCAAGCCCTGTTCATATGCTCTTCCATCATGCTCAACGGACAGCAAACCGCCACTAGCACCTTCGAATTTCAAGTCAACAATGCCGTTGGCCTCCTCGAGATATAGTTCCAGGCCCTGGGACCGGAGAGACAGGCCGAACGCAATCTGGCGGGCTGCTTTCATCTCGCCGGTGTCCTCAAGCTCCGAATCTTGGAAGGTGTAATCGGCGGCGGGGCTGTTGTCGTTGGACGTAAAGTGGATACCGAGCTGACCGTTGAGCTTGAGGATTTGCAACGCGAGGCCTTTGTTGTTGTTGAAGCGGGTCGGCATTTTGATGATCGAGTTGCAGATGGAATGGGAAGATGTGAGCTGAAGGAAGGTGGGCGGGACGAGTAGAGTGGAAGATGGCAAGTTGGAGCCGAGGGAAAATGAGGTGGATGAGAAAAAAGTGGGTGGGTTGATGTGAGCGAGAGTTTCTGAGACGGGGCTTCAAGCCTTGGCGGATGGGAAGAGGAAGAAGGAAGTGAAAGTATTGGAAGTGCCACCATCGAGCAGCCCGGAAGGTGCGCAAATGAAAAGCCTACGAGATGCGAGACGGCACGTGCAAGCGTGCAAGCGTGCAAACGTTAACGGCGCTGAATGTGTAGTCTGAAGCTTGAAGTGCTTTAGCACTTTTTGAGTAGGGTGGCCGGCCTAAGGAAAGGTTGCTGAAGGCTTTCAGGATCCATGGATACCCTATTTTCGCTTGGCAGTGCCCATAGTAGATGCGGTACATGCATCCAGCGCTCCTTCCCAACGTCACTTACCCTGTTCGCAAGAACGACCCATGCAGCTCGCCGAATCAGGCAGGAACTCCTACGAGCTGTCTTTTGTGTCCAGCAAGAGCAATGTGATTCTGACTTTAGAACTGAAAAGTCCTTATGCGCATAGACGCGTCCAAATTTAGGTGTCGTGCCTGGGTAGTGCTCGTTCCAGTCGCGGTACAATAGTAGACTTTGTCTCGCCCTGCCATGTGTTTTTCCATGATCTGGAGACCCGTTCAAGGTAGGGAAGCATTGATACCCGACCGGATATAACAGACAAGGAGACATGCCCATGTAGTTGATGACGCTCGCAGCTCCCGAGGTCCCGATGTCTTTAGCGCTGACTAAGCGCACGTGAGAAGGCGATTCCAAAACCTGAGCATGATTAGCGGCCATACAGCCTCCATCAGGGTAGAAAGTACGAGAGGTGGAGCTTACCCGACTAGTCTAGCCTGCATGACTGCATGGATTACCGTAATGCAATATATAAGGGAGGCCTCGTCCCGCATAAACTCGTTGCTGGACATTGGAAACCACCTGGGAGCCCTTCAACCTCTATTCACCGCTCTGTCACGGGGCAGACCTCAGTTTCTGCTTGCCCTGCCATAGCTTATCATAGCCTGCGGCGGCGCATGCTGATCGGCGACATATCCACCCAAACCGAACTGACATCCCCACTGTCTTCAAACAAAACACCATGTCCAGAATCGCGGATTCCATACTAGAGCATGTGTACTCCATGCCAGCCCCAGACCGACCCCGCACAAGGCCTTTGCAAGTCATCTGTGTCGGTCCTTCTCGATCCGGAACAGACTCCCTTAAGCAAGCTCTCCTCCTTCTCGGCTACCAAAATGTCTTCCACGGCTACGATACCCTTTTGCCCGCGAACCGGCACATGAAACCAATCTTGTCCAGACTCGTGAACAAAAAGTACAACAGCGATGCAAAAGACGGAGATATATCCTTCACAGCCGAAGAGTTCGATGAAGTGTTCGGAGAGTGCGACGCGATTACCGATATGCCAGGGGCGATGTTCGCAGCTGAGCTAGTCGTCGCGTACCCGGAAGCCAAGGTGATCTTGAATAGGAGAAAGGACGTCGATGCATGGTATAGGAGCATCTCGGCGACGTTTGCTCCGGTGCAGCAGGATCGGTGGGCGGCTTTTTGTCAGTGGTTTTCTCCGGATTTATACTGGTCGAGGCGTTTGCTCATACGCGAGATATTTCCCTGCGTTTACCATAACAATTTTCGAGCGAACGGGAAATGGGTCTACCGGGAGCATTGCGCCATGGCAAGAGGACTGGTTCCGAAGGAAAAGTTCTTGGAATGGGGCGTGGAGGACGGTTGGGGACCCTTATGCGAGTTCCTGGGCAAGGATGATGTCCCGAAGACGGAGTTTCCGAGAGGTAACGCGCCGGCAGACTTCTTCAAGACGGTGGAGTCGGCACATGGCAAATTCCGGAGGGATGCGTATAAGAATATGGCGCTGATGGTGTCGGTCATGGTTATTGTGGGATCGGTAGTGGTATCAAGGGGCGATTTGAAAGGGCTGTTCAAGTCCACAGGCGCATTTCTCAATGACGGGCTTCATTCATTGACTCGAAAATAGATAACCGTATCGTGCCGTCGCATCAATAGAATGGGCGATTCCCGCTGGATGCGGTGGAGCTCAACGCAATAGGATCGATGATTCCGTGCTTATACAAACGGAGTATTGGACAACGAGAGCATGCTTTCGAAAAAGACGCTATTATCCAAACCAGACTGCATTGGAAGGTTATCCATCAGGCCTTCAAACTCCATTAGGTCGACGTCGAAGTTGGGCAGCGCCCATTGATCATTTGTTGTGAGACTGTCCGTGGCTGGTGGCTGCTGATGAGGTGGAGCGGCTTCAGCAGCTGCATTAGCGAGCGCTTGTGGGGCCATGTTGTTGGGGAAGGGCGGGTTTTGTGACGGTGAGCTGGTCCTCGAACCATCCAACTTCTTCGCGTGCTCTTGCAGGAGCGAAGTTAGAAGCCGGATGCCATGGCCTGCGACAGAGCTGGTCGGCCATTGCTCGAGGATCTTGATTGCTTTCTCCACCCAAAGCTGGTGCTCTCGTGCTTCTACATCTTTCTCTGTTCGGTGGCAGAGATCGAGCGCTAAGCAGAGCCCCGCGGTGACTACGAAAGCCTGCTCCACCCACCACTGGGGTTCATCCTCGTGCCGTTCGTTCATGGCCTCTATGATGGCCTTTGAACTTGCAACACAGGCCCATCGACTATAGGCGTATCGAGAATCCTTGAAACTCCTGCCGAAGAAGCTCTGATGGACCATTATAATCTTGTGTGCGCTGGAAGCCTGATAGGAGCGTCTTGCCCACGCGGTCCATTGCGGCCAGGAAGGGTTGTACGGTGTGTGAAGAGATATGAACCTTGGCATCTTATCGATCGTGATTGCTCGCATCGCAGCATCATACCTTCAAGGTGGAGTAATAATTAGAAAATGTCACATCAACAGTGTTTGTACTCCTAGGGAACGTACCTTAAGACGACATTGTATTTTGCGCCTAGGTCCGGTGCATCGAACATATCGTCAAGGTAGCATACGAGCAGATAGGCTATATCGTTGAGATAGGTAGCTATGCGTGTGCAGGTTGGGGTGTCCTCAGGGTGAACCGGGACCATGGTCTCTTCGTCGTAATGCCGGGGTTGGAGAGACGTGAAATGTCTCTTCTGGAGGGCGTACATGCCCTGTGAAGTAGAGCAAAGCCAGTCCTGGGAGGCCCTAGGATAGATTATACATTAGTAAATGCCTCCGTGCGCAGCGGGGGTTAACATCCATGACGCTTCACTCTGCGGAAGAACTTTGGGATTGGCTTTCCATATCTCACCACACCTCCCGTTTACTCGCCGGAAAGCCACTCCTAAAGGTCTTCAATAGGTAAAGGCTTGAGGCATACGTACATGGCACACCAGACCCTTCTCCCAATCTCGCGCTGTAGTAGAGCTTCTCGCTGCTCAGCGGTCATTTCCAGAGGCGACTTTCCGTCATCGGGGTGCAGACCCAGCCTACAAAACTGTCAGCGTCGGAGAACGCCAGAGAGTAATGGACTGACTTATGAAGGCCCAGTCCTCTAGCAATGACGGTGGCAGCGGCTTGGAAAGCGGCCTGCCACGCACTCGTTAGCAAATGTCTCATAATAGTCGGCATCCGGGCCGTTGCAGTTCAGGCCCGATCCGCTGAAGGTCTTCGAACAAATGGAATACTGGTTTGGGCCGCGACATACATACCCATTCCTTTGTAGATCCTATAAGATGCTCCGATGTGTGCATATTGAGGATAGCCTGAACCGAGTAAATATGGTGCCTTGAGGTATAGTCCCCGAGATTGAGACAGGATATCAGAGCGTTTCCCCACTGTCTGGCGAGTCTCAGCTTCTCGGCATCAGAGAAACCCCAGGAGGCAGTAACAGCTTCAGGCGACCCGATCATGCTTGCAGACAGGATGGAAAACAATAAGGCAGACCATCGCCAATCATGATCCCGTAGGTCCAGCTCTTCTAATTGGCCGTACGCTTCGAGCAAACTTCTTCGAAAGCTTGGGGCATAGCTGCAGACGCGCAGAATGTTAGCAATCTCTTTGTTATAGTTTGCGACGTATTGTGGGAGGAATCCTTAAGGTCGCATTGTCTAGAGGGGGTCTCGAAAACAAGACTGGGACTCGACTTACTAGATACCGCCACACCAATAAGTCATACAGCGATCGTGGTAATCGACTAACCGGAACACTTGCTCCTTGGGCGGCAATAGTGACTGGATGTGATACACTTCGACAGATCGAGCAGCTGGAGAGAACACCTTCGCAAATCCGTCGGTCGCGGCTTCATCGAGGCATGTTTTCGTTCGACCTATGTAGTACACACATATTAGAAATTTCCCGGGTCAAAAAGCTATTAATCCCCTGAAGGACTTCGGGAGTGGTTTCCCAAAGCCAAAATGTGAGACATTGTAAGGTGTATACTGCATACCTTGGTTTAACGCTCGGTCCATGAGAGCTTTAGTTCGTGTATATTCATCCTTCTCTGCTAATAAGGTCCCCATGCTGATGTCCGCTAAATCAGATCGACCATAAGTAATAAAATCGACGTTTGTCGAATTTGGTGTCAGCGCCTGAGCCTGGCCGGCGGTGCCTTCTGACGAAGAAGTAGCTGAGAATGCGCGGTCGCGATCCTGCGAATGTGGCGGTACGAATTAGCAGATGTGCCGATTCCAGAAGAGAAGGCAGCAGCCCAGCATACTCAGTCTCAAACCTGCTGAAGGCCCCCAAGAGAGGCTTTCCGCTGTCGGACGGAACCGACGTTGACGACATGATATGTGGACTGCGCCGCTACATACCGATCGAAAATGTGTAGGCAGCCCTTGGCCAGGGGCAGATAATGAAGGCCAAGACTGAGTGCTTGACTGTGACGGCGAGCTCCCATCTAGCGACGCAAGTGGCTGCGTAGGCGACGCCTTCTTTGGGTATCTGCGATGCACAGCGGGATTGTAACCGTTCGTCCATTCCGTCGTACATAAATGACCCTCCTTATTCTGTACGCATCTTGTGCAAGGGCTGCGAACACGGGGTCCCACATCAGCGCATTCCCGCAGTGTAACATCGCAACTGACTGGAGGAAGAGGCGATGGAACGGTCAAGCACGTATACGTTTGTACCGTGCTCATTCCGTTGAACGCCCCCAGGAGTGGATTTGCCAGGTAGAGGTCAAACTTACCTTTTCCGATCGCACTTCTGCCGCCTCATCGAACACCTCGTACAAGTCTGCCTCTGCTTAGGCATCTCGGAAAGCAAAACCAGAGGGCGGGCCCGAAACCGGGGAGACGGGTCGTCACTTGACTTGATGTAGGCCTAAGACACTGATCTTATTGGTGCGCAGGTGAGGTCAAAGTACCAAGGCTCTCGGAAAGAGGGAAAGCTGCAGACAGAAAGATGACCTGAATCCTGGGAGACGGCAACGGATCCTCCGCCCAGAGTTGAGGGTGGACTTTGCAGACTAATGTACGAAGATCGGACAACAATGTGTACGAGCGCTGACGAAGCTGCCGCATGGCATAGACCCGGTTATCCATATATTTCCGCCAAGAGGGGCCGTGCAAGGCTGCGTAAGCAGAGCCTGAGCTTGCTTATTGGCGTGATTTATTACCATACGCGCCAGGACGGATTTTCGCCACCTGCATACCGTCGTGACTCGCCTAGGGGCTTGATCTCTCGAGGGCTGGACCACGATCGAAACCATGCGACCTGTCATTTAGCGGGTTTGCGTCGACTCCAGTCTGGGCACTAGACCCGCGGTGGTATTATAATTCAGTCAGGGCCAATAATGCGGCGATATTGTTGATACTACAATTACACAGAATACACAAGAGGAGAGAGATGTCCTCTAACTCTGCGAAAGTTGCCACCCGCACCCAGTCTGGCCGCCTCTTAAGCTAGCACGAAGAGCTTCCACTGCGCGTAGAGCATCCGCGTCATCGTAAACATGACGGCGCCGGCAATCATCACCACACCTGCAAATATGCTCAACCCGTGGAATTTCCCGTTATCCGCATCAACAATGGCACCCGCGATCGGGTTTCCGACAAGACCGGCAAAGCTCAGGCAGAAGAAAGTAACGCCAGTGCGCAGGCCGATGTGCTCGATCTTGGTGATCTTAGTGAGTTGAGCGGGGAGAATCGAGACATAGGCGCCGGATGCGAAGCCGTAGAGAGCGGCAAAAGCTATGAATGCCGCGTTACTCGACGCAGGGAGGCCTAGAGCAAGGACTATAATGGCGGCGAAGAAGGACATGACCACCTGCATATTGTACGGTCCGACTTTATCGGCGAGGGCGCCGGGGAGGACACGGCCGAAGATGCTTGTTGAGTTGAGAATGGGTAGCAGGTACCCAGCTAAACGAAACGACATCCCGCCAGCTAGCGCTTGGACCTCGATATAGTTGATGGGGATGAAGAGGCCCAAGAAGAAGAGCCACGAAGAGATGACGATCATAACGAATCGGATATCTCTGAAAGGCTCGAGGAAGACCTTGAATTCTAGCGCACGGGGCCTAGGAGGAAGACGCGATTTGACGGTGAGAAGAGAGATCATGAGAAGGCCGAGGATCATGAAAGCTAAAGTTCGCCTAAAGGGAAGGGAGCGACGTTAGCTGGGTCATTCGAAACAAGGGTGCAGGCGACATACATAGTCCATCCAAAGCCAATCTCAGGAATCAGATGACTAGCCATGATCGGGAAGATGACACCACCTAGACCACTTCCGGCGGCCATGATCCCATACGCCATGCCTCTCTTCTTCAAGAACCAGGTCGGGATCGTAGCCATCCCAGCATTGAAAATGCAGTTGAGTCCCAGAGGACTGCATATGCCCTGAGCGAGGATAAACTGATAATACTCCTTGCAAAGGCTGCTCATCATGAGTCCGAAGACGTGGAAGAAAGCGCCGAATACGATGAGGTATTTCGGGCCATGGTTATCGTAGAAGAAGCCAACAATCGGGCCCGGGAAAAACATCATGAAGATCTCCAGCGAGGCGATCCAGGCGATTTGCGAAGACGAGTGATCGCGGAGTTGATTGAATTGATAGTAGTTCTGGAAGACGCCGACACATGAAAGCCAGCCAAAGCTCTGGAGAACGTCAGCTTGTTGAACGGCGGATAGCCCAGCCTGAAGGTCTTCAGGACTGTATCTGCATACGCAGACCTTTTGCAATAGAACCACGAGGGAACTTACGCAGAACAAGCAAAAAGCTCCACCAAAAAGACATAACCAGGCGTCTTTCCCGCCGTCGGGAAATTGGCTGGGATGCCACGGATTGACGGTCTCCGGTGCGGGCTGTATCGCGAAATCATTAGGCTGCTTTTCTTCCATCGGAGGCTTCTCGACATCGTTGAGCGATTTGGGGTCGATCGTGCCGTCTATTGACGGGGCTCTGGTCGATGATTCCGACATCGTTGTACTTGATATCTGTGCTCTGAATCGTATCCGGGTGAAATAGACCTAAGGGGAAGATAGGAAAAGATGCCGTGTCTGTAGGGTAGGCAGGAGTACAACTTTGAGGGCAGGAAACGTCCATATAATAACTAACTTAACGCTGCGCACCGATAGATTTGTGACAGGGGCTTGTCCGATGTACGAGTCTCGTACGCAAGAAGAATTGGGACGCCCCTGCGCTGCCTATGAACAGCGCAGGCGACTCGGACTTGCACATTGATAACTCTTCGCCGAAAAAATGATCCGAGTTGCCTACAGTATCGTTGGAAATGCGCGACCGAATGCCGAAAGTTCGGTGTTTCGCTTGTTGGTGATAGCGAGCGCGAGGGTTACCGTCCCGTGCGCTACCAGCGCCCAATGAGACACCGCTACCCTCAGCCAAGCGACCAGCCTCTGTGTCGACCTCAAGGTATGTTTCACTGTGTTGGCCGAGCCAGCAGCTTGTGCAAATTGCTTTGGTGGGAAACGGACAGTCACGCTTAAGTGCTCGCAGGCCTCTCGGATATCTTGACTCCAATTAGAGCTTTTCAAGCAGTCTAGGAAGTTCGCCGACCTAGATCTAGGAGCGGGCTTTCATTCTTCAAATGTTTACGAATGCGATTCTAGAATCAGGATCGACCTTCTTAGCTTTGCGAGTCGAGGTGAGCAAGCTGCAAAGAGGATCGTGTCCAGGAGCTCTCCCGCAGTGACAGCGCTACGTATGTAGATCTTGGACTCGGTTAGCCAAACCCACAAGTAACTGGCTACGCAGGGATTCGTGGAGAAGACGTTTCTGTCTATCATGAAGGCGCGAAGGAGCTCATGTGCTTGGAACTGCTTCAGCGTTTCGTCAAGAAGCGTCAAACAGGGCGCCAGATAGCTAAACGCGGCGCGAGTGCCACAGCGGGACCTGACGAACTTCAGCATCAGCTTTAAGTAAGTGCAACTTCGGACCAGATAGAGTGATTATGGTAACCTCAGTAACACCCCCACGGGATCTGAAAGCGGGTCCCTAAGGCGTCCCTTGGGAGAACAACGCGCCCTGACAGCAAGCCATTTTGCACCCAGGCCACAAAACGATCAGCGATTTGAGTCGAAGGAAGGAAATGCGATCGCGAATGAGATTAGATTAGAGGAAGAAGACGGAGCCCCGCAAATTCTACAACGTTTGACGGGTGAAGGCATGAGAGATGGTCGACATACGTGCAACCTGCAAAAAGACCCATGAGAGCGCCGTATGGCGGGGAATCTTGAACAGTGGCAAGAGTTGCTTGAACATATAGGAGCAATCGGAAAAGCAGCCCAACGCGACGGGTGAGCTGTCGAAGCGACGAAGACAATGGGTGGAGTTTGCGGCTCTCGGCTCACAAACGGGCGGGATTGGGCGCACGGATCGCTGCTGGATCGAAGTTTAGTCAAAAACCTCTTCCTCTTCACGCATGGCTCGTCGTCTGCTTGCACGCACCCTCGACCGCCACTGCCAGCTCCATCATTCTGCATCCCCATCTGCATCAGTCGCCCAATCTTCCCGGGAGCTTCTCTTATATTCTGCCATTTAATTAGCCTGCTGCGCTTTCCTCCGCCCTCGACTAGAACGCCCGTTTGCCGCAGACTCTCCTCCGCCCCCTCAGCAGACCAGACCTCAATAAGTCCGTGCTACGCGCAACTCGCCATCGCATTGCTGACGCTCAGTCTCTGCGTAGTCTGCGACTCCTCTAATATCGCCCTGTCGACCACCCTGGTTCGCTGCCGCATTCGTCCCCTCCGCGAACCCACGTACATCCACCTTCCTCCATCCCCCTTTCTGTCTGATTCGTCGAGATGGCAACCACCGAAGCGCCCGCTCCGATCAATGGCAACTACGCGCCGCAGGGATATGACGCGGTAGCCAGCAATTACGCCGCGGCCAACGCCAACAGCGCGCCCGGCTACACTGCGTCTCAGCAACAGGCACCCAGCCAGCCGAGCGGCACCTCCACCACCGATATCCCCAAGGACGAGGTTGGCTGGTACTTTGTCGAGCAGTACTACACCACCCTAAGCAGGACCCCGGACAAGCTCTACGTACGTACAGCTTCCCACCCCAGCTGGCCCCACGGAATTGCGAGCTAACCTGGGCGCAGCTCTTCTACAACAAGCGGTCACAGTTCGTTTCTGGCACCGAGGAGGACAAGGTCAATGTTTGCGTCGGTCAGAAGGTACGCCATCAATTAAACAACAGTTGGACTGCTGCTGACATGGGCCGCTCAGCCTATCAACGACAGAATCAAAGAGCTCGACTTCCAAGACACCAAGGTCCGGGTCACCAACGTCGATTCGCAGGGCTCCGACGCGAACATCGTCATCCAGGTCATTGGCGAGATCTCCAACAAAGGCCAGCCGCACAAGCGATTCGTCCAGACCTTTGTCCTTGCTGAGCAGACCAATGGCTACTTCGTCCTCAATGACATCTTCCGGTACCTCGCTGAGGAGGCTGAAGAGGAGGAGGAGGTTCAGCATGATCCGGCTGCTCCTGCGACGGGCGTGCAGGAACCCGCGCCCACCGCCGCCGTTCCCGAGGATGAGAGTCTGAACAGGAGCGACGAGATTGCCAACAGCGAGGAGGACCTGACCAAGGTTGATCACAAGCTCGAGGAGGCTGCTCACGAAGAGCCTGTCCGCGAAGTTTCCCCGCCGCCCGCTCCCGTCAATGGCACCCCAGTTCCTGAGGCTGCTGAGATCGCCCCGGCTGAAGAGGCTCCTGCGGCTGTTGTGTCTGCCCCTGAGGAGGTGCCCAAAGAGCCTGAAGCCCCGGCCGTCGAGGAGGCCGTTGAGCCGGAGAAGCCCAAGGATCCCACCCCAACTCCCGCTCCCGCTGCCCCCAAGGCCGCTCCCACTGCAACCCCAGCTGCCCCGCCGAAGCCCGCTGCACCGCGCACCTGGGCCAGTCTAATTGCTTCCTCTCACAAGGTTGCCACACCAGTTGTTCCCGCTTCCGCTACCCCGCAGACAGCTTCGCAGCCAAAGTCCGCTTCGCCGGCCTCGGTCCAGCCCTTGGCTGTGCCGACTCAACCATCCGCGCCCGCTCGTGAGCCGTCGCCGGCCAACAGCCAGGGTGAGGCTTCCGGCTGGCAAACCGCCGGTCACAAGAAGGAGCAGTCTAGGGCTCAGAACCAGGCTGCGGGAGCCGACGCGGAGAACAAGCGCGCTTACATCAAGAACGTCTACAGCCAGGTCGAGGAAGGGTCGCTGAGGGGCGCTCTCTCTAAGTTTGGCGATATTGAATACCTCGACATCAGCCGCCAAAAGGTAAGACGACCATTTTACTCAATGCAACGCTAGCTGACCACTTCACGTAGAATTGTGCGTTCGTTGACTTTAAGACTCCTGCCGGATTCCAGGCCGCTGTCGCTGCCAACCCCCACACCGTCAACGGCCTCGAAATCAAGGTTGAGGAGCGTCGACTACGCCCTCAGCAACCCTTTCCATATCCCCGCGGTGGTGCTCCTCGTGGCCGCGGCGGCATTGGCGGCCAGCCTCGTGGTGGTTTCCCGCCCCGTGGAGGCCGCGGCGGCTCTATGGGCCGTGGCGCTCGCCCCGCCCCGCAGGACGCTTGAGCGTGGTAATCGAACGATTACTTCTCCCGGACACTTTTGCTGCTCGTTGCAGGAAAAGGCAAGCTTTCCGTTCCCAACATCAGAAATGGCTGAGTCCTTAATGACTGATGGCTTTACTCATGTACTGTACCCACCCTTCAGCGCTTGTCCTAAAAGTTACGCGTCCCCATTTCGACAAAAGTTTGGGCGTCTGCATTTACATGCCATGGCACCCGAGTCCCTTGCATAGCGAGTCGTTTCTTCTTGGCATTTCCCTGTATCCTATGTATGTGTCGGGCCCTGTGTTTTCATATTCGCTTCTTTTTCCCCATGTCTATGTTCCGATATCCTCTTTTACCGGCTGGCGTAATGACCTCGATGGCCTGGATACGGGTGGAGGGTGCTTGGGATCATGTCACTGTCGTAGGTGGATGCGGCATGTCAGAGTGTTTATACAGCAAACAATTCTATTCGCGAGACTGTGCGGGTGGAGGAGGCAATTGAGCGGACTTCTGTATGGGGAGCGCGGTTGGAGTAAGCGCAGGAGCGATGCGTTCGATGGCGGTGGAGCTCGTGTATGATACGTCCATATGAGGAGATACAAACTCGAGCTGTGGACCGTGGCATGCGGCTTTCGCTGATAACGTCACCTGACTTGTGATGCATGCCCAATGGTGCCTAGGTGGCGGCGGATGACTTGATTCGCCGGCGCTTGATAGGGCGCAGCCACGGTCGGCGTGTTCAGCGCAGCCGGCATACGGGCAGTTCGTGACTTGTACACATCGTGCCCAACCTCGCTGACAGTGCAATGTCCTGGCCAGCAGCTTTCGAAACACGGTGTTTGTTCCTCCTACAAAGGTAGATCTGCCGGCTTTCTCTGGGATCGGGCCGCTCGGACCACGCAGACAAGGCAAGGCGGGGCTCCGACGTGGGGTTTGTTCCGCTGGGCTCGTAACATTCATTCCGGTACTCCCTCACCACTCGACGCGGCATTCTAGAGCAAGCTGTACGCGCCCCCTCTGCTCTTGTGCTTCCGTAGAGTGCCCTCGCCATGCGGCCGCTCCCGGGCGGCGACGCTCTGCCCTCCGCGAAGCCGCGTTCCCGCAAGTCCAGCGTCGCCGATCCGTCCGCCGTGACCAGCGGCCCGTCAAGCCATGCTCCGACCACCTTCTTTCTAAGGAGCGAGGAGGAGATGGAGCAGTCTCTGGCAGCTTCCAAGAGCACTGAGCCGGCAAGCAGGCAGCGAGAGAGTACATATGGTGTGCAGAGCTTGGAAGATACCTTGGAGGCCGCCTTTGGCCACCAGAGTCGTGAGGCCGATAAGAAAGGTGATAATGCTCGTGGGAGCACCTTGAACGAGAAAGAGAGCCCAAGACGTTCTTCTCATGGCTCGCCCAAAGCCTCCAAGAAAGAGCCCGAGAGCTCCAAGTCATCGCCAAAGAGGATGCACAAGAGGCAGGCGTCCGATCACACGATTTCCACTCCGCTCACGCCTCTAAACGTCGGGTCGCCTTCGCCTGCGCCTGTTTCAGCGGTTCCAAGTACTCCCAGGTCCGCCTCCCTGCAGTCGCTGAAGCTGTCCGATGAAGAGCAGGGCCTCGATGATGCCGCAAGTCAGGTCATCGCCTCCAGCGGTGATGAAGATGAAGAGACGATGCACGATGAGTCGAGCATCTTCCCCCAACTAGTCATGCCGAGTATACAGATGCCCTCCAGGAGACCCTTCACAGCCAAGGGCAAATCAATGGGCAAGCTAAAGGTGCTCATTGCCGGCGAGTCTGGTACGTCATACCCTTCTCGTTCATGCCCAATTCCTCGACAATGTGCAGTTGACGCCATTTTCTAACTCTTTGTGCTAGGAATTGGAAAGACATCGCTCATCCGCTCTATTGTGCAGCTTTGTGAGGACATCGTGCACGTAGATCCTTTGTCGCCGTCCCAGTTCCTCGAGCATCCACTGCCGCCGAAAGCGAAATCACGCAAGAAGAAAGTGGAAAGTCTGGGAACAACGCGGATAACCGAGATCTATGCGAGCACAAAGCCATATCCACATTGGTGGACCGATATGGAAGGGTCGCGGACGCTTCGCAGGCGAAAGAGCAGCACTACCGATGCCGTGCTCGAGAGAAATCTCTGCTTCGTTGACACCCCCGGCTTTGGCTCAGGTGTTTCGAAGGCCGATGATACGGGTCAAGTGATGGACTACGTAGAGGCGCTGATGTATCAAACCGCTTCAGTGACCACCATGGAAGACAATGACTTGGTCAGCCTCGTTAGTGGCAGTGGTGGTATTCTGGTAGATGTCATTTTCTATCTTCTGCCTCCCAGTAAGATTTCCCTGATCACATTGCCGAATATCATTTCTTACATTGGAACAGGTCATGACATTTCCAAAGACGTCGAGATCATGCACCATTTGTCTGCCCTCACCAACGTTATTCCAGTCATTGCGAAATCGGATACCCTCTCCGCCGCCGACATGGCGGCTATCAAGACCTCCATCCTCACAAGACTCCAAACGACCTCAATTAGACCTTTCCTCTTTGGGACAGCATTAGATGATGCCCTGCTTACCGTTCAAGGTCTTCCTGTCGATCAGGGTTCCCCGGATTCTTCCGATTCCACAGCAACCAATGAAGCAAAGCAATTCCCTTTTGTGGTTCCAACACATCCTTATGCCGTATCGTCGACCGCGAGCCCGGATACGGACACTATGGATGCGTCGCTGCTCATGTCGCCCGACTATGTGCAGCCGCTCCTTCCATCCGAGCTTGCCACCTTGGTTCGCCAGGTGTTTGATCCAGAATCCATTGCCTGGCTACGGCATTCCGCGGCAAAGAAATTCGTCGCTTGGCGGCGCCGAACAGAGTTGCCGGGCGACTCCTTTATTCTCCATGGCCTTCAGCAACAGCCGCTCAAACGTGGAAGTATGTCAAGTGCCTCAGTTGGTCTTACTAGGGCGCCTCTAAACAGTAAGTGCTCGTGTAACCATCCGTGTGCTAAACTAACACTTCACACCAGCGTCTGCAGCTTCATCACTCTTCTCAGCCGCCTCACCATCAGGTGTTCTTGTACCCCGATCAGGGTCTCCTTTCTACCTCTCAAACGCCAACATTAACTCCAACCTTCAGTCTCCCTTCCCAGCCTCTTCTCCGTCTCTATCCCACGCTCATCCCGAGGCCCTCGATCATCCCACCGAATTTTCCTTGACACGTTACGCACAAGGCGAACAAAGATTAGCAGAAGTACGATTAGCCAAATGGGCGACCGACCTCCAGCGAAGTCTAAGAAACGAGCGCGATAGGTTCGAAGAGCTGCAGCGCAACGAAAGAGCGAAGTGGCTTCTTGAGCGCGTAGGCGAAGAAGTAGCGAGTGGTAATATTGTTGCTTCACCCGGAGGATCGCCCAGGGCAGACTGGGCTGTCGTGAGACGGGGTACCGACAAGGAAGTGAGTAAGCTAGGGCAGAGGTATGGCAGAGCCGGCAAACTGGACTCGCGCGATCCACTAGGCTTGTGCGATTTCAGCGATGAAGTTAGGAGACGAGGATTTGTATTGATGAAGGTTCTAGGTGGTGTTAGTGTGCTCGGGGCGGTTGTGGTAGCTGTCGTTAGGGCTTGCGGAGTTGAGGTGGGGATGCCGGAGGGCGGAGTGTGGAGCTGGTTGACAGGTGCGACGGAGTAGTGCTGCGGTTCTCATATACGAAGAAGGGGGTCTGAAATGGGTACGGACATGATAGTGCTCGGGTATACCCTGTTTAGAGAGAGTAGGATTGTATGTGTACGTACTCCAGTAATGCTCGCCCCTATGTATAAGGTGGATAGATACTACTCTCATTATCAAAGGCTTTCTCTGCTTTAGTTTGGATGGACACTTCGCACTTGATGTGGAATGGAATATCACACCTAGGAAACCAGCGGTGTAAGTCGAACATTTTATTGACGGTCACTAGGGCATTCAACCGCTCCCCTCCAGACTGACAATGACCTCAGGTAATCCTCAGTGTACAGCACCATCCTCATAATCTCGGCGAACTTCACGCTCCGTCTAATGCGGCAACGGCGCCGTATACCCCGGGCAGACCAGTAGTTTCTCCTCCTCAAACCTACCCGCCATCCTATACGCCTCGATCCGCGTCCCCCAGTTGCCCAACTGATCCGCCATAGACCGTAAGAAATACACCACGCCCTCATCCAACTCGTAAGCGCCCTCGTCCTCTGAATCATCCGAGTCCGAGTTCCAGTACTCCATCACGAGGCCGAGTATAAGGCGCGTAAGGCTCTTCAGGGGAAATTTGGTGAGCATGAGTTGTACGGCGGCGAGGGCAACGGCGGCTTTGTCATCGGTGTTTCCGAGGTTGAGGCTGGCGCGGAAGTGATCGACGAGGGCGCTCATTAGCTGGCTGGAGACGTTTGTGAGGGAGAGATTGCGCAGGCTAGGCGGGAAGAGGTCTTTTGGGTTGAAGATGGTTTGGAGATATGGGATGGAGGTGTCGCCGCGCTTGATGGCTACGAGCTCGCCGCTGTCGCAGAGAAGCTTTAGGTCTACGCAGAGACTGTGCAAATGCGTTAGCTTGGCGAAGTTATCGAAGTTGGGCAGTTCGTGGGCCTCGTTGAAGTCCTGGCGCGACTATTCGAAGACTTCAAGCCGCGGGACGTAGTGCTCCATAGCTATCAGCAGATCCACAAATTTCCACTCTTCGCACCGCCCTCGGCGATAATACCCGCATTTCCGCACGAGGAGTTCCTTCAGGCTGCGCATACAGGCTAGTCCGACGGCGACCTCCACCATCTTCGGCGTCACGTTGCGCATCTCCTCCAGCACCGGCGACCGCAGCGCGGGAGTGGCCATGCTCCACTCCTCCGGGTAGATTGTCCTCGTGAGAGCGCACTTTTTTATTTCCACGCTCGTCAACGCCGCCAGGTGCGGCGGAGGCAGTGGGAACGGAGTGGGCCCGCTGCCGTGGATGTTAAAGTGCTTCAGCTTGTGGAACGGATCCGCGCCATCACTGGTATCTCCTGCGCGAGGGTGCCACGCGGTCCGAAGAACCTTAATAGTCGGTCCAAGGCGTTGGCTGACATTGTATACGACAAACTGTTGTCCAGTCCGCACTATCCTTTTGCATTTACGCCGCTCCAAAAAGCTAAGAGCACGCATCGCTCATCCAATATCGTAATTCTTTTTGGTTAATAATGGTTTATCTGGTGTTCCTTATGTCATGCTGCAAGCGCCGCTCACCAAACTTAAGAAAGGAGTGCTCAAATCAAATTTCGAACCTATCGGCTAGCCTCTATGAACCTGGCCATGAATTGGTAGGCCATAAGCTTTCAATCCTAGCGTCGTTCGCCATCAGTGGCCAATTTTCGAGGCTGGAGTGGAGACGGAAGATCTTTAAGTTACCCCCAGTCCACATTGTGAGTGAGGAAGTTCCTAGCAACGGTCACAATCGTACGTCGACTTCGAATGCGGCAATGGCGCAGTATACCCAGCCCGAACTAGCTCTTTGTCGAAACGCTCGAAGTTTCCTGGCATCCGGTATACCTTGAACACCACTCCTATCTTAGCCATCTCGTCGGCTGCATGGCGTAGGAAGACGACAGTGGGTGGGTCCATTTCATAGACGTCTGTGCCATCGTCCTGGTATTCCATGTCTAGGCCGAGCGTGAGGCTCTTGAGAGGGAATTGTGAGTGGAAGAGTTTGAGCGCTTTAGTCACCTCGTCGCCCTCGTTGTCGCTGGCCTCCAGCTCCAGGGTCTTATGAAGCTTAGCGACGATTTCGTCAGCAGCGCCAGAAGTCAAGTTCGCTAACTCAAGGTGCTCCAGGCTCTCTGGGAAGACCTTGGAAAGGTTAGATACCTTCTCTAAGAACTCCCTGTACCAGCTGCTGAAAACGAGGTTGTGGTCCACTCGCAGTGTCTTGAGCTTCGAGAGATTCTTGAATGTATCGAACTCGCGTGATTCGGCGGCTTCTATATACGCTGTGCGCGTCCATTCGAGCAGCTCGAGATTGGGAAGGTATGTCTCGAAGTCCTCCATGAGACGAGGCAGATCCCAATCGTCTGTATAGCCGCCAGGGGTCTGCACAACGAGTTCTTTGATGTTGCGCAGCCACGGCATATACGGCCCCCTGAAATTGGAATGAAAATATATTGGGTTGACGTTGTATGCATTCTTGAAGATCAAGGTGCGGAGCTGCGGATTGCGGGGTGCTTCCTGTGTAAAGAACCTTATTTGTGCCTGGTTGCAATTACTAAGCTCCAGGGAAGTTATGGTGGCCAAGACTGGTGCCACGAACGCGGAATCGCACTCTGCGCCGTGAAGAGCAAGCTTCTTCAGTTTGTGGAAGGGATAAGCATCGCTGGCATCATCGTTCTGCCACCAGGCGTTCAGAAGGAGCTCCCGCGTCATCCGTAAATGGTCAGCACGGGTCTCGTTGAGATTAATGGATTCGAGGTTCGTCGCCATGCACAGAATGAGCGCGACGGCGCCGTCGAAGTAAGGTTTCCGCTCAAAAACGCGTCCAAACCACTCCAATGCGGCCCCTGGGTGAAGACATTTGAAGCTTCGGATCATATCCCGAATGGGGTTGACATATTCCCAAAAGTCGTGATAGAGAGCCGGGCCCTTAGACGGCTGACGCACTGCGCGAGTTTCTGGGGTTAGGTCAAAGTTCTTAATGTATTGGGCAAGCTCATTCCGGTCGATGAGCGTCCTGAGCAGGCACTTGATAGCGTACTCTTGATATGTTGTCAAGGATATGTTCTCATAGAGGTATGGCTCTGCGAGGGAGCGGTAATGCTCTGAAACTTGGGAAACAGCGTTGAGGGCCTGTCGATCGCCCTGTAGAAAGCTGACGATTCGAACATCAAGCTCCGTCGGAAGTTTGTCCATGATGGTGGTCGTATTTGCGGAAACCTGAGAGTTCGGCGATTTGGAGACGCGAAGAGATTCTGGCGCTTGCAGTTGTGGTTGCGGTGTGTTGATAAGAGAAGAACTAAATCAGAGTTAGGACTGCCTTATATCTGAACCGGGATAAGGACAGTGCATTGTGCCGATCGGTGACTTGGCCTGCCAACCGTGAAACAGCAAGCAGTACCATAGGTAGTATTCGTATGTGCCTTAATGATTCACTAATGGCTAAGCATGTGTTCGAATTTACCATGACGCGTTCACTTTGGGCTGTGACCTGACGACGCCTGCAACCGTTGGAGTCGGCGACCATTATACGCTCCGCCTAGCTGTGCACGATGCCCCAGATCTTCGCAAACCACTTTTGAGCAGTCTCTTTTTCCACTTCCGTGAGTCTTCGCTCGTGTGTAAGCTTCTCCATTCCCGCCAGCTTTGAACAGGGACGAACTCCTGGGAGCTTTCACGGAGCTGTGGTCGTAGGGACTTCCTGAGCAGATGGACGCAGAGCACAACAGCCGAGCCATGCAAGGCATCAAAATGAAATGTTATACAAATAATTGCTGTATCCTAATCTAAGTGATGAGAGGGACAAGTGGAAGTCCGAGGAGACGACCCACCTAACCTAGCATGGACTTTACAAGTGGACATGCACGGGGAAGGTCACCGAGCTGCTTCTGTTTTGGCCCCTGAAAGCTTCAGCCTGACGCACACCCGCAATGTGATTGGTGCAGGGCGCTAATGAAATATAGAAATAAAGAACTTTTAATGCACATACTCGATTATGTCAATACCTAGGTACCAGGACTATGATCCGAGCGTGGGAGCTCTCCTCGAAGTTATACCTAGCCGCATTCTCAATTAGAAGCAAGGCTAGCTAGGCTTTGGAGTCATCCTTGGGCGAACAAATAGCTTGAAGTGTTGACGTCGGAGCTTACCCGGTAATGAACAAAAGCAACGCCGCGCTCCGCACGGCTGCCGCTCAGGGAACCGACACTTTAAGACTCATGAAGCCAATCTATTGAGTGAGGTCGCGGCGCTGTATATCCCGGCCGAATTAGAAGCCTATCCTCGTCCACACCCATCATCATATACACATCCAGGCGCGTTCCAAGCTTGGCGAGCTGATCCGCCGCATACCGAAGGAAGAAGACGGTCTGCGGCTCAAGTTCGTCTTTGCTAGAGAAGTCAGACAATAGAGTGCCAAAATCGTCATATTTCATGACTCTGAGAGTGAGGCCCTTCAGGGGGAAGGTAGCAAGAAGGCGTTTGAGTGCGTCGAGGACAGAGAATCCCTCACCATCCGCTCGGCCAATATTAAAGTGTCGGTAGAATCCTTCGACGAGTGGACCTACGCGGCAGAGGTTTGTGAGCTCCAAATATTGGAGGCTGGCGGGAAAGACAGCATAAGGGTTCTTAGAAATTGTTACACCGAGCGTGTCTGAGTCAGGAATGAGGAGGTCGCTGGCAAGCCGTAAGGTATGCAGCTTATTGAGGCCCTTAAAAGAGTCGAACTTGGGACCTTTGCCGCGAGCGGAGGTCGGCCATAGGCGGTGGCGTGTCCATTCAAAGACTTCAAGCTCGGGGACATGCGTTTCCATGGCGCGCACTAGCCTGGAAGGATCGTAGTCGTTGAGCAGCTGACCGCAATAACCCTCCTTGGTTTTTAAGATAAGTTGCTTCAGCTTACGAAACCAGGGCGATGCAAGAGTACGCTCCATGAAATCGGGCGCAAAGTCGTTGTCATCCTCCAGAACGAGCGTAGATAAGCCTGGAGTGAAGGGCTCTGATAAGGGGAAATGTAAAGGGAGTTTGGTATGGCCCCGTCGCCAGTAGCCGGTCCCCTCAATGTGGAGGGACTTTAGTGATAACGGAGTGGGAATATCTGTGGGCTCACGGTCCCATACCACATGATTAAAGTGGAAGTGCTTAAGCTTGCGGAATGGATAGTCCTCATTTGGTCCGCGGCCTAACTGCCATGGAAGTTGAAGGACGCTGAGAGTGGTATTCGGGCGGCGTCCATAGGTGCCGTAGAGGGAGAGGCTCTCAAGATTGTTAGCCATGCACAAGACGAGCGCTAAGGCCCCGTCGGCGTGTGGCGCTGGATCAAGCACCTGCCGGACCCAATCCAGCACGAGTGCGATATCAGGTGTTGTAGTCGGTCGGACCATCTCATGAATCTTGTCGCCGATCTTCTGCATGTGGCTAAACGTCCCCTTGAACGCTTCTCCAAGATCAGTTCGAAGCGGCGGAGGGGGGCCACGGCCCCCCATTGTAAGAGAAAAGCTCTTAATGCGCAGAGCAAGTCCATTACGATTGAGGAGAGTGAGGAGCAGAGACTTTATCGCGCTGTGTCGAGAGTCAGCTATGGCTATCTCCTCGTAGAGGAAGGGCTCTGCCACAGCTTTATAGTACTTTGAGACCCGCGAAAGGGCGCTAAGGGCCTGAGCGTCTCCAGAAAGGCATTCAGCTATGTTTGCATCGAGCTCCGTGGAAAGCTTGTCCATAACGTACGGGTTGCAGACGCAAGTCTAGCTAGCAGCGATTAGCGTTGGGGGAAGTGATGAGGGAGTGTAGGAAAAACTGCTACCAGCGCAAAAAATGACTTATACATGAGATGCTTTCCCACGTACGGTGACATGTCCGCACTTCGGCATAGTGAATATAAGTGCATCTGCACAATGTCATGTGAGATGATGTCGGGAGAGCATGAGGTCGCGGCGGAGATAGGCGCGAGAAGCCACTAAGGAGCTATGACCAGCCATGCCTATCGCGATGACCCAACGGCCGCCAACCCTCGCTAGATAGGCTCCATCTGTGGCCTTAATCGCCGAACACTTCATATGCTGCTCAATTGTTTCGAAATGCATCTTTTCTCTTCAGAACGCGCTCGTCACCGCCGAGCGGCTCCGTCTGCGCTGCGAAACCCTCCAGACCTATCTAGGTAACCGGGAACCCCATGGCCCGTATCATCCGCATCGCAGCCGCCCAAGTGGGCGCCGTACACCGCGCCGATGCCCGTCCGAAGACGCTCATTCGTCTGATCTCCCTTCTCCAAGAGGCTGCCTCGAAGGGAGCAGAAGTCGTCCTTTTTCCGGAGTGCACCTTCACCACCTTCTTTCCTCGCCATTTCTTCTCTGCCGTCGCGGAGCTCGAGTCCTTTTTCGAACACGGCGATGTCACAACAGCGGAGAACACGAGAGCCATCTTCGAGAAGGCGAAGGAGCTGGGCGTCGACATATGCATTGGCTTTGCGGAGGCGACGGATGACGGCGAGCACTACAATACTTGCGTGTACTATCACGCAAAGTCGGGCTCCATTCTGTCCAAATACAGGAAGATACACCTACCGGGAGACTTTGAACCGTTTCCCGATCCTGATGCTGTCAATCAGTTGGAAAAACGATACTTCAAGCCTGGGAATCTTGGCTTCCATGCTTTCCGCGTGCCAGACCTTACAGACCCTACCGCGGACAACGGAGAACCGATATTCGGCATGATGATCTGCAACGACCGGCGGTGGGCTGAAGCGTGGCGATGCCTGGGTCTCCAGGGTGTCGAAGTCGTCTTCACAGGCTACAACACACCAGGCTGGGCTCCGCAAATGTGGGGAATCTCAGCCGACCAGGACCCGAAGACGGCACGCGCTGAAGCTATATTCCATCACAAACTGGTCATGCAGGCGCATTCGTACACTAATGCATGCTTCTCGGTGAGCGCTGCAAGATGCGGCTTGGACGATGGAAAATACGACCTGGTTGGAGGGTCGACTATTGTTGGACCAGATGGAAAGATTATTGCAGAAACAGCAACTGAAGAAGACGAGGTGATTGTTGCAGATTGTGATTTGGATCTTTGCTCGCCTGGAAAGAAGAGGACATTCGACTTTGGACGGCACCGACGAGTCGAGCACTACTCTATTCTGACTTCCCAAACTGGAGTTGTAGAGCCTCCAAGGCTCTCCGCAACTTCTAAGCCGAATGAAGGTCTAAACAGGGACATGGAACGTTCTCAAGCAGTGCCAATTCGATCCGTCTCCGGTCCTACCTCCACGAGTCCTATCCGCATTCTCTTATGTAATCCCAACTCCACAGAGTTCATGACAAGCGCCTGTCTGGGAATGGTCAGGCCTACACTCCCTCCGGACGTCATCATCTACGGCTTCACAGCTTCCAAGCCTGCTCCTTCAGCCATCGAGGGCAATTTTGACAATGTTATGTCCGCTGCGGCCGCAGCCCGCGCTATCATACCCATCGCTGACCAATACGACGCCTTCTTGGTCGCTTGCTACAGCGATCATGCGCTCATAAAGTCTCTCAGGGAAGAGCTTTCCCAGCCCGTTATCGGCATCATGGAAGCCTCCCTGCTCGCCGCCCGCACGCTCGGTGGCCGCTTTGGCATCATAGCCACCTCACGGAGATCAAGGTACAAATTGGAAGACTCTGTGCGGCACTATGGTCTTGAAAGCTTCTGCGCCGGTGTCAGAGACTGCAATCTCGGCGTGCTAGAACTAGAGTCAAAACCCGAGAAAGAGGTATTGAGCATAATGTGCGAGGTGGGGAAGCTGCTGGTAGAAGACGGCGCTGATGTGCTCACTCTGGGCTGCGCTGGCATGACAAATATGAAGACTGCGATTGAGCAAGCAGTAGGCGAAGATGTGCAAGTCGTCGATGGCGTAGTGGCGGGCATTCAGCATCTAGTAGGATTGTGTAGGATGGGAACTAGAACAGCTAAGAGGGGGATGTATGCGAGCTCGGCAAAGGAGAGGAAATTGCGTGGGCAGGACTGGTACTAGCTAGAGTAGGGAGCCCTTGACTTCTAGCCAGTCCTCATCATACTATCAGATCGCTGCCTCCACTTCACATTCTATCCAACTTATCTCACCCTCTTTGGAAGCCTAATCTTCACTTCTTCTCCATTCGCTCCTCCTCTATTCCTTCTTCCTCCCTCTTCCTCACCCCCGATCCCTCCCTCTCCCTCTCCGCCACCACAATCTTGAACCTCTTCCCATGCTTCTCGGAGTCCCAGGTCACGACGACTGTTCCCTCAACTTCGCTGGAATGCACGTACAGACTACCCAAAGTGAAAAATCCGATCAGCAGACATTCATTGTTGGTTCCGCGAGCTCTTACCCGTAGATCCAGAACCCCCTTTTCCTATCGCTGCACCAGTCCGCCGGCGTCTCGAAGCGCAGGTTCTTCGGCCATATGGATGTCGTCATGTGGTCGTGGTCTTCGGCTTGAGATGCGTTTTGCCACCACATGATGCGCATGCTGCCTTTGATTGAGGCAAGTTGCGCGTAGATGCCGGGGATGGAGGTCGCGTGGTATATGGTAGATGGTAGGGGAACCGCCGTGGATGGGGTTGAGGCGCTGTTTCTGCCATGGCGATTTTGTGTGAGTGGAAAGTTTGGGGAAGAGGAATTCCTCTGATGTTGGCATCAAAGGCTTTTTAAATGTGCAAGGAGTTTCTCGCAGTGCGTGGAGGTTTCTGGCTCATGTCTCAGACACCTGAACGGGGTGGGTGGCTCCGGAAGAGTCCGCAGCAAACAAGCACCATTCTAAGACCGGCATATCAGAATCTTGCGACCACGGTCCTGTCGGAGGTCGGTAGAGATCCGTAGCTGAAAAGGAACGCTTGAAGTCATCGGAAGAGCACGTATATGAAGGAGCGATGAAAGAGAAGTAAGATGTAATTTGAGGGAGGAGAAGGTATGAAAATAGGAGAGGTTGGCTGAATCAAGAGCAAGGATGGAAGCCTGAGAAATCGTCACTATTTCCCTGGAAAGGCATATACAGGCCTTTCCTCATTCAGCGCGGCTCCTGTTGTGATCACTAGCGGCCTAGCCGGAGTGGAGAAAAGTGAAAATGTTGATAAAGGGAGTGGAGGTAGTGGCGTGGGAAAATGGTTAGTTGCTTCAACACAGGATAAAGTGAGATAATAATTTGACAAGAACGAATTAAGAGCTCTGAGTGAAGATGATTTAAGGAGAAATAGTGAAACAGAAGTAGACAGCCACTGACGAAGCCTTCTAAAACAAAATGACGGAACGGGAAAGGGGGCAGCCCTCCAAGACAAAAGTTATAGAAACAGAGACAAGAAATAAAAAGATACCATCTAAAGCAGTAGAAAAACACAGAAAAGGAAATGGCAACCAAAGGAATAGAAGAATCGAGGAGACCGAACGACTAAAAAGAATCCGACCCACCATCGCAAAGGTAAGATGAGCTCGCTCATCCCCTTTACGCCACCGCCGGCATCTTCATCGTGGCCACAACCTTCTTGTACGCCGCCAAACGCCTCTGATCCTTCTGGAAATTCTTGACAACATTTTGCACTCCGCCCGAATACAGCTCAGCTAGCTTCCTCCTCGTAAGGCCAACCTGCTTGGTCTTGGTCTGCAGCTGCGCCCTCGCGGTGGTAAGCTCCTTCCCCTTGGCCTTATTCTGCGTGCTGAGCGTCTTCTTCTTCTGCGCATTCGTCTCTCCAGCGAGCCGTCCCATGAGGATTTCCTTCTGCTTTTCGAGCGTGGTTACTTTCGTCTGCTGCGTCTTCTCTGCTTGTAGCGCGGGGGTGAGCTTGGCCTTCAGGTCTTTCTCCTTCTTTGCCTGCGTGGCTTTGTGCGTCGCTGCTTTTGGACCCTTTTCTTGTCGCAGAAGACTCTTTTCCAGGAGCCGCAGCCGCTTTATTTCGTCCCGGATCTCCGTCTCTGCGTGCCCGATGCGTGCGTTCATGTATGTCTGCGCCTCAAAGCGTACCTTGTTGAGGTGTTCTCTCATGAAGGTTTTCCACAGGGGAGCGAGCTTGACTTTTTGCTGAGTTAGGTGCTCTGCGTTCTTGAGCTCCGTTTCGACGTTTTTGATAGCTTGTTTCATGCGTGCTGTTACTGCTGGGTCTTTCATGTAATTGAAGACCCCAATGACCTAGAGTGGCATGTCAGTCCAGTCACTATCTCTGCCATGCAAGCGATAGGGAGCACATACATTGCGAAGAGCGCTGAAGTACTCATTCGATGGAAGAGCCCCTCTGATGTTTTCTGCAACCAAGTCGTCGTACTTTTTGATGGCCATTGGCTTCTTCTTCGCCCAAACTCGTGCCTTGTACGTATTGATCGTGCGGTCGCAGAGGACAAAGTCTTCGCGATTGGTATCCGAGCCTAGACCCTGGAAGACCAAGTCATTGAGAGTGGCTTGGTTCTTAAAGCCGGTGCCAGTAGGTTTGTTCGGTCTGTTGGACACCTTTGCTTGGTCAAGCTGCTTCTTCCAGAAGTTTTGGAAGAAAGAGGTCAGGGTCGAGTCCTTCGTTGCGGCGTATTCGAGGAAAGCACCGACGGTTTGTAGCTAGCCTTGTCAGCACGGCGCATTGAGAGATTTATTCCACTCTTACTTCTACAATGTGTTCGGTAGCAAATGCTTTGTAATTTGGCAGAGCTCCTTTGAAATCTACCACTGTCAAGTCGTCGATATCCTTTGATTTGAACATCATTATATGTTTCTGCAGTTTCTTCCCTTTTGGACCTTCGTAGAGATGGGGAGCACCTGGGTAGTCTAAGTTCTTGATAGTCATAACCTGACCTGCACCAATCTTAGGCTTGAAAGTTCGGATATCCCGCTTGTCAATTCCATGCTCAAGCTCTGGGGGCGTTGTGGGTTCAGGTGCGCGTGCAATGCCGAACTCGACGACATGATCCCTGGCGACAATAGGACCCTCGGCTTCTTCTTCGTCGCATGATAGGAAGAGGTTGCAAGTGTCGAAATTGGTTGTGGGATATGGGACCGACGGCGAGGGGAATTTGACGGGGGAGGGTTTTGGGCTCGGTTTTGGAGAAGGCTTTGGAGACGGCTTCGGCGATGGCTTCGGCGACGGCTTCGGCGACGGCTTTGGGGAGGGTTTCGGGCTGGGTTTGGGAGACGGCTTTGGCTTTGGCTGGGGAGCTGGAGCTGGAGCTGGTTTCGGCTTAGGCTTTGGTTTTGGTCCCTTCGGGGATCTGTCCTCTAGCAGCACATCATGGAAGACATCGTCGGAGGATTCGTCCCCTGGGAGCGCCAGGCTCTCGCGGCTAAAAATTATTCAGATGAGATAGTATGGAGATTAATAGGGGCTTCTGAACGCACTGTCCATTAGGGATAGTAAGACCTTGAGCGAAAATGAAGGCAAAACTACAAAGTAGCAAAAAGTTGCGAAGCGAAAGTATGTGCATCTTGATGTATCAAGACGCACTGCTGTGAAATCAATGAAGGAACGAACGACTGCTTGAAAAGAATGACTGGTAAGGAGTGTGGAAAAGAATGAAATAGACCGCTGGGGATATGTTAGAAAGGGCAGCGCTCAAGGACCTTATATGTGATTAGAAGTGGACGGATAAGAGTAAGCAGACAGACTGTAGACTTGAAGCCAATGCTGCACCGTTGACGGACCTGAGAAGAATGAAAACGCCCGCCACTGGACCATCTCCGGTGGAGCTAGGTCCAGTTCCGGCGGCACCAACTCACCTCAACGCAGCGGGCTTACGAACAGCCTAGGCTTCCGTGCCTCCGACATCGCCTTGGAGGCCGTCAAGTGGCTATACCGAAGCCAAAAACGTCGGCATTGTGCAATGAAGCTCTTCAAGGCCTCTCGTCAACAAGTCGTATCTACTAGACCTTTACCCTCAGCGAGGACTCGCGGCTCTTCGTCTAGCATACTATAGCGCGCTGAAAAGACACTCGCACATAGAATCCATAGCTGATGGTAAAGACGCCTTGCGGACTTCGGCGAATCACTGCTAAGACCCAGGTAATCATTCCTCTAGACGGTGGAGAAAACGGAAAGAATGACTGGGCGGGCGTAATGTTTAAATTGGAAAGACATATGACAGTCACTACTTTTCGGTGTTCCGCCAATTGCTGCGGGATGAGATTACAGAAGTAGAGGATCCAGAATGATGTCAGGTGGTGGGGCGCAGCTGGAGTGCATTTTGGGGAGCTCCGCCGACACACGGGAAAGGATGTCATGGGTTTGGATGGGGAAAAGGCCAGAATCGATCAATTACGTCCAGTTGTGGCCAGCCGGAGAGCTCGGGATTTGCGCGAGAGTCAGTATGAGGAGGGCGTAAAGAGGCAGGGCAAACCTGAGGATTGGGTACAAGGCCGCGCATTGCGGCACAGTATGATGCTTCATCCGCTTGCTGAGCCAATCGGTAAGAAGCCCGAGCATGCTGGTTTGGGAGGAGGACATCGCTAAAAGCGACGGATACCATTGTAGCCACCAAGGCGTAATCGTCGGACGTTGCAAGCACCCTGAGTGAAATGACGAGGACGAGCGTTGTCAGGCAGCTGCCTCCGGAGATGCGCTTGTCTTGGCGCTCCGCTGTGCCACCCACATACATATATGCTCAACCCTCAACCCCGAACCTGCACCAAACTTTTCTTTTCTTTCCGAAATCATCACGAGGCTGCTGTAAACACGTTAACCGACTTCCCCACCAAAGCTCACAACATCCCGCTCGTCGCCACCCCTCGGACTTTCTCGAACCACAGCGTCCTCGTCTTGGTATTGGCATATACCCAGGAAGCAGAATGGACGACTTGGCCCGCATCAAACAAGTCCTAGAAGAAGACCCCTCGCTGAGATGGGGCTTCGTCATCTACCGCTGCACCTACGGCAACGACAAAGCCTGGGACCGCTTCATGAAGCGCCTCAACAAGCGCACGCGGCTCAACCTAGAAGAAGAAGGGGCCGGCCACCTCTTCGAACGCATAGACTGGTGTGTCCAGGACGACGTTCGATTGAGCAAGGCTAGTGCCTCGGATGTGCGCAGGTACGTCGCTGTCTAACTCTCACAAATCATTTTGAGGAACAAAGAAGACAGAGGCTGACACAATAGCAGGCGGTTCCGACGCTGGATTAAGGAAGGAGGTGAAAAGGACTATTGGAACGGCACCGCGCGCTTCATGGCCTGCGTTATGGTGGACAAACTGGATCTGCAGTCTGTCCTGAAGGGACCCCCGCCCCAGGAGTTGGATACTTTTGGCGTGGGTTCCGTGACGCTGGTGTCGCTGAATCGGAAGCAAGGAGAGACGTTAGTGGGTCTGTCGTATCTAGTCCCACGCGTGTATTCGCTGTTGGAAGACCCGGGCTGGGAGAACTTTGCCGTTGAGGAGGGGGAGGTTGCGACACCGTAGGTGAGCGGCAGAGACAACTGTGAGACTATTCCCATTGTGGTTAGCGCCGACTGGATGTTCACGTTGAGGGCCGCTAGGTTTTCGACCTATATGGCATACACGGTAGCCTTACGAGAATCATCCTTGGGAAGCTCAGTTGCGTACCAGTCGATAAAACCCTTAGCATGCTGCAAGTGCAAGGACGACCTCATTCCCAGCATGGCTAGCGTCGCTGACCATCCTCATCACCTCCCACTTCCGCGGTCTTAGTATACATATGCACCTTCACGTGCCTGAAAACCCTAAACTCCGCATCCCTTTCAATACAGTCTTTCTCTCCCATCCCAAAACCTCATCCCAACAACTTCCCCTCCCCCCAAGCTCCGTCCCCCGGCCACCGACCATGACCTCCCAAGAAACCGCCATCGCCCTCACAAAATCCAACCTCCACGCCATCTTCAGCGAAAAAGACATCACCAAGCGTCTACAAGCCATCTCTTCCCTCTGGGTATCCTTAGACGCGCTCTTCATCGACCCGCTAGGCGTGTTCAAATCGCACCAAGCGATCAGCGACATGGTCGACAAGATCCAGAGCATGGGCGGACCAGAGGATGTATTTACGGAGCTGAGTGAGTGGCCTTGCCTCTTGACGTGGGACGAGTGTTGATGAGAGCGGGTACAGGCGAGGTTGAGTGTCTGGCAAAAGATGACGAGGGGGACCTGTGGGTCACGAGGCTGAAATGGGGTGTCGGGCCACCGGGTGGTGAGCCGAGGATGAAGGGGTGGGATGTGCTTACGATTGTGGGCGGGAAGGTTAAGGCTTGTTATACGTTTCTGGACTCGTGATAACCAACTCGTCTAATCTATCATGTCTAACTACCAGTCAAGGTCATTGCTCGTTACTTCCTCATGCGTTTCGGGTTCTTGCTCCACAGCCACCTCATCGTCCTTCTCCTCCAGCACTTCGATCACCTGCCCCACGCTATCCTTCAGGCCTGATAGCTTAGCACGTTCGCGTATGCGTGTATAGAACACAGGGCAATCCCGACTATCGCATCGAATCTCCTCCCCCCATGCGAAATTCGAGCAACTTCTACACACCATATCGACCTGCTTAGCTCTCTGCTCGCTCTTCCATATCCTGTCCTTGAGTACCAGCAGCGCTCTCGCTGGTCTCTTCAAGCACTGCTCACAAAGTGGCAACATCGCGTAGGCATCGACGTCCACGCCTGGCAACATTGTGGGAAGCGGAGGAAGTTTCGACCGGCAGATCAGGCAGGCTGAACTCTTCATGTAGCTCTCAAGCGTTTTTGTGAGGCTAGCGTTACCGTTCGCGACGAGCGCATTACCGGTGTGCGGCTGATTCTGGACAGGAAGCGTGATATTTCGGATGCGTTGGACCTTGGGCATCTCATCGTACCATTGACGGACATTGGCACCTACCAGGTTGAAGATGCGTTCGAGTGGCGGGATGAGGTTCTTTGATATATAGTACTCAGCGTCCAGCTCTATATGGTCGTTTTGGAGCAGCATCTCGGGGCTGACACAGCGATCGATGAGTCGTGCGCCGGGGGCACCCGTGATGACGACGTAGGGTACGCGTTCACCATACTGAGGCTCCGATCGTGGGTCTGCAAGCATGCGCTTTGTGGCAATGAGAGCACCGGGAGGCGGTGGGCCGCGGTCTGAGTATGTTCCTAGCTTGACTTCCTTTGCGAAGAGAAAATCTTGAATGCTGATGCGGCCGGACATAATCTTTGTGCACTGCTCCTGGAAGTACCGCTTGACTTGGGACAAGTCACTGGTCCGGAACAGGATCTTGAGTGCCTTCTCTTCGATCTTCTGCTCCGCGGGCGTGCCATCCCGTCGCACGGTTTCGATGCCTTTGGCGTCGAACTCCGGCTCTTTCTGTTTGCGGGACTCATACTTGAAGCCTACGTAGCGCTTCTTAGCTAGGAGGACACAGGGATGGTAGACCTTTTCAAATTTGAGCTTGACAGGTCGGGGATTTGCCTTGGTGACAGCCTCGGCGATCTCTTCCCCAATAGCGAAGGCTTGATCGCGAGTACGGCCCTTAAGGTAGACAAAGAGAGAGTCAGTATCGCCGTAGACAACTTCAGCACCCCATTTTTCGACCGAGTGAATCAGGGCAATGGCCTTCTCCAAGGTCTCTCGACCGGTTTGGACAATGCTGTCTGCGATCTCGGAGCATGGCATGCGGCCCGAAAAGGATGCCGATGTGTATCCGTACGTGACGTTCGCTAAAAGCTTGAGCGCCAGCTGCCTGTTGTTTAAGAGCTGCTGCAACGTTTTGTCGTCCTTGTCCATCTTCATCCCACTCTTTACCATAACGCGAGTCTCTAATATCTCACCAAGCATCTTGGCGAGCAGCGACTTGCGCATCTCTGGCTTGACGTACATCATACCGTTAGGAGCAATATTGATGTAATCCTTGACGAGCTCCAGCAACTGAGGCTCCCGCTTGAAGTCCATGAAGCCCATCTTGTTTCGCCCGCGCCACGGCACGATGCGTCCGAGGCATGTGGAATAACAGTAGTTGTACGCGATCATGACGCTCGGATAGAGGGACTGGAAGTCGAGGACGAGGAGAGGACTAGGGTAGAAGTCGCTTTGAGGTTCCATGACCAATGGCAAACACTCCAAAGCGTTCTGCTGGCCGACCTGCTTTCGACTGGGAGACACCAGAATGAAGTTCTCCGGTTTCGCGATACGGAACATAGTCGACTCAACTTTAAATTGCGAGCCTCGCGAGATGACAGAGAAGAAGTCGACCCCAAGTAGTCGTGCCTGCTCACTGGTTCTCGGAACGATCTCGTTCGCTTCCAGTATATCGAGGTTCAACTGTACCCTAGTGATGAAGTAGTCGAGAACTTTCGCTAGGTCGCGCGGCTTGGGGCTGGTATACCATGCTGTGAGATCGGCTTGGGTATAGTGCGGAATGCGTTTATGCAGAAGGTGGAACACTACGTTCTCCATCGTGTACTGGAGAAGGTTCAGCTCTCCACGCATCGCACGCCAGATGTTAATCATATGCCGGCCGGTGACACGAATCGTCGAAGTATGCGTGAATCCCCATCGGTCGGCTTCCTTTCCAAATCTGCCGTGCGACTGCGACTTCATCCTGCTGATCTCGTCGCAAAGGTTGTATTCAAACTTCATCCGCGCGCGCTCGATGAGGTAGCCCCACGAGCTGTTGTGCACCTCGTAGCCTGTTAGAATGTCCGGATCGAAGTAGCGTACAACATCCACAATGCGGTTGATGAGTTCGAGCTCGTCCTCTTCATACTCCACCTCCACGGATGTTTGTTTGATGATGCGCTTGGCAATGCCGTCCTCATCAGATAGGCAGAGGACACCGACGCGTGGCCGATCGCTATTCGCATCTTCTTCTCCTTGGATAGTCCAGACGATACACTGGATCTCGTCTTCGGCGGGATCCGGAACTAGAGATCCTCGCGAGTTTACGTGCACCTCTAGGCTCATGATGCTCATGTATTGGGTTTCATGTTTTACACTGGTCGACGTCTTCTTCTGGGAATACTTGAACCCATGCTTGTTCTTTTGAGTTGGACCATCGATCTGCGAGAGCTCCTTTGGCGGTGGTTTGGGCTGCTGCACCGGCTTGACCTCCTGTTTGGCTTCTTCCATCACTTCTTTATCCAGGTGTACGCGTTCATATTCCTCGACCTCGCGAAAGGAAGGGGGGGCACTGGAAATCTCCCAATGACGCAAGGTACATCTGTGCGATCTCAGTCGACTCTCAGCACCTTCTTTGCCTCTATCCCAGACGACGGGAGGCTGCTCTCCAAAATTTGCCGGTGAAGTACCAGTAGGATCAAATGGAGGTAGATAAGGCAGTGTCGCACTCTGCAACTTGAATTCGCGGCCTGCGTATTCACGTGGCCGGTCTGGAACATCCTTCTCATCGCTGTAATAGGCATCCTGGTAGATGACTGGCGGAAGACCAGCGTGCAGCATAGTCTCTTCGACCAAGTCCACTGAAGGTGGCAGGTATCCATAGTAGAGGGTTCGGCAGTGATGCGTGGAAGACTGTTCTAATTGTTTTGTCAAAGCAATTGCTTCGGCATGTGCTTTAGGGCTGCTGCTGCTTGCGCCGATAGGTGAGGTCTTTTGATGGCTCCAGGGTGTGACTGGAGAGTCATATGAAGCCTTGTGTCCGAGATTCTTCACCGCCGGAGTCTTGGGGGCTTCTTGCGAATTCGAATATCCCGACTGGCTCAAGCGTAACACTGTCTCTGGCGCATTCGGATTCTTGACTACAGGGAAGGAGAGCGTCGATGGGCGTATGGGTCCTTGCGCTTTGATGCTACCTTGCGATAATTGACTTGGACGGGGTGGTTCATTATCAACTTCGCTCTGGGAGGGAGGAGTATGCTTGCTATCCTGGTCATCCACCGTGTCGCGAAATGCAACTTTGCGGATGTTGTCTTGCGTAAGGAGTCTTTGTCGCTTGTTAGACTCCAGGGCATCAGAAGCATGCTGTCGTTTCCTTGAACTGCTCGAATCACCAGATTCGCCACGGTCACCATCCTCGTTGAGGTCAATGGCTTCGTCAATAACCTCTGGGTTATCCACGCCCGAATTCAGGAGTAACGTTTCCGACATGCTTAAGGGATCTAGGGACGGCTCGCCTTGCGCGTCGGATTCATTCTCCGCATCCGCATCGTCAGGGCCTTGAACATCCCCGACGACGACGTCTCCACCGGTTCCATCTTCATCAGCGGCTGGAATGTCTTCCTGGCGGTTCTCCGCGATGATGTCGTTTTCCGCATCCGGTTCGGGAGCCTTACCCTCGTCCAAGGGTTCTTCAGCTGCGAGATTTTCCGGATAAAGGTCTTCAACGCTCTCCACAGCGGTCTTCATATGGGGTTCGCTTTCAGTTCGCTTCACAAACGTGTCAAAGTTGACACCCGGTTTCTTGTCTCTTTCTGTGCGCACGAGCTCTTCTACAAGCTCCCGATACTCTTCTTCGTGTATCCAGCCACCTTTGCCGGTGTTTCTTGGGTCAGCAGACATGGATATCATAACCTCCGGTGGAAATGGGCTGCTTGATGGGCTGGTGAGTCCCATGCGTAGCTTCCGACGCCGCGTCTCATCCCTCCAGAGTCCAGCCATTGAGGGGACAAACTTTTCGTCTGGCCTCAACTCAAAAGATCGCTCCAGAAAGTCATGGTGGATAGGCCGAGAGTGGAGCTCGTGTCTGTTGAGGATATCTTGTACGGAGACGTCGACTTCGAGAGTGCAGTGACTCTGGCGCGGATATTGGTCTACATCCGCGATAAATTGTTCCGGAATGGATGCGTCGTGCCATTTGTGGGTCGTGATATCGATTGCGTCACTATCGGGCACCGGACTCCTGAATTGGACCCTCGCGCAGTCGATATAAGCGCATCCATACAAGTTGTAGTCGCACATCCATTGTAGTAGGTATTGTAGGTGGCTTTCATAGGGCTGGAATACGCGGTTCAAGATAGCTCCTTGGTACAACAGGTCTGCGAACCGTGTCATATGCAATGGATTCAGCAGGTAGACCTTCAGGAAGAATCGATATCCAACGTTGTATCCGTAGAATGGCACGCCCTTGACGAGGCTAATGTGTCCAACATAGAGGGCTTTTCCATCGTACGGGTTCCGGCGATAAGTGGCGGCAAGAGCGTGGTCAATCGACGCGCGGAGGTTGAGAATGTATAGGTTCACTTTGACACATTAGCTGCCATCTCTCTATGCGAATGCCGTTGCATTACCGTCTTCCTTCTCCAGGCGCCCATTGTACTCCAGATACAGATAGGGTAGGGCTCCATGTATGTGAGCGCACACTTTCTGCCCAGTCTCGGTCGCGCCAAACGCGCGGATTACGGGGACGGCGGGCGCATTCTGACGGTGAGACGGCCCTGCACCTCGGCGCAGGATGGGGTCGAGGTCCGTCGGCGTAGCCTGGTAGTGGTCGATGCAGTTCAGGCGAAAGCGGAACGTCTCCATGGGGAGGCAATGCGGTTGAAAAAATTATGCTGCGATAAGGGATGCCGCATGGTGCTGATGGCTGGCGTATAAGCTTCCGATTCGACGAGCGCCTGGTGCCTCCGGCAGTTGAGGAGTGAAAGATGAAAAGACGCGTCCAGAGTCCACAACAATAGGCGGGGTTGACGCGAACACGATGTCACGCTGCCAAGCCGGCAGCTGCAGCCCTACCACGCTACAGTACCTCCGCATTTGCCCCAGCTTCCATCACCAGCCCACGACACCCTCTCGCCATTGCTCGCACCCCGCAACCGCCCCCGAGGCCCATATTCCCCGCCCAATATGCCGCCCGCGCAGCCACGCAAGCCAGACGTCTCCGCCGCGGCCAAGGAGCGCAACGAGTACATCCCGTCCTTCATCTCGAAGAAGCCCTTCTACGCCGTCGACGAGACTGGTGAGGACAACAACGACTACCTCGAGCATCAGCGTCTACAGAAGCAGGAACAAGACTCGAAATGGTACGACCGAGGGAAGAAAATCGGGCCCGCGGCGACCAAGTACCGCAAAGGCGCATGCGAAAACTGCGGAGCAATGACCCACAAGAAGAAGGATTGCCTTAGCCGACCGCGGAAGACAGGCGCGAGGTGGACTGGCCGGAACATTGAGGCAGATGAGGTCGTTCAGGATGTGCAGCTAGGCTGGGATGCGAAGCGCGATCGCTGGAATGGATACGAAGCGTCCGACTACATGCAGGTGATTGAGGAATACAACGAGCTCGAGGCGATACGGAAGAAGGCGAAGGAAGCAAAAAACGAGGATCAAAAGTCTGGGGACGACGAGGACGACGAGGGCGACAAGTATGACGCGGAGACAGATATGGGGAGGAAGCAGGCCACATCCACGCGAAATCTGCGGTTACGAGAAGACACAGCCAAGTATCTGCTCAATCTGGATCTAGACTCCGCCAAATACGACCCGAAGACACGGTCAATGGTGGATAGCGGCGCAACGGCAGACAATGCGGCAGCGTTGGTTGCCGAAGAGGGCTTCGTCAGGAAGTCGGGCGATGCAGCAGAGTTCGAAAGGGCACAGCGGTACGCCTGGGAGACACAAGAGCGTGGAGACAAGAACAAAATACATCTTCAGGCGAACCCCACGTCCGGCGAGTACATGCGGAAGAAGGAGCTCCAGGAAGCTGAGGAGAAGAAGGAAGCACAGCGGAAAGCTCTTCTTCAGAAATATGGGGGTCAGGACAAGTTCCACGACGAGACGCTCAAGAAGACTGCGGTCATAGAGTCAGAGAAGTACGTCGAGTACGACGAACGGGGCCGTATCAAGGGAGCACCCAAGGTCAAAGCGAAGTCAAAATACCCAGAAGATGTTCTCATCAACAATCACACGTCCGTCTGGGGCAGCTGGTGGTCGAAGTTCAAGTGGGGCTATGCATGCTGTCACTCAACAGTCAAGAACTCTTATTGCACGGGCGAGGCTGGGAAGGAAGCGTTTGAGGCAGCAGATAGGATGCGGACCGAGGCGGACTTTGAAGAGGTCCCCAAAGCTGTTGCCTGGAAAGAGGAAGAGGCGCTGGAAGAGCACGTGCCCAATGCCGGCGACAGCGATCAGAAGGTCAGACGGGACGTCAATCGCAAGAGAACCTTGGAAGAGATGACGAGCGGTATCACGGAAGAGGAAATGGAGGAGTACAGGAAGAAGCGCACCATGGCCCAGGATCCCATGGCGAAGTACCTCAGCAAGGAGGCTGTATAGTCGTGCGACCCCGTGTGCGTTCTCTTCTCCTTTCCGTCTTTGCTTTTCATCATGGGTGCATAATTGAGCCTTCTAAGCATTGCGTGGCATCGGCAGGGCGCCGCCGCTCCAGGATGGAAGTTGATATAGCATGTAAAATGACATAGAGTTCCTGATGATCGGATGCGTTGTCCTGCGTGATGGGTGCGTGGATTGGACGCCTTGGCGTAGCCTTATCCTGCAGTTCTCTCCCTCCATGTCGGGTGCCAACTCAGCGGAGGCGATTGCGCATGCAGCTGCGCGTATGCGCTGGAACTGAGGCGGATGCGAAAGCAGAAGGGAGTGCAGATGGTGCTGAGTGGCGCGGAGCTTCGTCACTGCCAAGAGCGTCCGACAGCACGGAGCACCCGTTAAACGTCTACCTGGGGAAGCTCTCGACGACCAACACATCCCTCCAGCTCCTGCCCCCTGCCCACCACCGCAGCCCGCCCTCTTCTGACCCGTCGCGCCTTGCTCCATTTCCTGGCCCGCGCCTCCTTCATTGTCTATATTTTGATCGCGACTGCCCGCCGCGAGTGCCGGCAACGCAGCCGTCAAGATGTCTCTCTATGGCTCGACCTCGAGCCGGAACGTCGACATGGGCAAGTACGAGTAACCCGCCCCACGATGATTTCGCAAGCTCACCAGAATCCCCTCAGGCAGGAGTCGGACCTTGCCATCAACATCCGCAAGGCGACGAGCATCGACGAGACCGCTCCGAAGCGTACGCGCCGCCCCGAAATCATGCAGACGAAGCTCACTCTGCGCAGGGAAGCACGTCCGGGCCGCAATCGTGTACACATGGGACCACAAGAACTCCGGCTCCTTTTGGCAGGGCATGAAAGTGTACGTTTCCCGCGCACACCCGTCGAGCAAGCTCTAGCCCGCATTACCCTGCTTGCCGAGCTACAGCTATCCAGGGGAGCGGGCCGAGGTGCTAACTGAAGCCGCAGGCAGCCAATTCTTGCCGACGAGATCCAGACATTCAAGGCCCTCATCACCATCCACAAAGTCCTCCAAGAAGGCCACCCTGTGGTGCTGAAGGAGGCACAGGCCCATGTCGGCTGGATAGAGAGCTTAGGCCGAGGCGTTGCGGGCGGCGAGGGCCTGCGGGGCTACGGACGGCTCATTACGGAGTACATATACTACCTCCAGGCCAAGCTCGCTTTCCACCGCCAGCACCCCGAGTTCAATGGTAGGTGCACCTATACGGCACTGCAGCTGCAAGCTGACAACGAGCCAGGAACCTTCGAGTATGAGGAATACATCAGCTTGAAGTCCATCAACGATCCCAATGAAGGATACGAGACCATCTCCGACCTCATGACCCTGCAGGATCAGATAGACCAGTTCCAGAAGCTCATATTCTCCCATTTCCGAAGCGGCGCCAACAACGAGTGCCGGATATCCGCACTAGTACCGCTGGTGCAGGAGAGCTATGGCATCTACAAGTTCATCACAAGCATGCTCCGGGCCATGCACACGAGTAGGTCATTTCACGGGCTTACCTTGACTTTTTGCTAATCGGGGGCAGCGCTTGGCGATGACGAAGCCCTTTCTCCCCTCCGCGGCCGCTACGACGCGCAACACTACCGCTTGGTCAAGTTCTACTATGAATGCTCCAACCTGAGGTATCTGACGAGCCTGATTACCGTCCCGAAACTGCCACAAGATCCGCCGAACCTTCTCTCGGAAGACGAGACGGCACCCGCCTTGCCCGCGCGCCCGAAAGCGGACGAACCACCGCCGGCCCCTCGGGCACCATCCGTAGATCCCGAACCCATCAACGAGTTTTGGAAGAATGACCAGAGGAGGCAGCAAGAGGAATATGAGGCGGAACAGCGACGGCTGCAAGAACAATGGGAGGCAGCCCAGCGCCAACAGCAAGAAGCTGCCCTTCGCGCGCAGAGGGATTTTGAAGAGCAGCAGCGGCTCCAGGCAGAACAGGCACGTCTGGCGCAGGAACAACTAATGCGCGAGCAGTATCAGCAGCAGACCCAGGGCCGTCTGGCAGAACTCGAGCGAGAGAACCTGAACGCACGTGCTCAGTATGAGCGCGACCAGTTAATGTTGCAGCAGTACGACCAGAGGATGAAGGCCCTGGAGGGAGAAATACACCAGATGAGCGCCAATTTCCAGCAGCAGATGGGCTCTCGAGACGACCAGATCCGAGCTCTCCAGGAGCAACTCAACACATGGAGATCCAAGTACGAATCGCTCGCGAAGCTCTACTCCCAGCTGAGGCATGAGCACCTTCAGCTTCTGCAGAAGTTCAAGAATGTGCAGCTCAAGGCCAACTCGGCTCAGGAAGCCATAGATGCGCGCGACAAGCTTTCGAGAGAACTCAAGACGAAGAATCTCGAGTTGGCCGACATGATCCGCGAGCGTGACCGAGCCCTGCTGGAAAAAGACCGCAGCACCGGTGGCCATCGGGAAGAGCTCGAAAAGCTAAAGCGCGAGCTTCGCTTTGCTTTGGACAGGGCTGAGAACGCCGAACGGGGCAAAGGCTCGGAGCTCTCCGCTATGCTGTCTAGGCATAACCGAGAAATCGCAGACCTCGAAGAAGCACTACGAAACAAGACCCGTGCACTGGATGATATGCAGATGAAGTACCGCGAAGGCGATTCGGACTTGGAGCGTCAGCTACGCGAGAAGGAAGAGGAGCTAGAGATTTTCCGAGCAGGAATGGACCAGACTTTGCTTGAACTGAACGAGCTGAAGCTGAATCAGAATGCGAACGACAACGTGCTCGATGGGCACCTCGATTCTCTCATCCAGGACAGCCTCCACAAGATCAACGACATCATCGATTCTGTGCTCCAGAGCGGCGTGCAGCGTGTGGACGATGCACTGTACGAACTGGATTCTTCCATGCACGCTGGTAACCAGAATGCTTCCGGCGCATTTGTACTCTCACAGATCGAGAAGGCCTCGACATGCGCTATGGACTTTGCAACGGCGTTCAACGGATTCATTGCCGACGGGCCTAATGCTACACATGCCGAAGTGATTAAGACGGTCAACGCGTTTGCTGGCGCTATTGCGGATGTGCTCAGCGACACCAAGGGACTTACACGATTCGCTTCAGACGAGAACAAGTCGGATGCTCTGATCAACGCTGCTCGTATCTCTGCTACCGCGACAGTGAAGTTCTTCCGTAACGTCCAATCAGTGCGGATGTACGACCTCGATGTCGACGGCAAGTTCAACGTTGTCGTAAACAACAACGCCGAGGTGCTTCGCAACCTACAAAGCTTGTCCAAGCTGGCAGACGCCTTCGCGCCAAAGAGCAAGATCACCAATGCTTCAGGAGATCTTGGTGACTTGGTCGACAACGAGCTGACCAAGGCTGCCAATGCCATCGAGGCTGCTGCCGACCGTCTCGCGAAGCTCAAGAACAAGCCTCGCGATCAGTTCTCGACGTACGAACTCAAGATCCACGACTCCATCTTGGAGGCCGCTATTGCGGTCACGAACGCTATTGCCCAGCTTATCAAAGCCGCCACAGTTTCTCAGCAAGAAATTGTGCGTGAGGGTCGCGGGAGCATGACGCGGACGCAGTTCTACAAGAAGCACAACCGCTGGACCGAAGGTCTCATCAGCGCCGCCAAGGCCGTCGCCTCGTCAACTAACACGCTCATCGAGACTGCCGATGGCGTCATCTCCGGCCGCAACTCACCTGAGCAGCTCATCGTTGCATCCAACGACGTTGCAGCCTCGACCGCCCAGCTTGTCGCTGCAAGCAGAGTCAAGGCTAGCTTCATGAGCAAGACGCAGGACCGGTTGGAGAGTGCGTCCAAGGCGGTTACGAGTGCATGCCGCGCGCTTGTTCGTCAGGTGCAGGATATCATTGCACAGAAGAACAAGAATGAGAATGAGACGGTAGATTACACCAAGTTGAGCGATCACGAGTTCAAGGTCAGGCAGATGGAGCAGCAGGTACGTTCAATCACTCCCTATTCTAATCCAAGCATGAGGCTAATGGTGAACAGGTCGAGATTCTACAGCTCGAGAACTCGCTTGCCCAGGCCAGGACGAGACTGGGCGAGATGAGGAAGCTGTCGTACCTTGAGGAATAGACGCCAAGCCCGTCATTAACGCCCACCCGTTGCTGCTCAAACGCGTCGCGGATGGTTACAGATGGTAGTGTCGCTAAAAGTCCTCGTCAGGAGGACGCTGCGGAGATTGTATTGTGCTTCGGGTTACAGCGATTCATGGATGGAATGGAAAGGAATGGGTTGGATGGGCCTTTGAAAGCCCTCGCGCGCATCAAATACCACCTTTGTCTTGTTTACCTTGGAACTTATTCATGTGGCTTGAGGTAGAAAGAATGCACATGTGGACTCTGGAACACTGACCAACGACGAAGTGAAGTTATATACAGTCAACAAAGCCCCCTCCAACCGAGCTATATACAAAAGCACTTACTCCCTAACTAGCCCCTAGCTCCTAACCTCATCTACACCGTTATGGTGTAATTCGCCACATTGCTAGGCTCCCGCGGATAGAACTCTATAGTGAAAGTAGTCGTCTTCCCCGCACTCCTGACCGCGTCCAGTACCGCCGCCCTCAGAATAACATGGCTACCGTCCCAATCCCACTGGCCCGAGTACGTCATCCTACCCTGCTGCAGCGGGCCCAGCCACTGCGTCCAGTCATCTATCAGGATCGTCCCGTCGCTCTTGGTCGCCTTCACAGTAGCAGGACGGTTCTGCCCCGCCCAGGTGATCGGGATGAGCAGGTCGGCCGAGGTCGCAGGGAGCGCGGAACTAGTGGCGCCCAGGACGGGCGTGGAGTACTGCAGGATGTTGAGTGTGAGGGGGGAGCCTGCGGAGAAAGAGAGCGTGAGGTTTGTAAGACTGCCCATCCCAGCGGCGGGCGTGATGATGGTCGATAGGAAAGAGCGGGTGAGCGTAATATTGGCGCTGCTGACGGCGTAGTCTGTCCCCTTTGCGAGGGCTTTGTTCCCGTTCGTGATGGACGTCAGGGTGTTGCCGTTGAAGAGGAAGGGCAGGCTGATGTCGGCCACGCTGGTGTTGAGCTTGTGGTATGCGTATGCGGAGCTGGACTGGCTGGTTGCCGCGCCGTCGGTCGTGCTGTCTGGCAGGGAATTGGTGACGCCCTTAGCGGCGTTCATTAGAATTGAGAGCACGGTTGGGTCGCGCCATTGGTGCGTCGCGCGGTTGAAGTGGTCGGCGCCGTTGTCCCAGAGCACGGTGGCGGTGTTATATTTGGCGGCTGTGCGGACGAAGAAGTCGAAGTAGCGCCAGCGGGCGGCGGTCTCGATTTGGACCTGGGGAGCTAGATTAGCAGGATGGATTGAGGGAGGTGGAGGGCGAGCGTACGGAGGTTGCGTCCCATTCGCCGATTATGAGGGGCACGTCCGTGAAGTTGCCCCTGATGGCTGCGAGGTCGGCTTCTAGGGTGGCTTTGTCGGCGTCGGAGCCCCAGGTTGTTTTGCCCCAGGCGCTGAAGATGAAGTCATCTGTCCATCTAATTAGTCTGCATATATAGAAAGCAGAAAGGAGGGGGGACTTACAAGGAGAATAGTAGTGATACTGAATGGCCCACGGATTCTTAAACTTCGCATCCGGCCGCTTGAACCACTGGCTTGTCTTCACCGCATCCTCTCCACTACCCACAAGCGTAACAACGCGTTGCGGGTTGAATCCACCCGCATCGTTGATCGCCCGGAGGAAAATGTCGTTCAGCTTATTCTGCTCGGCGCCATGCTCGGCCGTCGTCCCCGGCGGCTCGTTAATCGGCTCAAACGCCACCATACTCCCTTTACACGCCAACTTCGTGCCAATCTGATACCACAGCCTGTAGAACCGCTCTTCGATCTGTGTAACGTTTGCGCTGGCTTGCGTGATATCGGCCCAAACCCAGGAATCGTGGTGCACGTTCACGATAACGTAGAACCCGCGCTGGGTAATCATATCAACCACGTCGGAGACGCGCTGGAGCCAGGCGGGGTCGACGGTCCAGTCGGGCGATTGGGACGTGAAGTGGTAGGCCCAGGTGACGGGAAGGCGGATCCCTTTGAAGCCCGCGGTCTTCATGTCGTCGAAGGTTTCAGAGACAACGGGCGGATTGTTCCAGTCGCCTTCTGTTTGCACGGCGTCCAGTGTGTTTCCAACGTTCCAGCCGGGGTTCATGGCGTCAACGAAGGCGGAGGCGGAGATTGGGGTGAAGGTGCCGGTGCATGTTGTGCCGTTGGCGGCGAGCGCGCCTTGCAGCAGCGCGGCCGCAAGCGCCGATTTGAAGAAGACAGCAACCATGTTTTGTCAATATCTTGAATGTCCTTCGATCTCTCCGGCTTGGAAGAAGCGCAAACCCAGGATTTATATCCCATCGCCACGGACACCTAATCTGGGCTCCGCCTCGGCTCGAACATACCCCAGATCAATTTCCCAGGCTCTTCCCCCTCCCCTTCTAAACACTTCCGCATTATAAATGAAGCAAGTCCTATAGCCAGGTCGTTTTCTTCTAGCGCGCTAAAACACACCATCGCAATATCAGTGGCAGGATGAAAAGTGCGCTACCGGAACACAAGCGATCGGACGAAACGACAGAACCAGCAATGTTCGAGAAGATGAGCTGGGGTAGCGATTGGGCGTGTCAGCCTAGTGCAGCCGTTTTACATGCCATCATATCGCTACACCCCGGGTATATTCATATGCAGGTCCCGCCGGGCCTAATATCCAGATGAACCAGGATTTTGATTTTTCCGCCAAGTATTGCGGAGCACCGTACTCGCCTCCGAACATTGAACGGAGGAACTAGTCAGCGTCATACTTATGAGTAGGGAGACCTGAAAGGAGACCTGAAGTAGGTCCGGCGCGTGTGAAAGTTTGGCGCAGAGGCATCTGCAGAGCATCCACGAAACACCCTTTCGTCCACAACCCAGCAACCAATTTGTGGACGGACCTCGCAATGGAATTACAGTCGACGATGCGAATGCGGATGGTGGAGGGAATCGTAGGTGTGCATCTTGAATGTGGACGGTACAAGTTGCTCGCTCGTTCGCCAGACTTTTACATCCAGGTCGCTCCACGGTACCTAGCAACAATTCTAGCTGCCCAAAGGCTAAGTAAGGGCAAGGTCTTCTCTTCCCAGCTATAATACAAGTTAGGGCCCCGAAGCTACCTACAACGCCAAAGCTCCATCCTTAGTGTAGTTAGGTTGGTGAATACTTCAACCAAAGTATCCAGAACCACCGGGCCGCTCACGCTCTTTCGCACAAATCGACCGAGGCCGTTCAAAGCATTACATAAACAGTACAACATATCGAGAGACGGCTTCTCGAACGATATGCCCCTTATGACGGGGGATGACGCGTGGGTGGCGGCATCCGGGCAGTATAATGTATACAAACACCGTGAAATGCATGGAACAAGAAAGAAAATGCGTCAACAAAAGTGAAAACCGAAACACATGACAGGAGATGATTTTGATTCCCTAGCTTGAGAGAGATTCCAAATGCCCGCCCAACGCCAAAGACCTGAAAGAAAACCACGAGCCGCAACGCCGCAGCCTGGATTTTGGGAGAAGCTTTAAGAGTCAGTAGTCGAAAAGGTCGGAATAGGTGAAGTCGGAATCGTGAGACCTGGTGTCGGTTGGCTGTGCGCCGAAGGAGGAGGCCGATCCAAATCGATATTCCTGTAGATTAGGCGATCCCAAAGGATGGCAAAGAAACAAGGAAGCACGGTGTTGGCAGCACCGGAGGCAGAAAACAATGCTGGGGTGTCCAACCTTTGTAAAAGATGGCATGACAGCCCAATAGACCCAAAAGGGAGCCGACATTAACGCCGTGTCTTGGTGTCAACGTGACTAGAGTCACTGCGGGCCGATAGCAGAGGCTTATTCCGGTCGCGGCCTTTTAGCGCCGTGGGGATTCATACTCCAGCTTCCGTCGCCGCCGCCTTGGTTTTGAGGGAAGAAGGCTGGGTTGAAGTTCGGTTGGCTACCGCCAAAGCTGCCGGGACCCCCTATGAAATCCACACGTTAGTATGAAGATACCCTCTCAGCGAGTTGGGGAGAGGGGCAAGTCACAGGTGGTAGTAGGAACCCTCGACCTACCCATGCCTCCTGGCATCATGCCCATGTTTTGGCCCATTCCTCCCATCATATTGCCACCCATGCCCATCATGTTTCCTCCCATTGGCATGTTCATTCCCATGTTGTTCATGCCCATACCGCCGCCTCGTCCGCCACGGTGGTTCATGCCACCACGCATGCCCATCATGCCGCCGCCGCGATTAAAGCCGCCGCCAAAGTTGTTCATGCCTCCCATAGGACCACCACCGAAGTTGTTCATAGGACCAGGACCGCCGCCGTAGCCACCCATGTTACCGCCCATGTTTCCAGCAGGGCCAGAGAAGTTACGGTTGTTCTGGAAGCTCATGTTTCCTCCACGGTTGTTGTAGTTACCCCTGTTTTGGTTGAAGCGGTTGAAGCTCCCGCCTTGGCCGCCCTGGTTACCAAAGTTGCCGGAGGTGGAGCGGTCGCCGCGATTCTTATCGCGCTGAGGAACATCTTTTGGTAGGGTCCTGTACGGATTGATGTGCGGCGGATTGAAGATGGCGGTGGGCTTCTTCGCGTGAGCTTGGTCTTTGTACAGGGCTTCTATCTGATGCTTGAGGGCGGTAGCAGCCTGGGGACTGTGTAGCTGGACGTAGACTTGGCTGCAAAGGCGAGTTAGAGGAGCCCTGTACGTATCTAGGCGGAGACCACTCACCCTTTGCTTTTGCCATTGACCTTGTGCTCATTGAAAGTGATCTCATTGACCTCATCCTCGCATCCGCTTTGGTTTGCCCATCCGCGAATGTCTTCCTCGCTAATCCACCAGTTGAGGTCATTAATGACGAGCGCGGCAGTAGCACCTGGATCCATGGGGCGGTCGTCGTCTTCGCCCTGTTTGCGCTTTGTACCCTGCTGCTGGGGAGCCTGCTTGTGGACAGGCACTCGGCTGCTCATCGACCCACCAGTGCTTGATATCTGCTGCGTCGCGTTCTCATGATGCGGGTCTCCGTTTGTCGCCCCGCTAGAGCTCTCCCGTTTGATTTCTGGAGCTGCGAGATCGGAGATTCCGCCGCTGGGGGCATTTGTTGATTCGCCGACGTGCGGTTCGGTGTGAGTCACGACAGTGTCTGCCTGGGCGGCGTCTTGGGCGTTCGACTCCGGGTAGTTCTGAGCAGAGTCATCGCCGTAGATGTCGATATCGAAGTTATCGTCGTCAGCCATCTTTGCGGTTAGAACTCAGAGAAGGCCTGTAGGTGAACGGTGAAGGAGTATCTCCAGAAGTCTTGATTGGCTTGTAGATACTTGATGTGTCAGGCCTAGCGGCTGGAGTACATGAAGGTCTGTTTGCGGTGGACTTATCAGCGAACTATTAAACAATCGAAGTTGGAAGGAAATCGCCCATCGCAAGCCAGACAAGGCGGCATCGGCGGTAGAAACAGAGCAGCGCAGATCAGAGGAAATACGTACAGGTCCGCTCCTGAATCGATAACAAAGCCGGGAAATTTTTGCGCAATTTGCAGCGGAGGTGTCTTCCGATCGCCTCTGGCAGATGCGGAGATGTAGAAGGTACAGCAGGTGAGGGTGACAGAGAGATGTGATGCTTCAGCTGGGACTCTTGCGCTTGCTCGGTCTCCAGTACAGTTTGCGACACGCGCGCTTGTGGGTTACAGAAGCTCCCGCAGCGAAAGAATACAGCGCAATGCCTTGCGCTATGAGGAACGACAGGTATTGGAGAGGGAAAGCCTCGTGTCGCAGCCAAACACGCCTTGTAGCCCAGTCCCCTTGGACGCGTTCGACCGAGAAGCAGCGTGGGCTGCGGATCGCGGTGCCGCTAACGTTCCTAGATAGATAGGTTAAGTCGCTTCAATTGATAGAGCCGCCGGGAGGCTCTGCGCGGGTTGGTGCTTTGTCGATAGTGGTGAGGAAGCGCTGGAGTGACGGTGGACGAGGCGCTCATGAAGGAGCTCGGGCGATCACGTGAGCGCTTAGCCGCTTGGCAAATCCCGAAATGGCCTCGGCTTTCTCCGCGATGCAGCAATGTGGCCAGAAGTTCCCCATCTCACTGAATTTCTGGGAGCACCGCTGTCCAGACTCCTCCTTCATCACCGCGAACCGGAACCTCTCCACGCTCCAGCGCAGGCCAGTACTGAAGCCGATTCAACCCAGAAAGCGAGCGGAAATTACCCATTACCACCTTCGTACACCACTATCGCAATGGATCAGGTAAAGGAAATGGCAGAGCACGTCTCCAACTCCTCAACCAAACGAGCAATGGCTGACAGCTCTCAGCGTCCCGCAGGAGTTCGTTAAGGACGGCCTCCAGTTCATCAACCGCTGCACCAAGCCCGACAAGGTACGAAGCTCTGGTCCAAATTCATCACCTCCCATACGCTCGCCATCTTCCTCTGTGACGCTCCTCATGGGATCCCCGGTTTGCTAATTCGGTTCGCAGAGGGAGTTCATCAAGATCTCACAGGCAGTCGGCGTCGGCTTCGTCATTATGGGCGTCATCGGCTACATTGTCAAGCTCGTCCACATCCCCGTAAACAACATCCTCGTCGGCGGGTCATAATTCTTCGGATATGTAGCGGATTCGGTGCGATGGGAAGAAGGGGTACACAGAGGAGAGTTCATTCGGACCGGCGATGAACCTGTGGGTTAACAAAGGAGTTTGATGGCCCGTCACACGAGAAGGAGGCTTGCATGGCACGAAGCAGGGACGGAAAATGCTGTACAATATGGGCATTGGGCACGCGGGAGTTTTGATATCCAAATTTACATGTTAGAAGCTTGGGCTGCATCCAGCCTCCTCCCGCCGAGCTGCCCCTCCTATGTACCCAAAGGACAGGAACTTGAATTTACAAGTGAAAACGTTCAGTCATCGCCCAATCCCAAGTCCTCATACCAATGTCTTCTTGCGCTTCCGCCTATGCTGCGGTACAGGCGGTCGTCGTGTTGCAGCTGGGCGTTGACTCGTCGACCGACTTTGGGCTCCGCTTCGTCTTCCTCCAGGCCTTGGTTCCATGTATGGACGGTACATGTACCTTGCGAAGTACCCCATCCGTTCCAGGACGTAGCTGTTATAGGTTAGCTATTGCGCTCAGCATACTACGCGAAATGGAATACTAACCTGCAATGATCGGCGCGTTTGGATGCCAGCTCGCATCGCGTACACAGGTCATCCAGCTGCCACCATTACGTCCATAGAAGTTGTACGTCTCGGCCATGAGATGAGGATCCCTCGGCCGCGAGTTCTTGGTCGCTTTGAGAACATCAATCTTCCCTGCTGGCGTCGCATCCATATTCCAGACATATATTGAGCCGTCATAGCTACCAGAGTATACATATCTCGAATCAGTGCTCCCGGGCGGCGAAAAGTGACATCGTATCAACGTCTTGAGTACCTTGTGCCCACGGAACGTGACCAGCGAGCAATCGTACGGGTGTGGTCGGTAATCGTTCTCGTCGTACGCATTACTCCGATACTCAAACCTAGTCGTATATGCATTTATATCCACGCGATCCGCCTTGTCTTTTGTCATCATCTTCCGCAAATCCCACAGCTTCGCAGTCTGGTCTTTGCCGTTGCTGAGTACATAGCGGCCGTCTCCTTTGCTGTCGACGTAGGTTAGTCCTTCGGTGTGACCGAGAAAGACGCCCGCTTCGCGCCCGTCCCCCATACTGCGCCGATCCCAGACTTTGATTGTGGTATCGTCGGATCCGGAATAGAGGATATGGGGAGATTGGGAGTCACCGAAGCAGACGGCGTTGACGTCGTCTTGGTGACCTGGTATCCGGAGGATGGATTGCTGGCGCTCGATGTCGTAGACGTACACTGAGTTGTCCCCGGTTCCGGCGACAATTTCTCGTCCATCGCCGGAGAAGCGTATTGACCATATCTGACAATGTAAGTTACAGCACGAATAGGCCTGCAGAGTACTTACACCGAAGTAAGTGTGGAATCCGCGAGTGCTAGGCGATCCTGTGTTGGCGAAATCGAGAAGGCTTGGTTCGTTCTCGTTATCTGGGTCCGTAGGTGCTAAACAGACAATACTCCTTATAGAGCTGTATGCCAGGAAGCGGTTGTCCGGACTGAGAGACGCATCGGTGATCGTCCATTGGCCATAGGGATATACCACAGACTACACATGTCAGAATTGTCTGTGCCGAAGTGCAATATGCCTGTGCTTGCCTTATAGTACTTCCAGTCGTATGGATTTGAGGTGTCGTACATCCGTACCCGGAAGTCCTGCGAGCAAGAGAAAAAGAAATTGCCGTCCTCGGAAAACTGGCCAGAATAACATCGCGCGTTATAATGGATAATCGTGTCGGCTACTGACTCCGGAATCATGCCCTGCCTTATCAATCTGTTTGCGTTCTTCTGCCGACCCTGACTTCCTAGCCCCAGCTCTCGCCGCATTATATGATGGGCCAGCGTCTTCCTCCTCTTGATGCTGTCTTCCGGCCGATCATTGGATCCAAATATGCCCCCGTTCATGAGCTCTCTTCCCTCATCGCTGGGCACCTTCTGGAAAGCTGCACTGCCCCTCCCGCGCTTTCGTCTCGGTCCTACGGGATCATAGCCTGTGCCCGGCTCGCTATCGTCTTCGTCCTCGTCACCTTCTGCGAATCGAAGGGTTCGGCGTCGCGCGGCTCTGTACGCAGCACCGGAGGCGAATATCCGTCCCAATCCCGCGTGGCCGAGTAATTGCATGATTTGGTCGCGGGTAACTGCACGAATTAGCTAGTGAATTAGTGAATCTATTCGGCCGGGGCGAGATCGTACTGTAGATTGGTCTGCGCGGGCGTGAAGCTTCACCTTCATCTTCCTCGTCGTCTTCGTCCTCATCCTCATCATCATCTCCTTCTGTAATCTCCACCGCGATTTCTACCCCGCTTAGGTCCTCCGCCGCGTCTGGTAAAGCACGTCAGCACCATGTTCACCGAACACACATTCCAACATGCCAACAACGCATACCGTGAAAATCTAGCTCGTCCTCGTCATCTTCGTTGTCCTCACTGTCTCCCGGCGCGGGCACATACTCCATGTCGTCATTGTCATCTTCGGTATCGTGCCAAAACGGATCGCTTGGGTCGTACACAATGGTTCGAGGGTCGTCCTCTTCGCTCGGAATATAACCTGGGGACTGCGAGGCGCTCATCACTGCGGGATAAAGAGGACAGAAGCGGGGTGAGGTTGAAATTGAGGACAAACACGCATCATACATAGCCGGGGAGCTAAGCTATGGCCGACCACCATCGATAAGCCTGCGCTTCTCCGTTATCTCCGGCGCTAGACAAGTCGATACCTAACGAACGGTTTTCCCTCCGATCGTGGGCTCGGTCCCCGATGATTGGTACGTATCTTCCCTAAGGCAAACATTACACCATGATGCTAATGTCATACGAGTGATGGGAAGGGGCACAGAGAGCGCACAATTGGCTGATTTGACTGCAGTCAAGGCTGTACCGCACCAAAGCAAGTGCCTCAGACGAAAGATCTGATTTCGACGGAGCTAGAAACACCCCTGGTCTATTCCTCACGTACCCCATTGCTGTTTCCCCGATTTGCGAAGTCGGACAGCGACCTAGTCACCTTGACCCCTGGGTATTGCACTAAGCCGTATGCGTTCGGCTTTCCAACGCTCACGGAAACCTTGTTGTAGCCCATATCTACGGTCAGGAGTTTGGCAAGGGCCATGACGAGCGCCTCGAGGGTCTTATAGGAAGCATCCTGAACATGCTGGAAGATGGATTAGCTTGGCCATTGCCATGGCGCGACTCTCTCTTATGCTCGTACCTGACAGACTGGGTGGAAGGTCTTCTGATAATCGGTGACCTCGGGCGTCTCAGCATCGTGCAGCGTGAGGTGGACCGCAACGAGCTGTTTGTCTTCTCGTTCGTGTGGATTGACGCCGATGAGGGTAGGAAGGCGCAGGTTATCCACCGAAAGAATCTTCGAGGTTACGCTTTTCCCTTTCTGCATCTCTGTTTCGCAGACAACTCCACCTCCGTAAGCTTCAGCCTGCAACAGGGCCTTGGGAAGGCGAACGGTGCCAACGACATGCTCTCCTCCCCCAGCCTCGAGAGCGACCCGGCAGGCCGTTTCGGTGAAGTCATCCAGAGTGGCATACGTAGCGTTCGTCAAGGCATCTGCAATTGCCTTGTACACGGTCCCATAATTAATAGTGTTGACGACGTCGTCGGTTTCGCCCGCGAGAGTGGTGTTGGTGAAAAGTCGGAATGAGATGAGGACCGGCTGGGCTTTGTCCCGGTGCCAGCAATCCTTGCCGATCGTTGCACTTAGAGAAATGTTCTGGAGAAAGACTACATCCGTCATTTTGAGGTAAAATCGGAGGCCCTGGATACAATTGTAGCCTGGGCGCTTGCTTCTTTTAAATCTTTTCTCCCACAGTCGTATGGTGTTTGCTTCGCAGCCAATAGCAGCGCAACGTATCTGAGAACCCTAGCGAGGCACAGCGACTGCAATCGAGCAGCCTCCCGTTTCCGTGTCACCAAATATTCCCGCTGCAGGTCCTCCATCATGCTCACGCCCATTCAGATTACATTCGAATACACGGTGGACATTTAATGAAAACCGGCGTCATAGTAGGAGTAGGAGAAATATCATCCGACGGAATCGTTTTACTCGATCTATTGCACACGGCGAGCACCCTAGCTCAAGCACAAGGCTGTGTCTGAGTCTCGAAATCCGGTCCCTTACCGCCCGTTTTACTTATTAATCGTACTTCCTCCATTCGCATCCCTTTGTCGACCGCTTTCGCCATGTCGTACACCGTCAGCCCTGCCACAGATGCCGCCAACATTGCTTCCATTTCCAGGCCGGACTTGCCTACGCTCTTGATCGTCGCAGTTATGTCGATTCCTGACTGGCTGGGGCGCCCATTCCCGAAGAATTCAAACTCAATATCTACGCTGCTGATAAAAATAGGATGGCAGAGCGGAATGATCTCAGACGTCTTCTTTGCCGCGAGGATACCAGCGACACGGGCTACGCCGATTACGTCCCCTTTTCTGCTGCGACCTTCCTGTATCACTGAACCTCGTTCATGAACATTACGCGCGCCTTGGCGACCGACACCCGTTTCGTATCGGCCTTGTCAATGACCGAGACCATATGCGCTTCACCTCCATGGGTGAGCTGCTTCATGGATTGCTCCTCGTCTTTTGGAACCGGACAAGCGACTGTGGAGAATTGACGCATAGCCGCGCCAGGAGGAGCTACTACTCTGGGTGTAGTATCCCAGAGCGATCGTCACTTGCCTAATCGCATCATTAGCTCGGTCGCGACGATAGAGGGAATGCTCTGCGAAATGGTGAACATTGTTGCTGCCAAGTCTAGCCACGTATACTCATATCCCTAGATTTCCTATGCACTTCTCGATGCAATTCAGAGGAAACAGGTCTCACCCACCGATTAAGGCTATCGGTCGGTTTGGTAGGTTCGGAAGGGCATCAAGCCCAACGTGTTTCGCCGCTTTTCTCTTTACCGCTGCGCCAATGAGCTCCAGCAGCTTACTTCCCCTCTGTTCTTCGACGCAAAGTTGTCCTACCAGCAAGGAGAGAGTATGAGGCGCATCTCCATTCTTGCAGCCCTATTTCTACCTTTGACTTTGTCAGCGGTAAGCTTCTCTAAGGTATTGGCTCAATTTCGGAACTGACGTCCGCAGTCCCTTCTAGGGATGAATGCCAAAGAACTGAATGGCGGCCTGCTACGACTGTGGGTATTTGTGCCGCTGTCAGTTGTCGTTTCCGTCGTTATCCTCGGGAAATCTCGCATAACAGACAAGTTCATGCCACCACCGACAGCACACGTTGACGTTGAGCAGCTTATGAATGATACGAAGAATGGTGAATCTGGTGGCGTTCGAATTGTTTTTGGCTCTACGCCGGTGCAGACCTAGAGCTCCGTGCTGGCCGGCATTTCTAAGTGACTACAAAGTTGACCTTCGTAGTGCAACGCCAACACGGCTTAAAGTTTTGATGTTCTGGCTGAGTCTTGGCTGAAGTACTAGCGCAGGGTGATCCTAGCCTAGGCTTTGTGAGTCATCACACCGACTAATTATACATCTCCCTGCATGCGTAGTGCTACATTAATGTTTTACGCGAAAATTTTCCAAAAATCCGTTGACAAGATGGCCGAGTGGTTATGGCGTGTGACTCAAGCGAACGCTTCCCTGCATTTGAGGGTCCTTCTCATGGGCTTTGCCCGCGTGGGTTCGAATCCCACTCTTGTCATTATTACTCTTTATGCATTTTTTTGCATTTTTTATTGCTGAAGGTGTAGCGCAGGCTAAAGGACGAGCTTAGAGCTTAGGTTATATTAATGTAGCAGTAGGTATTGTCTATATGCGGAGGTGACAACGGCAGATTTGGTAAGCTTGAAGGCAGCGTAGTGTGGTGACGCGATGCGATGTCTGACTAGATTATCATCGTATGGAGTTGCATTTGATTGCGACACGGACTGGTCGATCATGGGTGCCAAGCCGCGTTTTGGGTTGACCTAGCGACCGTGCCGCCGCAGCTGGATGCCTGCAGCGACCAATTTCACAACCAACATCAGGTAGTCTCATCCAGTAACGATGTAGGTCATCCTCCAAAGGTGAAGTATCGTCTGCCTCTTGCAGCGATGTCGCTGACTCTTTGCAGCTATCAGCCTACACCATACCGACGCCAGCCACCGCCGTCAATGTAGAGCGTCTCCAACGGCCAGCCGACCTCTGACTCCTGATCGTAGATCTTCAAACCCCGAATTAATCGTTCGTCAACCCGCCGACGCCTTCCACACCATCGTCGAACCTACCACCGTCCTTTGCACAGCGCGCTACCGGATCCACACTGCGTCAAACTAGCTATACACGAATCTTGTGCAGAAGTTGGCAATACTGCACAGCCTTAAAGCCACACCGTCAAGATGGAATCCAATAATGGCCCGAAGCGAGTCGTTCTTCGTTTTGACGTTCGACACGACCTGGAGGAAGCAGCTATAAATGAACGATATTTCGCGCTATTCGGCCCTGAACCTCCGAACGATTTCTACTCTCACTTGATGGCCCCCAACGAATCTTCCAAGATGCATATCGTTCTGGATATCCATTGTAAATCATACCCAAGGATCGACAACAGCAAGATACCATACGAAGTCTTCAAAGTGAAAAAGAAAGACGAATTGTATGTAGCCCTATCTCTCGCAGAAGTTCAAACTAAGTAATGAGTTAGTGAATTCGAAAAGCTTAATAGTATTGCATGCCAATATGCTCGCGCGCGCTGCGAAAGGATCAAATGGGGCACTGACCGATCTCAATCTGAGGAATTGGATGGCGTTCGTGCATTGCACGGAGGAGACTCTCCGGGTACGTTCGTATCTTGAACATCAAGGCACATTCATTTACACAAACGCGCCGCATCATGATCTAATCGTTGACTACAAACAAGGAACAGGTGGACAGCCGAGCTCTATCTAAGTGTGGCAATGAACTCCTCCTTTGCCCCCGCTGTCCACGAAGGCTCTAACCTCTTCTGCCTTCTCCAAGGCATCATCGTACTGCTTCAACTCGCGCACCTTCCGTGCCACGAACGCGTCGAGCTCTTCTGTGTGGTCAAATTCCTTCTCACGCTTCTTCCACTCCGCAGGACCCAAGTGTTGACGTAGCTGTGTAAAGGGGAAGCTGTGCTGGTCGTTAAAGCCAACTAAGAGGAGCATATGCAGCCACATAGCCCCCAAGTCCTGCGACCACTTGACAAGACTAGAGAGCTCTTTCTCTTCGTGCCCCAGCATTTTGGCCTCCTCTTCCTCCAGGACCCGTTTAAAAGTCTCTAAATACCTAAAGTACCGGGCGGCAATCTTAGGCGGCTCATCATCCTTACAGTCCCACGCGCTGTTGACAGGTCTATCCTGGAGAAGCCACCACGGTGCCGAGCCAAACAGCTGGGCGGGCCCGATGTATGACCACTCGAGGTCCACCACCCCAACAACGGTAAGGTTTTCCTTGCTTCTTACAATCAGGTTCGCCAAACCAAGGTCGTCGCAAATCAGCTTAAACTTCCCATAGTCGTACTTTGCGTTGATGAAGTCTGGTATTAGGGATTTCACGGCCTTAAACGCCTTGAATTTGTTTTTCGCATTATATGGACCATCAATCGAGTTTGGCTGGTGGATGAGTTGCTCTAAGTCCTGCCCAGCGACGTACTGGAAGTATTCGGTCGTGGTCGCGAAGCCCTGGTGTCGGTCACCTATATAGAGATTGCTCAGTTAACGTGCTCGGTTAGAACCCTGATAAGGGAATTGCACAGAAATGAGAAGTGAAAGGAAAGCGACGTACCAAAAGTGTCGACTCCTCCGCTCTGTAGGATGCTATGTGCCTTGAATGTCAGCGGCCGTATCGGCAAGGGGCATTCAGCCTCAGCTCTTGGCGACGGCAGGCTGCCGATCCGGTCAAAGTCGAGTTTAAAAAGCTGGAGCAGAAAATTCGCAAACTGCCTGTAGATAAATTTGATATGGTCATCGTCGATGTCCTCCCTCATGAGTCGTGTGGGGCGCTCGGGATTGGGGTCCTTGAGAAGGTCGCTAAGGCTCACGCCGTCGATGAAGTCCATAATGATGAAGGGACCCAGGCCAAGTGGGTTGCCAGCAGCGGGACCCCACGCATGGACTTTGGGGACGGGAATGGTGGTCCCCTCGCGGATAAGACTTAACGCCTTCACCTCCATGGCAACCTTCTCGTTAGCATAGCTATCGTGAACTTTTCCCACACGAGGGAAACGGGCCATCCAGGCGGTGCCATCGGGGAAGATCATCTTCATGCCGGCATTAAACGCACCATAGTAAAAGGTACCCTCGAGTCGACACGGAAGTTGGTCAGGATGGAAGGTCGATACCCATTGACAGAGAAAGCCCTTTCCGTATGTCTCGTTCACCTTGTCGACCCAAAGATGGCCTTGTACTTCGTAGTCGAGATCGATCAACGCGTTATAGTCCATTGTGTTCAGGAAGGCTTCAATGGTTGAGCACTTAAAGGAGTGCGACTTTGGTGAACATGCCCGCATGGCATCGAAGTCGCAGCCCTCACTTTGTTGGACGAAAAGCAATATTGTGCGAGTACTACGCCGCCCACCACCTATTCAGGTGTCCTTGTTGGTTGACTGTCTGTATAGTGACAAAAGCTCGTCAGCACCTGTGAAGTCCAAGGAGCGCCCGCGGGCATCAAGAAAGGACTAGCGTCTTGGCAGCCTGCGCCGCACCAAGCCACATCTGTTCGCTGCCGCTCTTTCTCGACCGCAACGATCCAAGCATCCACGACACGTCCCCAACTCCAACCACTGTCGCTCATCTGCTACGGCGCCATATCTGCTGCGAGGACTCTATTTCTCAACCTTGACAGTGCCACAGGCACCTTCCACTGCGTCCGCAGCCCCCTTTCATTGCGCGTCTCCCTGTCCGCCTCGCGCCTCACCCACGACTCTACCTCTGCACAAAGGACAAGAACACGCGTCAAGATGCCGGACTACGCTAAGATGAAGAATGCGGAGCTTGAGGCGCTCCTCAAGGACCGCGGCCTGCCGACCGGCGGCAAGAAGTCGGACATGGCCGAGCGTCTCACCAAGGACGACGAGAAGAGGGCCGAACTAGCCGCCCCCGCACCCTCCAAGCTGAGTGCCGAGGACGAGATTGATTGGGATGACGATGAAGCCCCGGCTGAAGCTGCCAAAGCCGCGCCTGCAGTGTCGTCTGAGAAGAAAGAAACTGCGACCATCGCTCCCGCCGCGACCACTGAGCCAGACATCACCGCCAAAGCGGGTGGTAAAGGGCAGCCGCCTAACCCGCAAGCTGTCCCCAACCAAGTCGCCGACATCGATCCATCCAAGACCGACGACCTATCTGTGAAGCCGCCCGCTGAAGACAAAGAGCCCAGCGCGGGACCCAAAGCCGAAGACAAGAAGGAGCCCGCTCCGGACTACACCAAGGGTCTTGCTGCGACCAACATTGACGAGGAGATCGAGAAGCGCAAGGCTCGTGCAAAGAAGTTTGGCTTGAACATCGAGGAAGACGAGGGTCTCAAGAAGCTGGAACGAATGAAGAAGTTCGGAGAGACAGGTCCGCCGAAGGGACTGGACGAGGCTCTTCCAGAGCGGCGAAAGCGTGGGCGGGAAGAAAACGATGATAATGACAGGAACAAGCGTCGTGGTGGAGGCAGGTTTACAGCACGCCGCGGACGCGGAAACCGAGACGGAGACAGGAGGCGGGACAATAGGGACATCAGGGACCCCAGAGATAGCAGGGACAGCAGGGATAGCAGGAGACAAGACAGGGGCAACGCGGATGGTGGTGGTGCCGCCGCCTGGATGACTGCGGATGATCGCCGAAAAGCCGACGAGCGGAAGGCGAAATGGGCCAAACCGGCAGCTTGAAGATCGGCGTGCGCAATACTTCAAGCCCAGCTTGGAAGGCTACACAATGTTAAGAGCCAGGAACATCTCCTTCGATCGGCGCGTCGGCGTAAGGCGGGAACGACGAGCTCTATGTACACCACATTTCTTACGATCGGTTTTGGACGAGATTGCCAAACTCGTTCGGTCATTCTTCCATACAAGTCTCCAGGATAATTGCAATTGAATCTTCCATCCACGCGTTCACCGTCAATTTCTGTGCGGCTCCTGCACCGTCCAGTTCGTCCCGCATCGTTATCGCCTTCTTGATTACCGAGATATGTGTTGGAAGGCTGCGGCCGTTCGACTCTTGAATATCCGTCCCGTTACGCAATCCCGAACTTCTTGCAGGATGATCCTTATCACCCGGATCCGCGGCTGAGACCACTTCGAAAGTCAAGTTTGTCATATGCTAGGCCAAATTTTACTAGGACCATACGGGATTCTCTCTCCTGCAGAGCAAGCCGAAACAGCCTGTCCCGGTTACATACCAAAGCCAGTTTGGAAGCCTTATTGGCAGTAGAGCTCCACCGAATGCTACCCTCGTGATGTTATCCGCACCGGCAACATTCTGTCGTCGTTCCGTCGAATAAGCAAGGATATTTGGGCTAAGAGCTGGCCACGCGGGGTGGTCGATCACTGTCAGGCTTGATGTCTAGACGCATTCTTCTGCGCCTAGAGGTAAGGCGTCCAAGGAAGAGCCATTGAGTCATCCTCCCAGACCTAACCTCGAGCAGCATCTGCGCTGAGTCCCGTCAATATATAATTCGAGAGGATGTTCCATGACCCCTCCTGCGTCACCACGTCCGTGATGGTTATTGAGATGTGCTCGTAAAGTCTTTGCTCAACTCCCTGCGTCCATAGAGCAATGTCTCATGCCACGCCTTCACCAGGTTGCCATCGAGAACGAACGAGATATGTAAGCTAGCCAGGGGCCAACATTGAGTGTTTCTGTCTTTGTCTCTAGCGTGGCCGATCATGACCTCGGTTCGTTCCCCGCAGCATCACGACGCGAACGGCTTGGCTTAGAAGTCGCAATGATTTGCCGGGAACTACACTTCTCGCACCGATGCACTATTGTATTATTTCCATTCGACTATAAAAGCCGCAGAGTCCCCCCGCTATGTCGTCTTCGGCTGCTTGCTGTTCTTGCGCGCCGCTCTCTTTTCGGTTCTGTTCTTTGGTTTCTTGCTCAATACGAGGTCATATCCATTCGGAATTGAGCTCGCTAAAATTTATTCCGGGGTTGCAACAGATCCGCGGAAGGATTCATCGGATTTAAAATCGGCTAGGAGCAGCAAATACCTTCGGATCCATTATTCCCCTTTATCGACAGTGACCACTGCGGCAGGTATCACGCCACCTGACTTCAGATGCGGACATCGTTAGACTTCGAAGAGAAGAAAGCCTTTGAGGGCATTGCGGCGGACCAACAAGATCGAACGTCATCGAGTCATGGAAATGGGGACAAAGATGCTGCCGAGGAGACGCACGATGAAGAGCGTCAGGATGCACAATCGCTAGCTGGATCCCAGCTTCCGCCACCACCAGATGGAGGCTTACATGCTTGGTTAAAGGTCTTTGGCGGCTTTCTGGTATATATTAACATCTGGTCTGTCATGCGCTATGCCTCATGTGCCCCTTTCTAACAGCGTCTAGGGGGTTCACTCTCTCCTATGGCGCCTTTCAATCCTACTACGCCTCCACGCTGCTCTCCTCTAGCAGCCCCTCAGCCATATCCTGGATCGGCACAGTGCAAGCCTGGCTCCTCATCCTCGTCGGCGTACTGTCAGGCCCGCTATTCGACCTCGGCTACTTCCGGCCCATGCTCTACGTTGGCAACTTTTTAGTCGTTTTCGGCATCATGATGGTCAGTCTGTGCAAGACCTATTGGCAGGTTTTCCTGGCGCAAGGACTGTGCATGGGGTTGGGCGCGGGGTTGCTGTATATTCCGAGCTTGGCGCTCGTGGGCATTTGGTTTGAGAGGAAGAGGGCGTTGGCGATGGGGTTCGTCATGAGTGGGATTGCTGTTGGTGCGTACCCGCACACCCCTTCGTCTTTGTGGAGGTATCAAGTAATGGTACGGAAGGTGATGATGCTAACGCACACCAGGCGGCGTAATCTACATCATCGTCTTCGACCGCCTCACCCCCACTGCGGGCTTCCCCTGGGCCCTCCGCGCCATGGGCTTCATTGCGCTCGTCGCCTCTCTGCTCTCCTTCCCCGCTCTCCTAAGCGGCTCCGGGATACTCGCGCACAGGCGGCCTGCGCGGCGCCTCTTCGACGCGTCCGCCTTCCACGACCGGCTCTTCCTGATCTTCACAGCATCCACCTTCACCTGCTTTCTTGGCTATATTGTCCCTTACTTCTACATCCCGACGTATGCGACTGAGAAGCTAGGGACGAGCGATAGCTTCGGGCTGTATATGCTGGTGATTAGCGTGGCTGGGAGTTTCTTTGGGCGACTCGGAAGCGGCATGCTAGCGCACTATGCGGGGAGTATTGTTACGTGGTTACTATGTGCGGGGGCGAGCGGCGTGTTATCGTTGGCATGGATTGCGATTGAGACAAGAGGCGGGTTCATTGCGTTCAGTATACTCTGGGGTGAGCTCTCTCTGGCTTTTACTGCTCGGCTTGGCATTATCTGACGGTTTGCAGGATTTCTCTCTGCCGCCCTAGTGACTCTCCCCTCCGCAGCTTTCGCCAACATCTCGCCTAACCTATCGAATCTGGGGACCCGAATAGGCATGTCCTGGGCTATTTCCAGCATTGCGTCGCTCATCGGATCGCCTATTGCAGGCGCGTTAATCAAGACGAAGAACGGGAAGACGAATTTTCTGGGCGTTCAGCTCTGGAGCGGTATCTGTCTGTTGCTGGGAACGTGCTGGCTATGCGTGTTGTGGGTACTCACGGTCCGGACGCAGAAGAAGGGCTGGAGGGTCTAAGATTATCAGCGAGAGCCGATCAAGGAGCCCTCGAAACACTTCACGGTGCCTTTCCCCGCGTACCGCAGTTGGCCGACCTGGGAGTCTCTTTGGACGGCACTGGAGCGCTTCGCACGCACGCATTCTGAAGGCGCAAAGTTGTCCTTGCTTGACTCTGGGCTTGCTGATAGCGCGCAGAGTGCAATTGTGGCCTCGGATATGGGGCGCGTATGTTTGGCGAGCTGAGCGTAGCTACTTGCGGTTGGTGGTGGGGCGGTCTGAATTGAACCCAAGCAGTACACTGTGATACGCGAAGCAGCAAGGACCAAATGGGTGTAAGGTATGGGTGAGAAGAGAGGTGGATTCTTTGGGTTTGAGTCGAGCGACATTTGCTCGTACAGAATGATGGAAGAATCATGGGCGTTTATGAATCCTTCTGTATGCACAGAGGAACGTGATGGACTGAGGTAGCGATAAGAGTGGGCCAAGCCGTTAGCGCCGTCAGCATACAAGGAGTCAGAGCCAAAGACATGCATTCTACAGTCCCGAGCTTCGCATTGCCGGTATAGCTTCTATCTTGCGCTCACACCCTATCGCATCCAGAAGCAAACTGCCCTGCATTACGCCCCATGCACTCATTATCACTCACAATCGCCCCATGCACCTCGTTTTGCATAATAAAGGATGATAGCCCGTAAGCCGTAGGGCCAATTGGAAGGTCGGCTAGCTAGAACGGGAAGCTCTGAGATGGAGCAGGCAGGCAGGGCGCCTCGGAGTACGAGGATAAATTGGGGTGGGGGATGGCGGGGTCTGTTTAGCTACCTTGACTTGAACTCCGACTCAAATACATATAGCCCCGCCAAAGCGACGCGGAGAGATCAAAAAGCCTGCTAGACAAGAGTGAGAAGCCATGGCAGAGTACAAAGCGGAATTCATCAAAATACCGACGCACGCAACCGGCGGCTTCCAGACAATGCCCGTGGAGCCCCACAAGCGCCTCAAGGACGAGGAGATCCGCGTCGAGCTGTGCGATCCGGAGGACGTTGAGAAGATCGTAAGTCCTCGCGCTGGCCAGGCCCCCCTCGGCTTTGGAGATGCATTGAGTAACGCGTGCCCTAGGCGGAGGGTCTGTACGTCTGCTTCCCAGAGGTATGGTGGGCCAAGATGGAGCCTCCCGAGCTGCGGCCCCCCGAGGAAATCACGCGGCACAAGCGGCTCGCCAAACGGCTGGCCCCCTCGTTCAAGCTGCCCGGCATGAACTGGGTAAAGGCAGTGCTCGCGTCCACGGGCGAAATCATCGGCATCGCGGGCTGGGCGGGGCCTGGCGTGCCGCTGCAGAACATCTTCCGACGCAGCGCAGTCGAGTTCTACGGCTGGAAGGAGATGATGGGCTGGAGCGACGAGGAGGTGGAGGACATGTGGAAGGGGACGAGCATTGAGGCCTGGGATGGGCAATTGGGCAGGGACGACGGCCTCCGGAGGGAGTGCCTGGGTGACGAGCCGCATTGGTATCTGGCGCCGCTGTACACGTACCCGGAGTATCAGGGGAGGGGCGTGGGGAAGAAGCTGTTGGATTGGGCTACCAAGCAGGCTGATGCTACGGAGCCGCCGACGCCGCTGTATCTCGAGAGCGCACCGACGGCGAGAGCGGTGTATATGCACGTGGGGTTTGTGCCGCAGGGGACTAGCACCTTTTTGAGGAGGGGACCGGCAATCGTGAGAGGATTGGAGGCTGAGGAAGGGGAGGGGAAGGAGGAGGAGTCTAAGATGGAGAAGGTGAACGTCGATGTCGTGGCTAAGGAGACTGAGGAGGATCTTGCTCATGGATGAGATGAGCTGCGAGCAATGCGGGATGTGCCTACTACGGGGCGTTGAGGGAAGAGGTGGGCAACGAAGCGTATGCTTTTGGTTTCTGCATCTCTCTCCGGGAGCTCCTCAACTGCACGGAAAGGCGCATCGGAATGGAAAGGTAGAACTCTGTCTGATATTTAATGCATTGGCTCAATTCCACCCGGACTCCGGGTGCTTGGGTCGGGTGCGAGATGCACCTGCAGCGGGTCTATCCTTCCCCAAAGCGCTGTAGGACTCAGCGAACGAAAAAGAGAAAAGATACAGAAGAGGGACAGAAATATTCCCCTGTGATGGGAATGAAGGCATTTAAGTGCAATGGACGTTGGAGATGGTTGGCTAGTTGGTGTTGAGGGCCTGTGGGCGTCCACCTGGGCAGGCGGAGGCGATGGTCCAAGCAACCGCGGCTCCGCGCTAAGCGAGCCAGCGCATCGTCGCCGCCGACAACACCTCCACCACGCAGCGAGGGCCATGCAATCCAGCAAAGCAGTGGCAAAATCAAGCATCCCTAAATTCAATCCGCAGCCGCCAATCACGCCGCTCCGCTGTTTGTGTCTCACCAATGGCTTTTCTGTGACGAGTTGCCCCTGTGGCCGGTTCCCCAGCCTCCTCTACCAGCCTCATGCAGCTTCGGCCACCACCCATGGCTCGTACAAAACCGACCATGCAGCCCACCGGTCGCTCAACCATGCCATCATTCTGCATACCGACCCCCTTTTAGCGCCTGAGACAGCGACATGAGCGTGGAGCCGCCATTCCAGCTCAAGCATACTAACGGTGAGTGCCATCGACCCGTCTGCGGCCTCGTGTACTAACCGGCTGCCAGTCAGTCGCCCGCGCCTATCCCACTCGGACTCGCAGCAGAGCATCGCCGCCTCCCAGGCCGCGTCCGAGGGATACTACAGCCTCTCCGAGAACACGTCGAGCGAAAGTGATGCGCCGCACCCCCGATACCACACGCCGCCCTCACACCATCGCACGCCCGCGCAGAGTCATGAGCATTTGCACCACGACGCCGAAGCACCGGTAACATCGCTGAAGGGCGTTGGAGTGCCCCGGCAGCATCAGCAGCCGGCACAACCCACCTACACCAACGACCCCCCCCTATCGCCCTCCGTCTCCACCATCGTAGAGGAGAGGCCGGAGATACAGGAAGGGAAGAAGTCTCAGGCGCGCTCCGACATGGACTCGGACTCCCTCTCTACGACGCCCGGCATGGATTCAACACCATACATCCGCTTTGCCATCGACCAGCTCACGCGCGATGAGGAAGTGCGAGGGAGCCGCATGTACCCCGCTGTGGCTACTCCAGAGGAAGAGGAAGAGGATGAATACCCTGTCGACCGGATAGTGTCTGACGAGAGCCTTGGGTATATGGCACAAGAGCAGCAGACACAACGGAGACTATCCCGCTATATACCGCAAAAGCCAGCCAGACACACGTCAGGCCCTAGCGGAGACACGACAACAGAGCGACAGCACAGGACACCCTACCAGGCCGAAACGCCAACCCAACATGTACAGAAGGACGTATTTGTATCAACGGGTTCTCTCCCGCATGCGCCGCTCCACTTCCTCCCCGCAATCCTGCGCCCGCTCTGGCTGCTCCTCTTCATCCTCCTATGCGTGCTCATGCTCATTGCCCTCATCTTCTCCGCTGTGTACTCGAACAGGAACGGCGGAGTCGGGCTCTGGAACTACGCTTCTTTTGGAGATAACCGCTATTTCGTCTTCGAGTATCTGCCGACTATGCTCGGTGCGATAATATTCCTCTGGCTCCTCCAGGTGCAGATCGCGCTCCAACGGGTCATACCGTTTATCTCCATGGCCTCTGGATCGTACCACCAACGGTCCGAAGCCATATTCCTCCAATTATACCCCATGCAGTTTCTGCTACCCAAGCTGGAGTACTTCAGGGCCGGCCATCCGCGGGTCGGCCTTTGCTACCTTATCTTCTGGCTCTTCTCCTGGACGATACCCCTTCTTGCATCTTCTTTCAATGTCCGGTACGACGTCGGCATGCGCGTCTGGCGATGGGTGGCTGTTCAAGGCGTTATCTGGACGAACGTTGCGCTATATATACTCCTGATTCTGGCACTTCTTTTTCTTCTAATATTTCTGATCCGCAACGAAACAGGGCTCAAGTGGGACCCCCGGTCGTTAGCCGATATCATTACGCTCCTCGAACGCTCGAATATGCTGAAGGACTATAATGGCTCAGAGACTTTCGAGAAGAAGGATTGGGATTGTTTACGAGGCCGAGCGGACAAGATTGGGTACTGGAGGACGACGAAACGACCAAACGACGTCTTCTACGGCATTGGCGAAGAAGGTGCACCAACCAGGAGGTATTCCATTGAGGATGGCCGGATCAGGGAGAAAGGCCCCGAGCGCGCCTTTCCCGACCCGAGTACGACACAGGTAAGTGATTGCGTCGCTGGCGATGACTCTACCCCCTTTAACCTTGTGAAGCCAACTAGGCTAACGTATGCGCAGAACGCTCAGCGCACGGGCGACTTTTCGATCCGAATGGATATTCGCAGCCCGACTGTTCGCCTGAGGTATCTACCATGGTATCTGCGCGACACAATGGTGATTGCGTGGATCGTCATTGCGCTGGTCCTTCTCATCGCCTTTCTCGTGGTCAGCTTTGTCAACAGCGCCGTCCGCTCGGGTTTCTTACCTCAAGTCTTCGCCCGCACCAACTCCGCTGGCTTCTCTGCCTCGAACTTCCTGTACTCGTTCGTACCTGCCTTGATCGCCCACTTCCTGTTCCTCGTCGTCCTGACATTCGACTACTCCTTCCGCACCCTCCGACCCTACATCTCGCTAGCCTCTAAGGGAGGCGCGACCGCCGAAGCGTCCCTCCTGATTGATTATGCATGCCGCCTCCCTCTCTCCGTCACGCTATCAGCGCTGGATAACCAACACTACCAGACTGCGATTCTCTCCCTCGTCTCGCTCTGCTCGATCACCCTCCCAATCCTCGCGGGCGGCTGTTTCTGGACGCAGTACTACCCGAGCTCGGATGTCGTTAGGGTCGCCGCCGATCTACCGGGCTACTACGCGCTGTGCTTCTTCCTCGCGCTGTATGCTGTCAGTCTCTTCGTCTTGCTTCCTGGCCGGCATCGTGCAGCGCTTCCGCATCGCAGCACCACCCTCGCTGAGATCATCAGCTGGGTGTATCAGAGTCCAATCGTGACCGATCGAGCGTTCAATCGCCCGCAAACGAAGCCAGAGCTCGTTACGAGACTGATGGGATCTGCGTACCTTGAGCGTAGCTGGGCGCAGTCCCTCACTTCTCTTATCCCCCCCTCCCGCGATAATCTACGAGGCGATCAAGACGTCAACGAGAAGAAGCGCAGGCGAGGCAGGAAAGATGACGCCGAAGTACGGACCTCTGTGCTTGAGCCGGGGAAGATCAAGTACGGTTTCGGCATACACGTCGGCCGCGACGGCCTCGAGCATCTCGGTATCGATCGCGTGCGACGTGGTGGTGAGAGAAGCGGTCGAGAGCTTGTCATCTGGGAAGAGCAGAATCGCAAGAGTTGGATCGGCTCGTCCGCCTAAGACGAGATTCTCAGACCGGGATGAACGTGGTCTTACGATGGAAGATCCCGAGGAACATTTTCTTCGCCTTACATATTCAAGAGGAGACACAAATACTTCTCTATTCGGCGCATGAGCATGAGCATATGGGTTACGGTTTGCACGGTTTACGGTTTCATGGCATGGCACGGCATTTAGATTTCACGACTTCTTTCGACGCGGTAATACGAAGCGATGGCGTATTCGCGCGTCTACGAGCTCTGAAGAATGGCTCGTTGTACTTGTAATGTTCTCATATAGATGGAGGGACGACGGGATGCATATGGTCCCATGTAATTATGAGATGAGACAGAGATGAATACACGCCTTCGACGTACACACCTGGCACCCGTTCAAAGCACTCTCTTCGCTACTACATACTCCTGCTGCACCATGCTCTTACCTGGACCTGCCAAAGCCGCGCCGCTCACCGGTCACGCAGTCTTGGAATGATGCCTGTCTAACGCTCCCCTCCCCCCGATCGATCTGCGGACTCACTCATGGAGCCCCACACACACCACGGATGCAAATCAAATCAATTAATCTGTCACAGAAACTCCTAGCCCCCGGGGCAGCTGGCCCAAGGCCCCACGTGATGCGGCTCCCGCTCCTGTGCCCTCTCCGCGGAGCGGACAGTCTCTCATCCGAAACAAGCAAGCAAGTTCTCGGCCCGACGCTCTCGTGTCGCCAGTCGCCGCCGGCGCCGTTCGGGGACCCTGACTGCCATGACGACATGGCGCGGATCGTTGCGGCCGAAGAAGCAAGCAGGCAGGCACGCGGCAAGAGCTGGTGCCTAGACCAAGGCTGGGCATCTTCGCAATGGGGCGCTTTGTGCTACCCTGGTAGATAGGTAGGTTATGAGATGTGGGACGTGGGTTGCATACGTGCGGCCCGGCCTGAGAGCATGCCGCGGCGCCTGGCTTCGGCGAGTGAGCGTGCCGCCCGGGGGAGGATCAACTTGTTCTGGACGGCCGGCGTGCCGTGCTGCGTTGCGTTGCGTTGCATGCAGTAAGTAAGTAATCAAGCGTAGGCATGGATGTTCGGAAATCTGGGGGTTTGGCTGCACGGCACGGAGGGCGAGCGAGGAGAGGGACCGGAGCACTAGAGCAATGTCGAAGGACGGTGCGTGCGGGCGTGGTCCTACCTGCGTCGGTGGGGAAGGGAGATACGTAGGTCGGTAATGTAGGGGGGCAGGTGCAGGTTTCACACCGATCGGGCCGGGACCGGGAGGCGTGGGAATTGCAGGTAGGTAGGTCGGGCATGGGTTGGTGGTAAGGTATGGATTAGGGAGTGATAGGCCAGGCGCAGGGGTGGGAATAGAGGAGGAGGTATGCTCGGAATACGAAGTCGGTGATGATGGGAAAGAGAATGCGATGGTGGACGGATCGGGACGTACGCGGGGGCTATGGTGCATCGCCGAGCCGAAGAGGGGAAAAGAAAGGATGAGGGGGTGTTGAGGGATCGGGATGATGCTGTTCTGTTTGGGAATACGAGGGCTGGATAGGTCGAACTGTGGACTAGATAGTAGAGGAGCTTTTAGATTGTTCGTACAAAGCCAGTCATGGGAGGAAAGCTTTTCGTCATGTACTGCACTGGGTCAGGTGTCTTTCCTTCACAGATCGCACGTCTATCTCCAAGTGCTGCAAAGCTGCCCGAGCAGCTGCGATTGGTACTCCACGATCATCCAAGCATGTCTCGGCGTCTAAGTAGCAAACCAGGTACATCACTGCAGTCCCCTCGTGACACCAACTGCATGCACAAGCGCGCCAGACGCATATATACGAGGTCGCATGTTTCAAGAGGCCATTCATTCGAGCTCCACTGATTCTTGATTCGATGCGCCTGAGTAGGGGAAAAGTCGAACCGATGATAATGCTATTGGTGGACTTTGGTGGTACGATGGCTCTCCGCCTTTGAGGTTTCGGATGTGGGCATAGTACCCGGGGCCCGTAGTCGGGGGAAAGGGCTAGAAGTATGAGGTGCAACTTGATTGAGGTGGAAAGATGGTCGCCGTTCAGGCGGCCGCATGCGCACGGGTTGCTTCGTCGAAGGGGGAAGGACGCAGTATTGGATGCCGTCTTCACTGCGCACCGCTCTCTGTCCGCTCCGGCTCGGCTTCCTCCCAGACGCATCTTGGACAGACACAGACTCCACCGAGCGCACCAACGGCCCACTCCCGCCGCTCCTTTACCGGAAGCCGCACATCGCAGTAGTGGCTTAGAACCTCCTCTCCCTTCATCAATCCGGCCTTCTTACTCGGATCTCTTCCCTTCCACTCGACGAGCTTCTCTCGCGTCCAGAAGCACATCCTTCCCTGCCACTCCCATGCTACGTTTGGATCACAGCTGTGGTTCGTTAGACACCACATCGGATGGACGGCCCCAGTTTCAGGGCGGCCGTCGAGGCCTTGTCGCGCGGATGCGGTACCTCGAAATTTCGCGTAAAGAGTGTTGAAGATCCAAGTGTCGTATCGATGGCTCTGCTCGAAGATGTTGACGTCCATTTTCTCCAGAAAGTGGAGCGGCGTTAGGATGTTGGCGTCGAAAGAGAAGGGAAGGGTCTGCGGGACGGAGCCAAAGGCCACATCAGCCGTCCATGTCTTATCCAAGTTGCGGCCATGATAGGCGCCCCAGATATAGCGGACTTCCTTCAGCTCGAGTGGATGAAGCCCCTGTGTCTCTGCTAAGGCCATGGCGCGTACGAGGAGTAGAGCATATAAAGAATCGGCAGCTTCGCTTACGGGAATCTTCTGATCGGTGGAAACACCGCAAAGAGATGGGTGGTAGTTTTCTTGAGCCAGGTCATGGCATTCTTGACTGCAGAAGAAGACCTCGTGGCAGTCTTCGCACGCTATTATGGCATGTTCTGCGCCCATTTCCGCTGTGGCGACCGTTGCGTTTGGTAGCGATGCGCTACAGGCATCGCAATAGAACTCGTGCAGCCTCGAGACTGCGGTCAGGAGGGACTTCTCCTGGAGGATCTGTTCGCCAGGCGGAATGTCCTCCTTGGCAAATACTCCAAGCTGTTTTACATAGCGCTCTTCCGGTGCGGAAAGGGATGGATTGCTATATTGAAGGCGGTGAGCGAGGGCACAAGAGGGGCCGAATCCAAGACCGACTAGGAAAGAAAAGCGTCGCATGAATTACTTACCTTGATGCCGCCGCATCCGTAAGCAACGGGAGGTCGGCGACTTTGACTTCAAGTTTTGGAGCAATGCTCGCCATCTCCCCATTCAGGAACGAGAGAACATCTGGCGCGAATCTGTCGGGCTCGTACTCATTCCAAGGGTACAGCTCCCGGCGTACGCGACCTTTATCCGGATAGTCTTGTTTGTCGATGCTATCGAAGCTTCCTCCCTTAGACCCAAAATGTGAGCGCAGTTTGGACAGCAGAGCTTCTTGATAGCCTTGGAAAGATGCCATTCCCGGAAATGCTTTCACTGCTCGAGAGTTGTAATAGAATGCGCTTCGGAGGCAGCCGCATTGTATCAGACACGGAACAAGAATGTCATATCTACCCCATGTTAGCCACTGCACCGAAATAATACCAGCGGGAAGACGTACGCTGTTTTTGACCAGCACGTGTTCGCCCAGATGATGGCTCCGTCCTCGTCTTGTGCTTCCCCCCCTGTCGGCCGCTTGGCACAGCAGCAGTCTCCATGACCCGAAACATATCTCAGATGGGTAGTAGCACACGCGGTGAGATCAACTCGTGCTGCCTCTAACGCCTCGTCGTGATATTCTCCCGCTTCGGACACTTCGACGACCAGAAGCAGGGCTTTGTAAGCATCTCCGACTGCGAGATCGGGGTACCCAAGATTCTGATATGCCTTTCCAAGCCTGAGCCGATGCAAAATGCTGTAGGGCTGGTTAGGTGTAAGCTTTTGAAGCTCGAAGAGCTGGTCGAGCCTTCTTTGGAGGTCCAGATTTCGCGCGGTCTGCGTGTGATGAGACGTCGGTCTGCCGCAGGGAACGGATACATCACCATACCTCCATCAAACTGCAGCAACTTTCGTCTGGTGCTGCAGCTTCTCTGTATAGTATGCTCAAGGAAGAATGGTTCAGGATGATGGCGGGTGCTTGAAATTTTTAGCTTTATCGATAGCCTTATCGATAAGGCGACAGTCACGTGAGCTGAATGTCCGCTTGCGATTGGCCAGTTTTCATGACGAGAAATTCACGTGACTCATTGACTCTTGACACCCCTGTTGCACAAGCTCGCCTTGCTTGATCGGCGCGATACAACGAACACATTTCACAATACTCTTTTAATAGAACAGCAGTGCAGTCTTCATGCTTCCTTCAGCGGCAGAGCTTGTCGCACGTTTCCTGAAAACCAACGGATATGACGAGGTACAGCCACGTCATCAAACACGCACGCCTCTTATATCGACGAGCTCACACGTCTACAGACATTAGCCACTTTCATCAAGGAGGCCGGTCTGCCTCCGGAGGTTGGTGCCACTTCGAGTCATGTCACTATAGAGCAAATACTGCATGAAAAGAAGACTTTTGATCTCAGTCTTAATTTCGAAAAACTGGGCGTCGATGATAGGAAGCGCGGATGGCGCAAGCCGGGTTTGGCCCCCGGTGTCAAATACTTTCTTGTAACAAGCTGATTATTTGTAGCCCCTAAAGAGCCGACGGTTCTGAGCACGCTGCCCACGCGGTCCAACATTCTTAGCGTTGCCCTGCTAGACTTGATCCTCCCGACGAACCCCGGCCCGAAGCCATACTTTGCGGTGACGACGGCGGACCGGCGGCTCCATTTGATCGATCCCAGTACGCCATCGTTCCCGGTGGCTCATTCGTATTCTAGCTTTCAAGATTCGCCCATTCTAGATCTCTTGGTCATCCATCACAAGTACTTGCTGGCTGCTTCCATGTCCGGAACTCTGCTACTCTACCATACGGAGTCTGACCGAATCTTGGAAAAAAGAAAGGACCACTCCAAGTACATCGTCAAGCTATCCACTTGGTCCGATGGCACCTCCACCGTCATCGCTAGCGCCGGTTGGGATTCCAAAGTCAATCTCTATCGTCTAATCCTCGACGACGGTCCTGACCCTAAACTTGGGGAGCCTTTCGCGGCGATGACGCTACCGAGCATCCCGGAGACGCTACTATTCGTTCGATCCCCCGACACCTCACGGCCGGTTCTGCTCCTCACTCGACGAGATTCCGCCTTTCTTTACTACTACGCAGTGCCCTCGCCGACAGTAGAGTCTACGGAAATCACGCTCCTCGGAAGGCAGAATTTAGCACCGCATTCCAATGCGTGGGTAGCCTTCACGCCATCAGATGTCCAGGTTTCCCCTGTGGATGATTTGCTGGCTGCTGTGGCAACCTCATCCATACCACATATGAAGCTCCTAATTGTGAGGCTTCTCATACCTCCTGAACAGGTTTCTAGTGATATCACGGACCCTGGCCTAGACCCCGAGCCTGCTACGCAAGCCTCACAAGCTCGCGCCGAGCTCTTGGTTCATGACCGCGAAGAAGCAGCAATTACTGTCAATATCAATACTATGGCCCCGCAGACCGCATACTCGACACCACGGCTCGTTTGGCGGCCGGATGGTTCCGGAGTCTACGTAAGCTCGGATGACGGTATCGTGCGAGGCTTCGAAGCGAGTACCGGAAAAGTTGTTACGGCCTTAGAAGCCCATGAGCCCGGATCGAAGCTCCGATGCCTCTGGGCTGGGAGTGTCAAAGTAGGATCCAGTAGCGACTCAGATGGTGCTCGTGAAAACGAGTATCTCCTCAGCGGTGGATTTGATCAGAGGTTGATTCTGTGGAGTTCCCATGAGTAGCATTCGACTCTCAGTCGATTGTTGCCTGTATAGCTGAGAGGTGTGCGCCACACCTCGCTTGGCTATCGTCACGTGCGACTTGCCCAATTGTCGGCGACGTCCTGACTGAAGAGGACGAACAGGTTTACTTAATCCGAAAGCGTTATGGAACGCATCTTGGCTGCCTCCGTGGCGGTCGCGTTGCCGCCCTTGAGATGTTAGCGCTTCGCTCTGCATCTCTAGTCTCGGTGTCGATTTCAGCCACTGTTAAACCCGTCACCTCGCCGATCTTCGTTGGCGCGGGAACAGAGGTGCCCGCTGCGCATCGTCCGCTGCCGGATGGCCTAAAGTTGATGCTCCCAAGCACGAGGCTAATATGATACCTGCTTAATTGCCAACTCACGCATTACATCACCTACCAACTCGGGCAGAAAACCGAATATCTCGTTCGCGCCGTAGAAATGGCTTTGGGAGACAGCTCCGTCATTGGATCGATGCGGTCGGGTGTTATTCCGCAAAGCCTCCACGATCTCGCGGTGGCCTGTACTACCCAAAATCTGGGACAGATCTAAGCGAATAGTCTTAGATCCTGCACGTGTCGAAGCCACTATGCACGACATCCACCTGGATACACGGCTGGCCGGTAACGCTTCATTAGTACCCGACTAATGTCCTGCCCATTTCTTTTGGGGCCCACAACATCCCGCATCCCACTTTAGATACTCTAGCTACCGAATTACTGGATTTCTTCCAACCATAGCCCAGGTTTCTACGATGTACCTGGACCGCAACAGCCACACTGGCTCGGGCGGTGGGGGGAACCGGAATGCTTCCCTAGTGCGGATGTTGGTCTACAGGGGAGTTGTTAACGCACCCCCCGATAGTATAATATCGCACACCCCCGGTAACGAGATTCAGCCAATCTATCACCCGGCCTCCGCTAAAGCCCACTTATCAATGCTTTGGCCGCCCGCTCCGAAAATCTTAATTTTCTTCTTTTTTGAAGGTACTTCTGGACATATTTTTATAAGAAAACATCTCAAGAAATTAGCACCGATCGAAAGGTCGCCTTCGAAATATTCAAGAAATGTCTTCGTAAATATAAGTTTCTTCTTGAAATTGATGACTTTTGATGGTTGAAGTGGGTGAACTTGCTGGGGTGCGATATTCTACTATCGAAGATTGTTTTATCTTTTGAGTTACCGATGTTGGTGCACCGGCCGCCTAGCTCGGTGACTCAAAAAATACGGCAATCTTCGTACAGTCACCCTACTCCGGTTGCTAGCGCGGTGTGGCTTTTGGGGCTAGCACGCCCCAACTCCCGGACTTTTACAATATTCTCGCTACACCGCGCTAGCAATCCAAGCAGAGGAGGGGGTGTGGGGGAAGGGGGGAGAACAGTATTCGGTTTGAGATCCGTGGATGCACGGGAGTCACCGCGGAGCCTGTCTTCAACAAGCCATGTGTAGAGAAGCAACTCCCATTCTACAGTCAACATCCAAGCTCGGACTGCTAGCGCGGCGTAGTGAGCCTCTTGTAAAAGACCAGGAGCTGGGACGGGCCAGCGTTAAAAGTAACACCGCGCTAGAATGCTGAACTCGATGACTGTAAAGCTTCGTCTCGGGGGGGCGGACTCCAAAATGAAGATATAAATACCGCCTGCTGCTACCTATCTCCTCCTCAACACACTCTTCTTCGCGCTCTTGGAGCATTTAGAGTATATCACTATCTTCCCAGACCCCCCATCATCTCCGTAGGTTCTCCTTCGTCACACCCGTACCAGAGCTACTCTTTTCTACACGCTTTCCTCACCCAGAAGTTCTACGACAGATATACCCGTTTCGAATCTCGCTTTACATTCTCGATTCGATCTCAACATGTCGGAATCCGCACCGACAAAAGGGTGGGCCGGGGACTATCTGCTCATCGCATCCGGACAAACCAGCAATGCACCCTACCTAGCTGATTGGAGAAAGTTCAAGGATCACATGCGCAACTATGTCAAAGAGCAGCCCGGCTGGGTTGAAGTCTACCCCGGCCGGAATCGAGGGGTAAAGGAGTCATGGTCCAGGTTGAAAGACCAAGGTGACGCCGAGTCGGCCTGGAGTATGGAAATCGCCTTTTGGCATGTGTGACGGTCGTGCTGATCTTGCATGCAGATGTGTATTCCGCGGCAAATGGCATATTGGTCCATCTCTTTCAGACAAGCTTGACCACCCGAGACTACGAGCTGCTGAAATGCAACTGCTCCCGGCACTTTCGCGGTGTCAGTGACCAGGCGCACTCGGCGAAATCGGGGCTCGACATCCACAAGATCAATCAGGCCTTCGGTAGAAATTGTGCCTTTTCGGCGCCGCAGAACGTGCAAGCTCAGGCCCCGAACCCCTACGCAAGTTACCACCAAACCGCCAACTACGTAGCGCCCACTCCTGAGTACTACTACCAAACCGCCACCTACACGGCCAATCCTGCGTCCTCCTACCAAGCCGCCCCCCACGCGACCACTTCTGGGTACTTCTACCCGCCCGGCACCGACGCGACCACTCTTGCGCAGTCCTACCAAGCTCCGCCGGCCGCGCCCCCGCAGGTGGCAGCTTACTCGCAGAACGCAGGCGGCCTCCCAGTGAACCTCGGCGGCGGCGCTATGATCACTGAGAGTCGTGGCGTCTTCATTTCGGGACTTAACTACAAAGCTGGGCATACTGAACTGGGTCAGCTGTTCGCAAGCAGGGGCCTGCGGCCAGACGAGGCAAAAGTACACAAGGACGCGAAAGGGAAGTCCAAGGGCTGGGCAACTGCAATTTTCAAGACACCGGAGCTTGCTCGGACGGCCGTGGTCGCCCTCCACGACACAGAGCACATGGGGATGAAGCTTTTTGCCCGCCTAGACGCTGACGCGACCGTCATCGCGCAGATTGGCCCTCTAATCGTGGACGGTTCGAAATCGTCTGGGGTATGTACCCGGGAATCCCAGCATCGTGGTATCGCTAATGGGACGTAGTAGTAAAGAAAGCGCGCCGGATCTGGGGCGCTTGTGTTGCTAGCAGCACGTGTTGTCCTCGACGATGCAGGTGGGCTTGGGCTTAGGCCAGCTGTCGCACGCACAAGGCACCTCTGCAGATCCTGCATGCAGCTGCCCTGTCGGTCCGCGCCGTCGGGTCGTGGGGCTTCCTCTTGGCCTTCTCGTCATATCTTGTTTCTCGACCACTTCAGCTTCAATATGGGGTCTGAAAGTCAGCGTTTCTTTCCATTGCCTTTGGAGGAACCAACAGAGGATGATCATGCGGCTTTTCCAGGAGTTTTGCTCTCTTGCTGCTTCGTCGCCGTAATGGAGGGTGGAAAGGTGTTGGAGGCGACAGGGGTTACTAGTGTTTTGGCGTTTTGGCGTTTTGCTTTTGTATGCAAGAAACAGCTCCTTACTGCAACCACAGTCCCAACGTTGCGTTGACGTGATACAAAAGTCGGAAAACACTTGGCGAAGCCGCGGGCTTTCCGGGCTAGGCGTTCCGCTTCCCCGATTCGCTATCCGACGCTTTTGCCGCTTCGCGCCCAGAAAACGAAAAGGAGGGCCGGTTTGACCGCCACTCACGATATGCCATCACAACGTGAATTCTGATTTCATAGCTTCCAGGAGTGCTTTTGACGCCATGCGCACGTGCGCTGCCACGGGGTCCAGAACCCTCGCAACACCCGTGAAGTCCTTGGATCATCTGAATCGCCTACTCACCGGTTGCATGCGGACCTGCCTGCTGGGAGACGTATTCGCCAAATCAAAGCTGTCTGGTGCTAATTCGGACTTCTTCGGTTTTCACCCGCGTCTAATCCTTGGAGAAGCGATCGTAGGGGATCTCAGACAGCGCTTGCTCGCCTTGAATATTATGCGATATTAAGGCTGCGGAGGCGTGTTACTGGTGGCAGCTGGCCAAGAAAAGATGCACATGCTATAATGGAATTGGCAGTCAGCTCGGGATTGGCTACGCTCACACCGACCATAATGCCTTGTATGCATCTGAGAGGCACAGCACAGCAGAGCAGAATATCCCTACGCAAGATAGCCATTCACGTACCTTGTAGAAGAAAAACTAGGATGTCAGCTCCTGGGCGATCGAGGAACAGGGACCGGGATGGTGGTGTCATTCATCACAGGTTGCACAGCAGCTTCACCGACTCTGGGGCGAGGCTTCGCCGCCAATGTATTCGCTCAACGGGCAACAGAGAGAACAGAGAACCGCGGGGTCATGGAAAGCCGCAGGTGCATTTTCCGATGGGTGAAGACTTGCAGCATCATCGGTTCCACGGCTCTCCAACCCAAGTGGCCGTTTGTGGTGTAAAATAAGGCAATTTGCGCGAGAGACCAGAGTGCTGTGCCCACAGGCAGGGGGTGGTTCGGAAGGACCAAAAGTGATGCGAATTGGGGTTGATGTCATTGGTTCTGGGACAAGTGAGGCGTCTGGATTCGTTGCTGATTTGCTGAGTGGTTCCAGCCGCTGTCTACGGCGGTCTGGGGAGCCTCTCGATCTCGAGGGTCGGTGACGAGCATCGAGAATCTGATCGTATGCTGAGTATCGTAGACTGTGAATGAGGCGGTCACGGAAGTGACTTCATGGATTCCTCCTGACTGTGGACACTTCTTCTTGTCAACATCTTCTCGTAGCTCTTAGACATTCCAGTCGACTTACAGCAAGTCGTGGTAAGGCGAAGAAACGATTGCAGTTCCACAGCTAACGATCTCTTGGCTGCATTCTAGAGTCTCGACCGCGAAGTTCAAGAAGGGCCGAATACCTAAGAAAGTTCCGCTGGTGCGTGTTGTGCGTTAACTGCGAAGCTTAAATCGACGTCGTCGGCGGGAGCGAAGAGGAAGAGGAGTTACTGTGCAATAGAAGACACTGCGGGGTTTGATGAAGAATTTATACTTCTTCACAAGAGAAACACCAGATCGGGCCGACCATCATTTGCAACAACACGACGACTGTTGTGTTCGACGACGAAAACCTCCGACTGGGTCGGCAAGCCGAAATGCGCAGCTCTGCGTCGACCGATCGCCGATTTCATGGCTGAGCCAGTTTGCTCTCGAGAGCCACAATCGCACGAGAGACTTCGATCCCATTCACGGTATTCCAGCGATGCGGTAACAAATCAGCATGGCACTGATGATGTTGCGATGACGGCTCAGACCTAGGTATGGTGCGCGCAACACGGCACGCTCGTGGCTCACTCCCAGAGAGCCACACCGACATGACCGACGCCGGGCACAACCACAAAGGCTATCCCAAGGATATGGTAGCAAATCGCCTCTGTATTGCAGCATGTCGCAATGACTCGCATAGCCCACGGGAAGCTGCATGGTGGACTCGGGCGCCAACAGCCCGAGAGCCACAAGGGCACGAGGGTCCTCCACAACATCCCAGCGAGGATTGCCGCGATATCCATGACATGGCGCGATCTCGCATGAAGCGTGCGATACGGCACGCTGGGATGTCACGCATTAGAGAGGGAATGTCATCCCAACGCACGACACCGTCCACGGATAACCGCGTAACCGCGTTTGCTTCGAGGGTTGATCCGGGCTCCACGTAGAGGAGGAGCCGTTGTGGTGGGTGAACTTGCGTTCGCAGGACAATGCGAAAATTGTCGTATTTTTGAGTCACCGAACTGGGTGGCCGGTGCACCAACATCGGTGACTCAAAAGACACGACAATCTTCGTAGCAGAGATACTCTTCACTTTCGAGGACCGTCCAAGCGTTCGACTCGATCATGTGATGCCAAGGCTCACTGACGTCAATCAATTCTACCGCTGCTATAGGACCTAGTTAATTTCATTCTCAATTACGATCGCACAACCATTGCTTCCACCCAACTACGAACAACACCTGCGTGGGTAGCTGTAGCCTTGCCAATAGCCCCCGTATCCGCATACCGTCCAAGCGAGTCCTCAAAGAGCCATACTATGTCAGAACCTAACTTCGAAGCCTTTGAGCAACAGCATGTGTTTACTTCTCAAGAATCTACCCAGCAGTAACTGCTTAAATACGTCAATCTCGAATCAAATGAAGCAGCAGAGACCTACTTCCGCAACTACTACCGCTGGCTATACAAGTACCGGGCAAAAATAGACATCAACCTCCTTCTCCAGCAGGATTGGAATCGCAACTCTGAGAGAAAAATGAGACAAGCGCTCCACGCTTTTCCTTACATCCTTGAATGGAAGTTAGGAACTGTAAGTGGGCACGAAACGCAGCTCGACGTGCAGCCAGTCTTCGAAACCCCATACTATGTACCGAAAGGCGCGTTACTCGGAGAGCAGTTCAATCTTAAGCTGGCTTATGGCCCAGTTCTTTACACGAATTATTCTCTACAGATACCAGAAGCTGCGGTGAAGAGCTCCACGCTTCCACATCCAACAATCAAAGCCACGGACTCGGACGCGGACTCGGGCCCCTCGCTCGCCGTGAAATATCTCGACAAATCAAGAGCCACACGTAGCGGCTCCTTGCCTACCTGCCACCTTGTCAAGATTCATCACAAAAATAATCCATCTTGGTGCCATCGAGACCACTTACTTTCCCAACTTCGCTAATGGTGCTGCTGTCGAGACGACAACACCCTATGCCGCAGTCGCTACAATTCACCCAGCGGGGGCGGTTGAAGGTATCTTCGCTATTCCTGTACATGGAACGCGCAAAGGAGGTTTGATATACGAGGACCAGGATATTGAAGCATGGGAGCCGGACAAGAGGGGCATATACTACCTTGGAAAGGACTTGGATGACTGCGAGCGGCGGGAGTGGACTTTCCTCGGCGAGATCGAAGTGGTTGAGGTCATCAGCTACGAAGAAGAGGACTAATCGAGGTTGGTCAGGATTGGGTAAGCTTTTGCAAGACTCTTTTCATTTGATCGAATGCTAACAGATGTAGCATAACCTCTCCCAGGAGGGTTTGGGAGTCTCAAACCCTCTGAAGACCGCTTTCCAGGTGGCTATATCAGCAATTCCTTATTCCTCGTTGTTGAGCCTCTTGACTCTTCCTACTGGGGACCGGCGAGGAAAGTCCCCAATGATTGAGGTTGCAACCTCTCCACAGGAACAGCTCCTCCTATCTTTCTCCCACAACTTGCCCCAGACATCTATGTTACCAAGCACGTGATCGGGAGGAAATCGGAATCGAGTAGTGCATGCTTGACAAGCCTTCCAATGATTATAATTACCACCCCAAGACTCTACCTCCGCTAGAATTGTCAAAGATTAGGACTTGCTACCCCTCTCTTCTTCCCGCCACCCTTCTCCCTCTCCTACACCCCTTCCCCATATCCCCACTCCTCCTACACTCTGTATCCATCCTTCTATTCCTCTGCCTCTCTACACCCCTCTCCTCTTCTCCCCATCTCAGGCAATCTCCACGCTTTCACGCCACCCCATCCCGTTCCATCCCCCCCAATCCATCCCCATTCCAACCTACCTCATGTGAGCGCGCAACGATTTGATGACCGACTGACTGGCCCACTGTAGACTATCGCATCCGAACGATGTGGCAGCAATGTCCCTTCGCAGAGACGGGGAAAGCGAGTCAGTAGGGAATTTACAAGATGGGCTCGAGAGGATGATAGGTGGGGCAGCGACGAAGGTGATGTTGTGCTGTGCTTCGTGTACAGGACCGAGAATATGTGACGTGGAGGAGACCGCATACCATCATCGACACCGAGCGGCACAGGCATGAAAAGGAGAATGATAAGAAAGGCCTCAAGCAAGAGGCTCGAGTGCAGCAGCAGCGCAGAGCCGCCCCGGCAGCAGGGGGAGGGGCGTGGTGAAAGGGTCATCCCCCGGCCGGGGAAACTTCGGCTGCGGGGCGCAAGGCCTCGACTTCCAGGCACAGAGGGGTTGACGCCGGGGTATGTTGACTGCCACCTGGGCATGCTGCATCGTGGAAGAGCCTGAGGCTCAGAAGGGGTGGTCCCACTGGCAATGAAGAGAAGCGCACCGGAGAAAGAGGTCAGTTGGGATGGAAAGAGGGTCGAAAACGTCTTGGCTAAGTATTGCATTTCGGCTAGCCCCATTTGGGCTAGCGCGTTCTCCGCAATCTGTGAGCTCTGCTCGGTGTTTCCCTCTTCACTCCTGGCACCCCCAGCATCATGGTGCGATTGACGCCCACGCGCCTGCTGTGCGCGGCAATCCTTTTGTGCACCTTTTTACTGTTTTCATTTATATCGAACCTCTTCTTCGGCCAGCGCGGCTACGAGATCCTGCTCGAGCGCCCCCGACCCGCGCGATCCCGAACTTCGCCCGCCGACGTCCCCTATGGCGAAGAATGCTCCCCCTTCAAAGCCGGCGTCATGGACGATGTCACCATCGTGCTGAAGATGGGCGCCGGCGAGCTGGCCACACAGCTGCCCAGATTCCTCAACCGGCTGGGCCGCTGCAAGCAGGATCTCCTGTTCTTCTCCGATCGCAAAGCCGAATACAGCGGCTTCGACATTGTAGACGCGCTCGCGAACCTCCGCCCAGAATACAGATACAACAACCCCGACTTCGACATATATGACAGGATACAGGCGGCAAATAGCACCGAAGAGAAGACGCGCGACGGGTGGCGATTGGACAAGTACAAGTTCCTGCCCATGATGGAGCTGACCTCCCACCTGCGCCCGGACTCGAACTGGTTTGTCTTCGTTGAGACCGATACCTACGTCAATTGGGACAACATGTACCGCTTCTTGACGCATTTCAATCCGAAGACGCCGTATTACTTTGGATCTCCAGTCTGGCCTCCGAAGAAGCCCGTCTTTGCCCACGGCGGCAGCGGCTTCGTGCTTTCGCGGGGTGCTCTGAATAAGTTAATGGCGCGCGGCCGCATGTTCGCTGAGAACCACCACTTTCCCGGCACGCACCTATACGGCAAAGACGTGACGAAAGAATGCTGCGGCGACGAGGTTTTAGGGAACGTGCTGAAGGAGAGCGGCGTCCCGATTCGCGGGTACTGGCCCATGTTTAACGGCGAGAAACCCATCACTGCGCGCTTCGGCTGGGAACAATGGTGCGAGGCAATCCTCACGCTTCATCATCTGCAGGGCGAAGACTTTGCGGCCCTCGAACGCTGGGAATCGGCGCGACAGCATCCCTCCCGTCCCCTTACCTTCGAAGAGCTCTTTACGTATATCGAGCCCACTCTACAAGACCAAACCGACGACTGGTCCAACATGTCAGAAGACATCACCCATGGCAGTGGGCATCCAGCCGGCAAGTCGTTTGATACCTGTTTCGCAGCCTGCTTGAGAGATAGCAAGTGCCTACAGTACGAGCATTTTGGGGATACTTGTCGTCTATCGCACGACATACGGCTCGGGCACCATCAGTCGCCCGATGGTGACAAGAAATGGACATCTGGCTGGGTCACGGCTAGAATAAAGGCTTTCAAAGCCGCGCATTCGCCGTGTCACGGAGCTCACCTTGTGCACGCTAATCCGTAACCGATCGACTCCTTCGAGACACGAGACGACGACACGAGAGACTTCTGTACGATTTACGGCATTGAATGGCGTTTGATACCCGACAGCATCGCTGCGTTATATACCCTGGGCGGCATGCGGTCACAATTTGGGCATTGGTTGCATGGAACGGCGTTTGGGTCGGTTTGTGAGAAGGTATTCTCTGCTGCGCTGCCTCGTTCATATTTCGCTTTGCGGCAGTGTTGAGAACTCGTCTTGTACTCGTTGTAATTATGTTAACCTAGGCTAACTTAGTGCCTGCATATAAGGTGATTTGAGAACATCCCCTCTTAGAGGTTCGATCAACCATTCTGTTATTCAGCATTTGAGGTCTATCCAGTTGGTCTAGAGTTGACGCTTTCTTCATCCACTGGCTCTCAACTTCCTTATCAGAGTTTAGCTCTCCTGTCCCCACGGTCCAGCGAGGTCAGGCCACTCCTCTTATCCTTCAACTGTTTCCTCAGTATCTTCCCCGTGGGATTCTTAGGTAAGCTCTTTACCTCCCAGACACCGCCCCTCAATTTCTTATACCCGCTGACTTTGTCATCCACCTCAGCATGTATCTGCCGGAGCGCTTGCTTTCTATCCATCTCGTTCACCAAGTGCTCCTTCAATATCACATACGCCGTCGGTAGCTCAGTCAATTGGCTCTCGTCGAAGACCGGACCGACACCTCCTTCGATAACGTGCGGATGCGAGTTCAGGTACGTCTCGAGCTCGGCAGGGCTCACTTGGAAGCCCTTGTATTTTATGAGTTCCTTGGTTCTTCCGACGACCGCGATCACTCCCGTCTTGGAGATGGTGCAGACGTCGCCGGTGTTGTACCAGCCTGAGACGGGGAAGGCAGATTTGTTGGCGTCGTGGTTGAAGGCGTAGCCGCGTGTTATGTTTGGTCCTCGGAGCCACATTTCTCCTGGTCCACCTTCTGGCGCATCGTCTTTTCCATCGTTCACTCGTAGCGCGATCTCGATGTTTGGCAATAGCGGACCGACTACATTGTCGGGTTGTGCGTCGCCTTTCCGCTGATATGCAATGTATCCAGCACCTTCCGTCATGCCATACACTTGGTTCACTCGCCACGGCGCTTTACTCATCAGCCTGTCGAACATGTCCTTCTTGAACGGTGGACCCCCGCAGTCTATCTTCTCGGCCTTCGAAAAGTCATATCGATGTGTAATATCGGTATTGGCAAAGCTAATGACCACGCTCGGTACGCCTTGGAAGATGGTGGGCTTCACGCTATCGACCAATTTCGCGAAAGCTTCGAGCTCAAACTGGGGCATCGCATGATGCCATATTCCCATGTATGGTCCGAAGAAGAGGGGAAATGTAGTATTGCCGATATGCGCAAAGGGCGTGAAAGCCACGATTCTGCTACCACGATGGAACTGTGCCGAATCGTGAGCTTCGAGCTGCTTTACGTTCGACACGAAGTTGTACTGGGTCAGCTCCACGCCTTTCGGTTTTCCTGTGGTTCCCGAAGACAGATGGATTGTTGCCAGTCGTAGCCTCGTGTCGGCATACTCTGAGATGTGAAGCGTTCCTCTGAACGAGGAAAAGTCGTCCGGAATGTGATGATAGGATCTGGAGGACCCTCGCTCAATAATCGTTATTATCGTCGGTGCTCTCCAGCTCACGCCCTGCGCTTTCAAATCTTTCTCTGCTATTGCGATAGCTTCCTCGACCTTCGGCACGGCTGGACCATACACAACGGCGAAAGCCGGTCGTGTCACCGTAAAGCCGTGCGCTATTTCGGCCACTACGATTGCATGGTTTATTGGACATACAACGCCTCCCATCCACAACACAGCGTGCACAATCTCCACATAATCGCAAGAGTTGGGTAGAATAACTGCCCAGTGTGACTGGTCCCGTGGCCGATAGGTCTTAGACAGCCCGTTCGCTATCCGTCCGGCATTCGTTCGTAGCTCTTGCAAAGTAAGCGAGCGGTGCGTGAGAGAGTCGCTAGCGATGAGGTGCGAAGGTGGAAGAGGCGGTGTTGTCGAGGTATGAAGGAGCTGGGTTAGGGAGAGGTCTGTTGGGATATTGATTTGTTTGGGGGATTTGTAGGTCTTCATTGCGAAGAGATGGGGGTAGAAGAGCTGGTATCGCTGTGTGTCTGCTCAGCAACCTCGAAAGAGAAGCTCTGCTTCAACAACACAGCCAGAGAGGCAACTGGAGAAAAGGCAGTGCGCTCAAGAGCTGTGTCATGTCGCTCAGGCACGCAGCGACACCTTACTCATGCTGCGCAACCATGCTCGAGGCGAACCGTGAGCTCACGTCTCGACTCTGCAAAACATTTTCCGCCCTGCTCTCGCGAGAAGAAAAACAGGTCGACAATTTTTTTGAGCTCCGAACCCCGCAGTTAAGACCGTGGTTTATGCAGGTAGGATCGCGCTAATGATTCATGGAGGAGCGACCACTGACAGTTCCCAACCCCAAACTCCCGAATGAACCGACTCCGCAGCTGCTCTCCCGGCTATTCCGCAATACGTTCCTTAGCGAATAGCTGTAAATTTTACGACTGTGGATGTGAGCAAGGCCAGATAATTCACTGCCGTCTCGTGGAGTCGTCGTGTAGGCAATTTTTTTAGATCGACTGTGCCGCACCAATATGCCCTCTCGACGACCTATCCGCGTCGGCAATGCCTCAGGTGCAATTGGCGATGGAATTGATGAAGTGTAAGTCACTAATCCAAAAATCAGACCGGCCAGCTAATATACATAGATACCGCCTTGCACGCGACGGCGACGTCGACGCGATAACAGCAGACTACCTCGCCGAGTTCAACATCGCTTGGAAAGCCATCGAGCTCACAACACGGCCCGACCTAGGCTACGAACCCAATTTCCTAGAACAACTTGCCTGGCAAGATGGCGCGGCGGCCAAACTACTCGCCCGCAAGAAGATCAAGGTCGTCCACGATGGTGGAGCGTTGAACCCCGAGGGCCTTGCGAGGAAAACGGATGAGTATTTCAAAAGCTTGGGGATTGAAGGCGTTAGGGTTGCGTGGGTCAGTGGAGATAATGTCACTGGTCTGGTGAAGGATGGGAAGTTGGGGAAGTTGATGCATCTGGATCAGTCAGGGATTGAGTTGGGGGAATTGAGACATAAGATTTTGGCTGCGAACGTGTATACGGGGATGACAGGAGTCGTTGCTGCGCTTGAAGCAGGCGCTCAAATCGTTATCTGTGGGCGTTGTTGCGATGCTTCACCCGTCATGGGGCTCGCAGCTTGGTGGCATGGCTGGAAGAGTACAGACTATCAAGAGCTGGCCGGGAGTCTGCTAGCTGGCCACATCATCGAGTGTGGAGCGTATGTCACTGGTGGAAATTACTGTGGCTGGAGGGAGATCGAGCAGCTGCACCACGTCGGGTATCCGATCGCTGAAATAGCAAGTGATGGAACCTGCGTCATCACGAAGCCCGAGCACACCAATGGCGCGGTTACAGTCGATACTTGCAAAGCGCAACTCCTGTATGAAATCCAAGGCCCTTACTACCTCAATCCCGACGTTACTGCCCGCATCGACGGCGCCCAACTCAAGCAGATCGGCAAGAACAGAGTCCGCCTCACAGGAATCATCGGCACCGCACCGCCTCCAACCTCCAAACTCGCCATCTGCCTCCTCGGCGGCTGGCAAGCCGAAATCAATGCCTACTGCGCGGGTCTCGACACGACCCAGAAATTCGCCCTCATGAAAGACCAAGTCATGCGCGAGATCAACCCCGGGGACTTCACTACCTTCAGCATGGAAGTTTACGGTAGCAGTCCGCCGGACCCGAGGTCGCAGCAAGAATGTACAGTGATGCTTAGGATGTTCGCACAGAGCGAGGACAAAGACGCAATTCAGAAGTTTAGGAGGGCCATATTTTATAACGGCATGCAGGGGTATTGTGGGCTACATTTGGGCATGGATTGGAGGACGATGGAGCCCAAGCCGTACGTGAGGTATTTTCCAAGCTTGGTGCCGAGTGTGGGTGTGCCGTTGAGTGTGAGCTTTGTGGATGGAGAGAGGGGGATTCATGTCGAGGCGAAGAGGAAAGAGGAGTGTGCGGAGGGCGTTCCGGTCCAGCCAGACTACGATTTCGAGGGCGCTGTCGACGTTTCTTCCTTCGGCCCTGCACAGCGGCGTCCGCTCGGCGACCTTGTGTTCGCGCGCTCCGGGGATAAAGGCGGGAACGCGAACGTCGGCTTCTGGGTGCGCGATCGAGCAGCCTGGCCGTGGCTTCGCTCTTTCCTCACGAGGCAAAAGTGCATTGAGCTGCTCAGGGATGACTGGAAGGAGGGTTATAAGGTCGAGAGATGTGAATTCGAGGGTCTGATGGCTGTGCACTTCGTAATCAAAGGGCTGCTGCAAGAGGGTGTGAGTAGCAGTAGTGTGCTTGATGGGTTTGGGAAAAGCGTGGGTGAGTTTCTAAGGGCTAGACATGTCGACGTTCCTGTGGAGTTGTTAAGGGCGGAGGAGAAAAGGAGGATAGGGCTGAAGGGGAAGCTGTGAGGAAATGTGTCAATATAGAGCGATCCTTCGAAACGCTGAGAGTAGAATAAATTACATTCCTATGTTCATCATGCTGCCCATGAATCAAATCACAGACTGCGTGTGTAGCGCAGCCGGCATCACGTGTGCTGCTTCCAGCACGAGCTTATCGGAACCGTGTTTCCGACCCGACCGACTCCACCGTCATTCTTCTGGGCACCAACTCACGAAGGGTAAAGCGTCGACTCTGCACCTCTTAGCAAGCTCCGATTGATATCCTCGGTCGTTATGTAGCTCTATCGGCGTGTATATGTTCGTAAAGCTGCCGTTATGCTTTAAGGCCTTTCTCGCTTCAAATTTCCCTCGTCATCCATTGGCCCCCCAAGCGTACTCTACAGCATGATTGCAGACAAAGACAGACCCGTCAAGCGACCAGACGGTCGCTACGACAATGTCGACTTCCGCAAAGCCGCGGGATTCAAGCTCCCCACAGTCAAAGCGAGCTACCTCCGCCGAGATGTCCTACTCTTCGTCCGTCTCGCCCACTTATTTCTCACAAAGCTTCCACGCTAATAAATCTTGCAGGCAAATGCAATAGGCTGCATAAAAGACGAACTCCACTTCCTCTACGAGCTCCACCCAAACTTCTCCTGCTTCCCCACCTTCCCCATCAACCTCCCCTTCAAGCAAACCGACCAAGACGTCTACGACTTCTTCAAGCGCGCCCTCGTCACCGATGTACCCGGCGTGCCGTCGTTCGATCCTAAGCGTAGCGTCGATGGCGAGCGCGGGATTGAAATCCTGCATCCGATTCCGGTGTCGAGTGAGGGGCTGGACTTGGAAATCAGCCCCGAGATCGTTGGCGTGTATGATAAGGGTGGCAATATGATCCAAGAGATGGTGCAGAGCATGCGCGATGCAAAAACCGGGGTAGTGTATGCGAAGATGAGCAGCAAAGCGTTCGGCATTGGGCAAGGCGGATATGGTGGCCCTCGTGGGCCTGACACAGTCTCCTACACCCCACCGAAGCGCGCCCCGGACGCCGTGCACGTGTTTCAAACTACGCCGGAAACATGCCTTCTGTACCGGCTTTGCGGCGACTACAATCCCATCCACGCCGACGATAAGTTTGCGCAGGAAGGTGGCTTCAAGGGCGCGTTTTTGCAGGGTTTGGGCACGTGGAATATTGCGGCTCATGGGCTGTTGAGGGAGATGGGTGGGAGTGAGGCGGGGAGGTTGAAGAGTTATAAGGCAAGGTTTGCGAATATTGTGTATCCAGGGGATGCGCTGGAGACGCGGATGTGGAGAGTTGGGGAGAAGGATGGGGTGGAGGAGGTTATTTTTCAGACGGTGGTAAAGAGTGATGGGAGGGTGGCGTTGTCGAATGGGTTTGCGGAGTTGTGGAAGAAGGAGGGGAAGAGTAAGCTGTAGTTCTTCTATGCTGTATGTACAATTGAATCTATGGCACTTCTACCCACACTCGGAATTGGACGTTTAGAGTCTTCAGGGACCATCTACAGATGACTCCTCTTCCACCTCGGCTCCCTCTTCTCCCGATACGCCGCCAAACCCTCCCTCGCATTCTCACTCCTTAGCATATTCTCCGCCCACAGCTCCTGGCCTCTCATCGTTGCCCTCGACACTCCCGTTTCCCACGCCTCCCTCGCTGCCAGCCGTGAAATAATCACACTATCAGGACTCAATCTCGCTATCAGCTTCGCGTACTCTATCGCCGTATCCAATAGCTTCTCCTGTGGCACGATTTCCTTGACCAATCCCCAATCTTTAGCCTCCTGCACACCGAGACGGCGACCGGTTAGGATCAGGTCCATAGCCCGGTGATTTCCAAAGAGGTGGAAAACGCGTGGGAGCGCGCCCGCGAGCGCGGATACGCCGCGCAGGACTTCTGGAAGGGCGAACGTGGCGTTCGGGCTCGCAAAGATAACGTCCGCGTTTAATATCGCTTCGAATCCGCCGCCTATGCTGCTCAGTCAATCTCCCCTCCCCCACTGGATACGAAGGCCCCGGAGAATGTCACACATACCATGTGCATGCCCATTGCACGCCACGATAATCGGCTTCTTTCCCGTGCGATTACTCATGCCTGCGAACTGGCCCGGCGGATAATCATGCGCAATCTCCCCCGTTTCTATGATATCCAGTCTCTGCTTTAGATCCATGCCCGCACAGAACGCTTTATCTCCCGCGCCGGTGAAAACGGCGCAGCGCAGCTCGGGCTCCGCGTCGTACCATTTCCAGAGTGCGCCCAGCTCGATGGTGCCTTCGACGGGGAGGCAGTTGCGCGCTTCTGGCCGGTTGATGGTGACGAGGAGGATGTGCTTTGCGGGGAAGGTGATGAGCGAGTGCTGGACGTGCGGATAGGGGGATTCTATCCACGAGGGCATGGGGTTTTTGGTGAGGGGCGTTGTCATTTTGACGGTTTGAGGTGGTTGACGGAGGAGTGGTGAGGCTGCAGAGGGATCCGTCTATCTGGACGAAGAAGTCCCCAGGAATCTCAAACTCCCATTTCGCAAAATTATTGTACCAAAATCTCCAAGCTCGACGCGTCGTGAAAGCTTCCCCGGAACGCGAAACCTCGACCGAGGTTCAACGCAGATGCCTGCAATGATTCATTGAGGTGGGAGGCCCCACTTGGACCCTTGCTGGACCCCTTGTCCGGACTAATGATTCATTAGCGAACCCCTCACGGCCCGGCCCCATGGGGTGTCAGGGATGCACGCTGTCGGGTTCTGTCATCCAGAATGCTGACGGCCGAGATGCTTTTCAGCTTCGGCGCGTGGCTCGCACGAGGTGGAAGTCAGGTACCGGTACACGAAAGGGTGCATAGGGCGGCTAATGATTCCGGTGGGTGAATGACTCAAGCAGCTTAGGATACCGAGGCGGATCGACGCTCTTCTGACTCGGAATACTTTTCGGACCTCAGCTCTCGAAAACCTGGACGCTTCAACCGTCTTGAGCTTCATCAGCCTCTTCGAAGTCGTTCCAATTGCAGCTTCTCTGCTTCCGTCACCACCCCTCAACCATCATCACGATGTCCTACCCAACCACAACCCCGCCGCCGCCCACGCCAACCTTCCTCAAGCTCTCCTTCCCCGCGCCCCGCGTCCTCCTCGTGCGCATGGACCGCCCTGCCTCTCTCAACGCGATGTCCACCGCCGGCCAATGGGAAATGGACAGCGTGTGGAAGTGGCTAGACGACGAGCCCAATCTCAGCGTCGCCATCATAACGGGCACAGGCCGCGCCTTCAGCGCGGGCGCCGACCTCAAAGAGTGGAACAACTCGATGGCGGACGACGCGGATCCGAGCAAGCGCATGGGGAACAGTCCGGCGTTCAAGCCGCTGAGCAGGAGGTTGGGCAAGAAGCCGGTGATTGCGGCGGTGAACGGGCTGGCGATGGGCGGTGGCTGCGAGTTTGTGGTCAACTGCGATTTGGTGGTTGCGTGCGAGGAGGCGGTGTTTGGGCTGCCGGAGGTGAAGAGGGGGGTTGCGCCGATTGGGGGCGCATTGCCACGCCTCATAAGGACAGTTGGGCTGCAGCGGGCGACGGAGTTTGCGTTGATGGGCGAGCCGATATCAGCGCAGAAGGCGTTCCAGTGGGGGATCGTGAATAAGATAGTGAAGAAGGAGCGGGTGGTCGAGGAGGCAGTGCGGTACGCGGCGGCGATCGCAGAGAATAGCCCTGATGCGATTATTTGCACGAGGGCAGGCTTGAGGCAGGGGTGGGAGACTGCGGCGGTGGAGAGAGCGGTGGAGGTGGTGCTTGAGCGGGAGTGGGCGGAGTTGCAGAAGGGGGAGAATATCAAGGAGGGGCTGAAGGCGTTTGGTGAGAAGAGGAAGCCTGTGTGGAAGGGCAGCAGATTGTAAGATGGCGGAACCAAAACTTCGACTTTTAAATAGAGCATTTTAGAGGTATGAATAGACGTTGTAACGTTCACATCTTCGCTTTGCGCTCTCGAACTAGTCGAGCCGGCAGCAACCGTCGGAGTATCTTCCCATTACCGGACTTGGGAATCTCGTCCAGTATCTCAACTCCTCCGCGCAGCTTCTTGTACGGTGCGACTCTTGAGTCGACGTGCTCGCGAATGTTGGCGATGATCACCCTCTGTTCTAGCCGCGACTGCTTCGCTTCTACTGTGAGCGAGACATAAGCGATGGGGACCTCCGTTCCCTGGTCTTCGTCCCAAAGGGCACAGACTGCTCCTTCGCTGACGTGCGGATGGGAGTTTAGGTGTGATTCGAGCTCGGCTGGTGGCACTTGATTGCTGGAAGACATTTAGCGTAGTCTTCCCTTGACATGAATGCACTTGCCCCTTGTACTTGATGAGCTCTTTCTTGCGCTCCGTCAGCCACCAATAGCCATCCTTATCCACTCTGACGACGTCACCGGTCTTCATCCACGCTCCATCGAATGTTTCTCTGGTCGCCTCTTCGTTTCGCATGTATCTCCGAAAGATGCTAGGCCCCCTGACGAGCATCTCGCCCTGCTCTCCCTCTCCCACATCTCTTCCGTCGTCGTCCACAATCCTAGCTTCGATGTTCGCGAAGAGCTTTCCTACAGACCCGACGCGATGCGCTGACTCGGGCTTTAGCATCGTAATATTCGTCTCTGTCATACCATAGCCCTGGAATATCGGAGCGCCGGGTAAGTTCTTATGGAAGAATTCGATGATGGGAGGCGGTAGCACCGCGCCGGAGCACATGATGTATTTGACGTTTGACAGGCGCGAGAGATCAAAGGTCTGCTGCTTTGCGATTGCGACGGCGATGGTAGGAAGGATGCGGAAAGCGTTAGCGTCGATCTGTGCGGATAGTTCGAGGAAGTTGTTCAGGGCGAATTTGTTCTGAAGCAGGGTGTAGAAACCCACCCATGAGCCCATTAATGCCACTGTCATAAGACCTGCATTCATAGTGAGTGCTTGCAATATATAGGAGCACTGTGATCTGACTGTGACTTACCATAGATGTGGCATAGTGGGGCGAAGAATACGCCTCTGATACTGGCACTCCAGTAAAATGGTTCAGTGGCTCGTATACCCAGCATCGAAGCTACCAAGTTGTAGTGCGACAGTTCGACACCTTTCGCTTTACCACTGGTGCCGGAACTGAAGCAAACGACGGCTGTATGCTCTTTGCTATCCTTTTCGGAGAGGTCGAAGGCGGACAGTGACTCTTCCTGGTCAAAGAGAACATCTAATGAGATCGCCTACGAAACCATTAACATTGATCATAAAACCAGCATAACCACATGCCAGACCTTTTGAAGCAGCGCTTCAGCTCCATCAATGGAGATGGCCTCCAATCCCGACATTCCTTGCCTTGTCGCAGCACCACATAGTGTAGGCCAGGTACTGGTATCTGCTGCCAAAACCTTGGGTCGAGATATATCCAAACAGTGCGCGACTTCGTACTCCGTACTCAGAGGATTGATTAGACTGCAGCGATGTAAGCATACTCGCCTTGTCTGACCAGGAATGCAAAGGCGCGTACACAGCAATTCCCCCACTCCATAACACCGCGTGAATCAGCTTCACAACGCCAACCTCGCAACGATGTCAGAACCCGATCCAAAGCATTGTATGTCACTACATACCGAATTTGGCGCGCTAATGCACACAACGTCTCCCTCATGAAGTCCCATCACGTACCTAAGACCAAACGCCCCCTTCGCACTTTCTTCTCTAACTCCAGCATAGGTAAGCTTCCTTCCCGTCCAATCGTCTTCACAGATGACCTTATCTCCCTCTACATCGTCCGGATTGTACGATTGCAGCAGCTGGGAAATGGACACATTGGTTGGCACCTGTGGAGGCGGATAGCTGGATCGGTAGATTCGTTGCGAAGGCATAGTGTTCGATGGCTCTGTTCATCGTCCCACTGGCCGTGATTGCTACATTTGAGATGCATGGAATCAAATGTCCAGGGTGTCTAGGAAAGGTATAGCCTTGTTAACACGAAGTGGAGCTACGCAGTGTGGGGTGGGGAAGCGATGATCAGGGCAATGACTAGCCCAGCCCTTTTTCGGTTAAAGTTTTCCACGCGGCGCACCAGTCATGGAGCTCCTAGAAGTACGGCGTCAGCGGATAGTATGCGTCAAGCAAATGTGAGTGCATAACATGTGGAGATCTTAGTTTACTTTCTCCGGCGTCTGTATTTCATTGCCATCGAAAGCGGTAGTAACGGTCGGTGTTCATACCGCATTCGCTTCGAGTCATACTCAATCTCCCCTCTCTCATGGCCAGTTTCGCAGGCAAAGTCATCGCCATCACAGGCGGTGCATCAGGCATCGGCCTTGAAACGGCAAAACTCCTCTCATCCCGCGGTGCAAAGCTATCAATTGCAGATGTCCAAGAAGGCCCTCTTCAGGAAGGTGCAACGGCCATCCAAAGCGTAGGTGGCGAGGTCTTCACCTTCAAACTCGACGTCCGCGATCGAAAGCAAGTGGACGCATGGATAGAAAAGACAGTGCACCATTTCGGCAAATTGGATGGCGCCGCCAATATTGCTGGTGTGACCGGGAGAAGTATTGGCGTGAAGACGGCGGATGAGCTCGAGGATGATGACTGGGACTTCGTGCTTGGAGTCAATTTAACGGGGTTGATGTCCGTCTCCGCTCTACTAGAAATGCAAACTAGCAAGGTCTGACCGTGGCCTAGGTATTGTCAGCGGGCCGAGCTGCGAGCGCTACGCCCAGGCGGTTCTATTGTGAACGCCGCCTCAGTGGCCGGTCTGCAAGGTCGAGCCAAGAATGCTGCGTACTCAGCAAGCAAGCACGGTGTCGTGGGGCTGACGCGGAGCGCCGCTAAGGACATGGGAGAAAAGGGAATCAGGGTGAACGCTATTGCCCCGTAAGTAGACCAGACACTTCTAGGCCTCTAGTCTTTGCTTGGAGAAGGGAGACTGACTACGCTCGCTTCAAAAGTGGCACTGTAGAGACACCAATGGTAGCTCAGGCTGCCCAGATATCCGGAAAGGGGAATCCAATGCTGAAACTGGACAATAGCGCATCGGCTTTGAAGCGGGTCGGAAAGCCATCAGAAGTTGCGAATCTGGTTGCATTTCTTCTGAGCGCGGAGTCTTCCTTTATTACTGGAGCGATAATGTCGATTGATGGCGGATGGAACTGCTAGCATATGCCAACGCAATAAAGTGATGAAAGCATTAAGCCTTCAGTGGCATTCCAAGCTTACCAGTAATCTGGGACTGCATACCATGGCAGCGGTTCGAGACGTGTTCGAGACCCAGCCCTCGACTGCATGGACACTGTCCGCTGTCTACAAAAGACAAGAATACGGACTTAGGTGCCACGCCGGAGGTGCAAAAAGAAGCTTCGGCCGCATGGAGCGGAGGAGCTTGTTACCCGCCGCGTGTGCCATGTGAGTCAGTTCCGGGGTCCCCGGCTCCCCGCTAAACCTCAATACCCCACAGAAACAAGCTGAGTGCGATAGCTAAGGCGGGAGAGCCGGCTTGTGGTCTGGGCGGCATCGCTTACGGCCCTGTCGCGGCGAGCGCAGCATACAAACTGTGGGAACCCCGGATGCAACTTTTCCATCTCATTTCTCCCTTCTAAACTGACGACTTCTCTGTTCCCAGGGGTGTATTTGAGTCTGCATCTCGCCGGTTTCCTCCATCGTTTGACTTGCTGATACCAAAAATCCTGCTGTCCAGTCATCATGGAACCGAGAAGGGAAGAACCCATGGAAAAGGGCGATGTGGTCAAAGAAGAATACGCGCCGTCCCACGACTCCGACATCCTCTCCATCAACGATGTCGCCCGAGGAGACAACTTACCAGATAATTATTTCATGAGCTGGATGTTCATTGGTACCCTTATTGTAGGTCGCCAGAAACAAGGCTGAATTTCCTCTGATGATAACCGTAACAGGGTCTTTGCCTTGGGCAAATCTCCGCCTATATTTTCCTGATTCTTCCGACAAATGTCCTAAGTTACATAAACGCGGATATTGGGCCTAGCCAGAATACCGCCTGGGTCAACATTGCGAGAACACTGGCCGAGAGTACGATGTTTCTGGTGTCAGGACGCCTAAGCGATCTGTTCGGACGCCGATGGTTCTTTATCGGAGCCAACATCGTCTGCTTGATTGGTGTCATAGTCGGAGCTTGCGCGCAGAATATTGACACGCTCATCGTGGCGAGCGCAGTGTACGGCTTGGGAGAGTGCATTCAGCTCAGCTTTGGGGTGGCCATCGGAGAGCTCGTGAAGAACAAGCACCGCCCTGTTGTCGTAAGTAGCAGCCTGTGAGTCTCAATATAGAATACTCACGAGAGCAGATGTCTTTTATCTTTGCTACCTCAGCTCCAATCGCCACATTTGGGCCAAAGATCGCTCGCGCTTTCATCCAGCATCCGTCCCTCGGTTGGCGTTGGACGTATTACCTCAGTAGGTTGCTCTTCCACACAAGGAATGGAGTGCGTGGAGGCTGACGTGTGTAGATATCATTGTCATTGGCTGCGCCATTATCCTCCTTTTCTTTTGCTACCACCCGCCAAACTTCCGCATGCTTCACGAACACAAGTCCAAGAAGCAGCAATTGAAGGAGCTCGATTACGTGGGCATGTTCCTATGGACCGCTGGCCTGGTCATATTCTTGCTGGGTATCTCTTGGGTATGGCTTCTCTCCTCAACGGGCTCCTTGCACTGACCGAAACAGGGAGGAGGATTGTATCCCTGGAAGTCCGCTGCGGTCATCTGCGCGATCGTGCTGGGTGGCGCATGCCTTATTGCATTCGGCTTCTGGGAAGCCTTTGGCAATAGCAAGTATCCTCTCATGCCCATGAAGTTCTTCCGAAACCGAGGCTTCATTTCGCTCGTTGCCTGTGCTACAGGTGAGTACTGAGCCGGTCAGGAGGAAGAATAGTGAACTGATTGTGCTCTCTAGTCGCGTCCATGTTCTACTACTCGGCAGTTCTGCTTTGGCCCGAGCAGGTAGCGACCATGTATACATCTGATATTAACTACGCCGGTTGGCTATCAGTGAGTTCCGCCATGAGTCGTTCAAGTTTTCAGCGCTGATAGGCACAACAGTGTACCGTATCCGCAGCGACAGCGCTGGGCCAGATCTGTGCAGGTGGAATCATCAAGTTCGTGGGACATACTCGATACTGGCTAATCCTTTCTGCTGTCGGAATGGTGGCCTTCGTGTCGTCCTGTGCGTCGTTGACGCCGAGCACCAAAGACATGGGCGTCGCCTTCACCATCCTCGGGCCTTTCTTCGTCGGCTTCATTGAATTGGCCGCTTTATCTCTTGCCCCCCTATTTTGTAAAGCAGAAGATATCGGTCTCTCGTCCGGAATGCTCGCGTCCATTAGGGCGGCTGGTAAGTTGAGCTTTCGTCCCTACTCTCTGAAGTACTGACATGCCTAGGTGGCTCTATTGCGGTCGCGGTGTATACCACGATCCTGACCAACCGACTTTCCACAACGCTGCCAACTGTCGTTGGTGGCGCTGCGGTGGATGCAGGTCTTCCTGCCTCGGAAGTTCCGCAGGTCCTGGAGGCGATTTCGGCGGGAACGCTTGCAAAAGTCCCAGGGATTACTGAATCAATCTTGGCCGCGATAACGGAAGCCCTCCCTAAAGCCTATAGCCAGTCTTTCAAGACTGTCTATCTCGCTTCGTTGGGCTTTGGAGGTATCGCCATCATCGGCAGTCTTCTAACAGTCGATCCGAAAAAGCATCTGACTGATAAAGTCGAGAGGAGAATGCACGGTAAGGGCATTGGAGGGACTATCGAGGAAACGAAAACAGCGGTGTGATCCTAAGCTGGACAAGGGGGAGTAGTGTATGGCCTCTACCGTAATCCCGCAACGCACCGCCTTTGTCTTCTCCTAGTCAGGTGGAAACGGAGGAAAAGGAGGACGGCGTCTGTTTCCGCCACAGAATTTGCCTTTGCTCAACCGTACACCTGAAGGAATTCGGCCGCGTACTTTTAATTTGGACTGATGAGATTCACCAAGTGCGGCTCCGGTGAGAAATATGGGTTTGAATTCGTGACCCGGCGACAAAGCGCGCTATACTCTTCCGTGATGAATTCGAGTTCCATTCCGGCGTACCGCTGCAGGCTTCGTAGATTTGGCGCCCAGGACACCTTCATCCTATCTGGGCTCATCTTCTATGCTAGCACGATGGGTGATCTGAACATAAATGTGGCAACCAATAGATCTCGAGCAACTTGGCCGCAGAGAGAAGTGAAGTCGTGATGAGTGTTGAGTGTCTGAACTAGTCCCGTTTCGGTTCTAGGGCGGGGTGGGTGTGAGAAAGCCGCCACCCCTCATCCCCTACGCAATCAGTTCATTTGTACGCAGTTCCACTTCAATCTCGCTTCTATGCCCTTGGCAACGATGCAGTCGCAAGAGGCGTTGCTGATCAGCGGAGCTCGGGACGATCCCTCTAGCGCCTAACCAGCGGACCCTGGCAGCCCGGAAACCGTCAGCCTTTTTGTACAGTAATGCACTGGGGTGGGTTCCACCGCCCTGGGGCCGACCATACTGTGTACGGCCCATGCAGCTTGAACCGAAGAGCTTGAGCCGGGGCACATGTCTCTAAACCTCTCATATATCTACACACCCTGTCGCCAGGCGTGCAAGCTTTGCACCCCGTCGACATGCCTTCCCTCGTGGTTATTGCCCAGCTAGTCACCGCCGGCAAAGATGCCAGGCAGACTGTATGCCTCGAAAACACTTGCAATGGCCCACGCTGACTCCCATTGACCGTTGCTAGGTTGTCAGTGCTCTCGAGAAAGTCAGCCAGTATTCGAAGCAGAACGAACCGGACGTTCCGCGATATGCCATCTGTCTACCACGAGACGAATCCGACGAGACGTCCGTCTGGGTGATCGAGGAGTACGCCTCGCAGACCGCCCTTGACGCGCACATGGCCTCGAAGGCTGTTACAGACCTGATTGCCTTCTTTGGCGCCAACCCCACCCTGTTCGGCGGAGCACCGACCGTCACTACGTCGGAGACCTCGTCTGCGTTCACAAGGCCCGAAGCCGCAAAAGCTACCGATCCCTTCATTACATACGCCTCGATCGAATACAAGGAGGGCAAGCGGGCAGAAGCGTTGGGGGGATGGAAGAATGTCGCCTCGGAAACAGAGACGAATGAGCCGAAGACGTTGAGCTACAACATTTACAAGAACAAGGACCACCCCGAAACTATCAAGACGCTCGAGGTATATGCGGACCAGACCTATTTTAAGGAGGTGCACGTTCCCAGCAATGCCGTCCAGCAGAACCTCAAGCGATACGGAAACGAGATACGCGTTTCGCTAAAGCACGCCTTCTTGAAGCTTGTAGCAGGTTATCTCGCGAAGGAGAAGGCTGCATCGAATCTATAGATCTCCCTCAATCTCAACATTTCTATGCAAACCTCCAAGTTCAACCTGTCTCTTTCTTCGATGTATCAGCTGGTGGGGCAACAAATATCGGCCCTCGCCAGTTGCCAGCCGGATCAAAGTCTTAAGCGCACGATCTGGAACGTTCAGCATGCTCTTGCATGCGCAGCATTCTCTCAGTAAGTGGTTGCTAGAGTGACACGACAGACACTCACGCGGTCACAGGACTCATGGAACTGGAGGGGTGTCGTGGTCTAATGATTCATTAGTATGCGCTACTCCACACTTCTCCAGATGAATCACTAGCCGGGTTTGCCACCCCCACCCACACTCTCTTTCGGAACCCTGAAACTGCCGAAGCTTACTCATTGGTGGTTGCCTCGGTCCTACTGTATGCAGGATGCCTAAGCTGTCCGTGGTCGCGAATTGCAGGTAGCTTCTGGTTGCTGCTTATGGCTATGCACGTCCAGACACTGCCGTCTTCGGGGTTGTAGCTACCGGGCTGTCATGCAACGTGTGATCGGATGCTCGGATTTTGATGGCATACTTATAAACCCCGCTCATGACAACTCTCCTTCAAGCCTTCATCGTTTGCACATCTGTTCAATAAGTCTCGATTTAGCATCAGTCTCACCACCACGTCTCTTAATTCGGTCTCACTTTCTTCAAGATGGCGCCTCCTGTTGAGAATGGTGTAAACGGCGCCGTTGATTCCAGCACAACGAATGGCGTGAACGGTTCCCACAAGAGGCCCATTTACATTGCAGGGTGCTCCGGAGGTACGACTGCTCGTGAATCACCCAGACAAGGGCTGAGCTCTAACTGCTCTCAGGTGTCTATGACAGGAAACGAGCGATTCACGACATGGCCAAGGTACGACGGTCCGAGTCCATCAGACGCCAAATAGAGACTGACCTTCCCAGAACGAGCCCCACGTCGATGTCATCACCGGCGACTGGATGTCAGAATGCAACATGACCCTTCGAGGCTCAGACAAACGGGACAAGCTAGCCAAAAAGCAATTATCTGCGGTCGGCGCCGCTTACGAGCCATACTTCCTCGAGGAGATCGACCCAGCCATTCCATGGCTTGCGAAGAACAACACAAAGGTCTGCGTGAACGCGGGGGCCAGTGATGTCGAAGGGCTCGCCAACGAGGTCAAGAAGCTGATCGCCAAGCATGGCGTCGACCTCAAGGTTGGATTCGTTGACGGCGACGACTGCACAGACGCTGCCTTGGAGCTGTACCACAAGGGCGAGAACTTCCCCAACCTTCCTGCTGGAAAGAACATTCAAGACTGGGGTCATGAGCCAATCTGCGCTCAGTGTTACCTTGGTGGAACAGGCATCGCTGCCTGCTTTGCCGGTAAGTCTTGCTCTAAGAACCCGACAAGCAGTGGACACTGACAGTTGCGTAGGAGGGGCGGATATCGTCGTATGCGGTCGTGTTGCAGATGCTTCAGTCACTGTTGGCGCTGCTATGTGGTGGCACAGCTGGACTCGTGAGAACAACATCCAGGAGGTTGCTTCCGCACTTATGGTCGGTACGTACATGAATTCCACTCATTGCACACACAGCGCTGACGAAACCCCAGGCCACGTCATTGAATGTTCTACATACGCCACAGGAGGGTACTACAGCGGTTTTAAGGATCTCGGCGTGAACGATACCGATATGGGTAAGTTCTACATGAGGTCGCCTGGCAGCTGTTGCTAACAGGTATTCTAGGCTACCCCATTGCCGCCATCGAGCACAACGGTGAAGCTGTCTTCACCATGGAGAAGGTATGTTTTAGGCGCAGCTCTGCCTCTGACTATAGCAGCTGACCCCATACGCAGGGCAAACACGGGTTGGTTAACATCGCCACTATAGCTAGTCAGCTGCTGTACGAGATCCAAGGGGTATACTACTACAACTCCGACGTCACCGCCCAGATTGAGAATGTTAAGCTCGAGCAAGTCGGCGAGAACGCGGTGCGGATGTCGGGCGTCCAAGGTCTACCCGCTCCACCAACCACAAAAGTCGGCATTACCGCAAAGGGAGGCTACCAAGCCGAGTTCCACTTCTACCTCACCGGACTGGATATCGAAGAGAAGGCGAAGATGGTGGAGAGGCAGACGCTGGCTGCGATGGGAGAGCACGCGAAGAAGTTCTCCTGCCTGAAGTTCCAGATCTGCGGCACGGTCCCGCAAGACCCTCAGTCTCAAGACGAAGCCACCGTGGACATGCGCATCTTCGCACAGACCAAGGATCCCGATCTCCTCTCCGCCGGTGCTATGGTCGATTCCGACCGGGGCTCCTTCGCCCGCTTCTGCATCGAAAACCTCCTTCAAGGCTACCCCGGGTCTACTATGGCTCCAGATATGCGCTGCGCCATGGGCCGCCCATACTTCGAGTATTGGGTCAGCTTGATGCCACAGACCTTCGTCAAGGAGACTGCACATCTACCGGATGGCACTGTCGTCGACATCCCGGCCCCCGGTGTTACTAAGGAGTACGACTTCAACCAGCCTTCATATGACACGCGCGGTCCCGTCGACCTCTCGTCCTTCGGTCCCACAACCCGCGCGCCCCTCGGCTATGTCGTCATGGGCCGCTCAGGGGACAAGTCTTCCAACGCCAACCTAGGACTGTTTGTCCGGCATCAGGATGAATTCGACTGGCTCCGCAGCCTCCTCAGCGTTGAGAAGCTGCGTGAGCTGCTCGGGAAGGACGACAAGGGCAAGAACATCGACCGGTGTGAGATGCCGAATATCTACGCCGTCCACTTCCTGCTGCGAGACCACCTTGACCGCGGCTTCAACGCTACGAGTGGGTACGACAGCTTGGGCAAGAATCTGTGCGAGTACATCAGGTGCAGATATGTTGATATTCCGAACAGGTTCCTGGAGCGTGGTCGCATCTGAGCGGGCAGGTGTTGCATTGGCGGTTGAGGCAAATTGTGTTAGATAGCATCTGTAGGCGTTCAAGCCCAGCTTCCTTCGACCTGTGAGGGCATGTTGAATCCGTCTGGACTCCGGTCGTGCGCCCTCGAAGCGAGGCCGTCCTTGAATCATGCTAGGCTAGCGTGCCACTAGCGCATGGTTGCACGTTCCGCCGGCCTGTCAATTGCGGGGGCCCGGATATCCTGCGCCGCTCATCTCCCCCAGGGTTTCCTCCACTTCATGACCCTGCCTTCGCCTTACAGGCCCTGCAAAGCTCTCCTTCATGATCTAGAAGCTGCAGCACCCTCCGTTGTACCCACTCTTTGAACTATCGCGTACTAGCGCCTACGAGCGATGTGAACATGGCATCTACAAGCCCTAGCGACACTACGTCCCCGGCAAGCAGTTCGCGCACGGCCCAGGAACATGAGAATTTAGAGAGGAAGAGAGCTAGGGACCGGAAGAGCCAGAAGGCGATGAGGGAGAGGACGAAGTGGAGCATCCAGTGTCTGACGCAGCAGGTCGAGCACTTGACGCGAGCACTTGAAACCGAGGCCCGCGAGAAGAGCGAGCTGTACAACCGCTTCCTCGCCGTATCAGAGGAGAACGACCACCTACGCGTCCAGAAAGCTGCGCTCCAGCTGCGACTGCTCGGTAACGGGCAAGAGCCGCCGGATGGCTCCCCGCCGTCTACGCCCATCGCGCCGTACGAAGCGATCCCTCTGAACACCAGTCCCACCTGCATGTCGGACCAAATCCTCCAAACCTTCGTTGCGAGCCGGTGGGAGGCATACGCTTTTCAGACCGCGGGCAGAATAGAAAGCTATCCGGATAAGCCGGACCTGAGCGCCTTGTTCGACGGCCGGCCGAATCGAAGCGTAGACGAGACGAGTGCGGTGGTCGGGGATATCGTGAGGAGCTATAAGGAGATTGATACCCTGCCCAAGCAGGTGGCTGTGCATTACATCATGTCCACCTTGATGAAGTGGCAGGTCCTCAGGACGGAGGCGAGCTTCGCGCAGATGCCGGAGTGGCTGAGGCCGGAGCCGGTGCAGTTGGAGAGGCCGCACGCTTCGTGGATTGATCGGATTCCATGGTATGCCCGCCTTCCATGTTCGAATTCAGCGCGCACAGAGGCGCTGATGATCATACGTCTAGGCCGAAGATCCGCATCTATCTGATCGGCCACCCTGAAGTCAAATTCGACGACTTCGCCTCCGCATACTCCACCTCGTTCGACATCAAATGGGACTACGACCCGAATCACGTCATAATCACCACCATCGATAATGAAAGGGGAGGCATTCTGATCAACCCCATCTACGAAGAGCATCTGAGGCAGTTGAAGAATTGGACGGTGGAGGGGCAATTCAGGAGGAGGTTCCCGGAGATGGCGGAGATCATTGATTCCTACGCGAAAGGCGAGAAGTAAGTATTCCGAAGAGTAGGAGTGGGGTGAAGAGAGCAGAGATTGACTGACGCAGCCGTGCTGCAGTGTTCCCTGAGCAGATGCTGAATCCCGTGCCTCTACCTAGGTATGCGATATGAAGCAAGAGCATCATGAGCCGCCCCGAACGACGTGCCGGATCACCACTGTTTGCTTCAATGCATGCGAGCCGGAGCCTGCCACTTCTGGAGTCACCTTTCGGATACGCGGGAAGTAACCGAAAGCACCGCTTCGGGCATGGACCTCTCTCACAGGTATCAGTAGCTCAGTTACCTTGACTTGAGCTTTGATGCGATTCTTGCCCTGATTCTGATTTGCCCGAGAGTTGCGCGATTTACCTTCACATTATAGGATCGAACGTCACCACGGAGACTTTCAAATAGCCGCATGTGAGACACTCAAGGAGCTCTGGCTCCTTTGCCAACAGATGGAGCACGAGCCCAAACTTGGACATCATTTGGAATACAAACCACCAGGATGTGGAGCCCTTCGTTTCTTCCCTTCGGCATTGCGTAGATCGGGTTTCGCGCCCGGGCTTGGACTTCGGAGTATATCACGGCTAGCCGTCCCCGAAGCCTCGCTTGTTGCTTGCTATGAGGGAGTATGAGCTTCGGTTTGATCCGATAATATGGGGGGTGATGGATGGGCTGACGTTGCTTGAAGACGACGCCGACTCTTCACCTGACGGTTTCCGGCCTTCTCTACCGTTCTTCCGTCTGAGCCAAAGAGCGCCGATCGAAATGATCACTGAGGAATGTGTTGGAGCTTGTGAGTTAATTGAGTTGTTGGGCAGGGGTAGTTAGCTGTCTGTAGGGCTGTATACCGCTACCGCTAGACACAAATTGCAAGCTCACCACACTATACCGATCTACAGCTAGCTACCCCGAGTATTCGCAACCTGCAGGGCGGACGCTCGATCTGCTTATTATGCGTGCTCCCGCCCCCAGGTCCTTTCGTCACGTAGCACAGCATATAGTAATACTCCGGTCTCCCGCCGGCGAAAGAACCTTATTCCAACCTTCTCAAATCCCACAACCTCCCACGCCTCACGCAGCCCTCTCGACACGGGTTTTCCACCATCGCAAACACACACAGTTGCTGGAGGTTGTCGGAAAGCAAGCTTGCCGCGGGTGCACCGCTTCCGGGGTCGCGCGCATGAATGTTCGTTTCGTTTCGTTTCGCACCCCAGGCAGCACCTGCGCGGCGCAGCACGCGTGCCTGGCGGTAAACGCATGCAGCCCGCCAATCCGCGTGGATTATAAGGAAACATTTCTGCCCAGCTTGTGCGCGCCGGGGATTAGTGGACTACTTAGCCTTCCACGGCACGACGGGAGTGGCTCGGTTTTGTTGCTTGAGCTGCTTTGGCGCTGGGCTGCTTACTGCGGCGTGGTATAAGACGTTTGGCTCGCACGCTCAGGGGAGATCTCACGGATGGGGTTGTCACCTACCTGGAGCTCAGCAAGCCGAAATACCTACATTGCACACACTCTCTCGCACTTCGAACCCGGCCCGACAACAAATCTCAACGACACCACGCAAAACATCCCGCGATCCTAAAATGAAGCTCCTCACCACCATCACGCTCACCACCCTCCTCTCCCTCAACGCCCTCGCGGCCCCCACGCCCGCCAAATCCACAGTAACCCTCCGCCTCATAACCTCACTCTCGCAACACTACGCCTACGCCGACGCGCAGCAAAACCCGTCCTTGCCGAGCGGCAGCCTGCTGCACGTGGTGGTTGGGCAGGCGCTCTCGCTCGACAACGCGCCGCTGCAGCTCCAGGCCATCGAGATCATGGGTGTCAGCGAGGGAGACGATTTATCGAGCCCGCCGAGGAGGGTGCAGAAGGCCGATCCGGGAGTGGTGTGCACAGCGCTTACGGGGTTTTCGAGTCGGGGAGTGAGGTTTAGTGTGGAGGATGGGGCGGTGGGGCTTAGTGATGTTGGGGGCGTGGTAGCGGTTACAGGGTTGGAGTGTGGGTTGGCTTGAGGGGATGGGGTTGCAAAGGATGAGAGGGAAGGGAGCGACGGGCTTAATGGGAGGAACGACATCGTTGTTTGCATTGCATGGCATCGGCGTTTATGTATTCCGGGCTATACCAGCTTAACGTTACTTAATAATACCCACTGATTTTTTTTCCCTGTCAACATGTCCCCCTCCGCTACGAGGTTGAATTCGTGGTCCGGCGTGAAAAAGGATCGTGGATATAGTGACATGATGTGCCCCAAGTGCGCGGGTGTATGCTCGGAAGCCGCCACTGCCTCTGTGTGTTCTACACTGTCTTGAATCCTTTCATCATTCTCTCGACCATGCTTATGCCCATCTGCTCCTCCGCGGTCGGCGTCTTCTCCGTTGCTTGCTCTTTCTCTTTTCCTTTCCCGTTGGTTTCTCCGAAGGCGCCGTCGTGCATAATCTGGTCCATCATGCGTATACCCTTCAGCTCTTGTAGAGGCGGGATGTTGTCCAGCGCCGTCGGATCCAGCGCGTCGAATTGCACGCGAGCGGCCGGCTTCACGGCGCCTTCTATCTCTATGACTCTTTCCGGAGTGACAATGAAGTCGCATTGCACTTCGCCCAGCTTTTCCGGTTTGATTCTTTCCAGGCCTTGTTCGGCTTCATCGACGACCTGGCAGGAATGCGCGACGGCGACGACGGGCGTCATTCCCTTTAGCGCCTTGATATCTTGCAGCATTGCAAACTGCACTTCGAACAAGCCACTGCCTTCCCAAACCACCACACCTGTTGTGCTGAAGGCCAGGCCGCCGATGACGCACAAATCGACACTGATGCCTTCTTTCTGCATCTGAGCGAGCGAAAGATGGCGTCCAATGCCGGGCCTCTCCATTCCGTCGAGCCAGCTCGCTCTTTCGAACTCATCCTCGTTCAGTCGCTCCGGATTGAGCAGGACGAAGCCTCTCCGAAGCCGGTACGTTCCAATGAGCAGCTTCTTCCCATCTTTGAGAGCTCGATGGCGCAGCCGTTCGAGGCTGTTGTCTGGCGTAACGAGGAGGGTCTTGGCTGCCTTGTAGCACGGGAGCTCTACGACGCGGTCGGTAGCGACAGACGACTCGCGGAAGTCGGGCGTGAACGAGAGGAAGTCGAAGTGGAAACGAGAGTCTGGGAGCGCATGCTGGATCAGGTCGTGGTGAACGCTCTTCCAGATGCTCTGCCTGCGCTCCGCATTGATGGATGGGGGCCCGGTCATGAGGTGTTTGTAGAGAAAGCGAGCGTTCTCGAGGATAACGACGGTGCTAGAGGTGAGGAAGGCCGACTGAGAGCCTCCTGAGGTGGAAAGGTCGCTGGAGGCGAGAGACGGTCGGTCGAGGCATGGTGGAGTGAGGGGCGTCACTCCTCCAAAGGTAGTTGCGATGGTGCGTCATTGCCCTGCTGACTAAGGAGGGTCAACACCACGCATCCATCCCGAAACGACATCTCGAAACGACAGCTGTTGACTGTTGATCTCAAGAGCTATTTCTGTGTTTTCAGGGCCTGCAGCTTTTCCTTCAGGCTTTCCCGGGCGTTTCCGTGAATTCATTCCCGATTCACGCTTTTCCGCACGCCGATCGCCAGCTTTCCTGCCGTCATCACCGGCCTCGGAACAAGGCTCGCGATAGGCCAATCCGGCGGCACCATCTGCATCATGACTCCTCACTATGCTCCGCCATATTCCCGTGCGCCTGCGAGACCTTCCGGTTTTGTTCATTTTAAATGCCCACCGTCTCCTGCGATGAGAATTGAAAGCCATGGTCAAGGCACTCCATCCACCAATCATGGAATCTCCTGAAGCATTCGAGCAGCGAACCGCTGCCAGATCAGAGACCTCGTCGAAAGCGAGTGCTAAGGATGAACCGGCCCACGATGCAATTCTTCCGGTCACCCACGTCTCCATCGCGAAGAATGTGGCTCAAGACGACCCCGAGCTTACATCTAAGAAGTTGGAAGACATCGGCGGTGCACAGCAACATCATGAAGAGGAGCTCGGTGATAAGGCACAATCCACCAAAGTGCAGAAGCTGATTGCCGCCCTGAAATGGTTCATCAAAGACCAGTGGTTCCTCCTAGCCATGGGCGCGATCATCCTCATCTCCTCTCAAGTCCAGGTCCCGAACTCTCAGCAACAAGTCAAGCGAGTCGTGGTAACCTACCTCTCGGTCAGCGTCATCTTCTTCATCAACGGCTGCACCCTCCCTACGAGGGTCTTGCTGGAGAACTACAAGCGCTGGAAGATTCACGCGTTCGTCCAACTTCAATGCTACCTCGTTACCTCCGCCGCAACCTTCGCCATCGTGAGCCTCTGCGCAACGAACCCGCACTTCATGGACCCTTGGCTTCTCATCGGCTTCTTGTTCGTTGGCAGCGCCCCAACCACCATGTCCTCGAACGTGGTGATGACACGACAGGCGCACGGCAACACTGCGCTCACCGTCGTCCAATCCGTCATCGGTCAGTTCCTCTGTCCATTCCTGACGCCGGTGCTTCTCCAGATGTATCTATCTAGTGGAGCCTGGTACACGAAAGTACTGGTTCAAGGGGACAACTACGGAGAAATATACCGGCGCGTATTCAAGCAGCTAGGGCTGTCCCTTTTCGTCCCAATGCTCGCTGGCCAGATCGTCCAGTGGTTCTTTCCCAAACAAACCAAGAAAGTCTTCTTCGACTGGAAACTGATGAAGCTGTCTTCGGTTTCCCTTCTGACACTGGTATGGCAGACGTTCGACCAAGCATTCCGCTCCGGTGCGTTCGCTACGGTCAAGCCGTCAAACAAAATCTTCATCGTCTTCATCTGCATCGCTCTTTATTTCATTTGGCTCGGAATATGCTTTACGGCCTCCGTCGTCTGGCTACCGCGGAAAGACGTCATCGCCTGCTGTTACTGCTGTCCTGCAAAAGCGCTTGCTATGGTCGTCCCGGTGTCTTCCGTAATGTACGTCAACGTTAGCCCAATCGAACAGTCCAAAATGCAGATTCCCGCCATCATCTTCCAGGCATTCCAGGTTGGGATCGGGGGCTTCTTCACGATCATCTTCAGGAAATGGATCAGGCCCGTAGAGGAACAGGAAGATCGAGAAAAGAACGCAGGAGGGAGCGAAGCAAAGTAGCACGAGCGGCGTAGCTGCAAATGCACATTCGGCTGGTGCACAGTTCTTGTCGAATGAGTCGAAAAGCGTTTCGTTTCGAAAAGCCGGCATGTGAAAGTGTTATCGAATAAACCTGACTCTCCGCTCTACAATGATTCCTTGATCCTTGAAATCGGGACAGACCGCCAAACCGAACGCCAGAGTGCCGCAGATAACCTAATGTACAATCATGCAGATTGCCGACAACATTTTGAAACTTCGCCCATATCCGCGCCTCCCCGACTCTTTCACATCTCATGTGCAGCAGCAGCCGTTGGGGATCTGGGTTCTCGTCAGCGAATTATCAGAGCGCACGGTGGCTCTACGCACGCATGTGCAGGTGCCGTCAAAGCCGTTGCATTTACATTCGATGCATGGAGTCTGTTGGATCGCGTTGCTTGCATCCCGAGAGACTTTGAAGGAGCGCTCCAGGCTATTCTGCATGCGATCGTCAGTCCCGACGATCTGTTTGAGCGAGAGAAATCTTACCGCGGGCGGCGATGCCAGCGCAACAGAAGCCGCAACCAGCACGATCAGTGCAGAGAGCTTCATCGTGTCGAAGTCTTCGGTGGCGGGGCGGTTCGGTTCGGGTTGCGACAGGTGCGACGATCGATATCAAAGCGGGTTTAAGGGTTCCTACAGAGCATCCAAGAGGGCGCACGCGGTCATTCTTAAGGAAGAAATACCTCTGCCTATCAATCTAAAATTAACCCCTGAGGACGGTCGCAAGCTCCCCTCGCCCAGTCCAATATCAGCGACCAAGGTCCGGCTCCCCGTCCTCGTGGCAGCGCAATTTGAACCGTGGCAATCTATCTGCGCTCCGCGCTGCGCGTTGCTGTGCGCCGTGGTCCGGATCTCCAGCATCCTGGTCGACGCAAGGGGGTTAGTCTACCGGTTAAATGGTTGCAGATTGAGAGCGAGAAAGGTCGAACAACTTTTCAAGGAACACAGATTAATTCGCTAACGCCGAAGGGCTTGGAGAGCCGACTGTCGCCAAATGTTCTTTTCGCAGGTGATGCCCTTCGCTTGGGGAAGTGTCGAGGATGGCGGGACGACCTGGTTTTCCGACGACGGGGGCAGACGAATGGGAGCATGGCTACCGGATTAGGTAAAAGCAAATGGGCGTGTCGGCATCTTTTCGAAGACGGCTTTTTCTCCGCGATGGGAGTGGTCTGTGATCACGACTCCGCTCATCGTCGCCTCCTTTAGATTCTCCGTGCGACAGAGCTTGCAGACTTCTATGGCAGACATCGTGTGCCCCTTACTTCCACGGCTGCGACTCCTACACCAACTTGCAAAAGAGGGTGTCCGTCCAATCGCGACGGGATCAATGTCAGTCCTCGGCCCAACTGCAGCAGAGGTCCAGACAATCTATCTCATATCAACCCGTTAGTGCCCAGTACGATTCCGGGCAAACACGCACGCTCCTGGCCAACTACCGCAAAAGCTTATTTGTCTCGGCTGCTGCCACTCAATTCCACCACCCATCTACAACTTGTCCTACCGTACTGTACGAGCTCGACATTATCTTCGTATTCCGGCTCTCGACTGCTAATTCCTCCTTCACATCGGTCTCGGATGTCTGGACCGTGGCCCTTTCACGCCTAAAGCTTTGCATACACGACCGTGAATAATCTACGACACATATGGCCTAGGAACCACACCATGTTTGGCTGCATTAGCCTTTCATCCCGCTTAGCGCTGCTGCATACCTATTGTACCTTTCAACCGGCCGGCTTCCGACGAACGCTTGGTCCAGGCCGCGGTCTTCCGTCAACCAGGAAGCGCGTGAACATACCTAGATACCCTCGATGGCCTCGGCCCTGGGACCTATCTGGGTATCAAGACGTCATCTGCGCATTGGCTGGACTACCTGGGTCGCTGGTGGCCGATGCGAGGGTATCACACTTCTTACGTGCAGCATGACTTTACCATCCTGTTTGAGACTTAGTAGTTGTGGACTTTTCTGTCGGTGGCGCTTCGCCTGGAGTATCGTGCCGTCTCTGACTTTACAGAGCTCTGGATCAGTTCACCCCTTGCTACGCAGCTAGTAACTCAGACGGACTCCATCGACTGAATGACTTCGTACGGTCTTGAACATAATGGATCAAGAGATGCACTCTAGAGGGATATCACGTGGCCGCGACATTACGCATCGCTGCCTTTCCGATATCGACACACTAGACACCAGTGCTGCGTTGCAACCTAGAGCAGCAACCACTGGTCCCTTCATCCCCCCACCTTACAATAGACCGCAAAATAAACACAATCCACTACCAGTTACATGAGTATGGACATTTTCGCTTGCCCTTACACCGCTCGTGGAGGCTTGCGTTCAACCGACCGTTTCCATCGTCAGGAACCATCTATCCAACATCTATCCATACCACTCAACTCATGGACGCGAGCGTACAACCGAATGCCAGAGCAGTCTTCCAATCTATCACTCAGCTCGCGGCTTGATCGGCTATGCAAAAGACTCGCTCCGGCGCCTGATGCCTATCACCCGCAATATGGAAAAGCACGTGGGCATAGTCCTCATTCGCGCCGTCACTCGCGCTGAACATGCTCGTTTCGGCGATGCTTTCGAGGGCTTCTGCGCTGTGCCCATACTTGCTAGCTAGCTAGCCGCGATGCACCAGGCGAGTGTTCCAGCCTCACTTCCTCAAAGCGTCTTCTATATGAAGGATACGATGCCAGTTTTCCTTCGCAACCGCTATGAGTGCATCGATATACGCGTAGAACAGCCTGGATTTCAGCCACCTGCGCCTCTGGAGTCTTAAGTGCTTTTTGTGCACTTACATCTTGTTTCGGAAATCAATCACTTTATTTTTTTTTTGGAAAATATTGCAATACCATGCGGTGCAATGAAATCAAAATCATTAGGATTTTTGAACGGGAGCTGTAAGCTATTGGGAGAAGAACTCCAGATGCCTCCCATCCCGGTATACCGCGACCCATATGCCGTAAGCATCCAAAGCCCAAAAAGAGGCCGACAATTTTACATGGAAATCCCGTCAAAGAGAAGCAGAGCACCGTCAGCTAGTCCGCACCACCTCGCATTCCTTACCCAGCAAACGTCAAGTTGTCCTGTGTGGCGACACCGCTTACCGCTTCCTCTTTTTGGCCTTGCCCTCGTCTTCGACAACGAGGCCGGATTCCCGATCCTTCCTCGCTGCCTTCTTCTCTAGCTCGTCCCAATCTTCTCCCTCGCTAAAGTCGTCTTCACTACCCTCGTCGTCCATCTCATCGGATGCATTCTCATCAAAGTCGCTCTCATCCCCACTTGACTCGTCTGAGACAGCGAGCTCGCTTTCCGACACCTCGAACGCCGACTCTTCCTCCTCCCCGTCTTCATCTTCATCGTCACTCTCGGTAGACAAGAACGACCAGCCGCCGTCGACGAAGAACTGGTGCGGGTCTTGGGTGACGGTCTTCATGATGGTGGCCCAGTTGAGATTGAGCGGACCCTCAGAGAAGGGGATGTCGACGCTGTCAAGCCAATCTTTTACAGGATCGAGTGATTCGACGGGGATGGTGTTGATGTGGACGGGCGGTCGGTTGTAGTCTTTGAAGACGACCACCATGTCGAAGTTGCGGAGACCGAACTGTACGCGCTCGAGGTGCACGATTTCGATTTCAGACAGAGTGATGCAGGTGAAGGGGGGCTCGGTGAGCTGCACTAGGCAGTCGGTTGTGGGTTGGACGAGAACGGAGGACCGTGACGGCACACCGTTGAAGCCGAGCTCGCGGTACGGGATGTCAACGCTGACATTCTCGTTCCGGGCAGCATCAGCGATCTTCTCTGCGAAGTTCTTGAACTCCTTGTCGAGAGCCGCACGGCGCCGACGCTCTTCCTGTTCCTGCTCGAACTCTTCCTCGTCGCCGAACTTGTGTCGTCGCTTGCGGTTACCCGTCTCATCAAACTGCATCTCTGTTGCCTCACGGACGAACTGGACGTCCTTTGTCTTCTTCTTTCCAAGCATGATGGGGTTCTTCAGGTGAACGTGAATGATGACGATGAGTTCGTGTTGCGAGGGCTGGAAGAAGAGGTGCTTCATGTTGCTGAAGAGGACGTCAACCTTGACGCCGCCAGCACCGTGCGCATACCGGAGACCGTTTTGGTGGATCTCGACGCTTCCAGGAATGCGTTTGCCGTCGAGCGCAGGTCGGAGGAAGATGAGATCGAGAACGAATGGTTTCCGGCCTGTAACTAGTCAGCATAAAGCGCTTTAGACATGAGAGGGATGTCATACTCTTGATAGGAATAAGCTTATCCTGCTCAACAACGTCTTCCATCTGCTTCTTCTCCTGCTCACGTCGGACTACGTCTTTCTTGAGATCGGTGATATCCTTCGTGATCCGGTCGATGCGATTAATGTCATGAGAGCGAAATGTTAAGCTCCGGATGAAATGTGCGTTGGGGTCTTCGAAGGGCTGGTCGTCTTTCCTGCCGACACCCTGACCAGGTGAGAGGAAGTTGATACGGAGAGATGTAAAATCGGCCTCAGGTGTGTGCGAGGCGTTCTTGATGGTGTGGATGTGGAAGGGTACGGGACGGCCCATGATGGGCAGGATGACTGTGAGATTCTTCTTGTCCACCACGATCTCCAAGCCGGCCACGGACGAGGGGAGCTGGTTATCCCTCTTATACGACTCGAACCGCTTGAACTTCTTCTCCTCGGTACCGTTCAGAGTTTTCGCGCCCTCGCCGTAGGCTTCTAGACCCGCTTGCTGTTTCTTCTGGTGGAGCTCTTTCTGATGCTCCCGTCGCAGTGCCTCCTTTTCGGCGTCCTGATTGGTGGGTCGCTCGTGTCGCGTCCGGGTCTTGGTGATGTTGGTCTGTGCGATGGCGCCTGCGCGCTCACGCTTTGGCTTCGGCTTCGTCTCCTCTTCTTCCTCGTCGTTGAAAAAGAACGAGACAGAGTCTAATTCGGACGGCGTATCCTTGGTGAAGACGGCGCAGTCCGTGGGGCCCACACGCACCGTGTCGACCAACACGAGCGAATACGTCTTGCTCTTCTTGTTCTGCGGCTTCGAGTTCTCAAGATCTTGGAAGCCAGTGCTGACGACAAGCGTCATGCCGTCCTTCAGCACCCGTGTATTCTTGCCGCTCAAAAGCAGCGTGCCGTCCTTGTTCTCCGTTCCGATGCCATAGCCGACGTTCTTGGGGAAGTGCTTCTCGAATTCAGGCTTCTTGGTTTTGATGTGGTTCAACGCCTTGCTGTAGACGTCCTTGGCCACAACACCGTCTTTTATCGACTTCATGATCAAGTCATGTACTGACAAGAGGAACTTGTAAGCCGCCTCCTGCTCCCTGTTCGGATCCACCATGTATGTCCGCCCAATCATGGCACCGTATGTCTGATAGCGGAGGCCGAGGGCGGAGATGATGACGCCTGCGTGCAGGTTGTTGTCGTCGGGCTCGGCGGCAAACTTCAAATCGTAAGCTCCACCACTCTGCACGGTCGGCGCCAGGCACCAGTCCAACTGCATGGTATCGAAATTCTTAGAAACCTTCTGCTTCTCGAAGAACTTGGGATCGTCGATTTTGTTCGCGACCTTGTCGGAGAGGGCTTTGTGGGAGATCTTCTTCTCAGAGTCGAGGATGTCGGACATTTCTTCGACGAAGTAGCTGGTCATGAGGGCGCTTGAAGCTCGCGATGCATCTCGAATGATTCGCTGGTCGGCTGTCAGCGCATCGCGTTCCGCGCACAAAATCTTCCCAAACTTACCAGTTCTTTCTCGTCCTTGACTGACAAAGCCGCCTGAGACAGAATTGGAGCTAGATCGACGTGGTCTTCCTCCTTGATGCCTGCCTCCTGAAACGCCGCTTTCCACTCCTCCGCAAAGCCGCCGGTTGCGCTGTCCTTCTTCAGCACCGCGACCTTCTTGCCTGCCTTCTTCATCGTCTCCAGGCACGTCTGGAACTGTTTCTTGTTCTCCTCCGCATCCTTGCCGCGCACGAGGATCTCAACGGGGACCTTGCCACCCTTCAGAGGCTCCAGGTATGAGGCTGCCCATCCGAATTAGCAACCCGATCCGATTTGGCGTACTTATCTCGAACATACCCTTCTTCTTGGTTGTGACGATCTGGACAAGGTCGGGCGTGAGGACGAACAGCGTCGCGGGGAACTCGTAGCCTAGCAGCCATAGCTACAAACTCACCGTCAGCGTCAGATCATCGAATTCCCAAATTCTGCAAACTCACTTGGAATGCGGCTGGCTTCAGATAACTGCCTGGCTCGCTCGCCTTGCCCACCGCCGTCGCGATTGAGCCCGCACCCTGGAAGACCTGGTCGCCAGAGCGCTTGTCCGCCTTCCATTTGGTAACGAAGGCCGAGAGACGCTCGTGAAAGAGCGCCTTGTCGATAACGATGTCGTCAGCCATGATGAAGGCGAGCGAGAATCTGTGGCCTTCGGGGCGTTAGCTGCGGCTGCGAGGGTGGTGGGAGAGAGACAGCGCGGATGGACAAAAGTCGCGCGGTCGAGGATGCTGGATGACGGCGCACGGGCGGCGAGCGACGCGATTCGCGTCACGTGTCTGCACTAGCGCGACTTCGTTCCTTGGAGCTTTTCCGAGATTCAGCCACTCGGAACGTGGTCATTCCCTCCTTCACCGGTGACAGGCCCGCGTGCAGCCGCCTTCACGCCTTCACTTATTCACTTATATCGCCCGCAGAACAACCCCCCAGATGCGGCTGCAGCTCTCTCTCACCCTCCATGATATGAGATGACGGCCGGCTCCAGTGCGCGCGCTGGAGTCACTCCCCGCGATGACGGAAGCGATGGCCCCAACTCCCCCAACAAAGCTCCAGCGACTGGTGTGCAGGCTGCCGGTATGCGTGCGATTGCGGCGCGCATGGTAGCTTTCTACTTCAGAGCACCGGTCAAGGCCTTCTTCAGAGGCCGCATCGACTATATGGGATATGCGCGGGCAATCAACCCTCACTTCCAAGAAGCAGCGCGATGGACATGGAGAATGACGACGCCTGCGGTATTGGTGCACGCGGTGAGGACTGAGGGATGGAGCTTCATTCCAAATCAAGTCATGCCGCCGCTTCTTGCGAACACTCTGTATGTAGAGCCTGGAAGGTCTTTACGGTTGCGTACAGGCTAACAGTGCGTAGCATTGGGGCCGTCTTGTACACAGCATACTTGCAAAGCCTTTCGAATCTTCACGTACCATCCTCCTACCAGACTAAGCGCATTTATCCTCCGCCGCCGCCTTCTACAACATTTACCGCCGGTCTGATAGCAGGCGGCGTGCAGTCGCTCCTCGCAGCACCATTCGACGCCCTTCAGGTTCGCTTCCGCACGTCGGATATCCTTGAGGGAAAATACAAGACCATGTGGCACTACGCGGGCCACAAGCTGCATTCTATTAGTCTCCGCGGCATATTCGCTGGCTGGACGCTCAGTCTACTCAAAGATTCTGTCGGCGCCGCTTTCTTCTTCACTACCTTCGAGACGATCAAGAGTCAGGGGTACTACGGATATGTCACGCATTACTATGGTAGTCGAACGCGCGAGGCATTGCTGGAATCCGCCGCACTCTATCACGATGAAAATGACGGTCGTCCTGTCATAAAGCCGCACTACACCCTAGAACCCACCTTCCTCCTGTTAGCTGGCATATCTGCATCTATAACATCTCAGCTGATCCAGCATCCGCTCACTGAGCTGCAAGACGTCCACTATCGCCGGCTGGAGGCCCTCGACTATCAGGCGCATAACGAGAGCAAGCCGTCAAGAATTATGAGCCGCTACTACCACGCGTACGAAGAAACTTTCCGTCAATGCAAGAAGCTCGCTAAACGACACGGGGGGTGGAGAAGGTACCTCTACCGAGACTTTTTTATGAGCACCCTCCGACAGATGCCGAGCACGAGCGCGGGCCTCATCGTGTTTGAGTTGGTCCGGCGCAAGTACGCGTTTGAGACCGAGGAGGTTATAATAAGTCATGAAGGAGCACATATTCTACTGACATGAAGAGGAGGATGCTTGTAACACTACCTTTTATGATACCCAGCGCCTTAGAGCATTAAATGTATGTACCACACGCCTACACACACCGAACGCTTGCATATAGAATCCACATTTCTCATCATGATCACACTCAAAGTTAAACCAGTAAAGTCCACTCAATCCTTCTCCCCACTCCAAGTACCAAATCATATCCCCGCCGCTAGATATCGATCATAGTCCTCGACCTTACACCTGTACCACCGTTCGAAAACAGTATTAAACACAGCCAGCAATACCCTGTCAAACCCAATCCACCGATGCACCGCCCAGTGCCCTCGAAGCTGCCGCCCGAACTCCCACAGCCCGCTCGCCCAATAAATGATAATGCCGACAACCCAATACGGCATCTTCAACCCCTTCTCCTTCGCCACCCATCCTGCTGGGCTCATCGTCATGCCCGCTTTGCTCGTCGCTGCCTTGCCCGTTTGCGTGTTCTTCTCAGGCGTTGCACTCGAATCTGGGTCTGAGTCCGCGGTCCCCGGCGTCTGCGTCTGTGTCTGCGTGCTCGTGCTCGTACTCGTGCTCGTACTTGTACTTATCGCCGTGACCCCGTCCTCCACGGTGGATGCCGTCATGGGTGGGGGGAGCGGGAGGAACGGGGTGGGGTTGTCGAAGGGCGGGAGGATGAACTTAGAGGTGGCCCAGGGGTCGGAGTCGTCTGGCCCACCTGTAGGTTCTGGGGAGTCTGGCGGTTCGAGGAGGTCGGTGGTTTTGACTGTGGGCTCTGAGTCGTCGGATAGAGACGTTGAGGTGCGGGGATGGGGATGGCGGGTTAAAAAGATTGTGCTTCGTTGAGGCGCGTCTTCAGCGGATGTTTGCGCAGGCTCGTCGTCGCTATCCTGTGTACTCGTGGGACGGTCATCTAGGTCGTCTGCCGAATCGCTCGTCCTTCCTTGCTCATGCTCTTCTCCGTCAGCCTCGTTGCCGCCTGTGTCTCCCGGCCGCATTGGAACCTTCTTCGGGGGCCCTTCACCAACCTCAGACTCATCCGGTGTATCCCACTCCAAGCCATCCTGGTCCTCGGAGTCGCCCGCAGGCACCTGGCCCGGTGTATCTAGGATCTCCTCATCATCGTCATCATGTGCACGTTTAGCATGTGCATCGGCGTTCCAGATAGCCTTCCGGGCACGCAAGACGTCGGTGATCGTATGCCAACCGCCACCCTTCGCGCTAGAAATGCTCGGCATCGAGGTTAGTGGCGCTCGAGCATACAGCCCCTCATCCGACGGCGGAATCCTCCCTTCTGGCTCAAGGCTTGATTCTGGCAGGTCATCCTCGGGATCTCCGCTGCCAGATGGTGAACTTGTCGGGGATGGCGTGGATGCCTCAGAATCGGATGCGGGCTGGGACTGCCGCTCGGATTTTAAGCGCGAGATGTACGATTCGTAGGATTCCCAGGCGGCGGAGTGGGATAGCGGGTTGAAGGAGGAGACGTCATCTGAGGGATCCACGGAGAATGAGGTGTGGGTTGCCTGGCTAGTAATAGTAGTAGGATGCTTTCTTGTTGTAGGCGGCTCGTGGTCGATGGGGTCTTCGGAAGAGGAGTCAGAAATTGAATCCTCAGCGCTGCTTGAGAACAATGTGAAGCTCGGCAGCGATGTTAGGCGAGTCCTCGTCCGCGTTTTCTCCTCGCTCGATTCCTCCCCAGTAGCAGGTGTGATCGTCGTCCGAATCCGTGAAGGGGAGGAAGATGCTGATTGTGCGATGGACTGGCAGAACTGGCGTGCTTTCTGCTTGGGCATTGGGATTTCGACGTCGATGTCGTTGATGGTGAGGAAGATTGAGTAGTAGTCCACCTCTTCTTGTCGCTTGAACAGCAGCGGTAGGGACCCTAGGATGCGGTCGATGGCGCTGTTGTCGGTTTCTTGAGGAGTATTAGCTCTCCCAGAGAGGGGTGGCCCTGATATCGCCGGGACGCCAGAACGCTGTGGAATCGTGGGTTTGGCAGGGAGAGACCGGTGAGTTGTAATAGTCTCATCAACTGCTTGGGCTAATAGTGCAAATCGGGGGACATTAGGGTTAACGTTTGATGTATCCTGCAAGTAGTTGACGATGATGGCGTCCTTTGGCGGAGAAGAGCCCGCATTCTCGGAAAGTGGTGTGCCACCCTTAGCGAAGACCAAGTGCGAGGCGATGGAGTGCACTGTAGTCGTGGTGATTGTTTTTGTAATGCGCGACGTGGATAGGTCATCGAGAGAACAGATGGGGGTTGCAGCAGCGAGAGTGCTGCCTGCTGCTAAGAGGAAGAGGAGAGTTTCCATGCTGTGGCAACGATAGAAAGAGAGCGAATATCTGTCGCCGAAAAGAGCAGAAGGGTGCGAAAGCGGGAAAATGGAAAGAGGATACTCCAACCCAGGAGAGGATCACATGTTGGATCATTGAATGAGTGGTCCGTTTAGAACGTCGTGAACGCGTTATATTCAATGCTCTACTTCTGTAATACCTGTTGACTAAGCTACTCTATACGGATACTGGCGAGGAAACAAACGAAATTGAAAGGCCGCCACGCCTTTTTCCCATCTTCCTCGCCTCTAGAAATCCGGCAGATCTAGCAAAGTCGGGCGAGGCCGGGCGCGAGTTCTAGTAATCGTGCCCACACGTTGAGTCGCCATTGAAGTAACTCAGACGGTGGTCGTTGGGTCCGGTCTATAGTGCTTATTAGCAGATGCTTGGGATCAATATGAGGAAGTCCTCACGTCGTGCTCTTGTACTTCAAGTGCTTGGTAATGTAGACCGTAGACGCGGGTGGTTCTCCATCCGTCTCCGGCCTCGTGACTAGCTTCTTGCCCTTGCTCGTGCTTTCGGTCTCTATCTCCGTTTCCAGCGCAAAGACTGTGGAGAGGTCCACCGTTTCGATTGTGTCGGTGATGTAAATTTCCATGGTCTCGACCATTAGTGTACCGGGCCCACTAACGGTCGTCGTGAGCGAAATCTCGCGCGAAGTGGTGATGGTCGATGTCACAAGGACCACCTCCCAGACCTCCTGATACCGGATGCACTCCATGTTCCCGTCCTCCAGAATAGTGCAGACCTTGATATCGACATCTGAAGGCGTCTCTCCGGCGGTTAGAGACTGCCAGGGAGCAAGCCAGTATGTCATCATTCGCTTTACGGTCGGTGCAGGCGTGATCATTGAGTGATTGGTCGTGACTGGGGTTGGTGTTTCCAGCGTATAGCCGCACTCGCTCGAGAAGGTGATCTCTTGATCGCATTCAGACACGGTGACTTTGGAAGCAATTCCGGTAAGGGTAGTCGCGCAGACAGTAGTCGCAGTCGGAACATAGACAGTTTCGCAGAGACTTGTGCCGCTCATGGAAGTCGAGTACTCGAGCGATTGATTGAGGTACGGTGAGCCCGAAATCGGTATTAGAGCAACTGGATGACCGACGCACCAGGTCATTTCAGGGAAGAAGGACGTGACGACCTGGCTTTGCGCAGTGACTTCGACTGGCGAGGCATCCGGTGACGGGAAGATAATACTGTGGATGGAGCGCGTGGAGGTTGGCTCAGGGCATTGCTCCGTAATTGTTTGATTCACAATCAAGGGCTCTAGGCGCTTCGCTTGCGCCTTCTTCGACGCGTCCATAGCTTCGTGTCGGAAGCCATTGTACCTCGCGAGTATGGACGGGAGGCGTGAAATCGCGAGAAGCGTAGTGACGATATGCGGGAACATCGGCATCTTGAACGAATGGCTGTATGGAAAAAGCAAAGAAGGAGAGATGAGGCGCTCAAACCCATGAAGCTAAGAAATCGGTTGAACATGCCGTGATTGTGTTTGGCTTGGTTGCGGAATGGAGCATCGCGCGTCTGGATTTGGCCGCGCCATCCCTTACTTACTACGTACGAAACCGCATCAACTTCATCAGTGACACTCAGCGTGAGTGCTCATATTGATCGCTGCATCTCCATCTGGGAACCGACAATACAAGTGTACCTGCAAGGGAGCGGGGGCTCTTCGTGTCTGTCTGTCGTGATCGTGACCTCCCACGCACAAACCTTGGAATCCGCCTACGATCGGGACAAAGTCGACTCAATATGAGGCAAGAGGTTCCGGACGTCTAGTCCAAGAAATTGATAATGGGCATGCGCAGAGAAATGGAGTACTCAAGCGCGACTTCGCGGAGTGGACTCGCTGACTAAGCGCTCTTTTCCGAGCTGCTTTTCCGTGCAGCCTTCTCGCATTCTACGGCCAGCCACTAAGAGATCTTCTCCCCGCAGCTTCAGTTTCCTTGAAGGCTTACAAATGGGTCCGGCGATCCTCGGTACTCCTCATTTGTAATGAAGCCTAAAAATGCCGGGCATGATGCCGAACTCGATGCGAACCACTCCGAATAGCCTCACGCTTCAGCATGTCTCGGCGACTGTTGCATCTCTCACGAACCATTAGACCTCAGATTACGCCCTCTACACCGCAATTGAGTCTCACAATGGCTTCCCAAACACCTGTTAAACTCGCTATTCTCGACGACTACCACAACATCGCCGCCCAGCACCTCTCGAACATTGACCCCTCTAAAGTATCTATCACTACCTTTAATGACACCCTTCCTGCCTACACGCACCCCAAAACCACCGACGCGAACCGCAAAGCACTCGTCGAACGCCTCAAGCCCTTCTCCGTCCTGTCTACGATGCGCGAACGGACGCCGTTTCCAGGCGAACTCCTCCGACAGCTGCCAAATTTGAAGGTTATACTTGCGACGGGGACACAGTTTGAGACGTTTGACTTAAAGACTGCGAAGGAATTGGGAATCCAGGTTGTTGCGGCTCCCGGGAAGGGAAGGACAGATGGGAAGGGGAGCGGGCCGTCTGCGAGAGCGAGGATTGATATCAAGAAAGGTGGTGGGCATCCAACAACTCAGCATGCATGGGCTCTAATACTTGGTTTGGCGCGAAACGTCGCTGCAGATGATGCGGTCATGAAGGGCAAGGGAGTCCCAGCCGGCTGGCAAACGGAGCTTGCGATTGGGATGCAAGGGAAGACGCTGGGTCTCGTGGGGTTTGGCAGGATAGGGGCGCTTGTTGCAAGAGTCGGATTGCTAGCTTGGGGCATGAAGATTGTCTGCTGGAGCGCGAACCTAACCCAAGAGAAGGCAGATAAGCTAGCGCAAGACGTAGGATTGCCAGTCATAGGCGGCGGGATCGCTGGTGAAGATGAGAAGACGTTCGGGGTTGTGGGCAAAGAAGAGCTATTCAGGATCTCTGATGTGATAAGCCTACACTACGTTCTCAGCGAGAGGTCAAGAGGAATCGTAGGAGCGAAAGAGCTAGAATGGATGAAGCCTTCGGGACTCCTGGTTAATACGTCAAGAGGACCGCTGATCGACGAAGCTGCGCTATTGGATACGCTCCGGAAGGGAAAGATAGGTGGTGCAGCATTGGACGTCTTTGACATCGAGCCTTTGCCAGCGGACAGTCCATGGCGAGCTGAGAACTGGGATGAGAAAGGCAAGAGTAGGGTGCTCTTGACGCCGCATATGGGGTATGTTGAAGAGGGTACTTTGCAGACTTGGTACGAAGAGACGGCAGAGAATCTTGAGCGCTATGTTGAAGGAAAGGAGCTTTTGCATTTGATTACATGAAACCCCTCTTAACCTGCTTCAGCCTGCATTTCGTCCGCTGCGCCCAAGTTTTCTTACTAAAAAGGGAACCTACAGCAACGGAGCTAAGTCCCTTTTCCGTACCTTAGCCGGCTGATTCTTCTCTTCTTGCATCATCCTCTCCTTCCTCTCCAAGCGCCAAAAGTCCAGAACAAACTGTCCACCCTCCTCCAGCAACTCCTCGAATTCACCAGACTTCTCCATAATGTGTATCTGAAGGACCATGAACTCAACGACAAGTTCCCTCAGATCATCGAGATGGCCGTCGTCGCCGCGATCCATGGTGTTGTCATTGGAATACGCAAATCGCGCTAACTCAACAATATCCCTAGTGCGCTCTGCCCTCTGCGGGCTGAAATGGAAGTTCATGAGGTCCTTGTGGAGCTTGTGTAGCGCAAGGTCTTTGAGGGCTAGTATAATGTATCGATCAGCAATGCTGTACAGCTTGGCGTGTGCGAGGAGGACGGGAGCAAAGCTGAGCCGGCATTTAGGGTTGTAGTCGTTGCAGAAGCCTCTGTTGATAATCGCCCGTGGCTGTTGACAGAGGAGGTAAGGTCGCCGAAAGAAACGCTTGGTTAGCGGGACTCCTTTCTCGTCTCTTTTCCTCTCTTCTAGAGCTAGTCTGCGCTGGCTGTCCTGCTCGTACGCTGCCTCTCGCGTTCGCTCCTCGAGTTCTAGCACTTCCAGCTCTGCGACCGTCTGCTCTATTTCCACCTCGTCCAATCCTGGAAATTCTTGAGCCGGATCTTTGGTCGAAGTATAGCTGCTCGCCTGAGAGTCGTTTCCGTCGCTTGGAGCTACATTGTCCGAATCCGGATCGTCGTCGCTACTGCTAGAGTCGGAATCGCAGCCGAAATCGCAGCCGGAATCGAGATCATCTTCGCCGTAGAGGTCCCTGTACTCCGCCATCGGCGGCACGGTGTAGTCTCCTCGATAGGCGAATTCGCACACTCGCATAAAGTCCTCTTTCTCCACATCCGGGAGCTCAGCTATGCGTTCTTCAGCTTCTCTCATGGGTCCGTTTATGAGTCGGTCGAAATACAGAGACAAGGCGGCGATTGCCCTGGCGTGGGCGGCGACTGGCTCCATCTCTGCGCCCACGAGGAAGATAAATTGTGGGCTTGAGAGGATTCTAGGAGTGTTAGAAGACAATGCGGCTCTCCGAAACGGCGGACTTACTCCTCAAAAGAGGGCACCATCTTGAAAGTGGGCTGTGCTTGCCGACCGTGTAGAAGACGAGGTAGACATCTAGGAAGGTGTTGTGTTAGTGTTCTGATGGTTCGGCGGAACAACGTTTGACCGACATGCGCAGCGGTGAATGAGCGGAACTGGCTCTTGCGGTAGGGAGATCAAAGGGCTCGCCGTACAAGCAAGTAAGATTGGCTTAGCGAATTATACGTTCCATTGTACGCACCCGCGAAGGCCTCCGGGGTAGCTCTTACGCACGTCGTTCTATCCGGGGAATTCCACACCGTGAGAGACTGGGCCCCACTCCACGTGATCATACATCACGCTCCGGCTTTCCAGCAATGTCGAATGCCTTCCATTTGGCTGTTTGCCTCCGAGCAATCTTATCTTTTAGTAACATGACCCGACGCAAACTCTACTAGAAACATGCGTGCTGGGTTGACAAATAGGAGAAGTGCAAGCTTACTTTAGACTGCGGAGTATAAGTAAAAGCGCCGGGACGTGCTATAGCTCCATACTCGCACCGAGAGAAGCAACTCCGTTACATCAACAACAGTCCTCTCCACCATGGCGAAACCGTCCAAGAAACCTGCTGTCGGGTCCTTCGCCAATTCACAAGAGCAAAACGTCCCTCAAACCGAGCCACGCCAACTCCGCTTCGGACGACAGTTCTTCCCAGACTACACTCCCGCAACAATACGCAAGACAAAGCCATACCGTTCACTCTCCGCCAAACGAGAAGGAGCAAGATCCTCGCTGGCGTTGGTCTCGATCAGTTCCCCAGTCCCGGAAACCTCGTCCCAAAGAGCACCGCGAAGGGAGGCAAGAAGAAGAAGGCTGCGAAGGTAAAGGAGGCCGATCTCGATGCGCTTGCTGGTGGCCTTGGCTCGCTCGGGCTAGACGGAGGAAAGGAGAAGCATACTACGACGAAGAAGGAAGGCAAGAAGAAGCAAAAGGAAGAACCCCGAGAGACGGCATCCGTTGCAGCATCTACGAACGTCACCACCCGCGTTACCAGGTCCAAGTCCAATGCCGCAAAGGCTCCAACCAAGGCCGGCGGTCTGGATGACGCAGATGGCGAAGACCCGCCTTCCCCAACCCTTCGACCCAAGAGACGAACCCTCAAGCACCCCGCCAGCAAGCAGATTGTCCCATCGTCCCCTTCCTCTTCTGACGAGGAGGACGAGCCCTCCCTACCCGAGGATCCCAAAGCCGAGCATATCCGCAAGCTAGTGCTCGGGTTCCGTGAGAAAGCAAGCTGGGCAAGGAGTGCCTCCCTCTGGGGGATCGAAGAGAAGGACATGGATGAGCTATCAGCTGAGATCGTGCGCTTGAGAAAGGAAGGTGAGGACGTGGATGTCCTGGAGGCTATTCTGGAAGTCATGTAGCGCTTCGATGAGTTCAGGGATGCGTGGGATTTGTTCGTGGACCAGGTGGAGGGTGTGGGACTGGAGGTGGACTGGGGAAGCGGAGGGGAGGAGTGATTCTCAGGGTAGCTGCGCTTGGATCATCTGAGATGGGTATCATGGCATCGCGGCGTTGCGTTTATGGGTAGAAGAGGGAGGTATGTTCCTCAGTCATTCGCTTTGCGTTGGAAAGGATTAGAATTAGGTGTTATTTACTTGTGTTTTTCATACAGTCGTTACTATTATGATTCCCTCGAAAGACAAAGCAAACAGCTGTCAAAAGGCAAATGCAGTGACCTGGTTCGTGTGCTTTCCTCCGCCTAATCGCCCCTCTACTCCCTCTATTCCACCTTGCATACTCCCTTCCCAACACTCGAGACCAACTCGCATATGGGATAGTGCTAGTCGGCTATGCCTCGAGACCGCGGGTAGGCCTTCACGTACTGGTACGCGTAACGTTTTGAAGGCTCGGTAGTGATAGTCTAGGTCCACGAAGTGCTGGAGTGGAGGCGGTCGCTGGCGGCTGGTTCCACGGGGTATTGCTGAATTCGGGAAGCGGTCGAGCTCAACGGTGATCTTTCTCAATAGTACTAGCTCGTTGTGAATTCGAGACGAAGAAACTCTTCGACACCATGATCTGCATCCCGCGATCTTCTCCCGAGCTACCGCTCGGACTTTCAGCACGCAAACTCTTCTCGCTTTCGTTATCGGCCGCGGCGCTCGTCTGGGTGGGCATCTTCTCTTTCGCGGGCGATTCGTTTTTCATCCGCCCGAATGTGGGCGTGTACCAGCTCCGAGACTTGGATTTCTTCGGGGACGTAACAACCTGGTCAATCTGCTCTGGCTGAGACGATTTAGAGGCCCCGGCTTCGACTGCGGAGGAGAGCTTGTACAAGTCTAGGTCGTTCTGGCTTGGCTTGCGGCGGCTGCCCATCATATGGCTGTTGTATGGCGTGGGAGAGGTTTTCGTGGAGATTCCGAGCTTGAACATGGCGAGTTGGAAAAGAGGGCGAAGAGTGGCGAGGCTACCAGCCGTAATTGCGAGGCCTTGTTCGACTGTCGACCAGATGGCAATGTCGAGAGTGGCCCCTGGATATTGTTAGCGCTTAGGTGAAGACTGCACGGGGGAGGTTGCCTACAGAGGAAGTCTGGCGATCGAAATCTGGTCAGGAAAGGGGCCCGGACGACCACTGCGGAACTCGCAATGCAACCCATGGTCAGAAGAGGTACCAAAGCAATTTTCGTTCTGCGCTTTAGTTGAAGACCCATGACCAGAAACGCGGGCAGAATGGCGAATGTGAAGTCCGAGATGATGCTGAAAGCGCTGTAAAGGTAAGCGAGCGCGATGATGACCTCAGTGCTGATACAGGTCCCTGGCTGCGTCTTGTTCCAGAAGTACGAGATTGGATGGCATTGGAATAGCGTGACGAAGAAGAAAACCGAGCCGGCCACGACGGAGATAAACATAGCCGCGTAAATGATCCAGGCGTGAAGCTTCTTGATAGCGATGCGTAGGAGGAAGTAGCCGATAGATAACTTAGAGGTGATCATTGTGCAGCAATAGAACAGGTAGCAGAACCACCAGCCGTGTGTGGCTTTCTGGATGCCTTCGATAGGCAGATCGGCGTGATGTCGGCCTGTGCCGTAGTGCACCCCGATTATTGAAGACGTGCAGTACGCAACGAAGAACAGCTGCTAATAATCAGCATAGTCGCTGTGGGGTGGTACTTGATGGAGTACCTACAGTAGCAATTGCCATAAGCCAGTCATCGAATCCAAATGCCTTAACCATCTTGAGGCGCACATAGCATCTGAGAACATTAGCCATGAGCGCCGAACACATGAAGGCGATGTCGACGCCGAGAAGCTCGGGTCCTCGATTCGGGATGGACGAGCCCATTGCGCTGTCCTATGGTGGTGTGTCCACAGGCGCAAAGACGGTGAGAATCAAGACTCGTAGGGTTGAAGGATTCTCATGAGAATTTGAGCTCTAAGGCATCGGAGCTCGACTTCTGTAGAACGCATTGCGCCTACCTAAAAAGGGTATATCGCCACGGTCTAGCGCCTTAGTGTAACCCCAGTCAGGGGGCCGTTATGCCTCGGTGGGATGTCCCTTGCAACGGCAACGGTTGTTTGAGGGCTGCATGTGCGCATGCACATCGCTTATCTGATCAAATTGAACAGGGTGCTGGATTGGACAAATGTGTGGAAGTTGCCGCACGCTGCACGTACTGCACCGGTTGTGTCCGGAGAATTTTGCCCAGCAGGTCGGATTGATCCGGGACAAAACGTAGTCAGTGCGGTGACGAAGGTGCAGGCGGGGTTTATGGATCTGGCATGCGAGAGAAGAGGCGAGGAATGGCCTCCGTGTCGCGCTGGTGGACGGGGCTATCAAGCCGATGATAGTTGACAACCTTGGAATATTTGGGACCACGCCTGCACGTGGGTAAGTCTTGGCAGGGACATAGCGTCACGCTAAGACTGCCTCTCCCGGTCTGCACTTCCTCTTTCTGTCATCATGCATTTCTCTGGGGATCATCCCAATTGTCCTCCCTCTTCAATCGGCCTCGCCCTACTCATTCTGAGATTCGAAATGTTTGCCTTCAGGTGCAGGTGACTTCTTCCGTTCTTTCTCTTTACATAAACTCTGATATTAAGTGCTCATCACGCGCTAAAGACAGTAGATGATGGCCTGCAGGAACCTCTAGAGCACACGCATCAGCGGGGCAAACACCTGCATCTGCGGGTCTTCTTCGGTGCTCGGCAGTTCAACAATATTTGGTGGAGGACGGCGATTACAAACGGAAAGTTTCGACCGCTAGTCTAACATTCTGAAACACTTGGGGGATGCGAGAGACTCTTTCAAGCGGTCACGAGGTGCGAACGCGTCGATCCCACGAGCGGTAAGCATCCTCTCCCGCCACTACGGAGGGGAACACGATCTACAACATGGCCCAAGCCGAGGGCGCGTTGTTGTTGTTGACGGAAAGACTCTTACCCCGCAACGTTATGATGATTCACAGTGATTCGAGTGCATGATGCATCATCAGTCACTGACATCCAAAAGGACGACCGGTCCAGATATCCCTCATTCTGCATGTTCTTCGGCTTGTCCCTCGGTACCTTCACTATATGCACGCGATTGCGGACATGCATATTATGATAGCGTGACGAAGGGATGGAATCTCCGCCTACGACGACGCACCCATTAAGGGACGTCATTGTTTCCCTCTCCGCTGATCAATACCGTGAGTCTTGCTACAGGCCTCATAGCCTGTTTCAACCCTATTCTCAAACTAGTGGGCCTCTTGATCTGCAACTTCTTTCGTAGTCCGAAGTTCTCGCAGACTTACACAGTGCGTCCTCCCGGGGCTAAGCTGCCCACCTACACTAGGATCTGATCTGGAGCTTGTGATGCGACGCGCCAACAAACCATCTCAGCCTTTCGGCATATGTCCCCCCGAACCGACATCTCCGGACTTCTGTCCATGGTTGGACTGTTGTGCTATGAGGCCATACGAATCGCCAGAGGTGTCTTGTCTCTGGGGAGACTTGCGGACGCCTATATATCGGCCAGACTTGACTCCCTCCCCGACCCTGCACATTCGTCGGCTCTCGGTTGAATAGTCGTTTTCTCTAACTTCCAAGTTTTTGAAGCACAACCTGGAAGAGGGCGGCGCCTTCCCATGGGTGGCCTAAGGGCAGGAGTAATGTCACTCCCGATCGTCGAAGACGTCGTGACGATCGTGGCGGTATGCATTGAAGGCTGCCGTTCGCATAGTCATCTGAGTAGATGTAGTGCTGGCAAGATGCAGTAGCTAAGGGTGCTACCATCCCTGGTCCTTTGTCTTGAAACAACACCCCCTCGCCTTGGCTCAGAGGGACATGTCGAATTGGATCCAATGCTAAGGCGCGCATCTGGGGAGTCGTTCATTCGTTCGAGAAAGAGTGATGATTGGGCACGTCAAGATTCAACGCTCAGCGCTCGTCGTCCCTTCGGTGTTCGGCCCTTCCATCCGTCCTGAGCTTCTACAATACAGGCAGATTCCCTGCTCTTTGGCGACCACAATTCGAACATCTCAGCACCTCGCATCGCGGGATTTAGGAAGCGAGAGCTTCATTCCCTACTTCTCTTTTAATGCGCTGGCTTGCTCAGACTGGCAGCCTCATCCTCGAGCCTAGCGATGGATGCATGCTCCACGTCTTGACCGGAAGGGCGCTCATGAGAAGGCACCATACGGCAAGGCAGCCTAACGCATGCTGCCACAATGCTCGCAAGGCAGATTTGCGCCTGATGAGCGAGGGAAAGACGGGAAAGGAGGGCGAAGTTGACAGATTGTGAGTACAGAGGACAGGAGTCGAGAGATGGTGGGCAGGAGAGGCAATACGAACCAGGTGAAGGGCGACAAAGGGCTCAGCTGTGTTGTACTATACATGCACCGTGCATCCTCAGCCGCCGATTAGCTGAATATGCTTCTGTACCAAGTCCATGTTCTCGTATAGCTCGAACTGACCAGCCCGGTCATACTTCCACTGCTGTACTTCTGGAGGGAAAAACCCACACTCTTCCATATCAACCAGGGCCAGCACGTCCAGTGTCTGGGTACAAAACAACATGTTGTGTAGAACAAGGTCATGGTGGCAAAAGACGAAGTCGGCTTGACGAGAACTCAACACCGGCCAGGTCTCCCTCGTGTCGCTTTCAGAAACCCAGCGAGGCGGAATCACGATCCCCCCGAGGCCCGTCGTCTCACTCTTCAGACTTCTCAGCTGGGGTAACACCTGTTTCCGAACGAACTGATTGGCATTTGCGCGGACAATGCCTTCGCACACGGCGCACGGCGAACCAGCTTGCGAAGAAAGGTGCAGCTGAGGCATGCGGCACTCTAGCGCAGCCATGTCGCCGCGGACCGATCCGTGGATGTACTCGGTCACCAGATAGCAAAGGCCGTCTTCGTCCTGGCCAGCGGCAATCAGCCTGGGGACTGGGATAGACGTCTTTTCCGAGAGGAGGCGTAGGGCCGCAGCCTCTACGGTGAAGCGCTCCTTGAGCCATGGCAGTCCGACGGCGTCCGGAAGTTCGCGTTTGATGAACGTGGTCGTCGTCTTGGAATATGATTTGGCCTCGGAGCGAAAGAGAAAGACCTCGCGGTCCAGTTGCGGTTCCATGGCCGGGGCAGAATTTGTGTGTAGGGATAAGGGAAGAAAGATGTCGAGTCAGAGACTGAGTTTTTCCTGTCACGGACAGTCTGGGTGCGCCGTGAGCAGAAGTGAGAGGGGCTTTCGTGGGGGGAGGACAATCGTTCTGCATCTTTACATGTCCTGACCCCCGAACCTTTTGCGGCGCCCTGCAGCCTTGTGGCCTCTTGATTCGGCATCCCTGGCGGTCAACAAGAACGAGTTTTAATGAGTTTCAACGCTTGGAGCGGTCACGTTGCGCACGCGGGAACAGGCAACGAGCCGGTCAGGGGATGCGGTCGGACTGCCACATCACAGCCCATTGGCCTTTGTGTCATTCAAAGCCGGGTGCTGGGCGTTGACTAAGCACTAGTATGTGCACACCGCCGTGCAGAGATCAATACTCGATGCTAATGCAACAAAAACAGCTTGATCCGTTTCGACATACCTCTGAAGCTTCAAGAATAGCAGCATCCGGTGAGTTTGTGCCCATTCGCTGTCGTGAAACTTCACTGATGAGGCCCAAGAAGCGTAGACAACTCATTTGGTAAACATGTGGTGGTCCGTAATACGTAGGAGGATTGGGGCATGGAAACTGTCTCAGCCGTGTTTTCGCTGTTCTGAGTTAAGCGCCTCCTGATGTGCGTGAGGGTGGTGACGCACGTCCTCGGGTAATGGTGGCGGCCCCTGTTAAGCTTGGGTCTCCCATCATCCGATTGGTTCACCAACGCCAGCAAAGACGCGTCACATTTCATTGGTGGCCCTTGAGCGAAACTTGAAGGCTGAATGCTTGTTGACTACATAATAGGAAGAGGGCGAAGGACCTACCCTCCGCCATGACCGGTCCTGCGTAGATACCCTTCACTCCGGATGCCAGCTGCTCCAGAGACGTATGAACACTCGAAAATGGGTATGTACCTTCCTCCACGCTTCTCAGAGTTTCCAAGAACGCCACACGCCATATACACCAGAATTGAAATGGAAAGACCATCTCCTCAGCAAGCACAACCCTCGACCGACCGGGCTAACAGCATTAGGAAGCCGATGTATGCGATAGACTGCAGGAACATCGAAACCTCTCGAGCGATTCGACGTCTTCCTTCGCCCTCACGCATGATCTGCTGTAGTCCTCGGGCTTCAGGAGCCTTCTCGATCTTGTCCGAGCTTGGAGATACTAGGGGGAAAGGACCGCCGTACGTTGTGCTATGGACGGATCTGCATCGTAGACAGTAGGAGAACCCTCCGTCGCTGTAGCGGCGGATGCGCTGGTTATTGTGCTGTACTGCTCGTCCGGCTCCAAGCAGCGCTGGAGATTCGGGTCTCATAGTGGACGCTCGGGCTAGACCCGAGGTTGCAGCTGGAGCTGCTACAACCGGGATGTTCTGCCGAGGAAGAGTCCCTGCAGCGGGACCACCCGATCCCCCACTGGCGGTGGTGCCAGTGCCGTTTGGCTTTGGGTTCTCAGTCGCGGGTGTATTGCTCGGGAGGAACCATTTCTCCACTGCCACGTGTAAGTTTGCTAGTTCATCATTGCGAGGAGTTGCACAAGCTCTCTACTTACTCCAGGCCGTACCCTCCGCGCTAGGAAGGAACTTCTGAGCTCCTTCGTAGAACTTTTGTTCGCTGCCGCAAGGGCTCAGTTTGGCTTTGAGCGGCTTGATCAGCTTGGCGACGATGACCGCCCTGACCTCGGGAGTCTCCTTCCTCACTTCCTCTGGCAGATTCATAAGCAGCTCCAGCATGAGCTTCTCGGCCGGGTCGGTGACGAGCGTCCTCTTCTTGAACACGTGCTGAACATTGCCCCTCTCTCGCTTCGTTACGTTGCCTAGACCAGCGGGAGTCAGCATGGCTCTACAATGACCATCGATCCGGACAGCCTCCGACCCATCCTCCGCGCGCGCCCTCGGTCCCGCATACCTACCGCGAACACGATGAGCTGGCGATCGGATACCATGAAGGAACGCTCGGTGCTGGTATACAAGGTGTACACTGGAAGCGCTGCGGATGCCTGAAGCCATGCTGCATACTGCGGGAAGCGTCTGAACTCGAGCTTATAGCATGAGTCGGTGGCTTCTCACGGCTTCAGCAAGCGTTGACTGGTCCGTGCCGGAGGATGGGCCAGTCCTAAATTCTCGTGGGGAGAATTTGGCATCCCGCAGCGCGCCATCACCCGCGACCTGCGGCCGAGCGTTCCTCGGTTTGATCGATTATCCAGCTCTTTTGCGTTCGGCTGGTGGGCCGTATACGGGAGTGCGAGGTGTGAGCTAGGGGTGGCAGAGAGCGGGGAACTTACCCGCCACAGCGAGGTGGGAGCCCCTGTAGGGACCCATGGTTGACGCTCGAGTCCACGAAGTCGTGGCCAGTGTAGGCTGGCTGAGCGAGAGAGTTGTTCTGCGCAGCTTTTCTGTGTTGCTCGTTGGCGGGTGCTCAGGAGGTGGATGCGAACAGTGAGCCGTGGCGAGCCCGCGACGAGGCTACTACTCACCTAATACTTGGTAAAAGTAATTAGATAGCTTCAATAGTACTAGGAATAACTCTCAAAGCTATGTGTCAGACTTTCGAGGGCGTTGCGCCGGCGCTGTGCGAGCTTGTTGTGCCGGTGTGCGGTGGGTGAGGTGCGGTGTTTCTCTGACGTACCGGAAACGCTGCGCTTCCGAACGGCTAAAACTTTCGAGCTTGGGAGAGGGCTGGCTTGCGCGCTGCTTGATTTTCGCTGCAAGTGACTCGAGGCAAGCGGACAGATGCGTATTTAGGGCCAGTGTCGGTGGTGGTGGTGGGCCGGCGAAGTGGTGGAGTTGAAACGTTGTGACGGGCAGTGGTTGTTGCTGAGTCGGAGGCGACGCTTCCATGGCAGATCAAGGGTCGGGGCGCGCGCACCACATCATCCACCTGGGCACCCGCACGGGTCTCGAGGGTGTTCTAACCTTGATACGTAGGCGGTCGGCGGCGGCAGAGGCCTCCCATACAGGCTAATATCACGACCGACGGCGGCGGGCAATTGGCCAGCCCAGAAGCCCGGAACGCTGCCGTCAATCCGTGCATCGGTGGATTGAGACATGGAATGCAGCATTCGCCTCTATCCCTCCTGATGAGCCGCGAATTGGCTGATCAAGAGGAGCAATCGCAGTGTTACGTGGCTGTCATTGGGCCATCCAGCGCTGAGCTGCCCGCCAGTGGTGAATTTCATGACTTGGGAATGCGACGGAGCATCTGCTTTCCAGCCGTCAGTCACACGTCGCCTCCCCGGCTGTCCTCATCGCGAGATACGGCTACTGGCACCAGGCGGCCCACCGCAGCCGCTGTCGCACACGTCTCAAAGGGATTGTACAGTAGGGGAGGCGTGCTGGCTGGCTGCTGCATACGATGGGCCAGGAATGCGCTGATTAGCGGGCTCGCTCTCGCATGCTTCCACAGCCACGCCCGCCAATTTATCATCTTACTGTATATTCGGACCCACCCGTTCAGACGCTTGGTTGGAATCGTTGGATTGGTTTGCAACTATGCGTGGGTGATAAGTCCCTACGTATAGGATGGCATTCGCCACAGAGGCAGAATGGCGGTCGTAGAATGACCCTGTTCATTCTGTTTCGTGCTCCTCCGGAACAGCCACTGGCAGCTCGGATCCAGCAAGAAGGAACGCCCAGTTCAGCGCTCTTCTCTCGTCTTCTGCGCCTTTGATTTGGCTGCCACGCGTCGGCTGCCCAACGCACCACACAGCACCGTAAGGCAGATGGAGCCAGCCCTATAATTAGCGACCTTCAGAATGGGAGACTACCTCGTGATTTGGCAATGGTGCCCACGCGTCCGTTCACGTTTCCCCCCAGGTCGATATTGAGAGCCGCGTTGAAGTCTCGTCAAGCTCTTCCATCGACGGGGGAGCCAGCGCCTGTCAGCCAAACTCTGTCAGCCTATGAGATCCGCCAGCGCCTTATTTCGCTACCAGCGGGCAGAAGAGTCCGAGTGTCGCTTCGGTCGCACCGGGGTATTCTTTTGTTGGCATCATCGTGCGAAATATATTTGCTCCTGCTCCCTCATGGTTGGTAGTGATGCTCTTTGTCATGCAACCGTGTCGAGAACCGCATGCGCGTAGGGGCTGCTCATGCTGCACCTTCTGAGGTCCCTGAGGGCTTCCTCTAGCTAAACAAGAGCAGATTACCTTGCGGTTGCTTGTTGACTCCTCATCAGCGAGACCGGGATCAGCCGCGATAAGGATAGAGCCGCCCGCGGAAGGTTTCCTAAGAGCCCAGAGCGCGTCCGCGGTCGGGATCCCGGCTTGGGTTCAGGACAACCTCATTTCGTCCGACTGACACTGACTAGCAGCCGGCGTCGCTTTACTCGCCTCGATTCTGTGCTGGCGGCGCCACTGCTGGGGGCGGCCATGTCCACGGACCGCGTCCAGGCAGGCCAGACAGCTGGTCAAGGGTGTGTACTCGCTGCACCCTGTTGCGGAGCCTTGGAACGTTTCTTGGAGTGTGGCTGTGTTGGCGGCGTGCAGGCGTGGATCGCCATCCCTCCGAAGCTCGTCATCCTAACCCCGTCGTCAACCTTCCAGCTACTCTTACCGCTGCAACCGGCTCGCTCGCGCTCTGCATCCCCGTTCTATGCAAACTCCGAATGACTTCGATGCCTCGTCTGAAACCGCCGAATTAGTCTCCTTCCTCCCAATCGCGCCCGTTCTGCACGACGACGTACCGCCACAAACTTTCGAGTCAGCCTCGCGAGGTATACCGGGCTATGCGTCATTGGACAGCACACATCATGCCGGAAAGGCGGTTCAGCTCTGTGGATATGCCGAAGCCTTTCAGGAGGGCATTTCCGCCAACACGGCTGTGGATGCTTCCCTACGGAAGACCGCGTCGAAGGAAAGCAACCTGTCTGGTATAGCAGACCTTCCCTGGGCTCCTCCGCATATGGTCTGCGAATCTCCGAGGACCATATGGAACCTAGACGGGCTTGATGATTTCAACTTCGAGCCAGGCTCGCTACAGATGCCATCGCCTTACTCCCTTCTTGGAAGCTGGGCCTCGGATCCCCAAGTCCAGACCTTCGAGGGCCTTCAGCTTATGGAATACCAGACGGCAACCATAGAGCCTGCGAGGCGTGCGAAAGAACCGCCGATGTGGTCCCATGTGTCATCCTCTTCGGCCTGGACGTCAGAACCCACTAGCCCCTCGTCTCAACCATCTATAGGCTCCGTATCTATATCGGACAGGCGCAGGCGCTTTTCGTCGTCTAGTCGTGGCAGCCAGTCTCTCAAGCGCCGCATCAACTCTATCAAGCACCTGAAGCCCGCCAAAGACACCATCGATCCGTTTTGCTGCGAGACATGTGGACGATCGTTCAAATACAAAAAGGACCTCGAGAGACATAAGCACTCTGTTCACAACAGCCAGGCCAGCTGGTTCTGCCCAGTTGAAGGATGCAGATTTGCTGTACAGGGGTTTAGCCGGAAAGACAAAGCTTTTCAGCACGTCAAGACGCACCAGCGCGATTTGGCCACCGGCATCGAACCTATCTTCGTCAATTCGGAGGAAGGCATTACGCTAAATCTACAACAGAGCGAGACTTCAGGGACCTCACCAGCTATTCTTGCTCTTGGCTCCTCGACGACCGATTCCGTCTCGGACGATGCTTCGGCGATTGTTCATTCGACGATAAGGACGCCTCCCCGGATAGACGCAAGACCTCATAAGTGTTCAGTCTCCGGTTGTAATACGACATTCGCGCACTCGCATGATCTTAGGAGGCATATGAAGACGAAGCACTTAGACCTGAGGTCCGGCGAAGGATATAGATGCGCGGCTCCTGGCTGTCCATCGGCTGATAAGGTGTGGACACGCCTGGATAACTTCAGACAACACATATCAAGGAGACACGGGGGCGAGGATGTCGATATTGAGGCACTGATTCGCAGCTCGGCTAGGGTAAACCAAGCTGGCAGCACATTTCCTTTCACAGTTACCACACCGGATACGTTTTCTCAAATACGTTCATAATACGTTGAATCGCTTCAGTCCGCATTTGCAATACCGCGAGCAAGCTTATACCGTCTAGTTTGATGCATGATCAGCAAGAGTCGCTATGAAGTGTTCCACACAATATTGGATTGCAAAGACCTAACGCCTATCTACCCGCACGCCGTCCCATTATTCAGTCACGTCGTCCTCCAAGCTATAAGTGCTCGATCTTGATAGTATCGAGCCGATGCTCAACTGACCAAGCAGCTTTGTCATGTCGACGTCGCCAGTTGCACCCATCTCTGCCAGCCGGAAGGCCATGCCACAGATGGACTGCGGTCTGGCAGTCTGGCTTTGAAACCAATCCCACGCGGGCTTCAGGTCTGGCTTGATCCGATCCTGATAGAGCGCGTAATTTCGGCTGCTCTGGTCAAGTAGTGCGGGCTGTCGTTCAGGGTCGTTCAGGATGAACTCCAGGCTGTTCCGCTCCTCATTACTCATACCGGGGCATATATCCTCTCGCAAGAATTTGTTGGTGCCCTCGCCTTCTCCGAAGAAGGATTGTAGTAGGCTGAGTGCATTCATCATGAGGATGCATTGCTGAGCCGGCGGATGCTCTGGCTTCGTGTCGTCGCTGCACGCAGGCAGCAAGTGGTAGATGAGACATATGGTTACCAGCATGCCTTTCGCGGGCTCAAAGCTCGGTTTTAAGGACGCCATAATGGTTTCCAGTTTCGGCTCGTCGGGAAAGCCCAGTTCTTTGATCGCGTTTCGAACAGCGAGAGGATAGTTCTGGTCAATGATGGTGAGGAAGCGCAGCAGAACGTCCAGTGCAGCAACTTCGAATTCCGGGCGTTCGTTGTCAGAATCTTCCTGAGGTTGAAGTATGTCCAAACCACGAAGGAAACTACTGAAGTCGTCTCGGTGTCGGAACTTGGTATATGTCCGCTTCATCACCAATTCATGGAATTGCTCAAGCAGGAGGTCTCCCGAGAGAACGAGGCCGTTGAGTGAATCCAGGAGTAACTCTTCTTGCAGTGTCGGCGGACCATAGGCATAGCTTTTGTACAGAATGTCATGCCCTGCTTCTGCCCAAGCGTGTGAGAGCGCGGACACAACCTGTATCTCCACTCTGTCCCTCTTCTTCCAAAGGTAAGATCCCTTTTTGGACTGCTCCTCCTTCATTTTCGGTCGGTAATGTACCGCGATATATCCGAGGTGTCGTGCGCGATATTTCTTCCTCGTTGATAATTTATTACGTTCCTCGGGCGCTTGAAGGATTTTCGCTCTTTCATCTGGATTCATCCTCTCGTTTGAGCCGTCGTGGTACTTCGGCTGGACGTCTTCGCCCCATATCGCCTGTATGACCCGCTTCACCTTCTCTCGCTGATCCTCGCTCGGCATGTAAAGTATCATGCGCACTCCAGCCAAATCGTGGACATCGTCCCAAATATCCTCGGCACTCTCATACGGCGATTCAGCATGCCGCATCTTCAACTTTTCTTCCAGGCTTTGTGGCTCTTTTGCTCGACATCTTACATTTACGTGTACGTCCTTCCATTCCGGCTTTGCTAATTCTTCTTGGATCAATTCCTGTGCGCGCTTGGCGAGGTGGATGTAGTGCGTCGGATTGTAGATCTCCAGGAAGTCCTGTATGACTTTTGCTGTTGGCGCTTGCGATACCCAGGTAAACTGGCGCGCTGGTCTGCGGTAGAGTGGGCTTTCGGACCCCATTTTGGCTCCCGTTTTAGGGGAACTGAAGTCCTTCAGCCGTTTATCAGCATGCGCTCGTTGAGACAATGTCAATGCTTCGAGACACGAGTTGTGAACCAGGCCGAAGGAAGGAGATATGCACGAACCTATATTCAGCCGTACTAATCAATGCCTGTCTCCGCGCACTCAGTTTAGCTATCAGCAGCACGAAGGCCTCCAGGGGACAATGAGCTATCAGATCAAGCGGAACCAAATGGAAATAGAAGAAGGCTGGAGGCCGGAGCCCGTCCAGGCCGGGCTGAATATATACCATGCAAAGACTCCATGAGCCTCTTTTGGGGGCTCAACACCCATCTCCTCGCAAGGCTGAAGGCGATCAACAATGATTGGAGGGCTGAGGCACCCATCCATCGCTAACGCATGTCGCAGCTGGCGCGGGTCGGGGCGGCATTTCATCAGCTGGCCTTCCGTAATGGGCCTGAGGCCCCGACAATCCAGCAGCCTAGCTCAGCAATCAGCCTTGAATGTGTTCGAAAGCGAAAAGGGACAGCCTCGAGCGCCTGACTAGAATACCGGTGTGGATTCGCCCACTGTCACCCTCAGCCACGCACGACGTCGTCGCACGGACCATCTCGCCTACATTACCCACCTGGTCTTTAGAGCCGTCTCCTCCTCGTCACCTACGCCTCCACCGTCCAACCTTCAACTTCAGCCTAGATCTTAGATTTCAGCCAGTGCCATGGATAGCTATGATTACAGAGCGATGAAACACTACTCCTCGGGCTCGCGAGTGGAAAAAGCATACTCTAAACCACCATCATACCGCGACTACGTGGACGCTCTATGTGCACGCAACCCATGCTTGCTCAATCTTCTCAGCTTCCTGTCATTACCGAAGGCGTCCCAAAGAAGTTGTCAAATAACTGCTCTGGACTTTCGCGATGGCATCGACCACCCCCTCCCTCGGACTCTTCCGGATATCGACTTCCTCTCTAATGAACTGCGAGGGAAGCAGAAACTCCCAGACAAGCTAGAAGAGCATTTTCGTGAACATCCACTACAAGGCCGCATTCTGATCATCGAAGATCTGACCCAAGATGTGGTTGAGCTGCTTGGATCGTCTCTCGACATCGACCCTCTGTTCTTCGCCCTGCATCTACACACAACGCAAAGGAACGACATGCGATCTCAAACACCGGATGATGCGACCCTACCGTCTCGTCTCGTCTCTCGAGAATACATCAATACCACATACCATCGACCCCTTGTATGCGACAAGATGCCGCCATTCGGAGAGAGACTGGTGAGGGATATGACAATCAATCGCAAACTGGTCTTCATACGCTCCACGCCGATCGGCCTTGCCCAGCACTGCGTCTCTATGATCAAAGTTCAGCAAAGTGACGACTTCTGGATAGGTATGGCACTCCTACCGCTCTATGTGTGTTTGATGGTATGATTAACATCACTAGCTCTTCTGCTCGCCGATCCACCAATTAATGACATCTACTACCCCTCAGGCCACAAAGACAACGAGGCCCTCAAAGTGCGCCTGGCTTTGCGTCCATTCCTCGGAACTTATGAAGATTTTCTGGAGCCTCCAAAGTTCTCGGACGACTGGGCTCATCTCGACGAAGCGCCTCGTGGAGGCATGGCGTCCGAATTCATCCAATACTGGGAACGCTGCATCCCGCCATCTTTCGACTCCAGGAATCCTCCTCTGGAGTCGCTAGCCTACTACCCTCTGAAGATCGTCGCAGGGGAGTGGGTCAAGTACGTAGCAGTAATGCAGCATTGCATCAAAATGTACGAATACCGCGGCGATCAGCTCCCCGATCTCGAGCAATTCAACACAGACCTGCGAGAGCTGCAAGGCTGGCGGCGCCGCAGCATGGTCTCGCAGCAAAAAGTCCGCGCTATAATCCGGCAGCTGAAGTCTCGCGACTCGCTGGAAGCAAAAGGGCGAAGTAGCCTGCAATTTCTCACCGAAGACTTCGAAGTCCTCAGCAACAACATCGAAAACGCGGGTAGAAGGCTAGAAAACATGCTCCCCGTCGTCACATCTCTCGTCCAGATCATCGATGCGCGCCAATCCTTCGCGGAGACGACTAACATCAGCCGCTTGACCATCCTCGCACTGATCTTTGTCCCGCTAAGCTTCGTCTCCAGTTTGTTCAGCATGAATCCGGAGAATGGGCCCGGTGGAAAGGAATTCTGGGTCTACTTCGCTGTTGCTATACCGATCACGTTTCTCGTCTTTCTGGTTGCGCGACCACCAACAAGCGTCGTCCTAAAGTGCCTAGAGTGGGCTAAAACTCCAAGGAGGCCGAGGATAGCCATTCCGCAGCCTCGACATAGGGCAGCGATGAAGGAACGGGCTGAAGCGTAAGGAGTATACGACCACTGGCGCAGTTAAGAGGTGGAATATGTTGTATTCACACCCGATGCATTCGCAGATGCTCTCGCGCGGACGTCATAATTTATATACAAGAAACCCCTCTAGCACTTGAACACGCTCGGCCCTGGCGCAGTGTACGTCTTCTGCCCTGTATACAAGTTATACAGAATCCCCGGGTCGCTCGCCTTATACGCTCCCGGCAAGCTCACACTGCTCGGCGTCTTGCTCGCGGATCCGCCCGTGACATTAATCTGAGCGCACTCCATATAAAACTGCGCACCGTTCGCGCTTTGCGCACCGTGTAGAGCGATCAGCTCGCCGCGGAGCAGGTACTGGCCGGGCGCGATGCACTGCGGGATGGTGACGGTTTGGATGCCCTGGTTCGCTATAAGGCGGTCCACCCCCCATTTGCCGGAGGAGTCGAGGCCGTCTTCGGCAATCTTGAACCAGCCGGCTGGGAATGGAGTTGGCAAAGTTTCTTCTCCGGAAGAGAGGGCGGTTTGGGGAAGGACGAATGGAAATGGGGAACGTACAGCCAACGCCGGAGTCGGTCGCTGCGTTTGAGACTTTCTTCATATACGCCATAACGGGGCCCTTGTGGCTCGCGTCGATGACATCGCTGGCAGTCGAGGTCAGGGTGTGACGCCATGTGAGCTTGGCCGAGGAGCCAGCTTGCACGGTGATGATGGTTGAGGTCTTCTGCGTGGGGTTGGGGCCGCCGTTGCAGACGATGTCGTTGGAAGATACGTCCGTGATGGGCTGTTTTGCGTTAGTTCTGCAGCTGCAAATCGGATATACAGGTCTAGTGAGGTGTATATAATGGGAGGTCGGGAGGAAGACGTACACCATCGTATGAAGGAACCCGGACACCGTCGCCAACCTTGCCCCCATTCAGAGAAACGAAGATGGTGTGTGCAGAGGCCGTTGAAGCCGCAGCGGCAAGAGCGAGAGACGTAGAGAACTTCATCGTGAACTGTGTATGCTGAAAGGGACGTCCGGCGAGGCGATGTATCCAGCGACCGAGGTGCTACTACCCAGCATATATAAACAAAACTCCCATCAACGCCCACAAGCCCTGCCCATCCGCGCCATGACCACGACGTACACCCTCACTACCCGTTTCGGCAAACCATCATGCACGCGCACCCCAGACAGCGGAGCATTTTCGCTACCCTCCACCAACCACCTCCGCACTTCGTATTATGCCACGAGCGCTCCAGATATTCTCATTCCCTCCATTCCTCCTTTAGTACGGAGGCGTCAATCCGGTCCTCATCCACCGCGACGACGGTAGATTAAGGCAATATGGAAGGCCGCGATAGAATATTCTTCAGTTCGCTAAGCGAGGCCGCCGCGCCCAATCACCCCGCAACAGATAGATTGCGCGACGAGAAATTTGGACGAAATCCGGGGCCGAGGCGACACAAAGTATATGAGAAACGGGTAGGCGTGACCTGGATCGGGACCAAGAGTGCCGAGCCTGGTAATCGCGAGGTTAAGGTAGATGGGTTGTGGGCCCGCGGGCTTGTTCAGCGAAGGCGGCGCCAAGCGGAAGTTCAGGTCCGTGGCAAAATCTGGCAGGCGAGGATGGTTTAGATGAAGAGATTTGAGGAGGAATGGTGTTACGTATGCAAGGTGCTCTGTTGTGGTCCAGATTCTGTTTCAAGTTGCGTTCGTTTGGCTGGGGTTGTAAGACTGTGGAGGTAGGTATGGGTATATTGACTTGAATGGGGGGTATGCAAACAACAAAAGATATGACGAGCTCGAACCAGGATAGAGATATCTGGGTTGCTGGCCTTGATCTTTATCGTCAAGGGTGAAAAAGTGTCGTCACGTGTTGAAAACGGCCCGGGGCGTCCTCTCGGGGGATGACGATACCTACCTAGGTAGCAAGCGTTATCTCCAGCCGGGGTCTTAAGCCCCTCTTAGCAGATGTTGGAGCTGCAAGGTAGCTTACGGATCAGCTAGAGTCCGCAATTCCTGGGTCTTCGACGATGGAGGACAAATAAACAAGAGCTCCGATGAGTCCCCAAGACTTCGCGCCACGGCATCTACGATCTGATGGGCTGGGAGAACGACTTTTCGTGCGCTTGTTTCAATTCAACCCCGGGAACCCGAGGATGCCATGTCCTCTCTGTTGCGTTCCCTTCCTCCTCTTCCTCTTCTTGCGCTTTTGCTTTTGCTGCTCCTCTTCACTACTCTCATCCATCTCTTCATCGCTATCCTCATCGGAGTCGCTTCCGTGGGACCGTTTAGCACTCGCAGCTGCATCCTCCTCGTCCTCGTTATCGGCATCTGCCCCCCTTTCCTGCCATACCTTCACCGTCTTCCCACCGCCACTGATCATCCGGCCGGTAACATCAAAGTCCAGGCCAATGACACCTTCCTTCTCAAGTTCGTCGTGCGACACGTCTGCAATGACTTTGTTTGGGCCGATCTTGACGAAGCGTATCCCTCCGTTGCCTAAGCCCACGGCAACGATCTTTCCTCCGGGACCTATGCCTTCTGGTAGCAATGCGAGGGCATCCAGACTCTCGCCGCCTCCTGGTGATTTATCCACGATGATGCGCGCATCCTGGTCATCCCACACCCCGCGCTCCCAGAGGGTAAGGACGCCAGCGCCGCCGCCCACCAGCACTTTCTCGCCAACACTTGTGCCTTTTCTAGAAAGCCCTGTCACCATGACTGAGCTCAGCAGCTCCTCTTCCTGATCTTCGCTTCGGACCATTACTCCCCGACGCAGGTCTGTGACTGCCAGTGTAGTGCCTCCCGTGGTGACCCATTGCTTGCTGAATCCGCTGGTGCTCGCTGCCGTCGCCGGTAACGGTGTTAGAGAGGATACGTAATCGTCATGAGGATGATGTGTTTGCTGTGGTTTCGGCGAAGCTTTTGGGCCTAGATCTCGAAGGTCGTAAATGTGTAGCGCGGAGGAGTCGGTTGCGAGCAGGAGCGTCTGCGGGGAAAGTGCGTGGATGAGAGAAGGCGCGTCAATTGAGCCAGTAGCCCTATATAGATCATTAGGTACGTAGTAAATGCTGAGCAGCTGTTAGGAGACATACGGATCCAGTGGCACTGCAATCTTCGCAGTGACATTGCCCGTTGCGACGTCGGCAGCCTTCACGATTCCATCCGTCCCTGCCGAGTACAATTGCGTGCCATCAATGGCGAATGACAGTGTCCTGCAGCTTCCTTTGTGTCGCCTCGTCTTCCATGTCGTCTCTATGTGTCCGAATCCGTTCTCGGAAGCTAATGTCGCGTCTTCATCGCTGTCATCGCTCGCGCCTGGTGGTAGTCGGTACGTCTGGACATGGCCTGAAGCAAGCCCAACTGAAACAATTGGCTCTTTGGGATGAATCGCCTGCGTAAAAAGTTCGTGGTCAAGCGGGATAGCGCATATATTCTGGAACATATCGTCCTTTACCGCAGATGTTGTTTCTCGGAACCACCGACTTGACTTTTCTGTGGAGCGGAATCATCTAAGGCAGGTCTAGCCGAGCGCCACGTGACGCTTGGCGCCCTCTATCTTCTATCAGCTCTGCGACGACTCTTCCCCTTTACAAATATCCTGCGTGCTCTTTTTTGCTCTCGTCTATCTTCTGTCTTTTCACCAGCTCTATTAGTCCATCACGGGCTGTGCGAGTAGGAGTCCTATCCGGCCTCTGCCCTAGCCGTTCCCTTTTCTCCTTCATTCCGTCTCATCTATACCAAGACCACGGTAACGTACGTTTCTCTGGAAAGACCCTTGCAGGTCTCTTTCTCTTCGAATACCGTTTAACCTTAGCTCCTCTCTAAATTCTAACGACATACACCGGCCCCCTGCCCAAGCAGGGTCTCTTTCCAATCACCATGTCCCTCTCAAGCACGCGTCAAGCCTCATCAGACACTTTCCTTCCCGCGTCCCGGTCCGTCCCCTTAATAGTCCTGGTACTCGATAGTAAAGGAAGCCCTCCGAGAACTATCACCTTCCTCCATCGGAGGCCGTGCCGCTACCACGAACACGGCAAATTATCCGAGCACGTTCGCCACTGATTGGCCCACAACAGCATCCTCGGGAGACAGCCGTCATTCCATGCGGAGAAACCATGCGATGGTCATATAGAAAACCAGGCTGCTGGAAAACTTCTTGCTTCGTTCCACTCTTCTTGCTTTCAAACTCTTTAGTTCGCGGTAATAATCGGTAATCCATAATGAAGATGATCGCCTCATCCCTCGTCTACGGCCTCCTCCTCTCCCTAGCCTCATCCGCCTACGCCTCTAGCTACAAATCCCACGTCAACTATACCGTAATCCCCAGCGTCTTCTTGCAAGACGACCCTACAACCAACGCCTCCACCTTCAACTTCACCGCCACCAACTTCGGCCTGATCACGCGCTCCTACCCCAGCGACAAAACCTATCCGGGCAATCCCAAGAAAGCAACCCAATGGCAGCGCCTCGCCCACTACATCTCCACGCTCAACTTCCGCGCAAAACCCAACAAGCGCTACACGCTGCTCTTCCTCGGCCGCCACGGCGAAGGGTACCACAACGCCGCGGAGTCCTACTTCGGCACGCCAGCCTGGAACTGCTACTGGTCCGAGCTCGACGGCAACGCAACGGTTACCTGGGCGGACGCGCATCTCACGGCAAACGGAGTCAACCAGGCGCTTGCCGTGAACCGCTTCTGGAAGCATCTGCTCGCGGACGAGAACATCACGCCGCCGCAGACGTACTACACCAGCCCGCTGTACCGCTGCCTCGCGACGGCTAATCTCACGTTCTCGGGGCTGAAGATACCACGGACGAACCCGTTTGTGCCGACGATCAAGGAGTTGTTCCGCGAGGGCATTAGCGCGCATACGTGCGATCGCAGGAGCAATAGGACGTATATCTACGCCAACTTCCCGAGCTACAAGTTCGAAAGGGGGTTTCCCGAATACGATCCCTACTGGACGGCGCTACACGCTGAGACGAGGGATGATCAGGACATCCGCTCGAAGAAAGTCCTCGACGATGTGTTTGCGAATGACGATAGCACGTATATCTCTGTGACTGCGCATTCGGGCGAGATTGCTAGCTTGCTGCGCGGTGAGTGGTTTTGAAAACCCCTCGAGGTGACATGTACTGATTTGCTTCTCTGTAGTTCTTGGACACCGTGTCTTCAGCCTCAGCACGGGGGCTGCTATTCCTGTGCTGGTGAAAGCTACGACGGAGAAGGGTGAGGGTCCGTCGACTACGACGCAGCCGTACACTTCAGTGAGCACGTGTGCTACTCCCCCGACGGTTACGGCGTCGACGTGCAATGACTGCTCTTGCTGTACATAGACCGCTATGCAGACGGCATGTAGACGATAATGTAAATATTACCCCTTAAAGAGGAGTTGCACTAAATTTATTGATCTGGTGTGTATTCCATGTCTGGCTGTAAATGATTTATTCATCAATATCATATATATTAGAATTTGAGGAGTGAGGATGTAAACGAAAGAGTAAGCAGAGAACGGAAAACTGATTGCATTCTCTATAGCTAGCTGAGGGCAAGAGCCCCTTTGAAAAAAACCACTTCTTCCTTGTCACTCTTCTTATCCCTACATTCGAGCCTTCTTCTCTGCGTTGGCGATTCTGGTAGACGTCCGCCTCGCCATACTAGCCGTTGCAGTTGTAGACCCCGTTGTGCTGAGCTTCAAGCGCTTCGGAGATGGAGCAGAGCCGGGTATCTCAGACAGCAGCAACTCGACCTCACTCTTCCGCTTCCGCTTCGGTGCCGCAGGCCTCTCCTCCTTCTCAGGCGCTGGTGTTACTCTAGCCTTCTTACCCCCGGGCGCTCTCTTCGTCACTTTCGCCACCTTGCCTTCCGCCTTCTGTTTACCCATCGCCTTCTTACTAACACTCGCTCCCCTAGCCTTGCCCTTCGTCACAACAGCGCCGGGTATCTCTCTAACCAGTCCTCCGCGCGTAGTTTTCACCTTCCCCATCTTATCCGCCAACTGCTCCACATCCAATTCCCCAGCCTCACTCTCGTCCTCGCACTCCTTGCCCAGATGCTCAGCAGGCGTGTTAGGCGGGACAATAGGCCGCGTGTCCGAGTACGGAACATCGTAGCTCGCTTTCCTCTTCGCGGCGTTCGTGTCAATCGGGAGCGGCGAGGTCTTCGCCTTCGATTTCGTAGTAGAAGCGCTGGACGCAGAGACCCGATGCATAGAGCTAGTCAGCGAAGGAGAAGGTGTAGGCGCCCAGGAGCGGCGGTCTCTTCCACTATTTGCTGAGTTTGGTGTTCCGGGCTTCTTAGGCGTGTTTGGGCTGAGCGTTCTCGAGTTCGGCGTTGGTGGCATGAATAGCTCAGCGTCTAGCGATGATGATGATGATGCTGCTGCTGCTTCAGATAGCTTGGCTTTGGCCATGCGTTTTGAGAGCTGCTTTGCAGGTGCGATGATAAGGGGCTCGACGACGGGGCGGCCGAGAATGCTGAGTTTCTTGCCTGCTTTTGCGGCACGGCGGTTGGCGAGGTCGGCCGAGGTGACGGATTTCTTAGTTTCGAGGGCTACTTCTTTGGGCGTTTTCGTTTTCGTTTTCGACAGCTTCGCGCTTTTCGCTGGTGGCTTCTTCGCCTTTGATGCATTCCCCGTCTTGTTTTGGCTGGCCTTGCTCTTCTTCGGAGCAGCGAACGGATTCCCAGTCAGAACGTCTTCGTCGTAGTCTTCCGCCAGCGGTTCGTTGATGAAGGCAATGAAGTCATCGCCTTCCTGCGTTGAACTGCGTCTATTGAGTCTGGCAACTGAACTGTCAGATACATTTTGCTTCTTCGTACTATACAGATCGGGATACTCACGCGGCCGTACCGGCCCTCCTCGAAGCGGTAGACGCTTGTCCTCCAGCCTTAGGCTCCGATACCGATACCTTCCTTCTCTTCGACCTCGGCGATACCTGCGAGCCACATGAGCTTACAGACTCCCGCCTCTTGACCGCCGCCCGACGCGGACCAGCCTTCGTCTTCTTTCCTTCGTGCAACAGTTCGATGACGTCTAATCCTACGTTCTTCACCGCATTTTTCCGTCTCCTGTCACTGCTGCCTGAGGAGGCATTCGACACAGTTGACGAATGATGTGTATAACTGCCTTGTCCGACTGGTGCCAGCGTCTGCAGCACCTTCGGTGTCTCACCAAGCTTGATCCGCGGAGCTTTCGTCTTCCTCTTCTTGGTGGGCCGCTCTTCGACCGAGGAGGCTGACGACGGCTCGGGCTGATCACGGTAAGTGGGGTCAGATGCCCTCCTGCGTTTGGTGAGCACTGGAGAGCGAGACCCGGAGCTGGGCGATGGAGGCGGGACATCGCGGTACGTCGGGTCTTGAGGCTTCTTGCCCCTACGCTTCGGGGCTTTCGGGGGTGCATATGAAGACGCGCTTGATGACACATCCTTGTATTCCTCCTCATCCACTTTAGCCCGGACCTTCCCCTTGCCCTTTCCCTTCGGCAGAACCGCAGTACTCTGCTTCCTTTCAACGGCACCGTTGGTGTTTGTGTTCTTTGTCCTGCGTCTCGTCCGCCCCCTGTACAGCTCCAAGCTTTCCGTACTACTCTTACTCGCCTTCCGCGGATCGTATCGCGCGTCAGGATGTCCAACCGGATATTTCTTGACAGTCGGCAGATACGGACTTGGGACATGATCGCTGCTACTTGTAGAATGCTTCCTAGGATTCCACGTCGCGTCGGGATGCTCATCTGGATACCTCTTCGGAAGGTGCAGTCCTGGGCTTGTGAAATGCGAAGATGGCGTGGAGTCATCGTGGCAACTCAGGTCTGGGGCCACGTGGTTGGTTTTCTTGCCTTTGCCTTTCCGGGCTTTGGTCGGCTTCAGGACCTTGGAGCTGGTATCGATTTTGAGATTGGATTTGCGCGACTTTTTAGTGGAGGTTGTGGCTTTTCGCAAGCTGCTGCGGCGCGAGCTAGTGGTCGCTATAGAGCTGATGTCTGCGTCCATGCTGGCACCGTCGAGGTCATTGTACGCGACCCTCTTTTCGACGGTAAAAGGCGCAAAGCTAACCTTAGACATCCGCCTCGGCCGTGGTTCCGCTTGCTCGTCTCCCTCCTCTTGCTGCGCAAGCCGAAGACTGCTCCTCCGCTTCGTCTTCGGAACACTGTACAGCGGGTACTTTGTCGATGATCTCTCCGAAGCCCGCCGACGATGGTAAGACGATTCCTCCATGTCATGCGAGAAGATATGCGAGGCCTTCATCTGCGAATCCATCCCAGCCCAAGGCATACTGCAAAAGGGACACGTCTGATCCGCGTCCTGGCGATGTTGTTCGTAATGCCTCCTTGCGCCCTCAGCATCACCGTTCTCTAAGGCGTCGAGACAGATTTTGTATTCGCTCATTCGTCGCTCGTTCATGAGCGCGTAGAGGTTGTACTTCAGCTCTGCAACGGGCATTTGTTCGGTTTGCGGGACAAGTTTTGGAATCGATCCAGCCTGAGCCGATCGCGATGAAGTGCGGCGCTTTCGATGAGGAGCCATATCTGGGTCAATGTTACGCAAGAACCGTTCTTCCCATTCTTCTCGCTCCGCAACGCGCGTCGCGGGTCCTGGAAGAGGAGACTCGGGCTCCGCCGGCGGCGGCGGAGGAACATACGACGGACTCAGAGTATGCAGCCACGGCAGCAAATCACTTACCCTACGATGCAGAGCCGTCGTCTCCATCGGTGTTTCCAGCGCTCTTAACAGCTCTTCTTGGATATCCTCCTCTGACACTTCCATCGGCGCATCCACAATATCCCAGTATGCGTCATCGTCCCTCGTCCAAGCCTCTTCCCCTTTGATCGGCTCCACCAGTCTTTGAGCACTCGGAGCTTCGATGGCAGCAAATTTCTCAGCTAGGCTTTGGGTCGTGTAAGGGTTCGGATGCACAGGCGGAGCGTCGGGGAGCTTGCCGCTTGGGCAGAGAATGGGGAGGTTGATCATGAGGCGCTTCCACTGGTCTTCTTTGCCGTCTCCGATCCACTTCTCACGGTACTTGTACATCGTCTTGGACCAGCCGTCCTGGTAGAGATCGCGCTCGATAGACCAGACTGCGGCTTTGTACTTTGATGTTTTAGGCGGGCTGTAGGAAGGCTTGAATTTGCGTGGAACCGTAGATTTCTTGACTCTAACTCTGTGGTCTTCCTGAGGCACATGGCCATTTGTTTCGGCTTGCAGGCCATTTCGGATATATTCCAGAAGTTCGCTTCGGCGAATCTGGCGTTGTTCATCGTCTTCTTCGTCTTCTAGCTCTGCGTCTGCCTCCAGCCACTCTGGATTCGGCACGGTAGGGTCTTCCCACTCATCTGGCATCGTCCAGAAATAGTAATGCGGTAGATCCATGCCCGGAAAGCGAATGAAGTAGAGGTTGTCGAGTGTATGCGGCACCTCGATATCATCTTCCAGTGACGGATAGTCCAGGTACGAGGGAATGTAGCAGATCGGAGGGCGATACTCAGACGCCGTATAGATATCCAGTACTTTCTCTCTCTTATCTTTCTCTTTCTGCTGCCGTATTTTCTTTGATTCTGCTTTCGTAATCTTGCCCTTCTCGTCCCGCTGCGGCCTATGCCGAACCGCTTTCTTGCCTTTCCACTTGGTGTACACATCGGCGAGAGTAGTCTTAGTCTTTCGTGGCGGCAGGTGGAAGTACATGCGGCCATTCCACCACTGTACTTGCGTACGTTGGGCCCAGTCTGCAGCGCACTCGACCACTGCCTTGCGCAGCGGTCCGATCAGAACGCCATTGCGGGCACAGTCCTTTATGTGCTCCGACAACATGGGCACGAAGTCAGGGCCGATCTCTTCTGGGAATACGCGCCCGGGCAGCTCGAGCGTTTCGCCAGACATTGTGGTGACGACGGTCATGACAGCATATGACAATTTCCTAGGCAGCAGCTCCTCGAAGACGTCTTCCCGCTGTCGACCGGATGGAGACATGGGCGAGCGTGGCGGATTTGGTGAGGGCATATCGGGATACGGCCATTGGAAGATCCGCAGTCTTCGAGCGGGGAAGATGGGAGATATAGAAGCATTCGTCGTCGTAGACGTCGCGGTGCTGTCCCATGCGTCCTCGTCAGTCATTATTTCTCCGAATCCAACGTTATCGTCTCCTGGCTGCTCTTCTACTTCCGACTCCGTCGTATCGCTCACATCCTCTCCGGCTGCCCTCCTCCTCTCTCTAACCAGCCTCTTCCCTTCTTTCTCTTTGCGCTGCCTCTCTTTCTGCTTCGCGAGCTCCTTCCTCTTCTCCTCTGCCTCCCTCTCCGCCATTTTCAGTGCTATTGCGTCGTCCCGGTCCTTTTGTGCCAGAGCCTTGGCCATCTTGACCTTGGGCATGTCTTTTGTCCAGATGTTGGCGTCTTTAGCAGCGATGATTAGCTCTTGGTAGTTCTTGTGATCCCAGTGTGTGCCGGTCAAATCCTCGTCCTTGACGCGGTGCGTGCCGCCTCGTCGGTGAGGAGCAGCTTGCGGTGCCGTCTTGCGTTGCCTCATCATGTCGGGGTCCTTATCCTCGTAGAGGTTGGCGTACTTGGCTTTCGGCTTTCCTTTGGGCATATTGAGCGACGTTCGACGCGATGATTAAATATGGGGCTCGGTGGAGAAACGGTGTCTAGACGGGAGTTTTAAAAGAAGAATCGATCTCAGAGCAATGGGTTAATTGAGCGAGGCTGGTCAGAACAGTATACCCGGGCCAGTATGCAGAGTGGAGGATGGGAAAGTATCGAGAAAAGATCGATTTCGTGGCGTCAAGTGCGTGCGGCTTTCTTTGTTAAGACGCAGGTGGAAGATTACCTAAGTTGACGGTGTTGGCGTGTCTTTGCAAGCACGAATAGTCTTTGTTCTCCTTTGACAAGTCCTCTTCGGTTAGTACGTTCACACTGTCTCACAGTTAACACAAAGATCATCGAAGGAGCTAGAATGCGTTGCGCTTTTTCCTGCGCTAAGAATAAATGCGATACATCCCATACCTAGGGTATCTCGCTGCGTTATGTCAATGTACATCTATTCAATTCATGAGGAGCCTACTTACAATTCCGATTTCTCCGTAAACTCCGCCCTCCTTTGTTGCCTAAAGTCAAAAAAGCCTTCCAACTCCATCCACTCTGCTGCAAAAGCCGTGACCAACCTCGTCCAGTCCTCTACTGTGTCCAAATCCAAGTGCTCTCCGTCATCAGTAATGTCATGCCATACGTGTGGAAAGGGAGTGGGAATGATGTGCAGGATCTCTACTCCGCGGGCCATGAATGGGACATGGTCGTCTTCCACATAGCCACCCAAGAATGCTTTGTCGCCTTTGTCAGCCTCAGTCAGGAAGCGAGGCTCTGCGCGCTTCTTCTTGTTCTTCCGCTTCGCCATTTTGGTAGGGTGATTGGGAGAGGACTTGAACAAGCCCAGCTCCCGCAGACGGTGCTCAATGGCCGCCATGCTCTTGTAAGCCCAATGTGTAGTTTTGAAGTATGACGGTATTGTTGGCCCCGAGGAGCCTAGCAGGTCGAGGAGGAGGAAGAGGTCAATCGAGTCGAGCGGGGTGCGGTAGGTGGATGCGGCGGGGTGGTACGAGAACTCCCAGTCTTCTGCGAGCGCGCTGCAGGCTGACAGTTAGCCTTTTATCTTAGATACCAAAAAGAGCTGTTGCCATACCGCGACCCATATAGACTATCCGTGGCTGTCCAGCTCTTGAATGCCTCCTCTCCATCCAGCAGCAGGATCTGGACTCCCTTTGCTTCCTCCAGCTCATCGGTACCGTCCGCCACCATCTCCTTCCACTTCTTTGTCAACGCTGCGTCGATGCTGCGCGCCGCATGCAGGATCATGGCGCACGGAGCCGCACTGTCAATCGCGCCTATGAATCCCTCCGGCGTGAACTTGCTGTCGTAATGTGCGACCAGCGCCAGGCGTCCGACATCACCGACCCGGCTGGTGGGCGGATCTCGCGTCGCAATTAAGTTCACAAACGGTATCTTCTCCCCGTTGCTTACGGGCGTGATGGCCGAAGAGTTGTGCAGCTCCACGTTCCATTCCGGCAGCTGGTTCTTGAAGAAGTCGAGGAAATGCTGCAGTACGGCGGTGCTACCCGGCGTTCCCGACACCCGCGTGCGCAGGATAGGTGCTAATATGGCGCCGGTCTTGATATTGAATTCATCGCCGGGGCTGGGGAAGTTTTTGAGGGTCTCGTCGCTGAGGGTGCCGTAAGCTGTAGCAAGGGAGAGCAGAGAAACGAGCGACAGGAACGCGGAGAAGAGCACCATGGTGGGCTGCCGCTTTTAAAAAAAACTATGAAGTAAGTAGGAGCATCGAGGCTTGAAATTATCACCAAAAGACAACCATTCTGAGTGCTGAGGTGGCCAACGGTGAATGCTGGTGAAGGTGGAATCGTGGTCTCTTCCACGCCTGTGTTGAGATCTGCCGGAGTGGCTTCCGCCGAACCGGCCGTTCGCACGTGATAGCGCTCCACAATCGCATCGAGACCGTTCTTGCAATCACGGAGAAGTGCTATTGAGATACTTTGCTTGTCAACTTTCTCCCGTTCGCGCTCCATAACTGTGCCTCCGTCGCGCATCTGCAGAGGGTCCGGCCGCCAAGCCTCAGGGGCGGCAGGTCTAACCGAAGCCAGAACTTCACGCGTCTGAGACTTCGACGCCGCCAGCTCCATCAATTGACATGCATGCTCGCTTTCCCACCTTCGCTCAAGCTTTCAGAAGCTCCACGCCATGGATGCAAAGCGGCCGGGCGGCGTCGCGGCCCCAAATCGCCCAGTTCGTGTGCAGGACCTGCCAGCATAAGTTCTCTACACGTGCATCTTCCATCTTCCGCAGGATCGCACAGGCTTCGAGAAGAACGCTTTCTAACGATGCCAAAAAGACAAAAGAAAGGCGTAGGTCCCGGAGATTTTTCAACATAGACAATACTGATGAAAACAGGTTATCCGTCCGAACTCTTGATCTACGATGCAGGCGACACCCGCACCGCGTGGGTGAGCTTCTGGAAGGGGATGGCACTCCTCCAGTTCGGAAGTACTGCTGTCTTTCTTGCACCCATACTGTATCATAATGAGAACGAACCGGATCCGAACATTCGGCTGCTCCAAGCTGTGGGTGGTAAGTTGTCTTGTTTTCCTGTGTTCCATCTCGACGTGCCTCCAACGCAGCCGATTATCCCGCTCTCATTTGATGCTCTTGTTCCCTCAAATCAATCAAAGATCCGTTGCTCTCATTCTATCTTTGTGTTTCCCCGCGTCATCTTTCTGTCCAGTCTTCAAAGTCACGAGCAACATCCACCCGTTCTCCTTTCTATTCTACTCCCCATCGTCCCAACATGAACTTACACCACACCCTCAGTCGCCCTCCTCGGCGCCATCCCCACCGCCCTCCTCTCCTACATGACAGCCCCCTACGTCCGCCAAGTCTACCTGCACCTCCCGACCAGCGCCGCGCGCTCCCGCGAATCCCTCATGGCCTTCGCGCGCAACCTGCCGCCAAGCACCGCGCTAAAGTTCCAAACCCTGCGCATCTTCCCCCTCCAGAAGCACACGTCCGCCTACCTATTCGAACTGCGTGCGCTCCCGCCGCGCCGGCTGCGCTTCGCGAACATCGAGCTGCCCAAGAACGACGTGTGGAGGAGGAGGCAGGCGGAGAAGAGTCGGTGGCAGCGGGTAAAGGAGTTTCTGTATGAGAGGAGGTTTAAGTTTTATGTTAAGGAGGGCAGGGCGTATACGGTGAGGAGTGGGGTGCCGGGCGTTTGGGAGGCGGTGGCGAAGAGGATTCAGGAGCAGACGCTTAATGAGGTGAAGAGGGTTGGGCAGAAGAGCGGGAAGGTGGTGCAGAGTGTGAAGCCGGTGAGGTTGGTGGGTGATGTGGAGAAGCCGAAGGTGGTTAAAAGGCAGACTGCGAGGTCTGGGATGAAGTAAATAGCAGCACTACGAGAAAGGACAAGCGATATGTGGAAGGTATCAGGGCGGTATGTATCATACTGATGTGCGTATAGACAGCTTTGTATTATAAACCATTTACCGGACAAACTGGTATCAATCTGCCGAAGATAGAGCTAAACGAAAGACCTGCAGCAATCCAGTGAACGACGAACTACCGCCTTCAGGCACCATCAGCTTCCATATGCATCCTCACATGATCTCATGTGCACCACTCATCAACAACCTATTTACACAAGCTCCGGCTTCGTGTCTTCCTTGACAACCGGCTTCTCCTCCGTGATCTCGCCACTCGGAGTCTGCGTAACACCGAGCCGGGACAGCAACTCCGTAAGCCCAACCTCCGCGTGCACCTCAGCCCACCTCTCCTTCTCGCGAGCCGCCACGCCCACAGAGCCGAACAGGATATCCATTTCCTCGAGGGACAGGCCCTTGGTCTCGGGGAACACGAGCCAGATGAAGGCGGCGCCACCGAAGGTAAGCAGGCCGAAGAAGATGTAGGTGCCGTAGGTCATGGTTTCGAGCATGTCGGGGGTGACTTGGCCGACGATGAAGTTGTTCATCCTGGAAAGCAATCATTAGCAATATTAAACAAATGGATTGGAATGCATGGACTCACCAGTTGGATGAAGCACCTAGGGCAATGCCATACGGACGGTTCGATAGCGGCCAGATCTCCGAGATGACGATCCAGGCGCAAGGACCCCAGGAGTAACCGAAATGGACGACGAAGAGCCACACCATGACGACGGCAGCCCAACCAGCAGCGGTATGATGTTCCCAGTCGTCCTGGTTCTTCGCGGTGATGACAGCCTGAAAGGGTCAGCAGCTACCCACGTCTTATCATATCCCAAACTCACAATAATCATGTGGCACACCGCCATGCCAATGGCACCAATGATAAGCGTCGGCTTCCGTCCCCAGCTATCAACGTACATGACGGCCGGAATCGTTGCGAGAAACATGGCAATACCGACCACGCCCGTAGCCAGCAGAGAGACGGAATTGCTCGAGAGACCAAGCTTTCCGAAGATAGTGGGCGCGTAGTACAGCACCGCGTTGATTCCCGTCCACTGCTGGAAGAACATAGTCACGGTAGCGACAATAACGCGCTTGAACATGGCCTTCGTCGTGAACAGGCTGCCGATAGCGACCCACTGGAGCTTGAAGGTCGACCACGCAGACATGTCCTGCAGATGCGGGAAGTTCTCCCGCAGCGTCTTCTTCTCGAAAAGCGATTGAGCTTTGATCTCGGCGAATTCGAGCTCGATGAGTTCATGGTCGTCGCCTAAGCCGCGCAGTTTCGAGAGCACGTGGCGCGCTTCGGGTTCGCGGTCGTGGTGGACAAGCCAACGCGGGGAGAAGGGCATGAAGACCATACCGACGCCAAGGAAGACTGCGGGTACAAGTTGCAGGCAGAGAGGTAGGAGCCAGGCGGCTTCCTTTTGGGAGCGGCCGGTACCGCCGATGTAGTTCTAGTAGGGAGGGTTAGACTGTTGGTTGTGCTAATGCGCTTGGGATATGCTTACCGTGCCGTAGTCGATCCAGAAACTGATCATGATACCGAGAGTGATGGAAAGCTGCTGGAGACCAACAAGCGCACCACGCACCTCAGGAGGAGCAATCTCGGCGTTGTACATGGGCACAATCATGGAGAGCGAACCGACGCCCATACCTGTTCTCATCAGCATTGTTTCCGCATATACGCCTTTCGCGAAACCCACCAGTGATAAATCGACCGGCGAGAATTGAATCATGGCCCGCGGAGATGGCGGTTGTTTGAATAACGACTCCGATGATGAACACGGCGACATTGACGAGGATGGCGTATTTTCGGGAGAGAATCTCAGCCAGGAAACCAGAGTACATAGTACCGAACCATGCACCGAGTTCGAGAATAGAGACGAGCCAGCCCTGCTTCGAGGAGTTCCACTCCAGGGTTTCTTGGTTGGTGATGTAGTCTCCCATGTCTGTGTACTGCAATTAGCGGCCTACATCCCAATTGGCTCTAGACGAGATTCCAACTCACGCTCTTTGAAAGAGGTCATAACCAGGACACCAGAGAAGACACCCTGGTTGTAACCATACAACAGACCACCCAAGCAAGCAAAGCACGCAATTCCGAAGACCTTCAAGTTCTTGAGCAGCGCCATCGGACCGGCAGGCGTAGCGAGAGCTTTGCGGCGAGCCATAGCGGCTGCCTCCATGTCGTGACCCGATCCACCAACGGGAGCCATTGTGTCCAGCAAGCCCACTCTCTAGGCGTCTAAAATGAAGTCGTCTATGGGGAAAGCAAGAAGGTTCGGAGAAGAAACGAAAGGAGTTCTTGAGATCGGCAAAACGCTGCAGCAGAACGCGACCTTTTCTACTACACCCTGCCCAGGTGGCCCGCGCCGCGACACAGCATCTGCAGGCGTAGGGATATGAATAATATGGGCCCTAAACCAACCCCATCCTCGGGTAGCTTATTGCGGCCAAATGGGTCGAGCATCGAGAGACGCTGAATGGCCTGCCCGTTGGAACCGTAGCTCTATGGCGGATAAATTGATCGGTTAAGCTTATTGGCGCCAGTGCTTGAAGGAGTCGGCAGCTCAAAAGTGACATGCTTCATCGCCGGATGGGTGCTGTTATTGCCGTCTGCCGGGGCCGAGTGGCTGATCGGTAAGCCTGGAGAACACTAGAGCCCGCTAGTCTGCCGTCTTGAGAGACTGCCACCGGGTTTTCGATTTTCACACCACGTCAACAGCGCGACGCATGCTGGAGGGGCGTTGCGAGAGTCCGCCGCGAGACGCGCGCAGATCTCAAGCTGCACGGCCCAAAACTCGCAGGCCTTCCCATCCTGCACGATCCATGTCGCTTCAAGCAGATAGGAGCTCGTCGCACAAGATATATATACGAGCAGAGCCAAGCTTCGAGAAAGATTGAAACGCCTTCCGGGTGTTTTCCCCCGAACGCCCCGCGTGCTGATGTGGAGGTAGCGGGAGCTAATCGCAGATCATGGCTATTCTGCCTAAATGCACATTCATTGCTGACAGCGCAAGTTGTGTGGGATTCCTGGGCGGGGCAATCCGGGTTATGGGAAGAGAAACATGCTGCTTGGGTGGAGAGATGTGGGACGAGAACCGAGAGCGCGAAAGGGTTGCAACGACGGGGTGCAAGCGTGGTGGGAGAAGGATGGCAACTGGATCGTGGCCCTGGGGAAGTTGCCAGAAGTGAGGAGCCGCCTAGCTGGTTTCGGATTAGCGCCATCCCGATTCCGCTTTTGAAAGGAGTCCACACCTGGGCACGCTGAGTAGTGAGGATGGACGGCAGATTTCAGGCGTCATGCAGGGCGTACGCCTTTTCTTGGGACTAATTTGATGAATATGCGCCGTCTCCACGGGGAATAATCGCCACGGATGGGGAATTCGAAGACGTTGCAAGACTACGACGATGTGGCGTCTTAGTGGCTGGACTACGATGCATGGCGCCATCCTCATTGCTTGGGAGCTGCGGTTCCGCGACCACATCACATTGCAAGGCTGTTGCTGGCAGGTGACATGCTTCATGGGTTTTATTTTTTTTTTGGCAGAGGTTCGGAGAGCAGCACCCCCTGGCCTATCACCTTTTTGCTGTCCCGCACCGTATGTTTGCTCTATCATGACATGGCACAGCTATTTCCTGGAATTCGCGCGAAAAAGAGAGTGAGGTGGGCAAATGACGACGCAGTGGGATGGGCTGGAGAGGAATCCAAAAGACAAAAGACGCTTGATAATTAGGAGAATAGCAAACAGCAGTAGAGGAATGTGACGTCGAATTTGCCGCTTCCCCTGTTGCAAGTTAGTGCCGTGGCGCTTGTCTAGAGTTAGTTAGACTGGAATTTCACGTGTCGGAAAATCTCCCTTCGCAGCCAATCAAGAAACTTCTATCTCTTCCTTCCTAATTGTCTGCTTGTTCATCTCTCACTTTCTGCTCTTTGGCTAACGTACGCTGCGGACCTTTTTATCGGTAGAGGGTACAATTTTTCCTTTACCCAAGTTAGCAAATTTAGTAATTTAGAAAGGGGAAGGGTTCACTAGAGTTTCTGGACCTGGAGGCCACGAAGGCTGGTCCACAGACGTGAAAATGTGATATCGTCCATTGCGATATGCTAGAAAATAAATATCTGTGTTGTACTCGCTCTGTAACTTGGCAAGCTTCTTGTCAAGCGTTTTCATTTGCTTGTGAAAATTGTTGTTGGCGGCTCGCCTCGCCTTGAAGGGCGTAAGCACGGGTAATTTTTGCTGCGAAGACATGGCTAACTTGGGCTATGCGGGATAGCATAGCATATTCAAAAATGTGTGGATTCGATAAAGCTACATATCTAGGAAGTAGATTTTCAGGTTCCTGTTTTACTTCCCCAACGGTAACCCCGGGGGGCCTGATTCGACCCCTTCACCATTTCTAAATAAAGCAGAGCTCAAAAACGGCCCCGGCTTGGCATACTTTGTTTCTTCGCCTTGCAGCCTGTATGGAAGCATCCTTCAATACTCTTTCTCCCAGCCTTGCTCTGCAAGCCTACGCAAATGATATCTAACCGCCTCTGCTTTCCCGCACACAAGCGACACAATGTGGTACGTCGAAGGAGCCTAGGTTAGGCCAGTCTATTTGCACCGCATCACAGCGCTAACTTAAAGCGTTACGCCGGCCATTCTGAGATCCATTGGCTGAGTCTGCCCGGTAATGGTTTTCTATGCATCACTCTATTTTCATCGCGCATTACTTCATGGCAGTCAGAGTTTCATGTACGCGCCTGATTAAATCCTTGTCTGAGGATGCGCCGCAGTGTTACCACTCAGAAGTGTGGGGGCATATATAAGACAAGAAGATGTGACTATACGTCTGTATTGCACCACCCCAATTAGCCATTCACAGATATTAGATCCCCTTTCTTCAATCATTGGTCGATATCAAATCGATTTACGTTCCCGGACAACCTCATCTTCCAAAAATTCACGTCGACAATGTCTAGCTATGGATACAATGTCTACAAAGTCCAATATACACTGGGAATGCAAGACCCCATAATGGGCAATGAGACGAGATACCACAATGTTCTCTTTGTTGAGACACAAGCAGACGGAGGGGGACAAATCTTTCAAGTCACTGGTGATTTGGTCTCGGGTATGGAATATGAAAACAAATCAGGACAAAACCCAGAACTATCCCGTACCTACCATGCAAAGACATACCTCGGACGTATCCGCTACGAAGACTATCCGGTGCGTTTGGACCAAGTCCTGCAGACAGTGCCGCCACCTCATCGTCAGAGGGCATTCAATCCTAAGACCATGGCCACTGAGCAAATCAAACCGGACGGGTCATTCTACGAAGTCAATGAGGAGAAGCCACCGTACATCAAATGTACCGAATGGACCGAACAACGAGCCCTCCCAGCATTGTATCAGCATCAGCTGCTGCACAATGATCTAGAACAAGCGCCGTTAGGGGGAGGTAGTAGTCAATCGCAAACTGCCCAAGCCGGGACCACCGCTGCAGCACCGGGTACGGGTTGGGTATGGGACGAAGATCGGAAGCGTTACCGTTACTGGAACGGCCAAGATTGGGTTTGGCAGTGATGTGCCTGAGAGACGACTGGCCGAGTTTAACGTGACTTTATGGTTGAAAGTTGAGACACGTTGCCATGAACGTCCGGAGGAGGGATCATGTCTTGTATTACTCGTCTATTCTAGAATCAGCTCCCTGTGGAAGATTTCTGTTGGATGGCTCCGTGCTTAGCAAGCTGAGACATATCAGAGGTAAATGCGAACATCAACGCTCAGAATATGAGGTCTTGATGCACCAATTTCATGACTGCCGCTTCGCCGAGCCAAGGTTCTGTTATTTCTTCGATGCGCTGGGACCAGTCGTCATCCCATCGTACACCTTGCAGAGCAGTAAAGTATTCCCAATAAGATGGGAACCAGCCAGCCTCCTCCCAATCTATTAGGCTGACCGTTAAGCCCTGCGATGAATCCCGATGCACTATCACGTTCTTTCTTTGCAGGTCTGAATGCGAGAAAACAGGCTTATGACCAACCAATATCCTTCCAAGGTTTCTCTCATAGAAGTCTGCCTTAAAACTATGCGTCTTCATGGACCGGAGCCGCTTTACTAGTGCTGCATTGAAGTGGTCTTCCGAGTCGAATGGACCACATATCTCTTTGTCGCCATCGGGGCTATAGAACAGATAATGGTGGAACCGGCCATGATCAACACTTCCGTAAAGCGGAGGAGCTGGGATGCTTCGGATTGATGTGATAATTCCGTTTAATTGAGCACAAATGTCAGATTTCTCGAAGTCCTTGAGGGTAGGCCACAACTGATCGAGTAGCACGCCAGGCATGTGCTGCATGATTAGGCAGACATGGCCCGTACTTGCTATACGATACATTGCGTAGAGCTTCGGCAAGCTATGGCAAGCTTTTAGGTGGTGCTCGAGAAATAGAAGTACTTGGCCTTCAATCTCTTTAACACCACGTCCGTATTTGACAATGAAGTGAGGCTCGACCGCAACCACTCTGTGATAGGATGTATCGTTCCGAAACACGGCTGTTGATTCGAAGAAACGAGATTCCATAGGTAGAGGGGCCGGCAGTAGGTCGGGTGGTTTGAGGTAAGGTAATTGAGCAGGCGCCCAAGCCATGGTCGCTTCCGAGCTGTAGGCTCCGTGTGTACGCAATCGTGGCAAGACGTAGGGGGAGGCACTGCAAAAGACAGTTGGCTGACCGACGAATAAGTTTTTTTCGTAGGTTATCGCTATGGACAACGCGTTGAATTGGAATGTATCATGAACAAGGAGGAATGGAAAGACGTGGTGGAGGGCTTGGAATGTCCAGCTCGAAGCGCCGCCGAGCTATTAGTTGGCCAATTCGGGAACCGCCGAGGTGGGGCAGTTTAGGCAGCCGCCAAGGATAAGCGAGAATTTGTGCCGAGCTTATTTCCCTGCCTCTTAAGAGCGCAGTGTTTTCGCGAGGAGCTAGAGTTAGGCTACCTAGGCTATATATAAAATACAGTGTAAGGGAGCCAAAAGGGAGCTCGCAATGAGATGGTCGATAGGCTATTTACGTGCCGGTCGCTTGCGCTGAGCCTCGCTGCGGAGGATATCTTTTATGCGGCCGCGGCGTAGCTTGCGATCTGACCCCGTATGCGGATGTGTCGCCGACGCATCGGCAACGGAAGCTCTCTCTGTAGTTCTCTATTGAACATAATTCTATCTGTACCTAGTGTCACATTGCCATCTATTGCGCTTTGCCCTTTATAATTGGCTATGCAAAGAACTCACCACTACTAACTATCCTATATACCGTTCTGTGGCCTATATATAAACTCATGAAGTTCTTCGTACGCCTTCTTGAGATCGTCATTAATAATGATCTTGTCATGAACGCCTGCCGTATCAGCATACTCTAGCTCGACTTCAGCCCTAGCCAGCCTCTTCTGAATGTCTTCCTCGTTCTCGGTGCCGCGGCTCCTAAGGCGCGCCTCAAGCGTCTCGAAGCTCGGTGGCTTAACAAAGATGTAGCGCGCATGAATGCTAGAGCTCGCCCTCATCTGCTGGATGCCCTCCATCTCGACCTCTAGTACGACTACTAATCCCTTTGCGATCTGGTCTGCAATGGTCTTTTTGCTAGTGCCGTAGTAGTTGCCACCGAAAAACGTATGCTCCACGAAACCGTCCTGGGAAACTAAGGAGGTAAAGGTAGAAGGGGAGACGAAGAAGTAGGTCACGCCCTCAACTTCACCGGCCCGCGGCTTGCGTGTCGTGTGCGATACGGTTAATGCGAATGTATCGGGGTGTGCGTCGAAGAGCTTTTGACAGAGAGTCCCTTTGCCGGTGCCTGAAGGACCGGAGATGACAATGAGTCGGCGATCTGGAGGGGGCGCTGTGGTGGGAGGTGTTAGTCTGCATTTCTGCCTTAATATTGAGGAATAGACGGACTGGGAGTCATTTGCTGAGAAGATATACGGTATGGTGTAATATGCACGTCTCTTCGGAAAATTTACCGTCGCGGCTGCTGCAACAGCAGCAGCGTGCATTTGAATCTCAATCGTGAATGAGACGAGCGACAAGGCTAAACTCGTTTCGGCCTAGGGTCGGACTTTGCGGAGTTGACAACACACCCACAACCTACGGCCTTTCCAGCCATTCGACGTCAAGCAATCATATTCCATCCGCCCTCCGTGTATCCATCTGTCTCTTGCGTTCTCCTTCGTCCATCGACTGCTTCTTTCCACGTGCTTTTGTGAACCGAGCGGGATCGCGCCAGATTGAGGCAGTTTCCTAACCACTTCGAGACACAGGCGTAAGGAGCACCCTGTTGTCTCGTCCTCTCCACACAAAGCAGCCCCAAGCGTATCGATTGCGTACCTAGGTAGCAAGATGAGGGGCTCTTCAGGTGTCGCCGCCACTTTCTGGTCTTTTCTCTCCATCTCCTCCAGCGTCCTTGCTTTGGAACAACAGCCTTTCCAATTCGAAGCCATGTCTGTTCCTACGTACACACTGCCGCCGCTTCCATATGCATACGATGTCAGTGCAGCCGCTCCTCTCGTTCTGCTACCCCGCAGTCGTCGTGCTCACAGTGTCTAGGCATTGGAACCCCACATCTCAGCGCAAATCATGGAGCTGCATCACGGCAAGCACCACCAGACATACATCACAAATCTGAATGCAGCGTTGAAGTCTCAAGCGGAGGCTGTTCACGCTGCCGACATCACTACCCAGGTCGCGCTTCAGCAGGGAATCAAGTTCAACGCAGGCGGGCACATCAACCACTCCCTCTTCTGGCAGAACCTCGCCCCGGCTAGCTCTGTAGACGCGAAGAGCTCTGCCGCCCCGAAGCTACTCAAGCAGATCCAGGCGACATGGGGCGATGAGGCGAAGTTCAAGGAGGCCTTCAATGCCGCGCTGTTGGGTATTCAGGGTAGCGGCTGGGGCTGGCTCATCAAGGTCGAGACGGGCAAGGAGCAGAGACTGGCGATCGTAACCACGAAGGATCAGGATCCTGTAGTTGGAAAGGGCGAGGTGCCGATCTTTGGAGTCGATATGTGGGAGCATGCATACTATCTCCAGGTGAGTAGCAGTGTCGCGCCGAAGTGAGTCAATCGGAATGCTAACTGTCATCAGTACTTGAACGGCAAGGCTGCGTACGTACAGAACATTTGGAATGTTATCAACTGGAAGACGGCGGAGGAGCGCTTCCTTGGGACCCGGGCTGATGCGTTCAAGGTGTTGAAGGCCTCGATTTAGGTTATAGTCTAGCAGTCACCCAGAATCCATCTGAATATCTTTATATGCTTAGACCCCACATCTTGACAGCACAGCATTCAATATGCGAAACTTAGTGAGCACCGTGGTGTCTCTGGGCAAGGATCCCTGCGGTTGGTGCACCATCTGGGTACTCTCTCAAACGTGCTCAACGTGCTCATAAACACTCGTATAGGTATGTAACAAAGCACAACAGACAAACGCATTGTTCGAAACGAAGCCAAAAAACCTCAACCTACACATCACTACTCACACATCACTTGCCTCCTATTACCGTCGCCGCTACAGCTCTACCACTTCATTCAATATGTGCTTAGGAAACTCAACCCGCGTGAGCCAGGGGGGCTCTATTGCAGTATTACGGCCAACCCGGCATCTCGAGCAGGCCGACACCAACGCCCATATGCTACTACTTTTCTCGAACCGAACAGAAGCCCTTATAGGTTGCGCCGGGATACAAGTCGAATTCCAAGGATGGGAAGGAAAGAGCAGCGTCCGCCGGGATCGCTGTTGGGTTGTTATCCAGTGAGATCTCCCCCATATCCTTCCTCCGTGTTGACAAGCTCACAGACAATCCTACAGTCACGACGGCGATCTCAGCGCTTCCGAAGCTCTTCCCCCCAATGCTTTACCTCAAAAGCCTTTGTTCTCATTCTCGCTTGACGCAGCCTCTACGCAGACTATGCAGCTTCCCCAGAGGCTCGAGCTCGGCGTTGGAGATGCCGGACTCATCGGACGGAGAGTATCGCTTATGACGAGCTCGAGACAAGGGCCTGTGACACTTGCGGAGGGCATCATGGGTTGGAACTAGCCTGGCGCCGTTCTTCGCTTTGGTCTTTGCTTTGGCATTTCTGGGTTTCCTGGATGGTGGGTCGGTTGCATGCGTCGGGTTCGGTTCGCATAGCTTGCCCGGGTTGACGGCGTTGGGGTTGCATCTGGGTCAGGCAGAAACTCCGTTATCGGGAACTCAGTAGCAGCAAGTCTATACCATTTCTCTCCTAGTGTGAGTATTCCGGGTCGATAGAAGCTTGGGAAAAGTGATGCGCACCTCCTTGAGTGGGGTCTATTTGACGCTAGTGACCAGATCCGGTCTAGGGCGTTCGCACCAACCATTGCACAGCAACTCTACTCCAACGTCGACCACACAACCTCGAACACCCGTCGTTCTTCGTAGACTTTGACTCCTCTGTCTTCTTCGCGCTTCAGAACTTTCCTAGAATGCAGCAGCGGCACACAATACCCGAACCCTCGGGACAACACTCAACCCCCGCTCTTGGCGGCTAAAGCTTGATTGCAACCGAACCCAGGCGGAACGTCATTCACGCAGGAACGCCTTGCGATAAGTACCCCAGCCATTGCGCTTTCAGGAACGTTAATGCACCTGCCTCTTCCATATCTTCTGCCAAGTGATAACAACCGGGCGTCTTGCGATGAGCTTTGTAAGCCGGCGGCGGTGAACGCGTATGAATGGGGTCGTGCGGAGATCGGCGGAGAGGATTTGGATGAGGGGTTGATAGGTGGGATGTGCGAAGAGGAGGTATAAAGAGGGTGAGGCTGTACCACCTTGCTTCTTGCAGGATTGTCAGTCGGAATCAATTGACCGGTGGCTGTGCTCATAATGCGGTTCTCAGGTTTTGGTATTGCGGCACTTGCGACTATCGCCGACGCAGCGCCCACATTCCACCGAAACCAGGCTCGTCAGAACGTGACGACTGCCAGTGAGCGACTTGGTCTGCAATGGTTGGGCGGGAACAGCAGCCTTCCCAAGATCCTGTGCGTTTTCCTTACCAGACATTGCGAGTGGCATCCAGACTGACTTCAATTAGCGTCCTTTACACCGGCGGTACGATTGCTGGAGGCTCGATTTATGGAGCTTTGGACGACACGCAGTATGGCCAGCTTCAGATCACCGGCGAGCAAATCATCGCTCGAAATCCGTATCTGCTGAACCATACTCAGCTGGCCGTCTCGAACTGGACTACCGAGGATGATGGCTCGACTGGAACGAACGATGCCCTTGTTATGAACATGACGCGTTTCGCTCATGATGCGCTATGTTCCGAGGACAGCGACATTGACGGTGCCATCTACACGCACGGTACAAACTCGCTCGAAGAGACCGGCTTTCTCATGGACCTCCTCGTCAACTGCGGCAAGCCCATCGTTGCCGTCGGCGCCATGAGACCTTGGACTCACCTGAGCTTCGATGGTGATGCGAATTTCTTCGATGGCGTGATGTTGGCCGCCAATCCTGAGTCGCGGAATCGCGGTCTTATGGTGGCTTTCAATGCCCGCATCATTCCAGGATTCTGGATCACGAAGCTGCATTCTACGAATCCGAATGCGTTTGGCGCGACAGCAGGAGGTGATCTAGGACTCTTCATCAACAGTTTGCCCGTCTTCTTCAATACGTACGACCCTCTCTCCACCGTCAGTGTTTTACAAGTGACAAAGCTGACTCTTGTAGCCCTTCCCAACCCATCTTCAAGCATGAGTTCTCTATCGAAGAAGTCTCCAGCGATCCATCGTACCCTGCTCTCCCAAAAGTCGACATTCTCTATGCCGCCCGCGAATTCGACGGCAAGCTCGTGCTCGATGCGCAAGCCAACGGCGCCCAAGGCGTTGTTATCGCTGGTACTGGCAATGGTGGCATTCCCAGCGGCGATGATGAGATTGAAGAAGCCCTGGAAAAAGGCTTGCAGATTGTCGTTGGAACGAGAAGTCCTTTTGGACCTAGCAGTCCCGCTAGAACGCCAACGTACGCTAAGTCGGGCCTTGTACACGTTATCCAGGCAAGGATCATGCTGCAATTGGCCATCGCGAGTGGGTACAACATGAATCAGACCATTGAGCTGTTCGAGGGGAAGTTCAGGGAAGATATTGGGCAGTCCTGGAGTCCAGGTAGCTGACCGCGGTGAGTGATCTTGCTTTAGTAAAAGACTAATGAGCGAGATGCATCATTTGATGCCGGAGAGCAATCCATCGATACGAACTGTGAAGTAATGAAATGTATATGTTTTCATCAGGCGCTGAATGTGCCTTCCTCGCAGCCGTGGACGGACGGTCTGAAGTGGTTAGCGTCAAATCTGTCCATCGTTCGCACCTGGGCAACTTCCTTCATCTTTCACGGTATCTTCGGCAGACGACCATAAGTCCGGAACGACAAAGTCACTTTTAAGGTGCTCAGTCCGACCTCAGAAGGGTAGCAGCTCGATTATACTCTAGTGGAATCCCAGCTGGGTGGAACGCGCGGGTATATGAACTCAAACTCAACTACCCGTCGCTTGTTCCTGCACAGACAGCTGACATCGGCAATCTGCCAAGGCATATCATTGCGGAAGTTGAGATTCGGACACCCTTGGCAATACAATCCGCACGCTAGAAGGTACACATGGCCCAGCCAACGATGGACTCGCATTGAAGGAACGAAGTATTTACGGCTCGAGAGAACGACAGGCGTGATACAGCAATACCTTCTAGTCTGCTATATTGCCGACTTTACCCTTCGTCAAACGAATTCCACCGTGACGAGAGGCTGCTCCACCACCAGCAGCGCTATCGTGGCTTTCCTGATTGGTTGCCCAGGCGGCTTTACTCGGGTGGAAGAGGGCTTAAACAATAAAGATTTTACTTCGGCCATCATCGGAGGAAGTTAGCCATCGATATTTGCTCGTTCACCTCAGCTTTCGGCCTATATCGACCCCTCCTCGCGCACTGCTCTCTCATCCCCACATCAGTCTTTACTTTCTCCCCCGCCGAGTCAACTTCGCTTCCCAACATTTCTTCAACTCTCTTTCCTTTGTCCTCAGAGTGGTTTTTTAGACCTGGGTATAGGCGCTCTTTTTCAACCTCGCTCGTTCCCACTTCATACATTGACTCCTTGGTCTGGCGAGCTCCACACCAACGAGGCACCATGAAGTTCTCCCATTCAATCACACTGGCCGCCGCCGCCGTCACACTCTCACTCGCAGCGCCCATGGCTGCACGACCTTACGGGAAACTGGAGGATGCCCCCGCAAACCGGCGGGGTATCGCCTTCAACGATGCCAGCCTCGTTCACCTCTTCAACACGCCCGGCTCGAAGACTACTTGGAAGTACAACTGGTGGTCCCTGGACAACGGAAACGGGCGAAATGGCGGAACGGCGCACGAATTCGTTCCCATGCTACACTCGGATCGCCCCGACCATACGGGCCCGTGGGCCGCCGCTATCGACCGCTGCGTCAATGTGGGTCCCGCGTCCGCCCAGTTTCCTACCCACGTTCTCTCTTTCAACGAGCCGGACTTGTGCGGGTATGTACTATCTATTCTGAAGCAAAGCAAGCTACACCTTCGACCCCGAGGCGTCCCGACATAACATACCAGACTTCCTGACCCAGCAGCCAGCTAACTTCGTAACAGAGGTGGCGGTGCGTGCATGCAATCCACCAGGAAGGCCGTCGCAGCACACAAACAACACGTCGATTCACTCCGCAAGTACGGCGACAGGATCAAAATCGGCTCACCTGCAGTCACCAACCAAGGCGCGCCGTGGGGTCTCACCTGGCTAAAAGTGTTCCTCCAGCAATCCGACGGCTGCAAGATAGACTTCATCGCCATCCACTGGGTAAGCCCGCCCAAACTCTGCATCTCTCTCCCCTCTCTTACCGACTAACCACCCCTGCAGTACGACGCCGCGTGGAACACCGAGTACTTCAAGCAGCACATCCGCAACGCCCGCGCCGTCGCTAACGGCCGCCCCATCTGGATCACCGAGTTCGGTCCGCGGGGCTCGGAGGCGGAAGTCGAGGCTTTTCTCAAGGAGGTGCTGCCGTGGTTGGACAGCCAGGCGGATGTGCATCGGTATGCTATGCAGATGGCTGCTCCGGGCTCGCTGGTCACCAGCGGCGGCAATGGTCTTTCGGCTGTTGGGAACGTGTATAACACTTACTAGATCACTGGGTAAGCTCGTTCATTCACTGCTGGATTGAATCCCGTGCTGACTTGGGTAGCTCCGGGGACACATTTGTATCTGGCCTCTGGCTTCCGGCTGGCACTGGAGGATTGTCAAGGGGCTGGGCTTATTGTGGATATATGCTACATTCGGCGTGCAACTTTATGCATAGACTTACAGTTGGCGAGGATATGGGATTATCTATTACATCTGGTGCATCATTAGAGGGTTTTGTGCTTGCATGGGGCACGGTGAAGAGAGGGCCGTGGGTAACACCGCGGAATCTCCACCCTACCTGCGCTTAGAATAAAGAATAGTACAGCTTGTAGAAATGCTCTATTGCTGTGAGAACATGACGCAGTGGGTGCGCATTGCGGTGTGGTATGTTACGCACAGGAAGGGAGGTAAGGTGCGACAGGTACGTACGAAAGGGGAAGTCGTTTTATTTATCTGGTCTAGTTGAGGTTGGGGGATATCATCAAGGAAAATGCCCATTAGCTTTTCGCAAATCCCAGGAAGAAAGGAAAACCCTCGTAGCGCCGGGATGTACACATTAACCGCCTCCGCATACCCCATTCATCGACCCTCATTTAATTCCGCAAGAACATCTTGTAACTCGCATTATTCGTCACCTCCTCCCAGGGGTACCCAATCGTCTTCAAGAACTCCGTCAGCTTATCCTTGTCCTCCTCTTTGCACTGAATACCCGCCAATATCTTCGCCACATCGCCGCCGTAATTCCGATAATGGAACAACGAGATGTTCATGCCGGGCTGCAGCGTGTGCAGGAACTTGTACAAGGCGCCCCCTCGCTCCGGGAACTCAAACATGTACATGTGCTCGTCCGCGGCATTACTTCGACCGCCGACAAGGTATCGTATGTGTGACTTGGCGAGCTCGTCGTTGGACAAGTCCTGCGCCGTCATGCCTTCAGCGCCGAGCCGAGCGATCAGGTCGGGCAGGTCCTGTGCGCGGGTCGCGGCTTTCATTGCGACGCCGATGAGGATGTTGGCTGCTTCCGGGCTACTGTAGCGGTAGCTGAACTCTGTGACGGCCATGGGGTTGACGATGGAGACGAGCTTGGCGAACGCACCGGGCATTTCGGGGATGGTAACGGAGAGCAATGCTTCCTTGTTTTCACCCAGGGCGGCACGTTCGGCAACGAAGCGGAGGCGGTCGAAGTTCATGTTCGCACCGCTGGCGACAGCTACGAGGCCGCGATTGGAATTTGGCGAGGGATTCCGACTGACCCACTTCTTCAGGCCGGCGAGGGCGAGGGCACCGGCGGGCTCGACGATGGAGCGGGTATCCTCGAACATGTCCTTGATGGCGGCGCAGGTCTCGTCCGTAGTTACCTGCACAACCTCATCCACCACCTCTTGACATATCCTGAATGTTTCCTCTCCTACTGTCTTCACTGCTGCGCCGTCCGCGAAGAGTCCTACATCCTTCAGCACCACGCGTTTCCCCGCTTTCAGCGATTCCACCATGGCGTTCGCATCGTATGCCTCTACTCCGATGATCTTGACGTGCGGCGCTATCCGCTTGATGTAGACCCCTACTCCTGCTATTAGCCCGCCACCACCCACGCAGCAGAAGACTGCTTCCAGATCTTGTAGGTTCGTCTGCCGCAGCAGCTCCATTCCTATTGTGCCCTGGCCAGCGATGACGTACGGATCGTCAAACGGTGGGATAGATATGAGACCGTGCATCTTCTCCAGCCTCGCCGCTTCAGCCTTTGCAGCATCAAAATCGGCGCCGTGCAGAATAACGGACCCGCCGAGACGCGAGACGTTCTTGTGCTTAATGTCCGGGGTCCCCGAAGGCATGACGATAGTCGCGGGTATACGGAGACGGCGGGCAGAGTAGGCGACACCCTGGGCGTGGTTTCCTGGAATACGCATGAGTTTTCTTCCCTCTAGCGTGTCGCGAGAAGCATACCGGCACTGCACGCGACAACCCCTCTCCACCGGTCCTTCGTGTCCAGATGCGCCATCTTGTTGTACGCCCCCCTCAGCTTGAAGCTGAAGACGGGCTGCAGGTCCTCCCGCTTCAGCAGGACGTTGCATTCCAGTCTGTTACTCAGATTCGTTGCGTGGGTGAGCGGTGTCTCTTGCACGACTTCGTAAACGCGGGATGTGAGGATCAGTCGCAGATACTGCCAATTAATTAGTCGCTACTCTCCATTCATCCAAGCTCCCAGTTATCCCTCCTTACTTACATCAGGATACCCAGTTGGCAGCAAAAATGCCTGCGGAATGGCATCATTCGCCTTCAGCCTGGGCGACTCTGAGGGCGGGCTCGGATTCGCCGTGTATTCAGTCAACGCCAGGCCCGTTTGCTTCGGCGTCCGCGGTGATACCACGCCATTGGCCCCGTTCTCTGGCGTGGTGGGACGCGAATAGTCGGTCATTGCAGTCATTGTGGGTTTGTTTGTAGTGACGTCCCGCGAGCTCGAAATTTTGGGCCCAACATGATGTCGGTGGGATGTCGGAGGCAGGGATGGCACGGGGCGTGGCGTGGAGTCTGCGGCAGCTTAACATATAGGGCGTAGTGGGGTATCGGAGCGAGGTCGGAGATAAAAGACATCGAACCTCACCCCTTTCAAGAGGACATGGATGTTGGCGGCCTTTCGGTTATATCTAGCCTACACCCACCATGCGGACCATCTCTTCTTCAGATGAAACACGCATGAAGCCGCATTTTGAAGACCAGGAGCGCCTAGAGCATGTTCATGGCTCGCTCTGTTCGATGTAGTGTACAAGTTATCTCGAAAAACATTACTTTTGTTGATACTACTAGGCTAAAGCTATGTCAAAGCCATTGCCTCTGTCAATTCATACCCTCCAATTCATACCCTTCCTTGGAAATGGGAGACGTCCCGAAACCGCCTTTCGGCCAATAGACCCGTCTGCATCCCACGCTCGGAAACACCCTTGATCGTGTCTAATCCTCATCCATCGGTGGATCTTCATCAGAGTCCTCGCCAAACCAGTTGTCGAAATCTGAGTCGTAATCTTCCGGGTAGTAAAAGCTGCACATCGGATGCGATGCAATGGTCTCCAGCAACGACTTCTGCTTCTCCACCGAACTCTCGCCCACCCTTCGCCGATCGATCTCGCGAAAGGCTGCAAGTTTGCACTCATTGAGTGTTATCCTCGCGTCGTCGCTGCTGGTCGGCGTGCGCGCCGTGTTTGCCACTTTCGTTGCCAGGAGATAGACAATTGTTTTCGCGCGTTTAATCAGCCGCAAAGCAGATCCGAGCATCATTGGGTGGCACCTCTTAAGCCGAAGAGGTGCCGGTCCAAGCCTCCGCATCGTCGAGCCTCTTCTCACACTGCGCTTCAATTTCAGTCACCTATTTGTCGCCAACATGTCCAAGCAACCTAAGCAACCTGATTAAGACCTAGGCACCTGCCGACAACGATTTTCCATCTTCGCAGACTCTCGCTCCACATGTCCAGCACCTCATAATGACACTAATGATGGTTACCCTTCCCCTTCGGCCCAAGTGAGAGTTCCATCGGCATTCCTATAAAAGTAACGCCCAATCGTCGAATCCCATTCCCAATGCGGCTCCTTCGCTCCACTGCTTTGTCCCTGCGCGCTGTCGGATCTGCTGCTGTTTCTGCGCGATGAGGATTGATGCCTTTTATGATTGTTACTTGAAGAGCCATCAGACGGTGATGGGCGGGACTTCGAGGCCTCGGAAGCTTTCTTCCTGTTCTCCGTAAGGATTATATCCAAAGCATCCCTAATCTGCTGTAGGCGCGCGTCCTTTCCCCAATCAAGAATGTTTCGGACCTGTTTGCGAAAGTTCCTGAAATGCTCTGGGCTCCACAGCAAAAACGCTTCAGCCTGCTGGAGGTAATAGTTCAAGTCATCTTCCCTCCACGATATATATAATTGGGCGGTATTATTGTCCACAGCAATACAGTAGCACAAGTTGTCGACACGTTGCGTGTACTCTCGAAGCGACGCGATTAGCTGGTCTATAGCGCTGAGGCACGCTGACGAAGCGCCGGCACACTGATTTGTAGCAACCCAGAGATCGCCTCGAGTGCTGCCAGCAGCTTTAAATTCTATGGCGAAGAAAGGAAACCGAAGACCCTGTAACGTTGCCGCTGGGTAACTCGGTGTTTGGAATCCGGAATGGGGTATACCAGGTCGCGAGAATAGCGGAGACGACGATAACCCAAATTGGTGGAATTGGAAGTGGCCGAGCACTCGCCGGGTTCGAGGAAATTACCATCAACAGCCGTGGGAGGTGCGGGTGGCGAGTTGGCCGCCTCGCGGCGAGGAATATCCGGGCGAGCGTGCAATCCGATAGTACCTCGAGAGAAAAGGTGAATGGACCGAACCACAGACGTCATCCCATTCAGAAACCGCCATGGCGACCGAAGTTGAGGTTGATCCCAACGAGGCTCTCATCACCAGTCGGCCGTGGTTCCAGTGGGCACTTGAAGTTAAGGAGGAAGCCATCAAGTTGTCCAGAGTTCAGCTCCTTGCTTTACCTCACGATGAGGACGCTGCGATAAACATCAGGGCGCGGTGGAAGGCAAAGGGGGACTGGAAAGACAATTGGTGGGGCGACTCTCCGGGGTGGAAGTGGAAGCACGAGTCCCCATCTCCAGAACCCGAGGACCCCAACGAGATGGACTTCAGTCCGTCCGAGATCGACGCTCTCGAATCGATTCCGCCTCCGACGCCTCTTCCAACTTTGATCTTTGGACCTCCGTCAAATGAACCGGACCCTATCTTTGGGACCGTTCTTCTTGAGCAGCGGAAGCAGCGTTACCCTAACCAGCCTGCATCGGCACAGCCAATTGAGGACCCACAAAGGAATGACAAGAACCGAGGCGATGAGACAGAAGCCGTAGACGGGCGGGACAGAAGCCAGTCACAGATATCGAATGGTTCCGCAGCTCCTGTGGGTCAACAATCAGGAACATCCTCGGCGGTAAGGCGAGATCAGAGAAAGTCCCTCGAAAGCGTGCGGAGGAAGTCTACCCGTTTCATGCTAGTTGAGTCTCTACCGCAAGCGCAAAGCCCTCTCCCGACAGCCCCTCAGACGAGATCACTTCGCAAACGCAAAAGAGACGAGGAGAGCAACATTCCCACCCACGAGTCTTCGCCACCTCGTCTCAACATGCGCCCGGAATCTCGACGACAGAAGCGGCCTCGTACTACACGCTCTGCAGGCCAGTTCCCTCAGCAACCGGCTCGAAACTTGGCACCTAACGGTCCGATTGTGCACAGCCAATCGCAGACTAAGGAGAGCCGCAGGTATACCACTTCTAAGCAGCTGTTGTCTAAGCCGCGGAGAAGTGCACGTATAGCCCAGCTTCAAAAGGCGAAGGAAAATCCCGGTCAGAGAACGCGCAGGCGTAAAGATAACGCGGTTCCAGGGGCGACTGAACCGAACAAACGATTAAGATCGAAGCGACCTAACACGCTCGGCCCAGCAGACAGTCGGCACACAAGGAAAGGACAAAACGGTGCGGAAAGACGGACAAGAGCAGGCCGTCGGTCCAGATTGTCCTAACTTGAAGTAGAAGGAGATCTCCTTAAGACTGCAGAGGAGCACTTTACGTCGTATTACGAGCCGTTGATACCGTGGGTTAATAGATTACGGGGGAGGAAGATAGAAAAGGCTAGATCCGAGGCTGTATTCCGAGATGAAGGAGATACTCCGGGCAGCACAGACTGACCCGAGGGCATTAGCGATGTAGCTTTCCTTTCTTGTTCACGAAGTGGCAGAAGCAGCCTGCTTGCTGGACCGAACGGACGGGATCATCGAGATGGGCCACATAATCCCGCCAGTTCGGACACCGGCAGATGAGTTCAAGACAACAGATATATTGTGGATATGGGGGAGAGAATCGCTCGGGTCTCTCGTCAAGCTAGAGAACGACAACCACTTCACCATCGCGCTGATCGTGTTCCTGACGCTTCCGTAGTACCAGGCTGACAATCTGCCACCTAGACTCGAGGTTCGGTGAGACGGTATGCCTTTCTACTTCATCAATCGTCCACCCATACAGCATGTTACATATATCATCGGCGGCGCGCTGCGGCCATCGCACCAAACACTACTTCCGACGAGTCACCTATCCAGAGATAATTCCGCCAACGAGCCCCCCACGCCTTTTGCTCCGAGCCTCCCAAATGGCCCATGTCCCATCCTCCGATCCTATTTGTGTAGAGCACCCGCCGGCCTAGAGCCCCGACGCTAGGGAAGGGGACTGTGGTGACATAATGTTTTGATCCAGCAATCAGTGCAAGCCTCCCCTTTGTGCGGGCCGCCTGCAACATGTGCCAGCGAACGCGAATAGCTCCTTCTGTCCTGGCAGAGTTACAGTAGCTTCACGGCGAAGGAGCAAATCATGCCTTCGAAGACGCGCTGCTCAACTGAGCTTGGTGTTCTTTCTTTCCGGCAGCGCCCAAGTTTCCAGAAACCCTTGATTCCTGAGGCATCCGTACTGGTACGCGGTGAACCAGTCACGTGATCGAGCTAAGTTGCATGGCGAGAAGTCACGTCGTTCACATCGAAGGAGACAATTCCACACTATCCACGGGCCAACGCCCTAAATCCATTCGTCTCGCGCTGGTACTTGCCGATTGATCCAAACACGGAATTCTAACATTCTACGGAGAACGCATCGAACCCTATAGTAGAAGGTCAATCCTTCCGATCTCCGATAACTATCAAAATCATTCTTCAGTAAATGCATTGATGTCGATTCTTACTCCTTCAGCTGCAGATTCGAAAAACTCATCCGACGGAACTGAACGGTCTTCCTCATTCAAATTGCTACTCTCCGTCGCGCCTGGCGTGCTCTGCTCGGGCTGTCCATTGACCGATCTAGCATCCTGAGAGCCTTCGGCCGTATCTTCTGAGGTAGTCTCCCCGGTTTGTTGATTGTTGAAACTGAATTCAGTGCCAGTTGTCGCTAGAAAGCTTCGCTCGAAATTCTTCCATTTCCGCAGACTGCGCACCGTGCAAAGTCTGTTCATCGTGGGAAGGTTGAGGGGTGAATGGCTGTAGATGGAAGGGTACTGAAGGTGAGGGCGGTTGGCTGCCTGCGGGAGAGTTGAAAAGTGCATCTAATGCGTCTTCGTCCATGATTGCGCGGAAAGTGAAAGTGACGGGTGATGCCCAGCATGAGGGCTTTGTCTGAAGGCCGCGGCGCACGGACTACACAGGGACCAAAAAGTCCCCCACACAGGCTCGACTATTTTTAGGTCCGAGGGACGTGGCAGTGATTTCAACCAGACCACTGGACCTTTGGCGATCAAACGCTCCGAATTTTGACACCCTCCGATTCGCCGAATCGTTTCGTTGCAGAACCTTCTAGAGTGCCACTTTAATAGGAAATTGGAGAGGAACTCGTAATCGCGCGCGCGAACAAGATGGCAGCTCAAACAATCGAAGATGAGGAGGAGGATACGGAAGAGGAAATGCCGCTGCGTAATTTTACGAGCTGCGGAATATTACGAACTGTGGAATAGTACGGGAAGGGCGAGCTGCGGAATGTTACGAACTGCAAGATCTATTAGCGCAGAGCCCAATTGAGTGCATGAAGCCTTTTCGAGATTCCTATAGGGGAGCCTATTTTGGCAAAGTATGTTTAAGGCTTGCAAAACCGGTCTCTTTTTATACTGCGCTCACAAAGACTTCCGCAACAAATACCATAATGCATTTACTCCCTCAGAAGAAAAGGGCATCTCGAGCCCAACTTCGGGTAGACAAATGGCGACCGGATGAAGATGCAAAACTTCTGAAACTTGTGGAGACGGGTATAACATGGGGAGAAATTTCAGACCAGCTACCAGGAAGAAGCGAACAAGGCTGTATTGGACGATATAAAAAGAGATTAAGAAAGAGAGCTTTGTATGATTTTACTATAGAGGAAATTGCGAGATTATATAATAGGTATGACCTACCGCTCTTGCAGTTTTGCAAATACTAATAACTTATTTAGGTACAGATCTAGCATGTGGACGCCTATCGCTAGAAAAGTAGAACTTCCTTGGAGCACCGTTGAGGATATTTACTGGAAATTCGAGAGGGATCGTTTAAGACAAATGACAGCGAACGGCGCTAATCCTCAACAGGACGAAGTCTCCCAACGACTGTTAGAACACTTACCGCCTAAAAAAGTAGAGAGAGAGTTTCACCAAGCATCCGAGGAAGACAGGGAGATAGAGAATCTTGCCCAAGCTCAGATCCTCTGCGAAATGCAGCCTGCTAGCGATCAACTATCCGACCACGAGCTATGTACCGAGCACTAACGCAGTCACATTGTTACTTAGCCGTAACAATACGTTTCAAATCAGTATAGTTTATTATTAGTATGCGTTTATTCCTTGTGTTTCGTGTAGATCTGCATTAGAAGGGCTACCCATTGCTGTCCAATCTAAAAAGAATTGTGACGAAAAGAGTAACTTAATGCCACTGCCATCGCTTGCCAGCCAACGCGATTACCTCAAGCTTAGCGGCATCCCGACGAAGCGAAACGCCTCACGTTCGGAACAAAAATCGAGGTAAAGTTATTATGTTAGAACATTTTGTATTGGTGTGAGCTATCCTGGGCGCAAATTCTAGCCTATAGCAATGATGCACTAGCTTATATTATTAGATGAGTTAACACTAAGGCAGCTTGTGCAAGATATCTTCGTGAAATAGTTCTATGGATCTCGGGTAGGATACTGCACACGGTATACACGATCAGGATGCAAGGGTGTTGTAAATTAAGCCACTCATCGTAGAGGAGGTTTCCCTAGTAGAAGACGCCGTGTTGGCGTGCGGCGTGGGCCATAAAATGCTGGAAGTGTTCCAATCTCTCCGAACAACTGGGATGTGGACACTCGAATCGTTTGCTGAATCGCTCCTCTTTTTGGTGCACTCTAATATGCTTCTGAACAGTGGACTTGCGTGCAAACAGGCGCAGCCGTACCTCTCGCGAGAGCTTCTCTTCACCCATACAAACAAGGCAGACGTGATCAATGAACACCATCGGGAACGGATCCTTAGCCACCATGTCGGCACGCTCAACTTTAAAGGGAGTGTCGTTGCAAGCAGGATCCGGCTCGTCCGTGGAGATGCGGCGCATTGCTTCAGCAGTTGAGAGTCTAAGCCGTTTACAAGCTTCGACATCGGTAGTTTCGTCCGCCGTTCGCTTTACCCCGTGAGGCGGCTTGCGGCTGCTTTCCGACTGTCGGAACAATCGGCTTTCCTATCGAGCGTAAAGATCGGCGAGGTTTTGGGTAAATCTAATGCGCATTCTAAGAGCGCGCTCGTCGTCGAAGTCCGCCATAGACTTCGACATCAACCTCGCGACGTTGGCACGTTCCCGAAGCTCTTGCCGCGTGATTTGTGGAGTAAGAATCTCTTGTTGGTTCGTCCCGTCCAACTGTCTGTCTATCTCGATGGTGTCTATCGAGTCGTGGAAGTCTTTGATCGCTTGCTCGAGCCGTTTATTCCGCAACGCGTTTGCCTTGCTGTTGGCCTTACGCTTATATTTCTCATAGAAAGCATACTCGGAAGTTCCAGTACCAGCTTCAACTGGGTGATAGCCGAGGCGCTGAAGCTTCTTATTATATCGTTCTCGCTTTTCACGAAGCCTTACGAGGTCTGGGTGGTGCTTCACCTCTAACTTTTGCTCGTCCGTGAGTGTCGTAGGCGCCCTCTTGTCGCGTGATAGACCCATACGTGCGATAGACCAAATAAGATCTTCTTGGGATGGTGTGCCGAAGTAGATAGACTGGAAATCCCGCTTGATGAGATTGGGCATATAGAATTGCTCGTACGTATCGCCGTGGTGTCCCATGGTCTGGTTTCGCTCCTCTGGCGAGCAGGCGCCTACGAAGGTCGCCGTTAGCAGCCTCTCACCAAATTAAACAGTTCTTAATGCCCTATTAGCAACGTAGGGACGACGTGTAGGTGCGTACTTACTATTAATATTTTAACTAGAACCCCGTCTTACCTAATACAATTTAGTAGTTAGTTCGAACCTGACGAGTTAGCCAAGCTAGAAGAAATAATCGCGATATTTATAGTAAGGGAATACTCCAATATCTAAGACGCTACTATCTAATAGCAACTTTTTAATATTGCGAAAGATTAGTACGTTCCTACACGTCATCCATTAGCTCGGCCAAACACGTAACTTCAGATATTGAGCAAAGAGATCTAGTGTTGGCGAACGAGATGACTCGGGCCCGTGTTGTGGTAGACTGCTACCCGCTAACGCGAGCATTGAAGAGCTCGGACTGCCACAATGCTCCTCGCGCGAAGTCGAGATACCACGTTGCGTAGGTGTTGAGGGAAGGTAGGTGCAGCGACAAAGCATAAACTTACGTTTGTAAGAGGCTCTGGAAGGCTGTATGTCGCGGAGATGGTGATATGCCACCGAGACGGGCCGCTAAGGCGCGCGATATAGCAGCGGAGTACCGGTAGAGGCAGCAGAGGAGAGGAGAAATCGAAATTTTTCGAGTAGTGGTCGGAAGGGGGAGAAAGCCAGCTGAGGAGGAGTCTGCGTCAAAATTCGTTATGTGCGGCTGATACTCCGGGGAATAGACGGCTGGCGAAGAACTTCGGACAGCCCAAAACCCCGATGGCGTAATTTCAAGGGCTGCGAGCCGCGACAATTCCAATCGGTTAATTAGGGACTCCAGAATTTCATCGGCAGCAAGCGGTCGACCGCCCTCTCCTCTCTTCTAGCTGCTCTGTGTCAACAGCAGGGTATTTCTAAAGGCGCGGTAGCCCCTGACCAGTGTGAAAACCGCTTCTTGTCCAGCAACACAAGAAACCGACGCAATACAACGTAGCCCCAGCCTTGCTCATTATTACGTCGCCGTCGAACCTTGCCCCGCTTTGCTGCTCTTTACGGCATTCAGCCTGAGGGGAAAACGCCGGCAGCAGAAATGAAGGTCGAGCCTCTTTGGAAATGGATAGGTAGAGCGCTGGAGCTTTCCTCCGCAATGTGGACGTTCGGGTCGGGAAGGTACCTGCTAGATGCCTATACGCTTTGCCATCAATGCGGTTGGACGTGCCCTAGCCTCGCCCCTGAGGAGTTCCCCAAGACTAGGTAGATCATTCCCATAGCGTCTCAAAAGAGTGATGGTTAGAAAGCTCAATAGCGTTTCCCTGGACTCGATGCCGAGCCACAACAAAATTTGTGCCTTGGTCGTTATTGCGTCGTCTTGGACACGTGATTCTCTTTTCCGGGTTTCGTTGCATTTCACCTCGAGGGAAAGGGACCTTGTGCAGCCGGCGCCCGAGGTAGAGGGAAGATTTTGTCCATGCTTGTTTCTTAAACCTCAAGCCTCGACCCCCACGACAAACTTCGTCCGCCAACACACTTTCTTCCAGATTTACGCCGTCGCCACCATGGCCCCGGATGAAGACCCAGGACGCCGATTTACTGGTCCTCCTTCTCGGCACGAAAGCGAGCGACGCTTGATAGATCCGCGACATCCTGCTTCGACATCGGCAACTTCGTACAGCGCGCCTGGTCCACTGCATGTCATGTCGGGGCCTTCGCGAGACGTCGATATAGGCCTAAGCTCACGTGTAAGTCCAATCCTTCCCCAGCACGCTGAGAGCCGCTAACAAAGTGTAGCATCCGGTGATGTCGACGGCGCCCGAGCAAGCTGTGCCAATGCCCGGTGGCGGCGTTCCGCGGCAGGGATATCAAGTTGCGGCTCTATCATACAGTCCTTATGTGTGTAACCGTACCGCCATAGGCATGCTCTTGCTGTTCTTGAAATACTGACAATTTCCAGTCGGCGACCCGTAGGGGTTACGGGGTGCAGACTAGACCGTTGGTGACCCAGCAGCACTCTGGCTCATACACGAGCCGCGCACCGTATGATTTCGGAACCGTAGGCGGCAGCGCTGGCGGATTGTTCGGAGTTGCAACCCCAGCTCCCGCGCGGTACGGGTCTGGACATCCTGAGTACCTCCCTGGCTCGTCTGGCCAGCCTCTTCAGGTACGAGTCCCCCGCGCAAACATAGAGGGATCGACTAACGTGTGCTAGGCCGACGGACAAGTCTCTTCCCGTGGTTTCGGATCCGGCACGCCTTATGGCCTTATGGACCCTTCTCGGAGGTTCATGAACACGCCGCCGACGCCCGCGTTCGGAGCACCTGCAGCAAATTCTTACTCCTCAGGACCTTTCCGGGTCCTTCCAAGCCACGATTGGCCTGGACAGGCTGCTCCCAACCCATCGCAAGTCTACGGCTCGTTCACGGCAGGGGTAAGCTTCCTGCCGACGGCACTCGGAGAAGTACTAATCATTCGTCAGCAAGCGTCGAACAACAATGCGTACTTGGGCGGCAGCGGAGGATATGGGATTGACCCCTACGCTCGAGTGGGTACACGAGCGGCGCACGATCCTGCAGTAAGTTCCAAATTTATGAGAGAGCGATCAGTTCTGACGATCCGCAGGACTTTCGGGTGCTTCAGGAGCAATCAGATCAGTGGTGGCGGCAGGTGGTGCGGCAGCAGCAGCCGTCTTCCGGCACCGATGAGCGCAACCCCGCCGTCAGCGTTACCCGGTCGCCTACGACTTCGCAGCCAGCACATTCAACACCATCCCAAGAACTCGGTAACGACGACGTCGCGGAGCCTCTCCAGCCATCCGTTCCGCCCGTTCGGAGCTCCCCTGCGGGGACTGATGAACCTCAGCGGAGCAGTGGACGCAGCCGTGCTAAAAAGCGCATCATCACGTTTCTTCGGGAAGAGGATAAGAGGGTCGAGCTCCAGAGCCGCTTCAACCAATCGGACAACAACATTTGGAGGTCGAGCGTTCAGCAAGGCGCGGAGGCGCAGGCTCGGGCCTTGCGCAATCAGCTCGACGAGCAGCAGGTCAAGGACAGAGTCTACGAAGACTTCCCGTCTCTGAACACCCCTTCCGAAGTGCTTTATATCTTTAGGCAGTTCATTCGTCCGGATTCGCTCCTCTTCCACCGATACTTCGCAGCACGAGGTCGTCAGGATGTCAGGCCCGCCATCCCACTGCTCAAGCTCATTACCTTGGCCTTCATTGCACTTGGACGCATCGCCGATGAGGACGAGATCATTGAATGGTTGGAGAAGAAGTTCCCTTGGTATCTCGGCGCTTCGTTCAGCGACATGGACGGCGCAACTGGGCCAGATAATCTTCGAACTCATGTGGAAGCGATGTTCGCTCGGAATATGAATACCTACGATAGCGTGTTCACTCCAGTCAACCCAGCTACGCGACGCCGAGGTGCTGCATACGAACTGGCGAGCCGAGGCCGGGTCTGGCGTCTACCTAGCGGGCATGAGAATCATGTCTTCGAAGACTGGTATGGGTATGACAAAGATGAAACTCCTTTGTGGCGTCACCCAACTCCGAAAGAGCCTGAACCGAAGGTGAACGGAAACACCGCTATACTCGGTCTATCTGCGGAGCTGCGGCTTATGATATTCGGCTTCATATTCACGTTCCACGACTTCCAACATCAGACGCTGCAAGTGCGACAACTTAAAGTCCCTTGGCTGGATTCCGACTTGCACCTGTGTGTCGAAGCTCCTGAATGGGCGCAGACGGGGCCGCCAGTGCGGAGTATGCGGCAACTGCCTGACATAGCCAACCAAGACGGCTATAGAACCGGTTGGTGGCGCATCCCGCCCACAAACTGGCTGTTGGAGGTCGCTGAAATCGAGGACTTGGTTGGAATTGCTCATCAGGCGCTGTTCAAGGAGAACCACTTCATCCTGGAAGATGAAGATAAAGACAAATACCACCGGCGGGTCCCTTTCATTGCCTACAACTGGTTGCGGTCACTCAGCCACAACCAGCTGGCGTACTTGGATCACGTCCATCTTCGACTGGAGTTCTGTCCTAGCCAGCGGGGCCCTGAGTTACTGGCTATGCTTCGACGACTGGGCAACAGCTGTTGGCTGCGCAGCTTCAAATTGAGCATGGATGTCCGCCGATTGCCACTTGAGGAGCGTCAAGATTTCCGAAACATCCCAGGGTTTCAGGTTCTGAGGCGCTATCGTGGGGTTGAATTCCTCGACATCGACATCACTCCGGCTTGGCCGGAAGCCGTGAGCGAGCTGACAGCTTGCATCCAGAAAGCCAAGCTGCGGAACGGGCTGGGAAAAGGCGATAAGTGTATATATCCAGCTCTGGTGATGAAGCCGCTCAAAGAGTCGACGATATTCAAATGGCGACGGGGAAAATTCAACCGCTTGTTGGCGGCTTTCGGCCGGGGTGCCGCAGATATCATGAAGAAGAAGGCCGATGCAGCGTGGGTTGCGCAGCAGATTCTCGAAGACTGGGAAGATCCGGAAGAGCAGCGCTGCAGAATCGAACAAGAACAGACGAGTAAGGCGGCTGCAGCTGCGAACACCCAGTCAAGCACCAACTCCGGAACCCAGGCAAGCCTCTTCGGACACGCCCGGTCACATACCACGGATGGTCAAGAGGATGTAGATATGGAAGATGCGGACATGCAGACTGTTCTGCTGGAGGACGCTTCGGCCGCGCGAATCCACCAGCGTGGCGCTTCGGGGGATGTGGATATGGAAGACCTGGATGAACAAACTGCTCCGCTGAATAATGCTGCAACTACACAACTCCATCCACATAGGCGTCCAGAGGATTACGAGGGTCAGACCGGCTAGAATCAGAGGAGAAAGCAAGGGCTCCTGCGTGGCTTCGGGCAGACTAAGGGAGGTATATGTGCCTAAGCGCTGAAGTAGGTTGGATGTGGCTTGCAACTCTCCATGATCATCTGCGAGCTACGAGGGTCTCCAAAAGTGATGAGGTGGGGCATCGGGGCTAACAAATTTGCAGCGGGTTTACACATGTCTGCGCAAACAGTATTTAGATGATGTTCCTCCACTATGGTAGAAACTCGAATCCGGATGAATGACTCCTGTAGTATGCGAATGAACTGATGACTGAAGATGTCCAGAAACCTCTCAAGCAACCTGGGTCTGTCGAGAGACCTCCATAAAAGCCGGTAACTTGATTGATACAACAGGTGGAGATCGTCATCGTCAAGGTATATGGGTTCCCGGTGGTCGCATAGCGTCCGATCCATGAATAGTCCAGAGCAATCCGCGGGACGATACTTTCATGGCTTGCAATTGCTTAAGTACCCTGGAGGACTTCGCAAGCTTCGAGGGCCGGGTGGCTAGGAGTTTTCGTGCTCGCCGGCCGGATGGTCATTCCGAAATAGCTAGCTAGGGTTGATTTTCTAGAAACTGATACTGGAACAGTAGAAGTCGGGGGGTATTCGTAAGCTAGATATAGACATTCGACGCTGGGTTCGTCGCCGGATATATCCCAAACGGTCCAAAAGCTTCTCGAAGCTTGCTTTCGTAACTTTCAACGAAAGCTCTTCTTTAGATCAACCATAAGCCCCACCGGTGATTGAAAACCAGCTCGGTTAGGGGTTTTTCCGGTGTTTGCGGAGCGACGTAAAATGGCCATGATCCGGTCTCTTTCTTCCTCACCACCACAACGCAATATCGTCAAGGACAGCAAGGTACGACCTATCTCTTGAACCGGAAGCAGGGCCTGGATACTGATTGCAGCGTCAATAGCCTGGCATGCCGCCTTATCAGCGTCGTCCCGGGAAGCCGCAGCTCAGCCGAGCTGTCAGCTTCCTAGTCCTTCTTCTCTGCTTCCTGGGGGCCCACCAGCCCTTAAGCACCCAGTCTGCAGCTCGTGTCAATGAGCTGGCTCTCGCACTTGACGTCCCCGGCGCGAACGTAGCGTACGGGCGTTCCGCCCTTTCGAATACAGCAGCGGTGGAGCCGACCGAGCCTGCATCCCCGCAGGTCTCTTTGCAGGTAAGTCCCACTAACACCTCTTGAAGCACCCATTTGCTGATATCTAGTGGTTGCGCTCGGGTCTCTCGGAGGGCCCCAGTCATCCGCCTGCTCTGAACCCCGACACGCTGATCCTCCAGGTCGATATGACTCGCGGCATGTGTTCCTCGACCACAACAGTCGCCACTTTCGCAACAGCATCTCCGCGCCGTAGTCAGCCGTCTCAGGTAAGAAGAGAAATCGGTGCGCGACTTATACGAATTGTCTGACAAAAGTAGTCTTCGGATGAAGTCCGCTCCCCCGGAGACGAAGATGCTGAACGTGAACTTGACAATAGCCATTCAGGAGCATCTGGGATCTCTGGCGAGAGCGAGAGATATTTAGATCTCTTCGGCGGACGGTCCCGTTCGGCGGCTAACTCCGGGCTCCAAGGTCGAGAAGAGCGGCCCGATCCAGCAAGCTCTCGTCACCGTCGTCGCCTTCGAGATCTCTTTCAGTTGCCGTCTCGCCGGGGATATCGACGATCCCTCACAGGAGCGAGCCGTTGGCGTGGACTACTAAGCTCCGGGAGACATGGCTCTCCTAGGCACCGGCCGATAAACCCGCTTACAGGAAGTCAATTGGAGCGGATCCACGGGGAACCAAACTTCAGTCAAGAAGATATCGAAGCCATAATAAACGACCGAGGCCAGGGCGTGGGAACTACTGGGCAACCAAGGGCGAATGTTGTCAACGACCGCAGGGAGGTAGCACGTCCCGTTGAACAGCGGCGAATCGACCACATCAACAGGCACTTTCCGGGCCTTCGGGCTCCCGGTACAGCTCCCCCAGCGCAGCAACAGTTCAGGGAACAGCAACAACAGACACAGTGGCGCTTGTGGCGCCAAATCTTCGACGTCTGGCATCAGAACTTAAGGCCCCAACTAACCATACAGGAACTTATAACCCTCGCGCTTTTGGGGCAACAGGACCGTACCGCCGATGACGAAGAAATCGTAGCATGGCTCGAGAATAATTTCCCTTGGTTCCAGAACCACCGCTATGCCCCGCCTGGACTAGGTCTGTTTGGCAGGCAAATCTTCCCAGAGACTGTGAGACAATACCTGTCGCGCTTGGCCTACACTTATGATGGACCTTTCGTACCTGTTGATCCTGGTACTCGTGGTAGGGGCGACTTGTATGCGCGGCAGTTTCGGCGTCGTGTTGTCTATCTCCGCCCGGGTCAAGAGAACCAGATCTTCCGGCGATACTACACTTATGGTCGGGGAAGCAACAACCGGGTTCAATCCCCTGGACGGTGGTATTCCAGTCAACTGGCTCCGGGCCCCGGGGGTACGCCGCAGCTCCCCAATTTGCCTACCGAGATCATCCTCATCATCCTTCGCTATCTCCTTAAGTATCCCGATCCCATTCACATTTGTGCGCAGGAGACCAGCTCGACGGCGAGCCTGCGACTTTTCCTTCCAGCGCCATCTTGGATGAGGGATGCCGACGAATCGCACCGGGGCAACTTGTACTATCATAACGCGTACCACTATGGTTACTTTCTTCCCCCGCTGTCGGAAATCCTTGCAATTGGCGACGCATGCTCTGGATGGGATCGTCTAGCCTCAGAAGTCTTTTTCGGGGACAACACCTTCGTAGTGCTTCGCGAAAACGAGTATTGGGATTTCCGTCCTGTTCCATTCATTGCCGGACGATTCCTTGAAGAGATTGGCCCGCTTGGTCGTGAATTTCTTCGCAACTTCGTATGGTATTGGCACGTCAACAGGCTACATCGACAGCAACTGGCGACAGCGGTGCGGCATCTTGGTGAGGGTCGGAACATTAATACCACGATCTACATTGACGTCTGGAGTCTGGACGACGAAGAGTTGCGAAATCTATATCTCACTCCCGCGTTCCAAGAACTGAGTCGATTCCTAGATCCCAACCGTATTAACGTCATGGTTAGCGAACCCATTGAACACCTCGGATCTTGGCTATTGAGGGGAATAACTAGGCGGCGCCATATACGCGTTTCTGACAGGTCAATTGTGGATCAGCCTCTGGCTCCCGACACTCTCGCAAGGCGAGCCGATCTCAGAGATATTGCCCGTCGGTATGGATACGAGGCCGAGACTGGAAGATTTCCGGACCGACGCCGACCAGAGGATTGGACAGCGCTAGCCGAAGTAGTGAGCCAGCTGATGCAGGAGGACTATGATATTCCTGACGACGAAGGTCATCGACCGTATTTTACGGAAAGAGGATCTGGGTTCGAGAGTTCGGCTACTGACGACGATGTGGAGTATCCTTACTCGCTTTTTGGATCTCTCTCTCAGTCTCATGCGGCCACAGACACCACAACTGATTCAGGCGTCTCGCGGAATCCGGCTAGCAGTGGCCCTTTCGTCCCCATGCCTGGGCCACCGCCACCAGCAGCTCATAACAACTTCGCAAATCCGCATCTTCAAATGTCACCTCACGCTGCTCAAGACGGCTCCAGCACTTCGTATCTTCAGCTGCCGTTCCCAGCTGCTCCGTATAGCTCCTCGAGTTCATGGTATCTCCAACGACCGGCCGCTTTAGCTGAGGATAGTGTCGTTAGCCCCTACCTCCGTCCGGTGCCCGCAGAAGAGGCCAACGATCCCCTTCTGGAGTACGAAGATGACTCAGAGGCGCCCGAGGCGGTTCAAATGCATAACAACCTTGTCTCGCTGCAGCGTCGGGCTTTCAGCGAGCAGCGAGCCAGGGAAGATCGGGAGCGACAGGATGCTGCTAACCGCGCGACATCAGATGCCGCTAGATCCAGGGAGAACGCGCAGACAGGCGAGAGTAGGATTGTTTGGACTCCGCCGGCTAACCGCCGGGCAGCCCCAGCACTCGCCGAGTGCATGGAGCCGCCATTGGAAGATGATGATTCGGCTGGGGCCGAACCCGGGGCTGGTTTCCAGTGGTAGGCACTTGTGCCGGGCCTGGATAGCCTTTCGTCTGCAAATGATGTCAAGTTCTATCCAGCTGGGGCTTCGGAAAAGGGTAAGGGCTGTGTCTCCGTCTTTTCTGCACTCTTGGATGAGTGAGCATTTGGCTTCGAGTCCGGTCTGCAGCACGAAGATTGATCTTCCGGTAGATAGCTTTTGTCCCAGAATAAAGGCCTCAAACTTGTCTATCTCTTTTCTATTGCCGTGACTTTAAGTGACATGAGTTGCTGCGTCGTTGCGTAGGAGTGCCGTAGAGCCCAGAACCGTCCGTCCAGACATTGCAGCTCACGTAGAAAGGTCATCGACGTTTTGTTTTGGAATAGGTCGCGGGATGCGGCCGCCCTGCATCGGGTTACTTAGTCGCGGCTCGGTATCTGAACCTAGACCAGACGAGGGATTATGGTGTGCGTAGCCCGACCCTAGCTGACCACTCAAAGAGACCCCACATTTCCATACCGAGCGTGCACGGACGAGAGTGAAGGGCTTCAGTTGCTCTCGATGTTCCGCCGCCTCGCCGCTACCTTCGATCAACTGCAACACCGTCGACGACTGCTATTGACGACAGCATATGGACTCAAAGGAGGGACAAGAACGCTTGAGCACGTCATCAGCGCCTAATGGGGACGAGTCCGCTGCGGCGTCTTCTCCACGCGTGAAGAGCGAAGCGTCGCGCTCTGGCATCAACCCATCGCATGCTGCTTCTTATGAGCCCGTATTCGGTTCCGTAGCTCGGCTCGTAGCAAGTGATGAAGAGGTATCAGTAGCCGGCATTGGCTGACGGCTTCGTAGGCGTTGACAAGCCATAGGTGTTTCCCGCTGCCTCGTGCAGCTCCGATTCCGCCGCCACCGCGCCGGGCTCTGGGGCGAAATGGATATCCCCTACGGCTCCGGCTCTTCAAGTACGCCAATAGGAGAGGCGCATCGTTCTTGCTCTGACAAACACCGGAGTACCGCTTTCCGGGGGCAATATGGCCAATATTCCCCATCTCATTTCGGTTATCCCCCCATTGAACAAGTACACCGATGTGATCAAGACCCTAGCCAACTCTAACAAGCTCCAGGAACCGTTCCACATGAGGTCGCGGCGTCGCTCCTTCGCTCAAGACACGAGCGGCCCTAGCGAACCCGTCCTACAGCGCAAGCCGATGGTAGTTTAGAGCTCCAGAGTTCCGTTTTACCATGCAGTGCTATCACTGACAGCTTCTAGTCAACGATTCGATCTCCATTTGGCGTGTGCAACCGTTGGTACTCCAACTTCCTTGTCATGAATGACCCCCAGGCCTGGCCCTACCCTCGTCTACCGCCCGAACTTCAGCGATGCCTGGGAAACGAATATGTGGCTCCGGCTACCTGTTACGACCCGTCATTACAGCTCTCTGCACCAGCTAGCCATGGCGGCCCAGATTTCGCTGCTCATGGAATCGTTTGGCATGCTGCGGATGGAGGATTACGTTCTTCCACAATCAAGCTGCCGAGCAACGCTGACGATTGGCAGGATCTCATCGCGAGCAACGGTCCATCTCCGTCTATCGCCGATCACTCAGAAGCTTACGCATCTCAGCACCCGGATGAAGGTGCGCTACATGAGTACCATGAGGAGGATGAGCGGGTTAGAAAGAGGAGTCGTAAGAAGTGAGGCACAGCGGAAAGGATGAAAGAACTTTGTCTTTTGCCAGAGCGTCCAAGGGACGTTTGGTAGGAAGGATGGTATCCCGGGATCCGATGCATGGGAGTGTTGTGCATCGATTGAGCTGAGGGTGGCCATTTGCAGGCAAGGCTTGGTGATAATATCTCGGGCGGCTTGAAAAAGCGTTTCTGGGCCGTTAAGGCAATGGACTTTGCGCGCAGCCAATCCGAGGGCCCGAGGCCATATAATGATAGCAATCGGACGTTACCATCGTGTCCCTTCCTATGCATCTCTGCATACATGCATAGGAGGACCATTCTCAACCTGAAAAGCTGTCTCCGGCATAATTTGATGCGCAGATATCCATAAGACCTTGAAGCTTTCTAGGATTGGTGACACATCCACCTGCTCTTGAGCCCTCCACGGCACTCTGGGAGCTGTGTGTACAACCGCGGCGTGACCATATCTTGGAGCTGCTGTGGACAGAATTCGCACGCAACATAGCTCCCTGGCAAGGTCCCAGGTGGGTTCGGTTGGAAAGCGTGATTCATAGTGCTTTGTCCGAAGGCGATGGACGGAAATGCGAAAGCAGCTGCGCACACCCACCACACCCACCACACCCACAATCATACCGCAACCATGGCAAGGCCGTTGTCGCGAAACACACTCTGCACCTCAGACACTCTCCTCTTCCTTCGACTAGTAGCATAACGAGCTCCGAAACCAGCGTGTAGAGCGCAAATCGGGTATCTGCACAGCGGTTCCGCCGCTAGATGAAGGCGACCAGCGTTGGACTGCAGTGGCAGTCGCGCTGAGCCCTGCTTGTCTGACCTGGAGATGCCTACATCATACAACCTCTGTCGGGGTACTTAGCTGTAATGGCTGGCGTTCATTGTTTCGAAGGCGCCCATGCGACGTCCCCACCGACAAGCCCTGCGCCCGCATGCATGCATTCCCCGAGCGCACCGCCCGCGCGTCTACAGCTCCAGAGCATGTAACCTGACCCCTGCGACATATGAAGGGCATACCGGTTTAATAACAGCGAGCAGAAGCGACAGTCCGGCGTTGGGCCCTTGTGGGCATTAGGTAAGCACAGAGCTTCGTAGACCGCTTGCGCGGTTATTAAGTCCTGAGATACCTCAGAATGGGGCGCCGGCCTCTTCGAAAGAGAATGGAGCGCGACTGGTATTCATGAGGAGCGAAGGGCCGCCACCACGGATACGAACCGCTTTCGTCAATCGGACACCCTGCGCATGGAACCCTTCGTGTTGAGCAAGTCTACTCTTCCGAAGGGAGATGCAGCACCGACCTGCTGCGGCAGGCAGCTTAGAGAATTCATTCGTCCCCCTGCCGCAATCGATTCTCCGTCTGCTAGTCTCCGGGTCGACAAGACTTGCATGACAGCTCTCCTGATCGACGGTGCCAGCGACATATTAGGGGCTTAGGCCCAATTGGCTTCCTTCTTAGACCGCACGGCCATGTCCGGAACAGGTCTCGGAGCCTGGAAAGGAGCTTTTAGCCCAGCACTGTCAACCCAAACACCACGAGGCATACGCAGACACCACGAGGCATCCGATAATTGATGAGAGCAGCCAGTCGGATCTGATGGTCCCCATGACCGGCGTTGAACTCCCACAGAGGTTCTATCGGTCTTTCCAGGCGAGAGTAGTGCCACCGCCCAGAGAAAGGATTCCCATGATAAGCTGAAATACCGGCATACTCTTCTCGGGCTATTACTTCCGAAGGCCGGGGAATAGGAAAAAAAAAATGAGATCTGTCCGGTTCCCGCGGGCATGTTGATCATTTCACAAGGACGACGCTCGCGGGATCAGCAAGATAACTGAATCGGACCAACTCGCAGCAGGAGCGAACCGCATCGAAAAACTCGCCCTTCATCTTCCCGTGAGGATGTCTTAGTGCTCCATTAAATGCGGCGAACATTTTCGGTAGAAGGAGAGGTTGCTTCACCGGAAACATGTTCTCGAATCACAAGGAGTGATTATGCGGCTCATTTAGTAAGGTGCTGGCCGACATACTCTCGGAGCCATGGAACGATGTCGGGTTGGCAACTGTAAGATGCTTTCTTACACATTCTAAGCGTTACGGCCGTTCTATGCGATCCACAGGAAGTCCGAATCGCGGTCACAAGCGCTTATATGCGTGCATCGAGGTGGATACTCTCATCAAGGACACCTCGCATTCTCAGACTGTACCCCGCGAAAGAGGCTGTCCAGAAGCGTCATTTGCTCTGCGTCTTTCGCATTTGTGTTTTGGACACAGCCTCGAGGGAGACCGAGATCGCTGAGCGCTCGGAAGTGTCGAATCCGCCCAAGAAATACGAGGAAGCGGCGGCAAGCCTCCTCATAAAGTACCATGTCTTGTGCTAGACCGAAAACTCTGTTGTACCAGCTCCTCGAGGTTATGCGGTGGTCTTCGTGAAAAAAAAAAAAGGTGCGGACCCTATCATCCTCCGGAGAAAGTCAATGTTTCCGCGACAGTTATGGGGGGCCTGCCAATGATTGCGATCCGTCGAAACGGCGATGCTCGCGTGCCCTATCCGCGGTAGGGGCGATCTCTCCAGACCCGTAGTCTGCAGGCTAAGACCAAGGCTTACGTCCACTGCCAGCCTCCAATTCGATCTCGCTGGACTTGGGTGGTGCTGCAAGGCCCGTGAGGCGCGGAGCTGCCTCAACATGCGGCGGCCGGAGTAAATGGCAGACCATGAATGTGTCGGCGCCAAAGTCTTTGTTCACAGTAGCATGTGCCGGAGGGTGTAGAGGCTACCGTGAGTGAGACTCGATAACGTTGAGCGTAACCGGGTGTCCAATGAATCTAGGGCTGATTGCGAATGCCTTAGGCGGCCGCCCTCGCGAAAGTGAGCCCGCCGCTACGCCAGGAGTCTGATGTACCGGTGCCTCGACCTGATATTTGACGGCATCCACACCTTGTTGCTCAAGAAATAGACGGTATCACCCCCAACGGCAAACCGAGAGCTTTCGCAGAGTCGGATGTTACGGAAGGTCGGGCGGCGGGCGTCTTGCATGTTGAGGTAGTCGAAGCAGGCTCAGGCTCTCTAAACTCGCCATCCGTATTCCGAGGCCGAGTATCTATATCCGCCGTCCGCTTCCAATTCGACCTCGGCAAAAGCACCGCATAGCTCGAGCTGTCAGGTTCGTGACGGCGCCGGGTCGCCTCAGTATGCGGTAGAAGGGGTCTTCCGAACACCACGGGTGTTTGGTCGCCGCTATGCTGAATTGCCGCAACTGGGGTTGCACGAGAAGGTGGAGAGGAGCAGGTACTGTGAGGTCTACGAGTATGACATAGATCGAAGAGGGTGCGACGGTGGTCGTTGCTGGCCCAGCGGAGAGGACCTCCTGATATCCAGGGGTGAAGTGCGGACCCCGCACGGACGGTGCCCCTTCTAGCAAACGGCCGCGTTCACACGATGCAACTCAACTCCAAGTCATCCTACGGATTGATGATGCTGACTCGGAGCCGCACGAGGAGGAGGACGCCGCTGTATCGGAATGCGGAAGCCGCTCTGTGCCCCGAGGCCGTCGATACCAATATAACCCCCAATTTCCGCTCCACATTAATCGAAGTCGCCAGCCCGAGTACAAGCAACCAACTGGGGACGCGATTCGAATTGGCGGCACAAACAAAGCGCCACAAGGTCGGCAAGCTCCTGTTGGGTTGGCAGAGCTGGACGAACTCACAGCAGCGTGCTTAATCGTCAACGATGCTCTAAGGTGTTTCCGATCTTCTGGAGCTGGGCTAGGGGTGCGGTGGATATACGACTGAGTAGTTTCGGTGGTTAGCCGGCTGATCGGAGAGAGTACGGGGCGCCACATACTTTGACATGGCTCAAGAATGGTGCTCGAGGATATGGAGCTGATCTGGAGGGGCACCGTGTACAACTGGGGACTACGGTAGATATTTGAAAAATGAGACACCGAGGAAAGGAGAGAACAGTTCAGATGCTATAAGAGAAGAGGGGTAGACATAAGAGACGGAATTGTAGGAGAAATATTGTCCTTTTCAGTATAGAATTACACGTATGAGACTTCGTCCGAGGGGATCTCTACCGAGGGATGTATCGAAAGACGATTGAAGGATCGCTTCTGGGGTTTGGTCCCCGGAGTTGAAGCATGTTATTTGCTTTTTCATCTTCTCCAACGTCTGCTATGAAATGTCGGTCGTAGTCAATGTACCAGGCTGTGTCAAGCTTCCGCCAGCGTCCTTCGAGGCGATCGTCGTCTGCATATGGGACTGTCATTGCGAACGACATGAGAGCCCGCCTCGTATGAGACGTAGATCTCTCCATGTCCAACGCGTTTGGTGCTTGCGGAGCGATGATGAGATGTGATCTAAGTTGGTGATTTAGGATCACGGAGGTTGGTAGATCTCGGAAGCTAGGAGAAACGATCTGCCGGAGTCTGTCGGACGCAGCAAGAACATCGCTTTGCAAACCCAACAGTGTGTAGGAATTGCTACGTTTAGAGAGACAATTAAACGATACAGCTTATGTACATAGGGAATTCCTGAAGCGGTTACGACTTATGAGCCGTCTCAGGAGCTTTCGATGTCCCCGACCGAATCGGAGAATACCTAGTGTAGCGTATAACAATATATGCGTTCGAAGCCTTCGATACAAACCAATGTACAATTGTTCCGATACTATACACGTTCCTTCTAATCCTACAGGTAGGCTTACTATAGGTCAATCTACATCTTGCCACCCGTAAGCGCCTCAGCTACCTTCTTCACCCTCTCCTTCGCCAAGCCAACGCCTTCTCCTCCCTTAAGCTTCTGCAGCCTATCACCAACACCCTCTGGCATAGGACCTTCCCAAGGGCTCAAGCCCATCGCGTCGCCCCGACTGAATGGCACCATTTCTCCCTTGGCGGTCCAGAGCATAGGGTCCTCTTCGGTGCCAAACGCCTTCTCGATCGCCTCGTCCAGTTGCTCCTCGTTCACAATGAACTCTCTGGCGTTGGTATAGAGATCGTGTACACGTGCCCGACGCACCGCATCCTGCTTAGCCATGCGTCGCTCGTAGGCCCGTCGGTGGCCTTGCGTGATGTTTTCGCGCGATCTCGAGGCAAGCTTGTTATCAAGGAAGTCGCGGATGCTTTTCGAGACGGATGTCTGGGTCAAGACATCGACGGTCCTTGGAGGCGCCATTGCGAGCGCTCGTCTCTCGGCACCAACCCTCTGTATTCTCGCCAAATGCTGCGCTTCCGTCGTCGTCTTTCGTCCATGCAGTGCTTTTACACCCTCCCTAAACGCTTGTTTCCTCGCCTCCGCTAGCCGTTGCTTGTATAATCGGTAGTCCGCATCGCGGCTGTATGGCCCGGGCACCTTCACCTTCTTCGGATCCTTCGTCGTGAGGGCAATGAATTTGTCAGACTCCTTGGGCAGCTTCGATCGCGTCTTGAAGACATTGCGCGGAACAGGCAGATGACCTTTTACTGGCGGCTTCAGAGGGAAGGTAGGCTGGAGTGGTTTCGGAACCTCGATGTAGTTGGGGGACTCCGGGCCGAGAGCAAGTGAGGGGGAGGTCGAGGAGAATGTCCGGATGCACAGGCTGGCATTGAGTCCATTGATGGAAGATGGACCCGATCTTGGTGCCCACGGGAAGCGTATAGGTATTCGGGGCGGCATTGCGATGGTTGCGACGGCTCTCGAACCGTTGCGGAGGTAGAGCGGAGGTGGTCGCGCCCTGCATCGCAAAATCTGGGTGGTCCGAGCGTCGCCTTACCTAATCGAGAATTTCCGTACACCTTCCGAAATTTCAATTCCAGCACACTTCGACTCCACCAACCCCCTCCTTCCGCCAACGCGTCCGCCATGGGAACTTTCAAGAAGGAGGCTAAGAGGCGGGAGAGGCAGGGAACCACTAGCGATGGCTTGGGAAACGTTAAGGTCAAGGGCGAAAACTTTTACCGCTCAGGAAAGAAGGGTGCGCATTTCGACTTGCATTTGATATTGCTGCTAACGTTTATGGCTACACTTGTAGTCAAGGTCTTAAAGCGATTGACTGATGGGAAAGCCCAGAGGAATGCCCGCGGAGACATAACGAAAGCCGCCTCATACCAGAGTCGTGACGCTCCAGTTGCACGCGTTCAACCCGACCGTCGGTGGTTCAACAACACCCGCGTGATATCGCAAGATGCCTTGGACTCGTTTCGTTCGGCGGTCCAGGCGCAAGCCTCCGACCCCACCACCTATCTCATGAAGAGGAACAAGCTTCCAATGGACTTGATCTCGGCGGAGAAGAACGTCAATGGATTGAAGCAGCATGCGGCGAAGATAGCAGTCGAGAGTCAACCATTCAGCGATACGTTTGGACCCAAGGCACAGAGGAAGAGGCCGCGATTAGATTTCGATTCTATCGAAAGCCTAGCCGGTCGGACCGGAGACATGCATGAACAGTATATCGAGAAGCTTGAGCAGGCGAGACTCCTGTCGGGTACATCCGGAGACGCTGAAGGAGAGGGCGACGACGGTACGCTTACAACCGCGAGAGAGTCCATATTCAGCAAGGGCACGTCGAAGAGAATCTGGAATGAGCTGTATAAGGTTATCGACTCCTCGGACGTAATCCTCCGTAGGTTATCCACTTCCTTTCGACCTCCCTGAGCTATGCTCCCTGCACCTTTTGCGTTCCGGCCTCTAGTACTCGGCTAACGGCACGGTAGATGTGTTAGATGCCAGGGATCCAGTCGGAACGAGGTGTCGCAGCGTCGAAAAGTATCTACGAGAAGAGGCTCCTCATAAGCATCTCGTTTTCGTGCTGAACAAAGTCGATCTCGTTCCAAGCCGCGTTGCGGTAAGTTATCTCCCAGATCCGTTCGGCCTATTGCATTTCCCCGTCATATAACCCATCGATAAGTCAAGGATCTCTCCTCTCCTCCATGGACCGATCCTGTTACATCAATGGGAGATCGAATAAGGCTCGCTTCCCCGCTGCCGTTATGGTTAGTGGGTAGATGAGCAGCCGTTTTGGTTGCAAGTCACCAGAGTCCGATGTCCCGTTGAGTTGAGGGCAGCCTCTGCGTCGCAGCATCATGACTGTCCTCTTAGTAACGTTTCATACATCCTATCATCCCATAAGTCTTCACTCTGTCTTAATGTAGGACTAACAAGTTCGGCAGGCGGCATGGGTGCGACATCTCTCTAAGGAATTCCCCACTTTGGCCTTTCACGCTTCGATTAACAATAGCTTTGGCAAAGGCAGTCTGATAAGCCTTTTGCGTCAGTTCAGCCAGCTACATTCAGATAGGAAGCAAATCTCCGTGGGTCTTATCGGGTATCCCAATGTGGGGAAGAGCTCGATTGTAAACACTTTACGCAAGAAAAGGGTTTGCACTGTGGCACCTATTGCAGGGGAGACAAAAGGTCAGTCCCCAACTCCTATCTCTCAGCCATATCTTGCCAGTCAAGCTTTCTGACGCACTCGTAGTATGGCAGTATATTACCCTCATGAAGCGAATCTACCTCGTAAGCTTTTCTTGAATCTTACGCCTGCCCTAGCTAACACATGCAGATCGACTGTCCCGGAATAGTGCCGCCCAACCAACAAGACACCGACGAAGAGCTCCTCTTAAGAGGTAGCGTGCGAGTCGAAAACGTCGAATATCCCGCCCAATACGTCGAAACCGTACTCAAGAGGGTGCAGCCAAAGCACATACAACGGACGTATGAAGTCCAGGGTTTCTCAGACGCCACGAGCTTCCTCGAGCTCCTGTGCAGGAAGCAAGGTCGGCTGCTCAAAGGCGGGGAACCGGATCTAGATGCCTGTGCTAGAATTGTATTAAACGACTGGATAAGAGGAAAGGTTCCATGGTTTACTCCGCTGCCTGTCAAGGACGCTGAAGGAACTGGCCCTGTTCCAGGCGTGGACGGCCGAGAAGGCAGATTGGGAGAAATGCCACGGAAGAGGAAAAGGGATGTCGAAAGTGAAGCTACAGAGAGCCTAGCCGCTACCATGGACATTAATGGTGCAGCTAAACTGGATAGTAGCAATGATGACGGGGATGATTTCGAAGGATTCAGTGACGACGGAGGACTGGAACTGGACATGGAAGACAAGGGCGACAAGGACGGCGTCGATGAATCTTCAGGGGATGAGGGAAGCTTTGATGGGAATACCCCGGTCCCAGGAAGCGATGTCAGCGATGCTAGCGATGATGTTGAAGATGACGAAGACGTCGAAGGGGACCTTGCGACCATATCTGCCGCTCTATCTACGGAAAAAAAGCGGCAACGGACAGAGTAGTCATGACAGCAATGATACCCGGGACATGCGCACATGCAGCATGAACTTTGCTTCTGAACTCTGTTAAGACTGTTCTACAACTTTGCATTTCTGCTCTGATTCTCGATGAAAGCCTTGCGGACTTCTTCCTCAGCATCATAGCCGTACGCCCAAGCCGCCGTAACCGGGTCGCTCCATTGGTTCGGGCTTTCCTCAAACTCCCTCTCTTCCACCTCTGGCCTCATCGCCTCGTCCCTTGCCCTCTGCTCCGGCCCGTCCGCGAAGTGCCACAATTTCCCATTGACCAAACTCGCTTCCTGCATTTGCCCTGCCCTTAGAAGCCGTACGCGCTCGAAGATCTGGAGCGCGCTGTGGAGCTGCGATTTGGAGTCAAGCAGGGATAGGATCTCAGCGAGAGCAGCACCGTCCTCCACAGCCATTGCTGCGCCTTCACTCATATAAGGCACCATAGGATGCGCGGCGTCACCGAGAATGAGGAGTTTTCCGGAGGTCGAAACCCATTTTCGGAGACATTTGCCAGATAAGAGAGGCCATTTCAGGGTCGTGCGAATCATGCTGATAACCTTTACGAGCCTGCTCATCGTCAGCTGCGTATCTGGGCAGGGAGCAAAATCAAGTTACCGTGGATCCCAGCCTTCGAAATGCCGCTTCATATCTTCAATTACGGTCGCCTGATTCCAAGTCGCTGGATCAGAGTCCTCCGGGTGCGAAAGCACCATGTTGAATGATTTACCGCCTGCGATCGTATAGGTCATGACGTGCCGTTGGTCGCCGAGCCTAATACAGGGTGAGCATCCCGCCTTTCCCGCGCTGATACAACACTTATAATGAATTACTTACCAGAGGTTTTGCCCAGGACTTTCAAGCAACCACGACACGTCCGGGTCGCCTCTCATCATCTCAGCATCTACCATAGCTCTGTACGCAGCGAATCCCGCTTTCTTCGGCGGCTGGTCCTCTCCGTCCAACACTACTTTCCGAGCTTCAGATTTTATCCCATCTGCCGCAACAACAAGATCCGCCTGGTATACCGATCCATCTTCAAGCCCCACGCTCGGCGTCTCTGCATCGTACCTATTCACCCCCGAACTGACCTTCACCTCGACGCCGAGATCGAGCGCAAGCTTGTGCATCGCAAGTTGCAGATTGGCTCTATGCACAACGTAGTATGGCGCACCGAACCGATCTCGGAAATCTGGGAGAAGCTTCGTCAAGCTGAGCACTTCGCCGTTTTGCCATCTGCGCATACGGATTGCGTGCGGCTCGATGGCTTTTCCTCCAAGATATGGTCCCAAGCCCCATTTGAGTAGTAGGCGGCTTGAATTTGGTGGGACTTGAATACCGGCCCCGACCTAGGACTGTCAACTCTGCTCTAGATAATGAAAGCGGAGCGCAGTACCTCTCCCAACTCAGGCGCTTTTTCGAAGACGGTTACGGCGTGGCCACGTCTTCTGAGCGCAATGGCGGTTGCTAATCCTCCCAGGCCAGCTCCCGCAACCACTATGTTGAGTTTTACTTTAGCTTGCAATGGGAGATCTTCTTGTGGCGGTGGCTGGCAGTGGGCTTGGAATGGGGGCCTTCTTTGCGGCCACCTCTTGTTGACGCGCTGCAGGAAGTTCAAGCTTCGCGAAGGGTACGATGTTTCCTAAGGTTCAGGTCAGAAAAAAAAATTCGCCTTTCCGAGAGCAACGCACCCGAAGGCCTGCATGACCTTTCTGGCTCAGAAGCGCTTCGATATTGTTTCTACATTTCTTTATCGCCTCGTTGTTGTCAGCCATCTTCACAGTCGCTCTCAGGATCCCGAAGGTAAGAAGTTTCAGACCACTTGAGATAGAAGTAATTCAGAGTCTTTAGAGAACCCGGCAACCTCGCGGAATGAATCTTATCTGGCGGACTGCAGAAAAGCCTGGCCAATCGGGGATTTAGCGAACACGATGAGGTGAACGATTGGGGAGCGGGGAACCGAGGCAGCTAGCCGCACGACAACTCTCCATCACCGTACCGAGAGCGTCATAAGACAGCTCTCTGTATTCGCTTCCTCTAATTCCTAAGCAACGGGGCTAATTCCGCTGCAAAGGCGACAATAATTCGAATAAGTGCCGACGCTCAACGAGAGCTCATTCCCATTCTGCTGCAACTACATCGGCTAGCGCCAACAGTATGGCTGCCAACGGTGTGAACGGAACGATCGAGACGGTCGAGGATGTTATCAAAGGGGCTTCGAAGTACAACGCTGTACCCCTATGGCCTCAGATGGTGAAGTACAATCCTCCAAAACCGAATCCCCGATGCATTCCGCATATCTGGCGATATCACCAAGTACGACCATATCTTGTAAGAGCAGGAGAACTTGTGAAAGAGAAGGATGCAGAAAGGCGAGTTTTGATGTTGACTAACCCTGAGAGAGGTACGTTCCCCGAATAGTCGAAGTGCAGGAAACCGGCCACTGAAGATCGAATAGAAGGACCATACACAACCGACACACTGTACGCCGGTCTTCAGCTTGTTATGCCTAATGAGACTGCTCCTGCTCATCGCCATACCGCATTTGCTATGCGCTTCGTAATCGAAGGAAATGGTGGCTTCACTGCTGTTCATGGCAAGCGCATCCAGATGAACCGCGGCGACGTCATACTCACGCCCACCTGGAACTGGCACGATCATGGCAAGGATGGATCTGGTCCTATGATATGGCTGGATGGGTTAGACTTGCCTTCATTCGTGCACTTCCCGGTGCACTTCGTCGAGCACTTTGATCAGCCGCGGTATCCTGCGGAAGATGTGGATACCAGTCAGAGCCCGATTGTGTTCCCGTGGCAAAGAATGAAGAAGCAGTTGGATGAGGAAGAGGGCGACTGGGCAGCGAAGGAGTATCGGAAAGCGGATGGGAGCTACGGTGAGTACACCACTTGTAAAGTACCAAGCGCCTCTACTAACTGATCACAGTGAGCAAAACGCTCGGTCCTTCGGCGGAACGCATCAATGCAGGGAAGTCATCTCAGCCTCGCCGCGAGACGACATCTTGCGTCTACCATGTCATTGCCGGAACTGGACATTCCCAGATTGGGGAACAGAAATTCGAGTGGAAACAGGGCGACACGTTTTGCATTCCCTCGTGGTATCGGTATCAGCATTTCGCTAGTCCGGATGAGACGGTGTATTTGTATCGATTCGATGACAAGCCTATGATTGAAGCTCTTGGGTTTTATCGTTTGGAGGGTATGGATACGGAGACCCTCGTTACTTAGAGTATCTTCGCAGGTGGAATGCAAGCCGCTCCTGGTGGGACTAGAACTCAGAATGCGCCTAGACCAGCATCTTTCCTTAATCGTGTCCGTTTAAGAGAATACTAACAAAAAGGCCGCAATTTTTGGCACGGTTTCGGCCTTGGTGCCATCTTTACAAGCCGAGTGACATACCGTCTTCCGACGCATTGCACATGCCAAGTAGCCCCTTCCGGCCGAGCTGCTATGAGGGTGCACACTACTACGCGAACTAAGGTAAATGTTCGCTCAACAACGCATGTAATGTACGAACTTTCTGTACACACACGTCGGCCATATTTCTGTCGCCGAAGCGGCTCGGCCAATCATATGCCGGATTACTATCCGAACTCTAGCTCCCCTGTCCGTCCCGGGCTTCCCCACATCCTCATGCCGATATCGCCATAATACGCTTGACGCGTCTTTCTTCTACGAATTCCGACATTGAAATTCCGCAGCAGCCCTTCAGACTCGGTTCGATACCGAATCTTCAACATGCCTCCTTGGAAACGCCTCATCCGCTTCGAATCTACTGATGGACGAACACTGCGGGGCGAGCCCATTCTACCGTCACCAGATTTCGACGTCGGAACCACGACTGAAGAGACGGGATTGAAAGCCAAGGTTATCAGCGTAGCCAACAACGATATCTTCGACCCCGCGACGAAAGTGACAGACGAGACCGTCACGGTGAAGAAGTTGCTGGGTCCCGTGACCACGGACGAAGTACCCATCATCAGATGCATTGGGCTGAACTTCATCAAGCACAGTAACACTTCTCTGCCCCAGACTCACAGAAGAAAAAAAGATGTTAACGAGTGCTGCAGTCCAAGAAGGAGGCCGAACCCTCCCCCCCTTCCCCTCAACCTTCATCAAAGCCAACACCTGCCTAGCCGACCACAACGCGCCCATTGTAATCCCCAAAATCGCCCAGGACAACCAAGCCGACTACGAAGGCGAGCTCTGTTTCATCATCTCGCGCGACGCCAAGGACGTGTCCGAAGCCGATGCCTACTCGTACGTAGGCGGCTACCTGTGCGGCAACGACGTCTCGTCGCGCAAGCTGCAGCGCGACCCCAAGCTCGCGGGCACCGTCCCGCAGTGGAACTTCTCTAAGGGGTTCGACACGTATGCGCCGCTGGGCCCGCAGATCGTCAGCACGGATGTGATTCCCGATCCCGCGAAGCTGTGGCTGAAGACGATTGTGAACGGGGACGTGCGGCAGAGCGAGACGATTGATGATTTGTGCTTCAAGGTGCCGACGATTGTGAGTTACTGCAGTCAGGGGACAACGCTGAAGAAGGGGACTGTGATTATGACGGGAACGCCGAGCGGTGAGTTATTTGCGCCTGTTTCGCGTTTTGAGTGGGGAAAGAGAACTGACGATTCTGTAGGTGTCGGGTATGCGATGAAGAACCCGCAGTTCTTGAAGCCGGATGATGTGGTCGAGGTGAATGTCTCTGAGATTGGGACGCTAAGGAACACGGTGGTATATGCGTAAGGATGGAGTTCCCGTACCGCGTGGAAGAGCGGACAGCGTAACGGTTGGATTGCATTATCCGTACGAATCTGTGAAGAGGTGGAGATATACATCCATGAAGTCCGTTAGACTATATTCATGAATGAAGGCTTGGAATCAATCGGCTTCTTCAAAAATGCCTCGCCTTTGCTTGTGTCTTGACATTTTATTTATATTTTTGCGAGTATTATAGTCGGAGTGAGCCGGCTCTCCTCGTATTCGTGGTTCGAAGGTAGATTGGTTTCAATGCAGCGGTGTAGTGGGCTTAGTATACACGGTGTAGGGGTATCGAACATGAAATGGGAGAGCGATGGAGTGCACTCGTATCATTTCCCCAGCCTTTTTGTTTCCTTCGTTAGTAGAGGCTGTGGACGAATCAGATTGGGAAGGGTTTCAGAGCCCTGGTGAGCTGGTGAATCACGTGATCGCCTCGGCTTAGGCTAGACCAGACCACTCCATGGATCCGACCTCGGTTGGGCATCGTCGCACTGACTCCCAGGTTGCCTCCCGTACAATGGAAACTTTCATTGCTTTGTAGGCTTTTGGCAGTCTTTCTCTCCACCACGAATGACGACTCTGGCCCGCCACACCTTAATATCGCGCTCACGATGCCACTCTGACTTCCCGATGTTCTCGCCATCGACAGACGCACGCCAAGCTGCGGATTCCGAGCGAAACGTCATGGAAATCTAGAACCAAGGCGGTTTTGGAAGCTCAAAGTCGCACGGAGCGGGGTGGGAAAGGATTGATGATAACGGAGGCTGTGGCGTGGCGGCGCAATCCCTCCATCTTAGCCTACCGAAGGATCGTGATGCTTGGGCGGAGCAGTTAACTTCTAATTGTTCATCTCTTTACTAGATTAATAACGTAACTAGTAAGCGAGTAGTCTAAATAAGTAGTAGTTACACACTCTATGAGAAACAGATTTTATCCCCGTACTGTTGGTTTCCATTAAGTGACATTGCGACTCAACATGGAGAACGCGCACAGGCCAAGAACTACTGTAATTAGTCATCTGGCGCTCGGGCTCATCTGACGCCCACTTTTGACATGTCAACTACCACTACTTTTGAAGCTGTACAGCCCTATATAGATCTAATTATCACGAGATTTTTTAGAGGAGCATTCTTGAAGGCTTGTTTGATTGATTGGCAACGATAAATTACGTGCGATACCTCTGTGGGAGGCGTACTTTGCGAGTGCGCGTTGATGGGCCGGATGCCTCCACCACCCCTTCAATGACCGATGGATCCTCAACATCAACCTCTGGCTCCTCAATAACACAAGCAGGATGTGCAGGAGCCTTGAGGCTACGCGCCTTACCCTTTTTAGACAATTGTATATCGGCCCTGAGTTGTTTTTCGGCTGCCTTCGCGATCCGCTCTTCCTCACGCGCTGCAGCCTTCGAGCGCTGCTCTTGTAACTTAAGCTCCTTAGCCACAAGCTTCATACGCTTTCTCTCCTCTATTATAGCAGCTTTGTCTGCCTTTGCTTGTTCCTTAGCGAGCTTTTCCTGGTCCTTTTAGTGTTGTAGTTGTTGTTCTTCGGCTTCCTTTTAAGCCTGCCTATCGCGAGCGTCTTGAACTTTAGATAGGGACTAGAATACGGCACCACCATGATATTCTGGTGGCGCTATCAAGGGTAGAGGCTTGCCACGCTGCCAGCGCTTCTTCTCGTTGTATAGAGCGTCTCGTAGGCACTTATTTTCATGCTCTAGTAGTTGTTCGCGTACAGCGAGGGCGTGGATCGTATAGCTAAGCTGCTGAGAGCGTTTATCGTAGATATCCTCTACCGTCTGCCTTAGTAAGCGCTTAATCTTCCGCCAATCGCTTGCAGAGAGTATTGACGTACTACTCTCGCTCGATGAGGGCCTCTCAATCTCCTTATGCTTGAATCTCTTAAGGATCACCTCTGGATCAAATGGTGATAGCCCAGTAGCTTTAAAAGCTTTGAGTACTGTATTTTCTTGAAACGCTGTATGCCAGGCACTATAGAAAAGCCGGAAGAAGTCGCGCTTGGTGATAGAGCTAAGCCCTTAGCAGTTATACATGAATTCGGTGAGCTCTTAAGTATATACGGCGGAGAGAGGCTTAAAGAGGCAGACATCGAGCGGCTGCAGCGTATGCGTTAAATAAGGTGGGTATATCGCGAGGAGGATCCTATTTCGATCACAGTACTCAATAAAGGCCTTTGTAATATGTGAACCATGCCTATTAAGTATTAGAAGCCTTCTTGAGCGCCCTGCCTTGCTCTTAGTCTCCCAATCGAATACTTGCTGCAGCCATGCTATGCCCACTGTATTATTCGTCTATCCTGAAGGCGATGAGGTTATGAAGCACTTGTGCTCTGTAGGATTAAGATCTTGTAACCAGCTGTCCTGTATATTGCCAGAGAGCACTTGGTATATTAAGGAAGGCGTAAGAGTACTGCCGTCGGCGCAAATACAAGCAATCGTCGTAATCTACTCCCTATTGCCGTCTTGAAGCATTTGCTTAATCCCTGCTTCTTCATATCGCCTGCGGGAGAATATACGCTTCATTTTGCTTAGCACCCCGATTAAGAAGCCCTTCTCGTCCATATTGTATATATTTGCTGGCTCGACGTCGTACTGCTCAATTTTGGATTCCAGAAGCTTGAAATATAAGCTGTATTTGTATGCGGAATCGGCTTTGTGGCGCTGGGCGTCAATACCAGTAGTCTATCGCGATATGAGCTCGATGTTATGCCGTGCGATATATCGATCAACCCAGCTTCTTCCAGGCTGTTTTCCTGATATTTCTTGTGCGAAATTTCGTATCATCTGCTTCGTAGGAGGTAGGCCACGGCCGCAGAGCTTGTCAATATATTTTACAAGCTCTAATTCTTGCACGTTGTTGAGAAGTTGCTGATTTTCGTATTGGGCTGCACGGCTGCCCTGCACCCCGCGAAATCGCCTCGACAGCTTGTTGCGATCAACGCCGTACTTTTTCGCAATTTGAGAATAATTAGGCTTTTCGCCTATATCGAGCGACTTCAACGCTTCAAGAGCTGCGTCAATCGGGTCCATATTGGTGGTTGTAGAGCTTTTTGAAGTTATCGTAATTTTGGTGTTGGCGATGGAAAAGTGGGCGTCAGATGAGCCCGAGCGTCAGATGACTAATTACAGTACTGAACCACGACTGTGCCCGTACACCTTACAATTCCCAAGCCACCTCCGCTCGCAACCCTACGCAGCGCTGCGCGATCATGTCAACTCCCTCAGGCGGCAAGTCAGGGAACCCGCGTTTGCTAGCGGGTTCGCTGTCGCCAAGGGCGGAAGACCCAATTCCCGGCCACGACTGGTCGTCGCGAAGTCCTCGACCGCCAGCGAGAAGGCTTTCGAATGCGAGCGTAACAAGCCGCAGCTCGATTAGCGGGTTGCTCGATAGCGCCGCTCACAGGCGAAGGAGCACGGTAGCAGAGTCGGGTCAGAATGGTGGGCAAGCTCATGGACACAATGAATGAAGCTATATTGACGATTCTGGAAGCGATATCTACACTCCTACAACCGCCGATATTATGGACCGAGCTTCTCCCTCACACCGCGATCCATTCTACCACGCAGAAACCCCCAACCTCCCGAGACATACCCCCCGTCGCTCTCACCACTATCCCCCATGTCGAACCCTCGGCCTTCAAAGGCTACCTTAGTCAGGTCGGAAGCCTGTTTGACGCTCTCCAACGCGCGAAGCTCGAGTCCGAATACGGCGGTGCACAAGTGTTTCGTCAGAACGAACTTGCACCGTGTAGAAGGCGGAAGACGAGCGTTTCGAAGCGCCGCCAGCTTGCGCCTACACCGCTGTCTACAATTCCCTCTGTGTATTTCGATGAATACTTTCGCCTCGAGAATCCGCGCACTTTCGATGTTGTCAGTGAGCATGCGGAGGTTGTAAGGCGGCCACTGTCCACCACGGCAGACTGTAGCAAGGGCGCGAATGGCACTGCTGCAAATAGTAACCCGCAGCCTGTTAGGAAGGCGCTTACTACCAATGCCATATTGCAAGAGAAGCTATCATGGTACATGGACACTGTAGAGATTTATTTGATATCTTTGATTTCGCAAGCGTTACCCTCTTTTTTCGCCGTGCTTAGCTCTCTTCGTGAACTCCATGCCGAAGCGGCCGACTCAGTCGCAAAGGTCCAGAAGCTGAGGGAGGACCTCGCACATTTGGATAAAGAGATGGCAGGGCGCGGTTTTGAGATGATCAGCATGAAGCGAAGACGGGACAATCTGAGAAAGCTGGGCGAGGCTACCAAACAGCTTCAATGTGTCCTTAGCGGCGCCAGTCATTGCGAGAAACTCGTAGACTCTAGGCAGCTAGAGACGGCCATATACCACATCTCGTACGTCGAACAGCTTACGTCCGGAACGCTGGATCCGAGAATTGGCGGCGAGTTGCATTAGCTTCTACCGAACCCATTCATCAGGCTTATCGATCTACGCCGACTGCACACTCTTGAAGGACTATCGCGAGACATCAACCAGCTTCGCCTGCGGATCGGGAAAGTTTATGAAGCCCGATTACTAGACGTCCTTTTGTGCGACCTGCGCCGACATGTGTCCGGCGTACCGCCGAGAGACACTCTGGCGCGCTGGATGAATGCCACAAAACGCGCACGCGGCGCGACGGATGCCTCCTTATCGACACCCGCGTATATGATGAGTGCAGAAAAGCTGCGCGAAGATCTCACCCCTGTCCTGCAGGGACTTGGCCAGTCGCAGTATCTAGCTACGGCAAGCACCACGTTTCGCGAAGCCGTCATCCGAGAGATGAAGTCTCTTATCCGCCAGCACCTGCCGAGCTCTACTAACAACGACAATGAGTCTGTCGCGTCTGCGTCCACGCTGGCAAGCGGTCGACGTCCAACCCAGCAGGAAAAGTCGAGCATTCTGTCTCGCAACTTGCGTGCTCTTAGTCCCGAGGACGCAGAAGCGTTCTTCGTTAAGGTCTACTGCGGGATAGGCGAAGCATTACGGAGGCTTGGTGTACAGGTAAAGGTTCTCCTTAATATCACAAGCAGCATGAAGAAGACTCCAAGCATCGTACTCACGCCCGTCTAAAGCCCAGGAAGCATGGACAATCCGGCGGTCCATTCGCCCAGCCTTTCTATAGAATGTAATTTGCAGGAAGAGATGACTCAAGCTCTTAACATGTCGAGCCTCCTCGGACAGGCAGTGGACAAGGCACAATCGGAGACGACAAAGGTGCTGCGAGTCAGAACTGAGCAAACGGTTCGCCTTGGATTGACCGATTTCCTAAGCTACTTTACGCTGAATCGCCTGTTTGTCAATAAATGTGAGGCAGTCTCTAGACACTCTAGGGCAGCGCTGAAAGGTGTCGTGGACAACCAAATTCACGACTTTGTCCCGCTTCTGCACGAAGTAAAAAAGCAAAAGCTGGCGCAAAGGATGGAGTCTGAGAAGTAGGACCGCATCAATTTCAAGCCCGAGGACGCAGTGATCCTGGCGCACATTGTCCAGTCCATGACCACTGATCCCCCAGCATGGAGCGCAGGCCTGGAAGTAGGCGAACGGAATTTACAGACAAACGACAACCCTGCGGAGCCTACGAGTGCTGCTAAGCAAGATAAGAAAGACCGGACACTAGCGGTCATCAAGGGGGAGAAGTTTATACTCGTCGATTCGGCAGCATTTGCGCTTCGCGACATAGAGCAATACACAATCCTCCTGGCATCGGTTCCCAGCATGGCCAACGACATCTCAGCGGCCCTGCTTGACTATCTTAAACTGTACAACTCTCGCACACAACAGCTTATTCTCGGTACGGGTGCTAAACTAACAGCTGGGCTAACCAATATCAATACCAAGCACCTTGCTCTTGCGTCGCAGTCGCTGTCCTTCTTTATTGCTCTAATACCCTACCTGCGCGAGTGTGTCCGTCGTCGGCCGTCCATCACAGGCTCCGGCATGGCAGAATACGACCGGCTGAAGCGCTTGTTCCAAGACCATCAGTCTTCTATCCACGACAAACTCGTCGACATAATGAGTTTTCGCGCGACCGTTTGCATCAGAGCGATGGAGAAGATTAAGTGGGACGATGAAGGCGAGGTGCAGGGGAACGTCAGTTCGCACATGGAGACGCTCACGAAAGAGACGCTCACGCTACAACGAGTGCTGAGCAAGTATCTGCCGGCGTTGAGCGTGAGGATGATCGTCGGACGGGTCTTTGTGAGGTACAAGGAGCAATGGAGCAAGGCATTCGAAGGTGCGGCGATACGGACCGAGGCCGGGCAAGCGAGGTGAGTATCTTCCTCGACAACATGTCGTTGCTGGCTAACCAATGTGCAGGCTTCTGCGATACGCGGAGCTGTTCGAAGCAAAGCTCGGCAAGATTGACGGCGCAGAAGAGCTCGGCGCGCACATGATCAATATTGTCAAGGCAAAGCAGGTCGCATCCTAGCCAAATGCAAGCACGAGCGCGCCATCTGGCGAGGGCACGCCCGCATGAGTTGCGGCTGCAGCCAACGAAACTTCTGGGTCCGAAAGCACGGCGGGAGAGACGAAAGGTACTGGGCTAGGCTGAAGCAGTATACCGACGGCATTGTATGATATCTTATAGACCACTTGCTTATAGCGTTCGAGCCTGAATGTGGTAGAGTTCCTTCACTCCGTAGGTGTTCTCGCCGGCTCAATTCCATAGATCTTTGCTCGGCAACCGCTGTGCTCAGATATGTTCGAATTGGATATGTTCCCGTTTTCGGGCACACTCCGCACCGGTAGATTCAACCGAAGCCTGATCCTCCCCGGAAACGAGCGCCTGGCTGCGCTTGCCCGAGGATAAGCATTGAGAAACGGCGAACAATTCGTGGATATCATTGCGCACTGCTTATGGTACTTGTGAGACGGTCTGCATGTTAATAGCGGCACCAAGACTGACATATCCATATCACCGAAGTGCATCAAAATCTCTACTTTTGCTTGTCCTCCACGCTTACCACTATTGAAGCGCCTGCGTCTCTCGTCAGAGACATGTTACGGAGCGTTTGAAAGAGCTTGTCGTTGCATCTAGCCTTGGCCCTAAAGGCCAGACTTGGGAGGTCCTCGTGGGCTGGTAGCTACGCTCGTAGACGCTTGTCGTATGAGATAGGATGTAATTGCGCACTGCACTAGAGAGCACACCCTATTAAGTAGAAGAATAAACGTCAGAAATCTCTGCGGTTCTTAGAACTAAGCATTATATAAGGAGGGGAGAGGTAAGACGGGTAGATCTGTGGCAAGAAAAAAATTTAGGAGGGAGGGGGGGGAAAGAAGGGAGTTAAGGGCGCTTTCATGTAGAATGTATCCAAGGCCGTGGGTTTCTACTTACTACCCAGGTTAGCTCCAACGCCTATACGTATCGCGTGAGAGCGCGGATCCCTGCGGGAACCACTGACGAGCCACGTTTAATGCCACAAGGAGTAAAATTGGCTATGAGTGATGTGGAAGACGGAGCGGTCAAGCATCTCTCCCTTCTATTGCAATGGTAGGTAGTCTACATTCTTAAATATAGGTCGATGGAGCAGCGCTTTGACAGAGGGAAAGCTAGGATCGAACGCGTCGTCTTGGATTGCACGTGCGGCGAGGCTAGGGTAGTCGATGAGAGGGTACGGAGCGAAAGTCATAGAAAAGGAGAGTCTGCGGATTATCAGGGTAAGCGGTACAGAAGTGGTCTTGGGGCGAAAGTAGGTACTTACTTAGAGGCCTGCATAGCTATTAAATGGAGATAGTGACCGGTAAGGGTGGAGACCCCACTTGTCACATTGTGGTTCCGGGGCCTCCATGCCCTCTAGTCCCTCTAGTCGAGAGGCGTCAGGATAACCCATTGCCGGCTGATTATTGGCCGCAGGTCTCACGCAAGCGCTGCGAAGCGGTACCACGGTACAGTACCAGTGGAGGTAGAATATTCCCTCCCTACATATGTTGTCCCTCCAGCAGCTTCAGACTTCCTCTCAACCATGAAGAGGAAACGTAAGTGAGCTTAATATCCCCATTTCTGGGCTTGATCAATCCTGAGATGAGCGCCAAGGACGTTTGGGTTTGTTTTGCTGACTCTGTGCCAGTGTTCCTGCAGCTCGCTCCAACTCTATGCAGTTACATCACCTCGTCACCGCCGCCGAGGTTTCGCAGCGCCGTCCACGCCCATGGCACGAAGGATGTGCCTGATACCGTCCTCCCGTCTAGGCTGGGATCACCTACCAAGGGTCTCCGCAACTTCCTGATCAGGCAGGTGCCGTGCAAGGCACATTAATATCGCCCTATCAAGCGTCGGCCGCTGATTCGCTCCACGCGTGTTTTCGACAAGGGTAGCTCCGCCCGCATTGATGAACAACAGGAAGCCTATGATGACGGCCGATAATTTCGAACGACTCGCGAGATCCAGGTTGACGGTACCTGTAGCTGGTATGCCGTGTCGCGCGCAGAGGAGCTGCTTCCTATTTAATGGCGGCCATGCGCCGCGCCTCTCCGCAGGCACCGCTGGTCTCCTCTTCAATCCGTTGAGCCATCATGGTCCTTTTCCGTTCCCTAGCGGCCGCCTCTTTGGCCTCAATTGCGCTCGGTTCGCCGCTCCAGCTTCAGGCCAGACAGAACGCGTCGAGCCCTTGTGCGCAAGTGAGCGCGTCTGTGGCAACACAGACTAGCGCTGCCACGCCCACTGTTCCCGCAAAGCTCGCGTACGATTGTATTACCAGCGTGCCGTTCAACAAGAGTGCGGCTTTGGCTCTGTTGGATGGCGTTGCGCCCTACTTTCGCTGGCAGTCGAACACCGTGTGGTTGAAAGACCCGCCGGAAGAGTACGCGGAGAAAGTCCAGCCTCCGGTTGATATCTGGGGTGGGCTGGAGGACATCAGGGCCAAGGCGGAGGGTGATGAATTTGACAACGAATTTGCCGTATGTGGAACTGCAGCTCGGACGCAACATATGCCATGCTAATGCATACAGTTCGGTTTCGAGCTTTACACCCTGCTCCAAAGCACCCACGACGGCCACTTTGTCTTCATACCTGATTCGGTTGGGACGGTCTTCAATTGGGCGCGGCCAGTACCCCTCGTCTCCGTCTCGGAAGATGGCAAGGAATTGCCCAAGCCTTTTGTGTATGCCGATGTTTTGGCTGAATCCTTCGGCAATTCGTCCTTCGCTCCTTCGGCCATCGCCAAGATCAATGGCGTGGACGCCTTGGAGTTCCTGGAGGATTTCGCCCAGAAAGGTTCCCTGCAGGATCGCGATGCTCTGTACAACAATGTGTTCTATGAGCTTGCTGTTGTGTCCTTGGGTCCTACTGGATCTGGCGTTGGAACCTTTGCTGGAAGTGGACGAGGCCGATGGGTATGTATATCCAATTCTTGAACTTCGACGAAATGACTAAATTTTGCTAGCAATATCCAGGCCCGACGACTGAACTCGAATTCGAAAACGGTACCTCCGTTACTTACAACAATTACGCTACCGTTCTGATTCCCTTCGACGGCATTACGGACGGAGAGTCTTTATACCAGAAATGGTTTACTGGCCCGCAGCCAACGGAGACCACAGCAGAAACTCCCTCTAATTCCTCCACGCCGACCCCCTCTGCCACCCCGTCCGCGACTTCCATTCCAGCCCCAGGCTACCCTCCACCAGTCTACCGCGAAGAGCATAACTTGATCGGCGGCTATTATCTCGAAGACGACTACTCAGACATTGCCGTCCTTTCCGTTCCGTCTTTCGTCTCACTCGAATCCGCCGAGATCCCCTTCCAGCAAGTCGGCGAGAAGTTCCTTGCTGCGGCCAAGGCCGCCGGGAAGAAGAAGCTCGTTATTGACGTGTCAGCTAATGGAGGAGGCACTATCCTCCAGGGGTACGATCTCTATAAGCAGCTCTTCCCTCAGGGCATCGGCCACGCAGCTGCGGACCGCTTCCGCGCCTTCGAAAGCACCGATCTTATAGGCCAATACTTCTCTGCCACATCCGAGAAACTCCCGCGCGTCTACTTCGAGGACCCTTCCATAAATGAGACGCTGTATGAGCTCGAATATGATGTCGTTTCCTCCGTGTTCAACTACCAAACCGACACCGACGTCAACGGCGAGAATTTCCCCAACTGGCCCGCCAAATTCGGCCCACAAGAGCAAAAGGGCGATAACTTCACTAATCTGTTCAGATGGAACTTGTCTGATGTCCTGACTCCTTGGAACTCAGGAGGTATCTACATCCACGGCTACGGAAACCTCACAAACTACACGCAGCCCTTCGCAGCCGAGGACATCGTCGTCGTAACAGACGGCTACTGCGCATCCACCTGCACCATCTTCTCCGAGCTCATGCGCCAGCGCGCAGGTGTGAAGTATATCTCTCTCGGCGGCCGCTCCAAGGAGGGTATCACCCAAGCCATCGGCGGCGTAAAGGGCACCAACAACTTCCCCTGGGACTACATTCAAGCGCTCGCGCAATTCACCATTACCAACCTGACCTCCTCCACCGAAGAAGCCGCCCAGCTCAACACTACCGAGCTTGGCCAATACTGGGACAGCGTCGTCTTCGACCGTATGGCCGCCAACACCGCCATCAACGTCAACTTCCGCGACGGCATCCGCGATGGCGACGAGAGCCAAACGCCGCTGCAGTTCGTGTACGAGCCGGCCGACTGCAGGATCCTGTACACGAAGGAGATGACGGTCGATGTGACGGCGATCTGGAAGGCGGTTGCGGATTCGGCGTGGGGTGGGGAGAGCCATTGTGTTGCGGGCGATCTGGGTGGATATGGGAAGAGGAGGGTGAAGCGGGAGATGAGCGTTGAGGAGAGGGTGTTGAGCAGGAGGATGCATCAGTGGAGGAGGGATTTGAGTGCGCAGGATTATCCGTTGGATGTATATACGGATTTGAGGGGCGCGAATCTGGATATGAACGGGATTATGTGGCCGTGAGGGGTTACGTGGTGTGCGTGACCATGGGAAAGGTGTGGTTAAAATCGACTTGTACATGTATGGGTTGTGTATATCATGTCTTAAAGATGACATTTATTAAGACATTATGTCTCTTCGCCTCATCTGTGCGTCTTCGCTAGCTCTGGTGGTCACCAGTTCCTACGCGCCATACTGTGGCTATTCAAATGGTCGCATGCACCATCTCCGACCAACAGTGTCCCTCCATCCCTTCGTCCTGCCTTATACGCCAAATTCTGATTTGCAGCGTGGAGCATGCATGACCCTTCAACCTCCCGTTGCAGCAGTGTGACGCGACGAGCAGACAACCTGCGCACAGGCTCCCGCGCAAATATGCTCTCCTCCTCTCCTCCACGCGTTGTCTTCTCGGGCGGTCGCCTACCACAACTAGCGCAGTCAAACATACCTCGTAGAATATCTAAACCCTCCACCTCCCAGAACAAACATTCAATTCCATTCTTTGTCCAATCTTCAACCTCTAATGCTCCTCAATTCCTAAACGGATTCCCCGCCCAAATATCCTGCTCCCCCACCCTCCCCTCCTCAATCCCCTCCAGCACGCCCCTCACCCACCGCGGCGGCCCGACAGGCCCTCCCCACGCCCGCGCGCCACCGCCACCCTTACCCAGCGCCTCGCCCGTCATCGGACACACCACCGTCTCCGGGCCCACAAAGCCCCTTTTCAGCGCCGCCTTGCCCACTTCCTGCGTTATGTTCAATCCGTTCGCTTTATCCGTACTACCGGCGGATGCGGCGGCGGCGGCTGCGCGCCGCTCAGCGCTGTTGCGCTCGAGGAAGGAGGAGAAGGCGTCGAGGCGCGAGGATGCGAGGCGCTGGAGGGAGGAGAGAAGGCGGTTTATGAGCTCGATGAGGAGGCGGTAGAGGAGCTCGGTTGCGAGGGCGGTGCCGGTTTGCGCGGTGAAGAGGCGCGTGGGGATGAGGCTGCCTGATGAAGTTGGGGATTGGGTGGCTAGGAGGGCGCTGGAGGGGCGGTATGGGATGAGGGCTTGGGAGGATGGCATTGTGGAGGACGGCTTGAGCGGATGGATGGTGTGGTTTGGGCGGGTTTCTAGGGCTGCGGCGATTAGATGCTAGAGTATGGGGTTGCGGAGAGAGAAGATGTATGTATGGGTCTGAGGCCTGAGGAGGCCAGCTATTTCATTCTATATTACTTAGCCCAGACACTGCATCCTTCGCGCGGATTGCGGGGATCAGATCGGTCGTTGGATTATCATGAGACGGCTGGGAAGACTGGCCAATCGGCGTGTTTTCTTCGCCGGTCGCCTGAGAGCCCGAGGACCGCTCGGTGGTTGAGCGCACCGCGTGCCGAGATCGAAACACCACAACGCAAGAGTCGATATCAATGATATGCGGAGTAAAGTCATTTATTAGACGGCAGTATCAGAACTTTCCAGATCGAAACCGCTTCCCCGCCCAAGGACACGTCTGCAACCCACGACGTGCGACGGCCTCGCTATCCAGTGTCTCATGAATCGACTTGGGATACGCCTTCCTGGAGGGATTTAAAGCCGCATTCATTGTCAACAAGACAATCGTCAAGTATGCCGGTGAGCGCCAGCATTGGGTCATACCCTCGCATTTCCAGATCTTACACATGCGGGAGGATTTCCATTCGATCCACGGTTCTCAATCACACAAGCCAAGTGTCGAGAGAGCGATACAGTGAGTGCCAGCAATCAATTGGTTGAAATATATACAGGAAGCGAACGTAATGTACAGGTGAATAAGGCCGCTGGCCCTACCTAAGCACCCTTTTTTTGCAAAGCCGGTTTGTGCAAGGAGCACTCAGTGCTCGGTCAACCGGTCAACGTTGATGGAAGAAGATAACATCTCAGCGACGGTTCCAGTGGCCCCAACCCCAGTGGTGAGCCCAGTGGTGGCCCCATTTCGGCTCCTGAGCCTCGTCCTCGTCGTCTTCGCCGTCATCGTTCTCGTCCTGGTCATCACCCTCTTCCTCCTCATTCGCCCCCGTCGGCGTAGGCGTCGCGGCTTCCTTCGTAGGCGTCGGAGCCGGCGTCTTCGTCGGGCTCGCAGAGCTCACGGGCACAGAAGCCTCAGGCTTTGCAGAAGAAGAAGAAGCAGCAGCAGGCTGCGCAGGCGCTGTCCCCTCCGCCTCCCCACTCCCCTTGCACGCGCCCCCCAGCGTCGTCAAGCTCTGATCCTCGGGCTTGATCAGCGTCGACAGCTTCACGCCAGCCGGCTGCTCGCAGTTGTTCCCGCCATATTCGATGTTGAAGACAGCCTTGTTCGCATCCGTGAACGGCTTGTACTGGTCGCACTCGCCGTACTCGTGGCACTGCTCGTTGACGGCGAACTGGACCACGGCGAGCACGTCGGGGATGAGGTCGATAGCGTTCTTGAGCCCGATGGCGAGATTGTTAGACGCGGCTTCCTTCGCCATGAAGTTGACGTAGTCGACGTAAGCGGCCTTGTCGTAGCCGAAGCCGTCCTGGTTGTCACTCTTTCCCACGCGTTAGCACGCCCAGCTCAGGAAGAAGAAACAGGAAGGGGGAGATTGCACGCACAAAGCCATCCACGTTATCCGGATCCACGGCCGTACACCCCTTCTTCGCCGCCTCCTGGATCCGACTCTTCATGATGCTCCGCACATTCTCGCTCTTCACATTGACCCACTTCTCATCCGGCCAGCCGTCCATCGCCTGCCCGACATCGCCGTCCTTGAACGACCCCGCGTCGCTGCGCCACCCCTCCTGCGACCCGGCGCTGAAGTAGCAGATGACCTGCTTGTTCTGCGCTTTCACGTCTGCGATGGTACTAGCGTCGTTGTCGAACAGGTCGAGGTCGATGACGCCGAAGTCCTGCGCGGCTAGCGTGTGCATGTCGCTGAGGGCGTCGCCCTTCGCGAGCACGATGTCCCAGGAGGCGCCCGCCGGGAATGAAGGCACAGCGCGGGAGGCGAGGCGCGAGGCGTGCGGACGGGCGGCTGCGAGGCCGGCGGTGCTGGCGAGTGCGAGGGCGGAGAGATACATAGCGTAGCGTCCGGCACAAGGCAAGTCTGTCCAAGGAACGAACGAAAAGAATCCCAGAGCTCTTAAAAGCTAAGAATCGAAAACACAAATTCGCACAAAAAGTAGTAATCCACCAGGGTTTTTTCTCTTCCCAGAAGGATGAAGGAACGAAGAATGAAGGACAGTAAGTAGTAGTTAAAGAGCGTCAGAAAGAAAGCAAAACTTCTAGAGCCGTGCGATGCGAATTTCCTCTACGGCGATCCCTCCGCTCTATATAAACCCCCATCCTCCTCTCCTGCCGGCACTTGTCTAGAAATACGACGACGACGACGGGATAACCCCCGATAGTAGAATGGCGCGCGTCAGCGGAGACCAAAAAGCTGGTAGGCTACGGAGAGCCCAGCGGCAGCTGCAGGAGAGAGTCCGTCGTATACGAATCAGAGCAAGTCGCCGTAATTGCGGGGAGTTGGAAGGAATTCAGCAGAGGTAGGTCATCATCGGGAAGGAGGAGGAGGCTGACCACACCCCGGCGTGTGCGTAGAATTGGAGGGAGGAGGAGGATTTCCGTACCTGCACTACGCTGGTCCCACCAACCACCCAACTATTGCCGTGCGGGCGCTTCCATTTCCGGCCTGCGCATGCGGTGTAAGTATAGTATAGCAGCTTGTCTATTCTGCGCGGTAGGACTAGGCTTGCGTAAGGCGCAATAGAGCCAGCAGCCTCACATTGATGGCTTGAGCACTGTTATATATTCAAAGGGGTAGCGAGGCGTGAACTGCCGGCAGGTTTAGCGCCCGCCATGTAGAAGGGAGGAATGCGCGCCAAGAGAGAAGATCATCTCCGGAGGTCCGTGGCACAGTGAGCCTCGCCACTATATACCGATGTTTCAAACAAATGGGGCTCACGTGAGGAGTAGCGCGCCTATCCATCCAACATTCGGCTTTTATTGCGAAACGCGGGACCTGAGTGACATTTGTAAAATTTTCATTTGATATGCTGTTTATGAAAGGATGTCCACTAAAGAAAATGGAGAATACCAAAGTATTCTTGGACGCGGCGGAAGTTAGGTATGCATTATATCTCCTATCTGACGTGCGACCAGTATGCAAGCGCGCGTAAGATATTGTCTTCGTCCGCCCCATCTGACCCCTTTACCATGCCCATGTAAGAGTTACCATCGCCCATACACATGCTCGTACAAAATGGTTAAAAAAAGATATGCCTAGAGAAGGAGGAACACGAAGCCAATGATGCAAAGCTGGAGGGCAAGATGCGTTTCGATTACTACCCAACAACGCCGCGGCGGCGCATCCGACATGGCGTCCCTTTTTCATCCAATTCAGCTCGCGTGCCAGAAAATGTACAGGAATGCTTGGAAGAATAGGACAAGAGAAGTGGATAAGGGAGAAGATTCCGTTCAGCCGACCAACTTACGAAACCTGCACGAACTGGCCCATGGCCGGCACACCGTCCACAAGCACGTACACGACGTACGGGCCTGGAGGAGCGACGTTCTTGTTCGGCGGCATCGTAACGGTGATGGTCTGGCTGGTGCTGGCAGTATTGAAGCCCTTGGTGTCGAGGATCGCCATGCGGTGGCCCATGTGCACGGAGTGGGTGACGAAACCACCGTAGTACAGGGAGACCTTGACGGCCTTGGAGTTAGCAGGGCAGTTGAACTTGACGGTGAAGGTGGAGCCGTCAGCCTTCAAGGTCTTGCTGGAGAGGACGACGTTGGAGGGTCGGGTTGGGTTGCCTTGGAGGTAGGGAGGCGTGTAGATCTCGTTGCGAAACTCAGTGACGTATGCGTCCTTGGCGTCGGGCTTCAGTTTAGGCTGCTCGACGGGGTTGGAGCCGGAGATCAGGAGCGTGCCGTCAAGGAGAAGGAGCGCCACGCTGTGGTAGAGACGCGCGATGGTGGAACTGGGGCCGGTGGTGAATCGTTTGCCAAGGGGCTGGGCCGGGTCATAGATGAGGACTTCGAGAGCGGGATCGCGCGCGACGCCAAAGCCTTGAGCACCTTCTTGTGCACCATTGACCCAGATAACAGTACCATCGGGGAGGAGAGTACCTTCCACCATTCCGCGGCCCTCGGGCATGGAGTCCATTTCCCAAGACGGGTTGGTGGCGAGAGGCTGGATGCGGCCGCAGGATGGATCACCAGGGGCAGAGATGTCTTGGTAAGGGCCACCGCCACAGATGACAACATCAGGATTCCACTGGTTGGCGCTCGACAGCGGGAGCATAACAGAGCCACCGGTGTTCGGGTACGTGCGGTACGTGCCCGGTAGATCCGGCAAGGGGCGGACGACCGTTCCGGTGTTAACGTTAAAGATTTCGGCAGACTTGGACACCATCACGAACACGTTTCCATCCTTCATCAGGTGCATGAAAGGATACATGTAGTAGGGCTGATTCTTGGATAGGATCTCCATGTTGATGCTCTCGCCTTGAGGAGTGCCATCTGCGTTCAGGATTTCGTAGGTCGGGTTGTTGTTCTCGGGCTTGGTGGGGTCGAGGCCGTTCAGACTTCCGGAGGCGACGAAGATCTTTCCATCGGGCATGATCTGAACTGAAGCATACCAACGAGCAGTGCTAAGCTGGGTGCCCGGCTCATTCCAAGCCTGGCCGTCGAGGGACGCGTCAGTGGCAGATCGCTTCAAGAATCGCAAGCCTTTGAATCCATCTCCAACAGTAGGGTCAATGAAGTCCAGAGGAGCGTTACCTCCCACGGATATGAAACGGCCGTCAGCAAGGAAAATGCCACCTGAGCAGAAGGCATTGGTCTTGTAGGCAAGCGGAGTGAGCTTTTGGGTGTTCGGGTCGTACTCGGAGGAATAAGCATACTGTCCGTTCGAAAGCTTGAGCTCGGTGTAGTTCTCGACCTTGTCCAGGAAGACTACCTTTCCATTCGGCATCAGACCGGCGTGCATGGCAGGAACACCAGATCGACCCTTTTGGACCAGGGTACCCGGCTTCGCAGCCGCCGGAGCAGGGCTAGCGCCAGGAGCAGGGACGACGGGGCCGTTGAGGCAGGGTCCAGACTGGCATCCTTCACCACAATGGGCCGTGGTGTTTCCGCAGTAGCCATACATGGAGCAGCAGGATCCTTGAGCCCAGTCACCGCAGACAGTGTTTCCGAACTTGGCGCCACAGCTTCCATCAGTGGTAACCTTGCCGGTGGGCTGCGCATTGGAGCTCGTCGGTTTGCCAAGCACGGGTTCGCCAGACGTGGTCGTGGATGGTGGTCTTGTCGTGGCTGCGCTCGTCTTAGGTACTACAGAGCTGGCGGCACCGTCTGTGCAGCCGTTCTGGCATCCGTTCGCCTTGAGGCAATGGCCATCAGTAGTACCACAGTAGCTAGAAACCGCGTAAGCATGATAATCAGGGGGCTCCCTCATCTCACTTACCCGTATTGCGAGCAGCATCCGCCATACTCGCCATTAGAATCGCATGTGGCGCCGCCAAAATCTTTGCCACATCTGCCGTCGCTTCGCGGAGCGGTTCCTGTTGGTGTTGCGACCTGAGACGGCCTCACTGACGACGAGGCGCCGCTCGTGCAACCAGAGAGACACCCCTCCCCGCAATGAGCGGGAGTGTTTCCACACTGGCGGAATCAGCGACCAAACCCGTAGAGATTTTGTTGGTGACCTACCCATCCATACTGGCTGCAGCATGTGCCCGTGTACACGGTGCTGTTCGGGTCGCAAAGCAGGTTTTCGTGTGCTGGACCACACTGGCCATCTGTAGAATACTGCTGGCCTTGCCTCTTCGCCGGAACGTCGCGGAGGAAAGATCGCGAGCGCGAGGTGAGGTGCTCATTGCTGGGGTTGGCCGCGCAGGTGTTCTGCTCGGTGCAGTGCTGTCCCGTCAAGCACTTTCCCGGCGCGCTCTCGAAATCGCAGGCCGGGTTGACCCAATGGAAGTTGATGTTGGCGGCCGCGAGACTGGCGAAAGCGCCAACGGTCAGAAGTGCGGCCCTCATGGCTGGATCTTTGAACAGGTAAGCCGATGAAGCGTATGAAGACCCAAGCGCATCCGAAAGGGCCAAAACAAGGTTAAATGGACGACTAAAAGCGCGGTAGGGAAGATGCTCGTTAACGACAGACGGGGTTGGGGGGTGGCTGAAGGAATACAGAGGGGGTTCAAGAGGTGGGAATGTCAAAACAGACGGCTGCATCTGTTGTGCTCAACGCAGAGGAAGCAGGTGCGCCCCGTAACCATGTATCGAGAAGCGGCTCGCCCTTGGTACCGGATGCGATTGCAGCAGGAAACAGCGCTCACCTGATGGTCAAGCGATTCGATCCGTCCAACACTGGTTCTAATTATTCTTTCCCGACTTTGAGTGCCTAGACGTCCAAGGCTTGTGGTCCAGCGGTGTAGATGGTATATTAATTAAGAGGGCTTATAGGGGCGTGAACGAGCGTAGTGGGTACACCAAGAAGCGGTGCACACAGTGGGATTGGAGGATATTAGGTTAGCAATAAATGAGTGACGGTCCCGTACAAGACAGGAGGAAAGGTAACGAGCGGGCGCTGCGGCAAGGGACTTGACGGTTGCCCACAGCAGGAGAAGGTGAGGAGAGACGGCGAGAGGTGAGGGAGCGCCGTGCCCATGTATACCACGAACCGGGAGCCATACAAGCCTAAGGGCCGAAGCAGATGGTTTGCAGGCGCCGTCCAATCGCATGGCGAAAGGGAAGCGAAGCTTTGATCAGCGGCAATTTCATCTGAAGCACCGCCAATGCGATGAGCGCCTGGCCGCGATCTCCGCAGGGGCCCGGACTGTCGCCTTTCTATTTCTGGGCATGAGTGGTTGGCCGTGGAGGCCGCAAACACGAGCAACGAGTCTCGATTCGGCAGCAGGCACGGGCGAGACGGCACCTGAAGGGGCTGCTCGCGCTGCTGCGCCCGGGGCGATGGGGTGCGGGCGCGGTGTTGAGGAGAGCGACGTGGCCCGCAACGCTCGTCGACACGTTGCTCGGAGAGATTCCGTGACAGCGGGCAGCCGGCAATCTGTCGATATTGGTGTGCGTCTGCGTGCAAAGCTTGAGCGCGACCAAGCATTGCTGGGCAGACGTCGGACTGCGGACTTGCCCTCTCGGCCGCCGCCTGCCCAGCCCCTGAGCGCCTCAACGGCTGTTCGACCCCGCAAAATTTGCTGCCCAGGAACAGGCCTAGCGCGCCGCCGAGCCCCTGACGGCACACTCCGACAGGCCGAAAATTCCGCCTTTACGTCAACGAAATCCTTCCCATCATGCCGATGCAATATTAAATCTCGCAGAGTCGACGCGGGGCATGAGCGCGCTCTGCATCCTCTCGTATCCTCAGACCGACTAGCCGACTAGCCCGGGCTTGCCGCTTCGGGGCCTGTCACCGGACTCCTTTCATCGCCATCCTCCTGCCGCATATGCCGACTAGCGGAGCTGAGTCCTGTAGCGAAGCGCACATGCTTCAGCCTTCCGGACGCTCACTGCCTACCGCGGGAATGTAACGTCGAACTGCGCCCCTATTCATTAGCTTCAAGCCACTCACGACGTCCGGCTCTATCCACGCACACCGTACTGTGTACACCAACACTTCGTCTATTGGTTCTGCTCAAATAGTCGACGATCGGCCTGTCCTAACAACCACATCAACGGAATTAGGTTTGCCTGACAGCCCGAGCATGTGGTCCTCGGCTGCGCCTGCCCCATCAACACGCACGTGGACGGCAATCGGCGCTTCACCGGTTGTCTCTCTCCGGAAACCCGGATACTCTCCGCCTAACTCACTCCAAAGCACCCTCTCGCATGAGCCGGCAGCTTCGCCCTCCTAGGGCTCCTCGCGCACGCGGGACAGACCGTTGGCTCCTTGCTCTGGAGCACCACCTCGAAGACATTGCACTTGCTCTCGGAATCCCCCAGTGACTTGTCCCCGAACCGAGATGCCTTTCCGATCTCTGAGAGCGGTACCGGGATCACCTCTCCTGTCTTCGCGTCGCGGGGGTACTCTGTCTTTGCTCCGTTGGCGGCAACCGTGCCAGGGGTGTTGCGAGGCGTGAACGATTCGGCCGCGGGAAGTACCACCAGGGAAAGAGTTGGCTGCCAGGTGGCACTGTTGTTGCCATTGGTCCTGAGTTTGCCGTTGTGTCTGCCTTTGCGCGCGCTCTTGTAGCCAGTCTTCTTCTTCGATCCCGCGGTGTATCGGTTTATGTTGGCACCTGGCTGGGGCGTGGCCTTGTCGACGACTCCGCACGGCGTGATGGAGGGATGAAGGGGATTCAGCAGGTTGTTCGGGTCATGGACCGCCCGGTCGAAGGAACAGGAAGAGTACTTGGTGAAGAAGCTGTCGCCGCATTTCCACTAAGTTGCGTCAATCACATTGCTGACAATGGGACAGGGGGAATGCCCTCACGATCCGCAGAACCCAGTGACACATCTTGAATATCTTCGCCTGCTGTTTCGTGCGCTCTTCAGCTGTGTCCGGAGCTGAAACGTATCTCACATCCCCGCGTCCATTTTCTAGATTTCGGTCGCATCTCACCGCTTCTTCTTTTCGATCCTGGCGCTGCAACGTCCCGTCTGGCTTCGACACTGGGATTAGGCAAACAATGGCACTTGCAGTTGATACGAATGTCTGCGGCAACAAGCTCAGGCTTCGAAAACGCGATACTCGGGCAGCCGGAGAAACCTGATTTGGCTTTGCGTTGTGGATGGTAACGCTGACAAAGACAAAAGCATTATACGAGGAGTTGAGGCTGACCCTGATTCACCACATCACCCAACATCTCCATCCATCTCTCGGCAAGCCAATTGGCTCCTCGGCTCCTCTCCAGCCTTCAGCGCCAGACCGCCAGATGTGGATATCCGAAACATGCGCCTGACAGCTCCTTCATATAACGAATGACAGTGGACAGAAGGCCGGTTACTTGTGCATCTCCACACCGCCACTCTACGCCTACAACCCAGCCATCCACATCGCTAACCGACTTACATGCCCCTGATGCAGCCAGAACTTCTAAGAAAAGACCACCAGTCCATATGACGATCAAACGCGGTTCGGAAGCAGCAACCAAAATCCCCCTCCAATGACCAAAATTCTCAATATGCACACCGAAAATCTAGCATCCAGTATCGTGTGTGTGAGATTGATACGGGACGATAAATCTGCCGCCGTGCAACGCTCGCCTACGAACCCAGCTTCCGGAAGCGGAGCTTGATGTCGTACAGCAGTGCGCCCTCAGCCACTCACCGTGCGAACCTCGACATCGGCGGGGGATATCTGCGACAATAGCTTGTCCTGAAGCAATCTGTATCGCAACTGCGCACGATGTGCGGCAATTTAGCATCTCGCATGCAGAAAAATCGTCATCGTCACCGGAGACTGCCAACCACCCCGTCTTCCGACCCTCCCGACTCGCGCTTCTAGATTCCAAAAATTCTCGCTCTTCCAATTTTATCCCACTACACAGCCTCCATCTTCCACTTCTTTCCGCGATTCTTACCTTCCGCAATAAGTTGCAATATCCACACGATCCTTATGCTTCCCATGTGATGCAACGCCGCGAGCTCCAAGGCAACTCGCCTACCCCTCTCGCGCCCTGCACGTCCGCCCTATGAAAAGGCTGCTGCGATAGCCAGGGACAAGGGTATCACGACGGATATGTGCATATCAGTCTCCGGGAAAAGCGCAGGTTTGCGGGAAGTTTATTCGGTTGGGGGCGCGCTTAGGCGGTGGAAGGGTGTGAGGTGTACGTTGGCGTGGGGTGTGGGAGATGACGACTGAAGTGCACTAGGGAAAGGACATGCGATGGAAAGGAGGAGGGCGCAGTTGCGAGGCGCTTGGTTGGACGCATGGATGGATAGCGAAGACGTGCTTTTGGATTAATGGATACGGAAACGTATCGATGTCTTCTTCAAGCGGTCCTTAGCATTGACGTGATAGAGTGAACATGAACTGCTCGCTGAGTGCTTCAGAAAGCGGTTGAGAAGAAGAACAAGGATAAGAAATGCCAGCGGAATAAAGGGAGATATTTAAAAACACAGCGATGTGACCGGCCGTTACTCGTTACCTGACATTCTTTCGTGGACACATCCCATCATCCCATCATCACCACCATCCACCCAAAGCCCAAACCCGCTCCAGAAAAGCAAAAACGCCACAGCCATGATGATACACAAAGCCGAGACTGTCTCCCCTTTTGCGCAGCGCAGCCACCTGCCTTCACCTCCATCCTCCCTCCAACAAGCCTTGCCCACACTCAGTCCTCCGAGCACCCACAACTGATCACCCGCACAAACCCCCTAGGTCTCTTCCTCCCACCCTCCTCCTTCGCGCCACCACTCTCCCTCCGCTCCACCTTCGCAGCACTCTGGCCCCCCAAACTGCCTCGACTACCCCTCCACTTGCGCGCCCGCCAATACCCCACCAGCCCAGCTTTTTCCTCCTCGTCCTCGCTGTCCCAGTCATCCCACGCGCTCGTCGTGTTCTGCAGCCTGTAGCTCGCGCGGCACACGCTGGGCGGCGACGTCGTTGTGCTGCTCGAGGAAATGTAGGGATACAGGGTGCTCAGCTCGGAGGGTGTGGCGCTGTTGTGGCGGGAGTAGTTGGTGGATGGCGGTGGGGTGGTTATGTTTGCCAGGGAGGAGGGGCGGGTGCGCGGTGCGGAGGAGGAGTGGTGCGAGTGCGATGTTGAGGGCGGTGTTGCGGGATAGGCTGCTGGTGGGAGGGGGAGAGGTTTTCGGGATAGTTGGAGGCGGGCGAAGGGTTCGCTGAGGTCGGGGGTGAGGGATGCTTTGCGTGGGCGGGGTGCTTCGGTGGAGGAGCGGGGCGTGTCTTGCAAGGGTGGTGGTGGGCGCAAAGAGGAGAGGCGGATCGGTGGGTCGATGAGCTGGGTCGATGATGGCTGTCGTCTGGCTTTGCGCTTTGGTGGTGAGGATGAGGGTGTCGTGGTTCCGGATGAACAGTTCTTATGCAGTTGCGGTAGGTCCGTTGAGGCGAAGTTGCGCGCCGCGGGGCTGAGGGGGGGTGTGGTCTCTCCGGCGGTGGAGGGAAAGATGATGGTCTTCTTGCATTTTTCGCAGATTCCCGAAAGTGAGGTAATTGATCGCTTGCACGTCTTGCAAATAGCCACTGTCGTTGAAGCCGCGGAGTCGAAAGTCTGCTTCGTGAAGCCAAAGTCGAAGTGTGGACTTGCGCCTATTGAAGGAGACGGGCATGGTATCCTCGGTGACGAAAGTGGATCATAACTCTTGATGATATCTAGGACGGTCGTGCTCGAAAATCGCCCGGATTGCGACGCAACGGAGGGAGAGCTGGGGCACGTAGTCTCTCGCCTCCTTGCGTTGTCCACAGCACGCTTTTCGTATTCATCCCACAGCTTTGCCGTTTCCGCAGGCGGACATGGCGATGGTCGTGTATCTTTGAACGGTGATGTTGTTCTTGCGAGTGGTGATGATTGGGGTGGATCGAATGCGGTAGCGGATGACATCTTTCCTGGTACTCGGACAGTAAGCGAAAAGGAGTGGGTAGAGCAACAATGACGCCCATAGAGGAGGAGCGGCGTGTGACAGATAGCGAAGCCGATCGAGTACGATAAGTCTGATAGCGATAGGCCCTTATCCACGATATATAGATGCGCAAACCCGGCGTGCTGGAGTCAAGGGGGTGAGACACATTGTTTATCAAGTAACGGACGAGCCCTTGGGAAGAGGCTGGGTTCGAATATCTGGAGTCACCAGGGTTAGCGTAACAATAGAACCAGTTGCCCGGATTCCTGGCCTGTATTGATCTTCTCGATGTCCCACTGCTTGAGCGAGATCTCGGGGCGGGCGCTCTCAATTCGACATGTCGCACCTCTGCGTGGTCCAATAGACGCCGCGCAACGTGAGCAGAGGCGTCGCTTGTGGTCTGATGTAGACGACGTGGGCGAGAAGACTTAGGCAAGGGATGGCAGTCTTGTCAAGTGCGTGATCGGTAGAAGCAGGTGAAGGCGCCTGTCGAGAAACGCTCTCAAACAGCGGGCGCTGTCGTCTGGCCTGGTCATGCATATCATCCTGCTGCACCGAAAACAAGGGCATTGAGAGATGCAGAGAAGACGCCATCCAAGGTCGGAAGCAGTTCGCAATACATCCGCTGATGCAGCTTGCGGGAAGCCGTTGTCACGCAAGGCATTTGTGCGGCGTGGGAGAGGTAGCGCTGGGCAGTGGCACAGCAGCCGTGGAATGTAACTCTCCCGGGCTTCTCAACCAAGCCGATAAATACAAACACAAATAACAATAGAGATGAGACGTGTCTGGTATGGTTGCTAGAGAAGCGAGACAATTCGAGAAAGAAATTCTGCGATAATTCTGAGAATTTGCCGCTGGCGACGCCGAGAAGATGAGAACTCGCAGGAAGGGAGAAAAAGCGACGATATGAGAGACCTAAAAGCATGCCTTGCGTAGGGGCGAGCCACGTAGGAGGATTTCAGCGCGACTTCAGCGCAGCGAGGGCTGGTTTGTGCACTATCGGAGTCGCAAAGGTTGCATTTGTCGGAATCGTTTCCCCAGCGTCAACAGATATCGTCTCAGCCACCGCGGTCACGGCCGCCAGACAATGCAGCCACTCTTCGAGTGGTGTATCGATAACGGGTGCATGCGCAGCTGAGGACGTGCGTCCTGTCCCCGGCGTCCGCCCTCTCGTGTGTCAGCATAGCGGGTTCGCGTATCTGCCAGGTCAGCGCCAATGCTCTATCGCAGCAGTCAGCTTCGTATGAACCTGACCGCTCAAGGTTGCCATATTGCATTGTGAAAAAGAAGTGTAGAGGGAACGAATTGGCTGCCCACACCACATCAACCGGCAGTGCGGGGCCGACGCGCTTTACCCCGGACACCACCACTAGCACCCGTCCACCGGAGTTTTTTCTGCAGCCTCTCGAGAAGCCGCTGGCAGAGCGCATACATAGATTAAATGCAGTCGTTCGGCCTAAAGCTATTGCCTTCCTTCGAGTCGTTGATAAAGCCTGTGATTTCTCTCTCCATGACTCCGCCCGAAGCGAGCAAAGACTCTGCTTGGTTTTGGTCCTGGGTCTCTACTTCGTATCCAAATTGATCGTGGCGTCTAGTCTTCAAGATGCGCTTCCTGTCGCTGAGGGATTTGGATCAGACGGAGGGCACAGTGCAGCTGCAGAAAAGTACCGTTCCCTCATCGCTCGAAAAGCCGGCATCGTTAACAAGGCCACAGCATCCACCGACGACAATGGGAAAACTAACATCGTCCTCGTCCCCGCGCCTTCGAGAACCGATCCAAACGATCCCCTCCGCTGGCCACGATGGAAGAAGCACGTGGCATTTACCTCCGTCTGCGCCTTCACCTTCCTGACCAACTACGCCATCGGCGGCCTAGCCCCAGCCTTCTACATCCTCTCCATCGAATTCTCGCAGACCATGACCTCAACCTCGCACCTCCTGCTGTACCCAATTCTCGTGCTCGGGCTGTTCAATTTCTTCTGGGTGCCACTAGCGAACTACTTCGGGAAGCGCCCCGTCTTCGTGTTCGCGTCACTGCTCTTGTGTCTCTGCTACGTATGGGGCGCCGTCGCAACGAGCTTCAAGAGCCTGCTTTGGTCCAACATCATCGCGGCCTTTGCGGGGTCGTCCACGGAAGCACTCGGTGCCGCAATCGTCAACGTGAGTGCTGGTGCGCTTCGACCCCTTACCTGGTTGCCGGGATCGTGAGGGGTATGTCTGGAAAGTGTGGTGACTGAGACACTGTCTTAGGACTTGTATTACCTACATGAACGTGGGTCCAAAATGGGAATCTATATGTGAGTAGTTCCCAATTGGGAAGTACCACATGCTCATTCGGTAGCTAATCGGCTTCCAGGAATGCCATTTCGGGTGGTAATACCCTCGGCCCTTTGATTTGCGGCTTCGTCGTTCAGAGCCTCGGATGGCGTTGGCATAAATGGATTGCTGTTATTCTTACTGGTAAGATTCATCACGCTGTAGAATGAGAGAAGCTGGCTAAGCCAGCGGGCAGCCGTGAATTTCGTCGCCGTTCTCCTCTTCGTGCCTGAAACGAGGTACCATCGCGATGCGACGACACCAGGTATCAGCAACAATATATCGGCCTCGACATCGGAAGAGGCGGTTGATATTGAGAAAGCCGTATCTACGGGTGTGACAGCAATTCGGCGCACATCCGACGAACAGATTCCCCAAGTGCCCAAAAAGACCTTCGCCCAAGACTTGAAGCTCTGGTCAGGAACGCCTCCTACGAATCTTTTCAAGATGTTCATCAGGTAAGACTTCTGTTCGAGATCCACAGGCGAGGGGACCGGCTGACGAGACCCAGGCCGTTTCCAATGATAGCGTATCCAGCCGTCATCTACTCATTCCTATGCTATTCGATTTCGCTTGTCATAGTGGTGGCGGTCAACATTCTGAATTCATTCGTGCTACAAGCTCCTCCTTATAATTGGAGCCCGCAGATCAATGGCCTTATCAATATCCCTGGCCTTCTGGGTAATCTCTTTGGCGCATGGGCTGGCGGTGTAAGTCAACTCCGCGATAGGAATACCATTCTGAGACATACGCTAATCGTACCGCTACATTAGGACCTTGTCGACATGTGGTGCGCCTGGCGAACCAAGAAAAACAAGGGTATCTTTGAGCCCGAGAGCCGCTTATACCTGCTCATCATCCCGTTCTTCTTGACGTCTGCGGGTTGCGTGCTTTTCGGCTATGGCGTCCAGAACACAATGTCTTGGGTGGCACTCTTCTTCGGATATGGCATGATATCTGTCGCACTGACAGCAGTAAGCTCGCAATGATCAGAGTACTGGGCTGGTGATGCTAATGCGCAACCCCAGACGCCGACGATAACCATGGCGTATGTCAGCGACTGCGCACTACCGGTTAACTCAGACGCTTTATTGCTTGTGAATGGTAAGCCAAGGCCGGAGTTTCTTCCTTAAGAACCGCAGCTAAACCGAAGTAGGTCTGAAAAACGTGGTGGCATTTGGCTTTCTGTATGGTGTCGTACCCTGGGTAGAGGAGGTAGGATATGTTGATTGCTTCGGAACGATGGCGGGGATCTTTGTAGCTATTGTTGGCATCGGCGCGATGCTGCTGATCTTGTACGGTGCGAGGGTACGCCACGCTACTGCGAAATGGCAAGTGATCCTGGATTAGCCACATCAGAAGGTCAGAAACGGGAAAGGACTATTTCAGAATGGGAGGAAAGGACAGAAATGCTCTTCCCTACCACATGCGGCGTATTTACAATAGACAAGAGACTCCCTCGTCTGAACTGCCCAAATGCTTCAATGGAATTAAGCGCCATTCCTTGCCTGGGTTTGCTGTATGAATTTGGTGTGCATTTCCTCGATCTCTGGGATGATGAGGGATTCGATCTCGCAAATGGGCTCGCCGTGGGGTATTGAATGCTCGGTCATAAGCGACGAATCGGCCTCCTGTTCCTTCTTCGATGTTGGGTCTGCAGCGCCGACGAGGGCCTCGATACCAGAGAAACTCTTCGTCCTTCGATGGCGCGGCACGCGGATCCACTTTTCGCCGTCCATGGCGGACACGAAGACAACCTCCCATTTCCGTGTCAGAAGTAAATTACCGATGACGAGGTGATGTGCGTATTTCTGCAGCGAGTACTGGGCCTTCTTCACTAGTATGGAGGGATCGGTCTCGAGCTTGAAGCTCACAATCATGCCTTCGGGTGCCCAACCGTCGACGAGAGATTTCAGGAACTTGGGCACAGGCTCAAGGTCAATGATAAGCTTTCGTCCTTCCGTACGGGCCGCCGGCGGGCGACCATTTCCGTTGCCGTTCTCGTCATCTGCGGTCAGGCTGAACTCTTCGTTGGACTGGATCTTGTGCTCGACCATGCGATCGCGCGGTACAAAGAAGTCGGACACGGCGGCGGCGAGGTAGAATATGGCCTTTGGCCCGAGGGGCTGCATGAGCTTAGCGACCTCGCGCAGGTCCCACAGATACTCGGTGATGGTCACGAAGGACAGGATCAGCAGTCTGCCCTCGCGCTTGACCTGGGTATACTGCCGCAGCACCTCCAGCATCTCCTCCTGGTGTTGTTGGTCGACGACGACCCGGTCATCCTCCTCCTTCATGAAGTCCAAGAAGGAGCGCGTATTGTGCGAGTAGTGGCGTGAGAAAGGCAGGAGCGAGAACTGGCGATGCAGAAAGACGACGGCGTAGCCATTCTCGAGAAAGTACTCGGCGCTGGTTGCACCACGGGTGCCGGCTGAGAAATTGTCTATGTAGCGCACTGTGTGCGTCTCCAGGGGCACCGTGGTGCCGCCTGAAGTTACCAGCACGACGCGGCGGCCCTCGTCGGCATGGCGGTTGATGAATTCGCGGGCGAGCGTGACGGTGGTTTTCAGGTCTTTTGGCGGCGGTTCGTTCTCGAAGTAGTGGCCCTCGGCCTGCTGGTGGGTGCGTTCGGCCATGCTCTCCGGTCAATTGCGCTGAATCATATTCTGGTGGTGCTGTGATACGTACCTAAGCAGTGCAGTGCTAAGGCGAATGCTCTGCTGATGCGATGATGTCGGGCGGGGCAGCTGCGGAACGCCGAGTCACGTGTGCGGTTGATACCCGTGGACCCCTGCACATCCCGAGGTCTTCTTCAATTTGTCCGCCTTCCCGACCCTTCCTGCACAGCAAGAAATCGGGAAATGTAGCTAATGCGTATATCACGAACCATGTTTCTCCTTCAGCTCATCCTGGCCCTTCATGACCCACTCCTTGAACGGATCGTCTACATTCGGATCCCGCCTCAACCTCACGATCTGATCCTCACCATTGGGCACCAACAGCCCCTTCTGCACCGCCGGCCGCGCTTCAATCTTCTTCATCCAGTCATACAGCCGCGGAAACTTCTCCAGCTCAATGCCTGCCCAAGGGCCCCAGCGCACCCAGGTGAACGTGCTCATGTCGGCGACGCTGTACTTTCCTTTGCCTTTGCCAGCTAGATACTCGCGATCCTTCAGCCGCTCTTCAAGAACGGAATAGAGTCTTTTGGTCTCATTTTGGTAGCGGTCAATGCCGTATTGGATTGTCTCAGGCGCGTATCGGAAGAAGTGGTTTGCTTGGCCTTGCATAGGTCCCACGCCCGCATTCTGGAAGAATAACCATTGCAGCATTTCGCTTTTCTCGTCCGCATCTTGGAAGCGGAAGGCGAAGTCCTTGTCGTAGTGTTCGGCGAGATACAGAAAGATAGCGCCCGACTCAAATACGTGGAAATCTCCCCTCGTGTGGTCGATGATTGCCGGAATCCTTCCATTCGGGTTGACGGCGAAGAATTCAGGCTTCTTCTGTTCGTTCGCGCCCAGGTCAATGGAGGTCGTTTTGTACGTAATCCCGAGCTCTTCGAGGAAGATGGAGATTTTCTGGCCGTTGGGGGTTGCAGCTGTGAGGAGCTCGATGTCGGGCATTGTGGTGGATTTGGAGGATGATACTTTTCTGAGTGCCAAATTGGGAGTCGCTGTGATTATGTCTTTGATCCAGATTCGCGTGGATCTGGTCTGTCTTTCACATTATATGCTTCGGCAATGAGTGCTTAGCTCATCATGACGTGGGGATCTGGGCTTGGGGCTTGAGGACCATCTAGAACCCATGATGTTATTGCAGAAGTGACGAAGAGTATTAATATTAGTCGGGCTGGGTAACGAAGGGAGGTTCTGGATCAATACTAACGTTAAAACAACTCTAGGAAAGTCTACGGCTGGCGTTTGCGCAACCCGCCAAGCCACCATCGGCCGCGCCGTTCTTCCGCGCCCGACCCTGGAAATCTAACCGTTCCGTATCGTAAATATACTTATGTTATATAGCCTAACACTGTAGTAGCAGCAGTTCTCTATCGCAGTCACCCTCTTTCTTAGTAAGCTACTAGTCCCACGCCTAGCGCCTAAACCCTAGCGTCTTTAGCAGACTCCGATATTATTCACAGAATTAATCCTCGCTTGCTGTCAGGCGAGCCCTGGCAAGGTCGGAAAAGGTTGAAGTCGCTCGACGAGTGTTTGTAAGCACAACGTTGTTGGGGGGAGGTTGTCCTCCCTTGGCAGAATTTACCGTACCCCCTTTGCTTGCGAATGATTGCCCTACACGTTGGTTTGCTGTTGCCTGCTATTCTCTGCGGCGTGAGATGCGGAGAATAGAGTATGCTGCATGGAAGCTATAACGTCTCACTTTTAATAAATTACCGTCTCTGGAGAAGGAATTGTGCTGGTACGAGTTGCCTCTAGCACCACGCAGAATGAAGGGATTGCAGCCAAAGGCGGTCAAGCGGCTAGCCCAAAGCGCATCTTCGAGAAGAGCTGAGCTCATCGCTGGATGTTCGTAGGTTGATATGTTAAGTTTCTCCGCTTGTTTCTTAGGTAATGCGAAAGAGGGCGGACCAGCTTCTTATCTCTTAGCACGAAGTTAAGCCTACCCCTCTTCTTTCGGTTAGTGAAGCCCATGAGCGGATTGCCAGCGGCAGAGGCACCGGAGTACGTCGCGCGCGGCCTAGCGGATGGTGGGTACGCGACATGGAAAGCAGCTTCCAATTGAATATGCACAGACGCACTCACTTTTAATGATTACGTAAGGTAACGAACGCCAGGAAGCCTTCGCCCGTGATTTGCATCACCATCAGCTATCTCGACCTGCCCATCACGGCGCCCACCTTCGCCGCCGCCTTCACCCTCGCTCTGCGCCGGCTGGAGCGGCAGCTGCAGTGTGCAGGGAAAGCCTCTGCGGCCCACAGGTCGACGCCAACCGCTTCAAACACATCCCCCCTCCAGATCCAGAGACACTGCCCACTCCGACGCCGTCCATTCCGCTCAGCCCCTTAAACTAGGTGAAGCAGCTGTCCCCGGCCGACGTCAACGCACGAATCGATGGTCTTCGCGGCCGCTTGGGGCATCGTGAGGGCGCACGTCCAGCGAGTCACCACGCTTTTCAAAGCACTTAAGCCGGAAGGCACACCCAGACATCCCCTTGGATATATACGCTCCTTATAAGGGATCCGAAGTGTCCGTTAGTAGCCCCCCGCTAGCACTTTTCTACAAGTTGCTAACATTTTCTTTCATCCAGATCGATTGAACCGTAATCGAATGTGCCTTGTCACACCGTACATACACCCTATTCGACGCCCTACCATTTCGAAGCATGGATGGACAAACGTTACCAATAAAATCTGTTCGAGACCTTTCCCCACTTTACGAAGCATTCTCCGGGGAAGATGACGAACATGGCAATCCAATATTTTTATACTCGTCATTTGGCTTCATCACTAATGAATATGTGGCCTACTTCGGCCAGTCAAACCTCAGAAAGTACGAATTGACTCCCAAAGATATCAAGGATAGCCTAAAACTTCTTCCGGACGAGGATGTGTACCCAAAGGCTCCTTCGAATGTTACAGTCTTTTCAACGCCAATAGACAGCAATGTCTTTTTGAAAGGCCCGAAGCTAAACACGGCTTTTAAGGATACGGGTCTATTACCAAAGCTTCTGTTACGGGAAGTTGAGATAATGGAGCTCCTAATGCGTAACCCGCATCCGTACATTATCGGTTATCGAGGTTGCATGATCAAACGTGGTCGTATTGTTGGCCTTGTCTTAGATCGACATCCTATGACGCTTAAGCAGCGTCTGAAGAAGGGCGCACGACATTTCAACGTAGAGAGTTGCATGAAGAAGATAATATCTGCGGTTCACCATCTCCATTCACTGGGGCTGGCGCACAATGACCTCACACCAATGAACATTATGATCGACGAATCTGATACTCCTATCGTCATCGATTATGGTTCTTGTCAACCTTTTGGCAGCACTCTTATCACAGGAGGCACATTGGGGTGGATCGAGGAGGACTTTACGACTTCAGAGCAGAGGCATGATGAAATTGGCCTGGGTAAGATTCGAGCTTGGCTTGAGAGAAGAGAGAGAGAACAACAGGACTATTGGAAATAGTTATTGTGTGACTGTCATGTTGTATTCATCCATCCCATCAGCATGTAAATGTATCCATTACTCTGCATCAAATCTTCTAATAGCTGCTCCATCTCTTGCGTCGTTGGCCTAAGACGAGGTATTCGTTGAGGTATTTGTTGGTGGCACATAATGTTCAGAGTTTTTACAATCTGTGCGTTCACAGTCCCTTTTCTCTCGGATTCTATGAACTCATGTCCCGCCTGGGGCTCGGGCGTCGGGCGTGATCTTAATAGTTGTGTGAAATTCGCACCTTATCTAGTGTTAGACCTAGTGCATAAAAGGTAGCTAATCCACTCACATCGTTAGGGGGAGGTACTACTGGCGTTCTGCCTTATCTTGTCTCAACAGTCGTCCGTGCTAGGTATTGCTGGCCCGGCGATGTGTTGTGCAGCAGTAGAAGGATCCAGAACTATGCATCCGAAAGCGGGGTCCCACTGCGGGAACCAAACCGATGCGCCGAAGGCCTCCACAGCGAAACCAGAAGGCCTAGAGATAAGCGAGGCCGAAAATGGGTAGGCTGGAAATTATCAACAACACCATTCCCTTTCACCACCTACCAGCGGCTTTCTTACTATTACCCCAGTACGCAAAACAAACACCGGTGATGGCATGAAGACTCATATCTTTTTGCACGTGACGAGGGCTGTATTTGACGATGATCGAAGTAAGGACATTGACGATTCACGGCGCAGACCGACCCAGGGAGGAACCGGCCTGCTCGACTACATTCACTCCTATTCGCAGTGATGAGAGTTATTTCCCAGTTTCTGTCCCTAGCAACCACAGCACGATAAGCGGAAAATCAGAGGAAAGCGCAAGCGTAACCGCAACCACGAGCGCCAGTACTACGACTTTGCCTTCCCGACCAGAACCTTGGAATACACCACCAGCCAGCCCTTCGGCAATCCAAATGGCTCTGGACACACCAATACCCAAGGAAATCAACTGCAAAACATGCGACAGAATTTTAGCCGCCACATCCTCTTTGGGCGACCTGGTTCCCGCGGGGACGCAGGCGAACGCTTGCGACACGTGTCGGAAGTTCGAAGAGCTACACGATGATATGCAGACGAAGGACGAGGCTTTCAAGGCGCTGGAGGGCAGACGGTTCGAGCACGGCGGTCGCCAGAAGGCGCTAGAAGAGGCGAAGGCTGCGCACATTGCTTTCGACAATTTCCTCATCCAAGTTGAGGTACTGGTGGCCGACAGCACCACGGATGAACAGGGAGAAGAACAGAGCGGAGGTCATGACCCCGAGCACCTTCAGCCAGAGAATTCTTCCCGCGGCCCAAAACGTCCTCTCGAACCCTCACCAGCTACAACGCCACCGCGCTCTCTCAAACGCCCCCGCCTCGTCGACAACTCCCGCCGCGTCAGCTTCGAGTCCTCCGTCGTGTTCCGGGACGAGACCGAACGCAGACCGGAAATGGCGTTCAACAGGGCCAGCGAGGATTACCTACCTGGACGAAACGCACCGCCGGAGGGGACGGAGTATGTCGATACGAGTGGGCATGGCATAGCGCCGACGAAGTTCTTTGGAGTGAGAAAGCAGGGGAAGAAGTGGGTTGAGACAAAAGAGGGGAGGGAGGAGGACGAACGATGGAGGAGGGCGAGTGAGAGTGAAGAGGATAGGGAGGAAGTTGAGGAAGGGGAGACTATTGAGAGTGTACAACATGGCGCGAACTCCGGGCAGCCCGAAGGAGCAAAGCGCACTCCAGAAGAAACCCCGACAGAGCAAGAGGAAGTCGGTCACAGCAACAAGAAAGCTGTAGAGCCGCTCAAAGATGCAGAGCAGCCTAAAGACACCGAGCGCGGTCCTGAAGAGCTACCATCTGATGAAGGAGCGCACCACGGCAATTCCGACACGGCCGCCGGCAAGCTCAATGGAACAGAAACGGACGCCAAAGACAAGGAGGGAAATCAAGCGCCGCAAGCTCAGGACCGGGGGAAGACTGGAGCTCTCAAAGAAACGACCACGGAACAGAGCATGGATGCACTTCCGGACAGGACTGGAGCTGTTGAAGCAATTGTACGAGAGGAAGCTGACGAACAGTCTGGTGCTAAGGCATGAAGCGGATATGTATACGTCTCTGCGCTTCCATTCTTCTCCGCAAAAATGCGAGCTGAGATTTTCAATTTTGTTTCGATACCCCTTTCGCGAGGCCAGTAGGTTCTCGGCGCGAATTCATAGTAGCAATACAAAGCCATGTATTAGTATGCAATATCTCCAGCTCGAGATAGTCCCCCTCAGCTTATCAATACTCTTCGCAAAGAGATGTTCTCCCAGTCCACACTGCTACATATACTCCCTCGTGCTCACGCAATTCTCGAGTGCATACCCCACCCAATCCTTGCCTACCCCCCTTCTCCGCTGCATCTCCGTCACCTCCTCCTGATATCCGTGCGCCTCCAATTCTCGTATCCCTTCCTCTCCTTGTTCTGCGAACGCCGTCCCAACAACGCCCTGTACGCCTTCCTCAAGCACAGACTCCTTTTAGTCTAGGTCTGGAGGGTCGGCCTCTATGCGCTTGTATATGAGGCCGAGCAGGGTGGTATCTGAAGAGAGAGTTAGGTGGAAAATGTGTTGGAGGTCCCCGTTGGATCGAAAAGCGATGAGCGTCGCGGATCAGGCGTCTATAGCTGGTAAGATGCAGGCGAGCTAAATTAGCGCTCACACTTGGCGCGCGGCAAAGTCGGGGAGCAGAACCTCTTCTCCCCATCAAATTCTTTGTGCCGTTGCTGGAATGCGACATCAATAGTATCTACGTCATGGCCTTCTCCACAATTATCGCCTCTAATGCTATCACTAAGCTCTCTCTCTTCCCTGGCCGTTTGCTCTTGCAGAAGCCGGACATATTTAAATCTCGCCGCGCCGCGACTCGCAAACTGGAAACCGGCTTCACCAAGAACCCCAGCCATCGTCCTGACCACGCTTCATCGCAATACAAGCACAATGTCATCTGCTCCGGTAGACCTAAGGAGTACATCGGCCAGTCTGGTTGTCATTATATCATCGAACGGGTGCTTCAGGAAGAAACATTTCCCTTACGCCGGGTTTACTCTGCTACGCAAGTGAACTTAATCACTTCTCTCTATGATTTACCTGCTTACTATTTCCCCAGCGCCAACAACCAACGCTTCATACTGAAGTATGTTCACGAGGACAATTTCAAAGATCTTCAAGATATAAACAATAGGCTACGCGGTGGCACTAACTATGTCCGCCTCGTCAAAGACACCATCCCCGAGAAATCCACGTTCGTTTTCCAGTACTTCGACGATCATCTCCTCCGCCTCGCTCAGAAGGACTTGCCCATCACGGTGACAAAACGGATCCTGAAAGATGCACTTCGTGGAATCGCGGACCTCCATGATCAGGATATTGTCCACACGGGTAGCTTCCACCCTTCCGCGGAGCAATGAGTAGTGACTTATTTTAGGCAGATATTAAGGCGGACAATGTTTTGATCGACTCGAAAGAGGACCAGGATGGAATAATTATCGAGCGAGTCCAGCTTGCGGATCTTGAGGATGCCGCATATATCCCTCCTGGATCACATATGATTGGAAAACAGGCAGGTAATTGGATGTGGAGGAGTCCCGAAGCACACGCCCGAGGACCGGTGAATAAGCCGTCTGATATTTTCTCTTTCGCCCTTGTTGTAAGTTTCTACGCATACAAACTCTTGGATTTTGACGTTGCTGCTTACTGTTGATATCATGTAGTGCATTTACGCAGTGCATAAACGCGTTATCTTTGCCGTTGGAGAAGAGGAGTTGAACGAAGGTGTGGAGCCCTTGGCCGTGGTAATCGAACGCCAAATCTCGTACTTTGCAGATGAGGACGGACTGAGTCGGTTCCTGAAGCACCTTGGCGACAATCCTTGGGTTCCCATTTTTGAAGTAACTCGGGATGGTTTCAACAAAGACAACCCGCGCAGACCATTCTCCCTTTGGAAGGGCGTCGACGAAGATTTTAAAAACCTTGTTTGTGCCATGACGAACTTTGATCCGGGGAAGAGAATTACGGCACGCGAGGCGTTGGCACATAAGTGGTTTGAAGGTGTTTGAGGTGGCTAGAGAAAGGAAAATGTCTCTTGAAATCAATACCCCAAGAACAGCCCGCAGAAGGCGAGGGAAGCAGAATGACGTGGCTTGGTTTAGTGTATTCGATATAGCGCCTTCACCGCTGCATTAGACGGCAATAAAGTACTGTGTATTCATTGATGCGTAGAAGAGGTTCAGCCGGTTCTGGGACCCGAACTGCAACCCATCTTCATGGACGTCGAGGCCCACAAGCCGTGCGAACCGGCTCAAGGCATCCCCCTCCCTTACTCCTCCAGCCGCTCTCCTCCCGGTAGAGCGGACTATCCCGGCTGTGCACCTTTCGAACACGGCCTGTGCTACCGGCTCGAGACCTGCGATTTTTCCAAGGCTTCGCAAAAGCCAGGAACTCCCACGTCCTCCTTCAGTGTATTGTCTACATATTTGCGGGGTTCGGTCGAGTTTGCGGTACTGCTCGTATTGCACAGCCATAGTGTTTGTTGGACGCGTCGTAGGCCCAATCCCAGATGACTTCACGGGCTCGCTATTGAGGACAGCATCGAGTAGAGGCTTGTTCCGTGCAGGGTCAATGTTATCGGAGTAAATCGCTGTACCGCGCTTTGAGGGTAGCGAACGTAGGGAGGGAAAGCCTGGCACGGCGTGTATCAGATCGAGGAGGATATATTTCAGCCATATTCGCATCAGAGACTGCTCGCACAAGAGATTGACTAACATTACCTTTATTTCCTTCGTCCTGGTGGTTTATACCTTCCAAATTCGAAGTGTAAGTATCGCGAAAGCCATCCAGCCTTTGCCTATTGGTTTGGTTTGGATTTGACCCCTTCCAACCGAGGCGATATCGTCATCGCCGGCAGACGCGCAGGTCGTGATTAAGTCGCTCTGACGAGAATGTTGGCGAGAGCATAGGTGACCGAAATTGAAACGCAGTATGAAAAGGGAAGTTGAGTAGAAAGAGGAAGGATTGATTGATTGATTGATTCGATCCTACTCGGTTTCAGCCGCGTTATCTGCAGCTATGCCCGGATGCAGAGGTTTGGCAGACGGCCGGAGCGACGGGGATTCTCCGAATCGTGCTCTCCATCGCTCTGATACGCGAAAAGTTCTACGCTAAATGCCTAACGCTCAATTGCAAGGTCGGACTTGCGTCTGCGGCTAGACACGCCCTGAAGAACGAACAAGCGCGACTCGCTTCCTCCTTGGACTTTGAGTGCCGTCACGTCAACTTACAGAAGGCTGAGAGGTATGATCCTAGCGAATTTGGCATGACTTGCCGGGAAGTCACGGACTGAAAGCTGTCAGAAGAGGGAGAACGCTGAGAGTGTTGTTGGATTCCGATGATTCCGAGAGTGCCTTCTTATTCCCGTCAATACCGACTATTAGACCCGATCAATCAGTGGCGATCTTACGCTAGAGCTACCGGGTGGACATTCACCAATGCCCAACTTGAGGAATTGCATCATTCCATTCAACAGATCGATCTACCTCTATACCGCCCTGGGATACTCGATCTACTACCTGATATAAGAAGCCCAAAGCGGCATCGAGGCTTTTCTAAGCAATGTTAGGTTCCTGAAGTCAACATTCAGGGTGGATGGTAAGGTACTCCTCGAAGGATCCAATCTAGGTATTCGAGGACAAGGAACCCTCGATCAAAGCCATCGTCTCACATCTTCAATACACCCCAATAAAGTTTATCGCAATCGACGCCAAAGCTCTATGCATCATCGCCCCGTTCTGCAGCCCCGCGTCACAGAAATCGCCCCTATCTCACATGCGCAAGCACCCATGCCATCCCCACATGCTATCTCTCCAACAGCGCAGCGCGGAGCCACCTCCGCTCCAGGGATCGGAATGCCGATTCTCCCACCGCGATCCACACTATTGTCGCATGCAAAGCGGCTCCGCGTGGATGATGCGACGATCTTGATGCGGGAGCGCGCAAGCATTGATCGCGCGCAAGGATCTATAGGGTTTCGGAAGGTAGAGGGAGGGCTCGGCACGCAGCGCAGGCTAGAAGCGCCCAAGAACATGTCGCCATGTAGCGCTAGATGTGATGAGGCTGAGGAGCGGTGGCCACGGGTGCATCGCACCGAGGCCAAGTGGCGCCTAGGCTAGCTGGATAGAGTTTTGAGTTCTCTGTGTTGCGACATTCGCGCTGGGATGGATATCGATATCTTCCCTGGAGCCGACCGACAAATAAAGAGCCGCGCAATCGTTAGACTTCACCTCACCGATCGCAACGAAAAGTTTATGTAAATCCTTTGCCAAGCTGACTCACTTCCCTGCCCTGCGTCCGTCCAAACCTTATCCAGCAGAAGCTAGACGCCCGTCGGGGAAGTGCGGATGAGGGAAGGGCGAGAAGACCATACATCTATAGATGCCAGGGATCCACATGTTCGTGATGCTGGAAATTCCCTCACTTCCCCGGATCGGTGCGCCACTCGTCACCGCTCGCGATCTTCTTCCATACTAGTGATGGGTTGATCTGGGTTATGCAGTTCGGCATCTGAGCAACAAGCAATATAATGCACTTCAGTGGTTCAGGAAGAAAGCCTCATTTCTCGGCTAGATATGCATGGCGCGGATCATGAGCTCACCGCCACGTGGAAGAGGGTGTGCTCGTGTTTGGATCCGCCGCTGAAAAAGAAAGTTAGGAAGGATCTCGGGGGTATGAATATGCTCCGGGCACATGTCGACTCGCTGCTACAGGGACGTCTCGCAAAGCTCATGATCAAAGTAGTGAGATCTATTTTCCAACGTCTATCTTTCCCATGTTCGATACAGGACGGGTCAAATTGCCATCCTATCCTACATTCCAATGCTCTATTTGTCCACTGAAAATGCAGGGCAAATGAGCGCTGTAGCCATCATCCAGTAATCTCTATCACCATCGTAATCAGACTTTACCCAAACAGCTCTAATACGGACTAGGGTTACGTACGATGGCAAAGTACGTACGTGTCTGTGGCGTTGGGGAAGTTGTGAAGTCCCCTCCCGTCTAGCGGTATGAGCTGATTGTTGCATGAAGCAAAAGACGCAGGAGGAATGTAAGCTGCGAGCTTTGCTTTTTGTGAGAAGCCAGCGGCGCTGTGGACCTGATGTCGTACAGCTCGTTAGAAGATGAGGCGCACCGCCGACCTATCGGGGAAGCCGGCTGGTTGCGCCTAGGCTGCGGCCCAGAAACGCCTCCCTCAACAGGTGAAGCCCGCTCGGGGGCGGGTGTAGAGATACATGATGAATCTCGTTCTCGCTCGCCCCGTGGCTGGTCGCAGGTGCGTGTGTCAAGCGAACTATCCAGGGGTGTCACCGTCGAGTGGCTTCTAGAAGGCTTCAATATTGCTCGACAAGGCAGGGTTCTCCTTGGATTCATAGGTGGCTTTCGTTGTGGATGTTGTCCATTGGTTGTTGTCTCTCCCAACCAAACGCCTCTTCATGACGCAAGCGTTCCTTCATGCTCTTCCCATTGCCATTGCTCAACAAGCTGCCTCACTCGATAGTCGGTAGCCCAGCCAATGTCGGTCTCAATATCGCGAAGGAGGCCCAGCACTACCTGGCGTTCTCTAGGATCGCTTAGACACTGGCCTGCAGTGAACAGCGGCTGAACAGAGTGGATGCGGACGGCTTCGTCTGAGCGGGCCAGGGATATAGCGATGATTTCGCGTGCAGCCGCCTGGCAAGCGGCAAGGACGGATTGATAAGAGTTCAACCGAGCGACCACCGTAGTACGCCCTTGTGTGGACTCATGCGGCTTGTTCATGAGCAGCTGGATCTGACTCATATGGTAGCATTGCATGGTGGAGGCGCACATGGGGATGGAATACCATATCTCGGGAAACAGGATTTCGTTCTCTCCTTGGAGTAGCCGTCCGGGAGTGTGGGCAGGGTCGACTCTTGCACACGGTCGGAAGGTTATCGGCAAGCCATCATACCATCTTTGAAATTGCCGTCTCATGGAATGCCAGTAATCTAGTAATGTACGTTGGGGCACGCCCGCCCAGGAGGGTCCAAGGTTCTCGGGAAGGTCATCGCCGGCGGCCATGAAGTTGACCAGTTTAGACATTAGCCAAACCAGTGCATTGCAAATGAGGTCTTCCTTCATCATGCTCTCGCCTTCTGGATAGCCGCTTTCGGTCGTGTTGCTAGGAACGATATATCCATGATCGTCAATGAGGAGACCAGCTTCCTTCCATAGAGGTAGATCTTCGGTGTCGAGACGAGTTTGGGTTTTGTTGATATCTAAGTTCTGAAAGTCAGTAGCGAGACAACTGAGTGTCGGGCATAGTAAGCTTACAAGCTGCTAACATATCCTGGCGAGCTATGTTCCAGAAAGTCGCTCGCCGCGCTTTGGAGATGAACCCAAAGTTGGCAGACGTGATCGCTGGGCAAGGTGTCGGCATCTGCAGAGGCATCATACGTTCTTGGGCAATAACTAGAAGGGATTTCGCGCCGTTCAGATGCTTGGCCCATTCTGGCACAGATGCGTCTAGGAACTCGTACACGCAAAGGATCGCCGAGGCTGCCAACAGCTCGTCTGTGCTCGACGTTTGATTGACGTTGCTTGATTTGCGACGCCGTTTATGCAATGGACCTTCGGGCACATATGATGGCTCACCGCTTTCGGAGTCTGTCTCAGGAGTGATGGTGGCATCGGACTTTAAAGCTTGTAGCAGCAGTGACACGGCGGCGTCGTAGTATTGCGCAGCTTTGTGATACCAATCTACCGAGTGGGCGTCTGGATAAAGCTCCATCCGAGCCTGGCGGGTTGTGCTACCGCCCATGACTGGCTTCCGCCCTTGGACACGTGCAAGAGCTTTAGCCGAGTACGCAACGGCGGCGTACTTCAAGAGAGGATTCTCTCGAGCTTTGACAGGCACGTAGGAAGAAAAATATCTCCCCAAGTCGAAGAGATCCATCCAGTAACCAGGGCCTTCAGAGAAGCACCTCAGGAGAAATGCAATCTCGTGATCTCGCTCGGCCATGGTCTCCATGCCAGCATGGGATGGTGCCCGTCGACTGGCTGCGATTGAGCTCGAGCGAGGTATCTGACCGGATTCGAATGGCGACGAGAGACGCGGGTCGATAGGCGGAGGCGTCATAGAGGCAGGGTGGCTCAAGAGAGAATGTGGAGGCGGGTTTGGAAGGGAGACCGAGGGTGACAGTGGGGTCCCTACCGACGATGTTGGCGGTGAGATCAGAGAAGAGCGCTCACGGGAGGGAACCGCATCTGCTTCTGGAGTGAAGCACAAGGGGCCATTGTTGGCCGCATGGAGATGCATCTCGGGTCCAGTGCTGGAGGGCGTGCTAGTGACATTGTCAAGGTTGGTAGCTCGTGGCCAGGAGGTGAACGACCGACGCTCAAAGGGCGCTGGAGAATCTCGCGATGTGACAGACATAGTCTCAAGCTCCGGGCTGAGGGGGTCCAGATAGGGATTGGTCGTGTTGAGGAACGTCACTAGTGCATGATTAGACGATCATGGCAGGAGCCGGCGACGAGGATGGCGCATACCGTTCTTAGGAATGTCAAGCCAGACAGTCTCATCGTGGAAAGTATTCTTGTAAGCGTAGAAGCCTTTAAGGGCGTTGTCATCTGTTGCGTTGTCGCCATTCATGGAGGCATTGTGCTGGTGGCGGAAAACCAGCCCAGAACTTGGGACGCATTCGCGGGATGCTTTGCAGCACTGGCCGCAGACGGGTTTCTGCTCATCGCACTTGAGCTTCCTCTGGCGGCACGTCAAGCTGGCACGAAACGCTGTCAGAAGATGTCAAATGGGCGGAGGGGTCAACTTGCCATCCTGTTCGTGAGCGCATCGTAGTCGTAACATCTACCCAAGCTCCACTTCGCTCTCGATGAAGGCGCCAACTGTGAGATGCGCCGTTGCAGGGGCGGCGAGCATTGGGCTATATGTAAGGACAAGCATGGTGGTGGTGGTGGTGGTGGTGGTGGTTGCAGCCCTCCATCGCAGGAGAACCGGATGCGGGGTCTAGCAGCATGGTTCGTGCTAAGCTAAGCGGTTCCACCTTTCCACCAGCAGCGAGGTTCAGGGATGGCGAGGGGCTTTTGCTCGCTTTAGCTTGCAGAGGCTGCGTTAGACTGAATCGAAGGGCGCTGCTAGATCTGGGGTAACGATACTGCTAAGCTTCAGCAAACACGAGGAGGGAGCTTGTACCTGTACATCGCTTCGGTCAAATGCTGTGGCGTCCAAGCACATCCGACTCATGACCCGACGCACATCAGCACGGGCTAGCGGAGGCCAATACACGTGCGCTATCGTCGGATTGTTCCCGCTAGCATTTGCCACTACATCAGGTTTTCCCCTTGCTGCTTCCAGAAAAATGCTCGGCCCGTTTAGCGCCTAATGCCCAACCCCTTGGGCCTGCATCGGCACCCAAAAGCCATGTTTCGGCCAGGCACATACCGTACGCCTAATCAGCCAGCTCGGACTCGTCTCCATACTGCGAAAGCGCTCATCCGCCACGATCCTGCAAACGGCACCAATGCCCATCGAAGATTCTTGAGTATTCGGAATATCATCGGGAAACCGTGGTCACCGCCTTTCGCGCTAGTCTCACCGCTGTCTTAGCGCGGCTGGCGCATCACTTTGCCGTCTTCTGTTTCTTCTTTGGGCGCTGTTCCATCTCCGCTTCCTTGTCTGCCGCATCGCTATCTGCATCCGCATCCGCATCCGCCATTTCATCATCGCTGTCGTCGCTACTTCGGTGGTTTTCGTCGAATTCCTCTCCCACCTCCGATTCCGATTCGGTATGGAAGTCCTCGTCGACGCTCTCGTCGTCCTCGTCTGCGGATCCGCGATTTGCAACCTCGCCGTCACTAGAAGCGAGATCGTCATCCTGGAGGGCCGCAGCAAGGATCGCTCCAGACTATAACGTGTCATTAGCTGGACTATGAGAAGGAGCTGCAAATAGCTTACATCATCAGCCATTTCATTCTTCGTCTTGATGCCCTTGGCCCGGAAGAAGTTCTCGAGTGGCTGCTGCTCCTCACTATAGTGCGGATTAGTCTCATGCAGGGTCCAGCGCTATGACCGCCCACTCACCGGTTGATGTTAGAGAACTGATGTTCCGCCAGTCCTCCCTTCATCGTGAAAGTGATGTCAAAGGTTCGGCTAGCTGCCATGGCTCCTCCGACTCGAGACATGGTTACCGATGCAATGTTGTCCATACTAATATACGTGGCGGGCTTCGGGACGAACATAAAGGCTTTGTCCAAGCAGAACAGGTGCCCTTCATTGGCCTTGATCGAACATTTGACGCCAGACTGCTCGTGATGGCTGATGAAGTCGCGGGATGGCCTAGAGATGCGCTTGCCGCTCAGCCCTCGGAAGATGTCGGAGACGACCACGGCAATGGGCGCCTCGTAGTGTGACTGTAGCTTATCCTTGTACTTGGATTCCAACAGCTCTTCCTTCATGTTCAAGTCAAGGTTGACCTCCTCATCGCGCTTGAACTGCATGACAAGGAACGGGTACCGCGTCTGACCTTGTCTCAGTGGAGGATCAAGGCCGATGGTGATGAGGGTGTGCATGTCGTCGGGCTTCGGCAGTACCATGAACTTCTTGACCGAGTCAAACTGAATCTTGTAGTCGTACGTCTTTCCTCGCAACCGGAACGAGCTCTCGTACATGTCGATGTCGAAACGACCTCTGGGGGTCAGATGCAGGATATCGAGGAAGGTGGCAAATGTGTCGCCTGCAACCTCGCCAATCTCAGCCTTCTCCATGAGTGTCTCGTAGAAGAGATTGGCAGCGTTCTGCTCTTCTCCTTCTTCGCCATCCGTCATCTCCTCGCCGTCTTCTTTCTTCTCCTTCTTGGAAGCCACGCCGGGTATGTAGAAGCGCATTTCGACAAGCTGGTCTTTGGCACCCGCAGACTTCTTGCCGCGAAACCGCGCCCCGCCCAGATGGCCGTTTACCTCGCCATCCGCGGGAAGAGAGAAGTCGACCGCCACCTCGTTCTTGCCTGCCAGATTTGTGTTCGAGATTTCGGTGTAGGGCACTTCGAATGCCGGACGGTTTGCGACGTTGAAGGACAGCTCGGCCCTGCCGAATTCTGCCTTGCCCCAGTTCCAACCGCGGAGAGCGTGCTCTCGGTTCTCCAGGTTGATGCCGTACCAAACCCTGAAGAGCTTGGCTATCCGGTCGAAATCCTGGAGGGGTCAGCCATAGCCATTTTAGAGCATCCGCGACTCCTACCTCTTGCTTGAAGCCATCGAGCTGAATGACGCCGTCCGTTCGTGAGAGCACCTTCACCTCGTAGCCTCGTGCGGCACGACTCCACTGCGCCGATAGTATCTGAGACTGGTCCAGCGTAAATGTCTCGCCGCCGCTCGAAGGCTTCCATCCCCAGCCAGAGTCGGCGAAGCGAGTGACGCCATGCTTCTTGGAGAAATTGAGGTAGATATCGTTGAACGCCTCCCTGTCGAGCAGTTAGCCGCTAGTCGTAGAGTACGCAGCGCATTTATAGCTGACGAAGACTACTTACATTGCCGCTGCTGAGGCGCAAAGGTGGATACGTCAGGTTGGGTGAGGTGGATGGCGGTGAGGTTGGAAAACGCGGGCTGCCAGTACAAAGGTAGAGGTGGAAAGTTCGCGATTGACCGCGTCGTGCAGATTCATGACTAAGCCGATGCGATCACGTGTCCTGGTCCTTGCACGCGCGGGGCCCCGGCGTGCCCGGCTTGGGCGTGGGAGTCGCACCGCAACTTCACTTTGCTCCATTACCTCTCTATGCCAGTAAATAATGAGCATCCACTCCTGTTTGGGTATGCTATATGCTTCGACGCCCTGTCTTGGAGATCCCACGCATTTGAACATTCAGCCGAAGACGACACGACTCCCGTGGCTCCACGAGAAGCAATCGTGGTGCCTTCGCATTCAGTGTCCGCTGCGGATGTCGAGAGTATGCTTGCATATACTGTACCCCAAGTCTCCGAAAATCCAAGTTCCGACCAGCAAGCCGAGCGCTTGTCTTCCCCGCAGCCATCGTGGGGCTTCACGGCGCCAATGCTCCGCCCGGTTCCCGGGTGCGCCTCTTACTGGCGGGGTCTTCTCTGGTACATCATCACTTCATGCACTTTCCACAGTAGCTCGCCAGATGAAGCAGAAATCAGGGCACCCTCTTCCCGCTGCTCGCTAAGCACGGTCTGCGTGCCTTGTTTCGGCGCCTCACGATCACGCGCCGGAAACGCTACCCGCAGAGCTAGCCGTTCGCATGCCCTCCTCCACCTTAGTGCTAAGCGGACGCGTATGCAATTCAGTGATCGTTGACTTTTGGAGGTTAGTATGGTGGACCTGTTTACTTCGGACGTTGTCAACGTTACTACCCTGGTGTTTTACATTTCATATACGCATTTACCATTGGCTCTTTTGCTCTATTGTCTCCGTTACATTGTTCCAGGTAAGCAGGTAGCATTGAATACATCACGCCTTTGCCCTAGATAGGACTGAAGCGTCCAAGGCCCCCGAGAGCCTTGCCATGCTCCGCCAATGCTGTCCAAGATGATCGCGGGATGGGGCTTGCACACCTATCTAGTGTGGCGCTGTCTATTTCGTCACCGTCAACATGTGGGATACCCTTCGATTCAAGCCTTATAATCCATGGCTGTCCTGTGGTGCTCTGTTCCGAAGCGTGTCCGTCGTCGCCGCCGAAAACCATGAACACTGTCACATTGCTCGTCGCTCACTTACTATGGCTTTCCGCCTTTGCGCAAGATACCGACCGCGATAACACCACAGAGCCCCTCTCGACATATGTTTCGGTAGGTATCTCGGCTTTTAGCGCGCTCGGAGAATATGTGCTGACAGTACCCCCACACAGAGACCAGACCTCAAAGCTCCGGCGCTCAATGTGACCGTTCAAGATAGTTACGACACCGGTTACATCTTTATTTGCCCCTATAGAGCCACGCAGACCGGACCGTATATTTTCGACAAAGCCGGAAATCTAGTTTGGTCAGGATACAATGTTACCGAGCAAAATGAAGAAGCCCAAATCAACACTCATGAACTGCGCATCTGTGCCTATCAAGGCTCAGATCATTTGTGCATGTGGAAGGTAAGGCTCACTTATTTATACTCTTCGCCTACCTCTCCAAAGTGTTGGGAAGCATGCCCCTTTTTCTGCCCATGATAAATCTTAAGCCTTGGGATTTGTACATTCAGAAGTAGCAGCTAGTATCTCAATAAGAGGCCGAATCGCGATCAATGAATAATTGGATGTCAGGGCACACAACCATCCGGCCACGGACTAGGCCACAGTATCATTCTAAACTCCAGCTACGACGTCGTCCAAACCTTCGGAACAGGAAACAACGCCCCCCTGAACGACTTCCACGAATCGTGGGTTATTGGCGACGGCGAGACGGCACTACTCACCGCATACAATCCAATCCAATACGACCTGGCCGCCTACGACATTAATTCCAATCCGCAATGGCTGACCGAGGGCATGTTCCAAGAGGTCGACGTCTCCTCCGGCGAAGTCATCTTCGAATGGCATTCCAGCGATCACGTGGACCTTTCCGCCAGCTACGTTCTCCCGGGAGAAAGCGAGGTTTCCGGGAATGGAACGAGCGCAACATCGGGCTGGGACTACTTCCACATCAACTCCATCGCCAAAAGCTCGACTGGGGACTACCTCATCTCTGCTCGGCACACATCAGCCCTCTACTACATCAACGCATCTGATGGCTCCATACTATGGGAATTGAGCTACGGTAGCCCAAACAGCACGTTCAGTTTCACCACCCAATTCAACTTCACGTTCCAACACCATGCGCGCTTCCTATCCGAAAACGACACCCGTACTATTATTTCTCTCTTCGACAACGCGAGCAACGATTTCAACGAGACGGCCACACAGTCGTCCGGCATGGTCATCTCGCTAGACCTGGAGGCCAAAACAGCGACACTGATCGATAGGACGTACGCGCCTATTCCCGGTGGCATCCTCGCCGGTTCGCAGGGAAATTACCAGGTCCTAGACAACGGCGGCACGTTCATAGGATGGGGCTCCGTCCCCGCCGTCTCCGAAACAAATGCTGCTGGCGACCCCGTTTTGTACGCCACATTCGGCTCCTACGTGTACAACTACCGCGCCTACACATACAACTGGACCGGCCGCCCATCGGATAACCCGGCCCTCGTCACGCCCGCGCAACCCGAGAACGCAACAAATCCACTCCTTGCCTACTTCTCGTGGAACGGAGCGACAGAAGTAACCCAATGGCGTCTCTGGGGCAGCGTGAACAACGAAACAGGATTCCAAGAGCTCGACATCGTGGATAAGCAGGGCTTCGAAACGAGCTGGTCGAGCGGGAACTACACGCCGTTTATCTTCGTGGAGGCGCTTAGCAGCGAGCAGGAGAGTCTGGGGAATTCGAGTACGGTGGGCGTGGGCCGGAGAGCAGGGAATGGGACGGTCGTCATGCCGACGAGTGTGCCGCTGAACGATACGATTAGTCCGAGCTCGACCGCGAGTTCGTCTTCAAGCCCGACGGGGGCGTCGGGGACAGGGGCTGCGCAGCCGAGTCAGACTGGTGCTGCGGTGCTGGTAGAGGGAGATGCTGGGTACGCTGTGTACACGGGGTTGGTGCTGGGAGGGATTGCGATGGTGTTTGCGATGTTGTAACGAGGAAAGGAGGATGTGGTAATGTTGTCATGAATGACGAATATAAATACGACTTGAGTATCAGACTCTTTGGCTATGACCTGGGAGCGTCTTTGGGCAGCTCAAAGATAGAATCTTCATCGCCCGCGGCCGGTGGAGTGTCTAGAAGGCCGCGCGGGCTCGCTACGTTCGGTGAAAGTCATGGGAGGAGTGTCTAACGGAAATTAGAAGATTGCATCCGCAGGCTACGATGGAATGGTCAAATTGTGGGCTCGAAAACAAGGGACGTCATTTTCTTGGGATTGCATCAATACACTTTCGATTTCCGGTGCAGTGTTGACCCCTTTCTCCGATTGTCGTCGGGAGTCGACCTGTGCACATTAGGGTCATGGCCAACAAGACTATGGACTTGCAGATTGATGATAGTTGCGTTTATTGCTGTGGCGAGGGCACTGAGATAGTTGCGTGGGATTTCCGGCCTTGAAGTGCTGGCTGCCCTAAGTAGTTGACTCTGATATTCCGATATTCTAGGCAGACAGACTGTTAGAAGCAGGTCCTTCACTCGTAGGAGGGCAAATGGCTTTCGTCGACTCACTGGTATAAATTCCAATTATACTGACTGGGACCTCTACGCTATAGCCTGTACTTTAAGCTCGGCATAAACCCTACAACATGATCTCGACCGCCTCCCACTCCCCGTTTCTCAGTCTTCCAAAAGAACTTCGACTCGTGGTCTACAAGGCCTTACCCGTTCGTACACGCATCTTCGAATGAATGCAGTTCACAACAACGACGACCATAATTGAACACGAACTCAGCTATTCCTTCATCGTAGTCAAATCACTTCCCGTCGCAATCTTAAAACCCTAGGGCAATCCTCCCAACACATGAAGGACATACTCAAAAGCCATGCATGGATCGATGCCAGAAGACGCTTGGTAAGGAAAGCCGCTTGATCGCGACGATCCCCGCCGTCAGCCTTGTCAACCCGAAACTACGCTACACGCGTCACTTCATCTGAGCCGCACGACCATCGGGAGATGAATGTGCAAACGAAACGCACTACGAAGGATTTCGGACACTGGTCGTCCGCCTTAGCTTTGCTGTGACCCAATAACCTGTCGCGCCCCGCCCCGGCACCGGAACGTTCGGAAACAACTACTCTTGGTCCACGCGTGGTGCGGTTGTTGGACTAGGAATGCTTGGATTGAAATGACGGGAGATCATCGATGAAGGGCAGACACATGATAGTTGATGCGGCTTGGTGCAGGGGAGGATGTGATCACTGAGGTGTTGGATGACTTCCGGGCGAGGGTGGAGTGATGGTGAGAGCGTGCCTCGTAGTCAATATGCGAGATGTTGGATGCGCGTTAAATGAGATGCTAGATAAGGCTGGTGGTGTTGAGTCTGAGACAAGAAGCCGAAGGAGGACGAGGAGGCAGACGCAACTGCCTCGCGTGAACGCCGCCTCGGCCCACCACCGATAACATGTTTCAAACGACTAGCGACCTTTCATCGCACGCGGCCCATCGCCCGCGCACAAATCCATCCGCATGCGCGTCCTCCAAATACCCACCGCGGCGATGCGCCAGCTAGACTTCCCCCCAGCATCTCAAAAAGCTCACCCCATCGCCGTTTACCCCTCTAGCGTGGAGGCCGCACCCGTCCGTCGCACTTGAGTGGAACCACAGCACGATCTCCCGATTGCTCATCGACGATCTCTTCCCTGTCCGCATTAGCGAGGGCTGCTAATGAACGGCCCCGGAGATCGACATTAGGACATCGAGGTTCGAGAACATCGGATTCTGAGCATCGCGATGTGCGAATGCGCATGTGCGGTAATGTTTTTGTTTTGGTTGCGTTCCGTGGGTCGGGAGAGTCGATGATGCGGGAATAGTGGGGCGATGGTATGGGGCTGTCGGAAAAGGGTGGAGATGGTATGGGTTTGGGGTGCTTTGTTTGGTGCAGTGGAGGGGTTGCTGGATTGGGGAAAAGGAAGGGGAGAGATTGAGGTGGTACGAGGGAGGTTTGTTTCAAGTGTGTTGATTGCTGGATGCGGTATTTATCTTGCTTCTTCTGCCGCACATTCGCGGACGCCGCACTGCTCGGTCATGGGGGATTCTGGTAGGTGATGAGACAGTACGATGCATGGCATTGCGTTGATCACGATGAGATGAAATGAAGTAGTCATGCGCTAGGAGTTCACATTTGCGTTGAGAAAGACTACTTGGACGCCGTGAATGGGGTATCATATTACTAGTGACTATCATGTCGGCCGTGATCACATCACGACAAGGCAGCGAAGACTAGCTCCGCTCGCTCTCTTCTCCGTTGAAGTCTGCGCTTCCATCACACACCAGATAGCCGAACCCTCTTCCTCCGATAATGACAATGCTGAAAATCCCAAGATGCCTTTCCCGACCAGACAATCTTTCTTCCTCCTTCCAGTGATTGCTGAAACTGAGACTACACATGTACCCGAGTCCGTGGACTCCTTGTTGAGGGATAGGGACATAGACTCCAAGCGCTCCGGAAACGTCGACTCTTGCTGTAATGACGTTGCAGCAGAGAAAGGCGGAACAATGCTGAACAGCGAGTAATTGTTTCATGTCGAGATGTACTGAGGACTCCTCTTCGCGGACGATGTGGCGCGCCGTTAGCCTCAGCCGGCGCAGTAACCGGTCATCTTGGCGCAGTGGTTGCAGTAATACAAGTTTGTCCCGAACTGGACCATTGCGTTTGTGCCGGATTCGCGGCGGCACCGGCAGCAGCAGAGCATGGAGGGAGATGAGCTGCTGTACGTGGAGGATGCCCTGGAGCTGGATTCGGAGTCGCTGGAGGATGCGCTGGCACTGTGCTGCAGTGGCTGAGCGGCGGGCCGGTGCGCGGCGGCAGTCTGGAGCTGCAGCAGTCTGGATACGTCTGCGGTAGACGACATGTGGCACTCGTGAGGGATGTGTCGAAAGGCCAGTAGTGGGTGTGACGGGTCGGAATATACGTCCGGAGAGTAGTCCGAGAGGGGTGTTGTGCTTGGGGTTTCCACGGAGAAGTGGCTCGAAGAGGCTGGAAGAATGGAGAAGTAGCAGGCTGGCGAGGACGAGGTATCGGGATTAATGTAGTCGGAGTACATGGTACTTCAAGTGCGGTCTGGCAGAGTGTGGTGGCAGCGCGTCACCTCGAAACAGCAAAGGGGAGAGTTCCATGACGCGGGCGAGCGCGCTGATATACTGGTATCTGCACACACGGAAACAGCGCAGCAGGGGCCAGTCAGAATTACGCAGCCCGAGGCGGATGCGTCGGGATTGGCTGTCTTGTGATGCCCAAGACGAGGCCCGCAGTGCTGGGATAAAAGGCTGTGCCTGCGATCAGTGTGATGAATCGCGATCCAGACTGCATAGTCATGGCCTAGCGTGCATTGCGTCTCGGCTGGGCACCTTTGGCCCTCGCCCAACATCGAGATCTGGAGTAATGTCCATGTTCAAACAGGCTACACTGCTACAGTACTTATGCCGCCTGCCTGCTACTACTCTGGTTGTCACGGCTGCTCGGCCAAGTGCCGCTCGGCGATGGCAGATGCCCCGTATGCGTGCATCCAGACTTCGTCCGCGACGAATTTTCACCGGACGCCGCGGCTTGCGCCTTTTTGGCACGCGCAAGCCTGGGCTGGGCTGCTTGCGCAATGCCAACGGCTGACTATAAGACGCTTGGGCTGCCTCAGGTAGAAACGCCGCCGAAACACCCAACATGCCTGCAAGACATCCGCCCCGCTCCGCCAACGACTCCAGTCCCCTCACGACACGACATCGCTCCGGTGCCACAATCCAGACGCGCACCGCAGCGGCCGCAGCAACCGCAGCTGTTGCCCGCGCACCATAGCAACCGGCCTGTGTCGCTTCAACGTCGAACTGTGCGAGCGGGCCGAACCGTGGGAAAGTGGTCTAGAACGGCCGGAGTCGAGACTGCGCCTCTCATCAGGATCCCCATTGCCAGTGCGAATGGGAATATTACCGTCCCAGCCCCTCATCTCCATACCATAGTATAGTCCAGACGCTCACAGACGAAGAGAAGGACCGTTTCATCCCTGAAGGTGGATTTACGATGTTGTCCGAGAAGTCTTGCCGAGCGCGCCAGATGGCACGTCTTTACCCTCTGTCACACTTTGAGGATTTGTTACCTGGCTACGCCATCTGGACACAGCAGCAGATCCAAGCAGCCGAACTGCGACGAGCTCTCGGAATCCTGGACATTGCGCTCTGATAATATGCCCGGCGTCGAATTCCATGCTGCGTGGCCTTGGTCAAGTGGTCGGTGGAAGCGCCAGTCAGACGGGTATCTAGCAAGGCTCTTCGATAGCTGCGACCAGCTGAAGAGACATGGAGCTGGATGTTGTCGAAGTTCGCATAGGGAGGCTCCCGAATACAGATCCGCTGAACGGGAATGCTTGAGGTTTGCATCTGACTAGAGTTGATGCGGATGGCGAAGGCGCAGGTCACTGGAAAAGGATGCATCTAGGCCTTCGACCCCTGGTGTGCAAACAGTAGTGTGAGGACTCCACCAGCAACCGTTCTCCGGACTGCATCGATTTCCTGTTTCCCATGGATCTAAACAACGCCTGCGCTGGATCTGAAAGGTCGTCGCGTCGGCGCGTGCTAAACGGTCATGGGTCCGATGCTTGAAGACCGGCGTTTCTAGCTGCGTTGCAATCTGTTGCACTGTCGGTGAGCTGGCGCCTGCTGCCCGGGAACCATTCTCGGAACGAGGACACTGCCTGCCAAGCTAACACTTGTTGTTGCGTTGTGGCTTGCAAATACCACTTGAAGGTACCGTGAACGGATTTGCGTTTTCTGGCGGTAGGTCTAAGGAGGTACTGCTCACTCTCTCCGCGGAATGGCTTGCTCGAATGTATTCTTGGGCCGCGTGCGGAGATCGACCCGGTGGGCTAGTTGGACTATCGTAGCTGGGCTGGCTCGTGGAATGCAAAAGGGCAGGCTCGCTGAAGAGGGACGGCGTGATCGTGATACACAAAAGATTTTGTTTAGGTGAATTGTACAGCACGTGCATGCGCAATCCCCAGCCCCGATATTTGGTATGCCCGGAAACAGGAAAGCGTGGGTGCCCGCTCGGAAGCCGCCGAGGTGTCGTCATCTACGGACAGTGCCTTCAACCGCTGTAAACCGCTTTGCAGCGGACTGGTCAGGCGACGCTCACATCTACTGTCAGGCACACTTCAAAAGTTTTTAAGTATCGTGAACGTTCTCTTTTGTGAAATCCCGCCGGTTTCCTGATATCTCTGCACCCTCTTGTAGGCTGCGCATACGGCGGGAGCGACAAATCATGCGATTCCGCCTTTCATCGTGCAATCAAGCTGCTGCAACGCTGACCTAAACGGGTTTCGGCGCCATGATCCGACTCTCCTCTGCGCCCAGCCGCCCGCGCGCTGTATTTCACTGCTCCGCGCCGCCCGACATTACGGCACGATTGCAACACAGTCCCAAAACAAAGCGTCGGCGCATCACTTATCGTCTGTCCGCTCCTCGCTGACGAGGCGCAATTACAACAGCCCCACCAACCAACCCAACAGCCTTGCCCCTCCACCCCTCGCCCTCGATCCTCCCACCTCTCCGCAGCCAGCATGGGCAAGCCGCCGAATCTATACGCCTTTCCGGGCGTCGACGAGCTCGCGCAGAGCCTGCGTGTCTTCGTCCTCGATGCGCAGAACAGCGCGCTTAGCCGACATCAGGTCTTCCGCGTCGCGCTGTCCGGCGGATCTCTCCCCAAAGTCCTCGGCAAGGCGCTTCTCCAGGAGACAAATGGCGGAGGCAAGGTACAATTCGACAAGTGGGAGATATTCTACGCCGACGAACGCGCCGTGCCCCTCGACCACGAAGACAGCAATCACAAGCTCGTCAAGGAAGAGATCCTGGACAAGATACCCGCCGAGCTGGGCCAGCCGAAGGTCTTCCCCATCGACGTCAAGTACCTCGACGACGTACAAGAAATGGCCGATCAGTACGAGCAGACCTTGGTCAGCGTCTTCGCCTCGAGGGACAGTGTAAGGCTGCCCATGTTCGACCTACTGCTGCTTGGCTGCGGTCCCGACGGCCACACCTGCAGCTTGTTCCCCGGCTCTCCACTCCTGCGCGAAAGCGACGCCTGGGTCCTACCGATATCAGACTCCCCAAAGCCCCCGCCAAAGCGTATTACGCTCTCGCTGCCCGTGGCAACCCATGGCATCAAGATCGGCTTCGTCGCCACGGGCGGAGGAAAGAAGGATATCATGAAGCAGATATTCGACACGGATGAGGGTCGCCAGCTTCCTTGCGGACTTGTCAACTCGCAGGCGCAAGAGAGGGTCAGCTGGTTTGTCGACTATCCCGCCATTGAGGGTGTCTCCTTCCCAGCGCGCCGCGGTAGCCTATAGTCGCCGCTCGTTGCTGTGGTAATGAGGTGGAAAAAAGTGCTTTGCAGTACCACACCACCCGGTCATGCCTCGGGTTAGCCAGGAGATCTCTGTCTTCTTTTGGTGGTGCTGGTACACGATGTATCCGGACTTTCTCTTTGTGCTTTCGCGATGGATATCCACCCGGGCGTTGGACGGCCGTAGCCGAAGTAAGCACTGGGTCTCTCGCTCATAATGCGGCCGAATTAGATTTCAAGCCCTTCTATAGAAAATTTAGCCTCTTCTCTGGATTGCTCCATCTGGTGAATACATGCTGAGTCATCACTCTGATAAGATAAAATTGCCGAGGAAATGCCGGTCCCGCTTCATGTTTGTTTAGCATCGAAGACTCATGTAAAGCGTATACTCTACCCATAGGCCGCAACGCAATGCCTATCCCTCCGCTCAATTCGTCCTTGAGGCCTAGAAGTTATCTCAGTAGCGTGAATGACTCGTCTGCTCGGTTAGAAGTAAAGTTGCATCCCAGACTTCGTTGTGCTGAATAGCTAACCTGCAGACAGCTCTCTCGACGGCCAGCCCACGATGAGCCCACAGACGCGGTCATAGCATCCGATCACCGGTTCTCCGCGGTCGAACCACGACATCAAACCTTACGCCTTCAGAACAATGCGGATGACCAGAAGAAACGGAGCTATCTGCCCCAGCGCGGGTTACCGAAGCCCATCCCTCGTACCGCCGGCCGTCCAGATGCACGAGGCCCAGGGCCACAACCTAGTAATCTGTCCGCCGAATGTACAAGTGCTCCAGCTGTGTCGACTCTTGCGACGCAGACACGACAGGCTGGCACCCAGGAGTCGAAGGTGGGCCGTCTTAGGCCTCGGTCGATGTACCAATCAAGCTCAGTTCATCGTGATCGAGATACGAAAGAAGATGTGGCGGTTTCAATGGAGTCTGCTCAACCCTCAGAAATGGCGAGCAGGCCCGCATCGTCACATGCCGCAGGCCTAAACCGAACACAATCACTGAGACGGCCCGGGCCTGGAACGCAGCAGGCAGAGTCTAACACAAGTCGCGGTCACTCGAGAACCCAATCCACGAGCACCGTGACAAGCTCACGAAAGCCTTCTGAAGACAGCAAAGCCCAAGCAGGAAGACCAAAATCTCTTCTGGTCGCTCCCACTCACGGTCATGCTACACGTCCTACTACAATCGCTTCGACCGATGCTACAGCTGGGGGAGTACGAACATCTGCTAGACTTGAAGCATTAAAACGCTCTGCTAGTACTAGAGCTAGACCGGAGGTAATCGAAAGTCGCGCGATGACTGGTGCTGCCATTCAGACCGACGATGTTCTCCAGCCCCAAGCTAGACGGCGCGAGGAAAAGGAGGAGCTTAAGAGACCGTCGCGACCAGCTTTTACTACATTGCAGCAACATTTCACGCCCAGAAAAACCGGGAAAGCCCCAACCTCAGTATTTCTTCGACCGGCTCCGGAACCTGGACCTCAATCTCTACCCCCGGAAATAATCAGTCTCCAGTCAGAGCTTCTACAGCTTCATCTGCTCCACGAGACCTCAGCGCAAGTCACTAGACGATGGGAGCTCAGTGCAAAGAATAGTCTTCGACGGAAGTTTGATGAAGTTACGAGCACGTACCACGTTATGCGGGAGTACGAGCGTCATGGACAAGAGCAGGAGAATATTTTGGCACTCCGAGAATGGAGTGGAGCCAATTCACTGTCCGGCCTCGTCGAGCAAATTCAAGCACTCTCAGGTCCGCTCCATGAGCTTCCATCCCTGTTAGACTCGGGGGGCCGATTCGACAGTCTCGCGAGCGACTTTGCTAGGTGGGCCACGTGGGTGGAAGACGTTTGGACGGCGCGAGGAGGTCCTCGCGGACAAGGCGGTGACTTTGGATCTCTTGAAGGCCTAGGAGATTCATGGAAGGTAGAAAATGCGGCCCTGACCCGAAAGCTCACAGCCTTTTCGCGTGACATGAAGAGATTGCCGCAACCAGCCAGCGGTTCAAGCGTCGGATGCATCATTTCCATCTGCAAGGAACTGCTCGGAGGGCTCCTTCGGGAGCTGCAGGTCATGCAGGTTGTCGAATCAAGCGTAGTTGCTGGGGAGAAGGAATGGATCGAGGAGCGACTAAACGCGATCGCCCGGGATGTTGGGGCGCGGCTGGAAACGAACGAGGGGAGGGCGGCCTGGCGGGAGTAGTAGTGGAGCTACGAAGTATATATCACGAACTCAAGCTCACTGATCCCTGGTAGATCTTCTTACGGATCGATTGCTACCCCTCATATAATTCTTCCGTCGTTCGCATCCGTCGCCAAATCAGCTCCAGCTCTCCGCCACGCGGTTGAGGCTCGTCCGAACGGCGACGCGACAAGCGGCACGATGGCACGAACGACCATGTGGATACTACATAGACAGCGAAATGCGAGCTCGGGCGTACGCCGGCTTTAACCCGCGGCTGGCGGCGCGTCGGCGGGCCTTGACGGATGCATGCTCTGGCTCTGACATCAGCCCATCCGACGCCCTGCCGGCGCAGGGACTCGAGTTATAAGACCATTTGCTTGGCGGTGACTAAGCTCTCTAGCCCCAGACCGGCAGGTGCGATGCGCCTTCCCCCATTACCAAGAATCATCAACCTGCCGTTGAGCCCTTACTCAGCATCCGTTCTCATCCACAGCCTGCTTTCGTTGGCTTGCTGCGTCGTTGCTGTGCGACCGTCTGCGCTGTCCGTCATCCCTTTCTCTCTACGCCTCACCGGCCTCTTAGCTCCGTTCCTTGACGTTGCGGCATCCCTGCACATACGCGGCGTCTCCCGTGACTCCCGTCTTCACCCTTTCGTCGTGTACCAATTTGCCTCGTACTTTTTGGGTCTCCTCTCGCGCTCTGCTATTGCGTACACCAAGCCGAATTGCTGTCAAGCGGCACCGCGGCGGCACTCGCGCTGGCACCCTTTGGTGCACTGACTTGGGCCCAACACCGGTTGAGACGACTCGTCGCATTTGTCACCCACAGACTGAATTCGTCGCCAGAGCTTCTACATCGCTGCAATCCGGCCTGCCTGCGTCTACGTCTCGCCAGGCTATTTCTCGGAGTCCTCTTGTTCGAAGCCCGAAATAACCTGTCCCGTTCGCCAAGCTCCAGACAACCGTCCTCGCCTTTCCACACCCACTCTGGGCTGCCTTACTAATCTTTTAGCATTACGTTTCTCCATAGGCCTTCGGGAATGGCCATCCAGGTCAACCCAAATTGTTAATCCCAGCCTCCCACGCCTCATCGAAACGAATGGCGCACCGAAGAGGCAGCATTCATTCTCCAAGGGCTGATCCCATTCATGGACTCTGGGAAGGGAAGGAAACGGCCATGGGAGGAAGACAGTCCCATTGACTCGCAGTTCAAGCGCCGAGATCCACCCACTCCCACTGCTGCTGGCGTGCGCCCACCCCCGCTCCCGCAACATGCCGGTCCTTACTCTGGTGACACCCAAACCCTAAGCCAACGAAGGTTACCGCCGCTGTATACTCCGTTCTGTAGCGCATCAGGCGGGCCTCTTGCGTCGAGCTCAATACATCCCCCTTCCCAGGCGCAGGATGCCAGCGAGTCCAGACCTAGGTCCCAGTCTCTATTCGACGTCTTTCAGCATCCTCCACGGCTTTGGCTCGATAGTGGTCCAGGTAAGGTCAGATTTTCGTTCTAATTTCTACTCCCTGCTGAGCGACGCCGGGAAAGGCTGCTATGTGCGAGTGAAATGTTAGCGCGCGCCAACATCTTTCCCATTCGGCAGCAAGATTGCCATATGTCTCCAATTTCGAGGCCCTGTTTTTGGCTAAAAACTGATTACAGAACGTCTGCGAGGCACTTCAAAGGCGCTTGAGCAGGATCGATCTCCCCCACCGCTTGGTAGCGACGTGCGCCGACCTCGATTGGGCACTGACCCGCCGCCTCATGCGACAGGGGAAGTGATTTGTTGTCCATCCAGTTGTCGAGGCCGAGCCTGCTTGAACGCCCGCGCTTTAATGCGCAAACTCGCCGCTGAGTTGGTATTGTTAGATTCTGGGGTGAGATCCATATCGCAGAAGCATTATCACTCATCCAACGAAGTTAGTCCGCCCCCCTTTGTCGCTCGTCAGTTCCGCATTGGCGACGTCGTGTTGGCGCTCCATAATATATACCAACCGCTAACCCGCCCTGATAGCAGCCGGATTTTGAAGACGTCGGAGTCACGGAGTCACTGCAATGGGCTCTGGACTTCGTGCAATGGACTAACCTACGTCTCCGCGACCATATCGACCAACCCTCACCACGCAGCCCCGACCAAAGCCCGTCTCAACCTGGCTCGTCGACCATGAGGAGAGGGCAACAGCACCTCGAGCAGCGCGACGGACAGTCGCCGCCATCAAGGCAGTACAGTGGCATTCAACATGGATTTACCGGCTTTGCCCATCCGGCCATGGCGCCAGATGACAGTCGAAGAAATCTCTACGGCAGCGAATTTCCCCCAATGGCCAACTCCCCGCACCAAACTGTTTCGTCATCCGGATCCGTATTCATGCCACCGCAGTCTCCAATGCAAGCTCCTCAGCCCTCACGGTCGACCATGCTCCCATCTCCGTCGTCGATGAACTTTCCCAACGCCACCAACCTGCCGCCCATTTCACCACCTTCAACATCATTACAAAGTTCTGCGCAAGCCACCCACTTGCAGGATCTTCAACACCAAATCAGCGTCAAAACGCTCGCATTTCAAACACTCCAACGCGAGTACGACAGCCTACTCCAAAAGCTCGAACGCCAACGTACTAAGTGCGCCACACTGGAGAAGAAGTTTGAAGTCAGCGATGTCGAGATCAACAGCCTCACGGATGAAAAAGAGAAGCTCCAGGCACAAGTTGCCTCTCTGGAGGGTCAAGTTGAAGAGCTGCAGCAAAGCAGGGATGAGACTCGCCGTCAACTCGTCGCGAATGGTGCACAGTACATGCGAATCATGGAGATGGCCAACCGGCTACAAGCACAAGGCGCCGATGACAAGAAACGCTGGGAAGCGGAAAGAGCGGAGCTACAGCAAAGAATCAAGGTATTGGAGGAAGCAATGGTGACCGGCAGCGAGCGAGCGACCTCTGATGCGGACCATGTTCAATCTACTAGTCCCTCATCTATCACATTAGGACACACTCCAGGCCTATTGAATGCGTCTTCGTCCTCTACCGAAACTGTCAACGTTCTACGAGCGGAGATTCACCGACTGCGCTGCCGAACCCAGAACTTGGAAGTCGCGCTTCAGACGATGCGAAACGAGAGCATCTCCATCCAGGAAGCTGCTAGGAAACTGGTAGAATCTGGTGGCAAAATCGAAAAGGCGGCCCAAGGTGCCATGGGCGGTTGAGCCTGCGAGTATAAACCCAGAATGGAAGTTTACTGTCAAATGTACGACCCTGCGATACCGTCGCCGCTGGGCATATGATGCGGCAAACTCAGCAGCTGTCCCAGGAGGTCATCCCCTCTTTTCGTCAGAGCGCGCCCGTATTACGATGTATTCGCCATTGCCGCCACCACCGGCCATCGTCAATATCGTCGGCAGCAGCTGAACACAGACAGTCCCGAGGTTGCTCTAATTGTATCGATAAGCCTTACAAACGGGCTTTGAAATGTCTGGGGATAATTACTTAGTCCGACTTACGTGGGCCCCGGTTCGATCGAGGCGAGTGGGCCCTGCTCGGCAGGGGCTCCTTCCCCAGAGACACCACGCCAGGACAACATCAAAACTCTCACGACATCCACCCCGTCGTCTACAACCGTAATCGCAGCCCACGACTCTTGCATTCATACTCTTCAATCACATCCCACCCTGCTGCCGCAGATGCCAGTTTCGGGTCATTAATCCTACCTTTGTCAAGGGTCTTCCGGCCCGCCCGTGTTGTCGGCGAAATCGCCTTTTGGGTGCATATCGAAGATACCGCCGTTGGACCAATCCTTTTCTTTCATTGTTCATTGGCAGTAGACGTTGCCTCTTAGAATATTCGGCTTCTATCATTGTCCACGCATACTGTGCCAAGCATATTGCTTTTGTTCCTTTTAACGGGTCTCATACAGTAGGTAATTAGAGGAAGGCATGGGCGCGCAGTTCCATCCATACATAGCTTGGTGGCGTCATGGGGATTTGCGCTTCAGCTTGCATTGCCCCTTACTTGTGCATGCTATTCTCGCTCGCCGTTCAGCGGGGGTTCGGACTTTTCCTTCATGTTGTTTGTATGCTCAGTAAGCTATCCAGGAAGGGATATCCGCCGGTCACTCGGGTACCATAACGTACCGTGCGTGAGAGCACCCGCGTAGACAGAAATGATTGGATCGTGGAATGCAATTGCTAGCCGTGAAACTAGCAGGATACGAGACGGCATCTTGGGCCCGCATCGACCTCTTCTTCTTTGGAATCGCATTGGGCTGATCACTAAGCACTGCTGCTGGGTCACAGGCCTGCCTCCTCGTATACTCGGAGTCTCTGGTTCGCTGGCGGCACGGCTCCTTCCTAGGCGCTGCGCTGGTCTAATTAGTATATTGAACATGCACGCCGAAGGAGAAGGAGGCAGCGGGCTCCGTCCGAAGAGAACCACGCAAAGCAGCGGCAACCGTTCACGCTGACCGAGAGACCGAGCTTCGGCACTGCAGTCTCATAGTGACCCGTGACCCGTGTGGGCCGTTTTGTAAGATCTTCGGCCGATGCATCCGCACGCACGGGGTATTGTGATCTCGATCTGCTATCCCACCAAGCCTGGAGGCGCTCGTGTTCGCCTCGCATCTTGCCGTGCGTGGGCTTGTGCTTCACTTTACGAAGTGGTATCAGCCATACATACATCCTGCATGGGGAAGGCAAGGCAACGGCAAAGCTTCATCTTCGTACTGGACTTTTGCTCAATCACGGCGCCCAGTGCGGTCGACGTCGCTTTCGGGCTCGTGCGCTTTCTTCTTCCGTCTGTGGTGCTGCTGTTCACCTCGTCCCCTCTCTTACTTGCCATTGTGCTCGAATGCTTGCGAATACGCGGATGGATTCGCAGCAGTGTTGGTGCGCTGATGAAGCGTCCTCGCCGTCCGCTCCAGTACCACACACGGCTACAGTACCATCCCAAACTTGTCCCCAGCCCAGTCCAACCCAGCTCGAGCCCAAGAAATCCACCGCGCAAACTGGGGGACATATTAGAGCCAACACACCCGGAGCCACGAGCACACGCCCTCCCACTTACATATTCCACCTCGCCACACGGCACCTCGTTATGCTTGCTGACTTGACAGAACCCGCTCCGCTCCGATTACTGAACCGCACCGCACCCTCAGCAAACTGACTACCTCACGCTATCCAGCTTTCACTAGCACCCACCCACCAGCCCTCCTCATAGCCCCTCTTCTCCTCACCCATTGTATCCGATCCGCCGCCGTGATTCCGTTCCGTTCAGTTCGCACAGCTCAGCTCCTCGAGCAGTCCCAAATCGTGCCTAAAATCCGCCAGTCGTTCGAGCGCTCAGAAAAGCAGTCCCGATCCGTCCCGTTTCCCGTCCTGGTCGAACATACACACATGTCCGAAACGTGAACGCAGGCTATCGTAGAGGAACTTGAGCCCAATGCCATCCCGGCTCGGGAAACGAATAGAGTTGAGCAATGAATGCACTGGCACTACTGGCGAAGAAGCCGGGGACGGAACAGGATGGAAGTCAGCAAGCAGCCAGCTCCGCTCTGGACGAATGCGCTACTAGCGCTGTACTGTACTGTACAACGGGGGCCACCGGACCGTCGGCGCGGGGCGGCGAGTGGGAGTATCGAAGGTATATATCTCTTCTGTTTTGGGAACGGGGCTACGGAGGAGTGCGATGGTTACCTGGGGGACACAGTAGGAGCGTATCGCTGCGTGGCTGTGGCTGGCTTATAGGACTCCCCGCCGTGTAAGCGGTGCGCAAGGGGCAATGGCAATATCGCACGTAAGGACCTATGCACAGCAAGGTGAAGTGGACAGGGGACATCGAGAGGTAAGGAACATAGTAGCTCGAAGGATAGGAATCTTAGTTTTCGGGGCTACGCTCCTAGCGCTCGTGACCACGAACCTCATCATCCGAGAAGAAAAGAGAAAGGGTGCAGAAGAAGGGAAGAAGCGAAAACTGTGCTGAAATCATCACCATCACTATGTACCGAAGCATATCCCTGTGGAGTAGAACCACGCATGGGAAAAGCCCCACCAAGGAAGAAACGACGCACTACGTTGCAAAGCGTCCATCTGCTTCCTCATGCCGCCTGCGCGACAGGCTGATACCCTCTCAGCTATGACAACGTTAGCGCATATCCATGACGGTGTGCAAAAGGGACGACTTACATCCAGACTAATCGCCTTACTCGTCATCTTGCTCTGATCCCGCATGATCCCGACGAGCGTCTCGCTCTCCTGATACAGTCCCGCCTTATGCGTAATAACGATGAATTGGGTCCCCGGTCCCGCGTTCTTAGTGATATAGTCTGCAACCCTCGCCACGTTGACATTATCCAGCGCGGCATCCACCTCGTCGAGAACGAAGAACGGACTAGGCTGGTACGAGTGGATGGCGAAGATGAGGGCGAGGGCAGCGATGGTTTTCTCGCCACCGGATAGATGCTCCATGTCGCGGAAGCGCTTGAGCGGGGGCATGGCGTGGTACTTGACGCCCTCCAGGTACGGCTCGTCGCTGTTCTCTAGGTCCAGATACGCGGTTCCGCCGAGCGGGAACTGCTGTGATCTTGTGAGCTTCTGGTAGACGGGGAGAATATTGTCGTGGATGTGGTCGTAGGCTTTCATGAAGAGGTCGAGACGCTTTTGCTTCACCTTTTCAAAGGCCGTCTTGGCGGCGATGGCGCGGTTGCGGGCTTGGGTGAACTCGGTTTCTGCGTCGCGGAGCTTCTCTCTGGCCCTGTCGAGACGGTCGCTAGCGCGCATGTTGGGGGTTGATTTGCTGATTTCGGCGTCGAGGGCAGCGATGGCGTCTGTGAGCTTGCTTTCGGCGTCTTTCTGGGCGGTGGTTGCTTGGGTGCGGACTTTGTCGTCTTCGCTGTCCTCCTGTTCGAGGATATCGTCAAGCTCCACCCTGAGGTCCTCATCTAGCTCGTCAAAATCTACCTCAATGCCGTAGTCTTCAACCTCTGGCTGTTCGATGTGTGTAGTATCGGGCTCTTCATCGATATCCATGGCGTCGGCATCTTGACGAGCCGCATCGCTCATAGGCAGCGAGGATAGCGGCGCAGAGTCTGGTGTCAGGGGTAGCTTGATCTCGTCGAGCCGGCATTTCTTGAGCAGGTTGTAGCGTTCTCCGCCCTTGCTCTTAATAGCTTGTTCTTGGTCTTCGACCTCCTTCAGCACCTTCTTGACCTTCTCGTTGCGTTGATCTAGCTTACGACGTTGCTCTTTGACGACAGTAACACGCTCGGTCTTCTTCTCTTCCAGCTCCATGAGTTTCTCCTGGAGAGTCTCAAGCTCGGCTTGGAGAACGTCGATAGAGTTCTGCAACTCGTCTCGCTTCGCCTCATTTTCTTCCAGAGCAGCCTTGTCGCGCTGAAGCTTTGCCTCCGTGCTCTTGAGACGGTCATTGACAGCATCGAGCCGTGACTGAACATGGCTCCTCATATTCTGGAGTGTGCTGCGCTGTTTGCTGAATTCGAGCTTCTTCTCGGCCGCCGCCTGCTGTGCCGTACCCTGTTGCGCTTCATAGTCGCGGATAGAGGCATAGCCTAGCCGCTGGCAGAACGCTGCGAAAACCTGGTCGGTGACCCGATCCACAGAATCTTGGTAGCCCTTGAGCTCCTCCTCTTTGTTGCGCAGACGCTGCAACGCATCCTCGTACTTGGGATGTTCCTGACGTAAGATGCCTTCGTCATGCCGAAGTTCCTTTTTCTGGCTGTCTAGGTTGCGGTCAAGAGTCCTGAGTTCGTCTTGAATGCGGCTGATCTGATTGTCTAGGTCGTTCAGCTCGACCTGCAGGTTGTCTTCCTCTGTGTGCCTCTGATCGAGCTTTGGAAGGGCAGCGAGTTGTGACCTATAGCCTTCAACCTTCTGCGTGAGAGTATCAATCTCCTGATCACTCCAACGCTGATTCTCCTCTTTATCGTCTTGTTGGAGGCGACCGCCAGTCATGTTGTTACCCTTTGAGATGACACTGCCGTCGAGCGTGACAGCCTTGACTCCAAGCCTCTTTTCGAAGCAGAGATACCGCGCAACCTTCAGATTGTCGCAGATGATACTGTCGCCGCAAGCGGAGGCAATAGCTCGTTCAAGATGCGAGGGATAATCGATGCAGTCAATACCAAGGCGCATGCCTTCATGAGCGCCCTTGAGGTTCTGATTGATGCCTTTGATCGTGGCGGTATCCAGGGGTATGAAGCTCATTTGGCAGATCTTCTGCTCTTTTAGGTACTGGATGCAATCCTTCGCCGTCTTGTCGGTGTCAACAATGACAGCGTCCATGTACCATCCGAGTAGTCTGCCGACAGCCATGTTGTATTTCCTCTGCTTCGGCTTGATCAGATCCTTGTACCGCCCGTATATGCTAGATCCAAAAATGCGCTTCAATTGGGATACCAACTCGCGGGCCTGTTCCTGCTGTCTGCTCTCACGGCGACCCATTTGGGCGGTATAGAGTTTGTTGCCGTGTTCCTGCAGCAGCTGGTTGAGCTCCGTATATTGAGATTGCAGACGGGTGCGGTCAGACCTCAGCTTGTTCAGGTCCTGGTTCTTCGACGTCCTCGTCTTCTGCAACTCCTTCAAGCGTGTCTTGCGGTCTCGCTGAGTCTCCTGGAGCCGAGTGATCTCTTCGTTGAGCCTCTCTACTGTGGCCTCGAAGCTCTTAACCTTTTGCTCTAGGTTCCGAGCGTGTTCCTTCTCCGTGCCAACCTCACGCTTGAGGCGGTCGATCTCGATTTGGTTGGCATGGGATTGTTTGGCGACATTCTGCCGCAGCCGGTTGTATTCCTCCAGATCCTGTTGAGAGAGCTCGCGACCCTGCTGCTGTGCAGCGGCTTTGAACTCAGCATCCCATTTATCTTGGGCCTTCTGGACTTCGGCTAGCCTCTTGTCAAAGTCGGCCACATCCCGGATCTGCTTGTCCCGCTCATCGGTCAGCGAGGCAATCCTGTCCTGGAGCTTGCGCATATCTTGCGTAGTCAGTCTGATCTTCTCCTCGATCGGGACAAGGTTGTTCTGGGTCTGCTCGGTCTCTTTGTGCTTGGCGTTGATGCTGTTGTTGGTTTTGGTGATTTCTCGCTTGACCTTGGCCTCCGCCTGCGTCGCTTCCTGGAGCTTCTGCTGGTACTTTTCGACACCGCGCTTGTGCTCCTTGAGCTCTTCTTGATGGCTTGCAATCTTGTCACGGGCCTTTTGCATGGCCTGCTGGTAGTAGTACAGCTTCCACATGATGTGTGTAACAGTGGCCTCATCGCGCTCTGCAACCTTTCTCTCGTACTCTTCGGCTTCGGCCTTCTGATCCGAGTAGGTCTTGATTTCGGCATTGATTTGCCGCTTTGAGACGAGGAACTGCGAGTTGTTCTCCTGGGCGGCGTCGGATTCGGTCTTCAACCTCTCGTAGTCGGCTTTGTAATCCAAGCTTCCAGAAATCTGCTCAATCATATGGGTGATATCTCGCGGAGGCTTCTTGGCGACCTCCTCAACCTCGCCTTGGGGGATGAGGAAAGCGCGCGCTTTGACCAGAATGCTGTGTTCCTCTAGAGCTTCGTTGTAGGCCTTGGCCGTCACCACACGGCCGTTGATGCGGTATTCGCTCTGGCCAGCGGTGGTGATGGTGCGCCGCCAGCGATGCAGCTGCTCGGTGTCGTCCTCAAACACGGCCTCAACCCAGGCCGTCTTCGGGTCAGCGGCCTTCTGCGTGTCGCCGTCCTCCTGAGTCTCGCCGTCCGCGTGGCCGTTTTGTGCGCCATCCGCGTCGCCATTCGCCTCGTCGACTGCCGTTTTGCTGGTCTGGATAATGCGCCCGCGGTAGACGAGCTCGCGCAGCTCCCTTGATCGCAGGGAGGCGGATTTGATGCCGAGGACGAAGGAGATGGCGTCCATGCTGTTCGACTTGCCGGAGCCATTGGGGCCGATGATGGAGGTGAAGTACGAGTCGCCAAAGGGGAGGATGTGTTTTCCGCGATATGTCTTGAAGTCTGCGATTGTCAGCGGAGGCGCGAAATTGCTGCGCGCATGGCTTACTGTAGAGTTCGAGCCGCACGAGCTTGCCCATGTTGGCGGTTGAGATGCGCGCGCGCAGCGTCGGCGGGTTGCGCTGCGGAGTTGGATGGGCGGTGCTGGGGTCGCGGTCGGCCTCGCTCGTGGTGGGTGGTGTTCGCGTCGAAGGCACGCGTCGCAGGCGCCAAATAGCCCGCCGTAGCTAGCGCCCAGGACCCACGTGTGTGACGAAACTGGCACGTGACTCGGCCTGGAAAGTCCAACACCCGTGCAAGCTGTCCGATTCCCCCATTCTTTTCACGTCCGCCGTGTGAGAGCACTAGATACCCATCCAGAAGTGCGTCAGCTCGTGATCTGGCGCTGCAGAGTGCTTATGACGTTGGAGCGCGCGCTCAACTCCCAATCACCTTCAACTATTCCACCACGACCCCAACCCACATCTCTCAAAGACCAGAGCGCACACAAACAACGACAGGCTTCAACAACCCCCGCGCATCACACGCCCAGTTGCCGCTGCCGGGAGCGTGTCCGCATGGTTTAGATCTTCCTAGATCCGTATATTTTCCACTGTATGCGCCTTCCACTTGTTCTCACCTTGCTATCCACTTCAGAGAATGGGAACACTTCAGTGCACAGCAGCTAACCAGCGCCATGGCCGTAGGCTCTCCTCCGCGCTATTTCAAGAGACCCCTCCACCGCCGCATTCCCTCTGATCTCGCCGTTGTGCCAGAGGACACGCCCATCATGGCCGACCCAGATGCCGCCAACCACCCCAAGTCGAGATCCGAGCCCGAGCTTGGAGTTTCTGGCATCTCAGCGCAGCCACTGACGGGCGACTCGACGCATGCTGGCGCTGCGCTGTTGGGCGATGCGAGGAGATCGCCGCCCCCTACACCCGGCCTCTCGCGGACGCCGTCCTTCTCCAACAGCTCTGCCTACCAGGACGACTCCGACGCCGACGATGCCTCCTTTTTCCCGCCCGTCGAGCGCCTCACCATGTTCGACTTCATCGAGAACCTAGCCCTCCAGCAGCGCGTCGAGAAGATACAGAGCTCCATCTCCGCCCAGACGGAGAGACTGAAGAAGGCTGCGCGGACCAGGGGCATGAACACCAGAGACCGAGCCATCGAAGAATGGCGTCGCAGAGTGCCCACCGAGGGCGAGCAGCTGGACAAGTACAAGAAGCGAATGCGCCAGTCGGTCGACCGCCTGAGCGAGCGGTGGACCTCCACTACCGCCGTCACAGCGCGCGAGAAGGCTTCCTTCATCGGCGCGACTATGAACATATTCGTTTCCGGATACCTGGTGGGCGGGCGGCCTGAGTGGTTTCCCCTGTGGTACACGGTGCAGCTGCTCTACTTCATGCCCATCCGCTACTACACCTACCATAAGAAGGGCTACCATTACTTCCTCGCTGATCTGTGCTATTTCGTCAACTTCCTCCAAATGCTCAGCCTTTGGGTCTTTCCGAGCTCAAAGCGCCTGTTCATTAGCATGTACTGCCTCGCCTTCGGGAACAACGCCATTGCTATTGCAATGTGGCGCAACTCGCTAGTCTTCCATTCAATGGACAAAGTGGTCAGGTGCGTAGTAACCTTCCCTAACGCCCGGTCACATGCTAACAAGCCAGCCTATTCATCCACATTATGCCATGCGTAACGCTCCATTGCATCGTTCATCTTCTCTCGCCAGAGTATCAGCAGCAACACTATCCGGCCATTTACAATATCCGCACTTCTTCTCCGGACGACCCGCATCACTACAGCCTCGTTCAAATGGTCACATGGGCCACCATCCCGTACGCTATATGGCAGCTTTCCTATCACGCCTTCATAACCGTCCGTCGCCGTGAGAAGATTGCCGCAGGTCGCCCGACTTCCTTCACCTGGCTGCGCAAATCGTACTCGAAGACGTGGATCGGCAAATTTGTCCTCTCCCTTCCCGATTCTCTCCAGGAACCCGCTTTCATGCTCATCCAATACTCGTACGCCTGCATCACCATGATTCCATGCCCTCTGTGGTTTTGGTCTCGGTGGGCTTCGGGCATTTTCCTGACTGTTGTGTTCATGTGGAGCGTGTACAACGGTGCGACTTACTACATCGACGTTTTCGGTACGCGCTTCCAGAAGGAGCTTGAGGCGCTCAAGAAGGACGTCGCCAAGTGGCAGAACTCTCCTGAAGGAGGATCTGGGCCCACGGCACCTGGAGAGGCGGTGAAGGATATTCCGCCCTTGGAGGGCAGTACTGGGACTAAGACTGCAGATGGCGAGGTGAGAGAGAGAAAGTAACTCTCTTTCACTCATGTTTGGATTATTTGATTGCCTTGTTTAACTCTTTTTGTTCGTCACGCTTGGGTAATGGAAGGTCTCTAGGACTTGGAGTCTGGAGATGGGTTGTGACGACGAGATGGTGTTGGGCTGTAAGTTTCGGGTGGACTCCTGTTTGCTTTCTCCGTTGATTTTAGCGGGAGTCTGTTGCACATTTTGGGCTTTGCATATGGTTGGCTTGTTTTGTATAGATTGGTGGGAGAGATATACCCCTTTCGCTTTCGCTTTCGCTTGCTCAATATTATCCCATCACCATCACTTTTCTGTTACCATATCGCTCTATTCCAATGCCTTCCCTGTGTCCACAATGCCGTTGGTCCTGGAGAATGCTTCTGGCAGTAACGGTCCCTCGCCAGTAACTCCCCCAACATCAACATAGAAGCAACACCCGTACGATGGCCGCAACCCCAATTTTCCACTTCCGTGTCCACCTTTACTACCTCCCTGAATCATCCATGATCCGTCCGCATCTCTAGCCGCCCCAGACATTTGCTCAAGGCATCCATTCGCTCTCCAGCCTTTCATTTTTATACGAGATATGAAGATACCGGCGGTTTCGTCCCGACCGGGAAACGATACCTCTCGTAGACGAGCACCGTCTCCTAGTCCGCACAAGCTACAGTGGGGGAGTTTGCATGCGCATCCGATGAATCCCGACGTCGGAAATCTGGAAGGCCTTGGGCCGAAGGAATCGCACTTGATTGACAAGGACAAGAGAAGTGAGCGGAGAGAAGCAGAGGACGACATAGACAGCTGGGTGGTAATCTGGCGCCACCCCCGTGCGCGAAAGACGGACCCGCAACCAGAGCAAAAGCCCGAGGCAGAGTCTGCACAAAACAAAGCCTACGTCATCCCCGCCCGTCGCGAGCCCTCTGGAGAGTTGCCCGAACCATACAGCGAGCCGCAGCCCGACCCTTCGAATAGGGGCAAGGGCAAAAGCGCACGTCTATCCCAACGCCACAACCGCACAGACAGCGTGCAAGCCGACTCCGATCCCATCTCCGTCTCCACCCAACACCACCACGAAACCCTCTCAACATGTCGTGAACTGCACCCTGGGATGTACGCTGCTCGTCTGAGGCAGCGGTTGGAAGCTAGAAATGCAGTGCCTGCGTGGATAAAGCAGCTGGAAGAGGAGCAGAGGAGGCCCTCTCATGCGAGCGATTCGCCAGAGCCGGGGTCTGAGCCCGAATCGGGTGATGGGTGAATGGCATGCTGCAGAGAGCGGGGGAAGAGAGGAGGGATCTCAAGGAGTGGGTGGATGCTTCTTTAGAGGAGGGGACGAGGAGCTGGAGGTGGAGATGGAGATGGAAAGGAATTGCGCCAGGCAGTTCTTTTATTGTTGAAAACCAGTTCGCGGCATACAGCGCTGCTACACAGACCCCTTCACTCCCTAAACACCATAACACCCCTCTCATACAATCCGCTCACAAACCCCACGCCCCTTGCTTTATCCCTAACCGCCATCGTGCTACTGCAAAACTCACCTCCCTTATACAGCTCCCTCAACCCCCCACTCTCCGTCCACTCGGCAACCCAACTAGGCGACTGACACCCGCAAGCCAGCCTCTCATCCTCCTTCTCACTCTGCGCATCGCACTTCCACCGATTCTTCGCTACGCTGATGAGCGCAAGACCGCTCGGATGGCCCGCCATGAGCAGCGCGCCAGCCGAGTCGACGCTAAGGTTATCAACAGCCGCGAGGGTGCGCACAAATCCTTTGCTCTTTAAACTATAGTCCGGTTCGACTTCATAGAAATACACGCCCGCCCGCGAGGTCGAAGCCACAGCGAGCGTAGTCTTGTTTAGCATCGCGACGCCATTCGCAAACGCGACTCTCGCAACCACCCTGCTCTCCTGCGGCCTCTCCAGATCGACAAACACAACACTTCCACCCGGCGGCGCGAGCCAGGTCTCCAGCTTCGACAGCAGCGGCGCGACGGCGGCGCGGAAGAAGTGGTCGTTTGTGACGAAGAGTTTACCGGCTCCGAGGGCGTGGATGGAATTCGGGGCGTGCAGCAGCGGGTGCTTGAAGGTTTGGATGTGCGTTGCTGTTGCGGTGTTTACGTCGATTGTGAAGACTTCGAGCGCAGAGCCGGATTGTGCGTGGTTGACTGCGTAGAGCGTTGCGGTGGCGTGGTCGAATTCGATGCCTAGGGGGTGGAAATCGGCTTCGTTGGGGAAGTTTGCCCATTGCAGGCGCTTCATGGCTTCGTCGTCTGGGAGGTCTGGGGTGCTGTAGTCGTAGAGCCATAGTGCGCCGCTTTCGAGGCCGTTCTCGGCGCGGAAAGTTCCCTATGATAATGTCAGTTATCGATGTCGTATATCTCTTCTCGTAATGCGCGAAAAGGGAGAGTCAAAAAGTACCATAACAGTATTCCACCGATCTCTCCCAGGATCACATGACAAAATCGCGATCCCCATCCCCTCATCCAGCACCACATCCTCGCAATTCCTTACGCGGTCACGAAACTTAATCTTATGGCTCTTGATATTGTAAACAGGCTCCAATTTGCCGGGCCGATTGGCGAGCATGGCCGACAGCGCCTGCCATCGGTCATACAGGTACGGCGCGATGGCGGCCAGGATCACCAAGTACTGCACCAGATCATTAGCATGTATAATGCGTAAGGGAAACTAGCGGCTTTACAATTGCTGTTCTCGCCATGACTGAGGCTGGCGGGATGGTTGATGGAGGTAGTGTGAGGTGTGTTGAGGGGAAGACGTTAGCTGGCTTCTTTGTAAAGGGCCGTGCGGCACTCGCGCGAGCAGGCCGCTGATGCTGACGGGGTACATCCTTGATATCGGTGTGCTTTGTAAGAGCTGCGCATGCGTTCTTGGTGTCTTTGGTCGTATCTTGGATGGCGTAAGCAGAGCGTTGGTGGAGTATTCGGCTGGTAGAGGAGGGGTAGGACAGACGCCGAGCTTGTGGCCTTCCACTAACGCAAGCCTTCACAATTCCACGCATTCAGAAGACGCATTAGGGTTCAGACGGCAAATTATGTTCTGAGCAATGCCACCGATCTTGAACTGCGAGCCCCACTCATCTATAGCTTCGCGCCCACTGTATGGCACACACCAACCTCCTTAGTATTATATTTCTTCATCAGCGCATCCGTGATATCCATCTGCTTCTGAATCAAATCCCGTGCTTCCGCAGCTTTCTTGTTTTCCCGCCTTCCAAGCTGCTCCAAATGCACCTCATCCGGCCCATCCGCAATCCGCACCGTCCGCACCTGTGCCCACATATAGGCCAATGGGGTATCCTGGCAGACACCCTGAGCACCGTACGTCTGTACTGCGCGGTCGATGACTTCCAAAGCCATACTCGGAACGAGAATCTTGGCTTGAGCGATTTCGACCAATGCGGATTTGGCGTCACCGGCATCTATGGCTGCAGCGGCATTCAAAACGATGAGACGAGCCGCGTCGATCTCGATCCGGGACTTGGCGATCCATTGGAGAATGACGCCTTGTTGTGAGAGAAGCTTGCCAAAGGGTTGCTTGTGCTCGGCGTTTGCTCGCATCAGGAGCCATCGAAGCGCTTCTTCCGCCTAAAGCCGATTAGCGACGTCCTCAGCAAACACATACACCGACTTACAGCTCCAATTGATCGCATAGCGTGATGGATTCGCCCAGGTCCCATCCGGCCTTGCATCACCTCAAAGCCCCTGCCCTCACCTAGCACAATATTCTCAGCCGGAACCCGTACGTTTCTGAAGATCAAATGCGCGTGACCGTGGGGCGCGTCATCGTATCCGTACACAGCGAGCATTCGCTTGACCTCGATCCCGGGTGTGTCTGAAGGCACGATGATGATAGATTGCTGCTTGTACTTGTCGGGATGGTTGGGGTCTGTCTTCCCGAGAATGATATAGAGCTTGCATCGTGGGTCGCCGGCGCCGGATATCCACCATTTCTGCGAACTGTCAAATTTCTGCATTCAAAAGGTCTATTTTCGCTGCACACCTGGCCATTGAGCACATATGTGTCCCCGTCCCTCTTGATGCTCAATTGCACGTTCGTAGCGTCGCTTGAAGCTACAAGCGGTTCCGTCATAACGTACGCGGACCTGATCTCCCCATTCAACAGCGGCTGCAGCCACCTCTTCTTCTGCTCTTCCGAGCCATATTTTGCCAACAGCTCCATATTCCCTGTGTCCGGCGCGCTGTTGTTCGTGGCCTCCGAAGCGACTCGCGATCTGCCAAACTGCTCACACATCAAGCCGTACTCCAAGTTCGTGAAGCCTGCGCCCTCTTTGAAGTGTCCTTTCGCGAGGAACATGTTCCACAGGCCAAGCTTCCTAGCTTTTTCCTTCAGATCTTCCATGATGTGCGGGTGGCTCCATCTCTGCGCGCCTTCGCCGAGCATGGCGGTGTAGACAGCGTCTGCGGGTATGCATTCTTCGTCGACGAACTTCTCGACCTATTCGAGCCGTGAGAATGTAATTCCACCGTTTTGTGTATGATTCATACTCACAATGTCGAGCGTCCTGCGAGCCCTCTCGCTGACGAGTGGCCGGACGGCGGCAGGAATCCTCTGGGAAGCGGAAGGCATGTTGTGATGCTAGAGCTAAGCTGAACGTTAGCCAGGGAGGTTAGCAGCGATGAAATGTATATGTATAGCAGGGCGATCTTCTGGCTATGGCCTTCCAATCCGTGTTGACGGCGTTGTGCCTCGGCCCTGATAAAGATTACCGAAGACGGCATGTTCGGAGGCGCGACGTTTCCCCGCAAACCCCAGTCCGTGGATTGACTAGGCTCAAAACGGCTAACTTCTTGGCCATCTCTCCTGACTTCGAGAACTTCGTCTGATCGCGTCAGTCCACTCAAAGTCAGTTTTTGTGGTTCTTTGCCCCTGAATATGAAAATGCCGAGGCGTTATATTGCTCTACCCGAAGTACTCAGAACAGCCTCATTGGCTCTCTATCGCAGGTCGACTCTAAGAGAGATTCCATGTACTTTTACCCCCAATTAAGGCCGCTGTAGCATTGCACTACCCGGAGGTCTTCGGGGACTGGACACAATGCGCTCCAGTCTCCCATCCTCCAGGTAGAATAGCCACGGAAGCTGAAACTTAGTCCTTGTTGAACCGGTATTTTGCGAAGATTTCGTGTGGAGAGACGTACGGCCGCTGGGGGTCCATGACTGCCTCGACTCCCCAGAATCCGCACTTTGGGGTGCAATGGCAATGCGGAGGCCTATAAATCAGTTAGCCTAAAGTACCTTATGCCCTTAAACCACAGTGGGAGAACACACAAATCCCCAGCAGGCCACTTCCGGATATCCTCCGTCATCATTGTCCACTCCGCAGGCCATGTTGTTGGATCATTGCGGAGCTTCTTGTGGGCGGCTGCGAAGGCCTTCTTGGTGGCGTTCTTGCAGTAACCCTCAACTGTGACAGTGGGGATGTGCTTAACCTGATTCAACGCGAACGTGAGGATCATCTCCGTCAGTACTTTCTGGCAGGCGCAGCGCCTCCGCCAGCTATCATGTCCGTTGCCACGTTGTCTAGAAAGGGCCCACCAGGGATGAGTCAACGGTTCCCAGCAAGACGAGCGTAAGATGATGTCTAGCCGCTCCAGGAAGGGCAGGGAGGAGCGTCCAAGGACCTGCGAAGCGGCGGACGTTAGCAAACGTCTGGGATTCAATGGACGCAGAATTTAGCATCCTAGCATGGCCCAGTTGTCTTTATCTGTCCCATGCAGGCAGAGAGCCGCAACATACGTACCAAGACTTGACTATTTCCACCGTACGGGTAGGCCTCAACGCCAAAAAACTCTAAGTAGCTCTTGTTGTCGAAATTCAGCGCGACATGGGATAGATCCTTTGCCTGCAAGACGCCATGGCGGAAGAGGGGCGGAAATTTCCTAAGTTGTGCAGGATCGTCGAAGCACTGCCGACTGGAGGCCCGGAGGACTGAGAGCAGCCCTGCTCGCACCTGCTTGCTCACGTTCATGGGGCTTGTCGCTGTCCGCGGTGGTGCGACGACGTCTGCCGGATCATGGGTCCCTTCAAGCCGCCTGCTAGGCGCGATCGGTTTCCATCCTTTGCCGAGACTCACAGCCGGGACGCCGACAGGGTGTACCGGGGGCACCACCATTGGATAGATATCGTCGTCGACCGCATGTTCAATGATCTCAAGGCGTAGCTCCGTCGGTAACTCCATGAAGCGGAACGGCTCGTCGCGATAACGATACCAGCGCTGGAGGGTGTCGTAGCCTTGTCGACCGGTCGGTGCTTTGAAAGACGGACCCAGCAAAGCAACCTGGCAGAACTCGTCGAAAGTCCTCCATATACCACCCCACCGAATCAAAGGGTGGCCGTGGTCGGAGCGCGACACCTCAGCAACCACGCTCGAGTTGAAGATGAAGTAGGTCGTTGCTACAACTGCTCGGATGTTAGTAGGCCGTCGCCGCGATTCGGATACCCTACAGATGCCAGCTTCCATATCACATCAGCGATTCCGGCAGATGCGACGGGGTGTAGCTGAGCCGGGTCCGCCGAGCCGCATCGGCCCTCCCGTCGCTGGGCGCGCCTGGTATGATACAAGGTGCAGGAAACTCTTGACGGTGGTACGTACCTGCGGGGCCACAAACCCGGATTCGCGCCGCAAAAGCATCGAAGTTGGATTTCCGGTACTCATGTGCGGCGGCGATCAAGCTCTCCAGCAGGCATGGTTGCGGCACAATGCCTCTCCTGCTAGCGGGAGCCATCGTTGTCGACGGTCGAGGCAAGTCCAGCGTGCAGATGTGTCAGAGTCGGGAAGATGTATGTGAGGTTGTTATTGTGCCGCTGCTCAGCGCTACGAGCGGGGGAGAAAAATGGCCGCTGTGCGGTTTCACTGATACCCGCGGAGAATTGACTGCCCCCACCGATATCAACGAAATGAGGCAGGGTAGCGACAAGGCAAAGGCCAGCGAGAAAGATCTGAACGCTTCCTGCCTCGCCAGATATGAGAATGCTCGGCCACTTGAAGTGGTCTACGGTGTGGGTTCCACGGCCACCGTGTGTTGCAGAACACGTAGTATTAGACTTGATGAGCGGAGGCAGCCTTGCTGCGCACCTTCCAACGAGCCGGTTGCTAAACTCTCCTGTCCTTAGCTAGAGGGTTCGATTGGCCTTTGTAGAATTCTGTTGTATACTAGAGGTTAGTATACTGGTTCGGCGGATTTGTCGTTACGATTGCAAGCGTAGCGAGAAAAGGTGTTAACACCAGCACCTTCAGGCGCATCTTAATCCCCTCAACACCAAAGGCCAATCTTAGCATAGAAGCGCTTCCTGTTTGTCAACCTGCAGCTCGTGATCTGTAAGGAGGGGGTGTCCCGACGGCGGGGTCTAGCAAGCCATGGCGTTGCCGCCAGAGCTGATCCCCTCCAACCTGATTTAATGAGCAATAAAAGGAATCTACTCCGTGACAGGATCGAACTGGGGCCCTCCCAATACAGAAGCAAAAAGAAAAAAAAGAATGTAGAACCGAAGGCCTGCGAGTTCACGAGTTAGCAAAGTGTCCCAAAGCGCTTTCAGTACGGGTGCCACGCCGTACCTACTCACGGAAGAAGTTTGCAAATTATTTGTTATATGTAGTCAAAGAAAGGGACTTAGCTGCAAGAGGCGGGGGCAGTAGGCAGACCATATGGAAGGGCGTGTTTTCATCGTGACGTGTACAGAAATCCGTCGCGAGAGCTCGCTCAAAGTGAAGGGAGTGGAGCTATGAGGCCAGCGTAGCTTTGTCGATCGGCATGTTGATGTTCTGTGCAAGAGATCAAGTGGGATCGTTAGCTTGGAGGCATATCGGAGCAGACAATACAGCGTCCCTGATTGGAGCCCAAGCTTGTCGATGCAGATGACAACGTGGTTTTTGGTGCCTTTGGCGCAGCAAGGAGTCTGGATGGATATGGAAGGCGGTGCGCATAGTTGCACCGGCTTCGCCGCGGAGCAGGATTGTGCCTCTCAGACTCCTATCCGCAGAAGTTTCAACTGCACCTTCTATTTGCAGCGCGACCGCTACAAAACGACATCGGATGATGCTGCATGTTCGATGATTCCTTGCATGGGACTCTAACCAGGCTGGAGCTTGATCCGAGGTTCCTAGGCCCAGAACGATGTCGGCGTTTTGGAACTGCATCATCACCTAGATCTCGGGCTAATGACGCGTCTTGCTATATGCTTGTCCAGAGCATATAGAAGGCATTTCTGCTCTAAGCTCTCAGCTCGCTCTGCACGGGGGAGCCAGTCCTGAGAATGATTTAAGAGCGGAGGCGTCCCGGCACGGTAGGCGGCGGCAACTCCGGCCAAAAGAGCAAAAGAAGGATAGAGAATTGAAAAGTCGCAGGGTCGAACCCAAAACGCGCAAAAAAAAAAGTTCACCTCCAGAGAGGCTACGTCTTTGAAACTGTACACTTGTTAGCGATTATTCCAAAGGTGCTTTCTCCGCTGCCGCGGGTACTCACAAAGGAACTTGCAAACCATAAAATATATATAGGCATAAAAGTCCTAGGTGTGGTAGGTTGGGGTCCTGGGAGTTGCGTCTGGCCAGCGTCTGCCCTGGGTGACCCGAGTGCATCTAACCACGTGAGGGGCATTTCCTTATCATTCGGTATCATCCGCGAGTCTTTCGAAAAGAAGAATAGGGTAGCTTCGTGTTGTGTGGGCTTCTGCTGATGGAGATGTTGATGTTCAAGTTGTGTGAGGTGTGATTGAGATCTGAAAAAGCCGCCACACGTGCAACGGCCGCCATCGGAAGCCATCCCTCATCCAGTAAGCCGCTACGCTTGGACTCCTGAAGATCCTTTTGACGTGAACCTCAACTGCATCTTTGCCTTTCTTGAAGGACAAGTGCTGGCTGTCATGTCCATCATGTGCATGTTGCCGGCTTTGAGATGAAATGCGCAAGGCGAGAGACTATTACAGGCACACCCGGGGCCACTGGAGAGGCCCCGAATGCGACAGGAAAGCGTTCAGGGGCAGCGATGCAATCCCTAGCCGTAGATCAAAAGAGCCGGATGCATCAAGGGGGGCTTCTTTGCAGAGTCGCGCTCTTTTCTTATGGTGCAGCTCGCCCCGATCCCGTTTCTCTCGTCGTTCCATGTCTACTATTTTCTCGGTTCGCAAGCACTGTGATTTGCTTTCCCGGTTCAAGCAAACGGGCGCTGTCTTCCAGCGCGATGCCATGAGCTTGCTACCATAGCGGATCTAGAGCTCGGCGTGTACCTTTCGTTGAAGGCACCGGCGTAGGCTCATGTAATGCGGCCCACTTCGCCTGCGCCCTCTCCTTTACAGCCCACCCCTACGAGAGCCGCGCAACACCAAAGGGGCTTCTACGGCGTCTTTATCTTATTGGAGTAGCTCGCAAGGCCTCGGGATATTCCCCCGACTTGTCGGCGATGCCGCTGTTAAGGGTCGACGCGCTGGGCGGGGCTTCCGCGACGGTTTCAAGCGCTCAGCTCCACGCCCTCTCCTTTACACCCCACCCCCGCGAGAGCCGCGCAACACCAAAGGGGCTTCTACGGCGTCTTGGTCTTGTTGGAGTAGCTCGCAAGATATATCCCCGACCCGTCGGCGACGCCGCTGTTTAGGGGGTCGATACGCTGGGTCGCGGCTTCCCCGAAGCCCCTCAGCTCCACGCCCTCCCAGAGACCGCAACACCACGACTGAGAGGCACACATGGCGTCGAGAAGGTAGGAGAGGCGTGTACTAAGGAGCGCGACTTCGGCCTTGGTCGTTTCTAGGGCGAGAGCAGGCGCGCCGGTCGCCCACAACCTTTGCGGCGGCTACAAGCTGCTCCGCTCCGCGGCTCTAGGCGACGGGAATCCCAGTTCCTGGCCCTCCGCCTCTCCCTGGACCTCCGCCGGAGGGCTCATCTTGCTTACAGGTCCCAGGCATGCACCCGCGGCTCTGGGCGACGAAAATCCCAGTTCTTGGACCTCCGCCGGAGGGCCCACCCTACCTACAGGCCCCAGGCATGCACCCGCGATGACAAGACGACCGCCTGTCCCGACAACCTCTTACGCCGCTCGACCGCCTCCGCACCGCGGGCCCGACACGGCAACCCCGACATCGTTGAGCGGGGACCCTGATCAAATTACGAGTCCATTTCATACGCTATCTTCCGCAGAGCTTGAACACCATATTCGGCGGGCAGCCAGCGCTCGATAGGCGCGCGCGACGGGGCTCCCAATGGCGGCGGCACAGGCTACCCGTGCGAAAGCGGCTCGAAATCTTGCTCAGTCGCCGCGACAATGGACAGGTTCGCGAGGCTCAGCGCCAATATCGGCATAAATGCCTACCCTGGACGCTACCGGAGCGATAGCCGTGGAGCCTTTCGTGCGGGACGACGAACGGCTCGTCCGCGACCAATACGCGGAACGTCACGAGCCTGTGACATTGCGGAGAGCCCTTCTGTTCAATCGGGTTCGGTGTGTCATCAGCGGCGCTATGCTGCGCTATAAGACACGATCCAGAATGGCAGGATCAAGGCCACGAGTGCGGCAAGAGCTAGGGATAGGGGTGCACGCGAAGTTCCCATCAAGCGGCCTAACGCAAGGGTCGAAGGGCGACACCGGATATAACAATAGGAACAGCGGACAAGAGCACCTCGGAATCGGCTGCGTGCTCTTAACGCAGATCCAGAATCTGTGTCCATCGAAATAGGAGGCCATCCGGTTCCATTCTACCATCAGCAACGACTACGGAGCACAATCATCGCGATTCTTCTCAAGGAAGAAAGTCACGCATCGAGCAGGGACAGCGTTTTCAATAACCCTCCGTGGCCAGTGGGAAGGAAACAGTCGCCACGAAGACCCGATTAGATGCGACACGATGTTTGCAGCCTCGCTTGACGATGCGAAGGCGTTAGGATCCAATGTTCGAGCCATAAGATGCAACCATGAGCAGTCGAAGACGTTGCATTCTTCGCCTAGTAGGGAAGGGACGTATATCCGAAATCAGGACAGACGATAGAACGGGGCCGGGCATGTATGCGATCCCTTGCAGCCCCGAGGCCATTTGCATGGGCAAGGATGTTGAGACAAAGTCCGCCGAAGCGTATCTCGAGAAGAACCAGACCGATGCAAAAGGAGCCATTGTTAGAGGACCCCGGTGAAAACAACATGCTGGGAAGAGAAGCAATCGACTCTAGCATCAGCACAAGCGGCTGTGCTCCCTATGCTCGCTCCAACGACATTGCGGGGACCCGCCGTGGCCATAAGCATTTCTTTAAGACCAAGCATTCGTCCCGCCGTCGAAAGCATCGTCTGAGAGGATCGCCTTGCTCCGGGCGTGCTTGAGGCGCTATTGGCAACCCATTGCCAATAACCCAAATCACGGAATTTCCAACTCTTTAGCAATAGTGGTATTCTCTCCGCCTCATTCCAAAGGCCGGACTGCGTTCCTATCATTGGACCACAAGGGGGCTCGACCTGCGCCACCATACGCAGGGCATCGAGACCGTGTTTTGACATCCAACAGGCATACAATCGCTCGAGCCTGGCCCGATTCCTGGATCGGTAATGCCCTACCGAGGTTTTGGCCGCTTCGGGTAGGCGGAAAATCCTCTTTCTTATGTCTCCCTAAGGATATCGGACTCCAGCATTGCTTTTGTGTCCGAAGCCTGGTTTCCTGCTACGCAGCGCAAGTTATGGGGCCATTGGGAACCGTCGGTATTCTCGAATGTGTGAGCGAAGGGGTTCGATATCGAGTACTTTCGAGATGGAAAGTCCTTGGGCGATCGTACCCGATCCAAATCGCTTGTCCAAGTACGTCCACCTTAAAGCCGCGTCGGTCCTAGGAGGCATCCTGTTTCACGGCAGCTGGTGCGTCGCAATCGCCTGATAGATCCTGAAGTATGGCTGCTTGTCGCCGCCAGCCCTGATGCCACATCCCTCCAAGAGGAAGCCATCGGATACTTTATTTGTGTCCATACTGTTGCAGTATACTTCTTATGCTCCGTCGCAGCGCAATGCGATAATCTTCCAAGACTCCTGAGGGCGGCGCCGACCCTTCTTCCGTACTCGCCTGCGGAGGGGTGCCGGCAGGCTATTCTCCGTTCCTTTCAGTCTAATCGAGATCGTCCCGTTCGCCTTCTCGTCATTCCATCAAGCCGACCGAATCAATTATGCCGACCCCAAACGTGCCGATGTTCAGTCGAGTCTCCGCCCTTGCTGTCTCGGTAGAGTTCTTTGGGCCTTATCTCCTCGCCGGGACGGAGACGAGGTTGTGGTCTTCGACGATGCTGAGGATGACGAGGACGAGGACGACAATGCTGTGGACCCTTCGTTGCATCTCCTAGAGGATTTGGAGTGGCACCGTTACCGGAATCTATCGGAGTGCCTCGCGCGGTCTCGCGATCGCGGCGTAGCTCCGCTATGTCGAGGCTGTGAAGCGCGACCCCCCTTCAAGCGCATGTCCTTCAGCACCCAGGAGTAGAAAAATCGATCTTTACGCTTTGCCAAGGGTGTACTGTATCATCGGCGCTCACTGCGATGACCAATTGTGCGTCTTCGCTGGGTCTTGTATCTGGTGAGGCGGGCGGCGCCGAGGGTCGAGTCGTCGCAGGAGCCGAGGCGGATGCTGTGAATCGTCACAAGCAAAGAATATCGCGAATAGTCTTTCCGGCGCGTGGTACTGATGAGGATGGCGAGACTCCGAGTCTGCCTGTGACCGCTTGTGGACCGCGGGCGGCTTGGAGGTCGCGCTGAGCCTCCGAGTCTGCCTGTGACCGCTTGTGGACCACGGGCGGCTTGGAGGTCGCGCTGAGCCTTCGAGAGGCGTGTGTGAGGATTATGTTGCGAAAGAGCATATCTATATGCTGAGAAGCATCAGATGTCCGTCGTCGTCTGCCGTTTGAGTGAGCCGCCGCCGTGAGCGAGGCGGAGCGAAAGCGTCCTCCGCCGCGCTCCAACTCCTCGACGGCCGATAGGAGAAGAGAGCTAGACGCTACAAGAGACATTCATGCAGCATCTTCCGCTGCTCTAGTTTGCTTCTGCGGCCGTGTTGTTGCTCAAGAGGGCCGTCGGCGTAAGCAGGGCGTGTTGATGTCGTCGGCGCCCGCTCGACCCCTGCGGCCGACCCTCGGGAGTGAGGGGGGGAGGGGACGGAGCTTCAAGAGACGCTCCTCCTCTCCGGACCCCCTACACCACGCGGCCAATGTGGTATTGTCGTCGTCGTTGGTTGTGGGAGGAGCGTGGGTGTGTGGTTGTGTGGAGAGCGCGAGCTTGGTGGTCGCTCAACACCAAAGTCAACGAGATCGCTTCACCTGAGCAGCAGCCCGACCGAGCAACCGCAAGCACAAGCGCTAAGGGAATACTCTCGTCTCGCAGCTGCAATATAGCTCCCCAAAAGTACAGAAGGTCAACTTCGAAGTCTGCTTCGAAGGATTCCGAGTCAGGGGCGCCACCGTACTCGAGTAGCAACGGAGACGTGCAGCGGGATCAAAGACATAGCAAGCGCCACAAAGCCAACATCGCCAACTTGCAACGGAGCCGCCACAATTAGTTCCGAAAAGTGCAACCGCAGATGTTGATGTCCGCCCGCAACCTTACGGTTCTTTGCCTTCTCAAGGCTAATCGCAATTGGCTATCATCTAAGCATGTGGCGCCCTCGCGACATATCGTACAAGTTGCCAATCTTCTGGAGAAGCCGTATCCCAAGAGCTTGTTGCATAAGGACGTTAGCAGATGATGACATCGAGCACCGCACAAGTCCCTTTGTAGCCCATATGATGTGCAGCCTGTTACTGGGGAGCTTAGGAGAAGAAAGGGACTCGATGCCATGCCACAACATAACGTCACGAGCATACAAGAGACGTAAACAAGAGCCCATCATAGTCTCAGGCACACAGTGAAGCCCCAATGACTTCGCGCGGGTGCCCCTCCCTGTTACTCCCGCCACCACAGCCCCTGGCTAAGCCCACACACTACCACCATTTCGATTGTATGCGAGTATATATACTATTTGGTTTACAATTTCTCCTGCCTCTGGGGTAAAGGCCTCAGGTGGATGTGGTGGATTAATTGGTTCAATAAGGTACGTTAAGTCCTTATCAGCGGATGCACTGCACTGCACAATATTTGGAAATCACTAGGGTTCAAACCCTCTACTCTTCTTTTTTTACTTTTTCTTTTTGTCTTTTTCCTCATAAATGATGGGTTGGCTTAGGCGCCTCCATAAACGTTCACGAACTGGTTGCTCATTGCTGAGACTCGAGCAGGAGGGGCCCATACGGACACGGTGAGACGGATGATGTGACCGAGCATTAAGAATGGCTCAGTGTATGTCGAGATTGTGGGGGTCCCAACTTTGGGGCCGCAGGTATATGATTCATGCATTGCACGAGACCAATCAGGCCTATGTGTCCGGCCGGGGGTGGAGTCTGGTCAATATTCACGGCGAGACGGCTGCCCGGAAGCGCCGTTACGAAAATCCTCTCCAATTTGCAGAGACAGAGTCTGTCTTGTCTATAAAGCCGAGTGCTATCTCTCTGGGAAACGCAGTCTTGGGCTTCTCGAATTGAATTCAGCACGCATTTCCCCTGAGGGCCCTGATTTTGTCATGGTCACTACCCGCACTGGTAGTACCTACTCCGCGGCTTCTTCCTCACAGCCGCGATCGAAGAATGCCCACTTTGTCGGCACTCAGCTTCAGCCTGGGATTTGCGATCGCCCAACTAAGGATGATGGTAAGAATGCCCCATCATTGGGAAATTGAGCCGGTTTCTGATCGTTTCTCAGTCAATTCGAATACCAGCATGCACCCCCCTCAAGACCCTGCCCCGCCCGTTCATGACAGCGCCAGGTCCCCGCTCGCTGCTCTCAATGCTCAAGAGCCCGTCGAGACAGGTCCGGAAGAGAATGACGACTCCCGACAGACTTTCCATACCGATTTGCCTTGCAAGGCGCAGACTGCCGAACATATTCTTCAAGGGACCTGGATCTCAAGAGGCTGACACCGGGTTGGCTGAATCTCGGCCTGGAGAGCACTTGGACACTGTTACCTCGCCTTGTGAAGACGTGCGCGCTAGTTTGATCTCAAACGAAATCATCACCACCGGCGCAGCGCCTCAGGAGGCAGAACCCAAAAATTGCAATTCTCGAGATACACAGCCCACGGACGTTGCATCTCAGCAGCCTGTACTCTCCGACATTGCTCCACGTGAGACTGTTGGTTCTCACAGTCCTCAAGAGACCAACTCTGTCAGCTTCGCTCGTTGCGAGACCGAGACTGAGATTGAGATTGTTGACTTGACCAATGGTCAAGAGCGCGAGGCCGCCAGCCTTACCCACGAGAGCGCTCCCCAAGCCCCCGAGACCGCTGACTGTATCCGACCTCAGAGGCCCAAAATTGCCAATCGGGCCGTTATGAGACCGCCGACGCAGGCCATTGTGACATTGCCAACACCAACTCACTGACGATCGCGGACCCTCCCCATCCAAAGCTCTCGACTGCCGAAGTCGAATCTCCCAAGGCTGAAATCGCTGATCTTGACGTTCTTGGGACTAAGACAACCAACCAACCCTACTCAAGGACCCGGTCTTACCAACATCAACCATGACGAGACCACTGAAGTCATTCCTTCCAAGACAGCTGATCCTCTTCAGGAGCCTCAGGCCGCCCTCTCCGCACTTCAAGACAGCAGGTGTTCCAATTCTGAAGAGGCTGGTCACTCTAGAGTATTGACGTGTCTAACCATAGATGGAAACAGCCAGCATAGTCCTACTGACACTAGTCCTGCTCTTGGCAACCCAGGGGAGACTAATGGTTAGTATTACGTGTTCACCAAACATTCGCAGGTACAGAACGCTAACTATGCATAGAGAATTCAATTGGTTTGGATGATTCCTCTGCAGGTGATTCTCGCTGTAAGTCACCCTACTTCCACGAGTTTGCATCGTCTAATATAGCCTAGATAATCCAATTGAGATTCCCGATGATCCCTTCACACAACGCAGTCGGAAGCGCAGACACAGTACTAATGGTGGCAACGGTCGATACAAGTTTCGATGTCGGACAGAACCTTATCAGTGTTCTCAGTCTCCGTTCGTCCCATGGACGCAGGCGACTTTGTACATTCCTGACTAAAATGATTATTTTGTGTTTCAATTTTATGGAGTGTTTAGTGATCGTAGGTTCTTCCTTTAAACTATGCTAGGATGACGAGCGTATGAACCAAGGAATTGTAAAAGTGGGTTAATACTGACTGAGGCGCTTAGGATTCTACTTCCCTCGAGGTAGCTTGGAAGACCATTCATGAATCTACTGTACATATGGCCAACTTTGTGACAAAGAAGCAGAGTCCGTTAGATCAGGTCTACCTCAAAATCCTTTTTGGTAAGGAGCATCATGATCGACGTTGTATTAGGAGGGTTTGGGAAGGAGCGTACGGTTGGCCTTCGCTGTTGACTTGCTTCGAATAAGAGCTACAGGGAGGGGTAAGAAACGAAACGAGAGACAAATGCAAGGAAATTTAAGCGAAAGGGAGAACGAGGGACAGCGCAACAGAAAAAACTAAGAGAGACTAGGACTCTGCACGAACAGCAAGATGGGATAGATGCTAACCTTCTCTACCAACGAACCAAAGGTTTCTGTATCCGCTACCCCCAAATGCTTCCATTTCCCTTCTAACGCATAAACATCTTTACAAAACTCTTTACTCTCATTCATAAACAATCTAGCTGTTATCTGACTTGAGGTGATCAGAGAGTATTATTCGAAGACATCTTTGCGTGGCGAGGCTGTATTCAGGAGTACCTGCAGCGCGAAATGCAGACACCACACCCACAGGTAGTCGGCTGGCCGTAATACAGGTACCGATATTGACAAGTGTAGGAGGTGTTGGGAGGGTTGTCGTAATCGCATATGTGACAGCGCCAGCCCTGCCTCACAAGGTCCGCCTTATAGCAGTCAGGATCCGGGCATAGGTTTGAATCGGCAACGTCGGTGACAGTCCTATCCAGGCCGCACATGGTTTGCCTTCCAGTTCTGGGATTGATTCGCGCTCGAGGACAATACGCAATGCCAGACATCAAGACACGATGCCCACAACGGTAAACTCTGTACTGGCAGCCGCACATGGTGCAATACTAGAAAGGTGTAGAAGTAGAGTAGTGGTACAACGTAAAGAGAATTGGAGAGATTGTGCAAGGATATGGATTGGATGGATACTGGGAGAAGTTTTGATATCTTGAAAGGCGAACCGATCTGAATAGGGGCCTACGGGTATGGTATGGTATGGTATTGATTTTCGTCCTAGGGTAGCGTAACACTACCAACCTCCCGTGGGGTATAGTGGACGTGCTACGCTCTAACTATGTAGATGTGACATTTCTTGCTTTCGCTGCCGAAGCTGTTCTTGCCCGTCTTCCCTCCCTGCGGAAGAGCCTCTAGGGGTAGATGCCTACGCTCTACCAGGCGTCGTCGTGCCTCCTTCCTCCTTCCCTGCAGCTTGCTGCCGTACTGTCTTCCCTCTACACTGCTTTAAGAGCAGCTAGATATGCTCGTACCTTCTAGAGTAAAAAACTCGCAGGGGAAAACCCCTAGAAGCTTGAACGAGTAGTAGTAGCAGCCTCCCTGCCAGAGCTCTTGGTCGAAGGTGGTGTGTCGATCGTAGTTTATAAGGTCATTGCGGACCTAGGGGCCTACGGGGATTCGAAGAGCGGCTAACTATACCCTCAAACGTTTGAGAATCATGCAGGTATTCTTCCCCCATGAAGCCATAGCAAATAACATGGTGTAGCTGTGATATAGCTAAATCTAGGTGTATTCGATATGAAACAATAGTCATGGAAAGTATCCGGATTGAGAGCGAGGATAACCGTAACTCATAACTAAACCAAGCGTTTGGCCATTTAATCCCGCTAGCAACCGCACCGAATTCTCTAGTAGACTATCTATCTCCGGGACGGGGCAGGTCCCAATTTCGAAGTAACTTGCATTGTCATCATACAGATAATCCAGCGAGATATGCCGCTATACGCTGAAGACCCTGCAAGTCGCCTTCTTGAGTATTCATTAACTCCTTGTCTACCCAACCATTCGTGTAACCACCTCCAAAATCAACCAAATATGCGTCATCATGCACGCCGATAAGAACGTTATCAGGCTTTGCATCTCCCCAGACAATTTGGCGTGCTTCATGATGAAGCTCTTTTAGAGAATGTGTTATCTGCTTCAGCCATTTGTCGTGTGACGTGCGCTCGCCAGCCTGTGCCGCACAGGACAGTGTCATGTTCTCGCAATCGATATACGACAGCAGCAGTCCAACGATCCTTGAGGTGTGCTCATCTTCTACTACACCGAGGAGACGGGAAACGCGCACGTCTTCGCCAAGCTTAGCCGCATTAATCTTGGTATAGGTAGCGAGCTCCGTAACTGTCATGCCAACGTCTCCCGCTAGTATCTGCTTAAAAAAGCAGACATGCTTTCCCTTAATGTACACCTTACGAGGGTTCGTTGGTAAGGCCACCGCATCGTCGTTGAGCCGCACGTGGATATCGTTAGGACGGTAGACTAGGAGCGTAGACTTATCGAGCGTTTTGGAGGCAGGAAGTAGCACACCAACTAAACGACTATCTGGATTAACATCGCGCGGGACCGGAACCAACTCATCGCCAGCCACCTGCAGGGTGTATACGAACTGTTCAGGAAATAGACAGTCTTGGAGCGTGTACAATCGATCTCAGTCTAAAGGCGGCATTTCGCGAAACAGAGCAGCAAAAGGTTTCGTGGCCCAGTTGTAGAATTCTTCCAGAGGGTCGACAAATTCATCGTTATCCAACTCTTCTAGCGACGGTGGTATGTACGTTGGGTCTGAGCGTTCGACATGAAGCAGGTACTCCTTCAGCAGTTTTGGATTGGCTTCAAAATTTGCAGTGAAAAGGTCGATGCGGAAGTGCTTGTCGCCTACAGAGACATTTAATTTAACGTCTGTGTTGTGCTCGCTGTTCCAAGTAGCTCCGATTTCGTACGTCGGTCTGCCAGCCATGGCCAGCTGTTTAAACAAATTTCGCTTGGGTTATGTAAATCGGAACCCTTTTGTTTGAGATTGGAGTTCAGACAAGACCAGAAAAGAGGCAGAGCTAGAACAAGGGTGTGCTGAAAATTGAGAGGCGTCAACAACACAAGAAGAGGTTTCGAGAAAGGGGACAGTGAGAAGACAAAGCTGAAAACGGCTTTGAGGAAAATAGCGGGGTGGTAGGCAATTTCGAGTTGGGAGAGGGCAGCCACAGGATATATGCGTGCGGTGAGGTAGCAGCATCACATATGTCTGGGCGCTAAAAACTATGAAACATCGAGCTACCGCCACCTCGAATCTAAATTTTCCCAATGCCAACAAAATAGCGGGCTTGGGGGCCGACATTTTGAACTCAAAACCCTCCAGATTTGGAGATGTCTAAGCCAGTCCAATATCGTTTATAACGACATGTTGCCAAAAGGACAAAAGATTTGTAAATAAAAAAGTCCTCTGGAAGTGTCCTCTTCAAGCTGTGAATGTCTTTATAGGTTCATTTCCTAAGGAGCGGACAGTTATATACCGAGCTCTCCAGCAAGATTGGGTATTATGACGGCGCTGAGTGCTACATAGTCGTCGATGAGCGAGCGCAGAATGCTCACCTCTCAATTGTCCGCCTCCGCGCCACCAACCGCATCGTTCTCCTCCCCCCTCTCCTCCTGCATCTTCCTATTCCCCTTGATGCTCCCTTCTAGCCCGTACATCCGATTTGGATCACTCCCAGGAGGCCGCATCTCGAAAACCTCCTGCACAGCAGCATACTCGGCGTAACCGCATCGCGCAATTGGGACGGTCTTCCTAACGTCAATTCTTCCATTCGTCAAAACGCCCTCATCAATATGGATCCCAATCACCCGCCCAATTACCACATCTACAGCCCCCATGGGTGGGTACCCTGGCAGACGCAGCGTGGAGTAATGCGTGCACTCGAACTTAATTGGGCTCCGCTTCACCATTGGTACCTTCATCCTTGCTTTGCCCTTCACGAACACTTCGCTCATCTTCGCATCCTCCTTTTCCAGCCCCGCTTTCTCGAATTCGTCAACTTCGGAGGGTAGTTGTTCGGAGGTCGCGTTGACAGCTTCGCGGAGATCGTATGTAGCCAGCTGCCAGCAGAAGACGCCAGTTGCTTCAACGTTCTTGACGGTGTCCTTTTGGGCGGCTGACGGCGTTTGATTGGCGCTGAACATGACATAGGGTGGATCGAAGGTGAGGTTGTTAAATTGGGAGTAGGGGGCTAGGTTGGCGATGCCGGTAGGTGAGAGGGTGGATATCCATCCTATGGGGCGCGGGATTACGCAGGCCTGTGTGGATCAGCCGGACATAGAGATAAGTTCTTGTCAAGGAAATTTACAGATGAGAGCACGGGAAGACGGAGTGGGAAATGGCTCTGAAGGAACCGTCGTCTCCGACATCCCCCTAGATGCCTAAGAGTCAGACTTCTCGCTTTCCTGTTGGAGGTAATACACCTTCGTCTATGCACATTCCCGCAATCTGAAATGAGAAGGTAAATGGGAGGAGCAAGGACACAATAACAGTGCTTCTTACCTTGAATGGATCATTAGGAAGCCCATGGTCCGTCTTTCCCGGCTCGTAGAACATGGCTTCAGCTTGTCGAGATGCCGTGCCTTTCTATCTACCTTCTTGATGAAAGCTAGCTTCGACTCTCGAAAAATCACAGAGTATATAAAAACACCAACTGGTAATTCAGACTCTAAAAGCTTCCAAAACCCGAAATGGCTCGTAAACGTTTCCGCAAAGCCGTCATCGGTCTTCCCCACCCCACATCGGCTTCCGTCCGCCGCGGCTCCAAAACACCGGCAAATGCAGACCCTTGAGATCGGGCTCCCTCATCTTGCGCTAATGCATGTATACTGCAGCTCGAAACCCCGATTAGTACCAGCTGATAAGTAGTAGCGCGGTACGAGATCCGCTTTCGGGATGGTTTCCTCGGGGGCTCGTATCTGGTACTTCTAAAGTCACGATACTTCAAAGACCTACGTTGCATCTTCAAGAACACCAAGCTTACCAGTTCCCGCCGAGTCCTCTTATTCGAGATTCGAAGCGTGTAAGAGATGGAAAAGACGGTCCTAATCACAGGCGCATCCTCCGGCCTCGGCCTCGCTTTCGTCAAACACTACGCCTCCCAGCCGTCAACGCGCATAGTAGCCCTCGACGTACTGCCGCTCCCTCAAGCACTCGCCGCCCAATCAAACGTCTCATTCTACCAGACCGACATCACATCCTCCTCCGCGCTCGCATCACTATCCACCCAGCTCACCGACATCCCGATAAATCTCCTCATCCACTCCGCGGGCATCAGGGGCCTCGTCCCCGAAATCGTGCAATCACAACCCGGCGACGTAGCAGCTGCCGAGACGTACGCCGCTATGGACCATTCGACCATGCTGCGGACGCTCGAGATAAATACGTGGGGCACGTTCAACACAGTAACAAGCTTCCTGCCAAATCTCCAGAAAGCATCGGACGCGAAAGCAATTATTCTGTCCTCGCGGATGGGCTCTTTGAGTGCGAATACGGCGGGTGGGGGGTATGCGTACCGCGCTAGCAAAGCGGCGCTTAATGCTGTTGTTAAGTCGTTTAGTATTGATGTGCCGGATGTGGTGTTTTTGCTGCTGCATCCGGGGAGGGTGGAGACGGGGCTTGTGGAGTGGAAGGAGGAGGGTGCTATGGGGGTTGAGGAGAGCTTGGAGAGTTGTTTGGGGGTGATTGGGGGAGTCGGGAAGGAGCATAGCGGGAGGTTTGTTGATCGGTTTGGGGAGAGTATTGCGTGGTAGGATGAGGAAGGGTGAGCAGGGTGGGAAGAGGTAGTAGCCGCAAGGTTTGGTGTGAGTGGTTTATTTTCGGTGGGTGACGGCTTGAAACAGAAAATGGCTAAGGATGGGATGTAGTGAGAAGCTTTCTCACTAGTAAGAGTTTTCGCAGTGCAGTCAGGGAGACGTATCCCAATATGGGCATTCTCAACCATCAACTCCAATCGAGGAGAGGAACGCCCGCACCATTTCGGCTTCAATAGCCGCGCGCAACGGCCCATCTAGCTCTTCGCACGAGCTGCTGCATGTCTCATCCCTTTAATTACCTGAATCCACTCCTTCCTCGCTGATAACGTAGCTATCTCTACTCTTATCCAAGCTCGCGGGAACGATGCTTTCCAATCGGAGATTCCTATTAGGCTTATGCCACATACGCCGCTCCAACTCCGCCGCCTCATGTCCATGCCTCGCTCGTACAACGCCCAGCTGCGCCTCCCATTCTGCGGGCTAGGTTAGCAAAGCGACTTTCGAGAGTAATAGGACGGAGGGACTCACGACTAGGAAGAGGCTTCGGAAAGCCCATGCTATATTCGAAGCGTAAACCGCGCTTCTGGAACAGCTCGGCCACGGCGCAGAAGTTGCAGTCAAAGCCGCCGCTCCCGAAGTAATCGCCAGTATAATCAAGAGCGACTGTTCCTAGCTTGGGCAGCGCCGAAATGGTCCCTTCTAATAGTCTCGCCAGATGGCCGGTAAGTGGCTCCTGCTGCTCCTCGGCAGTAAACCACAAACTTGACAGGAACAAGGTCTCAAGGCTTGAGGGAAGGAAATCCGAGAGGGCAAGCTTAGGCTGCTCCACTCCTAAGCTATCGTCTTGCGAGAATCCACAAACGGCGTCATCGTGTGCTGCTTCCATGAATTCTAGAGGCGTCTCCAGGTACTTGAGGTTTCGAAAATCCGGCAAGAGCCCCACTGTCTCCCGGCCCGCTTCCAGAAGCAAACAGCAGCAGTCCTCGATGCGCAGGTTCTCCAGACCCGGGTGACGCCGAAGAAGTAGTTGCATGAACTCCTCCGCGCCAGTTAGCGGCGGTGGAAAACCTAGGGTCTTTAGCGATCGACAAGAGGTGATGAAGTTCACCAGTGTCTCGTAATACAAGAAACTCTCCTCGAATCGGAGAGTGACCACGTTGGACGATCCAGGTGAGCAAGCCCAAGAAATATTTGCCTCGTCGTAGTCTCTAATAGTAGGGCGGTCGTCGACGTCAAACTCCTGGCACGGACCCAAGATAAGTTCTCGGAGAGAAGGCAGCTGAAGTACACACGACACAGAATGGACGTGCATGCCGCTCATGTTGATTTTCAAGCGCTTGAGGCTCTTGAACTGGTGTACCTGCAAGGTGGCGACACAGTTAGTAGATGCGTCAGAAAACAAAAGTGGGAGAGAAGGAGGAAAGGAAGGGGCTTGCGTGGTTAACACAGTAGCATGTCTTAAGCTCTGACCTGCTGAAAGCCCTCAGGAAGGGCTTTCCTCAGGAAAAGCTGACACATGTTGGAGTGTGTGCCACGACCTACATACCCTTCCGTAAGGTAACCCCCGTGCCGCATACATGATCGGTATGAGACTATCCGGTGGTTTGCGCAATAAGTAGAAAGGATCGTCGCCGTCAGCAGGGATGCTTGATATCAGGCCGGGAGCGCTGTTCACGGACAACGATTGAACGTTATGACTGTAGCACACAAGGAGAGCAGCCTCAAGGTTGAAGTGCACATCTGCCCCGAGCTGAAATAGCTGGATCCAAGTGTCAGGTCCGGGAATCCCAAGGCTTCGAATAGCTGCCGCGATAGGTTTAATGTCTTCCTTGCTCCGTTCGTATGGACAGTATAGCGGTGAAGGAGGCGCCCATCCTTCCTTATAGGGCCCTATTTCTTTGATTCCTTTGACTAGCGAAGCCAGATCAGGTCTTTTGATGATGGTGCCGATAAAGTTCGTCGAGGTCTTGTCCCATCGGTGATTGTAGGTGTCGTACAACAGCTCCGTTGTCACCCGATTCAACGAACGGCACGTCAATGACAGCGACAGGTATGTTTGGCATGATTTGTAGGTCGCTGCTTGGTCGGGGATTGCCTTGAGAATCTTGAGAAGCAGCTCATGAGGGAGTCCGCTGAGGTAGTCGGCCGCTTCGTGGGAGTTGGGCTGGTGGCCATGATTCGAAATTCTTGGTAGCTTGCGGGATACTGAGTTGGCAGTTTTTCCACGTTGCTTCTGCTTCGAGGTCTGTAAGTTCTTTTAGTGCGCGGTGTTAGAGCGAAGCTGGAGAGCTAAAAATCGTACCTTCCGTTTAGCCATGTTGTCTCAGGTGTGGAGGCAGTGGGAACAAACATTAGAATTGGGATGTGTGAGTGGCTTCCATCTTATGGTGGGTTGCTCCTGCAGTATCCGTAGAGGTGTCACATGCAATCGATCGACCGAGTCGAAGCGATCATGAAGCCCATACCCAATACCATCTTCCCTGGTTCATGTTAAAGAGGCTTTGATAGGCGGAGTTGGTAATGAAAGATTACGTACCCGTAAGAAACGTGGCGCGGTATCAGTCTGATGGGTACCAAGGGTGACTACAGCTATCAACCGTAAAGCCGTTTACCGGATTCTCACTGCCCCATTTTCGCACTAGTGCTTAGAGGAAAGAATACTGAGCGTGAAACTCACCCATGAGAGCACTGTAATCTTTAAATTGAATTCTACCTATGATTGGCGTAAAGGCTGACGCAATCCCCTGCAGTCCTCACCAGCTTGGCCTTTTCCAGCTCGTCGCGTATAATACAATTGCTATCATTGTCAACTCATAGGAGAATGAAAGGGTATCGTTCCATATAGTCGTATCATCTCAGTCGCCGTGCATTTTGTGTGTTTATTCGCTCGTCCGAATGAGGCTCTCGCCGGGAGTGACCCGTTGAGCCCACTCCGTCCAGCTACCGTCATACAATCTCCTGTTCTCTAGCGGGAAGCCAGCTTCGGTGAGAGCAGCGTCAATTACCGCAGCAGTGACTCCAGTGCCGCAGCTGCTAATAACGGGCCTCGAGGGGTCGACACCCTTAGCCTTGAAGAGTGCTTGGAGTTTTGAGGCTGGCAAGAGCGTCTTGTCGTCCGGGTTGAGCAGCTCCGAGACGGGCACGGAGATGGAGTGAGGAATGTGGCCAGACGAGAGACCTAATGATAGTTAATCTCGGGAGCCCATGCTAAACCCATATCATGAACCTACCCTCTCTAGGCTCCGGGTCCGTTCCCTTCCATCGTCCTAGGCTCCTCGCGTCCAATATCTGCACCTCCTCCGCCCCTTCCTTTCCCAGTTCTTTTGCTATCTCCTTGACCTCCTCGAATGCCGCCACCTTGTTCTGCATGAGCTCCGACACCGGATAGTCGACCGGCTGAACGTCGCCTGGCTCTCCGCTCTTTGTGGGATATCCCTCGTCACACCACTTGCGGAGGTTGTTCAATACATGCACATTCGAATGTCCGAAGACCTGAAGTGTCCATCCAACCCTCGGCGCAGAAAATATTCCAAGCTCTTTCGTGTCATACACGACCACGCTATCATCGCGGCGAATGCCCAATCGACCCATTGCCTTCGCAAAGTCCTCAGCCGACGGAAGCATGTGCGGGTATGGAGAAGTCGGATCCTTGACTTCGTCGAGGTCGAAGAAGCGGGCGTGAGGAATACGGCATGCTTTGAAGGTGTCGAGACCATTTCGGCCGTCGTTCGGAAGGAACCATGATGCGCAGAGTGGAATGATCTTCGGGGCTGTCGACAGCTTGCTATGGACGTTCTTTTTGAGGGCGGAGTCGAGCTCAGCGGGCGTGACGAGGTACGACCTGAGGTCGGGACTGTATTGAGACATGGTGCGTCTGCTACCACCGAAAGGTCGGGCGGACGGCAGGGACGAGAGCGGTCGGAGCGCGCAGCGGGAGCGTGAGAGCAGCATCGTGGAAGCTGTAGACGGTTGTCAATGGCTAGTCTACGAGGTTGAAACGACAAGGGAGCTCTGGAAGCTGGTGCACATAGCTTCTATATGCTCCGCGTGAGGGGTCCAACCGCACGGAGCTGCTCGATCGGCGCGCCTCCGCATCATATGCTTTGTCGGACAGGGCTCTGGAGCTTGGAGCGCGCACTCACCCGCCGCCTCAATTGTGCCACGCCAAATTAGGCATTTTCGTAGCGCAGCGTCTGACGGATAGATAGCAGCGATTGTGTTATCCAAGCGGTGACTGTAACGGGCTTGGCGTGTATTCCGTCATCAGAAAAGTGGCTCAGGGTCCGTCGGAGGTCTGTGCCGCGGCATTCCCAGCCCCGCGATCTGCCAGGCCCAGTTGTTTGTTTTCGTCCCATCCCGCGCGCCGCCACGACCGCGACATCATCCCCCCCCAGCAGACACACACGATGAAGGTGACGATCAAGGAGTGGAATGCCGTCGCCGCCTGGCGATGGGACATGCCCGACGATGACGTCTGCGGTATCTGCCGCAACCCCTACGACAGCACTTGCTCCAAATGCAAGTTCCCGGGCGACGAGTGTCCGCTGTGTGCGTCAGCCGCCCTATAAGGATGTGATAAGTTGCTAACGCCGTGCAGTGCTCGGCGAGTGCAATCACTCGTTCCACATGGTACCTTGAGTCTCCTTTTGAGACGTGTTCCTGGCTAACGAACCCAGCACTGCATCTTCTCGTGGTTACGGCAGGAGAGCTCCCAGGAGAAATGCCCCATGTGCCGGCAGCGTATGTTCATTTCTGCCGAGACTTGACATGCCCTTACTGACGCGCGAGTAGCTTTCAAGAGCAAGAGCCAGGAAGCCCCAGCCGAAGCCGACGCGCAAACGCAGACTCAACAGCCCGAGACGAGTCCCCTCTGATCCCCCTCCTCCAGACCACCCTCCAAAGCCACGTATGGGGATCCGCGTATATCTGGGTTCGTGAGATGGCGCGTCGGCAGGGCGAAGGAGTGCCACCGCGGCTTAGCTTACGACAATTCGAGTTCGAATTGGGATGCAGGCGTTTAGAAGATACCCATTTGGTTTAATTGTACAACACACATTACCATCGAAATCAAGAACGGACGTTTGCCCTCCACAAGTCCGAAGCGCAACACGCCGCAAGGCCTCCTGTCTTTCATACGACTGTGTGCACGGGCCATATGCTTATCGATAAGGTTAGCCTCAGAGCTTCATTGAAGCTCCCCCGGCGGTAGCTCAGCGATACCAGCCTCCCCTTCTACGTCGCAACCATGTCTACAAGCCCAAATCCCTCAAAATCTCCGCCAGTACCCCAGAAAGCCCACTCGCCGCGGTCGCCAGCAGTGCCACATTTCGAAGATCCACCCGACCCGCAAGACGAGCCTCCCGAGTCACATCAGGCGGAACATGCAGCTTTCGAGGGCGACGATGAGATCCCCTACCCAGAGCCTACCTCCGAGCAGGCCCTCTTACCGCCACCGAACTTCAAGCCCTTTTTCACCATTGTAGAAGACCCGACGACGGGTGAACACTACCATCCCTACGTGCATTATGTCTTTGCCGACGACGACCCGGTCATCGTAACCGCAGCGGCAATGCGGAGCTTAGGGTTAGACGATACAAAATACCTACCGCAACCCGAGGGAGATGTCAGGGAACATATTGACGAGGATGAAGAGGAGCAGGAGCAGGAGCCGGCCGTGGAGTCTCCGCTCCCTCCGCCGATACCAGGCTACCGGGAACGCTTCCTCATTGTCGATATTGGCGCCGATGGCCACACCATTGCGGGTGCACAGTCGATGTCTCCAGATTGGCAGGTTACGAATGCGACTGTGCGCACTGCTCCATCCTTCGAAGAAGGAGCACCAGATTCGGGATACATGCTCAAGATCGAAGGTATCGAGGTGCCAGGCAAGAGCAAGGGCAAAGCAAAAGGTCAACCTGGAGAGAATAAGCTCAAAGAGGCGAGGGACAGGAGCCAAGGAGATGTCTTCGGGGCGCTAGACGGGCTATTGAAAGGCGTCGAAGGGAGCTTGGAGGTTGCAGGGAAGATTGCGGGACGACAGGACGATGTAAGGGAATCCGAGCGAACGGTTCTACAAGACGAGCAAGCTCAAGAGGGGCGGAGATCGAGCTTTACGGGTTAGTCATCACATTCCATACCTAGGTAATAGCACGCTATGCATGAGTGCGGCGTAGGGCGTTCACATAGGGCTGCATGGCGCTACGGGAGGCTGAAAGAAGCGCGTTGATGGCACGCCTCCCGGCAATAAATGGGAGGGCTCATCATGTAAGTGCCCTGAAAAGGCAAGATATATCCTTTAGAAAAGAAGGGAAAAGCAGTAAAATGGTTCTTCTATCTTGTTCTTGACCGCCTTTAAAAAGGGATAGCGCTTACTTTGTGCTCGATGGTACCTCCTTGGGGCTACAGGTCGCACCAAAGAGGGACGTCACCGCTCCTTCCTAACTTGCACCTCTCTCCACTCACCTCAACTTCAGCAGACAGCTCTTTTCCAACAAGTACATCCCGATAGTCCGGGCGAATCACTCACCATGCGTACCCATCTTCCTCTCCTGCTCAGCCTTCTCGCGGACTTAGCAGTAGCCAACAGCAAGTCGTTCGAATCGAAATGCAATGACATCGCCAGAGATATGCAAACCGGCTACGCCACCATCAACTTTGTGCAATACCTTCCTGCGGGCTCGACCATCAATCACACGGCTGAGGGTTTAAACGCGACGTGCGTCTCCAGTTCTGCTCCACCAATGCCCGTCGCCCTCTGTCGCGTCGGCCTCCATGTCCCTACTTCCTCGTCCAGCTACGTCCTCATAGAGGCGTGGCTACCAGAGAAGTGGGAGAGTCGTCTCTTATCAACAGGAAATAGTGCAACGGGCGGGTGTCAGTGTTATTCCTTGAGGGACTTCAGGTAAATATTTACACGCTCTACAGGCATCGACTACCCTCAGATGGCATACGGTGCATCTTTCGGATTTGCCACAGTGGGAACGAATAATGGACATAATGGCAGTTCTGCTGGTGCTTTCTTTCATCAGCCCGAGGTGTTGAAGGATTTCTCGTGGCGTGCTCTCTACACGGGGGCTGTAATCGGGAAAGAGACGACAAAGAAGTTCTACGATTGCGAAGACTTCAAGTCTTACCATATTGGATGCTCTACCAGTGGCCGACAGGTGCGTGTGTCCCGACATCTCTTTTTTAGGCTCTGGGAACCCGCTCCTGGAGGCCTTCAGTAGCTTTGGCATGTTGCTGCGAGACATTTGCTAACGTGTGGCGCCACTTCCGCAGGGCTGACGGGCCGCGCAATCGCATCCCGAGCTGTTCGATGGAATCGTCTCCGGAGCTCCGGTTATCAATAACGATGGTCTCGTATCTTGGTATGGCTATGCTCTTGAGACCGTCTTGGGCGCCAATACCTCGGATTCTTATCTCACCCCCGAAAACTGGAAGCTCGTTCACGAGGAAGTCCAAAAGCAGTGTGACGCGCTTGACGGCGCCGCAGACGGTATTCTCGAAGACACGCGCCGATGCAAGCTCGACTCCAAACCCCTTTACTGCTTGACGAGCAATCGCCCAGGATGCTTGTCTACACCCCAAGTTTTTGCTATGGAGCAGATCTTCTCGCCCTTCGTCTACGGAAACACGTACCTTCATCCTGGTGCAGCGCATGGCGACGAGACCTCCTTTTCTGAAGGCATTTACAGCAGCATCCCCATCACATTCCTTGTTGAAGGGTTCCGCTTCATTTTCTACAACGACTTGAGCTGGGAGCCTTCTCGCTTCACACCATTGGACGCTCTAAAGGTCGTCCAAGCTAACCCCGGCGACCTGCACACCTTCAATCCCAACCTTACCGCATTCCGCGATCGCGGAGGCAAGATCCTGCACTGGCACGAACAATCTGATGCCCTTGCCTCCGTGCGTAACTCGGACTGGTACTACGACCTCGTGCTCAACACCACCACTTCTGGGAACGTCGCCTCCCTCGACGAATTCTATCGCTATTTCCGCATCTCGGGTACATACCATTGCGGCGGTGGGCCGGGCGCGAATTTCATTGGCCAGAGCGGGCTTGCCAGGAAGGAGAAACCCGAAGATAACGTGCTTCTTGCAATCGTGGACTGGGTGGAGAAGGGGACGGCGCCCGAGTATGTAAGGGGGGTGAAGTTCGTGGATGATGAGCCGGAGAAGGGGGTGGTATTTACAAGGAGGCACTGTAAGCATCCACTGACGAATATTTATAACGGCAGGGCAGGGAATGGGACTGATGAGGACGGTTGGCGGTGTGTGGAAAAATAGTTCCTCGGTACCACACCATATGCAGAAGGCTGAAATAGCCGCAGCCAGCAGGGAATGGGCAATCATGATGATCTCGAACACGTATCAGTGAAATTAAATGCCTAATACGCTCCCTAAGTAACAAACTGGCATTCCTCTCACATTATCTGTAGAATTAGCTCGGTGTAATCCACCGCAAACTCTCCGACCTCTCGGAGCAAGTCCGACAACTCTTTCGTCTTGCCAATCTTATCCACTTTACAGATGATATATTCAATCACAAGCTTTCGCAACTCGTCCATCCTTCCGCCACTGCTCCTGCCCTTTAAGTAAGCGTATCTTGCGAGTTCAAGGATGTCTATCACCCTATTGTGGTATAGCTTGAACTCCATCAGAGTCCGGTGGAGCTTATAGAGGGCCAGTGCTGCCAGGGTTTCCACTTTCTTTTCACGCGCGAAGCGAAATAGTTGCGCGTGCGCAAGAAACACGGGGGTGAAGTCCTCTGTTGGGTCGTTGTTGCCCGTGGGCACGCACTGCGCCACTATGCGTGATTGCGGGTGGCCGTCAAGGAAATACTTGTGGCCGTACAGTCTTTCTAGCAGAATGTGGCGATTGGTCATGGGGCTCACATTATCATCTTTCTTCCACCACCAACGGGGAATCCAAGTCGTGGTTTCTGGTCGCTGCTCTGCCGCATACGCCCCAGAGGGCTGCTCTCCAGTTCTTCGCCCTGTCATCTTCTCGCTGATAGACCTAACGTCATTGCCGGGTTCTTTCGCTTCACCGAGATCGCTCCGGAACAGGGGCACGGTGTAGTCGCCGCGGTACGCGTATTCGCAGAACCGGACGAAGTCTTCGACGTCGATGTCCGGAAGCGATGCCTCGCCTCCCTCGGCTTCGCTGCTGAATAAGCCATGCATTTGCACTTTCAACGGCTCGGAGATGGCTGATATTGCTTCTCGATGGACGATGATGCTCTTCTTTTTGGGGCCGACGATGAAGGTGAAATGGTCGGATTGGAGGATGCTGGTAAGCGTTAGCGTGGCTGGCGTTTGACTCTGGGGACCGGCTATGGATTTACGTTCCGAAGCTGGAGGTTTGAGCCATCTTTTTCTGGCGATCTGGATGGGAGGGGAAGAGAGAAGCAGAGCATGGGAAGGGTTGATGATGTGGATGCCTTTTTATCTTCTTCAGAAGTGAGAGATGGGGCAAGCGGGATACGTTTAACTTGCGATCGCAGGGGGAATCAAACGTACTTCCCGGGTCAACAAACGAATAAGTCTTTGTACCATTAATTGGCGAGATAGGTCGCGTTTTCGTGTTCTTTGGGGCGATCGAGCGAAGTCACCGTTCAACTCCTTTCTATAGGCCCAACTGAAATGCACTCTCGTGGCTCCCCTCCGTTACTCCACCTGAATACGGACCGTTGCTCATAGCAAATGCTTCCTCGCAACACCCCAAAAATCTCCCACAAACTCACCACCATCTTCCATGAGCTCGAAGAATTCGCCAGTCTTTCCGATCGTATCGATTTCGCACGCAATATACTCCACCACTAGCTTCCGCAGGTCGTCGATGGTCCCGTCTAGATTCCGGTCAGACGTATGGTTGTTGTTGTATGCATATCTAGCAAGCTCGAGAATATCATTGACCCTGTTCGCATAGAGTTTGAAGTCCATAAGAGTTCGGTGTAGCTTGTGGAGCGTTAGGGATTTAAGGGGCGCAACCAGCTTCTCGTTTGCGAACGAGTAAAGACGTGCGTGGGCGAGGAATACTGGCTTGAAGTCCTGATTCGCTGTGGTGTTGCACTTTGGGCGGAATTGCTTGAGGATCTTCGCTTTCGGATCTCCGTCTATGAGATACTCGCGACCATGTAGCTGGGTCCGAAGGGCAGATTTGTTCGAAGAAGGGAGAGGGGGCGCGAAATCCCAAAAGACATCCTTCTTCCCTTTCTTTTTCTTCTTCCCCGTCACAGTACCAAAGCTCCAAGGATCGTCTGGTGCCACGTCTGCGGCAGCTTCCTCTGGAATGGCTACATTCTGGGGAGGTTCTTCTGGGACAGGTTCGACCGGGGCAACTTCTGGCGCGGGCTCGGGCTCGGGCTCGGGCTCTGGCGCGGGCTCTGGCGCGAACTCGAAACCGAAATAGACTTTTTGCTTGGACTGCTGCGCTTGGTGGGAGCTAGACTCACCATTGAGCACAGAAACGTCCTCGCTTTGGCATTTGGGAACTGTGTAATCTCCTCGGTAGGCATACTCGCAAAAGCGAATGAAATCGTCAACACGAACATCCGCAATCGCAGCACAACGTGTCTCAGCCTCGCCCCACTCTCCGTTCATCATGCTGCCTATGGGGTCGGACACCGAAGCAAGTGCCACTGAATGAACGATGATGGGCTTTTTCTCGTGCCCGACGAAGAAAGTGAACTGGCCAGATTGAATGATCCTGGTTCCTGTTACTTATTGCTAGTATCGCTGAGGTATTTGGACTTACTTTTCGAAGGTCGGCGCCATTGTTGCGAAGATTAACATAAGGGTGTCGTTGGGAAAACTGAGGTAGAGCGGAGAGCCAGAGCTAGAAGGCTCTTATACGTACGACTGAGAACATCAGGCAAGACTTGCAGGAGACAAGGCGGGGTCGTACAGCACACACCGTCGTCCCCAGGACGCCACTGGCTGAAGCTGTAACACAACGTTATCACCTCCTTCGCGGCGTCCAAACAGCATCAGGCGCGGTCCTCTCCGCCTGCAGCTTGCGTGGGGTTTTCATGTCTTCCTGCAGGGAGAACCAATCAATTCCCGCAAGGCTGAGAGAGATGTCTGGGAAGACTCAGCTTCTCAGTCATGTGCGAGCGACATGTTCGAGAAAGAAGAAATGTAGGAATGACTCTTCCAAATCGCACAAAGTCGAATGTGGACAACACGAAGGTTGACGTGCAATGAAAAAGGAAGGTGTAGCCGTCCACCAATCACAGTCTGCCCATCACGTGCTGTCTCCGTCCAAAACTGGGAACCCCGCGATGACGCCACAGCACAACAGCCACCAGATCTCCAAGATGACGATCGCTGGGACCTTTGGACAAGCCTTCCCTGCGAAGCCGTTGGACGGGATGCGCTCTCCAGTCCAGACCGCGAAGCCCCATACGTCATCGGCACTTAACAAACCTAGGAGAAAGTTGGGTATAGTATCTCACATTCCGCGGATGCCATCTTGCATCTGCCTGGATACACGGTCCATATCCCTTGCGCAAATCATTTGCTCCTCTGTTCTTCCTGCGTCGCCTTCACTCGCCTTTTGTTCTTGAACAGTCGAAAAAGTAGCCAAGACGTCGTCCTTTAAGTTAGCCAACCGCCGCGCCGTCGCGTCGCTCGCCCTCATCTCCGTGCTCTCCGCTATCGAGAACCAGCGCAAAAAGCGGACCACGCCCGGCGACGAAGACTTCGCGGCGCAAGATATGTCGGGCGAGCTCCAAACGATCCCTGCGCGGCATGGAGTCGCGACGTTCGTGCCGAGAGGCAGGACGATCAAGATCATAAACACTTATGGCAAACAGGTGGTTAGTACATGGGCGTTTGGCCTGGGTGTGCCGCCGGAGGAAGGAGATGGCAGCGAAGAAGAGGTTGATGAGGTTGAGATCGAGGAGAAGGTAAAGGAATTGAAGGAGAGTGCTGGTGAGGAGGGGAAAGGGAAGAATCGGAAGACTGAGGAGTCTGAGAAGCCGAAAGAGGTGGCCGAGAAGGTAGAGAAAGATGTTGAGAAACCGAAAGAGGATGCTCAGAAAGGGAGGGACAATGGAAAGTCTGAGACCGAAGGTGCTGAAGGGAAAGCCCAGGAGAGCAGCTCGAAGGAAATTGAGTCAACCGAAGCAGACGATCCACCCGAACAGGCCCCTGACACCCCCAACAACGAAAAGTCCGAACAACAGAAGCAGCCCGAGAAGCGCACCTGGTCCTCATATCTACCCTCCATGCCCTATCGCTCAAAGAACCAGCCCAACAACTCGAAAGCAGATGCAAAGAAAGAGAAGGAGCAGAGCGAGGCCACATCGAAGAAATGGTCTTCTTACCTGCCCACAGGCAAAGGCTTCTCAAGCTACGTTCCTAATGTGCAAATGCCGAACTCGCAAGAAGTAATGAGTGCTTTCAAAACAAGTCACTACCGGGATCCAAATAAGAGCTACGCGGAGCAGCTGTACGATTTTTCGAAGACGCCGGTAGGCGCGGGAAGTTTGGCGGGTGAGCATCCATTTGCGCTGTGTTTGTGTATGATTAGAGACTGACTGAATCCCATAGCGGCGACTGGCTCCGGCACCGCCTCCTCCCTCTACGCAGCGTACAATGCCTACTCCAAGACGAGTCCCTCGAAGCTCGATCAACCACCCATGGAATACCTTTCCCTTCCTCACACCCGCGCCGCAATGCATCGCCTCGTTCCCGAAGTCAACGATACACTGCTCACGAACCTACGCAATCCCATTATGACGCTCATCGAGGATACTACACCTGGCGCGCACGATACTCTGACCGCGGCTTGCGACGCGTCTCAATATGCCGCTTTGGGTGTTGACAAGCCAGAGGAGCACGGCAGCTGCGCAGAGAATCTTGTTTTGGCCCTTAAGGAATTGAATGAGAAGGCGGGACTGAAGGGGACAAAGGCTGTAGGCGCAGACATAACAGTCAATATCGCGCCTACGCCACTTCATCTGTTCATGAATGCGCCGCTGGAGGTCGATACGAGCGCCCAAAGCGAAGGATCAGGTGCGAAAGGCGCCAGCTTTAATGTTGAGGAGCCTAAAGGCAAGAAGAGGAGCTACGTCCGCTTCAAGGCAGAAAGAGACATCGTCGTCGTATTGAGTGCTTGCCCAATGGACGTTGGATCACAAAACGGCGGACGGTGTATGGCAGCCAACTTCGAGGTTGAGGAAGCACAGGAGGATCTCGCGAACTCAACATCCTCGATCAAAAAGAAGACTGCTCCAAAGAAGCTTGACGCCGGTGCAAATAAGGAAGATACAAGCAAGGATGGACCAAAGCCTATGCCTAAACCAAGGGGTGGACCACAAAAGGCGGCAGCCGTGAAGAAGTCTGCTGAGAGGAGAGACAGTGCAGGAGATGACCCACCGGAATCAGAGTTGCCGGAGAAGAAGGACGAGCCCAAGGACGACGCAAAAGCGAACGAACAGCCCAAGCCCAAGAAGAAGCCCAAGAAGCTCGAGCGTCGGGGCGGTACCCCAACGCCCTCGAAGAGCGAGTCTTCGTAGAATCGAAATCACCTACGTGTCCTCCTTCTCCTATCTCTACACCAAATACGACCAAACCCCCAACCACATCGCCAACGGGCCAAACGTTCCCATCACCCTTGAAAAGCACACCTTCCATAATTGCCATACGAGCGTCGGCTAGTGGGGAAACCCATCGGCTTGCCCGTAATCAATATATACCCCGGTCCCTGTTCCGAGTAACCTTCATTTTCGCCAACCCGCTTCGCGAACCCGCATTTGCATACATATGCGATGCGGGTTTTGTTCCCGGTTAAAGAATTTTCGAGAATGCTATTTTTAGGGTGATGATACGAGGGAGTGAGAACTTTATTGCAACTTTGAGTGTCCAGCGAGGTTAATCCGGTGGACTTCTTTTCCCAATGGTTGAGAATGTCACATGCTTGGATGACAACCAAGTGAGCGAGTGGAGCATACGGGCGTTTTGATTCTTGCAAGGAAAAGCGAATTTCGGTCCAGCGAATGTATCTAGTATGTAGCTAGCTAATCAGTCCACTCTGAGTGACAAAAACCTCCTCCCCCCATACCATCATTCCCCGTCATGTCAACTTTGGTATCTCTTCCACATTCCCCCCAATAGCTTACACTCTCCTCTGCCTCGGACAGAAAGGCACGCAAGTATACGTCGGGCACCCCTTGTACAACGTCACCGTCGGCAACGCCGTGCACTTATCCACAATCGGCTTCGTAGGCTCCACGGGCGTAACCGTCTTAATCGTCACAATCGTCTTCTCGATCTCCCTGACCTCAACCTCTCTCTCCTCGACGTCCGGGGCCGCGGGCGTGATGTTGCACGGGTACCCGCCGTCCGGGCACGTGGGCGGGATGCACGGTGGGACGATGGTCTTGGTGACGGTGGGGCAGGCGCTGCGGGTGGGGATGGTGTAGATCGGCTTGGTGGTTGTGGGCTTGAGGGAGACGAGGGTCGTTGGGCAGAGGCAGGTGGGGCACTTGCCCTGCACGGTCTTGGTGACGGGGCAGTCCATGATGGCGTGCTCGGATGGCTCAGCGGCGATGACGGCTTCCTCGTAGGTAGGCGGGAGGTTGCGGCAGGGCGCGACGCAGGCGATAAGTGGGCATGGGACGGGGCGTGTCACAGTGGTAGTGATGCCGCAAGTAGGCTTGATGATCTCGCGGTCGACGAGCTCAGCGGCAGCTGTGGGCTCCGGCGCGGCATCACGTTTTCCCCAGGAGACATAGGTTGGGGGCGTGTATTCCGGGATGTGGGGGAAGGAGAACGGGGGGAACTTGGGGATGCCGCTTGGCCAGTTAAGCCCGATGGTGTTAGCCTGGGGTTCAGCATCGCGCTTTCCCCACGTGACGTAGCTTGGAGGAGTGTACTCCGGCATTTGCGGTAAGCCAGTTGGCTTAGGGACGTTGGACGGCCAGACCATCCCGATGGTGTTGGCCTGAGCATCGGCCTCGCGCTTGCCCCAGGAGATGTACGCCGAGGTCTTTGTCTTCTTCGGTGGTTTCGGCCACCAGAGAGAATAGGTTGGGTTTCCGAGCCCGATTGAAGGGGGCGGGGTGGCCTCGGCCTCGTCTATGTCATCACGCTTTCCCCAAGAGATGGTTGCAGAAGGAGTCTCCATGCTGACGGAATCGCTGGGCTCGGGGAAGATAGGGAGGTCGGTGGGCAAGAGCTGACGCTTACCCCAGGAGATGGAAGCCTGCGGTGGGTTCATGCTGATCTCATCCGTGGGTTCAGGAAATCCGGGGTCAAAATCTGTGGGCTCTTCTTCGTCTTGTCGTTTTCCCCACGAAATGGTAGCCTGTGGTGGGTTCATGCTGATCTCATCCGTGGGTTCGGGGAAACCGGGATCGAAGTCTGTAGGCTCCTCTTCGTCCTGGCGCTTACCCCAGGAGATCCATGCGGATGTGTGCTTCGGGGGCTTCGGCCACTTGAGAGACGCGGTAGGCTTTCCGAGTCCATAGGTTGGCGGTGGGACGGCTTCACGCCTTCCCCAGCCAAAGGACACCTTAGGTGGCTGAATACCGATGCTGTTAGGCATAGTGGGCATTGGGAAGGGTGGAATGATAATCGGGCCGCCGGGGGTCTCTGGGTCCTCTGGGAACTCAGGATCTTCCGGGAACTCAGGGTCCTCGGGAAACACTGGATCTTCGGGAAGATCAGTTGGTTCGGGCTCATCTTCTTGCCGCTTGTTCCATGTAACACTGGCCCTTACACGCCTAGTTGAGGACGACTTTGGCTTTGGCTGCGGCCACCAAGGGAAGGGCTTCTTGGTAGGCTTGGGGGTGGGAGCGGCTCCATCCCAAGAAATGGAATATGAAGGCGGACCGAGGCTGATTTGATCGCTTGGTTGGCCGGGCTGAGGGGCTGGGTCTTCTCCATCATCCGTAGATCTCGGGACAGGAGCATCCCAGGTCATAGAGTACGACGGCTTACCGAGGCTAATTTGGTCACTAGGTTGTGGCGTCGGTGGGTCTTCTGGTTCCGGAGTGGGTTCCGGCTCAGGGTCCTCGGGAGTCTCTGTCGGGAGCGGAGGATCCCAGCTGATGGTAAACGAAGGGGGATTCAAACTGATCTGATCGCTTGGTTTCGGTGGCATTGGTGGATCTTCTGGGTCGGGCGTGGGTTCAGGCTCCGGAGTCTCCGTAGGTGTTTCAAGCGGAGGGTCCCAGCTAATAGAGTACGATGGCGGGCCGAGACTGATTTGATCACTTGGCTTCGGGGGCTGAGGTACTGGAGTGGACTTCTTAGGAGTTTCCGTAGGTGCGGGAGGAAGCGGGCCATCCCAGCTGATAGAGTACCTGGGCGGGCTAAGCGTGATCTGTCGAGGTGCCGGTACTTCCGGGTTTGGCAAAGGAGCTGGAATCGCGTGAATGCTGGTGATCGTTAGCTGTCGCATCTCTATAGCGGGAGGCGTGTAGAAACCTGGCAACAAGGCCAAGCAAGGCCAACACACTTCGCTGAGAAGGCGCCATTTCCGTCAAGAGTTGTCCAGCGCTATCCGTTCAATGAGGTATTGGACTGATGCCGTTAAACAGCGCTGCAGATCTTTCCGGCGAGCACGATGGAGTGTTATATGACGTTTGACCATCGGCGGTCACCTGCGGCACACAACCACAAGCACTATGTACAAATGAAAGATACGATGGCCCACACTATCGCCTCCGTACCTCAACGCTCTTTTCACGTGTTGCATATTTGATTTCTCCATCTGCGGTCCGTGGGGAGACGAGAAGACTCGTACCAGGTTCTAGGTCGAGCGTGTACGTTGCGGACTGCATCCCAAGCAAAGCTTGCCGAGCTCAAAGTTCGATAGTGGCATGATTGGCAAACCTATTATTAGCAGTCTAGACGGATATGCGTGGAGCTTGCAGAAGGTTATTTGGCGAGAGGGGAAGAAAGACTGGAAAAATAGAGTGGAAGTTGTATACGTAGATTGCTGGATATTTGAAGAGATCGCACCGAGGATCCGGCAGCAACCGAACGAGGCCGTATTGGGCGCAGGGGCATGGAGCTTAGACCTTGCATGCTTCGTGCTCGACCGACCGGAAGACCATCACCACTTCGCAGACCAATATTTCTTCGCCTTTTCTCCCCAACCCTCGTCCTGCAGTCGATCTAGAAGCGGATAGATTCGCCACCGTCTGTCGTTCGTATGCTTATGGGACATTTTGTCATGGAGCGACGCTTCCCCATCGAGCATTGCATCCATGCTAGCAGCCGTACTCGGAGCCGACTAATATCAATCGCTGGGTAGATGGCGGATTTCCATGTAAGATGTGCTGTTTTTGGAACCTCTGGATACTTCTTTTCTCTCTTAGGCAGTCCCTCCGTACTTGAAGCACAGATCGAAGCAAGGTGTCGCCGCACCACCTGCTTTTGCACCGCATCCAGGTAGCAGTAGGCGGCGCATCCGACTCAACTGAGAATATGCTGATACTGTGGAGTAGACTACTTGGGAGTCAGTGATTGAGTTATGCGTTCGATTGGCGGAGACAGCAATTGATCGATTGGCCACTTCCGCACGGCTCGAATACTGAGCCGATCTCTGTGACCAACTCTAAACATCTCGATCCCAGCCCAAGCAACCATGGCGGCATTGTCGCAACAGAGGCTAGGTGGAGGGAACACAATGTTCACATTGTCATATCCATGAGCGCACAGCGTACTCGCGAGTCTAAACAGAGTCAGTAGAATTTCCCGTACGCTTAATTGAGTGGCACGTACATGTACCTGAGATACGAGTTTGCTGCAACACCCCCGGCCATCACAACAGTCGATGCAGAAGTTTGCTGCAGCCCTAACAAGACGCGGCCAGCGAGATGTTCGAATGCTGCACGCATTGCATAACGAGCTATGTCCATACGTTCTTCCGTGCTGATATCTTCGGCCAACCGTTCGGTTTTGGTCAGCTTGCTCGTCGACGGGTCCAACTGATAACGAACGACACGCTCGACGGCAGTCATTAACCCAGAAAAACTCATCTCCATGCCCTTGCTCTTTAAACCACCGGCTGCTTTAGCAAGCGGCTGGTTGAACCCCCAACCCCATTTAGACACATTGCGCTTCAGAGCTTCTTCGTGATTCCTGGGGACTTCGTATGCATATTTTACGCCATACTTGCTGCGATATTGCGCAGCTGTGCTATTCTCGAGAGGAAACGCCGATTGGGGTTCCGGTTCGGAACATATATTTAACTTTTGTGGGATGAAGCCTGGGTCGTTATTTGGTGACGAAGATCCAGCTGCGGGCATTTTTGCCTGGGGAAAAGCGAAGTCTTCGAGAAGAGCTCCGTACATTGTATTGCGTGCGTTCTGCAAGACGTCCGAAGGGAGGACCACGCGTGCAATCTTATCCAGGCATTCGCCAATCGCAATGTCATTTGTGCCAGCCATGACTTCGTGTGTTGTCAAGGACGCGGAGCGGATGAGAAGGGTATGGCCGCCTGAGGCCAGAACAGACAGGAAAGGGAAGTCTGGTTGGACTGTGATATTCGTACCGTCTTCAAGTAACGTGTGTTTGTTACGCGACGCGTCTTCGAATGTTCGCAGGGCTGCTACTAAACGGGGCGTTAGGGCATGCGCTTGCATGTGGTGCACGCCGACGAGCGGTTTCTAGCAGAGGTTAGCTCTGACCAAACTACATCAGTGAAGACTCTGGATACCTGCCATGCTACTGCGAGGCCTTTCGCCGTATCGAGGCCAGTGGAGAGGTTTGAACGCATCCCAGGCCCTCGTGTTACCGCGATGAAGTCGGGAAGCTTCTTCCCGGGGAATGACCCTGCCAGCTCCTCTGGTGCATGCATAGTAGGACCGGCACCATCGTGAAGTGGCGCTCCATGTGTAGTTTTTCTATCAGGCAAGTGTTGTATCGCTTCCTCTACGAGCATGGCCAAATTTTCCTGATGCGATTCGAGGGATATCAACGGATGCACGCCATTGAATGCAGTGTTATTCGCCGTGACCTTCTTGTGGAAGAGCAGCTTCGCAGCCGTCTTTCCCGTCTCCGGGCATCGTCCCGTCTCGAGGAGGCACGCGGCCGAGTCATCGCAGGAGCTCTCTATGGCAAGCGTCAAGAGGAATCGCGGACGCGGTGCGTGGCCCGGGGTCAATCGCGGGCGGACAACAGCATGAAGGGCAACGGGGCGGACTCGCATGCTTCACATGCCAAAGGCCGTGCCCGCGAGATGTTGAAGAGGTGTTGACGCGTGATGCGCGGCGGGTGCTTCTTCAGTTCAGTTCAGTTCCTGCAGGACGCGGATCCGAGTCGTGGCGGCCCGTGCCTGTGACATCACATGCCCTCGGGCTTCCACTGGACAGCTCCAGATGTCCTCTCACCACCGACGCTCCACACTCCCATAAAAACCCCGACCCTCGAACATGCGACCTTCAGACCTCCGACTCTGCTCCTATGGCTGACGTGAAGAGGGAGACCGACGGGCCCGAGCCCTATTCCGCCTCCGCTTTCGACTTCACCCTCCTCCCCGACATCGACAATGACTTTGTCTCCGACGCCGACATCGCCGAGTTCGCAAAGGCCCTGACAGCCCCGGAGAATTCGCCATCCACCGAAGACCTCACCGCCCCGCAACCAGAACCGCGCAAGTTCATCACAGCGCTGAATGACTGGAGACCGGTGCATCAGCGAGTGCGGCGGCGGCGGAAACACAAAAAGCAAGAGCCGCGGCGCGGCACAGACGAGACCCGCGAGGGCTTTGTCTACGTGCTGCTGAAGTGGCCACTCCTCATCGTCGTCTTCGGGTGGCTGCTATTCCTGAGCATAGCCTACGTCTTCACGCGACTTTACATCTACCTCTACGAGCAGTGGGTGACCTGGCGGGGTCGCAGGCAGACACTACGAAGACAACTGCAGAATGCAAGGACGTATGAGGACTGGGTGAAGGGCGCGAAAGAACTAGACGCATATCTGGACAACGATGCATGGAAAGAGAAGCCCGAGTATGCCTACTACGACAGCAGGACAATCCGCAGAGTGCATGACCAGATGGTGAAACTGCGGCAGCGGGCTGAATCGGATGAAAATGGGACATCGAACGGAAAGGCCACAGCGGACCATCAGAAGGCTGTCGAGGAACTACGTGGACTGCTCGAAGCCTGCATCAAGAACAACTTCGTCGGCTTCGAAAACCCTAGGCTATACAGCGAGACCTACTACGGGACGAAACACCTAGTGCAGGAGTTCATCGATGAAGCGGAGAAGTCGCTTTCGTTCCTCCTGCACACATCGCAGCTCGATCAGGAGACCAAAAGAGCCATATTCAAGCATCTCAGCACCAACTTCGGACGCACGGCACTGTGCCTTTCCGGAGGTGCTACGTTCGCCTACTATCACTTCGGCATAGCTAAAGCTCTCTTGGACGCCGATCTCCTACCGGAGGTCATCACGGGTACTTCAGGGGGGGCTCTTGTGGCGGCTCTATTGTGCACAAGAACAGATGATGAGCTGAAAAAGCTCCTCGTTCCCGCACTCGCACACCGCATCACGGCGTGTCATGATGGTTTCCGGACATGGCTCAAGAGGTGGTACCTCACTGGAGCTCGATTCGACAGTGTCGACTGGGCAAAGAGATGCGCCTGGTTCACTCGAGGAAGCATGACCTTTAGGGAAGCGTATCAGCGAACCGGACGCATCCTAAACGTCTCTTGCGTGCCGTCAGACCCACATTCACCGACCATACTTGCCAACTACCTCACCTCGCCCGACTGCGTAATCTGGTCCGCCGTTCTGGCTTCCGCTGCTGTGCCAGGTATCCTTAATCCGGTCGTCCTGATGAAGAAGAATAAGGACGGCACGTTGGCGCCTTATTCATTTGGGCACAAGTGGAAAGACGGGAGCCTGCGAACGGACATCCCACTAAAAACGCTCAACTTACATTTCAACGTACGCTTCTCCATAGTGAGCCAGGTTAATCCTCATATCAACATATTCTTCTTCTCCTCGCGTGGGTCAGTAGGTCGACCGGTAACCCATCGTAGAGGCCGCGGCTGGCGAGGCGGCTTCATCGGCTCCGCTCTGGAGCAATATCTGAAGCTGGACCTCAATAAGTGGCTCAAAGTGCTCCGTCATCTCGAGTTGCTCCCACGCCCTCTGGGTCAGGACTGGAGCGAGATCTGGCTCCAACGCTTCAGCGGCACGATAACAATTTGGCCAAAGTCCATCCCGTCCGACTTCTATTACATCCTTACCGATCCTACACCTCAACGTCTCGCTCGCATGATCCACGTTGGGCAACAATCCGCCTTCCCCAAACTCAAGTTCATCGGCAACCGCGCGAAGCTGGAACAAATAATCCAACAAGGACGACGCCAGTTCCGCCCTCGCACTACCCAGGATGGTGGCCTAGCGGGCGTCCTCTCCGAAGACGATCTCCGCAGCCTGTTGAAACGCACTAAGAGCGACGGCGAGAATGGTGCTTCATACCCAATGTCCGGATCTGAGTCGTCGTCTTCTGCCGGCCCAGGTTCACCAAAAGATTTGCCGTTAGGTTTCTCCTTCACCACAAAGGAAAAGCGAGCACCCGCACGCCTGGCGACACAGCAGCCCTCTCAGCCTTCGGACAAACCTTCCGTACCAGACAGCCCATCCCTCAGCCAGCGCTTAACCGGCTGGTGGTCCGCCCTCTCTCCCCGCGACGCCCAACATCCCCCGTCTGAGATACCAAAGCCACGCCTCCGTCCTCGCAAGTCACCAGGGGCATCCCCCTTTATGCCCGACCGCCCTTCTTCCATGTTCGAGCTCCGCCCCCAGCAGCACGTTCTCAACACGCCAGCCTACAGCGGCCAAGCACCATCCTTTTCTTCCCATCACCGAACTGGCAGCTTCCTGAAGGAGCTCAGGAGACAGAGTAGAGTCTTTGTAGACGATGTTTCTGATCCCGAGGACAACGCCGTTGCTAATTTCGGCGATGCAGGCAGGAGGTATGATCGTAATGGACATAGTGGGGAGAGTGGTGCGGATGCGGATGCTGGCGCTGAGGATTATGGTGACGATGGAGATGATGAGGATGAGGGTGCCGTGGATGACCTTGAGCCTGAGGCCGAGGTTCAGAGTGCGGGTGTGGGATTGGGTTTGGAGGGCAGGCCGTTGAAGTGAGCCTGTGGTTGGCTGAGAAGGTGGTGATGCAGCGTGTATTCGTACTCCGCCCTTTTATTAGCATCTCCTTTGTTGTCCTGACATGAATGAGTCCCCCCTGCATGGAATAGAAGAATGGAGTTTACGAGCTATTGATGGCATTCCATGGTGGTATGGTAAGGGACGAAGGCGCGATAGAGATAGATCCGTTTCAGAACTCCGGAATTTCGCTATCTGGGTATCTCAATGTCGTTCCAAATCAATACGAGAAAGGTGCATCTCACGCCCGTGTATCCCACGTACGAATCCTCGCAAGGCACAGCAAGATCTGTATCTCTATTATGTACCATCCAAGGCGGGTCACTCCAGTCAGGAGGCGCCCTGCGTCAGTCATCGGACATCCTCCTTCAACCTTGCATCTTCTCAAAGTCGAACTGCTCAATAGGGGCCAGCATATCCCAATGCAGCCCTTCCTGTGCATCGACAGCGGGTGCTAAGGTATCCAAGCCCATAGCCGCGTCCATCTCAGCCTCCTCAGCGTCAAACATCGGTAAGTCGCCCAACTGAGGATCAAAGAACCCGTGCTGCGCTTCGTTCCCTTTGGCATAAGCTTCAACGCCGTCGAGCATACCCATAGGCTGGTCAATATAATATGGCGTCTGCGGCACACTCGGCTCTGTAGAGTCGAACATAGACATTGGTTCATCCAGACCGCCAATCCAGAACTGGCCGCCCGTCAGAGCGTCACGCTCGGTGATCATGCCCTCGACCGCCTCTTCTGACATTTCGTGAGCAGCGCGAAGATGTCTACGCAGATCGCGGTCCATGTAGAACCGGTATTTGCAGTCCTTGAACAAGCAAGGAACTTCTCTTCCTTTCTCGTAACCGATACCGGTTAGGAGTGTGAGTGTAGACGGTTGCGGGTTCTTCTTCCTTTGCTTTCGAGTGGCCTTGCGGTTCTGAAGGCCTAGATGGTGCGTCCTGATGTGCTGCTCCAAGGAGGATTTTGCCTTGAAAGCCGCGCCGCAAGCGTTTTCTCCATTCCAGCACTGAAGGTCTGGGTGTTTTGAGCTGTTCATTGCTCCAGACGCACAAATGAACTTGAATTGTTTATCATGGACAGCTTGGATGTGGACGTTGAGGTTGTGCTTCCTGTTGAAGACACTACCGCAGCCCGGCCGCGGGCAAGGGAACTTGGGCTGGGTCGCCGGATCGGCATGAACTGTCTCGATGTGGGATTTGAGGCCTTGCTGGTTCTTGAACTTGGTGCCACACTGGGAGCAGGCCGGAGGATGAACTTCGCGCAAGTGGGCTTTAAGCTCATCGTAACTCGCGAAGGAGAGCGGCTCTTTTGGAACGGTTACCGTCTCCCCAGCCTGGTTCACAATCGTTTCGACTCCTGTCTCTGGTGGAATGCAGACCATACAGAAATGCTCATCCTCTTTGTCCTCCAAATGCGCATTTACCATATGGCGACGGAGGGCCCCCTCAGTCTGGTATCCGTTTGTGCATCGTTCGCCGGTCTCCGAGTCGACGAATGTGCAGGGATACGGCTTCGCTTGCATGTGCTGAGACTTGATGTGCGCCTCGAGCGTCTTCTCCTTTCGGAATGCCTCATTGCACGGCGGATAGCCAGTGCAGTAGTACTTGGACTCGTGTACGTCCTTGTGCCGCTCAAGTCTGCCATTGGATGTGAACGTCTTGTCACAACCTTCCCAATCGCACACAAAGTTCCGTTCGGGTTCAGCGTGGGAGTTCCTCAGATGTCGTTGAAGATGGTCTTTGCGAGGGAAGGTCTTGCCGCACCCGTGGTGCGGGCATGCAAAGGGTCGCTCCTTGTTGTGGCTCCGCATATGAGCTTCCAGGCGACACGGACGATTGAAGCGTTGCCCGCAGCCTTCGACCTCGCACACATAGTTCCATGCTCGCCGGGCCTCGCTCGCCGCACGCTTGGTGCCATTGTCCGTGTAGTTAACGACATACTCCGTGGAGTCGTCGGATGGGAACCCCTCTTCGGGGACGAAAATGCCCTGAGCCTCGTCTCCTACCGCCTCTTAGAGTGGTGTCAGCTTGTGCCGCAGACGGTATGGGCGGCGTAATACCAAGTCGAGACTTCTTCCGTGACGACGAGTCCCCAATGCCGGCATCTTTACGCTTGACGGCCATTGCATTGCATTGCACAGCAACACGGGCAAGCTGAGCGCTGTCGAGAAAGCGAACCAAAATCAAAAGCCGAAGCACGCCAAGACTTCGCGACCTGTGCGTTGCGCTAGAAACAGACCCGCACGTGATTGGACGACAGCTTTTTGCTCCTCGTCTTCGCGTTTCTTTCAGGCCGCGGCGCATTCTCCCATCCCCAGCTTCCCTACTCAACCTCGCAGCGAACGAAGGTCGAAGACGCACACAGAGCCATTTGCTTACTACCTCGACCATGTCTGACTACGGCGGCGGCGATGATTACGATGCGGGAGGATATGTGGAGGAGCCATACTACGACGAGGAGGCAGAGCCGGAGCTCTACGAAGACGACGTCCAGGAGCAGGACGGCGGCCAAACTGAGGATCCTGAGACGGTCGAACAGAACCAAGAGACCAATATTGTCGAGAGCGGAGACCCAAGCGCAGCCGCGGCGGCCAAAGCTGCGAACAACAACACGGTACAAGCGCTGAAGTCGAAGAAGGTGCCCAAAGATGAGCGCGTGACGACGCCCTACATGACCAAGTACGAGAAGGCGCGCATCCTGGGTACAAGGGCTCTTCAGATTAGGTGGGTTAGCATTTGCGTCTCCACCGTGGAAGGAGGACAGCAAAGGATTTAAGCTGACACTCTTGCCAGCGGCAACGCACCCGTACTCATCGACGTGGAGGGCATGACCGACCCTCTCGAGATTGCTGCCAAAGAACTGAACGAAGGCAAGATTCCTCTAGTCGTCCGGCGGTATCTTCCAGATGGATTGTAAGTCTGTTTGTGTATGTACTTCAAGCAGTGCTAACCCAGCACAGCTACGAAGACTGGTCGTGCGAGGAGCTTCAGAGGTGAATAATGGGTAGTGTCTTCTTGCATCTGATATGGAGTTCTCACGGAGGGTAAACCGGGGCATTGCTCGGCGAACGGAGTCTCCGAGCGCCCATCAATTTATACCCCGAATCAAGACCGAATTTGCGTATATTCTCCGAACCAAAAGGGTGTGAAGCGGATCCGATAGCTGGAGTGCCGGAATACTTACCTCATTTCAGGCAAAGTGGGGCAAAAGCAGCCTTTTGGAGAGGGGAACATTGCCCCGCAGTCGAGCTAACATTAAAAACGTCACTTAGGAAATCTACACAAAGCCTCACCTTCGAGCCAGAGTCCACAGTCGACCTACACCCTCTTTGACGAAATTGTCGCTACACATCTCGAACCGTCGTCCGCCATGTCATTCGAAACGACCGCCACGATCGCCTCCTTCGGGGGCAAGCTGCTCAAGCTCAAGCACAAGTCGTCGAGCACGAACACCGACATGGCACTCAACCTCTACCTCCCTCCTCAAGCTCTCAAGTCGGGCGCGAAGGTTCCTGTGCTGTTCTACCTTTCAGGCTTGACTTGTACGGGCGACAATTGCTCGGAGAAGGGTTTCTTCCAGCACGGTGCAAGCGAAAAGGGCCTCGCTGTAGTGTATCCGGACACTAGCCCAAGTACGTCACCTTCACGAAGTCTAGGTGCCTGGCTAACCAAACACGCCGTGTAGGGGGATTGCAAATCCAAGGCGAAGACGACGCTTACGACTTCGGCTCCGGAGCTGGTTTCTACGTTGACGCGACCAAAGAGCCGTGGACGAAGGGCTACAACATGTACACGTATATTACAAAGGAGCTCCCGGAAGCACTGTTCTCGTCATTCAAGGAGCTTGACGGGAGCAGAGTCAGCATCACGGGTCACAGCATGGGCGGACATGGTGCGCTGACACTTGTGGGTACGACCACAGACGTGTATGGGCGACGCTTATAGAAATACAGTTCCTGAAGAACCCCGGGAAGTACAAGTCCGTCTCCGCGTTCGCACCCATCGCCAACCCGAGCAACTGCCCGTGGGGCCAGAAGGCGTTCAAAGGATACTTCGGCGAGGACCAGCAGCAGAAGTGGAAGGAACACGATGCGACGGAGCTCGTGAAGCAGTGGAAAGGTCCGCTAGAGATGCTCATTGACGTGGTGCGTCGCCGAGGGCAGCCGAGATTCAAGGCGTACAGTATTGACGTTGCACTAGGGCACCGGAGACAACTTCTACAAGCAAGGCCAACTCCTTCCAGAGAACTTCATGAAGGCGGCTAAGGAGGCTGGAAATGACAAGGGCATCAACCTCCGCATGCAGCCGGACTATGACCACAGCTACTACTTCATGGCCAGCTTTGCGGACGAGCACGTTGCATGGGCAGCGAAGCACTTGGGCGCGTAGTAAGTTGACTGCTACTGTCGGCGGAGCCGCCTACTCACTGCTACAGAAGCGGTTCTGGCGCGAAGGAGAAGCTCTAGTCATCAAACCACCAGACAGTTGTTCGGCAATCTAGGAAGGGTTCAACAGCTGGGCCATGCCGGGGCGCTTGGGTTATTGCAATCCCTCGATTGGTGGAGGAACCTGTATTGTACCATTTCACAGCCGGGAGGAATGAATGCAAATTCCGGGTATAGAAAAAGCTTTAAGATAGCCACCGGGACCTGAGATTCATCAAATCGAGAAGAGTTGAATGCCCACAGCTCCGTCACAAACAAGTGCTCCCACGTGTTAGCGCTCGGAGGTCCGCATCTCACCCTATCTGGAAGACACGGGTCTCGGAATAGAAGCCACTGGCGCCGAGTCTCTGTTCGGTTTCCAATTTTGATTTTTGGGCCTTCGTTACTGCAGTCGCTTGCAGGTGATTTTACGTGAGAATTATGGGGCACGTGTGCGGTAATGAAATTGGGCTCATTGCACATCCCACCGCCAAGATTTTTCCGACCGCACCCTCCGCATCCGACAACAACCCGCCAACAAAGACCTGCAGGGCGACATGCCAAATTCCGGCTGCATTTAGTGACAGTCTCTGTACCTGCATCTCTCACCTCTCTACCTCTCACTCTGTCCTCCCCCTTCACGCGTACGTCCGGTCGCTGTCCCGCGCTCCGCTTTCACCGCCCATAACGCTCCCATGATGCACTTCCTTTCTCCAATGGTCCGGTAGCATAAAACACCCTCGACTCCACGCCACTGTCTCGGCTGCACATGCCAACCCGTAATCGCGTTTGAAACAACTCTCATAAGACAACACCGCATCTGAGACGGTGGTGGAGATGGAGGCCCAGGTGCGTGTTTATGCCCCGTACCAGTCTCGCGTTCCCTTACATCGTAGCTTTGTAGCTGACTTTATACTCTCCGATTAGGTTGAAAATGCCATCCAAATCGCCTCGGATCCCAGGTCGAGCCAGCATCTACGTGGCCAAGCCATCGAATATCTCAACCAGTTACGGACCGACGGCTCTGCATGGCAGGCCTGCCTAGCATTATTCACCCGCGACCCTCGACCCGCCGAGATCACTCGCCATACCTCCCTTGATCTCGTAAATAATGCCGTCCAGGAGCATCGGCTGGACGACCAGAGTCTGTCCTACATCAAGGATACGCTCATGGGTTACATCCGGCAGACGTATGCGCCCGGCAACATCACGACGGACACTAGCCATATCCAGAACAAACTGATGCAGACTATGACTTATCTTTTTGTAGCATTATACCCATCTTCCTGGCAATCTTTCTTCGACGACTTCCGCGCCTTGGCTGGGGACCAGGCAACCATCGGCAGCGTAAACACTGTCGGTACCATATTATATCTCCGTATGCTAGGTCAGGTTCACGACGAGATCGCCGACCAGCTGATTGCTCGGCCCGATGAGGATAAAAAGCGGCATACCGAGCTCAAGGATCTAATCCGACATCGAGATGCTCAGAAGATCGCATTATCCTGGCAGGAGATCCTCGCCAAGTGGAGGGAGACAGATTTCGGCCTTGTAGAGATGTGCCTCAGGACCATTGGTCGCTGGGTCAGCTGGATCGATATCTCTCTCGTGGTGAACGAGGCCATGATCAACACTTTCCTTCAGATGGCTGGGCAGCAGGGAATCTCCGATCCCGAGAGCCCTGAGGGGAGGGTTCGAGATGCGGCAATCGACACCTTCTCCGAGATTGTGGGCAAGAAGATGAACCCAGCAGAGAAGATCGAGCTGATCTTGTTCCTCAACCTTGCGAATGTGGTCGGCCAGCTCATTAATAGCCCGGCCCTTTCTGACCAAAAAACTCCAGATTATGACAATGACCTCGCAGAGACTGTCGCAAAACTCGTGAACAACATCGTCTTCGACATTGTCAAGATCCTAGAGAACGATTCCGTGAACGAACAGACCCGCCAGCGCGCAGATGAGCTCATCCAGGTCTTCACTCCCTATCTCCTGCGTTTCTTTTCCGACCAGTACGATGAGGTCTGCGCGACCGTCATACCATCTCTTACCGATCTCCTCACCTTCTTCCGCAAGCTTCAAAAGAGGACCGGGTCCTTGCCTGCCCAATACGGTGCCATACTTCCTCCCGTTTTGGAAGCCATCATCAGCAAGATGAAGTATGACGAAGCGGTATCATGGGGCGAAGAGGGCGAGCAGACAGACGAGGCCGAATTTCAGGATCTCCGCAAACGTCTCCATGTATTGCAGCAAACTGTTGCGGCAATCGACGAGAGCTTCTACATTGAGACCCTCAGCCGAGTGGTCAACGATACATTCAATCGTCTTTCCTCGAGTGGTCAGTCGTTGGACTGGCGCGATTTGGACCTTGCACTATATGAGATGTATCTGTTTGGAGAGCTGGCGATCCGAAACCAGGGCCTATATGCGAAACGTGAGCCTTCTTCAGTCGCGGCCCAGCGTCTAGTGGGCATGATGTTTAGCATGGTAGAGTCAGGTTAGTACAACCCCATTACTATCCTTCAGATTTCTAACTGCTCCAGATCTGGCTAGCTACCCTCATCCCGCAGTTCAACTCCAGTACATGGAGATCTGCGTTCGCTACTACCAGTTCTTTGAGCAGAACTCTCAACTTATTCCAAAGGTCCTCGAGAACTTCGTTGGTCTTACCCATCACAACCATGTGAAGGTCCGATCGAGGTCATGGTACCTATTCCAACGCTTGGTAAAGCATCTTCGGTCCCAGCTCGGTAATGTCTCCTACGAGATCATTCAAGCGATTGGCGACCTACTCACGATCAAGGCCGAATTGCCAGATGACTCAGCGGACGACATGTCTTCTGATGAAGATGACCAATCAGCAGACGCGCTCTTCAACTCTCAACTCTACCTTTTTGAGGCGGTTGGATGTATTGCGTCGTCGAGCACAGTATCGGCAGAGAACAAGAAGCTTTACGCGCAGACAATAATGAATCCCTTGTTTCTCGATCTTGAGCAAACACTTCCTCAAGCGAGAAACGGGGACGAACGAGCCGTCCTGCAAATCCACCATATCATCATGGCCATCGGAACGCTTGCTCGAGGCTACTCGGACTGGATGCCTTCCAACAATAGTGTGCTACCACACAGCGAAGTCTCCGATGAGTTTTTCAAGGGATCAGAGGCAGTTCTGGTTGCACTCAAGTCGTTGAACTCGTCGAGCACTATTCGTTACGCCGCACGTTTTGCTTTCTCTCGCATGATCGCAGTGCTAGGCTCGCGACTTCTCGAAGAGCTTCCGTCCTGGATTGAAGGACTACTCTCGCTCAGCTCTTGCATGGACGAGATCAGCACTTTCTTGAAGGTCCTAGGCCAGGTCATCTTCACTTTCAAGGCAGAGATTTCCGGCATCCTGGACACCGTCCTCACTCCTTTGCTTCAGCGCATCTTCACCGCGTTGGCGGTGACACCTTCAGGCACAGACGACGAGATACAGCTGGCCGAGCTTCGACGAGAGTATCTGAACTTTATTTTCGTTGTGCTTGGTCACGGTCTCGGATCTGTGTTTGTAAGCGAAGGTAAGTCCGAGGTCTTGCGCAATCTTTGTCACCCCTCTAACAACGAGTAGCAAATCAATCCACCTTCGAGACGATCATTACATCCATCGATACCTTCGCCCGCGACCCTTCTGACTACCAGACCGCCCGGCTTGCCCTTTCTGTTCTCATACGTATGACGTCGGTCTGGAGCGGTCCCGACAAGGTTGGCCCCGGCGCAAACACTACGCCCACGTCTCCCATCACGTCTCAAGCGCCCATACCTGGATTTGACAACTACGTTGTGGACCGCTTCTCGCCGCTCGTGTGGTCCATCCCGGCCTCTCCTGGGTTCAATTCGAAGGACGCGCAAGCCAAGCAGGTCTTGTATGAGGCAGCCAATCTGCAAGCCGAGATTGTGAAGAAGGTTGGCGAACCGTATGTCGAGCGGTTGAAGACAGATCTGAGGGGCATGGGTGTGGGCGAAGATATGGTCGACCAATACCTGAGAACACTCGCCGGAGCGTTTGAAGGCGTGAAGAAGGAGAAGGAGTGGAGGACCTTCTTCGCTCAATTCGTGGAGCGCTTACTGTCTGCGCGGGGTTAAAACGGTGCATAAACGTGTGCAGAGTGCATCAGGGGAGTCGATGTCTTCATGAGTTTTCGACCCCCTTGGGGAATGATTATGTAGGTGGTATTCTGTGCATTGTAGCGGGCGCGCGAATGGGGTGATGGCATGTGGCATTATACCAAGACAAAACTCAGATAGTTCCAGCTGAACTTGAGGAATTAGAATAAATTTTTCTTCAATCACTCTTCAAAGCTTCTCTTTCCCCATCTCATTCTGCTGCTCCCCCGCATACCCACTCCCGCGATGCAGCCACCCCTTTCCATTCGGCACATACAGCCGCTGCTCCATAGCCCTTATATGCTCCTTATTCGCCATCCAAAACCCAATCACATCCTCCCTCCTAATAAACCTCTCCAAATCTTCCCTCGTCCGCCACCGGCCGTAGACCCGCGCTCCGAACTCGTCGTCCAAGCTCGAGAACGCCATGTAGGTTAGTATTCCGTCCTTTCCACCGTTCACCCTGGCTTCTTGGTGGACCTTGTTGACGAGGGACGACAGCGAGGAGACGAGTGTGCTGCGTGCCGAGGGAGACGTGCAGGTTATGCGCATGTCCTGCATGATGCCAGCTTCGCTCTTGTCGCCTGCGAGATCCAGGAAGCCGGCGACGCAGCGGTAGTGGTTGAGATCCAGGCCTGTTGTCGATGCAGCTGGGATTCTTTCGAGGAACTTGGACATGGCGGGGGATGTGAGGTGCGTGGTGTACAGATCCTAGCGCCTGCAGCATTAGCTCACGTTGACCCATCATTCCTTGTTTGGGAGAAAGCGGAAGTGGAAGGTGAAGGAAGAGAGAGCGGTTAAGCAGAAACAGAGTTGGAGATTAGAAGGTAGGAGGGAAGATGTACATCGCGCTTTCCATACACTTCGAAGGCGAACATGGACGTTGTTTTGGAGAAGTCGTGCGCGTAGTCGATGGGGATGCCGAAGTAGTACGTTTTTGTGGTGGGCTCGGAGGAGGAGACGTAGAGTGCGAGGTCGTCGTAGGCGGCTTGCCACTAGCTTGGTAGTCAGAGGAAGGGTCTCTGGAGGGTTTCGAATAGATGCAGGCCTGAAGAGAGGCAGGGAGAGATCATACGTACGTCTGCGTACCTGTCAGGCACGAAGTTGCAATTGGCAAAGAGGTAGAAGTCGTCCATGATGGCCTCAGATTGAGAACGCTAAGCGGGAAGGGCTGAGAGAATTGAGGAGGGAGAATGGGCCTCGGTCAGTTTCATATGCGCAATAGGGATTCCTTCAGGCCAAGCAAAGGACTGATGCTTTTATACACAATTCCTCCGGCTAGCCATCAATTCGAAATATTATCCGCGGCACTGATCTTCTGCAGCAGTTCATCCCAGAGCGACCCTGATCACGACACCAAGAAGGCGGAGTAGCGTTGATAGGCTTGCATAAGCCTGCAGATCCGACGTCCCGTTGGGGTTCGTTCCCGCTTTTGGCAGGGGGAGAGGGTCACTACACCCTAGATTTAGCCCCACAAAGTGGTCACTACACCTCAGAGCTGACGGGAACAAAGGCCTCGATGTTGGAATACCTTTGGATGATTCGATGGAAGATATCGCGGACTTGCTTATCCGTATTGGAAAAGAGGGGCTGAAGTGTTAAGATGCAGAAGCTCTTATGGGACATAGTATCTTTCTATGCAGGATAGGAGTGCTGCGTGCATGGTACGACGCGCATGGCTTGAGATCGGCCGGGTTGATCGTAGAGATCAAAATGGAAGAAGCTGGACGGATAGTACCCAAATGCGATTCCACGTTGAATGCAAAACAGCAGCTGAAAGCGCAAGCTAGAGAAGTGGCGTCTTAGGAGTTGCACTCCGTAGTACATTTCGCACCAGCTGAACTCTCCGTGACACTTCGAGGAGCACTTGGCGGTACGGTGCACGAATCCGTCGTGTACCGCCATCCACGTGTGAGGACATCGGGAAGCTGCAGCAAGTGGGGTAACCGATGAACGAAAGCCTTTAATTCCGAGAAGGGGTAAAGCGACGTTGTGGCCTCCTTGGGTTTGGATTGCTTTCTGTGATGTGTAGTGCTCTGGTTAGCGGGAAATGTTATCCAGCGGAAGGTGTTCCGCTCGGACCACCTCACATCCGATGAAAAAGCGTTCCGACGGGAGCTGAGAATGGGATTCTCCGCAAAATTTAGGGACTTTCGAAAATAGCATGCTGAAACCAATACCGCTTGAAACTTTGTCTGGGGGGTGGTTACTCAACGTAGGCGCAAGCAACCGTGGCGGAGACGCTAAAAGGAGATCAGGTACCACAACGCTGTCACGCTCCGTAGAATGATGCTCTAGCGGCAAATGCTACCCGCAGAGGTGGGGTGATACAAGATGCTGAGACCGGTCTCTGCCATCGTATATTATTCTGCACCGAAAGACCGAACCGCACTCGTCGCGGTCATGGCGTCCTCAGCTCCAGTAGCCATTGTGACGGGAGGCAACTCTGGAATGGGAATGGGCATTGTCCGACAGCTCGTAAAGCGAGGCTGGAAAGTGGCCATTGCTGATATCAATGAGAACAAGGAATTTGCGGAAGAGTTAGGGGAAGCATCAAGCTTCCATAAGTGCAATGTCGCCGACTATGACAGGTTCGAAAGCCGTCCATAATAAAGCCTTGTTGAATTCTGACACGGACCTCTTTGGCAGCCAGGCAGAGATGTTCCAGCAGGTCTGGGACAAGTACAAGAGGCTTGATGCTCTGTGCGCAAACGCAGGTATTGTGGACAAGAGGTGATTCAGCCTAGGCCTCCCTGCCTCCTGCGGCTGACGGTCGGACAGCTCCATCTTCATCTTCGAACATCGCGGCTCTGATAAGTGAGGACAATGGATGCTCAGATCGGCTGTTGCTGACCTAGCAAAGGATTCCGCCGAAGCCCGATCTACTCACGACGGACGTGGATTATAAGGGCGTCGTATATGGGACCCAATTGGCGATCCATTTCATGCGGAAGAACGAGGTGCCAGGAGGCAAGATCGTGGTCACGGCTAGTGTGGCAGCCGTTGTCCCACACGAATCGTATCCTGAATATGATGGCGCAAAGGCAGCGGCTGTGAACTTCGTAAGGGCTACGGCGCGTATACTCAAAAGCGTAGGCTGCTCCTTAAACTCGGCAGGATGGGAAGCTAACTGCGCCTAGAAAGAGAACATTAGCATCAACGCAGTGTGTCCTGGTATTGTCCATACCTCCATCATTCCCCAGGAGATGGTTGATGCAGTGACGCCGGACTGGGAGGTCAATCTAAAGCGTGATCAAATCGTGTTCTGACCTGTCCCAGTTTGACCCCCGTTTCGACCATCGTCGCTGCGTACCAGAGGTGCTTGGATGATGATGCGCTCTTCGGCAAGGTCATCGAATGCTCAACGGACAAGCAATTCTTCCTGGAGGCGCCCTCTCTGGCGAATGGCCGTTTCTCCAAGCGAGCAGTTACCGTCTGGGATCCGTTGTTTAAGATGCACGTCGCCTTTGCCTGCGCTGTTATCAGTCCGCTGACCTTTTTCCAGGTACCACAAAGAAAGCTCGGGGCTGCCGGACGCCATCCCCTGAGGGGGGCGCGATAATAGGAAGAAGAGGGTCGGGTGATGTTTGCTGGACGAGTTGTTCATTTGAAACGTCGATGAAAGCGGGGTAGTGTGGAGTGGGTTCAGCTAGGAAAGTGCGAGGAGTGCTCCTGCCTCGCGAGAGGAAGGCTTAGGGAAACGCAATCGACGATGGGGGCGAGCAAAAGTAAGCGCGAAAATCCATAGCCAATTGATGCTCATAGCGATTGCTCGCTGCAAAGGACTATTCCCGCAAATCTTCATGCCCATCATCAAATCCGTACGTTGCAGGTAGTTCGACATCCCAATGTGCACACAAGAACTTTCCTTCCCCGTTTAGGAAACTAAGCTGCTCATGCTCCAGCCTGGGCTGTTGGCTGTGCTAGGGTGAGCGGAGCCCATAGACCTGCCAGCTTCCAATTTCTGGGTCCCAAGCCTCGAGTAAATTTGCTCTGCAATATTCCGTACGTTACGGGCCATTCTGCAGTCTGTCAAGTTCCTAGGACGGCCTTGTTCCTAAGACAGCCAGGTTCTTCATTCGATAATCGAGGATACTCTGTCCAAGCCTTTCACAGAACGTCTGCGAACCATGGGTGCGCCAACGCCTCATGAGCTGTTAGTCGCCGGTTTGGATCCATATTCATCATTCGTCCAATGAGGTCCCTAGCTTCTGGCTCAACAATTGGCCACTGCGCGAACGGCACGCGAGGATTCTCCTCGTTGAATCCCTCGGCTATTACAGTAAATATCTGAACCCAAGGACTCTGGCCAAGATGCTTGAGCAAACCCTCGAACCCTTCGGGGTCACCGAAGTAGGATATTTGGTGTTCGAGAACAATGGCCAATTTCTCCTCTCCCTCGTTGAGCTCGTTGAGTTCGTCGTCTCCCACTGCAAAGATTACTCGCTTGGTGAGGGCGTAGATACACTACCGGGTCAATAATTGGTGAATCAGTGTAGGATAGAGCGAGACTCACCACAACGCCAAATGAGAATATATCCGATGGTTTATGTACCTGGCCGGACGCATGCGCCTCTGGACTTCGCCACATCCAGTTTCCGACTTGCCGTCCCTCAATAACGCAGTCATTGGGCACGTAGGCAGCATCCTCAATATCGGCCACCTGTACCTGTTCAACTACCACTTCGCCACCCTTCTCATTCCACTCTAGCATGATATTATTCGCCTTAATATCAGTATGGACGATGCCCTTATCATGCATCGCGGCGATCCCACGCAGGGCGTCGCGCAGTATTCGCTTTGTCACGGGGAGCGGGTTATCTTTCTGAACGAAGCCTAGAAGGTGATCCTTAAGGTATTTGTATACGAACATGGATCTGTCGGGGATGGAGTCCTCTGGGACACGGACATATTGAGAGTAAGGAGAGGTCCGGATATCGTCGAACATGTTCTGGAAATACTGGAATGACTTCGGCTGCACGCTTTTTAAGACGTACTTCTGGTCCGCGGATCTACAATGGAATAATCAGCGCCTTTAGCTTATTGCTCAAGAGTTGTACGTACTCACGTAGCAAGATAAACGCGGCCAAGGTCAAGGGGCATGGGCTTTTCCTGGAGCATTCGCTCGACAACATAACGGCGACCAGACTGGCCTACTGCTCGCACAAGTGCGGACATGGTGGATTCAATCGCGGATGCCAGGACAAGAAGAAGGATACCCGGTCGCAAAGGGGACGGGGTTTGGACGATGACGGGGTAGCGAAGTGGGCGCGTAGAGGTGCTCAAACAAGTCCAAGCTGGCTTCGACTAATACCTCGCAAGCGCGTTTTCTGTGCCACCTAGCCCAAGCTTCGTCGCACTCGCAAACATCAACACCTTAGGTTATTCCTATAAGTCTGATATTGCTCTTGACATTGGTTGCGAGCACGCTTTCAGTCCGAGCATCGATGCTATCTTAATGTATGGCAAAGTACGGTCGAGGATTAAACGCGGCGATCGCGCTTGCTACCTCGAGGTAGGAGCGAGCAGAGCCTTGTGGCCTGGTCCCATGGGTTGATTTGTCATCCGGTCTCACTTCGGATAAACGATTCTGGAGGGTGCACCGCGACATCATATGCCCCCAGCTTATTTATTTACGCATCCAGGATATTCACGAGATCGGAGGATCCCTTCGAAGGATCATTCGGTCGTACAAGGATCGATGCGCGGGGACTCGGGAACCTATATGAGAGCTAACAGGGGCCAATATGCACCCGCATGGCCGTAACTGGCGGGGCAGAGGGGTTGATAAGAATATATGAAAATGACGACGTTGAGTGCGGAGGTGTGGTACGACAGCAACAGGAATTCCTGGCTGAGGTTACGCCGCGCTCTGGAAGGTGAATTAAGGGGCAGACACAGCGCCGCCAACATCAGGTGGGTGCCCAAGCCAGGAGTGAGGTTGCTGATTCTGGATACGAGCAGGATTGAAATGAATGTGTGCTCTGGATAAGCCCCGAAGCCTCATTGATAGAGAGTGTCCAATATGGCGAGTATTCGGAGCGAAGGGAGGAAATGCTGCGCTCGAGCGCGCTGCTTCTCATCTTCCGCGAAGGGTAGGACTTCTTACCATTCGATGATGTTGCCAACGAAGAAATATTGGAGCAATCTAAAGAACAGATGAATGCACGCAGACTAGGGAAGGGAAATGAAGTAATCCAGGTTCGGCCTTGAAAATCAACACTCTCGCTTCTCTTGGATGTCTTGTGATGGTCAAAGGGCATCGACATTCTTAAACGCGATCTGGCCGTGCGCTACGAGGGCGACGACTTCAGAGCCCCCAGTTGCTGGATGTCGAGATGAACTGCCATGGTGTGGAAGCAGCGGTAACCAGACGTTCGCTTTGGCCCGTCCTCCGGAGCTGACTGTGTGGTGGAAATAGGCGCTGATAGGGGTGGACTCTGCGTGGCTTCATTGGCTTTATTGGCTTGGCGCCCAACGGCGAGCGCAGGTGGAGCCGATATTGCTTGCGCAAACAATCGGTGACGGCGGAGGATCCCTGGTTGAGGCTGCGTGCTACAAGCTGTCGACCATGGTCTGGCGAGTTGAATCCGGCGCTCCTCCTTCTCGTCTCCCGAGTCGTAGTAGTTGGTCGAACTGCATGTCTCTTACGAGGCTGCACGTCGTAGGACTCTTCCTCTGCCCCTTTCGAGGCCCTTTTTGGTGAGAGGGCCAACGGCCAGCGACTCCAATATTCAAAATCTGGTTGCCCTTGGGACGCTTGGGGCAAGATGCCGCATGGTTACGAATGCTGCCCAGGGATGCGGCGGCCAAGCGTGAATTGGCTCGGTCGAAGAGGCCAGAACGTCCCCTCGATCCGGCGACCAACTGCAGGGTTAATATTGCCTTGCACAAGCCAATCGTGCGCCCACCTATCGCTGGGGATCGATTCAAAGTCCCGAGCGGAATCCATGCCAGGGCCAACGCGGCGTTATTACCCGACTAGCAGGCGACGGTCAGCCGAAAGCGCTGTTGGACGCGCTTTGGGTGCTTTGCTAGGCTTTATTCCCATGTCCAGCGATGCGTGGAATGGTGGCTTGCAGGCGTACGAGCGTCTAGAATGGCGCAAGACACAATGAAATAAGGGACGCTTCCTCCCAGTGGCACAGCCGTCTACAAGGCTGCCACATACATGGAAGACTGAAACGAAGAAAAGGACCAGCACGTTACTATCATCCCTCTCTGGTTGCGATCGACGCTCACAAGCACTCGGCTGCCTCTCCCCAACTGCTGTCGCTCATTCGCCCGTTCTGACATCGAACCGTCCCCGGCCCGCGCAGCATCCCGCACAGCTTCCCGCACGACTCGGACCGCCGCTCAACTCCTGCAAGGGACTTGAGCGCATCTGGAGGAGCCAACCCAGCGTCGTGCCGACCACGGTGGGCTCTCTAAGGAACTAAGAAACTGCTGCGCGCAGATTCACGGTCATGGTTTGGCAGCGATCGTGAGGAAGGCGTGGATATAATAATAGAAGTGCCGGTGCAAACAAACATTTGTGGAAGAGCCCTTGCGAAACGCGAGTCGGAAGCCATGCTGTCGCACCATGGGGCGTGCTCGCGTATGGCCACGGCAACTTGCAGCGGCCGGAAACAGAACGAGGACCATCTGAAGCATTGCGGACGCCGCCCACCACCTCTTTATACCAGCACCCGGCCGCACGCGAGATTCGGACTGCTTTCGCTGTTCGTCGTGTTGGTGTCGTGGACAGCGCTGTTCGGAACTGCGACTGCCTCGGGAGCAAAAGCACATGGTGATCGGCGAGGACGATCCGCGCCCCTGCCCGTTTTGTTCGACGACATTGCACCCGCCTGGGAAGGAGCCTCACTGATCTTGGTCGACACCCGCCCGCCGCCCGTTGTGCCGCCGTTGATGCCTCCCCTACGGCACGATGAGGACCCAACTGCAACCTCGTCCGCGCCGCCGTCAAAGAGATCGCTTACCACCGATCCCAATGCCAGCGATGGAGACTTCGAGGTTCCGAAGCCGTTCGACTCGGCCATGTCCAACAACTTCACCAACAACTGCGCCGACTTCTTCAAGAAGCTGTTGACGAGCGACGCAATAACCACCTGCCACCCCTTTTCGCTTTTGCTTCAGGTGCGTCAGCCAACTTTCCCTTCGCTGGTCTATGACTGACCTCCTTGCAGACCTCAAGCGGCTTCTTCGACGCATCCAAATCCTTCGTCCGCATCACACAGACGCTCGAAGCGACTTGCAAAGCGAACTCTACACAATGTGTGGGCGGCATGGACGAGCTGGCGCGCGAGCTTCTCACAGAAGGGGCCTGCAAAGTGGACTACGACAACAACAATCCGCAGGTGGTGCAGGCATACAACGGCCTGATAGCCTACGAGCCTCTTTATCAAGCAAGCTGCTTGCGGGACGACGAGGGGAGCTTCTGTAAGTATCCTGGAGCCGTTCTGTGAGAACCCCTCGCTAACTGGATCGCGCACAGGTTACGCCGACGCTGTCACGAACACAACGTCCGCCGGCGCGGATGCCTTCCCGTACTATCTGCCGCTCGGTGTGAACCTGCCCGGCGGGGCGCGTCCGACGTGCAACTCGTGCCTGCAAGACGCAATGGCCATCTTCTCCTCCTTCGCCTCAAACTCGACGCAGCCCATCAGCCAGACCTACACCGGAGCTGCGCAACAGATCACAATATCCTGCGGAACGAGCTTCGTCAACGTAACCGCAGCGCCGCTGAAAGGCGCCGCTGCCGCGACGACCGCATCGCTCACGCCAACAATAACCCTGTTCATAATGCTCTTCATCTACTTCTTCCAGTGAGCGGACGAAAAGCGATCTTTACTTCTGCTGTAAATATTTAGACCTCCTTGGATTTTGTCGGCTACCACTGTCGGATCATCAGCGACGGCGCATGGGTTGATTTACCTTTCCTTTGTCATTGGACCAGCTGGCAAAAGCTGGGGAGCGGATACCCACTGGACTCTTAAAATCGGAGGAACGGCCGAAGGCATCGGTCACCTCCGGAGGGGCGTTTGGCACATATCACAAGATCTGGAGAGACATTATTGGATCTGGTTGGATATGGAGGCGTCTTATCTTATCACCTATACTACTATTGGTATACTCACTATTTTCTAATTGGGTGCTGACGGGGACCGAGGTTGGACACGGGCGGGGTTGTTGCACCATGGTCCTGAATTTCGATGCAGATATTAGACAATCTACCTGCTGCGATCGTGTACTACGTACTGCTAGAGCTGGTGATACTAGATGGTGGTATTCATTTGTACTCTCGTCATGCTGTGCACCCATACCGGTATGAAGAACAGGAGGACAAGCCATTCAGGCCCAAGACCGGCGTTTCTGCGGATTCATCGGAACAAAGCATTGCAGCGCGCACTTCGAAGCGTCACCGTGTGGGCTGATTGACCCCCGTGCGGAACACTGTCATAGGGCTCTGCACACCCTAAACCGGCCGCCTGAAACGCATCACGTGCGCTGATCTTCCCGTTCGCCTGGGCCGCGGGCAGCTTGACGTGCTGTGATTCGCGGTATCCGCAACCCCTGAACGTCAGATCTTTTGTCCGACTGCCTCAGCGCTCCTCAAGGCACACCTCTCACAATGCTGCCCCCTTCGTCCGTTGTCCGTAAGCTCAGCGTTCCCCTCAGTATTCTATTCTTATTGCGTTATGATTCGCTCAACCATAGTCCCATGGTGCGAACATTCCGGCTGAATCTGGCAAAACATATCCATCCAGCTATTCGGGGGAGCTTTTCCCACCGTCCTGTCATCTTAAAACGGAAGATTTTCTGTGGGACGACGGCACGCAAGGAGCGTGGATCCGCCGCCATGCAGCATGGGGTCGATGCTGTGACGGCGGGAAGGACCCTGTCGGATTTTCAAACGCCAACGCGTTTGATGGCTCGTTCAGCTTGGGACCTCAGCGACCATCCATGCTCTCTTTTGTACCTGAGACGGCCAGTCCTCGTCCGCAATTCTGACCTCGTCATGACTCCCTTTCCTTTCCGTTAGTGCCGTAATACTTCTGCCTTGCGCCCTCACGCTCTCTTCCTCCTGAATGTAGTACAGACTTTGCGGCTCTGCACTCTACACACGCTCTCTATACCGTCCTTGTTTCTCGCTGCCACTCGTTAGCCAATCGAGGCTGTCCCTCCTTTATCGCACCCGAAGATTGAAGAATGATGACCGACGTCATGGCTCAGAAGGGCCTTGGGCTCGCCGCTCCCTCATCACGACAAGACGTTGTCAGCGCTCTCTTAGACGGCTATGGATCCTCATTCACATCGCCGTACAACTATTCGCCTGTACCAGCGCTCAAAGAACTCCCGCCACCGCCTCCCGCAGAGAAGGATGTACCAAATATTAATGATAAGCCGCTCCCTTCGGCGGGGCATCTAAGCATGCGGTTCCAATTGCGAGGTAGGTGATGCGCTTTCATTTTGTCTGAGGTATCATGAAAAGAGAACGGGGTTGTGAGTGAAGAGCGGGCCGTTTGGTGTGTTTGCTTCGTTGCGCCAAACGCATGGATCAACATTCACACACGTTCATTCACCACACTGTGCGTGACTCTTCGCCAATCAGACTATGCTTACCGACGAATTCTCGCCCACCTCACCTTTTCTCTCTGCTCACTACGTTTGCGCTGTGCTGCGCACCCCCAAGATCACCCGCTAACATCCTTCCAGTTGACGAGCCCGATTCCCCTCTCTCGCCTGATGGCTCGCCCAAAAGCCCCGTAGGAAGCCCGCCCACCAAGATCGTCTCGCGGAGCATGTCCCGTGGCTCAAAACCGCCTTCGCTCAAGCTGCTCACCAGCAACGGATCAACCGCCAAGCTTCCGCCCACACCCGCACTCCCTACTAACACGCCTACTCCTATCTCTTCTTCGCGACCCAGACGGGAAGAGAAATCTCTCCCGCCGCCTCCACCAGAGAAGTCCGAGCGCCGCCAGCAGCAGCAACCGGCTATGGGGAACCAAGTGTCCAAGGAAAGGCCCGCGCGGACGGACTCTGTTCAGTCTCAAGAGGCTATGAAGAACGAAATGGAATCATCGCGCCCCGTCACCTCACAAAGCTCGACAGAAGTGAAGCGCAAGCCCGTCCCAGCAGTGCAGAAGGGTTTCAGGAGTCTAGCTGACTTAGGGAGCGGACCGCGCGGTGGAAAAGGCGGCCCGCTTCCCTTGATGGTGAAGCCCAGGAAGCAGAGCGTGGATCGAGAGGAGACGAAGAGTGAAGATTCGACGAGCATGACGCAAGAACGCGCGTCGAAGGCGTCGACGAAATCGCAGGCTGAGTCAGACACAGGCTTGGTCCAGCAAAAGCCGCTTCCGACGCTGAATCAGATGCCGCCAACTCCGCAGGAGGAAAGCTCGCTTCCTACACCACCGCCGAAGAAGGCGGGGCCGTTCATGGGAATGGGGTTGCCGTCGAACCCGAGGGCGAAGGGGCAGGAAACGCCGAAGCACGTTAGGGGGAAGAGTAGCACGGGATTTGATATGATGAAGGTATGCATAGCTATAGCTCCCCTAAGGCGCTCACCTTTTCCTAGTATGTCTGCTAACATTAAGGTAAATAGGGACCTAAGCTTCCACAATCCCAAGCAGCGCCCAACCCAATAACCCCCGGCCCCACGCCCTCCCCCAGGAAGACGGAGCAGGTTCAACAGGCGCAAGCTCAATCCCCCGTTTCGCCTGCCAGTCCCAATGCGCGTCGCCCTTTCAGCTTCGAGGCGATCCCGCAGCCATCGCCAGCTCCACCACAACAGCAGCAGCGGCAGCAGGCCCAGCAGTCGCAACAACGACAACAACCTGCTCCCCCGGCGCAACCAACCTCACCCCCGTCGCCCGTATCCCCAGTCTCCCCTCTCGACCCACCAACCGCGCCCCAACCACAGGCCTTCCCACCGCGCACCACCTCCCGCGCTCCCGCCGCCGCCCAACCATTCCCTCCTGCCACCCAGCAGCAATCCACGACGCCCGCCCACCCCTTCCTGCGCCGACCCTCCGACCCCACAACCCCGGACTTCACCCCGCTCACCATCCGGCCCGTCCCGACCATCGCGCCCCCGATCACCCCCAAGCATCTCAACTGCTACTCGCAGCACAGCACCTTCGTCTGGTCCAAGAACGACTTCCAGCCCATGGCCTGCATGGTGTGCCACCAGAACGAGCGCGAGCGCAAGTGGGCCTGCGTGTGGTGCTACCTGCGCATCTGCGTGGGGTGCAGCGCGGAGCTGATGCGCACGCCGGGCAGGGATTTGAGCGTCGTCGTGCAGAAGAGGGGGAGGAAAGTGAGTGCTGATGTCGGTGCGAGGCATGATAGTGGGACGGGGAGTGCTGAGGGGAATCCGAGTGTGGTTGTTTGGGAGGTGGAGGGAGAGGCGGATTTCTCCTAGTTGGGGAGAAGGAGATGGAACTGGAGCTGGTGAGGAGATGGAGATGGAGATGCCCTAATTCCTTATGTTACGTGTAATGTTATACCCGGCTGGCTATATGCATCATTGGGCTGGGACTGGGCTGGGGATCTGGTTTCGTGGGCTCGGCGTTTGATGGCGGCTGGCTATTTCCTCTCCCTCTACGGAAGGGTAGGGTGCACTCACACCGGTGGGTCAGGCGTCAAAGATTCTATGCAGAGACGTAGCGTACTCGCGTACGACACATTAGACAATATGAATTAGCGTGATACTATGCTAAGGAAATGCGCATGAGATGAGCGTAAAAAAGGCCCCTAGACAGGGCTCGTCTGATTCCCAGTGCAGCTTCCAGACGCCGTACTGCACTTCAGCGCCAGAGTGTCCGAACTCTCTCCAATCCAGATACCGTATTCCCCGTCCACGCTCGGAATGATCCAGTTCTGCGACACGACATCCCAGACGCTGAGATCCTTCCTTGTAACACGCATCTGCACCGTCTGACTCTGGTTCGCTGCGAGCTCTGCCGTCTTCTCAAAGTCACGAAGCTGAATGACGGGAGTATCAAACGAAATGCCGCTTGGGAACTGGACGTATAGCTGCGCGACCGCCTTTCCGGCTCTGCTTCCCGTATTAGTGATCGTGACCGAGACATCGTAGGCGACGTCGAAAAGCGCGGGGTTGCCACCTTGAGCACCGCCAGCAGGAGGACCGGGTTTCTGCTCGTTGGAGTAGCCTTCTGGATACGGGTATGTGGCGGATGAGTTTGCGGCTGCTGCAGCGGCATCGGCATCGGACTTGTCGAGCCACGAGTACAGGTAGCGCCAGATGCGATTGAAGTTATCGGGCCAGTAGGCTTCAGATGCTGGAGGGATCGTAGTTGGATACGACGGCGTCTCGCCTTTCGCGGGACGAGTGGGCGGTGTTGCAGTCAAAGGTGTGACGGGCGTGATGGTTGCGTTAGAGAAGGAGAAGGACGTGTAGCTGAGGCCATGACCAAAAGCGTAGCGCGGCTTGATTCCGGCCTTGTTAAAGTGGCGATAGTCGATGTAGAGCCCTTCAGTGAACGTGTCTTGCGGCTGGCCGACTTCGAAGTAGACGAGGCCGACGCTCTCAGGGTAGTCGTCCTCGGATGTGGGAATCGTGTAGGGAAGATGGCCTGACGGGGAGACGTCGCCGAAGAGGACTTGCATCAAACTATCACCGGCTTCTTGGCCAGGAAGATGCGCAAAGAGGACGGCTTTGACGGAGGGGAGATCGTGCCATTCTTCCAAGAGGACTGGGCCAACCGTATGGACGATGACGATGACGTTCGAATATTGGGCGGCAACGTCTTTTATGAGCTGATCCCCGTTGTGCCAGAGGTTGAGATTTGAGCTGGTCCGGTCGCCTGGGTTGTTTTCTACGGTGATATAGTTCTCGCCGGAGTCTGCGGTTACGAAGACGATGGCGACGTCCGACGGTGATGGGTTAGAGTTCGAGGGGAAGCTGTCGGTGTTGAAGAATTGGTAGTTCGCTCCGCGAGTGTTCAAACCATCAATCGGTGAGTTCATATACGGATAGCGTGCTGAACCGCTGCCCCAGCCCATGCCGAGCGTTCCCTTGTTGCAGCCCTGATCAGAGCAAGAGTTGATACCATCGGGATTCTTCTCCGCGTCGGTGCCGAACACCTTCAGAGTGGCGTTTCCGGACAACGGCAGGGTTCCATTGATGTTCTTGAGCAGAGTGATCGCGTCTCGAGCAATTTCCCTGGCCACTTCGGCGTGGTTCCCTTGCACATCAACAAATTCATTGACGACACCTGTCGGGGAGAAGAGAGCTCCCGGGTAAAGAGGGCCTTCAGCGTCTTGCGTGTTGGTGTCGAAGTTGGGCGGCGGATAGTTCTGGTCTTGACCCATTTGGAAGTACGCCGCCAGAATGCGCGTAACCGCGTCATTCAATCGGTCAACAGGCGTGGATCCGTTCAATATGGCCCTGGAGTACTCGTCCATCCAGTACGATTCGCCGAGTACAAGAGGAACGGTGTGTATGTCGCCTGGCATAGTCATATCAAGGCCGGCCAATGCCGAGGAGACTCCTGAGATCTGCGCAAGCCAGTCTGACATGACAAAGCCTTGAAAGCCAAGCTCGTCCTTCAGAATTCCGTTCATGAGATAGCTGTTCTGAGAGCAGGCCGACCCATTGACCTAACGAAGTCAGATTTGCAAAGGATTGAAAGGCGGAACACTCACAGCGTTGTAAGCAATCATGACTGCGCCAACTCCTGACCTGATGCCTTCGGCGAATGGCCAGAGATAGAGCTCGTGAAGTGTTCGGTCGTCCAAGTTCGATGAAATCCCCGGCTGGACTAAGTTGTACATCCGATACATTTCCTGCTCGTTGGCGATGAAGTGCTTGATAGTCGCAATCACACCGACGCTCTGAACGCCTTCCACGGTGAGCGCGCCTCCAAATCCCTGCAACACCGGGTCCGCTCCAAAGCCTTCCCAATTCCTTCCTCCACGCGGCTTCCTTCCCAAGGGTCCTACAGAAGGCCCCAGATGGACGTTGATACCCTTTCCTCTGAACTCTTCTCCTAGCGCAACGCCACGTGCATGCATCAAGTCCTTGTCCCATGTGGCGCCCGTCGTGATACCAGGTGGAAAAGCCGTGTTGTGATCGGTATTCCGAACGCCGAGAGGGCCGTCCTGCAGGCAAAGCTGAGGTATGCCAACCCTCAAAGCGCTTCCTGTGTTCCCTACGCACCGGCCCATGTAAATGCCAGTACCGGCGGTAATGTTAGTCTTCTCAGCCAAGGTCATGTTTTGAACGAGAAGCGAGGCTTTCCGGTAACTTTCCGACCAATCTGACGTCCATCCTCCATGAGGAGCAGGATAATAAGGGGCAGCGACATAACCTGCCGGAACTGGTAAACGTTTGTCGATAGCCGCCGCTCCGGCGCAAGACGAAATAGACAATAACAGTAAGGAGAGCATGGCAAAGACGTTGGAGCTGGACATGGGAAACGAAATGAAAGAATGGACAGCGAGGAATCGCAGCGCAGGCCTGTAGAATGTTGGAGTATGTTAGCAACATATAGTCAATACCCCGCAAGAGCCATAGTGATACCAAGCTCGGAGGCAACATCATTTTTGATCAAGTCCGATGCGCTATTGCTGGATTTTAGAATTTCGATAGACTGGCAGGTGACGCGGGCTTTCTTAGCCCGTCATGCGGACGGGTAACACAAGGATGGTGTTTCGGTGCCTCAGAGCGCAGCCGAGGAATCAGAAAATTAGGGGATGTGCCGGTTAAAGCAGGTGTCAAGGAACGCACCCTGCTTTGGATACCAGCAGCGAGCCTATGACGTCTGCCTCGCTCCCTTCTGTATATTCGACAAGTGCGGATAGACTGAAGGAATCACAAACGTTGCAGACGGAGTCGAGGAACACGTCGCGGGTGCTGAGTCTGTTGATATGTAGCCTTGGGAGATACGCGGCACGTTCCATTCTGCTTGCGATGCTGGGTGATCGGCACGCTGGCATTGCCGAGACGGATGCGGAGCTGGATGGAGGACGATGCTGGCTGCGTTCACTGGGGCGCAATGTCAGCAAACGTCAGGCTTCTTCTGGTGGAGTTGGTAACACCAGGCTCCGGTTTGGGCTTCGTTGCCGCGCTACTTCGTCCGCTCAACCAGATTGCGGCAGAAATGCCGGTGTAATCTGGATGCTCGTGGTAGAATGCTGTGATGCGATGCGATGCGATGCGATGGTGGAGTACACAGGAGGAGGTTGGATCAACGCGGCACTCGGGCGGAATGGCTCGCTTCGGCTAGCGTGCCCGTCCACGCTTGCCAGCCCTGGGGAACTCCTGCCCCTCACCTAGCGCGTCTTCCTCCTATGTACCCCTTAACGCGTCCATCTCGTCCATCTCGTCCACCAACGACGCGCACCCCTCCGTCAAAATGTCTTACGAGGACTTACTACGCTACCAAATCCTACGGTTAAACTCGACGGCTTCGTCCTGGAGCAGCCGCTGACCTCACTGCCGGGTCCACCACGGTCAGGGCATTCTGCATGGTGAATTGCCACTATACACTAGTCAGGTAACGAACAAGGAGAACTCCCCTGCTGCCATGCACAGTTGTCACGATAAAGGTTAAGCGACGTGCTCATCCCACTCCATTCCAAGCCACTTCAAGACCCCTTCGGGCTATAAATGCGTCTCTATGGTATTGTCCCGGGCCAGCACACAGGACTTTCAGATGTCAAAGCATCCACCGAGGCCACTGCATCGGCCCACAACTCGGTTCCGTCTGGAATTGCGATGCTCGTGGAGTCGCACAAACATGGCGAGAGAAGAATCCTATAAAGCTCCACGGGACGAGAGGCCCGGCCTTTTGGCCTCACGGGGTGTTATTCCTCCTGCAGTTTGAATTATTTTCATCTTGTATTCCCTTATAATGGCTAATACACGCCTCGCTCTCTTCGTTTTCGCTTCCTTTGTGTATCTCATCCAGTGGGCCGTGGGCGATACTTGCTCTACGGTCGGTAATACGACTTCCATCGACATCGAGACCTCTCCCTCCATCGAATACACCACTGAACAAAGTAATTACTGGTCCACCGGCTGCGGAGCTTTGAAGCCGTCATGTATCCTATATCCCTCCTCGGTCGAAGAAGTTGCGGCCATTGTCAAGGTCTTGAACGACAACAACGAGACTTTCGTCATCAAGTCCGGAGGCCACAACCCAAACAAAGGCTTCGCTTCCATTCAAGGTGGCCCGCTTATCTCGACCAAGAAGCTGAACGAGGTGATATTAGATGCTACCTCCATGACTGTCCGCGTTGGACCAGGAAACGACTGGGAGGATGTGCATGAAGCTCTCCAAGACACCGGCACTACGGTGGTTGGAGGAAGAATTGGGGAAGTTGGCGTTGGAGGGTACGTTGTTGGAGGCGGTCTCAGTTTCCTCTCTGCTGAGTATGGCTGGGCTGCGAACAACATCGTCGAATTTGAGGTTGTGCTGGCCAATGCGACGATTGTGACCGCATCAAACACATCTAATCCGGATCTCTATAAGGCATTGAAAGGCGGAGGGAACAATTATGGGATTGTCACCGCCTACACCATGATTGCGCACCCTCAAGGCGAGGTAAGCGTCTCCTTTTGCCTCAGCAAGCAAGATCTCGGCTTCTAAGCACTTGTTACATCCTTTTCCGCAGATTCCCTTCTTCGTCCCAGATGCTAACCTGCTCTTAGATCTGGGGCGGCAACTTGATATTCACCGGCGATAAGGCCCCCAAGATGCTGGCGGCTCTTAGAGATTTCACGGAATATTATCCGGACGAGAAGGCTGGCATCATCATGACTGGTGAGCTATCAGCTCTCGGTGCGATCGACCTTTGGATCATGTTTCTCTTCTACGACGGCCCTACTCCGCCAGCAGGGGTCTTTGACAACTTTACCGCTATCGGACCGTTCACGAACAATTGCAAGACGCGCAGCTACTACGACTTGCTCACATACAACGATTTTGCGGTCGTCAAGGGTTCTATATACACCATTACGACGGAGACTACACCTTTGCCCAATGCCACAAATGGTGCAGAGGTATTGGGTGCTATCTACGACAACTGGAGGAATACCACCGAAAGCGTCATCGGTGTCTCTGGCATCATTGGATCAATTGCCTTCCAACCGATCCCGAAAATGATCGCTCGGAAGGCCCGCGAGATGGGCGGCGATCTCATCGACCTAGACGATGAGGTCGACCGTCTCATCGTCGAGTTCGACTTCTCTTACTGGCTCTCCACCGATGACGCTACCATCGACGCTGCTACTCAGCAGCTCTACACCGGTACCAGAGACGTGGTAACGACGTACACTGAAAGGGGCCAGCTCCCCGAGGCATATCTGCCACTGTTCGCCAACGACGGCTATTTTCGCCAGGACTACTGGGGGCGCATCAGGACTGCAGACTTTGCACGGAGCGTGCGCGACGCATATGATCCAGAAGGGCTCTTTGCCCAGCGAACGGGTGGCTTCAAATTTTAATGTATTTGTCAGGACGGGAGATCTCCTGCGGTCCACCGGTCAGCATCATATTTTCGTCTCGCTCTGCGGCTGTTTATCGATTGCGCACGTTCTCGGGAGCCGACAGCGAGGCTGCGAGGGGGGCTATGTAAGGACGGCTGGCTGCAGAGAGAACGGCCGCCGCGTGAGATGCACAATGGGATACAACTCATCCGATTACGATCTGCGCTCGCCCAGGAGACTGGGAGACGTCATTACTGGGCCGGCTGTGCGTGCGGGAGATACCCGGGGCTTAGAATAGCGTAACCGCGTGCAATGCAAGCCATAGTGCACCACCCAACTCGAATATGACTTATTCCTGAATTCGTGGCGCCTTGGCTGCAGTGCGGAACGGCGTGAGGTGCCCGCGAGGCAGAAGAGGCCTCGATGCCGGACGGCACAGCAACCGCAGAGCAAAAGAGATGCTCAGGATCTCGCTCGGATGCTGCCCCCGGGCGCTTGCTACGCGATCTGGAACACGTGCGCGGCGCTGGTCGACGCCTAGGCAGATCGCACACCCGCCCACTCGATCTTGTTTCATGAAACATTCACTCCACACGCCGTGCGCTTAGCCTAACCGTGCCAGCGGCCCAGCTCGCGAGCTATCATTGTCGGTGTTCTATTTGGATATTCCCCTATTCTCCCTCTAATCTCCCTATTTTCTCGCTAGTCGTCGCCTTCTTACTCACTCTTCTAGAACGGCTTGCTTACCATCACACGACTTGCGCGGTGCCCCGCTGCATCCCTCTGCAGGTCCACGCCAGTGCTCAGCCCTACCGAGTATTGATGACTACACAGCGCATACAGAGGCAGATGCGGCGTCTCTGCCCCTGTCGTGGCCCGCCGGGTCTTTATTTGACGGCCCTATCAGTCGCGAGCGCGGCTAAGCGCCCACCACCCTCTTGGCCTGCACTGCGTATTCTTAGAATCAGCCGCACCAGGGTTCACAGGAAATATCCTCAAACAGGCGCTTCCGGACAAGCCCTCCTCCCTTGGTCTGGGGAGTGAACGGCTCTGACGCCTTCCTGACCACTCAGGCGGCCAAATTTGGCCGCCCGCACGCGTTTTCAGTAGAAGCGCCAGTTCGCGGCCGCAGTTTCACACATCTCCTTCGAGTACGTAGACCCTCCATCGGGCGATTACAGAAACAAACCCTGGTTTCAAGAAATTCTCCGGCGGCCCGCTGGCCTTTGTTTAGATGCACACACCACCTGCGGCTTCTTTCTATAAAGCCCACCGTCTCTACCCCAGTGGGTCTTCAGATACCCCAACCCCAAACACCAAGCTCCTGTTCCTTCGTTTCTTTCTTGTCCATCTATCTCCTACCTTTCTTTTCTACTCGATTACTTTCGTTCTCCTCCATCTACTCTAATTATAATAGTCACCACCACCTTTCGCTTCACCACTTCAAGCATTCCCCTCCGCTTCCTCTCATACCTGTCCATATCCAGTCATTCCTCTCTTCTCTCTTTCCCGATGATCCTCGGCATGCCTAAGGTAGAGAAGGCTTCGACATCCCATCGCGGCTCCGTTTCGACGGCATCTGCGGCTGGTGGGACCAGGAGCTCGTCTTGGTCTGCAAAGGACGACGAGACTCTGATCCAGGCCCGCGCTCAAGGGTTGAACTGGAATCAGATCGCACCTAAGCACTTCCCTCAAAAGTCGCCGAACGCCTGCCGTAAGAGGCACGAGCGGTTGATGGAGAGGCAGAACGCTGAGCAATGGGATGGTGTCAAGCTGGATGTCCTGGCAGCCGCATACATGGATGTTCGACGAGATATGTGGGGCCTCCTGGCAGCCCGAGTGGGCGAGAAGTGGCAGCTGGTCGAGCAGAAGGTATGTGCAGTGTCTATCTTCAAGCACATCGAGATCGGGCTCCAGAGCAGACAGCCTTACACTGTTACCAAACCTGAACTGACTTTTGCAGTGCATGGAGAAAGGGCTCAAGAACCTCAACCAGGCGTACCGGTCCGCGCAAAAGAAACAGGGTACCTATGATGGCCACCACGATGACAGCGGAGTCCAACTCTCTGACCTGGACGAAGAACCAGTTGACCGCCCAGCGGACATTCCAGAGATGGCGGACCCTTCTCCCTACGCCCAGTATCCCACAGGCTACCCTTCGCAACAACAGCGGGTACCAAGCATCCAGTCGATCCTCCAGCCGCCTATGGCAGCATATCAGCTCCCACACCAATGAGCATCGCTTCAAACTCCCACTTGGCTTCGGCCCTCTTTCAGCTTTGTTTCTCGTCAATTCTTACGACCCTCACGATCCTTCGACTACTTTTTCGGAATACCTTGTACTACTATCATCGATACCAAACCTCGACTGTCCTAGCAGCCAACAACATCGACCTGTTTTGATTTGTTTTCATACACCTAGACTTTGGGCTAGGTTCACACTTTGGCGTTTCTTTCCACTCAAAAAGGTTGGCGGAACACAGGCATCAGCGTGGCGTCGGATGTAATGGCGGGG